GACCAGACTTATTAATGTGAGAAAAGAAGGTATGCATTGACAACATGAGCTGAGAAAGTGAGGATGGGAAGGGATTCGTCGGATATAAGAGGGGAAGGTGCTTGGTCCACCTGATCTAGGGACTTTTGGCAAAGAGGGGAGGAGAGAATACAGTATATAATAGAATAGTATAAGTTAACTTCTGTTACAATCCTAATGAAATATGCGAAAATCTTCTTAACTCATGCGGGGGAGCCAAGCAGGATCTGACGCCAACCAGAAATACATTTTACGAGGCTGTTTTTTTTTTTCCTTTTTTTTTGCTTTTTTGCTTTGCCTGATCTGGGGATGTGTCGGAGATGCAGATGGCATGACGCGGGATTCGTAATAGTAAAACCTAACCCCTTGATCATTTCTCAAAGGAAATAGACCAAACTTTCCTGCCTTTCTAAATTTTTTATACTGATCATGTGTAGTGACGCATGACGAACCATTCTAAGCTGACGAGCCCCCACACTACGAGTAAACTCAGACCGGAATGGGAAAGACACTCCCAAGGTCTAAGCGCCCTTACATCCGTCAGATATGAAATTCTCACAATCTGGGGTAAGTGGGCCAGATCGTCTGAACAGCACGGACATCCGCTGCAGGGAATCGACAAGGTTACAGTACAATCAGTACGGAGAATACACACAACTAATCGAGTGCTATGGACTAACAATGGGCTATGAATACAGGCAGGGAAAAGGGGTGGAATGTGGCGAGAGAGAGTTCATCTGCCGGAAGACCAACAAGGAAATAGCTGTTTCTAGAGCCCGTTTAGCAATTTTAACCAGCTGAAACGGCCCAAAGTCACGCTAGGCTGATTTTCATACCCCCTGCTAGTCTAGTTGCCTGGCCCAGGTACGAGCTTTTACGGGATACCCACAACTTAGGAAAGTTGGATCGACATCTGCAAGTCCATTGGCACCAATCTAGGCCAATCGTGCTCTGCGGACTTTGGTTGGGCTGGGTTTAGGGGCTCAAATACGGGGAACAGACTCTGGCTCCCTTTACAATATACAGAGACCCGAGCCGAAAGATGGATCTACTTGTAAGGTTGTTCCCGCTTCAGTGGGGTGCCGAAGTATATGCTCACATAGTAACATTAATAGAAAAGAAAAAGTTGACATTGACACCTGGGAATGCGGAGAGCGCAAGGGGGAAGTGCTGTAGTTGAGGTATATAGAGGACAAAAGTCCCATAGTGGGCCACCTGACCATCGCCCAACACAGCAGGTCAACCGAAGTTGTCTTTGACCTCTTCCCTTCTGCCCAATCACCCTCTCTCCCTGCACACTTTCTCTGGCCTTCTATGCAGATGGTGGGGTGATTTCCTATTTTAGTAGCATCCCTTCGGGCTTGTTCCGAGATGGCTTGACACAGGCACGCGGACCTGTACATCATTGTTTGTGTTCGCAGCGAAATCCCGCAGGTACATATGGGCCGTGTGAGTCCGCTATGGAGCTTCATGTATGGAGATGGAGACGGAGACTAGACTATGGAGACCCTAGAGAGCTAAAATCGACTTTTTCCAAAATCCCCTAGCTTATTACCAGCGCTCTCATTGGCCCAGTACAGACAAATTCCAATGAGACTGTTTACAGTAGTCAGTTCAACACAATTGACTTCGTCTCTCTCAACTCGATCTAATGTCGGCCCAGCTTAGTTTTCCAGCCTCAACCACATCCCGGCGCGGAACAAGCGGAAATCAAGGGTCAGGGTCACAGGGTGATCTGTGGAGGTTTCAGAATTAGGCCGTAAAAGGCTCATCTAGAATATGTGTCAGGATATTACGAGAAAGAAATGAACATTCGGTGAGTGGCATTATGTCGAGCGAATTCGCAGATATGCAGGCTTGACAAACAAAGGACTGTGTCAAGGCACCTGCTACTGTTACTGTTAATGGCTGTCGGATTCGCGTCTCTTTGCCCGAATGGAAAAGGGATCTAGTTATCCCGCTTGTGTGGTACTATTCAATATATTATGCAAATGGATGTATATATATGCACGTCCTCCTACTTTAGGGCCAACTATAGGCTGGCGAATAGAAGGATTGTCTTTGTTCGGCTGGGGTTGCCAAGGTTCATTCCCCATATGCTACTACTGTAGCACTTGGATCTTCGCTAAGATCCCAATCCGGGATACCGGGTAAATAGGAGGCGCAGACGCCTCAAAGTTTCATCGTTGGGAATGCCCCGTCCCGCGGAGATCGGGTTGTCCACGAACCACTAGAAAGCTTGCTAGTTGCATCGTGGCGCCAATCGCCCCCGGGGCACCCTTAGTGTTGTTCGCTTGAGAGATTTGACTGTTCGCATTCGAGAAACTTAAATTGCACTCTAGGGGCTCTAGGGGCTCTTTTTCGCTCGCTTCCGGACTCCTAATTGTTGTTAGTAGCCATGCTGGGATTGCAGAAGCTCGAAGGATTCTACCCCCGTTTTGTGGCGCTTCCGAGTGATCAGTGGACTTGGGCCACTAAGCCTAGCAGATTACCATGCTATTCATATCCCATTGAGCTTGATACTTGGAGATTGGATTTCTATATTTTGTTCCGTTAGCATGCACTATCTCTCAACCATGATCTCAGTGACTTGCATGTCTACGGGTAGATCCGAAAGTGGGCCTGATTCCTGCGATCGTTATCGCATACACTTCACAAGCAGATGCTTCTGAGATTGAAACAATCGGCATATCAGCCGCATAAATTTTAGAAGCGCAGACAGGCTATTCGCAGTAGTTTGAATTAAACTATATCGTGCAACTTGCCCTTATTACTGACGGTGACTGTGACATAGAATGTGGGTGTCAAGAGGTGGGGTTTCCAATGGTGACGGAATTGAGCCATTGGGCAAGCCCGCAACTGCGGGCGAGGAGGAATATGTCATGGTGTCTTCATTATTTTTGCTTCTCCAAGGCATTAACACTAGGAGTCGATGGTGTTTCCGCAGATTCCTGTAGGAACGGGTGTCGCCTGCAATCTGGTAGAGAACCTCTCCATGTTGAAAGATGATTCGACCACTAGAGTCTTGTTGTTATTGTCCTAAGCAATTAATCTGAAGGTCAATCAGCGTCACTGCTTATAGGCTTACCGTCTCATACGGGGGCTGCACTCAGTGTCTCCATTTGGGTTGCTGACATGGCCGAGAATACTGAGAATAGCTCAGAATATCGCATTCTATCACCCCATATGGCCCTGGCCCGGCGTTGTCGGGAGTTGGGGTCTCATCATATGGTTGCAAGGTGCACTCGACCTGGATATAGGGATCGTCGTGACTCCTTCCGCACAAGATGTCATGAGGGACATGCTGCTCATATATAATCTCGATGACTCGGGCCTGAAAGGCATTGCTGGTATATCGGGGTTTATTGCAATCCTGAGGACGAGATGGCATAGAGATGATGGCAGTAAAACTGTTACCCGATTTCCTCGCAGATGAGACAGGACAAGATGTTCATTTGTTGCCACATGCACTCTTCAGGGGTAATTACGCCACCTGAATAACGGCCGATATAGCATGACTGATGTAGTCATGGTCCAGAGCTTCATGTCATGCAACCGCTACAGTCATCAAGTCAACCCGAACGGAGGGCACACGTATGGCGGGCTTATTCTGCATTGACCTAGGAGAGGCTGTGTGTTATAAATGATCTGCCACCAAGACTTCTTTGCTGCTGTAACTCCGAGTCCTTCATGTTTTGGGATAAAGACTGCGCCACACGAAATGCGCCAAAAAAAAGTGAGACTCTTTCGCAATCGCTGGACGCAGTGGCAATCTTCGACCGAAATCTGAGCGTCGAAGGGTAAAGGCGAAGAGTCACTGATTATTAATGAGGATGTGATGTGAGCGTAAGCCTGCCATTCTCAATAATGAGGAACAGGCGACAGCTGACCCTAACCGAAGGATTCGTGCTCCGCCTCATATTCACCAGCAATGTGTACCTCATTGATGCTCATCTTGATGAGCAAGGTGCTGCTTGATCCGTTCTGGTTATCTGGTCGACTCTCATTTCTCTGACGGTTCGAGGAGCAGCAAAAGATGAGCATAGTGCTGCTTGATCCGTTCTGGTTGTCTGGTCGACTCTCATTTCTCTGACGGTTCGAGGAGCAGCATGTACATCTCCCCCAAATCTAATCTCCGTGTAATATTGTTTCCGACGCATCGGTCCACAATACAGTTGGTTTTTTTTTTTTTTTTTTTTTTTTTTTTGCCAACGGCAAGCAGTTGAGAAAGTCCTAGCGGGAAAGTGTGAGTCGCGGAGAGGAGAAAATATAATGTGCCTCTAGATATACCGCGATGACTGTTCGATGATCATCAAGCCTGTAATTTCCCGGAGAAGACCCCAGTCCTGGCTTCTTGGGAAGAGGTAGGAAGAAGGCGGCAAAATGATGGAAGAGGAAGAGGAGGAAGGGGAGGAAGACATGAAGCGTGACTTCCATCTTCGCATTGAGGAACAAGCCTGTGCTTTCAGAAGCACGTTTTGTACAGCAACACAAGTCAAATTCAGATTATTCAAATTATTTAACCTTCCTGTATCTCTCTTCACGTCTTCGCATCTCGTACAGCGAGGATAGAAAACCCCGGGGCATGGCAATTGCAACAAACCAAGACTAATAACGAGGAACCCAGTCTACAGAACCTACAATCAAAAGAAGATTGAAGTATAAAAGCAAGTCAAATTGACTAAATACAAGTAACCCACAGCCCTGAACCCGAATATATAAAACCGATCCCAATGCATAATGTATGAAAGCAGGACGAATACCCATAAGCCATGACCATGACCCGATCATACAAGGAAAAAAGAAAAACATGCGAAGTGCCCCGGTCCATGCAAAATGCTAATATGACAAAGAAAGCAAATAGAATAGGAACAATAGACAGAAAGGATATCACTGAAAGCATCATTAGGGCTTGGCAAGGTATCCCCGAGAGAAAGAGAAAGTCATAGCAAGCAGAGCAACAGGCAGAAAGACAAGACTCGATGGTCGACTATATCAACCAGATAGACGAGTCGGAGATATTCCATTCTCTTGGTTTTGGTTTTGGTGTGATATCCAGAAACCGGAACAAGCGGTTCGCTCATGCGATAAAGGCCCGATCTAGCTGGCGCAGGGCTCTCATGTCCTCGCCTCCGAATCCGATTTTCTCGTTCGGGATGTCTCGCGGCCCCTCGCCGGATGAACCCTGGGAGGGTGCTCCGTTCGGGTTTGCTACGGCACTGGGAGGGGGCGGAGCAGTCGATGCGGAAAGAGGAGCCAGCGCAGCGCCGTTCACCAATGAGCTGATACCCGGGACTGCATTGCCGGCACTCGGGTCCAAGGGCTTTGGTGATGTGCCGATGGGGTTGAGAGGCTGCAACGCGGGGTGCTCCTGTTTCGGTAGGCGGGGACTGTGTGTGTGTCCGTTGGGCTGCACCAAGGGCTGCACTGGTACTCGCGGAGATGAAGCTACGCGCGGATCAACCATCGCATGCCCGTATACCGGGGGACTTCGTTGCTCGTGTGGGTGGTCGTGCATTGTTGATCTCGGCGACCGGGTTACGTAGGGCTGATGAGGGGGCCCACCTGGGGTAGCGCCGGCTCGACATGGGGTGGCCTTTCATATGGACCGGGTATCCCGTGTGGAGGTGGTGGAAGGTTAGAATGTTGATGTGGCGGCGGTTGATGGTGTGGTGGGCCATATGGAGGGGGTCCAGCGGCTGCCATCGGGGGAAGATACTGGGCGCCATATGGAACTGATATTGTAGGAGGTGTGGCCAGGGGAGTTGGGGGCCATGCATAGCCTTGCGGGAATGGTGGTGCATGGGTGGCGCGCTGGTAAGCGCCGATGGGATGAGGCGTAATCGGATAAGAAGCACCTTGCATGGGTCCGCGAGTCACGACCGGGAGGTTTTGTTGATCATTGACTGTCGACTCAGGGTAGAGACCCTTTTGGGGGCGGACATGGCGCAGCGCCGGGTCGGATGTTGGTTGTTGAAGGTTGGCGGCAGAGGGGTGAGAGCGCGAGTAGTAGCTGATCAAATGCAAATGCTGGCCGTTGGAAGTCGTGATACTGAAAGACTGCTTCATCAAGCCATCGGGCTTGTATCGGTACCCATCCGGTCCCTCATCCGTCCCATCGCCTCGATCTTCATCGCTGCCCCGACTCTCAGGTGTCTTGCCTCCTCGTTGTAAAGAGCTCTGGGCTACACCACCTCCACGCTTGCCTTCCATTTCCCGATAGGTCAAGAAACTCCCCGACACACGGCTTGCGCTCCATGACTTTCCATCGGTCCATCGGCGCATGCCCGCTTCGCGCTCATCCCATACAAAGACCGAGCCAGATCGGATCGACTGTCGCTCTTTTTCTGAGAGTCGTCTTTGTACTCGTGGTAAAAGGCCGATGCGACAAGCTTCAAATAGAATAATAGCGTCCGCAGGTGTGCGGACGTGCCCGTAATACGTCTCCATCCAACCTCTCGAGTCAACCGACCCTGTGTAGTTTGCTTTGATGGCCAGATTTGAAGAAAGAGGAGAGCTAGGGAAGTATGAGCGTTAGAAAGCGGAAGTGGAGAGAGAGAAAATAGGGTTCAGGCAGGTCCCCAAATATAAAAGAAAATCAAGTGTATGGGGTAGGCTGAGTTGACCGATAAATCCGAACCCAACCCGATTAGAAGTATTTTATTCTTTTTTTTTTATTTCTTTTTTTCTGGCCAAAAAGGGAAAGGGGAAGCCTGCAGAGATTGTGTAGTGGGGGGGGCCACAAGGGAGAGCCAAGACTGAGAGGATACAAAGAGAAGGGGGGCCTTACTGTGCTCCACGGAATGGCTTAAGCTAGAATTTTTCAAGGAGGGAAAAAGAAGAAGACAGGAAAGAAAGGAGGAGAAGCTCACTCTTTTATTCAGGGTGAACTTTATAAAAAGACAAAAAAGAAGGTTAAATAAGAGAGGCGGAGAGGCCAAGCAATCCAAGCGAAAGATCGGAACTTGCTAAACGCCGAGATTTAATTGTAATACAGTGGAGCTAAGGAAATTAACTTATGCATGGGAACCTTGGAATAATTCACTGGGGGTGGCGAGTGGCACAGTATTTTGGAGCCTATACAGAGTATAAGCCAAGGCATTCCATGAGACCTTGGAACCTAACCTTTGGCTATAGAGCCCCTTCTCCATTCCAAAAGGATCAGGTAATACAAATACAAATCCAAATACAAAGAAAAACAGAAAAAGAAAAGGAAAGAAAAGGAAAAATGTGAGCTGAATAATAAGGAAAATGCTCTGTGTCAGAAAAGTGGCGCTCTGATCGCAAAAAGAAGGTTAGTGCGTAACTCTTAAGCTTAATCCAACACGAGGAGGCCGGCGCTGAACTTTATGCTCGCTTACAGAGGCCTCCACGCTTGGCGTCTAGGCTTTCTTGGAAAGGCTATTTGTTAATAAAATAAAGTAATAAATACCATGAAATATTCCAAAACGGTGATTAACGGGAGAAATCCACTCGGATTAATAATGTGCGGTTCTGTCCGCCTTACACTTTATCCCTTGGATACACGTATATCCGTTGACCTTTGGCAGTGGTTCTAGACACCTGTAATAAGCCACAGTGGCCATTATATATCCCTCGTGACTCGCACTCGTATTTGATCCAGTGACGCCGTGTTTTAATTCTACCTGCGCTGACCACAAAACTTGACAACGGCGTGGTCCGAATCGGTGAAAAGGTAGTGTCCATGGTAGAGGTGTACGTATATAAATAATGCAAAGCAGAAGCCACGTAACAGGATCACCGAAAAGTGCCGGCTTTCACCACTGATTGGCTCACTCATATACCAATAAACAATGTTAGGCTTGTATGATATTTATCTTGTGCAGCTACGATCCGACCAAGATTTGACTGAGTCGTGGCTGACACCTTGACTCAGCGATAAGGTTAAGTGTTTCCCGAGCCTTGTGGACTCTGCATTCTTTTTTGGACACCATATCCTCTTTTCAGCGCACAGACGAAGCGTATCGCCAACAATCCCCCATTGCACAAGAGCCACTTTAATAGGGTTCGGGGGCTGGTTACCCTTGGCAGCTGATATTTCTCCTTGGCTTCAGACCGGGGGTCCATGTGTTTGACTCTGCAGTGTCTCACATGGCGCCTTCCAGTGTGACTTGACATTGCCGTGATCCGATCTTCCATCTACCAGGTCTGCGGAGTGTGTAAGGTGGTACCGTCGAAACAAGCTCGAGTATAGTTAATGCGAGTGTTCCAGGGTTACTTTAATATTAGACTCCAAGAGCCTTTCAATCCGAGCTGATCATTCCCAAGCTCGCCTATGCGACAATATTATTGGCTGCCCCAATCATAAATAAGCATAACAGTACCACGAATCACCACATGTCTCCCTTACACGAAGTTATGCATCCGATGCGAACTTCTTTTATGTCCGAAGCTCGGGCCTCCGTTGGTTATTTTATTTTTCTTTACACTGTATTCCTGAAGATCGCCTGAATCCGCCTAACAGCCGGATCCCGCAAGACTTACTATATTAGGATAGTGCGGTGTCTTTCATTTCCCCCAGCCGAAAATCATTAAACATGTCCATCTCGGTACGCTGTTCTTACCATCCCTACCCCTGACTTGCACTGTAGTAGACCTGTCAAGGGTCGTACCAGAAGCTCGGCTTATGGCCGGTGTTCCGATACTCTTACAGTAACCTCTATCCGATCATCCGAGCCCTCCTTTTTGGCTGGTGGATCTCGCTCCACAACTACTGCAACTATATCATCCGAGGCCCTTGCGGGCTAAGCCGACGGTTTTGCCGACCGGTTCGTGCTTCGCTTTCTTTATTATTCACCTCTACTACTCCACAGGGTTTCAATAATCTCCGATCCGTTTACAGTACTCATTGTCTGTTAATTTAAAATGAATTAAAGGTTGCCAAGAACTACTTTTGTGAAACGTCACACGAGCTTATCTCCACTAGCATAATTAAGGTGTCCGGAGAGGGAATGTGCTGTTTCATTGCATATTAACTTCCAGGGTCTCATTTTAGTCTGGTCTATCATTTCTACAACGCTGGTGCCTACAGAGTACAGATGACAACATTATCCCCTCAATTCTTGGCTCCAAGAGTTCTCCGACCGTGAATGGTGCCTGGGCATTGCCAAGCCTGATGGGGCCAATTTTAGGTGGCGCCCTAGACCCGGTTCTGGTTGTCATCGAAGCCTAAAATCCAGTTTTCCCCTTATGAACCATGGGAAGTGGCTTGACTTTCTTTAGCCGTTTACCTTTATTTCATTAGTCTCCCTCGTCTTACTCTCGGGGACTTTATCAAGCCGAATACGAGTCCTTTTTTATTTTTACTTTACTTTATTACTTTATTTCCGGTTAATCATTTTGGCATTCTGTCTACTGTACAGTGCACATCGCAATGTGATACGTCAGGCCAGGGATGTACTACATGACTCGTACAAGGCGGACAGAGCCCGAACTTCTTTTGCTTATGCTTAACCCTGGTAAGGTTGGGGCCCCTTGGCCTGCTGATCCTGGCCTCCTTATTGGTAAGGATTTAGTGCTCGTCTGGCAAGCCTAAAAGATTAAGGCTGTGCTTCCTTTACTACACCAAGGAATAGAATAGTTATGCTGCTATGGAGTACAGAGTACACCGTACTGTAGACTGCATATACTGCACTGTACAGAGTAGACCCTAATATTATAAGTGAAACAGTCGGCACAATAAGCGATATCCGAAAAAGCCAAAATCCAGTGCAAACCCACTCCGAACCCACGTTTTGTGACGGAGACGCCGAATATCCTTAAATCCGATCATTCCTCTCTATATTACAGTCGATATTACGATTATCTTCTTATCTGTTCTTTGGCCCCCGAGTTCCCACTATTTATAATCAATCTGCCCTAGTGGCCCCCTTCCCAGTTTTTTACATTCGCTCTATGGACGCCTCATTCCAGACTACAGTGCTTGGCCTTGCTTGGGGCCCGAGAGCTCCGGCGCATAATTCAGTATTCCATTCCTGAGATAGGATCTGCTTTCCGGTTTACTGTACGCGATGGAGTATCTAAGTTACATGCCGTACACGTATGTTGTGCGATAACCTACCTTGGCCATACACATTCTATATGCGTCTGGTTTACTTCAATCGTGAAACAGTCGTCCCTGTTACTCTACACTAATGTAGCAGAAAACAATCCTTCGACCTTTGCCAAGCCTATATCCACGATTTTTCGCCCCCCTCCATTTCTTTCGTCCGTGCTGTGCAGTTGTTTCGTATTAGGTTTGATCATCCTTGTACCGTACAGTACTCAGCCTTGCACGTAAATATCCATGCAATCATAGAAGATAAATACATGTATAAACATATCCGTCTTTGAGGATTAAAGATGCGGTACATGTACTGTCAGCAACCTCAACCCTGTCAGCCTTGACCCATGTTTATTTGCATCGATCGGAACTCTATCGCCGACTCTCCGTGTCTAGTAGTCTAGTACGTAAAAGTTAAAAGTTAGCTTAAACGAAAACGAGATCCTCGGACTCCTTTACAGTAACACCCCTGTCGATAATAATCCTTCATTTGCGTAGTATTGCGTAAGTGCAGTTAGTCTTAGTATAGTCACCCTTGGCCTTTGGGGGCCTAGGACGATCACTAGGCTGAGTCGTGGGGTGGGCAATGGGGCCGGGTAAACATGTCCTTGTCCATGTCCATGTATGTGCAAATCAAGGCCGGGGGACCGGGCGCTCCCGGTGAGCATATGCAAGCTCTGTTTTAGCGTTTGGTAGTTGTACACAATGTATGAGACTCGTATTTCTGGCTAGTCGTAATCTGGGTATATGGCGCGGCGGAGGCTCTGGTGGCTCTGGTGGCGGATTTGACTCCGTATATGTCGTTCTACTTTGGGTTTGGTCTATGCTTTGTTTCTAGATTGGCGTTTTGTGGGTTTTGTCTTGGTTTATTTATCTATTGCTTATTGCGTGACTTGGTTCATGATTTATGATTCGTGCTCGGGGGTTGTTTGTTAAATGGGTAAATGCAAGCTCTATCTGAGCCTCTTTGGAGGCGTCCGATGCAATACATATATTTGTCATCTCGTATCATATACGTCTATCTTTTTCGTATCGCGCTATTTGAGGAAATTTAGCTCTGAGAGCAATTTAAATGATTTATCTTATGGACGGGCCTGTGCCGGGCGTTCCGGTGCAAACTGGCCTCTTCTTTCATGCTTGGAGCTCGGCTCTACTGGTATTTCTGCGGGCCCCGTTGACCGTTCATAAACATATTCGAAACGACTGGTCATATTTAACTGGTGTTCAAATATTTTATCGACCACTGTAGACCCAGTCAGAATTTTAGGTTAAATTAGCTGTGGTTTCAGAAGCTATACAACTGACCTTACAATGCGAGAGTATCATGCTGCAATAAATCATAGAACCAACCAAAGTATCTCCTGTCGGGTTTAATTGCTCTCCTGCCAATCTATTCCCATTTTCAATGCATACTATATTACAGATCTATCATACAAGCTAATTTATACACATCAGCAATCAGCCCGACCATAGTATCTCGGGAAAGAAACAATATCCCGGACACTAGAAACGCCACTCAAGTATCCTAAGAACCGATCAAAGCCAAGCCCATACCCTCCGTGAGGAGCAGAGCCCCAGCGTCGGAGGTCAGCATACCATTGAAGGTGACTCAGATCCTCGGTGGGAGAAAGATGAGGGTACAGCGACTCAAGCGAGGCTGAATCCCCCGACCCTGAAAGCTCTCGAGCCTTGATCAACCCGTGCTCACGCATGTTCTGGATAAGTTCAGGCAGACGGTGTTCACGTAGGGAACCCCCGGCAACCTCACTGACTTCCGGGAGAAGGAGATCGAAGCACGCTACTGTCTCACCGGGTGTATTGGAATCTTCGACAACCTGGGAAGGTGCCATGTAGAATGGCTTAACGGATTTCGGGTAGTCCGTGACGAAGACTGGACGGCCCTGGTGGAGTTCCTCGACGATGTACTTTTCGTGCTCGAGCTGAAGGCCTCCGTCCCACGTCGGAGGATGTTCGAATGATGCCGCCTTCTCAGTAACAGCACGCTGCAACATCTCCACGGCTTGCGTATATGTTATGCGGTCCCATTTCGGACCATCCATCAAGTCAGTCCACCGCTGTCGCAAAGAGATCGTTGCCTCGGTGTTACTCTCCTGGCCCTGTTCGCCAGACCGCTTAGCCGACAAGATCTCCTGGCCCACTGTAGTATCATATAGGCGACGCGTCAGATCGCGTAGCATATGTTCCACCAGGCTGGTAAGCGACTCGAGATCGGACATGAAGTTGACTTCAGCCTCGAGCATGTAGAACTCGCTGAGGTGGCGTGGTGTATCACTCTTCTCGGCCCGAAATACTGGTGTTAATGTCCAGACATTGCCTAGCTCCGCCGCATAAGCTTCCAGATGCAATTGCGACGACACAGTGAGGTATTTAGGTGCTCGGAAGAAATGCTCGTTCTCGGCGCTGGGTGTAGCAGCGGCACCACGCGGTGCCAACGTGAACGTTTCGCCAGCCCCTTCACAGTCCGAGGATGTTATGATCGGAGGCTGGACTTGTGTAAAGGCGCCATTTGGGTGGGAGTGGAAGACATTGCCAAGCTGGAACATGCACTCGGAACGGAAGCGCGCGAGGAGGGAATTGAAGGGCGTTCGGATGCGAAGATGGGGGATTTGGCGCAGGAAATCGGGGCTGTGGTATTTTTTTGAATTGGAAATGTCTGTGACCAGAGATACCATGGTCAGCTGGTCTGTAGGTCTTTCAGTGATTGACGGTTGACTCACCTCCGGGTCCGATGCGCCGACGACCGTTACGTCGGTTGTTTGAAGCTCGTGAGTCTGCTCCTTACCCGGTGGACAAGCTTTCCACACCCCTGATATTTCGACCGCTGTTCCCGTTGATAGACTAGAAGAAAGGTGCTCCAGTTAGATTTGTTTGACGAAGGGAAATTGCAGCTCTCATGCAAGGTCAGACATACTCTGCTGCTTGCGCAGGTTTCAGGATTGCCTGCATTGGCTCCACGGTCGAGCCATCAGAAATCTCCGCAAAGGCAAAGCGCTTCTGTTTCCGCACAGAACGGATGAAGCCGTTCACTCTTACTTCCTGGTCTTCGAAGCTGCAGGTCCCACCCTTGCTAGCTTGAAGGATCTGGGCGCATCGTGAAATAGAAGGACGAGTCGCCGAGCTGTTGCTAAGTCTGGCAACAGACGTAGCGAAGGATCGCCGCCATATCTGCATTGCTGGGGAAGTTGAGGTTGGATGTTCGGAGATTGCGGGCAAGGGAAAACTTATCGTCCGATTAGCATTCCCGCCAGAGCTAAATTGTTACGAATCCCGATTAACGTTACTTATTTGTTCTATTACCTATATTTAAGCCATGGGAATACAATTAGAGAGCAAGCATTGAATTTCCCACGCTACAGTGGCCACAAACTGAGTGTTCATATTGAATGAAGGTCAAGGTTCCAACAACGCCAAGCACAAGATAAAAGAGTGTCTGGTACATCTACAATTCGAAACCATTAAGCAACCGGGGAGCAATAGATCACTGCGAAGCGCGTCGTTCATAAGCCCTCCTTTCCTCCTCAATCATATCAATCGCATCCAGGAGGCTACCGTTGGCGGCAGCCGCATACACGGTCATCCTGGATCGTCCACCCTCCTGTTCAGTTCCGTAGCCCATACCGACAAGAGCGGAGACGCACTGGTCAACTGCATCTGAAGACTGTTCGGCATTCGAGTCAGTTGTAGGCAGCGCCGTTTCCTCTACCGGGAATCCACCAGGGACCTGTTGGCGAGAGAATGATCTTGTTCGTTCTCTTCTAGAAAGCCGCGCCCATGTATCTCTCTCCACGGAACGAGCACTTGACCGGCGTTCTTGGCGTTCGGTTTCCCGGCGCTTCAGTGGGGAAATTGAGGGTTCATGTGAATCTGCTGCTGGGCGCATCGCCACCATAGTGTTGGAATTCACGTTTGGACTGTTGTGATCCAAGGGCCGTCCGGTACCAATCACCTGCAACATGTTGCCGGTTGCATCCCCGTTGGCGGCAGATTGAGTTTCTTGAGTAAGACCTTTTGGAGTAGATTGCGATGACAAACTACGTGTAGGGAGTCCCACGTGGAGGTCTTCTGATTCATTTGGCCGACCAGCGGTGGATGGTGCTTTTGGGGGCTCTTGCTGGCCCGTAAGAAGAAGAGCCTCCAATTGAGACACGGGTGGGAACCGAGTCATCTCTATCTCCTTCTCGGGGTTCACAGGCGGGTATGTTCCTTGGCCATTTGAGGGAGTGTTAGACTGTTCATTCTTCACCGGCTGGAGCGATGGAAATCGTGCGCTGAACCCAGGGTCATCGCTTGGAGAGTCAAGCAACGCGGGGGAGTCAGGCCGAGCAGAGCCAGTATCAACATGACCTGAATGTTCCACAAAGCTGACGGACTTTCTGCGACGGTTTGCCCTGTTCTCGTGCCTCGGCCGAGGAGTGCGTACGCTTGTTCTGCCGCATGATCCATTTTGGGCAGCACGCACTATTTCAGTATTTGGGTGGTGCATAGGCTCCAGGTTGATGGAGTGACCGTCGATGAGAGCACCTTGCAATACTTCCATTGCAGCGAATGCTGGATGAGACCCAGGAAATGGACATAGCCAAAGCCTGCATGTTTCCCCGATGCACTATCCATTGGGAGATCAACTTCGACAATAAAGCCCTTGGAAGCAAACACATCCTGGATCATCTTCTGAGTGACCTTGAATCCGACATTTCCGATGAACAACGATTTAGTTTCCGATCCATCAGAGTTTACAAGGTTGGCTGGTGCTTGTCTTGGATGAGAAGGCCCGTTGAATCTGGCCGGTGGGAATGCAGGCGGCCATTGCGGCCAGGAAGGGAAATTTGGGGGCTGTGCCAGTGGTGCCTGATAATAGGGACGGTGAGACACGTCGGGAGACGGTGGAAGATAATATGGAGGATGTTGATGGAGTGACTGATGATATGGACTATGTTGGATGGTGGCGTACGGGTTCTCCATAGGGTAAGGTGTAGGTTGCGGAATTTGTCCATATGAGCCTTGAGAAACCGCAGAATTTAATGCAGGAGCCTTATGACTCCCTTTGACATCCGAAGGGTTCCAATTACCCGGAGCCGGACCCGATGGTTTCTCGGTCATTGGTGAGGCCCGGGAATGCACTTCTGGGACCTGAGGATAGACAGGCCCCGATGAGACAGGCCCATTTTCTGCAGCACTGGCATTAACATCAGATGTCCCAGGAACACTAGTGTTTGGCGTGCCAGATGTGGAAGAGGGAGCGGGTCTAGCTCGCCCAAACTCGTTTTCGAACGCGGCAAATAATGTTCTTCCTGCCTCGTTCAGTTCCGAGGCCATCATGCGCAACCCGTCAGCGGCATTCTCCGCAACAGGTCTTCCCCTGTGGAATGCATCTTCTGCGAATTGTCTTCCACCATCAGGGATACTACTAAAAGCAGCTCTCACTTGAGCCTCGAGGGTATTCAGGAGTGTGCGTAATGATGCTTCGACATTAGCAGGAAGGGATCTCTGTGCAGTCTCAAATTGTCTTTGAGCATTATGTAGTTGACGCTGCACTTCTGGCAGTCTTGCTCTCCATTCAGACTGAACCATGGTCGCTCCACTGATCAACTGATCAAGCACCTGGGCCGCCAGAACCTCAACGGGATGAGTAGGCCGTTCCGAGGACGTGCTGGCTGACGGCTCAGCAGGTTGTGAGTCCGGTTGGGGTCCTCCTCTAGTACCCGAGGGCTCAGCAGCATTGAGAATGCCTGCTAGCTCAGCCTCGAAGGCTTCCATCAGAGACCGGGACTCCCCTTCGGGTGCCGGTGGCAACTTTGGACTGGTAGCAGCAGGGACTTCTTCTTGGACAACGGCCTGGGGCACAACCGGCGCATCGCTCTTTTCTTTCTTAGAAGACTCTTGTTCTCTTGTGTCGCACTCATATCGCTTCCAGAGCTCAGTTACAGAGTTCGAGCGACGGATGTCAAAAATGTGTATCGGAGTGGCGTTGTGGGATACTTGGATGGATTCGAGCCGCGTGTTGATCTCTGGAGGTTCTTCAAGGCGCTGAGAGAGCTCGAGAGCAGATCCAACCTGGAGCGAATGATTAGTTTTGATGTTTCCCGATAGCCTGCTTTGTGTCGTGGACTTACTGTAATTGTTTCATCATCATCTTCATCTTCATCGATGTAGGTCAACCTGGCGCGTGGATGAGTAGTCGCCAAATCATCATAATCGGTAGATGAAATCTGGACGACACCAGAAGGAGAACGAGAGTCTGCAAGCTCCTGCTCAGACACCCTAAGGTTTCTGATCTGGAAAGGCTTCAACATGGCGGGCGTGAGCCCTGTGTATCAGGGTCAGGTGGAGAGATGTTACAGATCAAGGGAATAAAAATTAGTGGAGTTGATAAAAGATGTGTAATTATGATGCCTCCTGGGCTATTTGGGAAACGAGGTTATAAGTTATCAAAGATCAGACTGGTATGTTGTTGCCTGTGGCAAAAGTGATCATTTTCCAAATATCCTGGAAGATCCCTATTGTAAAGGGGAGAAATAGAGACATCATATTAGATGGCGAGGTCTCAGGCAACAGGATAAGCGTCACATGGAAGCTCTCCCCGCTCGCGTCACATGACCCTCCTGGGTTTTCGCGTTCGCCTGGAATTTGAGGCCTCCATTCACGCGATTCAGTTGAGACAATGACAATTGATTAATGCCATTCATCTCGTATACATTGATCCAGATGTCTGCGCGACTGACTTTCCTTTCTCCTTCGAAGTCCCCGACCGGTTGACAACTCTCATTTCCGCGATAACACCAATGGCCGGACCATTGGAGACGGTACACTGCATAAGAGCTCTCGAAATATAGCTATTCCACAACTGTACCCCCGCTTCGTACTCAATACAGCAAGGATATCAATGGCGACAGCAAAGTCTGCGCGACTGCAGACCCCAGCGGATCGCAATCTCAGAAACGTCGTGCTAGGAGACCTCCTGTTCAAGCCCTGGAATCAATCAGTCTACCCCGAAGACCTCGTCACCAAAGATACCGATCGACTGTATGTCTGCCGCTGGTGCTTCCGATACTCATGTGAGGAGGATGTTTTCGCAGACCACAAACGCGCCTGTGAGCATCGCACAACGCCTCCGGGCACGAAAGTCTACGACCACGGCGGGTATGCAGTCTGGGAAGTCGATGGAGAAAAACATAAGCTTTTCGGACAAAACCTCTCCCTCTTCGCGAAACTGTTTCTCGATCACAAGACCGTCTTCTTCGATGTCGCAACCTTCCTTTACTACATCCTCACATATACCGACCCCGATGAGCCCGGCAGCTACTATGTGCTCGGCTTCTTCTCGAAGGAGAAACTGTCTTGGGATGCGAACAATCTTGCTTGTATCTTGATCTTCCCGCCATACCAACACAAGCAACTCGGAAAGCTGTTGATGGGGGTCAGCTACAAGCTCAGCGGTTGGGATTCGACCGGTGGATATATCGGTGGGCCGGAAAAGCCACTGAGCGAGCTGGGTCACAAGAGCTATTCCCGATTCTGGGCTGAACGGATTGCCCGATATTTGCTCCGCGGCAAGCCCGGCGAAAATCCCCGTGAATCCAATCAACAGAAACTCAATTCTACCCCAAAGGGATCCCGCAAGAGGCCCGTCCGCGAGACTATGACAGTCGAGGAGCTTGGCCTGGGCACCGGTATGCTCACTGAGGATGTGGTTACTGCTCTCAAATGCATGGGGCTGTTTGAGCCCCAGGCCACTCCGAAAAAGCGTAAGAGCAACCGTACAGCCACGGAAGCCACGGAAGTGAACTCCTCACCAGGTCAGATGGTGACCATATCCAAATCTGATGTGTGGGAGTGGGCTCAAACGCATCATCTCTCCTTGGACGACCCTGTGAGCGAAGAGGGCTTCGAGGGGCTATGGCCTCCCATGGTCGTTTCTGCGGAGAGTGACGACAGCATCCTCTCGGAGGAAGATTGATCAACTGAAACAATTCGGGAGCGCAAATGTACGATAGTATCTACTGTATTCTTAATGACGATAATGAGAAGCAACATGAAGTTTGTGCATTTTTGAATGGATTAGCTCTTCCTCCCAACGATGAGAGAATTGAGTCTATAACCTTTTTATTCTTTACATGAACCGCCTTACTTCGTAATTGAGAAAGTGCATTACTCTTCCATACCACCGGGGCCACCCTGTTTACTCATCTGCCGAGCCTTGAGGAGCTCGTCGCAAAGGAGCAGGTTGGATGCAATGCCCGTACTGGAAGCGATGCAGTTGCGGAGAACACGGAAAGAGTCGAAGACACCCTCCTGGACAGGGTCCATTGGCTCACCAGTGACCAGATCCAGACCGGCGACGTTGCCATCAGTGACCTCATCCCAAAGAGAAGCAAGGGAATCCTGGATGTCATGACCTGAGTTGGCAGCCAGAGTCTTAGGGATGATCAAAAGAGCGTCAGCGAAAGCACCGACACCCCACTTGGCCTTACCCTTCACAGATTTGTTGAACTCAGCGGACTTCAGGTGCTGAGCACATGCAACTTGGAATGACCCGGCTCCAGGAATGACGCAACCATCGACAATAGTGTTGTAGACAGAGCGGAGACCGTCACGGACGGCATCTTTGACCTGGGTGATAGTGTGGCCGTTAGGACCCTTGATGAGGATAGTCACGGACTTGGGGTCCTTGACCTCTTCCACGAAAGTGAACTTCTCCTCACCAAGCTGGTGCTCGTAGACGAGACCTGCCCAGCCAAGAACATCGGGGCTAAGATCCTCAACACTGTTCTGGGCAGTACCACCGCAAATCAGCTGCAGACGCTCCATATTTCTGCGCTTGGCTCTCCGAAGAGCGAAGATGCCGTTCTTGACGAGAACATCCAAACTCAAAGGATCAATACCCTTCTGGTTGATGATAACGAATCCCTTCTTGGGGTCGTTTCCACAGACCTCCTTCTTAAGCTCCACAATCTTCTGCAACTTAGCATCGACGAACTTGCGCTCGCTCTCGACCAACTTATCCCGCTGCTCGGCGTTGGAGTAGTAGAATCCAGAGTTGATCTCGGACTTCTCGTACTCCAGGCTGACGTTCAGTGTCAAAATGAAAGCATTCTCCACCCGCTTGGGCATATCGGGGTGTCTGGCACCGTGGTCCAGGGCAAGACCGCGGATAAGCTGAGTATCGGATGAGGAGCGATGTTGCATTGTCATAATCTCAACCATGTGCAAATCGGGCTTCTCAGGGGCTCTGTGGATGGCAAGGACGGCGTCGACGATGTCGGGGGTGAGCTTCTCGGCGAGAGCACCGCTCAGCTTTGTGGAGAGGGAGGTACGGGCGACAGAGAGCAGCAGCTCGCGGTCAATGGCACGCTCGAGCTTGAACTTGTCGAGGAACTATATGCCCTGTATTAGATCCAAGTCCCAGACCATGATTTGTACACCACATACCTTCAGAGCCTCGTTCTTTGCAATTTCATATCCATCGGTGATAACACGGGGGTGCAGACCCTCGCCGATGTGTCGGTCCGCCTGCTTCAGGAGCTCTCCAACCAGCATCACAACCGATGTTGTTCCATCACCGGTGATATCGTCTTGTGCCGTTGCAGCGCGGGCAATCATGACCTTTCCATGTCGTCAGTATAAACAAGGAGACCTTCGAGGTAATTTTGTCTTACAGCTGTGGGGTTTTGGATTTGCTGCCAAATGTTAGCTCATAAGCTCCAAGTACAAGAATTCTCAGGGCAGAACGAACCATCTCACGCAACAAAACATTTCCATCCTTGGTCAGTTTAATCTATTGTAGCCGTATCAGAATCTTGTTTGTGTTTCGAGAAGGGAAAAGGGATTGCGTACTGCGCCTGCACCATCGACCAGCCTAAGTTTTATTAGCTTCATTGCCTTTGTATGTGGGGTGCGTTTGTCCAATTCTCACATTTTGAGAGTCCCGGAGGGACCCAGGTTAGACTTCAACACATCTTGAAGACCTTCTCCAGCGGCGATGTTAACTTTCAAGGCCTCTCCTCTCCGCTGCATGAAATGTTAGTGTGCGGGCACATTGAGGGGCCATCTGGGAGATATTTTCCATACCCTCGACTCCGCCTTGGGGTTAAGTAGCTGAGTTGCAGACATCTCCCGGAAAATGAATGACAGGGAAACACGTCCAAAGACCAGAAATTAATAAATTAATGGATGGTAGGGGAGCTTGTTGGATGAGGGTGAGGCCCGCGTTAGGTCCGGCGAATGCGGTGAAGGCAGTTTTTGGCAAAAAGCCCACATTCACGGATTCGCACTAGCGGCGAAAAAAAAGCTGCCGATTTCTCGACTTTGCCCATTTCCAGCCCGTCGCCAACACTCGCACCAGCAACCCATCGAATTGCACTCAAGAGTGTTTTCTGCCGGTGTTGCATACCTTCGGCCCCTTTGAACGTGTATTATCTGGTCTTGGGCTTATAACGATGGCCGACTTCCTCCTCTTCGAGGGCCCTATGGGCTACTCGCTTTTCAAGACCGCCCACAAGGGTGATACTGTCGGCAATGCCTTGAAGGAAGTTCAGGATGGAGTCAATGACCTTGCTAAGTTCGGCAAGATGGTTGAGCTGTCAAGTTTCCTTCCTTTTGAGTACGCTCCTCCGTGAAAAGGTTTTTTTTTTCATGTTTTTTTCATGGTCCATTAACAATGTTGCAGGAACAACAAGCAGGCCCTTGGCGAAATCAACGACATCTCCGAAGGTGTCGCGTCCGAGACTTTGATCTCTTTCCTTGACTTGAACCTCCCCAAGGCGAACAAGAAGAAGAAGGTGGTTCTGGGTCTTGCCGATAAGGGTCTGGCAGGAAGCATCAAGTCCGCTTTCTCCCACGTCGACTGCGAGACCGGTGACACCAGCGAGATCGTTCAGGATCTTCTCCGTGGCATTCGTCTCCACGCTAGCAAGCTGCTGAAGCAACTGCGTGAGGGTGATATGGACACCGCCCAGCTCGGTCTTGGTCACGCCTACTCCCGTGCCAAGGTGAAGTTCTCTGTCCAGCGTGACGACAACCACATTATCCAGGCCATCGCCATCCTGGACCAGCTTGACAAGGCTATCAACACTTTCTCCATGAGAGTCCGCGAATGGTACTCGTGGCACTTCCCCGAGCTCATCAAGATTGTCTCCGACAACCAGCGCTATGCCCAGGTCGCTCTCTTCGTCAAGGATAAGAAGACCCTTACTGACGAGAGCCTGCACGACCTCGCCGCCCTCGTTGAGGATGATGAGGGTATTGCCCAGAGCGTGATTGATGCCGCCAAGCACAGCATGGGTCAAGAGATTTCCGAGGCCGACATGGAGAATGTCATCTCCTTCGCCGAGCGTGTTAACAAGCTCGCCAACTACCGCAAGTCGCTCTACTCCTACCTCGTCGCCAAGATGAGCGTCGTCGCTCCTAACCTCGCTGCCCTGATCGGCGAAGTCGTTGGAGCCCGTCTGATCTCCCACGCCGGTAGCTTGACCAACCTTTCCAAGTACCCCGCCTCTACCGTTCAGATTCTCGGTGCCGAGAAGGCTCTGTTCCGTGCCTTGAAGACTAAGGGCAACACCCCCAAGTACGGTCTGCTGTACCACTCTTCCTTCATCGGCAGGGCTGGCCCCAAGAACAAGGGAAGAATCTCGCGTTTCCTTGCCAACAAGTGTTCCATCGCTTCCCGTATCGATAACTTCTCCGAGGCCCCTACCACCAAGTTCGGTGAGGCCCTCAAGGGCCAGGTCGAGGAGCGCCTGGAGTTCTACGCCTCTGGCGCTGCCCCCACCAAGAACGAGGTTGCCATGGTATGTTCAACCTTCATTTCTCTATCTTGTGAATTGACGCTAACGAGTAACAGAAATCCGCCATGGATGCCGTTCTGGCCGAACTTGATGACGTTGATGGTGACAAGAGCGACGCGGAGATGGAGGATGTTGAGGTCGCCGAGGCCAAGAAGGAAAAGAAGGACAAGAAGGAGAAGAAGGAAAAGAAGGACAAGAGCGAGAAGGCCGACAAGAAGAAGAAGAGAAAGTCCGAGGGAGGTGAGGGCGAGTCCGACAAGAAGAAGAAGCGCAAGCACGACACGGATGCCGAGCCCTCCAAGAAGAAGCAAAAGGCCTAAATGCGCTATTCTTTTTGAAGGGAGTCTTCGTCACGGCGTTTGGTTTGCTTTTTGTCTTCATGACTCGATGGGTACGGCTTGCAGGTATTTGTAAATTATTACCAGGCCTTTCGCCTCAGCAGCTCTGACTATCGCTGCTCTGATATTTTCCAATTTAAGTTTTCAAGTTGTTATTCTTTACTTTATTCTCACTTCCTGAAGGGGTCAAAGCCATTGTATACTACGCGGACGATCATTGTACCCCACAGTCCGATTCAAGAATGTCCAATGACCAAACCCCTCTTCAGCCTTGATATCCGCCCTTGGCAAGTATTGAATATCTTCATTTCATTCCCTGGTGGATACGCTGCATATATTTACAAATGAGATCGGGAGACCCCACTACTTCCGTTTCCAGTATGATGCCGACCCTATCTTTCTCTCCCAAGCGGAAACGAGAACCTTCAGAATCAGACTGCTATAGCCCCTCAGCTTCTCCAACATCTACAGTTTCGACCGACAGTTTTCAAGATCCTCGTTTCCGAGAGGACGAGCTAGGGAGACACAGTCCGCGAGCCGCGGTAGCTGGACGATTTGGAGAGTTGGCCATCCGTGGCGAGCTCCAGTCGGACGCGACAGCTTTCCCCCATTCTCAGCAATCACTTGCTTCCTCAGCCCAACTATGCGCATTTGACAGCGCCGTGGCCCAGAACATGCCTGAAGCTTTACCGGCTAGTAGCGAGTCCAGTGACCGCCAAGCGACGTTATCTGAGGCGCCCGCAACACAATATCAACCCACTTCCTTACCCACTCCTTCAAAAAAGTCAGCAACATTCCCCCACAAGCATATCAATTCCTCGCCATCTAAACGCAAGCCCCGAGTGTCTCCTCCTCTTGCAGACACCCCATCTGAAGACCCGCTGGTATGGCATGATTCCGAGATAACAGGCCACAACCCGTCCGACCCAAATGACGATGGCTATGGTATCAATGGGATAGGATTCAAGCCCACTGCATCGATTGCATGGGCAAGGTCACAGAAACGACAAAAGCAGGTCGCCGAGTGGAAGAATCGCGAAGCCCGGGAGGCTCGTGAAAGACGACGAGAGAGGAGGAGAGACGGCATCGAACTAGACAAAATACACAGCATACATGACGGCGCAATCCAGAAACGAGTGAAGTTCGACGTCTAGGAGGGGACCAGCAAGCTCGCATCCCTCAGCATCGGAATATCTTCCTTTTCTTCGGCGTTCTTCTTCTCTGGGGCAAGCATACGGTGGTTCATTCTTCTTTATACTGGACGATTGGATTGGATGCGTTGACTGGGCCAAATGATATGGACTTTGCAGAGAGCTATGATACACGGATATGACTTTATGACATGACATGATGCCAACCACCTACCCGATCAGTGGATCGGACTATACAGTTTTGGATATCTCACAAACTCCATGACTCCTTCTAATGGACGAGCGACCTTACCAGAATTTGTAGTTGGAGGGGTTGGTCCAACTCTTCTTCTTTCTTTCCTCCTCGGCAAGGCGCGCACGCAACGTTGCCTCTTCCTCCGCGCGATCCTTCTCGCTTTGTTTCTTGGCTTTCAATTGGTTCATTAAATCGAGTGCTTCTGCCATGCCGCTCAGTTCTTGGATTCGTCGGTAGCGGCAGAACTCATATGCGGCCAATGAGCTGATTGCGAACATGCCGACAGCCCAATTGCCTGCAGACCATAAATAATAGCGTCCTGCATGCACATATTAACCTCATGACCTTTATACATATCACACAACATGAAACCATACCCTTCAGTACACCACGTAGACCGCCAACTCCAAATCCAACACCAATTCCAGTCATTAAAGATTCACGGGCACATGGTCTCTTGTGAATCGTAGAGAATTCGGATAGAGACACTGATCCGATAATCTCAGAGTATGACGCATCTTTAGGGTCTTTGCCTGGGGGCTTGTATGTCGCTTTTGCGAGAGCGTTCGCGGGCTCTTCGGGGTTTCCAAAAGCATCCCATAGCTTGCCGGTTTGTGACGAAGCGCGCTCGTGTTTCGACTTCTTCGAATCGGGATTGGCGTTGAAGGAGCGCGGGATGTCGCCAGCTTCCGCGAGAGAGCTGGTGTCTCGTGAGTCGTCTGCCATAACTGTAGGGTGAATTGCCTTGAATCTCCCACTTGCGGCCAAAACGAAGATCGTCAATATCGGATGATCAAATGTTCCCTCATGACCCGAGTTGGATAGTTATTCCGACAGGCTGACTAACCCCTTCAACGCGCTACGCGAACGCGTCGGGGCCGAAATCGATTTGATTAGAGCAGATCGCAGGCCATTGCTGGACCCTCCTAGAGGCACCATTGGTCTCAGAACCAGATCTCGTTCCATCTGCGACCTACTTGTTTTCTTAGCACTTGTCCATCTGTTCTCAAATTCCCTAAGCGTGCATTCTTCATGTTCTACCCTGAGCGCGTCATTTAACAGAGCCAATTTCACCAGCCCGGCCGGGCGACAGCGTCGCGATGCCTTCAAGAAAACCCAGCAAGTATGGCAACAAGTTCCGGTCAAGTGCTGCGTCTTCGAACCCCCGACGAGCAAAAACTGTCGAATTCAGCTCCCTACGTTCCACCGAAGCAACCTCGCAAGACGAGAAATTTGAGGCCATTCGATTGGCCAACAGCATCGATGAAACCCTCGGCTTTCCGCGCTTCGAGTCGGGCGAGACAAGGACCGGTTGGCTTATCAACATGCACAGCACAACAATAGAGGACCCGAATGTTCCCGGAGGCCGCGCCGGTGTGGATTACTATTTTCTACAGGATGACGGCGGGAGTTTCAAGGCGACAGTGGAACATGATCCATACTTTTTGATCGCGGTAAAGAAAGGCTATGAGATGGAAGTCGAGGAATGGTGTCGCCGGTCCTTTGAGGACTTGATCAAAAAGTTCACGCGACTTGAGAAGGAGGACCTGAACCTCCCCAATCACCTTCTCGGCTACCGGAAAACCTACATCAAGTTCAGCTTTGCCAATGTGCGCAACCTTCTGGAAGTTAGGAAGACGATTCTTCCTCTGGCGGAGAAGAACAAGAAGAACGAAAGTGCAATGGATGCATATGTTGAAATGACCAGGTTTGTTCTGCATTGCCTGCTGTTTGGTTTGGATAGAGGGCTAATTATACGAAGTGCGACTGCTGGTATCGATCTTTTCGACGACGAAATAATTAATGAGCAACGACCTAATAGCAACCTACAAGCGAGTGATTTTATTGTTGATATTCGAGAATACGACGTTCCATATCATGTCCGTGTCTGCATTGACAAAGGTCAGTTGTTCTTCGTTCGTGGACTAAATCCTTTGACTAACACAGCACAGACATTCGGATAGGAAAATGGTACGATGTGCAGGCAAAGCACGGCGTGGTATCATTGACCTGCTTGGAAGACCGACTTCAGCGTGCAGACCCGGTCGTCCTCGCTTTCGATATCGAAACCACAAAACTACCGCTGAAGTTCCCCGACGCCGCATTTGATCAGGTTATGATGATTTCGTACATGATTGATGGGCAAGGATTCCTTATCACCAACAGAGAGATTGTATCCGAGGACATCAATGACTTCGAGTACACGCCAAAACCAGAGTACAACGGGCCATTCATTATCTTCAATGAACCCAATGAAAGAGCCGTCCTTGAGCGATTCTTTGAACACGTCAAGATCTCCAAACCCACTGTCATTGCCACATACAACGGTGACTTCTTCGATTGGCCGTTTGTGGAGACAAGAGCCAGTGTTAATGGACTTGATATGTACATGGAGATCGGCTTCCGGAAAAATAGCGAGGACATCTACCAAGCCGACAACTGTGTGCACATGGACTGTTTCGCCTGGGTCAACCGTGACAGTTATCTTCCCCAGGGAAGCCGTGGTCTGAAGGCTGTGACCGTCGCAAAGCTTGGCTATGATCCAGATGAACTCGACCCAGAGCTTATGACACCTTACGCGAGCGAAAGGCCACAGACTCTGGCCGAATACTCAGTTTCCGATGCGGTTGCCACCTACTACCTGTACATGAAATATGTTCACCCTTTCATCTTCTCTCTCTGTACCATCATTCCTCTCAACCCCGATGAAACTCTGCGAAAGGGAACTGGAACCCTGTGTGAGATGTTACTCATGGTGCAAGCCTACAAGCATGAGATCGTCCTGCCCAACAAACACAAAGATCCTGCAGAGGCCTTTTACGAAGGTCATCTTCTTGAGTCCGAGACCTACGTCGGTGGCCACGTCGAAAGTATTGAGGCTGGTGTTTTTCGAAGCGATATCCCGACACACTTCAATGTTGACCCTACTGCAATTGAGGAGCTTCTCAACGACCTGGACCACGCTCTTAAGTTCAGTATCGAGGTCGAAGAAAAGAAGTCTATGGATGATATTGTGAACTATGACGAGGTCAGGGCTCAGATTGTGGAGCGTCTTCTCGATTTGAAGAACAACCCGAGTCGCGACGAAGTTCCTTTCATTTACCATTTGGATGTCGCCTCCATGTATCCCAACATCATGATCACCAATCGACTGCAACCAGACTCATTGATCAACGAATCCAACTGTGCTGCCTGCGACTTCAATCGACCCGGGAAAACGTGCGACAGACGCATGCCCTGGGCCTGGCGAGGTGAATATCTGCCAGCGAAGCGTGATGAATACAACATGATCCGACGTGCCACTGCAAATGAACGTTTTCCCGGCAAGTACAAAAATTCGCCAACGAGGCTGTTTAGCGAGTTGAGCATTGAAGAGCAAGCTGGAATTGTCAAGAAACGATTGCAGGATTACAGCAAGAAAATTTACCACAAGATCCACGACAGCAAGACCATGGAGCGAGAGGCCATCATTTGCCAGAGAGAGAATCCTTTCTACGTCGATACTGTCCGTGATTTCCGTGACCGTCGATATGACTTTAAGGGCAAGCAGAAAGTCTGGAAGAACAAGACAGATAGCTTACAATCATCTGGGGCTTCTTCAGCTGAAATTGACGAGGCAAAGAAGATGATCATTCTTTATGACTCTCTTCAACTTGCGCACAAGGTCATTTTGAACAGTTTCTACGGTTATGTAATGCGAAAGGGTTCTCGGTGGTACTCTATGGAGATGGCCGGTGTTACTTGTCTAACAGGTGCGCATATCATTCAAATGGCCAGAGAGCTTGTTGAGCGTATCGGCCGACCCCTTGAACTGGACACCGACGGAATTTGGTGTATGCTTCCAGGAGGCTTCCCTGAGAATTTCTCCTTCACTTTGAAAAACGGGAAAAAGATGACTATCTCTTACCCTTGTGTCATGCTTAACCATCTCGTTCATGCGAGATACACCAACCACCAATATCAGGCTCTTGTCGATCCGAAGACCTTCAAGTATGAGACTCACAGTGAAAACTCCATTTTCTTCGAAGTGGATGGGCCTTACCGAGCAATGATCCTGCCAACTTCGAAGGAGGAAGACAAAAACTTGAAGAAACGATATGCAGTCTTCAACCATGACGGCTCCCTAGCAGAATTGAAGGGTTTCGAAGTCAAGCGAAGAGGAGAGTTGAAGTTGATCAAGATCTTCCAGACTCAAATCTTCAAGTTCTTCCTGGAGGGTACCAATCTCGCCGAGACCTATGCCGCTGTGGCTCGAGTTGCGGATCGGTGGTTGGACGTTCTGTACGAGCGCGGAACCACCCTGGCGGATGAAGAGCTTATCGATCTTATTTCGGAGAATCGAAGCATGGCCAAGACGCTTGAAGAGTACGGATCTCAAAAGTCCACATCGATCACGACGGCAAGACGTCTAGCAGAATTCTTGGGCGAACAAATGGTCAAAGATAAGGGTCTCAACTGCAAATACATTATTTCCTCGAGGCCACGGAACACACCTGTCACTGAAAGAGCTATACCCGTCGCTATCTTCTCAGCCGAAGATAACGTCAAGCGTTTCTTCTTACGCAAATGGTTGAAGGAGGATCCCGGCGATATGGACCCTCGAACCGTCATTGACTGGGACTATTACCTGGAGCGTCTGGGATCCGTGGTGCAGAAACTGATCACCATTCCAGCTGCACTTCAAAAGCTTCGCAACCCAGTACCCCGTGTTGCCCACCCCGACTGGTTGCAGCGTCGGATCAACACCAAAGATGACAAATTCAAGCAAAAGAAGATGACCGATCTATTCACCAAGTCAGACAAGGCACCACTTTCCTCGATATCTGGCAATATTCTAGATCATCGTGTTCAGCATACTGGTGACCTGGATGAGGCGATTGCGAGCTCTACTCAGAAGCTGAAGTCCCCCAGCAGCAATAAGGTTTCCCAAAAGCGAAAGCATCCCGAGAACGCCTCCAAGACGGCTTTGGACCCCTTTGCTAGCCTTCCAGCGGTCATGCCATCCATCACAGAAGACTACCAAGGATTCCTGAAGTATCAAAAGCAAAAATGGAAGATCCAGAAGCAAGCTCGGGTTCGCCGCCGTCAACTGTTTGGCGAGCGAACTAATGTTGCCTCGGATTCTCTGAGCAACTTCTTCCGCAATCAAGCTCAATTGCTATACATTAGCACATGGCAGATCTTGCAGCTTTGCGAGACCGGCGTCCCAGGAGTTGTACGAGCTTTCGTGCTGATCGACCAAAAGATCCACGCTCTCAGTGTTAGAGTTCCACGGCAGTTCTTTGTGAACCTGAAGCGAGAGTCCCTGCCTGACGTGGATGTACCGGACTGTGATGTCGAGAAAGTGAACCACACTCTACCAAATGGCCATCCCTCGGTCCACTTGTTCAAGCTGTCTTTGTCAGAAGAGAAATATCTGGAAGAAGCTGACAAGATGGATGTTCTCTTCCAACACCCTAGTATCGAGGGTGTTTACGAGGGAAATATCCCGCTCAGCATTCGGGCGGTGCTCAAGTTAGGAAGCCACTGTACTTTCGATGAAGAGCAGCGTGGTGTACTTGGTGAAGGATTGGACAAGGGCTTTGATCTTTCCACCCTGCTCCACGCATCTTCAGACCAGCCATATCTGATGGACTCGTCACTGATATTCCATTACCTGTACCACATTGTTTCAGGCGATAGACAAAGCTTTGCGCTCTTCTCGACGGCAAAGAACGAGGCCAACATTATCATTCTCAACCGCACGAGGGATGTCCAGGGTCTTCCAAACGTTGATAAGGTGTACACCGAGTTCCTAACTCGCAAGATGCAAGCTGGATCGGGCGATGACTCGCAGGACGCGTTCGAATACCAGGACAGGATTCATTTTAAGACCACCCAGGTGATGACGCGAAGAAAGGCCCACCTTGAGGTTGGTGACCTGGTGAGAAAACTCCGAAACGACGAGAGCCGGCCCGCCGTTCTTGTGATCCAATCCCAGCAGAAGGACCGCCTATGCCACGACATCCCAATCTTGAAGGAGTACCCAGTCTTATCCGTGAAGCCTGAGCCGTCGGACATGGAACTTCCGCCTCTCGGCTGGCAAGCATTTGTAGCCAGGCGTATCGTCACTCGTTACTTGTACTTGTCTTCCTGGATTCAACATTTGACCGGTCTTGCTCGATACGGTGATGTTCCACTTTGCAACTTGGAAAGTGACGATCCTCGCTACCTCATAGATGTTGCCTATGCCAGAAGGCTCCAGCAAAACAATGTTGTTCTCTGGTGGTCTCCTGGTCCACGTCCTGATCATGCAGGCTACGAAAGAGATGATATTCTCGGCTCCCTGGACAAGGTCAACATGCCATCAGTCAACGTACCCAATGCTTACTCGACTGTTTGCATCGAGCTGGAAGTTCGTAACCTTTCCATCAACACGATCTTGACTTCTTCTATCATCCACGAGATGGAAGGCAGTGACACGTTGCTAGCTCCTTCCGGTGATGCCGATGATACGGGTGTTTTCTATTCCGAGAAAGCATTTGCTTCCGCTGGTGTCGTTGTTCTTCGAGAGATGGTCAAACACTGGTGGACAGAGGCTTGCGCAGGAAACAGTATGGCTGATGTCATGGTCTCGCATTTGATTCGATGGGTGGAAAGCCCCATGTCCTGTCTCTATGATCGGTCTTTGCACAATTATGTCAGATTGCTGTCGCGAAAGTCATTCCAGAGACTCATGGCGGAGTTCAGACGTGTTGGTTCGCATGTCGTATTTGCCAGTCCTACACGTCTTCTACTCCAAACGACGAAGACTGAGGTTGGCAATGCCTACGCCTACAGTCAGTATGTCCTGAAATCGATCCGCGCCAATCCTTCATTCCACTTCATCGATCTGGAGATCAAGGAGTACTGGGATTACCTCGTATGGTACGACGAATATAACTACGGAGGCAAGGGCTGTCGGGAGGTCACCGAATCCGACGAACAGAATCTTGAGACGGTGATGCACTGGCAGCTGAGTCGATTCCTGCCAATGCCCATGCAAACCATCTTCCACGACTGGGTGGTCGAGTACATCGAACTAATGCACGCCTTGAAAAGACCTGAGGTCCAGGATGGCGAGATTTCCTCGACGCCTCGTCCGACGCAGATTCCCATTGGACGAAACAACGAAGCAGACAATGAGGAGGTCACTGCCGTTCTCGCAGATCGATTCTCAAAGCCGCTGAAGAAGCAAATCTCGGGTCTGATCCGTAGACAGCGTGACGAAATGCTGCATCCCGAGCTTGCATCCGACTATGCCTTCCCCGTATTGCCTGGTGTCTTGGTCAATACCGAAGACGACAAGCGCAACCCATCATTGGAGTTGACAAAACTTCTTATGCAAGTTTTGAGTCTGTCCAAGACTACAACCCTGGAATCTCGGTTGTTGCGCCGCGAGCTCCTGGCACTGTTTGAAGTCCGAGAATTCAGCAAGGAGGGTCGATTCGAGAATCCCAGTGCTAGCCTGAAACTTCCCGAAATGAGCTGCAATTCTTGCTGTCTTATTCGAGACCTTGACCTTTGTCGCGACGAAGATGTGCTGCCCGATGTCGACTCGGATGCCACCACTACCTCCAAGCCTTGGAAGTGTCCCTTCTGCCACGCCGATTACGACCGGCTGGCACAGGAAGAGCTTCTCATCGGGCAAGTCCATGGTCTTGTTGTTGAATGGCAGACGCAGGATCTCAAGTGTTCCAAGTGTGGCGGCCTGAAGGTCAGTGATTTCATGGAACACTGCTCTTGCAGTGGCACCTGGGCAGCATCTCTCGATCGTACCGAGATTGAGAAGAAATTACGAGTGTTGGAGAGTGTGGCCAAATTCCACAAGCTGCAATTGTTAGAGAACGTTGTCGTGGATGTATTGGTGAGGTTCTGATGTGTTTGGATATCTGTTTCTGTATGGGGAGTACTGGGTCGGAGGATTTGTGGCATTGGGCAGGAGTTGTGTATACAAGTTAGCATTCAATAGTTAATGGCGCCGTTGGCGATCCGTCGATCTATTTCTTTATATTCCCTCCCGCCTCTTTGTTCGGTGTCTAGCCCTCTCCCCCAGCGATCCCCAGCGATCTCCAGCGTTCTCCAGCGTTCTCGAACTTCAACCCCGCAGTGTCTCGGTCGGACTCAGAAAACCAAAAAAAACCAACACATCGATCAACTGAATTCCCCTCGAGTGGTTGCATCCTTTTGTGCGTATTCCCGACTGTTTCACCTTGGCGGGGCTGAGCCGCATCTTGCGGGCAACGTGTGGCATTTCCAGCGTAAGGCTGACTTGAATTTGTGACCACAGGAACATATCGAACGAACATATATATCGCATTACCTCCCCGAAACGAATCCCCTTAGCGCCCGGCCCAGTCTGCAGCTCGTTGCGTCTACCTCCTCGATCCTCCCCTCTGTGTTATCGCAGGTTCTCCCCATGGCGGCACCACCTCCGAAACCGAAGGTCCAACCGTGCCGATACAAAACCGGCAAGACACTCGGCGCTGGATCGTACTCCGTCGTCAAGGAATGCGTGCATATAGATACTGGTCGCTACTATGCGGCCAAGGTCATCAACAAGCGTTTGATGTCTGGGCGGGAGCACATGGTATGTGTTGGAACTGCGGCCGGCACCACTGCATGCTGATGGACTGACTGAAACAGGTCCGGAACGAGATCGCTGTCTTGAAGAAGGTGTCTATGGGCCACCAGAATATCCTCACGCTGGTCGACTACTTTGAGACCATGAACAACCGTGCGTTGCCTGTCGGTGTGGTGTATACCGTCTGTCTCTGATGACCACTGACCACTATTGCTCTCTAGTGTACTTGGTGACTGATCTCGCCCTGGGCGGGGAACTCTTTGATCGCATCTGCCGCAAAGGCAGCTATTATGAGTCGGACGCTGCCGATTTGATTCGCGCAGTGCTTTCCGCTGTGGCATATCTGCATGACCACGGAATCGTGCATCGAGACTTGAAGCCCGAGAATTTGCTCTTCCGCACACCAGAAGACAATGCCGATCTATTGATCGCTGATTTCGGATTGTCAAGAATCATGGACGAGGAGCAGTTCCACGTCCTGACAACAACCTGCGGAACGCCAGGATACATGGCCCCGGAGATCTTCAAAAAAAGCGGCCACGGCAAGCCAGTGTGAGTCCCACGCCCCGTACATGCCATACCATACATTGATAGTAAACACCCTCCATATCTGACAAACTCCAGCGACATCTGGGCCATTGGTGTAATCACCTACTTCCTACTATGCGGCTACACCCCCTTCGACCGCGACTCAAACCTGGAAGAAATGCAAGCAATCCTAGCAGCAGACTACTCCTTCACGCCGCTGGAGTACTGGCGCGGCGTATCGCAAGAAGCGCGCACCTTCATCAACCGCTGCCTAACAATCAACCCCCAATCGCGAATGACCGCCCACGAAGCCCTCCAGCACCCATGGGTCAACCCGCCTTATGACAACGCCAAGATCGGCTCGGGCGAGGACCTCCTGCCGACCGTCAAGAAGAACTTCAATGCGCGGCGCACGCTGCACCGCGCTATCGATACCGTGCGTGCTATCAACAAGCTCCGCGAGGGTGGTGGGTTCATGATGGACGGTGTTATGAGTGTTGATCCTAAGCCTGAGCGAGTGAATGGGGACGAGATTATTGAGGAGGAGAAGCATGCTGCGCCGGCGCAGTCGGCTGCGGATCATGCTTCTGCTGGGCAGATAGATAGTCGGGGCAATGCTCGTGGGCAGACCGAGGAGCAGATTCGGGCTCAGGAGCGTAGGGTTAAGGAGATGGTTGCTGGGTTGTGGAGTCGGACTCCCCGTTAAATCATACCCTTTTCTATTTTGCATTTGCATATCCCATGTCTCTGTTTCAATTGTGATTGTATTGCGTCTGGTCAGAGTGAATGTTGGTGACTCTTGTCTAGTATGGGGCATTTTCACTTTTTCTGGCCTATATAACTACGCGGGCCTCTAATGGGATACAAGGCTCACTCCTACGGAGTGGCAGTACCGGAGGAGGTGGTATCTATATTCTTGTAGTACGGAGTACTAGCCGCTATTTAACTACACATGTTATGAATCATTATGATTATAAAGGATCACGCTATAATTAAACAAACTGAATGATAAAGAGGAATATACTAAGTGTAGTGTTGGTGGGTGCGAATCGAGATTTCATTGTATTCACTAGGCTCCATATTGGTGATCTTAAGTACGCTACTGCTATCCCATAAGAAACTTATCCGGAAACCTCTGGACCAAAGCCGGCCATAGAAGTACTGTAGTATCACCATAATCATTATCAATGGTCTCACGCATGCTAGAAATGTAGGACAAAAGCAACGCGATCTAGAATGGAAACTGAATCAAGCCAAGCCTGCCAGGGTTTCCGCTCCATCGTCCAGAGACAGAACCCAGTCCCGCCATGCCTGCCACTCAGCATAATCCGCACTCGCCTTGAGGCCCTGATACCTGATAGTGCGGAACTCCGAAACTTGGTCCCAAGGTTTGGCAGCGCTGGAATTCCCGCCTGCCGCGCCTCGTAGTAGTCTCCTAGCGGCACTGCCACTCCCACCACCACCGTCCCATCCTGCCTTGCGCATCAGGCTCTCGACGGTCTCTTCCTTCGTCCAGCCTTGCTCGACGGCAACGTCGGGGAGATAGGTGGCGCCGTAGCGACGGCCGCGGTGAATGAAGGAGATACGCAGACCGTGGGTGCCTAAACTCCAGTCCAGGGCGTCTGTGCAGGGTTCAAAGGATCCTAGGAGAGTGAGAGAACATGATAGCGAGGCGAGGAGAGATTTGGGGATAGGAGAGAAACGTGTGTCGTCAAAGGCCCTGCAAGAAAGGAACATTAAAAATTAGCTGGTCTGGTATACTGTGGCTGTATGTTTTCATGTATATAAAAGCAAGGATTGGGAAGTACATACGAGGTCAAAGCGTAGGACTTCAGCCCTTTTGCCAGCTCCTGTCCCTCGAATGTGCCTATGCAACCCCGCAGAGACTTGTGTCCACTTCGTGACATGGTATTCCATGTGACGAACAAGGGGTACCGCTGATCGGGAGATATCAGCTGGGATGGGGTCTCGGCCAGCCCGGGTGAGGTGATGTTTGTTGAGGTTGAGCCAAGCGAATTGGTAGACGTGTTGGAAGCCGATGACGGCGTAGTAGCTGCACTGGATGTGACAGAGCATTGGCTCTGAAGGCGGCTGACGCTTGGGAGTTTCAGCTTGTTGGGACGACTACTCGTCAGGGAGGATTGTTGGGCATCATCTTCGTCCTCTTCATTTACAGACTGCTGTCGGTCTGCCTCTTGTTCTGTTTGATCTTGCAGACTCGACAGCTTCTTAGTTTGCTCATGTTGCTCCCAGAGGGCTTCTACGGCTGCCAACGTGGCTGGCTCGCGGCCCTCGAATGAAGCAAGCAGGGATTCAAAGCAGTAATAACACTGCGCTGTATTCGCCATGTCGACCAGGCTCTCACGGCCAAAAGCTCAAATGATGCACTGCACTGCTTCAGATCCTGACTGTAAATGACCTCAATGTCCTGATAAGAGATATGCCCTTATCGATAGAGGGGGCGAATACAGGCTTGAAGGCGAATTCGAGGGTGTCTGTAAAGAACTGAAAGCAGTGCAGTAATGACTCAAGAGTCGCCTGTAAACAGGCTTGGAAGAAGATACAACAGCAGGAAAGGAATTGAAGAGAACCTTGGGACGTCGGGAAAGAGGGGGGACCACACGTGATCCCAGATAACGTGAGCTACGTGGGGGAAGTATGAAGTCTACAGTAGGATCAGAATGAAGAAATCGTCCGTGAATTGTATAAATTCTTGTGTTGAGAACAAAGTTGTAAAATATACATAGGACGCCCATTAAATGTTGAACTTTTCCCGTAGAAATATGAGCCCGCTGTTGAAATAGTGCGGTTGCTCACCCGCCAAAAAGCATTGCTCGTCATGCATAAAATAACATTCCCAATATCCCAATGACCCGCGTCAGGTTGAAAAAAGCAGTCCGGTATTAAACCCCTTAAAACGCACTCATGTAGTTTTTCTTTTCTGTACGAAATGATGTTGAACTCGCGGGACCTGAGTCAGGTCCCTCTTTCTTTCTTCACCATACTCTCTTTGCGTCTGATTTAGACGGGAAGAGGGTAGGTGCTGGCCCACTCAGCAACCTCCTTGCGGAGAGCCAGGATCTCAGGGATGCTGTCGGAGTTGGCAACCTTGGCCTTGAAGTCCTTCTGCTTGTTGGCCTCCTTAGGGAGCTCGCTCTGGATCTTCTTGGACAGAGCAATGGCCTGGTCAATGTAGCGGGCAATACGCTTGAAGTCCTCCTCACCCATACCACGGGAAGACATGGCGGGGGCACCAATACGGATACCACCGGGGGTGAGGGCAGACTTATCACCGGGGACGGAGTTCTTGTTGCAAGCAATGTTGATCTGCTCAAGAACGGCCTCGATACGGGCACCGTCGATGCTCTCGGGGCGGAGGTCAACAAGGACCATGTGGCTGTCAGTGCCGCCGGAGACGAGCTTGTGGCCCAGAACCTTGAACTCCTCCTCGAGGGCCTTAGCGTTCTTGATAACCTGCTCCTGGTACTGCTTGAACTCAGGAGTGTCGACCTGCTTGAGGGCAACAGCCAGAGCGGTGATGGTGTGGTTGTGGGGACCACCCTGGTGACCGGGGAAGACGGAGAAGTTGATGGGGTTCTCAAGGTCGTACATGATGTCCTTGCCGGTCTTGTCGGTGCTGCGGACACCCTTGCGGAAGAAAATCATGGCACCACGGGGGCCACGGAGAGACTTGTGGGTGGTGGTGGTCACGACATCGGCGTACTCGAAGGGAGAGGGGATGACACCGGCGGCGATCAGACCAGAGATGTGAGCCATGTCGACAATGAGGTAGGCACCGACCTTGTCGGCAATCTGGCGCATGCGCTTGTAGTCAATGAGACGGCAGTAGGCGGAGGTACCGGCAACCAAGCACTTGGGGCGGTACATCTCGGCGTTGCGCTCGAGCTCGTCATAGTCGATGATACCGGTCTCGAGGTTGACACGGTAGGGGAAGGTCTCGAAATAGGTAGAGACAGCGGAGATCTTCTTGGTGGCGGTCTGGTAACCGTGGGACAAGTGACCACCGTGGGGGAGGTCCAAGCCCATCAGGCGCTCGTGGGGACGCATGAGAGCCTGGTAGACCTGGAGGTTGGCAGGGCTACCGGAAAGGCACTGGACGTTGACGCCCCACTTGGCGGAGTCAAGGTTGAAAGCCTTGAGGGCACGCTGCTGGCAGGTGATCTCAATAGCGTCAATGTGCTGGTTGCCACCGTAGTAACGAGCACCGGGGTAACCCTCGGAGTACTTGTTGCACATGGGCGAGCCAAGAGCATCAAAGACAGCACGGGAGGTGAAGTTCTCCGAGGCGATCAGGACGACCGACTCACGCTGACGTTGGATTTCCTTCTCCTGCAAGAGTAGGAGCATTAGCAAAAGCAAATTCCATTATAGAAGATGCAATTGAAGGTGACAATTGCCTCAGAAAGAGTTCAAACGTACCATGATCGCAGCGATCTCGGGGTCACTGGACACGAGGGAGTTGTGCATTTGCTGTAAAAATGATGAGTCAATGATCTATACCAGACCTGGGGGCAGGTGGAATTGAAGAGACTTACACCCTTGTGGGCCTCAGACAGAGCGTAAGACATGATGAAGGTAAATATGTCTGTTTTCTTGATTGATGAAAAACAGAAGGGAGGATGAAGAAGAGGAAGAGAAAAAAAGAAATGGGAGTGGTGGGGGAGGGGTGATCTGCCGTTTGCCTCAGGCCACCAAAGTTAAAGAGACGATATCGGAGACCGGCAGGCCGAATTAGGTGAATTAGGTCATCCGATTGGAAATTCTTAGGTTCTCAGGTTAAGGCGATATATGCGTCTTTTTTGCTTGCAATTGGGATGTATTGGAATAATCATGACTTGATTGCTAAAATAAAAACCCGGGTATTCCTTTTATAAACATCCAACACCATAAATGATCCCGAAACTCGCTCAGCCTTCCCATTATAGCCTGCTTTTCCTGTGTAGTTTTGAGGTTCTATAGCTCTGCTATTAGGTCCTGATGCCCCCATTTGGCATTCCTGCGCGGTCCCCAAAGTCTGAGATGACAGAGCGTAAGCGTGCCACACGGTCCTCAAGCTCTGCAATCTCTTTTTGTTGCTCCTCAACAGACCGTTCCACGTCTGGCAGTCCCTCGACGACTGTGCGCGCCTTCTGGATTCGAATCCGGACAGAGCTGGTTTCAGTAGGAAGATCTTTCACATCGAGTGGTGGATGAGTGGCTGGGTCAAGGACTGGTACATCGTGTGATGCAGTGCCATTGTTTGCCTGCTGGGCTGCCTGGTTGGTCTCGGCAGAAGCTCCTGGAGCTCCTGTGGTGTCTCCGGGTGCGCCCGATGTGCCGTTTGATGTGTTCTTTTGAGAGAGCAAGCGAACGAGGATCCCATATAGCGGCGGGATGATCTCAAAGGTCTGTGGTGAGGGAAAGGGTACGGTCTGGGGTGAGGCTGGCGCGTTGAAGGGCGTCTCGGGCGCGACTGAGGATTTGGGCAGTGGAGTGCCCGCTGTTGGGGATCGAGAAGCCATTGCGGGATCTTTGACTAAAGGAACCCGAGGATATTGAAGAACGATGTGATCCCGGGGTAAGTCATTAGGGAAGAGTCGGAACGCGGAGTGACGTCGGGGAAGAACCAAAAGCGTCACCGGGAATGCCCCTCCTCAACCGGCCTTTTTTTACGCTTGTCTCCTATTCTCTTTCTCCTCTCATCATCTGTCTGTTGGTAAGCAATTTGGCATTATTACCCGTATAGGGTTATTATATCCTTGCAAGACAATTAATCGGTGTTTATAGGTGATTCAGACACATACAACCCCACCATGGCTTCGGTCGACCAGAAAGTTGCTTTGAGTAAGATCGACTATCCCCCAGGTCCCCAAATCAAACACTAATGTCATGCAGTTGTCATTGATGGCTGGGGTATCGCGGGCCCCAACTCCCCACCTCAGGGTGATGCCATCGCCGCCGCCGAGACCCCGTTCATGTCTGGCTTCTCCGAGCCCAACTCCAAGACCGCCCAGGGCTTCTCCGAGCTGGATGCCTCGTCTCTTGCTGTCGGTCTGCCCGAGGGCCTGATGGGCAACAGTGAGGTCGGTCACCTGAACATTGGTGCCGGCCGTGTTGTCTGGCAGGACAGTGTTCGCATTGACCAGACCCTCAAGAAGGGTGAGATGGGCAAGGTTCCCAACATTGCCAAGGCCTTCACTCGTGCGAAGGAGGGCAATGGGCGTCTGCACCTGTGCGGTCTGGTCTCGGACGGTGGTGTTCACTCCAACATCACTCACCTTTTCTCCCTGCTCGAGGTCGCCAAGGAAATGCAGATTCCCCAGGTTTTCATCCACTTCTTCGGTGATGGACGTGATACCGACCCCAAGAGTGCCGACAAGTACATGCAGCAGCTTCTTGAAAAGACCCAGGAGCTCGGCACTGGTGCTATCGCCACCGTTGTTGGCCGCTACTACATCATGGACCGCGACAAGCGCTGGGAGCGTGTTGAGGTTGGCCTGAAGGGTCTGGTCACTGGTGAGGGTGAGGACAGCGAGGATCCTCTGAAGACCATCAAGGAGCGCTACGAGAAGGGCGAGAACGACGAGTTCCTGAAGCCCATCATTGTTGGTGGCAAGGAGCGCCGTGTCCAGGGTACGTTCAAGCTAAACACATGAGTCCAGCTCGTGATATTAACTGAGCCATAACAGACGACGACACCGTCTTCTTCTTCAACTACCGTTCGGATCGTGTCCGTGAGATCACTCAGCTCCTGGGTGACTACGACCGCTCCCCTCGCCCCGACTTCCCCTACCCCAAGAACATCTCCCTCACCACTATGACCCAGTACAAGACCGACTACACTTTTGATGTTGCCTTCCCCCCCGCAACACATGGGTAACGTCCTGTCCGAGTGGCTCGGCAAGAAGAACCTCCAGCAGTGTCACATTGCTGAGACTGAGAAGTACGCTCATGTCACTTTCTTCTTCAACGGTGGCGTTGAGAAGCAGTTCCCAGGTGAGGTTCGCGACATGATCCCCTCGCCCCGGGTTGCTACCTATGATCTTGACCCTAAGATGAGCGCCGCTGCCGTCGGTACCAAGATGGCTGAGCGCCTTGGCGAGAAGAAGTTTGACTTCGTCATGAACAACTTCGCTCCTCCTGACATGGTTGGCCACACCGGTGTGTACGAGGCCGCCATCCAGGGTGTTGCTGCCACCGACAAGGCCATCGGTGAGATCTACGAGGCCTGCAAGAAGAACAACTACGTTCTCTTCATCACCGCCGATCACGGGTAAGTTGTTCCACCTAGTTCGATATCATGGGAATTCCTAGTTAACCCAAATTCACAGAAACGCCGAGGAGATGCTCAACGAGAAGGGCACCCCCAAGACCTCCCACACTCTCAACAAGGTTCCCTTCGTTATGGCCAACGCCCCTGAGAGCTGGAGCCTGAAGAAGGGCGGTGTTCTGGGCGATGTTGCCCCCACCGTTCTCGCTGCGATGGGCATTGAACAGCCCGAGGAGATGTCTGGCGAGAACCTGCTGGTCAAGTCCTAGATACTAATTCTCGCACATAAACGTTGATTATGATACAATGAATAGAAACCAGTTCTGTCAATATAAACTGTATTGCTTTTTATTTAAGAATTGAGTAGAGTTCTTCGGAGTAATCGACCCAACCCTCAACGTGGTGCAATTCGTCATCCGCTGGTCTCTTTGGTAGTATTGCAATGAAATTTTGATGGGTATATCTTCAACCTAATCCATGGCCATTCTGGTGTCGAGCACCTATACAGATCACATTTCCTCGGATACTATGGTATCCCAATTCATGAAAACTTAGCGTTCAACGTCCATGCACAGTTTCCGGTCTCTCGTTGAATCAAGATAGATCACAGCTGCGAATTGTGGGCGCTAAAACGCAGTTGAACTGGTTGGACTTTAGTCCCATCTGGCGCCAGCTTCGTGGTGCACCCACCCACTTATCGCATCTCCTGGTGACATCTCCGTTACTTCTGGATACTGCTATTTCGAGCTCAAGCAGAAGCCTGAGCAGCAGCCTGCTGCTGCTGCTGAATCTGACTCTGGAATTGCATGATCTGGAGGGGAATGTCAAAATATGTCCATGTTGGAGAGGGTGATAATGCGCCTTACCTCTGCACGCTTGGCCTCGCTCTTGTCCTGTGTTGCATCGATCTCGCCCTCAATTCGCTTGCTATAGTTTCACAATAAGCGTCCATATTTGCCGGTTCGCAGCGGTGAGACTAACATTTCCTTCTCAATAAACTCCAGTCGACCGTTGACGGCCATGGTTGCTTCGGTCTTGTCCTGCTTCAGCAGCACCGGGCCGACAAGCTTGAAAATGTTGGATTCATCATCCAGCTGAGCAAACTCGCTCTGCACACCCTGGTTCTCCTGCTGCTGCGATTCAAGTTTCTGGCGGGCATCGACCAAGCCCTCGAGCTCTGCGCGGGGGACAAGTCAGTGGCTGCCACCGGAAATAGCAAATAGACAAGTAGACAAACCGGTCTGCATGCCCTGGAACTCTTCCGTGAGCGCCTGAAGCTGTTTCTGGGGGTCCATGGTGAAGTTGGAGGTGAAGTGGGAGGAGGGAAAATCAATCGACCTGCCCGCCCGTAAACAACTTCCACTCTCCCTTTCCCCTCCAATTCCATCCAACCGACTGTTCTTGCGCCGATACTCGCTTTCGATTTCCTTCTTCCTTACTGGATTTCTAGTATTCCCTACTCGCACGTCTCTGCCTATCCTTCTAGCCTTCGCCCAGTGCCCACGAGACCCTTGCTCCCCTCTTTCTCTCCCCGCTTTAGCACGTCTGCCTCCGCGGTTCACTTGCCTCTCCGAACTCACCAAACTCGTCGACGCTTTGCCATCATGAGTAATACCGACTTCTTGGGGCGGGCGATCGATACAGTCAAGAAGGCAATCGAGAATGATAATGATGGCGAGTACGAAAAGGCTTATCAGATGTACTACTCCGCACTGGAGTTGTTCATGCTGGCCTTGAAATGGGAGAAGAACCCCAAGTCCAAGGAGATGATCCGCGCAAAGGCTGGCGAGTACATGGATCGTGCAGAGAAGCTTAAGAACCACTTGGCCGAGGATCGGAAAAAACCAAGCGCTGTTGGCGCAAATGGCAAGGTGGCGCAAGGTAGTGGGAAGGGAGGGTATGTATCGACCTCATTTGACTGGGCTCAACCCTGCTCTGTCGGTTCAATTATTGTGTCTTAGCAAGGCTGGCAATTGAGCTCTCTCCTTGTTCATCCGCTGACGGTAGTGGTCCAAACAGAAAGGAAGATGACGATAATGGCGAGGATGCGGAATCGAAAAAGCTCCGGTCAGCACTTCAAGGCGCTATCCTGTCCGACAAGCCAAACGTGAAATGGGAGGATGTTGCTGGTCTGGAAAATGCAAAGGAAGCACTGAAGGAAGCTGTCATTCTTCCTATCAAGTTTCCGCACCTGTTCACTGGCAAGCGGCAACCCTGGAAGGGTATCTTGCTTTATGGCCCCCCTGGTACTGGAAAGTCCTATCTTGCCAAAGCCGTTGCAACGGAAGCAAACAGCACATTTTTCAGTGTCAGCAGTAGTGACCTGGTATCAAAGTGGATGGGAGAGAGTGAAAGGTAGGCGATCATGTTTTCCCGCCCAGTACTGAAGTTATGCATACTAACTCGCGTCCAGACTTGTCAAGCAGCTTTTTAATATGGCCCGCGAAAACAAGCCCGCAATTATCTTCATTGACGAGGTTGATGCTCTTTGCGGACCTCGTGGCGAAGGAGAGTCCGAGGCATCTCGACGTATCAAAACCGAGTTGCTTGTACAGATGGACGGTGTCGGCAAAGACTCAAAGGGCGTCCTGATTCTGGGCGCAACTAATATTCCTTGGCAACTCGATGCTGCCATCCGGCGACGATTCCAGCGAAGAGTACACATCAGTCTGCCCGACGTCAACGCACGAATGAAGATGTTCATGCTGGCTGTGGGCTCCACGCCGTGCCAAATGACTCAGGCCGATTACCGCCAACTAGCCGATCTGAGCGAGGGCTACTCCGGTAGTGATATCAGTATCGCCGTGCAAGACGCATTGATGCAGCCAATTCGTAAAATCCAAGGAGCGACACATTATAAGAAGGTCCATTTTCACTTCTCATCTCAATCTACAATTCGTGACTAACCCCTTTCGTTATAGGTTCTGGTCGAAGGCGCAGAGAAAGTCACCCCCTGCTCACCAGGAGACTCAGGCGCAATGGAGATGAGCTGGCTCAACATTGATGCAGAGCAGCTCCTGGAGCCCCCACTCGTCCTGAAGGACTTCATCAAGGCGGTTAAAAACTCCAGACCAACCGTCAGCGGAGAAGATCTCACAAGGAACTCCGAATGGACCCAAGAATTCGGCAGCGAAGGTGCCTAATCGTGCCTTGTCAGATGATATGAATATTCCCATCATGGTATCGACAGCTTGAGAATTTCCACCCAGGTAACTGTCATGGAACCCAGGATGGAAGTTAAATACTGTACTTCATTTCTTGTCTGTGCCCATATTCTCTCCGTCCCGGTTCTGCGTTTCTTCCTTTTTCTTTATTTCTTGCTTTCTGTCCTGTCAATGCTTGCTTCATCTCGGATTCCTGTGGCTTTGGGGCGGTGTCTCCGAAGAGTTTGGTGTTTAGAAGCGTTTATTCACTTTTGGCAACGGCGTGGCGTTGTTTGAGCAAACATTTCATCTGTCTTTTTCCACGGGCCTTCCCATAACAAAGAGCGCGAGAGTGATGCATACGCCCTTCGAAGGCTAAAAAACGTTAAATGGTTGTTTGTCGCTATGTACACCATCGGCTACTGGTTACCATAGCTAGCTATGGGTTTTGATATGGCACGAGCATACTACTTCAAAATTGTAAAGCCCTTGTGCGTTCGTATGCAGGTATAGACAATGCCAATTGAGGCTCAATTTCTGTACTGACAGACGCAACTAAGAATACTCCTACTCGGGTCATCTGATTCATCGTCAGGATGACTATGCACAAATAGTCAACAAGCAAATGCAAAGCCAGCCCTAAAACGCCCCAATCCTGAAAATATCGAAAGAGGAGGAAGCCAGAAGTTGAAGAAAAGAAAAAGAAAAACCTGCTATACTTGCAAGACATGTCGGGGGAATCTCTGGCAAAAGATCGACGCTGGAAGAACAAAAGACAAAAATCACAACAGGATGCAAAACACAAAGATCTCAGAGGATTCATTGCCCAAGTAAACTCTTGTTCGAGCCATCCCGACGCTTAAGCATTTCGGTCTTGGCCCGCTTCAAGCCCTCGCCTAGCTTCTTGGTTCGTTTCCAATCACTGCTCATCTTTTGCATGCGGACAGTAGCTCTCACTAGGGAAATGGCAGTTCTGAATTTGTGGCGTGGAGTGCGAGTAGGAGTACGGTCACGGGCTTGTACACCCATCTCGGAGATCATGCGTAGATCGGCGTCGTTGCTGTGAATAACATGTTAGCTATGTGGGTAGAAATAATTTGGATAAATGGGGCCACGAACCATGCCACCCGAACACGTTCACCGAGTTCCATCAGGCCCTTACTCCAGGCTAAATCACGTCGGAACTTTTCCTCCCGCTGTAGGCGAGCACGGAGCCAAATGATCTCCTTGCCTAGGCCGCGCATCTCCTTCTCATGCTTGGTCTTGTTGCTTGACTTGAGGTGAGTGTTTTTCGCTAGGACTTCCTCATGACGCTGTTGTAACACATTGAGGTTGTTAGTTGCAGCTTCGGCCTCTCGTCTGTGAGCATCTCGTTCCTCGCGAATGCGAAGAACATGTTTCTTCAGTTCGTTGAGGCGTCCTTCCCGTTCAGAAAGCTTCAGAGCTAGCGATTCGGCTTCGAGGGTAGAAGACCTGAGCAGCTCATGGAAGTCCTTTTGGTCCTCTTCTTTCATTGCAGCGCGCTCCAGTTCACGATTCTTGGCAGTCGCTTTCTGGAGAGACCGGTGCGCTTCAGCCACTTGCTTTCGCAGAGTACGTAACTCGTCATGAAGTTTGTTGGAGGGTGAGTTATGCGGGGAGTTTGAATCGAATTTGTTCATCATCGCCTCATGAAGATCCTTCTCCAGCTCCTCAATTCGTGACTTGTAGCTTTGTACAGAAGACTTTTGCTTGGATTCACGCTGAAGCAGAATTTTTTCACGTTTCCGAGCCTCGTCCAGGTTGTGTCGAAGTAGAGAGAGATCTCCATGTGCACCGGATTGCTCATTATCTACCATGGGCGACTGCTCGATCATGGCTTCCAGTTCCTGAACCCGACGTTCCAGGCGCTGTACCTTGGTCTTTGCTGTAGTGAGTTCACGATCCCGATTGCCCGAGCCTGCAAGCAGTTTGTCTTGGAGACGATCGATCTCAGCAGAAAAACGGCCCTCCTCTTCGGCGAACCTTTCACTCTCAGAAATAAGCTGGTTTTCGAGTGTTGCCTTGGCGTCTCGCAGTGCGTTGAGCTCATTTTCTAGTCTTGTCGTCGTTTTGCGTAGTTCAAGCTTATCGCGGTCAAAGCGAGTGGTGTCATCAGCATTTTGGAGTCGTTCGAGTTGTGCATGAAGCTCAGCACGCTCAGCTTCCATCTCCTCTGCGGAAGACTTTAGGTCGTAGAGCTCAACATGAGCATTCGCAAGCTCGTCGCGAAGTTTTTGTCTCTCGGCGATGGTTTTCTCCATAATTTTCTCCAGTTCGGGCATGTTGTTCTGCCGGCCCTTGGCGAGCTCTTGTTCATCTGCCAGGCTGGACTGTAGCACAACAACTTCATCTTCCAAAGCTCGCACTTTGTCCTGGAGAGCTTGCTCTTCTCGGCGAGATACCCGGACATCTTGCTTCGCCGCAAGGAGTTCGTCTTGTTTTTCGTCAAGGTCGCGTCTTGTCTTGCCGAGGTCATCTTTGAGGTCTTGAATTTGGCGATTCAGCATGGTCATTTCTTGAGCATTGCGCTTTTTCTCGGCATCAAAGGCCTCCTGCAATCTGGACTCCTTGCCAGAGTAAGAGTTGCCGGCTTCCTGAAGCCTGTCGATAGTGCGCTTCAAGTCCGCTGCTTGATCTTCTGCCCAAGATTTCTCTGATAGCAAGGTTCGCTTGTTGCTCTCCCAACGGCTTTGATCAACTGCGAAACGTCCCTCTTTCTCTTCGATCTCGTGCTGAAGGTTTTCAATCTCTTCTTGCAGTCGTTCAACTTCGACCTTGTGCTGCCAACGGGTGTTGTGTCCTTCATCCTGGGCGCGAGTAGTGGCATCCTGAACAGCCTTTTGGAGTTCGCGGATCCTGGATTGTGCTCGGTCGAGTTCGGCTTGCAGTCCTCCCGATTCGTCGGTCAGTGCACGATGGCGAGTTTGAAGAAGTTCCTTTTCGTCTGTTGCACGTTGAATTTCGTTTAGAGCCTCCTCCAGTCGAGCGGAAGTTCTCGACAAATCGAAACGGGCTTGGTCACGTTCGCGCTTGGCAGTATCAAGGTCCTGGACAAGATGTTGAGCGTTATCTTCTAGGCCATGTTGCATAGTTTGATAACGTTCTTCCAGACGAGTCGCAATGTTCGTTTTGTTCTCGAGTTCCGCACTCAGGGCATCATTTTCTTGTCGAAGATCATGTACTTCCTGCTCAAGACTTTCGGTTCGCTCCTCCATCTGCCGGCTCAATCCTTTAGTGGTAAAGGATTTGTTTGACATCTCGTCTTGCAACTCTCTCAAATTTTCTTCGGCGTGGTCCTTCGCTGCAATAGCTTCCCTTGCGACGGCGTCTGCTTCTCTTGCCTCGGACTTGACCTGGTCAAGGTTATCCTGAATATCTTGCATCTGCTCCTTGGCACGATCCAGTTCAAGCTGGAGCTCTGCGGCTGCGCCACCCTCTTTGTCGCCATTATGCTTCAAGTCCTCTAGCTCTTCTTCGCGTTCCTCAAGGAGTCGATCCTTTTCTCTCAAGCTTGCCTCCAAATCCTCGATCTCGTCTCGAAGTTTGTCGGTCTCTTGCGATTGGCTGTCCTTCACTTGTCTCAGTTCGTCGCGGGCTTCTCGGAGTTGCTTGTCGCGCGACTCGAGCTCTTCGCGCATCAGATCCATCTCACGTTGTACAGTTTCGTCAGCTTGCCTCTTCCACGCCTTCTCCTTCATTTCCATGAGCTGCACTTGATAATCCTCGAGGTCGCGCTCTGCCTGCGCTAGGCTCTTCTGGTATCGGGAGATATCGCGTTGCATGGTCATTCGCAAGACTTTGAGTTCGGTGTTCTCTTTGAGGGCGGCGTTATTGTATTCAGGGCCGGCTTTTTCTAACTGTTCCTCCATATAATGGATCTTCAGTTTCAAGTTCCAGTTGTCTTTCTGGAGTCTATCGATGGCCTGCGGAGTAGGTAACGTCAGCGTGAAGCCAGTTTTGTGAGTATAATGATAATAATATTATACCTGCACTTGCTCCTTGAGCGACATCATATTCTGACCACCACCGAGCACTCCTGCGCCGTCGCGTCCTAGTCTGGGTATCGGTGTACTTTGCGCACTACTGCTGGCAGCCTGGGGAAGCGGTGTCGCATCTTCCATCGTCCGATCCTCCTCGTAAATATCTGACATGTCCATTGGGGGTAAGCCGGGCGTGTGGGCGTTGCTTCGATAGTTCTGTCTCTGATACCCTGGGGTTCTCGGATCGTCCGTTCCTCGCGCCGCAGACATTGACTTCAGGAAGTTGTTCTTTGTCGCGCTCTTCATCAATGGGGTGAATTCTCCTTTCTCAGGGCCTGCTGCTGGGAGATGCCGTAACGCGCTTCTCGCCTTGGAAGCGCCCGCACGCGGAGTGACGCGTTTGTCGAAGCCCTTTATCACATCGTTGTCCTTTGACGGTGTATGGAATGAGTTTTCGACTGAGTCCAATGCCGACAAATGAGTTCGCCCCACGCTGCGAAACCCGTTGGTAAGGTAAGTCGCGTTGCCGTCAATTTCGGTGCGCGGCGTGTCGATGTAGGGGAAGGCCATCGTGTCGAAAAAAACAAGGCCAGAAATATTCAACGCGTGACCATCACCTCATATAGCAGGAGCGTTGCAGACTTCACGTTGGGCAAGTACGGGCAGTTACGGACGTGTTTTGGAGAGTTCCCGCGTTTGGTCTAGTGTGGGCATCTCTGTTGATTTCTAGCCTAATTGGGCTTAGCGTGCAGATCACGGGATGTAAAGTTCGCCGCTTTTTTTATCAGAATGCCATGAGGTCATTCTTCTTTCTGCACAAACAGTCAAAATGACCACCGAGGAGGATATCGCATGGTTCAAGTCCACCTTTCGTCCGATCCCGAAGCCAGAGCTCCCCGACGACGCTGTCGAATATTCCATCTACCATATTCCGTCCTCCCCCGCCCCCGCCGTTATCGATGAAGCTGCCGAGACCCGCGCGCGATTGATAGAGGTCCAGCGCAGTGCTGCAGATCTGACCAAGGATCTGCTCAAAGATTACATTTGGCAGCGTGAGGCCTTCAAATTGGAGATCGCAAAGGAAGATGGTACGAAATATATATTCTTGTCTGCTAGAAACTTACTAACTGTATCGGTTGTAGGAATCAGCTCGCTGCAGGGTCGCACCAACTACGGCGACTCCATCGAAGACGAATGGGTTATTGTGTACCTTCTCCGTGAGTTGACCAAACGACACAAAGATATTTGGGTCAAAGTGGCGGACAGTGATGGCGAGTTCCTTCTTATTGAAGCCGCGGGAACACTACCAGCGTGGATAGAACCGGACGTCGCAGACAATCGGGTGAGTGTTGTCTTGATGCTTGAGTCATCAATGTGCTAACCATTTTTCATCCGCTAGGTATGGATAAATCAAGGAGAGCTGCGCATCATCAAACCGAAGCAAGAAGCGAAGAGACAAGTAACCGAAAAGATCACTCTCCCGGAGGCACGAAAGATTATCCAAAACGAGCCCGGTCGCCTCCTCCGATCTACGATAATCCAGGAAGAGGCATTCTACCGTCTGCGCAAATACCCCCAGCAGATCAGCGAGAACCTCCACTCTGCCGTCATTACAATCCCCCCGCAAGGCTGCATTCCTCCTACACCAAAAGCCAGCATACATCTCACCCGCCGTCGAGGCATTCTACATCCGTGATCCAATTGCCCTACGTCCACTACGCGCCAAGGTGACTTCGGGTCTCGTTTTCAAGCCTGACGATCTGGTTGACGTTAGTGTCCGATTCACTCGGGTCGGATATGCGCAGCTTAAGAGTCAGGAATTCCCCATTCCAAGCACCTGGGCAGGCAAGCTACCTTCGACTGAAGATCGAAAGGCATACGACCGCGCAGAGGCAGGAATGAAACTTGCATGTGGACTTGAGATGTTGCTCAACGATCCTCAAAACCAGGACAAGGCTGTAGTCAGAGAAATGAAGCTGCTTCTGGAGGATGTGGAGACCGGGGATGAAGAGCTTCCCACAGACAAAGAGATTCAAGAGAACTGGGACAAGCGCGAAGACGATGAAAAGTGGTTGGACATCAACTTTGAAGATCTGGAGGCAGAGCTCAAAGGACGGGGCCAAGGAAAGGGGGAAGATACAGGCAATTTCGGCGACACTGGTGCCCAGGAAAACCTTCAACGCATTGTGGCTCGCTTTGAGGAGTTCCTGAATGATAACTCAGCTGGATTCGATGGTGCCGATTTCATTGATGACTTTGGATCGGACTCTGACATTGATGAAGATGAGGAAGAGGAAGTCGACAGCGAAGGTGAGGACAAGGATGCTTCTTTCAACGAAGAGGAGTTTGCCAAGATGATGAAAGAAATGATGGGCATGCCCTCTTCGTCAGACTCCATCCGCAAGCGAGTGGAAGAACTAGACTCGGATGGTGAAGACGACACGGAGCAGATCAAGGAGTTATCCCGACGAATGGAAGCCGAGTTACAGGGCACTGGTATCCTCGATCTGAACCGTCGCCCGCAGAATCTGTCTGGAGAAGCAAGCGGCTCCGGAGATAAGGCTGCCAAGTCTCAAGACGACAATGATGAGGATGACAATGTCAACATTAACCTCGCTAAAAACTTGCTGGAGAGTCTTCAGGGCCAAGCTGGTGCCTCTGGCCCAGCCGGCAACATGTTGTCGATGATGAACCTTCGCATGCCAAAAGATGATCGCCCTTGAGGGCCCGCACGTGTTTGAGTTATGACATCTTGAAAAAGAACGAACTGTCGTCCGAGGCTAGCAAGGGAGCCACATCCTTACGCACGACTACCAGTATATTCTATCTGAATTCGCTGGGTCAGAGTGTATGTCGACACAAAGCACATTTATGCCGCGGTTATCTGTCGATGAGACTGCGTATCTCAGCTTACATACTTCAAGGTCAGCCCTGTATGATGGTTAACAGCGATTGGCTCAACATCCGGTTGCTGCCGTAGTTCTGCTATATGCGCTGAACCAAAACACTTGCGATTCCAACTCCCTGTGTCAAGTCATCTTGGGACAGAACCCAGGCCTCCGTCGCGGTGGCCAAGTCATGATGGACGTTTCCCTCTATGCTATCTTTGCCAGACGTTCTAACCCATTGAAACCCCATTGGTAGTGTATGTAGCTTCAGGGAACACATCAGACGTTTTCATGATCGCATTTCCACCAGTCACATTCCTTATGTCTCTTTAGAGGCCCAGCCTCGGTAGCTCTCACCGAAAACGGTGCAGTAGTCGGTAACGTTACCACGGCGTCCAGGGTTACAATGCCGAAGTAAATAAATAAATAACGCCCCGAAAAACAAATATCCCACTGTTTCCCTCAATAATCCTTCGTGTTCCACCATCACATGCTGAGGTGGCTCCATACGTCGAAATATATATAGCACCGGGCAGTTTCAATTATCCACCCAACCCACCCAACACAAACAGGATGAACTTACCGATGAAGTCCGTGAAACATGAGCTTTGCCAACCGTCTCCACAGGTCTACCGACCTGCCTCACAATGAGGATACGTGGAGCCAACTCTGTACGGAGCTCCTGGAGGTCAACATTCCACCCGTTGCGACCTCGGGAGACGTTTACGGGGCTGGATATTTAATAACTAGAGAGTAGTAGTACGGAGTACTCCGTAGATATGAAGAGGGAAATGGAAAGGATGTGGAGATTAAGTCGAGTATAAAGTGAGTAACACGTGCTTATGCGCGAGCTACAATATAACCCAACCTTAATTGAGTAGAGTGAAGAAACATTCTTCAACCAGTAACACTGCGGCTATTTCAATTAAAGTGAAAACTAGGTGGGAAACCGAAGAACTAACACACAAGCGTGACATGCTAGACAAACTAGACCTCCTAGGTGCATGGCATTTACGTACAAGCGTTAGGTCTAGCCCAGCCACATTTCCCCAACTATCTCGCGATGGTATTGTCTTGGAGTACAGAGTACCGAGTACAGTAACCAGAAATACACCGATCCAGGTACAGGTACTTATGTACGGATCAGCAATCTCATCAGATCAAGGTGCAGAAAATCCCACGTGGCTCGATCGTCGATCGAAGGGTTTACAGTACAAACATGTCTCATGTCTCTTGTCTCATGTAACTAATCTTGTCTAATATAGATTATTAACAGTTGCCTAAACATACTCGGCATGTCTCAGCCATGTCAGCCGCACACTATAGGCTTATAATTGATTATGTTCGGCAGCGGAAGTTGTCAGGCACACACCGGGTAGCATAGTGGAGATGCAGATGAGCGATTTTAGACATGGAAAAAGCCAAGAGGATTCCAGAAGGCCGGAGTGGAGTTGATGGAATGCGACTAAATCCCGAACCGTTAGTGTCGTGTGCTGGTGGCGAAAACGGATCCCACTGCGGAATTGCCGGTCCACTTTCGGCTGTGGGTTCGCCTTGTAAATCCCTCAGTGATTAGAAATCAGACGGAATAGGTACCTAGTATGGTAGTGTGGTGGTGCTCAATATTATTGTAGAGACGGGAAGTGTATAGCCTGGGAAAGTATAGAGGGGGTTGGGGCTGAACATGTGTGGACGGAACAATGCAGTCCTCTGTATAGCGTCGACACTAGTAGAGTGCCGGGAGCCGGGATTAATTCAAGGTAAAGTATCAATTTGTTTCAAAAGTTGGAGTACATCTCCGGAGTAGTATAGAACCGTTTAGACGGGGCAAATTCTGATTCTATGGATGTCAGCTCCGAGTAAGAGAGGATCATCGGTGGAGCCTGGAACGTTCGAACAGTGGACTGTAGTCGGAGTACATGTACACAGGTACATGCACAGGAGAGTAACGATCCCTGCTTTTGGAGATGCAAATGCTGATCCCCCCCGATTCGTTTCAAGATCGTCATCGGTATATCCGAACTTATTCCAGGTAATATCGTGACTTCATTCAGCAAATCGGAGGTGCTGGAATCCAGCCTTGGTGTACGGAGTGGTGTAGTTATCTCTCCCCGACAAAAGAAAGGCAAGGGAAAATGATAGATCATAAGCCTTGAGATACTCACATGTAAGGGTGAGACGGGATATAAAAGAATGTGACCGGAAGGGAGTGGAGTTCCATGTGTAAAAAGGCAAAAGTCGGAATTCGATCTCCCTTTTCCCTTCTTAATCCTCTCCATCCCCCTTCTTTTTTCCGGGAACCAGGTTAGTGGGCATACCACAGTCTGCAGCAATGGACTGAGGGTACCCACCATGGACTTCATTGTATGTATCTCTCTATACTGAGTATATTGACGCTTGACTGACTTCCCTAGCTCTCGTTGACGCACTTCTGTGAGGTGCACGGCCCCACCTCCATCATCTGCTCCCAGGTGCTTCCCTTTTCATGCCCGCAATGCCACCCCGACTCCGACTCGCCCCAGGGGACCCCTGCCCCTGATTCTCGCGTTGAGCAGCCTCGTCACAAAGAAGACTCCAAGTCGCCCAAAATTGAAGACCACCCGTACTTTTTGAAAGGACATCCGGCCTCGCCCGATGAGAAATCCAACCGAGGTGGCGGGAATGGCGACACTTGCGCCAGCTGCAGTCTGTCGCTACCCGCCGATGTGAGCAAGCAACTGCCTCAGGGTGCCGGCGACGGAAAAGTGAGCAACAGCAGTCCCGTGCTGCGCTCGCGCGAAGTGGTCAACTCATGCGGCAACACGCACTCGGATATGGATGACGACTCTCACGATTTCCACTCTCACGCCTCTCCCCCGAATCACTGCGCTCTGCATCGGTTGCCTCCGACGCCTCCTGTCACACCCATATCCATACCTACCTCTCTCAGCGCGGGCCGCCGAAACCGGCCGACTATGCGCTCCTTCGCCGATCCTCAATCCGCACCTTGAGCTGTGAGCTCCTACCCCGAGGTCTCTCCTCCGGTCCTATCTGCTTCGGTGACTCTGTCGCAGGCTACACCATTGCATACATCTTCCGCCTTCCGGACCCCATGGCCCGCGGCAAGCGTCGCAGCTACGCATTGGTCGCACTGGCCGGGCGGGATGCTGGAAGAGCATTCCGCGCATGTCCCATCATCTGGCGCGCATTCGGTCGCATCGCCGCCAGCATCGTCAATGCCGCAGAGCGTTTCCAGGAAGACGAAAAAACCCGCGACGAGCAGAATAACCCGGGACGACAACCCGGCCGCCAGTACACGCCTGTTTCTTCCTTCCTCACGGGTCGCGCCATGGACCCGGCCGGCCGGCGCGCGGCAGGCCAGATACGTGCCCGCAACTTGGCTGAAATCGTCGGCAACGAATACATCTTTACTGAACTACATGCCCATTTTGTCGCACTTCTTCAACAACTCGGCTCGATGTTTGGCGGTATTCCCCTTTCTGAGGAGCGCTTCATCTGCAGTACAATGGGTGATGACGATACTGCCAATCCCGCTCAGCCGGTCCTTGTTTCCGCAACCGGTCAGCCCAAGGACAAGAAGTTCGATGGCAATGACATTGACATGTCGAACCTTGAAATTGCCTCGGAGTCAAAGGCGATCCCCATTGCGCCTCGCCGGTCCGTCATGGCCTGAAATTTTCTTTTCATCATTTGCATGAACCTCTTATTGAGATACCCGCCTGCTTTCTTGTTTCTTTTTCTTTCCCAGGCACTTCTTTTTCACTTTGACTTCTGTATTCTTTTTTTTTTTTTTTTTTTATATTCTCTGTGCTTCAATTCGGTTTGGCAAGGTGACCAATTTCGCGTTGCTCATTCTGCATAATTTGGGTTTCTTGCGATATGGATATGGCATAGACTATGGCGTCTCGGGCACGGAGTTTTTGTTTTGCAGCCTTGACTTTTTCGGTGATTTTTCTCTCTTGAACGTCTCGTCTGATTATGGGATTCGTCCGTCTGTTCAGCGACTTTGAGACTGGTGCTATGTTACGATGAGATGTCACGATCACGAGACATTCAAGAGACATGTATTCTATGTATTATCTGAACATGAATCACAGCCACTGGCTTTCATTTTAACTTACTTCCCATCAAGTAGCCGAATATCTACGTAGTTATCAAATAAATCCATGGTTAGATGATATTCCTATAGTCCGGATAAACCCGGGAAAACTGACCATATTCGGTTAATCCGACTACAGGGCCACAATCAAAAATCCCACCAAAAAGAACATCCCGCAGAGACAAAGACCCGCATCACCTTCCACCTCCCTTCAGCAATATCAAGATGGTCGCCTTCGACAAGTGTGAAACCCGGCCAGCCCACATTGAGGCCATCCTCAGTGGCCTCGACCGCTACAACCCCGAGACCACCACCGTGTTCCAGGACTATGTGGCCCAGCAGTGCGAGGACCGGTCATTCGACTGCTACGCCAACCTGGCCCTCCTGAAGCTGTGAGTTGGAACCATTTTTTTTCGTAACATGTCTTATGTTCATATTTGATGAAAATTGCTTCTGTGATGATCATCTTTTAAGCGTTTCCTATTACCTGACAATCCCATAATATACTTGGGAATGTTGAGAAATTCTGTGAAGATACTGAAAAGAAGCAATGCCCCCTGCAATTAGAATGGCATCCAATTCGCGATATATCTCGTTTTTTTTTTAAAAAAAACCCCAGAACCAATCGCTAACAATATCCTCCCCCACTCCAGCTTCCAGTTCAACCCTCACCTCCTCCAAGCCGACACCGTGACCAACATCCTGGCCAAGGCCCTGACCGTCTTCCCCTCCGCGGCCTTCTCGCTTTGCCTCGCCCTCCTTCCGACAAACACCCAGCCCTTCCCCACCACCAGCGAAGCCCAAGCCGCCAGCCAGACCTCCGACTTCGTCGAGTCCGTGCAGAAGCTCACCCGCCTCAACACCCTCCTCGAGTCCGCCCAGTACGCCCAGTTCTGGTCGACCCTTAACTCCGACGACCTCTACGCTGACCTGACCGCCGACGTCGCCGGTTTCGAGGAACTCGTCCGCATCCGCATCGCCGTCGAGGTCGGCAAGACCTTCCGCTCCATCACTGCCGAGAACCTCGAGTCCTGGCTCGATATGCGCCGCGACGCCCTCGACAAGTTCGTCGTCGACGTCTGCGGCTGGAAGGTCGATGGCGCTGTTGTCCGTGTCCCCACCAACAAGGAGAACGAGGCCCGCTCCGAGGTTAAGAGCGAGCGTGTTGGCGTCGAGCAGTTCGGTCGTGTTATCCGTCGTGGCTTTGAGCAGCCTGCTTAAGTGCCTTATCCCGCCATTTGAATGTTCACCCTAACATTTCACACTTCCTCCTTTCGTATCTCTACCTTTTTCTTACTACTCCAAAAAGATGTGCACGGGGATCGGGATCATTCGTCGGTCCCTCGTGCCATGAGTTCATGAATCCCCCCACCTTCTCCCTCGATCAAGTGATGATCCGATGGTGATAGATTTCGCATGGAAGAGGGGCTCCGAGATGAGTCGGGATCTGGCGCATCGGGCGTTTTTCTTTTTTGACTCTTTGACTCTGGGACTCTTTGATCCTTTCTCTTGTCTGTATTGGATCTATTTTTCCTTTTTGCACTCCGTGCTACATCCCTGGCACTGGATGATATGAGAGAGATATGTCTTTGTCCATACCATAACAATAACAATACCTTTCAGTCGAGCCTGCCTATTGTTTACATATAGGGTTGGCTTCGCCAATATAAAACCATACAAGTCAGTTTCAGACATTCAAATATTACATGTAGATTGTTGTAGGTTGAGCAGGCGAAGTGGGATGGATATCAGCCTAGTCTATTAATCTCTATGTATGTACTAAGCTGTTCCCACGACATCCAAGGTTGTTTGTTCTCTTGGTGGTATCAGCAGCCGATTCCTCTTGCTCTCGGCTATCTTGCCATTCGCGAAGTAGACCAGACCTATCACGAGTAATCTGCGCACGGGGCCCACTCTTAGGGAGGAGGACCTGGCAAAGAAGCTGAAACAGCAGACTTGGGAGGCTCGGCAGGCATCTCTAATGTACATGTAGTTTGTGGTGCGTGCTGGAGGTTGCATGGTGCCAGCTTCAATCTCCTACCTGCCTTCCGCCACACAACAGTGGTCTATGCAAAGATCATGCCGAGGGGTTCTCTATTCTCGCTACACGAGATATGAGGTTGTCAGGATGCGATACGTGGTGGACATTTCCTTTGTATCGATCAGGTGTCCAGGTCTACAAGTTTATCGCAAGTGGCCTCAGATGAACATACTGGGAAATCCGTCAACCAACTTCCTTTGTTCAATACTCTTCTTCCCGGTCACATTCTACTTCCCGTTCATTGCCCGAGTGCTTCATCTGACACATGCTGCCACCGAAAATGTACCAACTGTTTGGAGACCTTGTTCTTGACCCACCCCCACCAGATCGACTGGAAGCCATCAAGGAGCTGGAGCCATACCTCCGTGATCTCGAAAGTCGCGAGAAGCTAGGTAAACATAGGTCTCTGGCCCTACGTGGGGACTAAGCACTGACTTGCTACATCTAGTGGTCGATCGCGATGAAATCCACAGAAAGGTTTCGAGTTTCCGACTTGATGAAACTCAGAAATGGAAAGAGATGGCTCAAGAAGGGTGCCCGAAGCGAGTCGCCGAACACATCGTGACAACCACAGGGTCCTGGGAGGCAAGACGTAGCCACCAGATGCATGTCCCATCGTACACCTCACTGAATATTCCAAATGGTGAAACTGGTGATCCAACAAGCCCCTGCCCCGCGTTGATCATGGCCAATAAATTCGATCCCGAGACGCATTTTATATATGATCACTTCCATCGCAGGGAAGAATCGGATTTTAGTCCATTCAAAGGCTATCCGGATCATATCAGAGAATTGCACGAAGAGCACACGGCTTGGATCAGAGCCACGAATCAAGCAAAGGTGGAAATAATCTACAAACGGTATGTTGAAAAGTGGGTGACAAAAAACCTAGAGCTTTCGCATCTACAGCTTTGGGGCGAGTACGATCGTGTTTGGCTCCATTTCGAATGGAGAAGCCCAGAGAGAAAACAGCTCTCTAAGATACTCCTCTTCGCACTCCACCCCCAACGATTCCTCAATTTACCCAGCGGACTTGCTGAAGAAACCGCTACACAAGACAAACTTCACTCCTGTGCCTGCAAACTCGCCGGGCTTCCTTACATCGCCAACTACTACTCGTCAAGAGAGTGGAAGTCGATGACCACTTTTATCCATAATGCATCGGTCAAAAGGCTAGGAAAATCTGAGAGGGAGACGTCTGAGCTCGTCGCATCCTTCTTGAGGAACTGTCACGCTCCAGAATCGCCGAGGACAGAGACAACAGGGACCCAAGAAGCTCCTGTGATGTCTTTAAGACGACTCAATATCCTTTTATCGAAAGTCCTGACTCGTTCAGCATCAGAAAATGTGAAGTTTCGAGAACCGGGTTGGCAGGTCCTCAGAATTGACAAAAATCGATTTCCTGCTTGTCTACCACCATTAATTCATGAATGGATTATAGGCCAGCAGGCCTATTTCTTTCGAAAACTCATACAAAGCCCCAATGATCTCCTCTCAATCTACACACAGTACTGCGGAAGCAAAGACGATGCTTCTATCCCAGGGACGATGAACGTTATTTTGGCCCTGATGAATTTCCAGCAAGTGCGTATCAAGCTGGAGGTACGAAGCATTATGAAACCCTATTACAATGTCTTTCATCTTTTGAAACAATTTCTCGAGCTTGTGACACATGTCGAGAGCCTCTAGATCCTGATCACTTGCCAAAATATTCTTTTTACGCCCCGGATCGCTATCTGGTACGCAAAGTGCAATGCAGATCCAAAACATGTCAGGGGTTACTTCGAAATGCGGTGCCTACTGCTGAAATCTCGTATTTGCATGGTGTTCGCCGTTTGGAAGAGAGCTACGAGTGGGTAAAGACCCTTAGACCTGCTGGGGATTGTGGGGATCAAGCATCAAGCGTTGAGCTGTGGTGTATTCGCTGCCAAGAGAAAACATCCATTGCAGTCAGTGACAGCGACCCAGTGAAAGAAGGCCCTGCCAACGTTCGAAACACTGTGCTGGACTCAAACCCTCGGTGGACACTAGGCTCACGACCAAAATACGTCCCACGGAGCTTCCATTGTTGTATGAATTGTAACCCTGGCGACCAGAACTTCGTTCCGGTCAGTACTCAGATTCCATTCATCTTCATGCGAACGCTCAAGGAGCTGGTGGAAAGGTTTCATTACATGGAAGTTCAGGCCTTGGCAGCCATTTTAGACAGCCAGAAGTCAGCCTCACATTGTCCGAGGGTGCTAAAAAGAAAACGGAGAGATGACCGTGATAGCCGATTGCTTACGAGCAATACATCTTGCGAATTGAAGACACAGGACCCCAAAAAGCCCAAAGTTATTGATCTACGATTCATCAAGTGCAAAATGCCGGCTGGTCAGGACGTCGATCCGATGTGGCATACAGATACAGGGGATTACATTGCGCGGAGGAGGGGCCACAAAAGTTGCGGGGAGAGACGGGTGTGGCTTATGCCTATGGATGGTACTCCTTGGGTAAGGGACAGCACGGTTGCACAGAAACAACGGAGGGAAAATGAGAGATTGCTCATTGGGTGTCACACTGCCAAATTAGGGCTCGAGGACCCTACTCAGCCCTCAATCGTCAAGCTGAAATGCTACGAGTGCGGGGATCTTCTTAATGATGACGACAAGCCTAGATGGCATGCAATCACAGAAAAATACATTGCTCAGCGTAAGATCCACTGCAAAGGGGAAACACTGATTTATCGTGTTCCAGCGGACAACACTCTGTGGATAAGAAGTGTTACAGTCTATGCCCAAGAGAAGGCTGCAAGAAGGAAGGCTTTCTCTCAGAGCTCTACATCTTACGTGAGCTAGGGGAGGAAAACGATCCTATTCAGCTGTCTTCCTGCCGGTCCTAATGCCTGAAGGGTTCATCTAACGCCTCACGTTGGGGCTGGAAGACCGAGTTTAGATAGAACTCAATATCAAGGAACATATTCGCAGTCAGATCAACGATTTAACCGCCGTTGCAAATATTCTTTTCGTCTACAAGGTTTTCCATACCATCAGATAACTTCCTGGTATGAGCAAAGTCATTGAACAGACAAACCGTACATGCACTGGCAACGTATCAAGCACGACAACTACTCTTCGGTGATCCGGCCCTTGTCGTAAAGCAATCGCGGGAATTCGGGCAGGAAGTGGAAAGCGCCAGACGACCTGTCCAGTCGCACAGAGCATGCCGTAGTCAAGCCAGTAGGTGATGAGAATCCCGCCACTGACGATGGCGAGTTGAAATGCATCAAGAGCGCCGCGTTGGTTTGCTTTACACGTCTCCGAGACCTATATAGGGATGGTCCTGTCAAATAATAACGAGATTGGCAAAATTGAATTTCAATTTTAGCTGAAGATGAGACGAGAATGCTCACGAGGTCGCCATCCCCGTCGCTACACACGTCCCCACTCTCCCCACGATGAGATGCGGAATCGTAAACGCAGTACACTGCAGGATGGTCCCCAGGATACAAATCCACTGCGACACGATAATCGTTAGGCATCTACCCATTATCCGTCCAAACTGTGACGCGATCATATACCCAAGGAAACAACCCAGGTTGTACACAGCGACGATGGTGCCGGTCATGGAGGAAGAGGGATATCCGAATTGCGAACGGAAGGAATTCGCGTTGATGATGCCTGCGAAGACGCCTGTGTCGTATCCAAACAGCAGGAAGGCAGCGCCGGAGGCGCCGCTGATGGCGACCCCGAGGGAGTCTCCTCGTAGTGTTCGAAACTCCATTGTGGTTTCGTACGAGGAGATACGGGATCATTGTCTAGTTTTCGATATCCCCCGATTATGGTGAATGCCAACACTCTTGTCGACATTCTCATTTGCAACGGATCAAGCGGGATAATTGCTTGGACCTCGCGCCTATATCTCTACTTCACGCCACAGAGCAGGTTCCCCAAAGAGTTTGAAGGATTTGTTAGAAGCTCATGCAGATAAAAGCTCTTCTTAGCTACTGCGAGGCGAAGAAGACCCGACAGCACAACCCAGTTTTAGCTTTTCCAACCAATGCGTCCAATTTTTATCAAACTGGACTTCATGCTGCCTTCACCTCTTCCCTTCAACTTACAAGTCTTTCTCCAAGCTAGAGTTCTGTATAGCCGTATGCCGTGAGCACGCTAAGCCAAAATAGGACTAGCTTAATTATAGGGGATTGGTACTACCACCCCCTTTGCCTGCTACCACCCCCCTTGCCTGAATTTCGAGGCCCCTATTGACCGCCTTTCTCACCGCTTTCATCCTCGAACTTTTATTTATTGCTACCTACTACCCTGCATGTAGTATCACACTCTAGGTACCTACAACTACTAAGTAAATTGCTAGTAAAAATAAGTCACTCCTGTTCCACTGTAGTGCCCAATAAGAAATCCAAAATAATTGTTATTTACACCTTCGAACCTCCCATTTTTCCACCCATTTGGTTTTAGGCTTAGGGCTTAGGGGGAATAGCTTCATGTACGGCCTAGCGCGAGGATTCCTGACCCGACCGCCTTAGGAAGCGTCGGGGAGCTCTATAAATGGCTGATCCAATGCAAATTACTCAATTTCTTCACAATTCTCATGCGATTTTCCAAGAAATTTAACCCAGAATAGCTGGATTCCTTCATTTCTACAAAGCAGCATCTATTTCATATTTAGGACTACCGCCATTCAGTTGGTATGGTGGGTGATAGAGTACGAAAGTGACTTTATTTTATTAGGGCGCTGCATAGTAAATGTAAGTACCTCAAGTTTGTGTGGGAAGCATGGTCGGTGGTGGCAGAAATATGTCCAGCAGAAAAATATTGGCCTCGGAATCCAGGCAGAGGGGGGTGGTAGCAGGCAAAGGGGGGTGGTAGTACCAATCCCCTAATTATATATCATCATCCCCACTCCCTTCGACACCTCCAAGTTTCCATATCACATCTCATGTTAAGATCTGGAAAATCATTATCTCGATTTCATAATTAGCTTCACAATCAACATCTGAAGCCTATGTCATGTCGACACGGCATATTTCGTGGTTCCTATACTCCATCCTAGCCATCCTACTCTCTTTCGGCAATGCAGCAGAACAGCAACCACTACAAGCCGTAGATGCAACCCCAAGGAAGGTAGCAATTATTGGTAGGTGTCCGGCCCAGCCAACTCAAGCTCAAATCTAAATCATCCCGTAGGAGCTGGAGCTGGGGGCTCATTTGCAGCATATGAACTGCGCAAGCTCGCAGACGAAGCCGGCACCCCTGTGGAGATCACAGTCTACGAACGTGAATCATATGTCGGCGGTCGTTCGACAACAGTAAATGTCTTCGACGACCCCGCCTATCCCATTGAACTGGGCGCGTCCATCTTCGTTCAGGTTAATTATAACCTAGTCAACGCTTCCCGCGACCTAGGTCTGACAGTCCGCAGCGCTGACTATGCCCGACCGCGGGAGACCGATGAAAGCATTGGCATCTGGGACGGATCGCAGTTTGTATTTTCATTGAAGAGCACATACAGCTGGTGGAATATTGGCCGGCTTTTCTGGCGGTATGGGCTTGCGCCGCTGCGCACTCAGAATCTGATGAAGAAGATTGTTGGTCAATTCTTGCGGCTTTACGAGGAGCCTCTATTCCCATTTAGCTCGCTTTCCGAGGCGGCTGTTGCGGCGGAGTTGTTGAATGCGACTTCCTCGACGGGCGAGGCGTTTCTCCATGCCAATGATGTTGGGTCACTTTTCGCGAGAGAAATTATCCAGGCTAGTACTCGTGTGAACTATGGCCAGAATCTGCACTTGATTCATGGGTTGGAGACTATCGTTTGTATGGCTACTGATGGGGCTGTCTCAATTGAGGGCGGGAACTGGCGCATATTCGATGCCGCCCTGAGCGCCTCACACGCGCATGTCAATGTGAACACTACTGTCACTGGGATTACACGGAATGATGATGGTACCGTGCAAGTATCGTCGAAGCTGAACGCTGCTTCCACTTCTGAAGAGACTTTCGACGAAGTTGTCGTTGCAGGCCCTTTACAGTACTCTGGCATTTCTATATCCCCTTCGTTAGATCACACCCCGGATAAAATCCCCTACGTGAATCTGCACGTTACTCTCTTTTCATCTCCGCACCGCATCACACCGCAGTACTTCGGGCTCGATACCAATGCCAGAGTACCGGAGACTATCTTGACGACCCTCCCAGAGGACTTCAGTCCGGAAAATCGGGCTGATGTCGGGCCCAGCGGTTTCTGGAGTATCAGTACTCTTCGAACAGTGGATCATTCCCCACTAGATTCCGAAGAAACACAACAGCATTACGTTTACAAGATTTTCTCGCCAGAGCGTCCGACAGCTGAATTCATTGCTAGTATTCTAGGTCTGGAGAAGGACGCTATGTCGAGCAATACGACTATTGGAGATCTTTCAAAGAGTGATATCAGCTGGTTCCATGAGAAATTGTGGAACCCATATCCTGTTCTATACCCGCGCGTCACATTTGAAGATACTCTTCTGGCTCCGGGTGTGTGGTATACGGGTGGTATTGAGAGCTTCATCTCAACAATGGAGACCAGTGCGCTGATGGGCCGGAACGTGGCGACGCTTATATTTCAGTCATGGCAGAAACACGTTCGGATAGATGACGGAGCTTTTCCGAATGGGAAGTCTGAGCTTTGATCTTCTAAACTACACGTCTTAGTCTTCTGTAGATGAACAGATATCATGTAGTAATTCACGTTTTCATCCACACAAAAGAAAAGGGAAACGTCGAGAGGACTTCCTCTCCACCCAAGCCTGGCGCCGTAATTGTATTTCATTAGGCACTATTAAGTCAAAATATATGAATTTCTGCATTCGCATCTCGCCTTCAATTTCTCCAAGTCCTGGCACCTGGGTAAGCTGGCCACTAAGCAGTCACCTGACCGCACTACACTCAACAGAGAGAGAAGAATGAGCCTATGAAGCGGGCTAGCTAGCCATTTTATATCGAATTTTGTAGAAAATACATTTTAAAGTAAAAAAAAAAGGTGTGTCAATTGCGTGGAATAGACCAATTACAGAACTCTCTGGCGCTTCCTAAGCCGATCTGACCAGTGATTCTCGCCCTAAGACGTAGGAAGCTATTCCTATGCCTAGAGAGGTAGCAATACTCGCCTCCCGTCCTTAGTGTACTGGCACTGCCAAGAGATTCATTCATCCATGCATTTTAACCTGATAGTGCCTAGTGAAACACAATTGCGGCTCCAGGCCTAATTTGATGGGTCCATTGAACATTGCCCCAAAAAAAAGGCGGTGACACACACCATCCATGCCCACCGTACAATTTCCAAGCCCCCCAAAAAAAACTCTATTAATTAGAACCACCATAACTCAACCATTTCTCGTTCGATTACATTGCTTTTTAATGCAAATTAAAGAGAAATGGCGTGGCTAACGCTTTGCCTAAAAAAAGGCGAAAAAAATAAAATATAAGCCCAACGCGGGGGTCGAACCCGCAGCCTTCAGATCCACTACAACCCAAGGTATTGCAACCTATCCAAGTTCCCGAAGGAAGGGTCTTCCGGTAGAAGTCTGACGCGCTACCATTGCGCCAGCCGGGCAGTCGTTGAATTTTCGGGTCAATTTTGCATAAATAAGTGGAAAATCTCTATTGTTAACTATTTGATTATTATGTAGGTACACTAAAAAAAATGGGCGAAGTATAGCAAGAAGAAAAGTGAGAAGCCTAGTCAAAAGTAATGTGGAACGGAAAGTGAGATGATATTTAATGACCAGAGTACACCAAATCTGTTACACGCGGTTTCCATATCGCTTATCGCCATTTCCTTTTTTTTTTTGGCGGGGTTCGCATTTTCACTTCCACTGCACAATGGATCCCTATGACAGTGACTCGAGTCTCGACGAGGATTTCACCGATACTGGTGTTCTTCTCGGTTATGCCGCTGAGGAAGTCATTGAAGACACAATCAGCCATCTAGGAGGCTGGCCCGTATGCTCAACCCACCATCTGCAAACCCTCAAACCAAAAACCCTCAAGCTAACAATACCTTAGAAATGGCTCGATGATGCCTCCCCAGCCCCAGGCGACTTCGCCAACTGCAAGGTCTGCAGTAGTCCAATGCTCCTCCTTCTTGAGTTACACGGCGACCTGCCCGATCATTTTCCAACCGACGAACGGCGCCTTTACCTATTCGGCTGCCCCAGAAAACCCTGCAACCGCAAGCCCGGGAGCATCAGAGCCTATCGCGCAACCCGCAAGGTAACAGTTGGCACAGAAAAGCCAAAGCAAACCGACGAGCCCAAAAATGAAACCCCGCCTTCCGCCCCCGAGCAACCAAAGCAAGACCTCGGCGCAAGCCTGTTTGGCGCGACAACCTTAACCAACACGGTCTCCTCAAACCCAAACCCATTTTCGTCCTTCTCAGGCCCAACACCCGCAGGAAGCAACCCCTTCGCAGCGCCCGTGCCAGGAACCCCAGCCGAGAAAAAGCCCGCACCCGCAAAACAAGAACAATCCCTAGCGGAATCCTTCGCGGACAAAGTGCGCGTCTCAGAACCAAACCCCTCAGCAGCCACGAAACAAACCCCGGAATCAAGCAGCGACTCAACACCGTGGCCCGCGCAATCCGCCTTCCCGCCCCCATACAAGAACTTCTACCTAGACGCCGAATACGAAACCCTCAGCCGGCCCTCAACACCCACAGTACCGGAAAACGTAACAATGGAACCGATGGACGAAGAGGGCAGCGGAGCCGCCGACCTAAAAGATACCTTTGAGTCCGAGCTCGACAAAGCCTTCATGAAATTCTCCACCCGCCTCGCCCACAACCCAGAGCAAGTCCTGCGCTATGAATTCAACGGTGTGCCCTTGCTCTATTCGCATAGCGATGCCGTCGGCGCGAGATTCCACGTGGACAGTGCGCCTAATGCGAAGGTTACTACTACGACGCTTGGCGCGGGCAGTATCCCCCCTTGTGAGTATTGTGGTGCGCCTCGTGTCTTTGAGTTCCAACTTGTGCCGCACGCTATTAGTATGCTTGAAGAGGGGCGTGCTGGTGTTGGACTTGGCAAGGATGATGCCGGGATGGAGTGGGGGACTATTATTCTTGGAGTTTGTTCGAGGGATTGTAAACCTGATGGGCTTGGTATTACTGGTTGGAGGGAGGAGTGGGCTGGTGTGCAGTGGGAGGAGATTAGATAGTTTATATTTACATACAGTGGGCGAGGAAGACAAAGAGGTAGATACTGCTATTTTCGAAAGGGCAATCCTAAAAGGACCCCATTCTAGGCGTTTGGACCCTACCCACGCTCACTAAGCCCGATTAGGTCTTATGCAGTAATCGTATTTCAATGCATTAATCGGTAAAAATTCATCAAATTTCGTTGGCAATGCCAATGCCCCGAAAATTGGCGGTTATGGATCCGTGGTACTTCCATTTACTATGCATCCCCCTAGTAAAATTAAGTCACTCCCATCCCTTACAACGAGCAACTGGCTTCCCGGCCCTAAGATACTTTCACTTACTATGTAAACCCCTAGTTAAATGAAGCACCTACTAGAGGCCAATTTCCAAGCAAGGCACTACTCCTAAATAGGAAACAGATGCTGATTCCAAAACTCTGCGGATCTGAAGGAAACCAGCTATTCTGCGTCAAGTTCTTTTTAGGCATGAAAAAGGGAAAAGATCGAGTCAAATTTTAACGTATTTCCTATTTGACAAGATGTCTTCCTAGCCGATCGGGGCCAGGAAGCCAGTTGCTCGTTGTAAGGGATGGGAGTGACTTAATTTTACTAGGGGGATGCATAGTAAATGGAAGTACCACGGATCCATAACCGCCAATTTTCGGGGCATTGGCATTGCCAACGAAATTTGATGAATTTTTACCGATTAATGCATTGAAATACGATTACTGCATAAGACCTAATCGGGCTTAGTGAGCGTGGGTAGGGTCCAAACGCCTAGAATGGGGTCCTTTTAGGATTGCTCTGTATTAAGTATCCTCTTCTATGAGAACCTAGGAGTCCTCTATGAATCAGTCTCTATATTTCTCCAATACCACTTGTTCCTTAGGCATCTTTACCTTACCTAGTTGACAGGCTCAGTCCTACACAAACTAGAACCCTTCTACTTTCCATATATATAACTTATATATAAGAAGGTTACAGGAGCGATCTTAGGTTATGCATAGCGGAAGTCTAAGCACGTATAAAAATAATATTTCATTAAGATAACTTTGTAGGGTTATAAAGGCTAAGACCACTGTTTTATACAAGATTAGGTTTTGCTAGGGCCCTAATAGGTACCTAGCACTATGTCTTAGGCTAGGTTAGGTTATAGAAGTTGGACCTAAAACCCAGATGGGTTGGGTTTTAGGCCTAGCCTTCAGACCTAAATTGGGGATTGCAGAAGCCAAAGTGCGTGGTGCTGCAATCACTGTCATCGGCTAAGAGTATGATCGATGTATAATTCAATATATTTCCAAGTTCGCGCCATTTTGTGGAGAGCCATTCGCTCGCTAAACCAGTCAAAAGCCCGTTAAAGCCCTCAGCACACCGGCACCGGCCACAATTCTCATCCACTCCGCCGAGTCCTCTTCAGCCCAGTTCTCGGAATCCGCAGAAGGAACGTTCTTAGATACATTTTCATCAGCCTGCTCACTCATCATCGCCATTGTTCGGCTAGCGAGCGCCACAAATGTCTCACGGAAGGGGGTAGCGACATCCCATCGGTCTGCCATGACCGTCAATGCGATTGTGCAGTCATTACACGTGCTGTTCGCTTGCCCACGGCCAGATACCTCTCGTGCTACAGGCGATGTCCAGAGACAGTGGAGGTATGTCAATCCCGCAAGGAAAAGCTCATGAAGTGCCGCCCAGGTACAGCTCATTGGCGTTCCTAAAAATTGACGACGATAGCTTTGGCAAATACTCTCTGCAGCCCTCAGGCAATCAATAAAAACATCCTCTGTAGCCTGAGTCGGATGATCGACGATTTGGGCTCGATAAAGCTGTAAAATCGTGTAGTTATATTCCAGATCATACCAGTCCACACTCGTGAACAAGACAAGCTCTTCACCGGAATGAGAAGCAGTGGGTGGAATTTCAGAGCGCCACTTCTCGATCTCGGCACGGATATTCTTCACGTCAACCTGCTGATCGTGTTTGCCTGAGCAACGCGGGTCGGCTTTTGAGTAAAGACAGGTATAAATGCGATTTAAAAGACGTCGAATTCGGAATGTATGTATCGCTCTTGTCATGTTAGTTGGCACATCACTCGGGGAGCTCCGTGGCGCGCCAACAAGCCCAGTGTCCTTGATCAATAAATCATCGATGTCAATCGGATACTATTCATGAATAAATTAGATTTGGACATAAGGAGTGCCCTTAGGCTGATAATCGAAAAAGGGTTGAAACATACTTCAGCGTCAACCTCCTGGTAAGGGACACCCAGAGGGCGACCCAACATTACGGCAGCTTGAGTTTCCATCGCATAGGCACACCAGAACACCCTTTTGCGTAATTCTACCTGGAGTATATTTTCAGGTGGTGCAAAGTGCTTCGTATTTCGGTGATAACCCAGGTCAATACACAGACGAAGTGCTAGACTGGCTACTTTCCTATGCGTCGTGAGCAAGAGACCACTTCGTTGTTTTTATGTCACCCATACCAGTGCGAAGTACCAGTGGAGGATCTAAGAGAGTAAATTGCGCAGCACAGCATGGCCTGTACAGCCTCTAGGTTATCATAGGCCAAGATATCATCGATATACAATAGTGCTGAAATGTACAGACGCTAATAGACAGTCAGCTTTACGGAGTTCGATAGGACTGTCTGCTTACCTCCGCCGAGTATCCGAGATCGGGTAGAAGCAAAGCACCAACAGCATACACCTACCATTGTGAGCAATATTTCAAAAATAATAAAGCCACTTCTCCTCTTACCATATTCAAGAAAAACAAGGAGATAGAACTGGGGGAAATTCTTTCCAGCCCCGTAGACTCATTCACTAACATCGTCTCCCATGCCCTGAAGGTCGGCTCGTGTAAGAAGGGGTAATGGGTGTTAACATTCTGGAAATAAGAGTCACTCAATTTGACAGCCGATTCGTAAGCGGGCAATAAGCATGGTGATGGTAGTACGGAAGAGCGGCTCTCAGTATAATCAAGCACGTTGGCCATCGAGGGATCATGGGAAACCACTTGACGGAGGTATGAATTAATCAAGCGCGAGAAAGCGAAAATCGAAGAAGAGCCCAAATATTGAGGCTCGGCTCCAGCTGCATTCAGGCTTAGTAGGCCGACTCTAGATGCCAGCTTGTCAACACCATCATCTGCTTCAACATTATCTTTGGCTATGGGTAAGGCGGATTGATCACCGTGCTGGTGATGTGGGATTTCGATGTGTTGTGTCAGAGAAGAAGAATTCGGCTGAAGTGCATGATGTTTGAACACGTCGCTATTGGCGAGATCTGGACGACATTGCTTCAGAAGGCTTTCGAGAAGAGCGATGCGTTTTTCTAATATTTCAATATAGTTTCGCGGCCGATATGTCCTTGTTACTGGGTCTTCCACGAGACAAACTGTCATTCATTGTTAGCTTAAAATCGCAGACCAAAAAAAAAAAAAAGAAGCCGAGCGACAAAATATATACTGACCGGATCCTGCAATGAGACAGTTGTTACATCCCGGGACCTTATTGTCGCACTTTATTATTGGATTAGAATATCAAACCCAATTGGATGTTTCCATCATACCTTCAATTTCTTTTCTTTGCATTTCGCGCACGCGAGCAGTGTCCTGCTTCCTGATGGTATGCGTCGAGAACCTCGGGATGAGTGTCTCTTGTTATTTTCCTGATGTGGCAGCATTGAGAATTTTGTGACAGCGAGTTAGTTCGGAAAACTTTTAATCGGCTTCTACTTTCCTGAGCTTGCGGTCCGGAAGGCAACACTGGTCCGACAGGGTGAGAATGGTGAGAAGTGGTACGGGATAGATACCCTTCCGGTTCTTATCACCGCCCCTCAAGATTTATGGGGTAAAGCGCTTCTCATTGGCTCATGGATTTGCCAAGGAAATACTTTATATTATTTGGATGAACGTTTTGGGCGAACAATTGCATCTATTGATACTGCTCTACAACTTATTAATCTCATGGCCAGATTGTTCAATTTTGGTATCAGACTAAATCTAGCCTATTTATCTCTGTATCCAACTATTGGTTAAGTTAACTAACGATTAGACTATCTGTATGAGGTATTGAGTGCTGGCTAACAACAGGCGTGATTGACCGCCTTTCCAATGAGGCTTTAGTACAAAAAGTTCGTTACCAAGTCTCAGTTCTCCAAAATCAGATAGCTTCTTCGCGGATCCATTCCGTTCTTAGGATTTGCTCTCTGGCCTCCTCATATGCTTATTTACAGGGCATTTCAAAGTATGCAACTGTCTTTTATATTACTCACTGTGTGCCCCGTTTAAGACAAACGCGAGCGGATTGGCGGAGCTTATTAATAATAAGAGTAAATGATTATTTGGAGTGTGTGTAAAAAGGTTACTGTGCGCAGATACCTAGCATGTATGGGATACAAGCATATGTAAAACGGCTCGCAATTCCCACGGTCTTGTGAGGACACTTTGGATTCTACCACCTAACAACAATACTCATGGAAAAGTAGCGAAACGCTTATAACAAGGTCAACCCTTACAAAACCACAGAAATATCGCTCTATACCCACCATTTTGGAGAGAAGACCCTCACTTTATATGACCTGAAGATGGATTTGTGATATCTTCGAAAGAATACATTCTAAAATGCAGTGAAGTCATTTAAATGATACCAGAGACAAACTTGCCACACGGCACATTCCAATAGTCTGCAATTATAGCATCAGATGCGAGCACGAACTGGAGACAATGTCCTCAACCGCTTTTTCAGCCGTTCAGTCCTTGCTACAGTCATTTGGAAAACATCAGGCAGCTGCGTATCTGCCCAAGAACCTCCATCCATCAACTTGACCAAGCCGGGTGCTATGGTGAAGATACGCGCCATGCCACTGATGAGCTCACAGGCCACAGTGTTAGCAGAGTTGAAGCTGTAAAACTACTGCCAGTGTAGGAGACATGTATACACTTACTGTCCGTGATGCCCAGCACAAACCCACTGGCCCGGTAGTCCAGGTAATTGCCCGACGAACGGCACGCCGTCTTCGCTCTGGTCTAATATTAGCCCATGTTCAAGTATTTTTATAGCTTGTAAAGTACTTACAAGTCCAAGGATACCACTCCACGCGTGTTGGTAAGCCTCCTCTTGCTTCATGTCATCGGTTGACCATCCTTTCAATTCTCCAACTGCAAATTTATGGATAGCCTTGGTGACCGAATCAAACCCAGTGAGACCATCGTCCGTGTACCGATGGGGGTTTTCCTTTAACCACTGCATAAATTCATCCTGACCTGGGTTGCTGCCACCGAAAAGAACTGCGCCGTCACCTTTAAGGCGCGGATTGATAGTAATCAGGTCGTTTTGAGGAAGCAAAACACCATAAGAGCCCTTGAAGCCTGCAAAGTCTTCACCAGCCTTGGGTGGAATAACCTTGTTGCACATGTGAGGACACGGCGTGATAAGACCCCGCAGAGACGGTTCGAGTGCAGAACTATACGCATTGGATGCATGGACGACCTCTGAGCACTCAATATCGCCACGTTCGGTTCTGACAATCCATTTGGTTTTACTTCTCCTTGAAGGGACGACCTTGGTTGCTCTGGTATTTGTTTGGAGGTTCACGCCTCTTTGAATATTGCTACGCATAACATGCGCCGCAAATTTCCAGGGGTGTAGGGTTGATGCCGGCCACGCATAACATGCTTGCGCGTCCTTTATTTGCGATATCTGGATTGCTGTCAGTCGTGTCAACGTAGGTAGGTATCAGTTTTGTGAACCTCTGCTGCCTTTTTCGGGTCGTGTGTAACTTGAATATGATCAACTCTACCACCAGCTGCCTTGTACCGCTCAAAGGTCTTTTTTGCGCTCTCTGCTTCCTCAGGCGTAATTGGAACATCAAGTGTGTCACCAGTCCAATGCTCGCAGTCAACATTGTTTTTCTCGATGTATTGGACCACTTCGGACCACGTTTGCTGTTCATTTTGCAGGATCTACCAGCCTGCATTAATATAAACGGGGACATAAACAGAAAGCTTGATACCTTTAAGGCCTGCTGAGTGCCAAAACGTTCCTCATACTCTATGAATCCTCGCCACTGGTCAGGCTTGCAGTGTCCAGCATTTCGACCAGTAGCACCAGAGCAGAATTGACGGGCCTCGATAACGACCGATTTCTTTTCAGGCCACGTTTCTGCGACACTTTGGGCAATCAAGGTCCCAGAAATCTATTTTCAGCTCTCAGCCAGCCATCCAAGAATTCTTACTAACATTGAAAGACACTCACACCGGATCCGATGATTACGATGTCTGCAGACGGAGGCAACTTTGGTGTTGTTCGATGATTCAGAAGAGGATCATCCTGTACAGATTGTAGCCAGTGCGAAACGGAATAACCAGCCCTTTTCGGAAAGCCAAAGTTTTTGAATGCATCCTGCCCCATTTTGTCAGTTACGTGGTGAAGGAAATCCAAGAGTACAATCCGATTGCTATCAAATGGATGTGGGTGATATTTTTGGGGGGATTCAAAATGCATTTATACTAGGCTCGGACCTACCGTACGATCGCCCCCATTCTCTCCAAATGGAAGCTGACATTCTGCTGTAAACAGAAAGGTCGAGCTGATACGGTTCTACTTCGCAGTTGGCTTTGTACATGAGAACGCTTCCAATATTCTTTCGGCTATCAGGTACACCAACCGGGACATTCCTCCAATTAGAAAGCAGTTATTGTTTCTGCTCCACAGCCGCTTTAGTTCAGCTTTGCACGATAATCCTCATTCCCGAATGGCGTCAACCGGGACTTTCCACCAATTAAAAACAACAGGCCTCCTTTCTGCTCCACAGCTATCTTAAACTTGGAATTCGCATGATCAAACCCTCCATTCTTTCTTCAGCGGGGAACAGGGGCTTTTCACCAATTGGAATGATTTATAGTACTCCACTTCATGAAAGTAGGTTGATAAGGTTATCATACCTCCACGTCGAGTAATAAAGTCTCTGGCCTCTATCACGGATACTTACTGTATAAAGTCCGGCGTCTTATAATTTCAGAATGCCCAGTTCGTAATTCTGATAAACACACCTCCAGTCCTTAGACCTTAGGTCCTTCTAGTCCGCCCTCCATTCTACTCGATATCACTATGTCTTCGACACTTCCGAATAGCAGTACCGGTAGCAACACCATGTGGCCCCCCGGTACATTACGCCTTTCGGATACAACTATTTCTGAAGGAGAAACCATTTTTCTTCAACCACGACCCTCAGATGATCCCAATGATCCCCTCAATTGGGCCCCATGGCGCAAGTATTTGAACATGGGACTAGTCTGTTTTTATGTTGCTATGGTCGCCGAGTTTATCAACGCCAATACGCCAACATGGGGTCCCATGGAGAAAGAGCTCGGTTTTACTAGCGAGATATTGAATGACAGTTATGCTGCTGGTTGTGCCGCTTTAGCATTAGGCTCTGTCATCCTGATTCCGTTTGCTCTCAAGTTTGGCCGTCGACCGCTGTATCTATTCAGCACAGTGGTTCAGTTTGCCGTCTCTATTTGGTCCGCGAAGATGCAAACTGTGGGAGACCTTATAGCCGTTAACGTTATACAATGCTTCTTCGGAAGTCTAGCAGAGGTCATCGTCCAGATGACCATTGCGGATCTTTTTTTTGTGCACCAAAGAGGGAGAATGAATGCCCTTTATGTCTGGACGTGGCTTCTGTCTAGTTATATGGGCATTCTGATTGCGGGTTTTGTTGCTAGTGGTCTGGGTTGGAGGTGGATATGGTGGTTGAATGCTATCATCTTCGGTCTGACAATCTTTGCTGTCGGCTTCGGATATGAAGAGACGAAGTTTTGCTCGTCGGTTTCGCTCACAACTATAAGCTTGCAACTTGATACTAGGAACGAAGGCCGATTGCTTGCCTCTAATCCTCAAGACCAAGAAGCCAATAAACACCAAACGAAGAAACTTGAGGGTGAATCATTCGCCGAAACCAAGCAAATCGATGCGGAACAAGGAGCCACGGATCTAGCCTCAAGCAAAGCAGCAGTTGAAACCACATCGGACAACATCACTGGTGTCACAACCAACCCCAATATTCCCATCAAGACATACTGGCAAAGACTAGCTTTAACAACCATTACTGTATCCTCAGGTACCGCGAACGACTCCTTCTTTCAGCATATGTACCAACCGCTTATTATTTTAACCACAATTCCCGCCGTCGCTTGGACGGCTCTTGTTTATGGCATCTTGGTAGCACTAGGAGATGTCATGTCAACTACTATGTCGGCCCAACTGCCTAATCCCCCCTATAACTTCTCTTCCTCTGAGGTTGGGCTCATGAGTCTACCGAGAATGATCGGCGTCACTATCGGCGCCCTCATTGTTGGCCCACTGAGTGATTGGTGGATTATGTTTCTATCTCGCCGGCGGAACGGAATCTTTGAACCGGAGATGCGTCTGTGGTGTATGATTCCCTTCCTCCCATTTGTCGTGGCCGGCGCAGTTGTTTTTGCTATTGGACTCAGTGACAAGCAGCCATGGCCTGTTATTGTCGTCGGCCTGGCATTATATAACATTGGTGTCACCCCTATCAATACTCTCACGATCACCTACTTAACCGACTCATACAAAGATGTAAGTTTCTTCACAGCCCACAATTACCCCAGAAGCACATTCTCACACCAAGGCAGATAGTTGGAGATGCACTAGTGGGCGTTACGCTCACGCGCAATACTTTCAGCACTGCGTTCATCTTCGCGCTCACGCCATGGGTTGCGAAAGTGGGTCTTAAAAATGCGTTCATCACTATCCTAGTCGTCGCAATTGCTATCTTGATGTCTTTTGTTGTCTTCCTTCGATATGGAAAGGCACTGCGGAGCCTTGCTGCTTCTCGGTATCTCCATTTTGCAGCTCGACAATATAAAGGGAGGGGTTTGATTAGTTGCAGATCACTACATGTGAATCGAACGACCCAGGAGCCAGAGTTCGTTGCGATGACCACACTGTTAAATATCCACTCTTCTTTCATATATTTCTGGATTGCCGCGTCTCGCTTCGCAAGCTGAGGCAACTGGGTTACGGGCACGAAAGGCATGGTGTCTTGAAAGGCCCAACTAGTCTCCATCATTTAGTTACGATGTGGTACATATACATCGGATATCAGGCCACGCTCGATAACTTCCCCTTTCCGTTTCAGTACCACTCCCGTTTCTGAATGGGATCGTCAATCAACGAGGGCATTCCTATAAGGACCACCTTTCTTGATGAATGGAACCCCCCCCCCCCACCTGCACCTATCTAACCCTAATTAGCAAGGCGCCATTATTGTATTTCACTGAGCATTATTGGGTAAGTCTTCGGCTGCATAGAAATAAAAGTACCTCAGATTCATGCTAGGGGCATAGTCGATGTTAAGAGCATGAGAAATGCATGCATTTTTTCCGAGTAACGCTCAGTGAGATACAATACTGCGATATACTTGGGCCAGCCACGCGGTGATTTTTGTGTTCTGCTCTCTTCTCTCTCTCCCTCTCTCCTGTCCTCTGTACTTTTTTTTTACCCCGAGCCTCAATCAGCACAACCAGTTTTCTCTCTGTTTCTTGCTTCTTTGTAGTCACTAGAATATATCTGCCTCCCTGCCATAGGTTTCAGTATAACCACCATCTCTCTTCCCAAAACATCGAGAAACAATTTCCTTGATTTTTTCTAGACAACGTTCTTCGGTGTAAATGACGCTTGCTTTTTGACCACTTATCACCCATCGGAAAGCACCCTACGGCAGCTCCGCACCCCATTGTGCAGCCAAAAGACCCTGGAATAAATAAGCTTTGCGTGGCGTATCATAGACATCGTCTGAGTTTTCGGGATCCGAAGCAGCTTTGCAAAATATTTTGCCGGCGTTCAAGATAGTTTCTTTGGTGTCGCAATTATTCGATCCGAATTCCTTGAGACATTTCATTGTGTTGGTAAATCTTTCAAACTTGAGGCAGCAACGGATGATGACGAAAGCAAGAATATGCCTATGAGAAAGTGCATACTTGGTGGTAGCTTTCACTGATTTTTTAGTTAATCTCTTGGATGTGACTGGATTTAGATCTCTTGCCGTGTGGTAGGTGAAATGATAGTCTCTTTATACAATGCCAATGTTGACCTCTATCGAAGGATATAGCTAGCCTTCTTATACGCGGTGCGGTTATGACCACGTCATCAGAATTTCCATAAAATCCATCTCTTCCGTAGTATCGGTTAGGGACACTTTTGCGGCATCAGTAGCATATTTTTATCGTTCCGCAATATTAATTTTTTTACTACGTAACAACGTCATTCGAGAACCCTTTTGGACGATAACTATAGGTTCCCGCTTTTGCCGACCAATTAACAGTGGGAAGACTCTATAATAATCTCGTGGAACATCAAACCTCTGAAACTCTCAAATCTAATTGTGAGAAGATCGACCAGGTACTATGACGATGTCTTCTGTAATGAGCATATCGCTACCTCGATTTATAGAAACAGGCGTAAGGATTGAGGAACTTGTTTATATGCTAAAACCTAGTGTGATAGTTATCAGGGTATCCGGGGCTCGGGTAAGCAAGTCGGACAACGAGTGAGAAGAATTCTTGTTTGGATTCCATGGAGTGAACTCTGGATCTGGTAGAGAAAGATACTAGCTAAAGACAGGATGAAAAATCACGACAGGGAGACTTGCTACCTCGCAGCCGGGAATAAGATACAAAGGCATGCGTATAATTAAATACCCTTTGGGGAGCTTTCCACATGTTCTATCTCCTTCTTGTTCGCTTCAGCCTCCTTCCGCGATTCCGCCACAGCCGTCATGCTGGCATCGTCGCCGTCGAAAACAACCGCAATCTCCTCGAGTGAGTATCCCCGGGTCTCAGGATATGTGAAGTAGATGGTACCCATAATAACCACCAGCAGACAGTTTTAGAAAAAGGTATGCGCTAAATCACATATGGTCAAAATCCGCGAACGCTGATCCCGTAAGTAGTTCCAGCGAATCTACAACGCGATTGGGTAGAGGTAACGGCAACGATCTTCTAGGTCAAACCCTTGTAGCATGTGTATATTGGTTATATTATTATAGAGCTATGTGGGGTTCATTTTGTCCTTATATCCGTCTGATTGAGGCGAGAGTACCGAGCGTTGTCCCATTCAAATTCAAAACTGATGATATATCCAGGATGTTAAACGACCCTAAATACGACAGGACGCAGATAGCGCACGCCGAGACGGAATCAACCTTGCTTCCGCGATACGCTCAAGGGCAACGATATAACCCTCCCCAACGGGAATCTCCTCTTCAAAGCCCACGCCTCGAATCTTGCCAAGACACATCTCGCGGTTGCGTTCAAGAAGTGTGAAACCAGCTTTAACAAAAATCCACGACGAAGAAGGAACATCACGGTGCTCGAGGTTATACGTCTCGCACATCCGTCGGTAATCATCTTGGTGCTCATTCCACCACTCTTCGAGATCCTGCCAGCCCTTCTCGCCTGGTCCGATCCCCTTCAGGCCAAAGTAATCTGCTATGATCGGCCATTTCATAGACCAGGACCCCGGAACATCCGTGTCGGCAATATTGAAGGCTTCGCCGTTCGCCTGCTCGGGCTGGATTACCGATAGGTAGATCTCAGATTTTGAAATAAGATCTTGGGAAGAGTCTGTGAATGTGTAGGTGAAGTTGGTTTTTGTACCGGGGAAGATGACGCTTGCGCCTGGACCGTTGACGAATCGGTAGAGAGCAAGGTAGAGAGCTAGTGGCTCGACGAAGGTCATGCCACTCACATTCGGAACGAATCCTGAACATTTTAATGTAAGAAAGGGAGGAGAAAGGTGGACTGGACTGTAAGTGAAGGTAAAGTAAAGGGGATCTTACCTATGATCTGGTCAGGACGAACCTCACACCACTTCCATGATTTGCCCTTGGTAGCCTCCCTGATCAAATCAACTTGATCATAGTAAAAGATTTCGTCTCCATATGGCGATGGAATTCGGGGATTGTCTTCTTTCAGAGGAGGGTTGATCTCAATCTTGTCCATGTACTGGAACACTGCGACGCCGTAGTTCTATCGAGGTCAGTGTGGCCCAGGCTAAAGTAAGGAATGGAACTTACATTGGTTCCAGTCTGAAGAACTAAGAATTGGAGGCGCGAGCAGAGCGAATCGGTTGCGTGGATGGCATTATACGTCATGTCTTTATTGATATTCTTGATGCCCATCACGTTTTCGGTGTACGCGGTAGCATTGGAGTATGCTATGGTTGGTTAGTATTCTGTTTAATGTTAATGCAAACGATGCATATCGTATCACATACCAAGGTAGTACATATGTGTGACTTGATCTAGACCTGGAACGCGTTCCTGCATCTGCTTCTTCACATTGTCGAGGTCGGTCCGGAGATCCACTCCAGAGTACAGCTCCAGTCGAGGGTCTTGAGGTAGGCCGCTCTCGGCGATTGTCCGTGGACGATATGTTAAACCGATAACCCGATCAAAGGTGGTAGCAGTTGGATAGGATAGTAGATTTTTGGCCACGGCCCATCCGGAGATCCCACTGGCACCAAAGACCAGGGCTACTTTCTTCCCGTCAGACATCATGAGGATTGGTTTTGAGGAATAAGGAGGAATCCAAAATGAACCAGCACCAGTGATATTTCTCCTGAGCTCCAATTTATGTATTTCCGGACCAAAAAGTACCTGGCATCATTCAACCCCCCAAGAGGTATCCCGTGTGCTAAGTTGTAGGCCCACATAGGGCTTCGACGGGGTGAATTGGCTCCTAGAATTCGGCCAAGAAACCGGACTGTACATTACTATATACGCAAGGACGTTGGAAGCCCTGAATGAAACTGATCGTCGAAGCCCGGCCTGGGGGCCGAGTGATTGCTCCTTCCAGAACTGATCGACAGTTTGACGGATGCTAGTCAGATCTTATATTAGCTGAGGGTGGGGATCGGCTTATACTGACTCGAGTTGACTCTAGTTGACTTTAGTTAACCGTGGGAGCCAAGGGTCAATGCCCCGCCGGGGCCGTTCCCGCAGCGGCCCGAACTTCATGACGGGGCAGGGATCGGACGCCATGGCGCAGGACTAGTGTTCATTTCAGGTCCACTTTCAACTTGGTTGGCGAATGCCCCAATTTTAGTCTCGGGGGAAAATGAATGCATCTCCGTACAGTAAAACAATCTAGTTGTATTTTAGGGATCAGACGGGAAATAAATGGGTAAAATTCCACTTCAGTGGAGATTAGAGATGCTCTAAATAACTTGACAGTTAAACGGCTAGACGTAACGTAAAGCTACTAAACATTGGCCATATTGCCTGCAATATGTCAAGCCATAGGCAATCTTATGTAGTTTACTTGTCAGATGATTCAGTTGCGTAGAAAGAACTTCTCAGGTCTTTCTTATTGACACAAAATCCCTCAAAATTTGAGATGTCAATTTGATACAGTACCATGACCGCAGGATTTAGTGGAGACGCATCCATGGAGGTAACTATTCCGACATAGGTAGTTCAGCCGAAACTACTCTGGAACCACGACTATTGGCCCCAGAGACACACTGGAAGGATGAGATGCATGGGGGTCTCTGCAAGAAAAAGGAGCCATTGACTAATGGAAAAAAAAGGCTGAAAAGCTGTGCGGTCCATCGTGGTAGCATCTGTCAACAATGGCATTCTGAACGAGAAATCCTGCAGTTTTACCACCTAAAATGGAATTCTTTATGCCGTCTGGCGTTCTGCAGCGAGCAGGTATCGAATCAGGTACCCGGCAAGCTGCAGTCTTCGGCGTGGGGATAAGCTTCATAGTTTTCATTTCTATCATTATGGCTATACGAATGTGGGTGCGAGTTAAGGTCATTCGAGCAGTTGGAAGTGACGACAGTAAGTTCCTTGCCAGATTCCAAGCCCTATTTAAGCACTAAGGCTAACTACTTTCAAGTTATGATGATCCTGGGAACTGTGTGTGAAGGCCGCTCCTCTCCATGGGCGCTATTGACGAAGAATTGGCAGATATTCACCTTCGGTTTGTCCATTGCTTCAATGATAGGTATCCAAAGACTATCCTACTGATTTTGAATATCACTGACTTGAATCCAGCGGCGCACTATGGTACCGGCAAGCATCGTGCGTTTTACTCCCCTTCTAAGGTCAACCTACAGATCAATTCTAATCCCTTACACAGTCAGTGGTATCGCCGAGGAAGACTATGCGCCAATGCTGAAGGTAATAGAACCATTCGAAAATTTCGAGTCAAGTCGCCTAACAGCCATCTCCTTCAGTCTATCTGGTCAACTCGGCTGCTATACGTGATAGGAATCATGTTTATCAAACTATCCTTACTCTGGTTCTATCTCCGTCTCGACCGGCACGGATATATGAAATGGGCAGTCTATGCCCTATCATTTGTGGTATTGGGATTGTCCATTTCGAGTGCCTTGATTCTAATCTTTTCCTGTTTCCCACCTTCCAAGTTCTGGGACATAACCGGGACTGTTTCCGGGCACTGCATGTCGGCGAGCTCACAGCAAACCTTTTATGAGGCTAACGGTGTTCTCAATATTGTCACCGATATACTCATTTACCTAACTCCCATCCCGATGTTATGGAAAGTGCAAATTCCTTTGGTTCGTCTTGAGATCTATCCCAGCTTTAGAAGAAAGCCGCTTACACTGCGCAGCGCAAGAAGATTGCTCTTACGGGAGTCTTTGGACTTGGAAGCCTTGCTATTGCCGGTAAGACTCATGAGATGCATTTTATTTCAAGGGATGCTAATTGTTTCCAGCGGGTTGCGTGCGATATGTTTATGTGAAGAGGCTAGCGGGTATCAAAGACCAGTATTATGAACTCGCGGATTCCCTTAATTGGTGCAGCATCGAGAATTATGTTGGTGAGTACGAGCAAACTCCCCGGCATCGAATTTGAACTGACGAGGTCTGCTATCCCAGCCATTGTTTGCGGATCAGCACCTTCTTTCTCGGTCCTCGTCAAGACGTACGCTCCCCGTCTTTTCGGCAGCTACTATGGCGACCAAGCATATCAGACTTATAGCCGCTCCCATGATCAACCACTACAACGTATTGTGGATCGCTTCCGTGCAGATGACCCTACCATTACTACTGGAAGCCAAGAGGCCATCGTGCCTACAGGGGGAATCTTGATGAAGACGGATTTGCACATGGAGGTGGGGCCATCTGATCCAACAGAAAATCATATGCGGAGGAATAAGTATGATGGAGGGTTTTAAAAGACTACAATTGTATTTAGTTCTGTAGCAAAATATACAGAAGCGGAGGATAAATTAATGAACTTGATTCCTTTCTATGCACATGGATTCGTAACCTGCATCCAATCATTCTAGCTAAAACTTGTATTGACATGAACTTTTCTATAATTCCAACCTTAAGATGCATAATCTACTCCATCTCAATGGTACCGGGGGGCTTGCTGGTGAAGTCATAGGCGACACGGCACACACCCTGGACCTCGTTGACGATGCGGGTAGAGACCTTGGTCAGGAACTCGTAGCTGAAGGGGTAAGGGGTGGCGGTCATGAAGTCCTTGGTGGAGATGGCACGGAGGAGGATGATGTTAGCGTAAACGCGCTTGTCACCCATGACACCGACGGCGCGGGAGGGGTCCAGAGCGGCGTAGGCCTGGCCGATGTCGTCGTACAGACCGGCCTCGCGGATCATACTGATGAAGATGTGGTCGGCGTGGCGGGCCGCGTCGACCTTCTCCTTGGTGACCTCGCCTAAGACACGGATAGCAAGACCGGGGCCTGATTTTGCCGTTAGCTGTTTGGCCTGAGTTTTTGTGGTCTTTGTGGATACTTACCAGGGAAGGGGTGACGGCCGACAAGCTCGGGAGAGATGTTAAGCTGGCGACCAAGCTCACGAACCTCGTCCTTGAAGAGTTCGCGCAAAGGCTCGATCAACTTCAGGCCGTGACCGGCAATGAGGCGCTCGGCGATACCGCCAACGTTGTGGTGGGTCTTGATGGTCTGGGAAGGTCCCTTGAATGAGATACTCTCAATGACATCTGAGATACGTTAGCATGCCAATCACGAATAAAGAGACATTGAGGACTTACCAGGATAGAGAGTGCCCTGCAAGAACCATTCGACCTTTCCGGCGTTCTTGGCCTCGATCTTGCGGGCCTCCTCCTCAAAGACATCGATGAACTTGCCACCAATGAACTTGCGCTTCTGCTCGGGGTCGTGGACACCCTTCAGGCCAGCCAGGAATTCCTCGGAAGCATCGACAACGGTAAGGTTGATACCGAGCTGCTTCTGGAGAACATCCTTGACGACGGCGCACTCATTCAGACGCATGCAGCCGTTGTCCACCAAGACGGCGTGGAAACGATCGCCGATAGCCTCTGTCATCAGCTTGGCAGCAACGGTAGAGTCGACACCACCGCTGACGGCTCCCAAGACCTGGCCAGTAGGGCCAACCAAGTTGCGGATACGGGTGATCTCCTGGCCAATGAACTCAGACATGGTCCAGGTCTGCTGGGCACCACAAATGCCGACAGCAAAGTTCTTAAGAAGCTGGCCGCCCTGAGGAGTGTCTGATATTTCGTTAGTCCAAGACCAAGAGAATTCTATTTAGAAAACCATAGACTCACGGGTGACCTCGGGGTGGAACTGGATGCCGTAAACGGGCTCAGTTTGGTGTGCGATAGCGGCGTACTCGGAATTCTTGGTTGTGCCAATGGTGTGGAAGCCCTCGGGAAGGTTGCAGAGCTTATCACCATGGGACATCCACACGGTCATGGCATCCTCAAGACCTTCGAAGAGCTTGTCGACATGGCCTCCGAAGCGGGTGGCCTGCAGGTCAGCGTGACCGTACTCGCGAGCGGTACCAGCAACGACGTTGTCGGCGTGCAGACGGTGGGCGATCTCCTGGAGACCGTAACAAATTCCGAGAATGGGGACGCCTAGGTCGAAGAAGGCGGGGTCGATGTGGGGGGCATCCTTCTCGTACACGGAGTAGGGACCACCGGACAGGATAATTCCCTTGGGGCTCCAGCCGAGATCGGCCAGCTTCTGGGTGCAGGGGAGCATCTCAGAGTACACATTGATCTCTCGTAGACGGCGGGTAATGAGGTGGGTGCTGCACGAAGTAGTCGGTTAGACTCGACGAATTGAGACGCAAAGTTGGATTGACCACAAGATTCGATCATCGGTAAGGAGAACATACTATTGCGATCCATTGTCGAGCACCAGGATGGTGTCGAAGCTGTTGTGAGGAATCACCTCAGTCATGGTGATAAGAGTTTGAGTCACACAGTGATCTCAATAAAATTGAAAGGGGTGGAAGTAATCACAGATCAAATGCAATTGACTGTGAAGAGGTATATCGGCCAAATGAAATAACCTCCAGAGGAATATCGCAATGAGTCAAGGGAAGGAAGAAATCTGAGAAACCGATAAGAGAAGAAAAAAAGTGGTACATGGGGAACACCCGCATTCTGCCGCCAATTAGGGTTTCTGATTGGCCAGATATGGTTCCGCTTTCATGACTAATGAGGGGCAAAGTGATAAGGCCCTAAAGCTCTGTTATATACGCAATTGCATTGATCTCTTGTATTTGACACTTGGTGAGATCTACCACTCTGGCTCGCTGTCACTACCGGGGTATGCCTTCTTCCTCAACTTCCATAATGACTTTTCACGCGCAGCAGCTTCACGTTGGTGACGACTGTTGTCTTCCACAACGGTCATCCAGGGCACATTGCTGGCTCTCCGTATCCTCTCGCGCAGAAGAGCAAGAGTTCGGTCATGCTCTGGATCACTATCATTGGCAGAGTCTCCAGTTTTGCGCGACCGGGATGCTGACATCTGGTAACGACGTTCTGCTGCACGAGCGGCATAGTATTCTTCACTGATAGCCCAATTCGGGTTATCAATTTGACCACGAACCAGTACAAGGCCATGGCCTTGCTGAATTGACTTTTCAAGGAGGGAAGAGGGAATAGGCGTGGAGAGTTCAAGCTTGTGCGTAGAAGTATTGATCGAGCGGACCAAAGCTAGACCGAGGCAATGCGACGATCTTGGATCCAAGGGAGTGCAACTGCCGGACCCAACGAAAAGATATGGAAGGTCTTCACGTGTTCGCACAATGCTTGCAGACGCGGCAACCTGTATTGAATCACTCAAACCTGGGTTCTCTGAATCCATGTCCATGTCCGAGTCATTCGAGGCCGCAGGTCTTGCCATTTCACCTGTGATGGCGCTCGGCGATTCCACTGCCACGATACCTACAATAGCTCCTTCGAGAGTTTCTTGCAAGAGATCAGGGTTGATCTGAGATCCCATGACCATGATACCCGTGATTCCTTGCCGTGAGCCCGCGTATTCCACAGTGATAGGTCTGGTACGGGAGAGGGGAACATCCGTCCACAATGGTGTGCTGAGGTCAGTCGGATGAGACATGTGGAAGTATGACTGAATTTGCATGGCGCGTAGTTGAGCGCTTGATCGGCTCACAAAATCGGTGGGCTGCGAAGGAAGAATGGTCATGGGGACGCGAGCTTCACGGGCTGCCAGAGCCAAAGGATCCACGACCTCTGATGGACCCTTTTCGCTCATATAAACCACATCGGAAAGACCGAGTGTTCTGACCAACCATGTTGCAACCTCTAATCCTTGACCAAAGATCCAACCAGGATAGTTGATAATCAGAGGGCACCGAGGATACTTGTCCAGCAACGAGCGATATTGATCCATCAGATCCATGACAGCCATAGCATAGTGGTCCGGGTCTTCTTTGGGTGATGTTGCACCAATATGATGCGCTCGCACCATTTCACCGTCGCGGGATTCGTCCAGCGATGGGTGGGTGAAGGGCGGACCAAAGAATGGAGAGCGCACGCGCGCAAGATAAACCTGGCCCATAGGGGCAAACTCGGGCTGACCTGGGTCTAGATCCAGGAAAGCAACACCGTCCGTATTCGTGTATCCAGTCTCGACCTCAGGCGCAGCACTGAGAACATGGTTCAATAAGTAGCGACTGAACGTAGATTTTCCTGACGCTTTAGGACCGCATACCAGAACACGAAGTCTGCTTTGGCGCTGTGAGAGGGCTTTCATCGAGGCACTCCATTTCTTGTCGAGATGAAGGGGTCGGAGATGTCTGTTCATGGTATCATCTGACGATGTGTACAACTGTCAAATCAAACCGTTAGCCTTGGCTTTGCACTCGAATAAAGGAAAGGCCACTCACAACTGAGAAGGTTCGCTTCGAGTCTTTCGCAGCGCCCTTCAAAGTGATTTTATCTGCAGCTGTGTTCTGACCAGCCCAGATCTTTTGATATAGAGGGGAAAGGTCCCGGAGACGGGCGATGCCGCTGCTGCAAGACTTAAGCTCGACTTCTGCTTCACCGTCAATGCCAGAAACACATTTGATAACTGGCAAGGAGTGTGTCGAGGGAGCATAGACTCTATGCACTTCTGCGGAAGGGTGCAGTTTCGCGCCCATCAGACTAACAACGCCTCTTTTAACCCAAAGTTCATAATGACCAATCAGTGCAAGATTCTGTGCCAAGTCAGCAAGGTCACATCCATCAGTCGGGTAGTTTTGTACATACTGCTCTCTCCTTGATACGGACACAGAGAGTGTTACCGTCACTGTAAACAATGTTGTTCTTGTTCAACCGAGCCTTTGATAGAGGGAAGTTTTGGAGTTCTGCTGGAATTTCCGCGGGCGATTCATAGCCATCGGCATCACCCGCGACAGATGCAACTTCGTCCTCATCCATTTCATCGGCATTTGCGACTTCCTCTTGCTCGGACTCAACGTCTGATTCCTCGGGGGCATTCTCCGGCTCCGGCTGGGCTTCAGACTTATGAGACCGGGTGACCCTTGTAGGCTGTTCTGGCGTTTTCTTGGCAGGCAATGGCTCATCTTGTTTCTTTGCTGCCCTTGTTCGTGGGTGACGCTCTCCATTTGGTTCAGTCTCGGCTACTTCGAGGGATCGTCGCGGCTTTTTCGAGGGCGGCTCGCTTGCAGCTACAGCTTGTGGCGCCGCTTTTGGTACGGCTGGCTCCAGCGCTTGTTGCTGGCGAGCTTTGCGCGCAGCGAAGGCTGCGAAAGCGCTCAGCGGAGCTAGAAAACGACAGGCGTGTTAGCTTTACATTGGCGTCGCGGGGCATGGATATGTGAAGCTTACCACCTGCTTGTTGTTTCTCGGCCTTTCTCTTCATTGTATGCAATTGACCGTAGTGAGAGTTAGAGAGAAATCGACCGTTTTGATAATGCGGTCCAAGGCCGATAAGCAAAAAAAGTTGGCCTGTGGTCCGTGCTCCCGCGGAGCAGAAAAAAGATCGGCCGTTCAATTCGAACATTCTCACTCAACGTCAACTATTGCGGAATTGCGGGTTCGCAATTATAATCCCTGGAAAAAGTTTTGACCGCTTCACTGAATTTGCATCGTGGGACTTGGCTGCGCCAGCACTCCGCGCATCTCTTGCGAAAGCATCATCGGTCTTCGTTTTGCCCGATACCTTGAACAGCCGCCATGGCATCCGATAGCGATAGCAGCTCGAGCAGGTCGACCTCGCCCGAGCCTACGACTAAGCAAGAAAAGAACATGAAGAAACTCTCGAAGGCACAGGAATCAAGCTCAGATGAGACCTCGAGCTCGTCGGGCTCAGACTCCGACAGCGACTCGGACAGCTCCAGTGAAATGAAGCCTACAACCTCGGGCGAGAAGTAAGCGGTTCTCAATTCTAATACCAACATACAATGAGACTAATCTATGCACCTTCAGGGTCTCAATTTCCGGTCCTCAGCCCTACAAGCCCCCCGCGGGCTTCAAGTCTGCAAAGAAGCAAGCCCCGCCATCCTCCAAAACTACCTCCCTTCTCTCCAACCTCAACGGCAAACAAATCATCCACCTCACAGCCCCTGCCTCTCTCCCATTGTCCAAAGTTAAAGAGGTGACCATGTCCAAGGTGATGCAGGGCGAGCCGATCCTCAGCCATGACGGCGTGAACTACGGTATCCCCACCGAATCTTTCTCAGAGGCCGGCCTCCCCAACAAGTCACTTCTCGTTTTTGACGAGAAGTCACAAACCTACCGCACCGCAGCCGCTAGCATCCCCAGTTTCCACGTCCAGGAATTGATCGATCTCCCAAGCTCGGAAAAATCAGACGCCGCAGTGGCAGCACTGCGCGAGGTAGTCAAGCCCGCCAGGCCTCAACCAAAGCACTTGAAAATGCGATTCCGACCTGTCGGAACTGCCGCTGCTGGCCCAGAAACCTTCGGCTCCAGCTCGGAATCCGAAGCTGAAGTGCCTTCGTTCAAGGTGCCCAAGGGAGAGGAGCGCAAGCGGAAACACGATCACACTGAGGCTGATGCTCCTCAAGCGGCGGCTGTGCCTCGCAAGAAGTCAAAGAAGCGCTCGCAAGAGAATGGCGATGATGAGACAAGGCCTAAGAAGTCTAAAAAGTCCTCCAAGGACAAGGAGGAGAAGAAGCGGAAAAAGTCCGAGAAGGCATGATCTGGCGTTTGGTTTTATGTCTAGCTTTGTTTTTACGACATTTTACAAATATTATGTACAATTTACAGTTTCATTTCCCTTGGTATTCCCAAGGTCGTTGCGTTGTGAGTTTCACTAAGAGGGCATTTATATTTCGATCTTCCAATGATCTTGCAAATAGCGATTGCAGCTCTAAGCTGATGTCGAGAAGTAGATCCCCGGCATGGGTACCACGTTCACCTTTCAATGTTCCACAGACCGATGCTTGAGGTTTGCATGGAAGTTCTCATGCACACTGACGATCTGAACTTTCTTGCCATCCGCATTCAGCACGCCTCCTTTCTCACTATCGTCAGTCGAGCTACGCTCCGCAATTTCCCACTCAGTACCAGCAGCAATTTCGAGATTCTTGCCGCGAGTTTCTTTGACGAAAACCCAGCAGAAGCCAGCAGCTACGATGTCAAAGCCCATGAAGATCAGAAAAGTGTTTGCGCCAACGTTTTTGATCATGTAGGGACTCGCGAACGAGAAGCAGAAAGATGATGCCCAGTGAGCAAGCATGCTGACTGCCAACCCTAGAGCTCGAATCCGCGTTGGGAATATCTCCGGTACATAGGCCCAAGGCAATGGACCCCAAGAGCAGTTGTAGATCTATTGGTAGATTAGCAAATATCCTGTGCGTCTAGATGGAAAATGAATTGACTGACCATAATGTCAAGATAGATCATAGCAACCGTCGCCCTTCCAGCAGAGGTAACATTAGTCGCAGATTGAGTCGGGATGTAATCGACAATGAGTGCAGTGATGAGCATGCAGATGGCCATAAGTGCAGCGCCACCGGCGAGCGTCATACGGCGACTAAATCTCTCAGCCAGTACCCAGATGAAAAAGGTACTAGCAATGACCTTGACGGCACCAAACAAACCAGTCAACAGCATGTTACGGTTCGTTCCACTGCCCGCAATCAGCTTGAAATACTGTGGTGCGAAAACCGCCAGTGCACTGCTGCCCGTGGCATTTTGAAAAATGAATAGCAGAGGCCCAACAATGAAGCGGAGTCGATTGGCTGGCTCGAGAAGCTCTCGGTATGAGAAGCCCTTGCGCTCTGCCTGCTCAGCCTGGAGTCCCAGCTGGGTCTCTGTGAACTCTTCACGGGTCTTGATGCCTTCGCCGCCGCGAATCCAAGTAATGGACTTCCAGGCCTCGTCGGTGCGGTTTTGTGTCAGTAGCCAACGGATCGATTCCGGTAAGGTGAAGGAGCCGATGAATAGGATTCCTCCTGAGATCAGTTGCAGTCCAACGGGGATCTGCCACTCGCGAGAAGTGCCCGCGATGGAGTTGCTCTTGGCTACACCCTGCTTGGTGGTTAGTGTCGTTGATCCTTTTTAGGGCTAATGGTAGAGTTAAGACCCACATAGTCAATCCAGTATGCTGTGAACACACCCCATGCATAGAGCCATTGGTAGAAAGAACCACATCGACCACGGATCTCTTTTGGTGTCATCTCTGCTGAGTACATGGGAATTACCACACTCTGACCACCCATGCCCAGACCAGCAATGATACGGCCGATATACCAAGCTGCGAGGGAGTGGGTTTTGATGACTTGGATTATGACGCCTATGATGAAGAGAGCCGTTGAGCCGAGGATGGTGAACTTGCGTCCATATTTGTTGGTCAGTGGGTAGATCACTGCAGCTCCAATGAAAGATCCCAGTTGCTCCAACCCAACTGTGAGCGAGGATACCTTGGACTGGGATTCAGTCTCGTAGCCCAAGTCTGCTTGGAAGGATTTGTAGGTTAGGATACCACCTGCAACACCCGAGTCGTACGCAGATAGGAAAGAGGAGATGCTGTAGAAAGTATATCAGTTTCTATCATGATATCACTGTCCATGAGCTGACATACAAAACAATGGCTGCCAAATGATAGGCACGGAAGGTGCCAAGACGGGTGTTCAACTCTGGAATCGTAAAAAGCCCCATTGCTGATATATGTCAAAGCCAGAGAAAGAGAGAATGAAAGAAAGAAGCCAGGAAATAAGAAAAGATCAAGCACAGGGATATTTCTATCCAAGGGGCCTACTCTTTAGATTGGGCTCTGTTTGAGTTCCAGCAAAAGGCCAAGGCGACATGGCTGTTGCTTCGCATATAAAGGCAAAGCTTCTACATAGACATCTCTATCTCATTGTGGGTAGATACAAGGATGTTCTTGCGTGCTGGGTGTATACTTCCGCCAGCCGATAGCCGATGTATGCTTGCTCGCCTCTAGAGCACGCCTTCGCGCTCAGCGATGGTGCTATCCTCATAGTGACTGTAACCACATATTCTAGGGGATCCTCACAGCATATCAGCTCGGGCTGAAAGGATTTGACAACGCGCGTCCGTTCGCAATGCCTTCGGGGTGATTGTTGATGCAACGTGCTGGGCTAGATCCAGTACTTTGTAAGGGGTTTCGTCGGCTGACTTGGGTCTAGACTTACGCCTTGAGAGAGGCCGTAAATATTCGCGAGCTAAAACGCACTCCCGGGCTGCTCATATACATAGGCTTAGGAGTCGAATGTGATGATTTATATAGAACCTGCTCCATCTATAATCAACATATCTCCGACATTAAGGCGATCCCCAGATGCTTAGCACTCTATGTTGACCCACTCCTCTATCATTTCTTGCTAAGACAAAGAGATATATGGTCTTTGGATCATCCCAGATCTAAGGATAAGTGAAACTAAAGCAAGGAGATGCTAAGAGAACATATATGTGGATCGCCCCGGGTCCTGGATGGCCACAGGCTGGGGTACCTTGGTGACATAAGCATCACCTGATTGCATCACATGCGATAGCTAATGGTCTCCTTCGTTTCTTTGTATCTGTATTGTCTCTGACCTCTGAAGAAAGCGTTCTGTATTCCTTGCTTCATTTATAGACATAGCGCTTGGTTGGAGTGTGCATGATTTGACAGCTTCAAGCCCGATATCATCTCCGGCGCCCAAGCTCCAAGTGCTTATCGGGGATCCTCCGTACGTTCCACCTTAGGCATTCCACGTTCATCGGCTGACCGCATTAGCATGACAGAGTCATTTGCAGGTCTAGCTTGACGTGTTCTAACTCCTGACTGGTGCAGTGTCTATCGCCCTATCAGCACCGGCCATTCACCTGGCTCGAACCTCTGACTGCCCGACCGGTGATTCACCACAGTTTAGCATCCATCGTCCTTGACCTGTATCCGACTATATCAGTATATCAATAAAGATGAGACCATTAAGAGACGATACCAGACGCCGGGCAGACCGGCAGATGAGCGCAAGTATGAAACCGACTTCGTCGAGCCGTCGTCCATTTTCAGACCGTATACCAGAGAGATTCAAGGATGGAGATGATGCACAGTTTGATTTCACAGCTCCGCCGCGGGGGATGGGAACACGGGATGGAAATGTGCACTATATGCAACAGTCGCTTTTCTCCATGATTGCCGCTGTTGGATCTAAGTCGGACTTTCATACTCGGTTTGATGAATCAAGCGATAGTGATGCGGAGGAGGATGTGGATGAGAAGTTGAGGATTTCTAAAGAGAAAGTGTCATCGCGGGCGCCGACGACATCATCGGCGGTACCAACATCATCTCGCGCGCCGGCGACATCTCCTGCACCACCGTCAGCCCCTCACCCACCGATTGAACCCTCTGAATCAATACTATTCGGAACAGAAGAAAGAGGCCGTCGCCATCGGAGAGCATTGACTGACAATAAATTTCCACAACGGCCACCACTGTTGGACTCGAAAGACGACGCCGAGTCGTCCCCGAGCTCGATACTTATGGCTCCTACCCCGAGACGAACTCGCAGTGCCACGCCGAGAGCAGCCCCCGTTTTGAGTCGCATGGTAGAAGCACAAACCCACTTTGATTCCTCAACCGGACCGCACTCACAATCCAACTCTTCCAACCTCGGCGAAACTATGGAAGAGTCGCACTCGTCTGCGTCAGCTCTTTCTACACGGCTGATGGAGATGTTTGGGTTTGCACAACCTGAAAAGGTTTTAGTCGAATATGCTTGCTCACTCCTTCAGAGCATGCTTTTACAAGGCTACATGTATGTGACTGAAGGTCATATCTGTTTCTATGCCTATCTTCCAAAGAAATCGAATGTGGCGATCAAGTCCGGGTATCTGGCCAAGCGCGGTCGCAAGAACCCCAAGTATAATCGCTATTGGTTTGCTCTGAAGGGCGATGTTCTTTCATACTACCCAGATCCTTCGAATCTTTACTTCCCCAGCGGACATGTGGATCTTCGATATGGGATCGAAGCGTCTCTTGCAGAACGCAAAGACGGCGACAAAGACAGCGATGTCAAAGACTTTCAAGTCACCACAGACCAGGGAACATATCTGTTTAGGGCAGATAGTTCCACCAGTGCGAAGGAATGGGTGAAAGCTATCCAGAAAGTCATCTTTCGGACGCACAATGAAGGAGACAGCGTCAAAGTCTCCTTCCCGATTGAGAATATCATTGATCTGGAGGAGAGTCCAATGGCGGACTTTGCCGACACATTTAAGATTCGAGTTGTGGATAGCGGCGAAACATATGCAATTGATGAGGTATGTCGTGGGTCAATTAATGGAATGAGTTCGTTCATTGCTGATCCAGTATAGTACTTCTTTTCGTTCTTCGACTCGGGCCAGGATGCATTCAACTACATCAAGAGTCTGGTGAATGCGACGAGTATGAATGCAGTGGAAGGGTCACCCAAAAATCAAGAGTCAAATCAAATGAGCCAGAGAAGGCAGACCGGCAGTCGAGTCGCAGGTCAAAGACCAGATACTTCACCCTTGAAGAGAGGCTCAAGTGATGGACATGAAAACCAATCAGCGGATTCGTTTGCCGAACATGGGACAGCATCTTCTCCCATTGTACAGTCTATGACAGACACGGCCGAATCTGCCAGTCAAATACTGAACCGAAGTGATGTTTTCCACTCACCTACTATGCGCGCAATGCGAAGACGCTCGTCAGATGTTGGAGAGACTATCCGACGCTCCGACGAGACAACTCGCTCTGCTTCTGCGCAACTGGACTTGGACCGAGCCGGTCGGGCTATTGACAAGAGTGATGCTCTTGATCAGTCCGATGTAATGCAGGCATCTAGCCTCGGCTCAGTTGCTCATCTTAACGACCTCGTCAAGGCGGGCGCTTATCCTTTCCAACGCGCAGCTGGATTTGCAGACTACGTGAAAAACCGCTCGAGACAGATGAGCACCTTGTTGGCAACAGAGTCAATGGGTTACATTGAAAAGGTTTCTGGTATGTGGACCGGTAGCCAGAAACATTACGGTGAGCGGGAAGGGCCATTACAAGGCCAAAGCGTTGATGCAGAGGATGAAGGCGAAGGTGGACTCAATCATGGGGATCGATTCCGTGCCCACTTTGCTCTTCCGCCAACTGAAAGATTGCAGGCGACATACTATGCCTACTTGCATCGTGTGCTCCCGCTTTACGGCAAGATCTACATCAGTCAGAGAAAGCTTTGTTTCCGCAGTCTGATTCCCGGGACCCGGACTAAGATGATTTTACCATTCAAAGACATTGAGAATGTTGAAAAGGAAAAAGGCTTCCGTTTCGGATATCAAGGACTCGTCGTCATCATCCGTGGGCATGAAGAGCTTTTCTTTGAGTTCAACGCTTCAGAAGCACGAGATGACTGCGCAGTCACATTACATCAAAACCTTGAGTCTGTGAAATACCTGGTGGAGTCTGGCTTGCTTGCAGAAGAGGAAAGGGACGAAGTTGAGGCGGCCAAGGCTGAACACCGCATGCTCCAGGAAGCCAGATTGGACAGCCCCGAGGAGCATGACACACGTCCTACGCTAAATGAAGACTCATCCGAGATACACCCGTTCTTTGATGACCCTCGCGCCTCTATAATAAATTTCAAACCCGCCGAACCCCTCCGAATCACTTGCCTGACCATTGGCTCTCGAGGTGATGTGCAGCCGTACATTGCACTTTGCAAAGGACTACTCGCAGAGGGACACAAGCCGAAGATTGCAACACACGCTGAATTTGAACCATGGATCAGAAAACATGGGATCGACTTCGCACCTGTTGACGGTGATCCTGCCGAGCTGATGCGCATTTGCGTTGAGAACGGAATGTTCACATACTCCTTCCTCAGAGAGGCTTCACTCAAGTTTAGAGGGTGGATTGATGATCTTTTATCATCAGCATGGAGAAGCTGCCAAGGCAGTGATCTCTTGATTGAATCGCCAAGCGCCATGGCCGGAGTCCACATTGCAGAGGCTCTTCGAATCCCCTACTTCCGGGGCTTCACCATGCCGTGGACGAGGACCAGGGCGTACCCGCATGCATTTGCGGTGCCAGAAAACCGAATGGGCGGAGCATACAACTACATTACATACGTCATGTTCGACACCATCTTCTGGAAAGCCATCGCAGGCCAAGTCAACCGCTGGCGGAACAGAGAGTTGGGACTGAAGGCTACCACGCTAGACAAGATGCAGCAGAACAAAGTCCCATTCCTTTACAACTACTCGCCTTCCGTGGTGGTCCCTCCTCTCGATTACCCGGATTGGATTCGCATTACAGGATACTGGTTCCTGAATGAAGGCTCAGACTGGACCCCACCAGCTGACCTGTTGAACTTCATCCAACGAGCCAGAGCAGACGGCAAAAAGATCGTGTACATCGGCTTCGGATCCATAGTCGTTTCAGACCCGTCTGCCCTGACACGGACCGTCATCGAATCAGTCCAAAAAGCCGATGTCCGCTGCATCCTCTCAAAGGGTTGGTCAGATAGACTAGGCGATCCAGCCAGTGCAAAGCCCGAAATTCCTCTCCCACCAGAAATCTTCCAAATTCAAGCTGCGCCCCACGATTGGCTCTTCTCTCAAATCGATGCCGCAGCTCACCACGGCGGAGCAGGAACTACTGGCGCAAGTCTCCGAGCCGGCGTGCCTACCATAGTCAAGCCATTCTTCGGAGACCAGTTCTTCTTCGGTGGCCGAGTGGAGGATCTAGGCGTTGGAGTCTGCATGAAGAAACTAAATGTCAGCGTCTTCTCAAGGGCACTCTGGGAGGCTACGCACAGCGAACGCATGATTGTGAAGGCGCGCAACATGGGCGTTCAAATCCGAAGTGTAAGTTGCTCCACTATTCCAGCCAAGTGTGAGGTTCCTGATACTAATTTCGTTATAGGAAGATGGCGTGGCAACTGCCATCCAGGCCCTCTACCGTGACCTTGAATACGCAAAGACATTGGCTCGACAGAAGTCTCTTATCTCATCTACCCCCTTCTCTCCTACCCCCACTGCAAAGGCCTCACCTGATGGAGGCGATGATGATATTGATGATATCGAGGAGTGGACTTTTGTTGGTGATGAGACTGGCATTGATATCTCGAAGCGGGTGCGCGAGCGAGCTGCTTCGGATGCTGATAACCTTGCTTCAACCCTAACATGATCGAATATTGTGTTGCAACCTTGGAAGCTGAAGTCGGATAGTTGGTCAGCACCTCTTGTGTTGGGCGATGTGATTGGTGTTTCTGTTTCTATTTCTATATCTTCTTCGGTTCATCGATTCTGTTGCGTTTTAATTTTCTTTACTGGCCTGTTCACGAATCATGACTTGCATTTCTTTTTCATTCTGTGCATGAGGCGTTCTTCTTTTCTATATATCACCAGGTACCAGGCTTGATCAAGGCTCCCATTACGAGTCTTTAATATCCACGACATTTGATGTTTCTGATTGATGCGTTCCTCCGATTTGACATTGAATCCCAGATGAAAGGACTGGACTGAGTTGGGGCGCATGGACATTACCAAAGAACAGGATAGATGGCAATAATTCTATAAGATTGATATTTTCCTGATACTCATATTCATATTTTCATACCAAATCCAATCATCCCCCAGCCACCAGGGCGCTTAATCTTTTATTATTTCTTTTCATCGTCTCCTTTCCCTTCAGCCTTGTCTTTGCGTCTTTGCACAACATCCCAGTTGTACACTCGCGCCGTGGCAACCTCCAATGTCTATAGGGTGAGGCTGTCAGTAACAAGACCAGATACATATATAGATACCTCGCAACTGCATAGATATATCTATACGTGAAAAGGGGAAATACGAACCGTAATCTGCTCGCGCAAGAATTCCAGATCCTCCTCGCAGTTCTTCAAGCTAGACTGCGCAGCCGTAAGCTTCTCATCCAGCATAGTCTCCGCCTCGCCGAGCGGGTACGCAAGCATGACATTCGCTCCGAGCCAGAGGTAAACCTCCTCCGCATCAGCGGGGGAGATGGAAGCGCGAGCGTAGAGGGTATCATTGAGTTCAAAGTTCGTCTGGAGGTCTGCGTCGGGGTTTGACTAGAAATAGTAGACGAACATCAGCATTCCGTTCCGAGTCTTCTTTTTATTTTCGCCATATGATATTTTTTCCTTCGTCTTTAATCTCCAACACTACTCCGTGGTAGGTGGTGCAGGGCAATTACCTCCTTGCGCAACTTCAAAAACCGAACCATCTCAAGCGTCTTCTTGATATCGGGGATCTTCTCGCGCAGTCCCTGGGCGCGGCGTTGGGTGTTGACCTCCATGAACTGGTACTTGGAGATCATCTCCTGGAACGAGCGGAGGGTAGGCTCGACCTCCTCGCGGGAGGAGACGTAGTCGCTGACATTGTCGATGAAGGGGGCGACGGGGATTCCGCGCGGGTTGGTCTGTGTTGTTGCGGTGCTGGTGGAGGGGTTAGTTTGGGGATTGAGATGAGATGAGATGAGATAAAAGGGTGGGGGATAATGGGGAGAGGCGTTCAATGAGAGAAAAGGATAAGGTAGACAGGGGAATTGTAATTTTAATTGACCGTACCTCTTTTTTGAGTCCGCCATGGCTGCGAAGATGTTAAGAAGAGAAGATGACGATGTGGGGAGGGAGCTTAACTGCCACTTTCGTTCCGCCTGCTAACTTATCTCCGCTACCTTCCCTTCCTCCCTACAACCTACAGTCCACAGTCTACAGTGACTGGACTGTACTGAATACCCAGAATGGTCCTCCTCGTCACAACAGACCGCATTCTCGCCGCGCTAGACACAGTCCCAGCTTCGCGCCGCGAACAACTAAACCTCCCAGCCAAGCTGGAAACCAATGGTCCGATAGCTCACGAGCAACTAATCCGATTATCGAGATATCTCCAAACGGACCCGGAGTCCGAATACAAAGACGCAACAGCGTCCAGCTCATCAATTCTCAATTCCCTCCTGCGCGGCACGAAGGTCTATGTACCGCCGCCGCCGCCGAAGCCTGAGCCGGTATGTGCATGTGGTAACGCGACAGCTACACATCAACATCTACATCTACATATACGCACAATCAAATCAAATACAAATATAAACAAAACTAACGCCCGTTACCAAATAGACACCAGAATACCTAGCCACAAAAGCAACCCTTCAAGCCCAAGTCGACCAAATAGCCTACAACCGCCTCCTAAACCCAACAGCAAACCAAACACCCGACCACCACGATCCCTACAACACGACCTCCTCCTCCGGATTCAGTAGCGCCGGCGATCAAGACACGCTCACGCCATCGCTGGTGATAAACATCTTCCTCTCGGTCGTTATAACCGGTTTCAGCGTGTACTGGGCTCTGACGAAGTTTTCTACGCCGGATATTTTGTATTCTGGGTTTGCGTCTTGGACGGCGGGTAAGAGTCATAGGGGTAAGAGTGGTGGTGGTGGTGGTGGGGATAGACAGGGAATTTCCGAGGCTGTGCGTGTTTTGCTTGCTTTCTTTGCTGCTTTGGCGGTTGCGGTTGCTGAGGCGTTTTTGTATGCTGCGTACTCTGGGAAAGTTGAGCGGGCGAGGGTTAAGGAGAGGGGTTTGAGGGAGAGGAAGGTTTTTGTTGGGAGGGTTGGGGAGGATGGTGGTGAGGGTGAAGGTGAGGGTGAGGGTAGAGGGAGAAAGAAAGAGGGAGGGGAAGGGGTTAGTGTTGATGTTGGTGATGGGAAAGAAGAGATTTGGGGGAAGGGCGTTAATGGTGGTGTTAGGAGGAGGGTTAGGGAGAAGTGGGAGAAGGAGAGGAATGGGGTGGCAGAGTGATTTGAGGCCTAACCAGCTAACCAGTGTGTAAAGTCACAGTTTGTATAATAGCTTAATTTATATCTGGAATACATGTACACATAACTACAGTAGAAACGGTTAGGTTGAATGCTCTTGGTATTCTATGCCTAAGCTGTAACAGTCATTAATCTAATACGGATGCTATGTGGTCGTTAGTTCTCGTTAGGGCTCGTCCACGCGAGGTCGAGATGCAAGATGAGAAAAAGAAAAGAGAAAGAAAGGAAGACATAAAGAGAAGGGATATCTCAAACCCGTTTCTCAAGGAGCAGCTTGCCGTGAGGAGTTTCACAGTCAAAGCCCTGCTCACGGCTAAAGACCCGCTCACCACGCAACCAAGTCTCGCGAACCATACCGCGCAGCGTACGGCCCTGGTAGGGCGAGCACTTGTTACGGAAGAGCATGGTAGAAGGCTCGACAGTCCACTCGGCCGAATCATCAAAGACACAGATATCAGCATCGAAGCCGACGACCAGGTCACCCTTCTGCGATTGCAGGCCGACCTGGGCGGCGGTATTGGCGCAGCAGAGACGGACGACGTCTTGCAGGGCGTTCTTTGTGTTTTCATCTTCGGGGGAGGAGGTCAGGCCCTTGCGGCGGCTGAGGTCTGTCCAGAGGATCGGCAGGCCCAGGCCGACGGAGGAGATGCCACCCCAGGCTGAGAAGAAGTCGCCCTTGTCCTCGTCCTTCTTGGTGGTGCTGGTGCAGTGGCCGGGGACGTGGGGTGGGAGTTGCTTCAGGTCTGGTGTGCAGGGGGAGTGGTCTGAGACGACGGTCTTGATGACGCCGTCGCCGGAGTGCTTCTCTAGTTCTTCCCAGAGACCGTCTTGGTTGAGCTTGGAGCGGATGGGTGGGCAGCACTTGTGGCGGGTGTCGCCGTCGCGAACTTCTTCGGCTGCTAGGGAGAGGTAGTGGAAGCAGGTCTCGGCAGTGATCTTGACGCCGGCGGCGCGGGCTTCCCGCAGTAGAGGGATGGCTTCCATGGCTGAGAGGTGGACGATGTGCAGGGGAAGATTGGGGGCGAGGTGAGCCAGGGCCAGAATGCTTTCGATGGCATAGGTCTCAAAGGATGAGGGTCTCGAGGCGAGGAAAGTAGCATACGCCTCGAGAGGGCCAGTTGGTGCGGCCGGAGCATCAGACTTCTGGACTTCATCACCCACGGATGCAGTGATAGGGGGCACCATCTCAGCGTGGAACATGAGGGTAGTAGGCTCATCAGCCAGCTCGGCCATGGCCTTTTTAATATCTTCCGTGCTGACAGCAGGGAACTCATCGACCTGTCTATAGTTAGCAAACAAAACCCCACAGGGACTTGGTATTAAAACTTACACCACTGTCAATTAGGAAGCCCTTGAAGCCACGGACACCCTCCTGAACAAGAGCCTTGAGCTCATTGGCATTGCCGGGGATAATACCACCATAGAAGCCAACATCCACCCAGCATTTACCCTGAGCAGCCTGAATCTTCTCCTTCAGACCGTGCACAGTAGTGGTGGGCGGGATAGCATTGAGAGGCATATCAATCACGGTAGTGACACCGCCAAAGGCAGCAGCCTGGGTGCCGGTGTAGAAGCCCTCCCATTCGGTACGGCCCGGCTCGTTCAAGTGAACATGAGCATCAACCAGACCGGGCAGCAACACATGCGGCGAGTAGTCGGTGTAGGGAGTATCAGCGGGGAATTCCGAAGCCGGAATCACGGAATCGAAGACGGCGGTGATCTTGCCGGTTGTCCGTGAGATCACGACGGTGGCAGCAGTCAGACGGCCGGAGATAACGGCGCGCGACGAAGCCACAACGGCAATCGAGGGCATGTTAGCGGACGCCATAGTGAATGATTGATTTTTTGCTTGCAGTATACTCTAGCCGTGGCGGTCACAGAATAGGAATAGAGGGACGTCTGGGGTATATAAGAAAGCTGGAGAAGATAAGCCGACGAGATAGTATTGGAGCAAGCCAGGACAGAGATAAGGGGTCTGCTGCATATAAATAACCCAACCGCCTCGAAAAATCGGCATGGCCCACCTCTATTCTCTCCACCCTTCAGTTGCCATTACTCGATCGATTGAACATCCCGACGTCGGGTGGTCACGGCCGGACAGAATGGGCTCGAACGCGGCTCATGACCACGAATACCCTCAACCTTGCCGGATCAGGATGCGCACAGGGCTCCTCAATGGATAAGAGTCGCTCGATTCCGTCCCCTGCAGATGTACCTGTATATGCCTGTATGTATACTTTGACAGGCCAGGGGTACTGAATTTGCATGTTGCACCCATGGAACAGCGCCACCACAACCGACGTGGTTGGGCGAGCGGCGGATGCAGCGAAAATTTGCATCGGGCACCTCCGATGCAATGCGGGCAGTTCCTGCGCTTATCAATGGCCGTCGGATCCGCGTTATCAGCCCTTTACTCGATCAAAACTGTCGGCTTTTGCTTCTTACTCGATGGAAACCACCTCTGTCGGCTGAGAGACGTTTCATCTCCGACAAGCGTAGACGCCACTCATCTAAGGTGGACTCTGGAGTTCTCATCGAGTAAAGTGGTCGCCATATCTGTTTCATTTTCCGGATGAAATGAAGAGGTTGAAGAGGAGAACTGGGAATTTTGCGGGGTTGGCATGTTGAGGGAATCAGGGATTCTTCAGGGATGAGGTGAGTCTGTGAGTGGTCCAACTGCTGAATGTGACCTTCCGGTTTGGCCTTTCTCTTCTTTGCGTTTACTCTGGTTGCATCTCTACTACAACGTCTACTACAGCTCTACAATAGACAGATATTTTGAGAAAAATAAGGGTTTGAATTCATTAGGCCCCTTTCCCTTTTTCTGGGGTTTCTCTTATTTCCGCCTTGGTTTCGGCTCAGTCTCGTATACCAGAGGCCACCCCGTTAACGAGGCATGCACCCCGTAATGGCCTGCATGAGTAGCCATAACCCCTCTGATGGCCACATGAATGAAATGTGCAGCGTAAAGTAGAGATCTAGGCCATCAGAGGGGTTGCTGTGACAGCCTCACAGCGCAGCATCAACCTCCCCCACCGCGACGACCTCGCCGTCGTCGTCACACGCACTCTTCTCAGCGGCGACACCACCTTCCTCATCCACGCTGTGCGCGCCATCACCGGCCGCCTCCAACGCCTCCAACGCCTCCAGAAACCCATAGACCCGGCCCATTGTTGCGTTGATGTGGTTTTCGGGCGTAACCACATACGCATCATTGGGCGCATGGCCGAACAGCGACAGCTCCCACAGGTATTTGCGCTCTAATTTATCCCGAGGACCGCACCAACTCAGGCGGAGCAGATTGCACAGCACGTATGAGCTGGCCCAGTCATGGTCAGCTGGTGGTCCATTGCGATCGGCTCGTTCGAGCATGTAAGCTTCGCCTTCGACGAGGCAGGGGACCTCCTTCATGGTTGGGTTGGCGTGCATCAGCTTCATCCACATCAGGACTTTGTCCAGACTACGCGGCAGCATGGCGTTTATGTGCATGGTCTCACCGGCTGCATAGCAGTTGCAGCCCCGGGCCCCGATGCCAATCTCGTGCGAGCCCAGAGGAAGGTCGGATCGGACCCAGCCGCGGCAACGGTCTCGCATGAACGACGCGAATGAGTTTGGGAAGCGCAGGTCCGGAATGGTGGCAGGGTCGAAGATTTGACGGGGATCGACGAGGGTCATGTTCGAGATGAACGTACGCCAGAACGTCCCTATTGAGAGGATGGGTTAGTATGTGAAGCCCTAAGGTCTGTTTCGGAGAATGCACTCACAGTTGTCTTTCAGGAACTTGTACATGGCAAAGCCGCCCTCCGCGATGCCCAAGACATCGATCTGGGTGTTTCCACGCATCAGAGGCATGAGGATGTGCTCAAAGACATACTCCGTGTGCTCGTACGGAGTGCGGTTTCCGGGGATTTCATTGCGACGAGTGGGGTCACGAACAGGACTGATCAGAGAGGGTGCGTCACGCAGCCGGAAAGTCTCGAGGGACTCAGCAAGCTCTGTCTGGGGATTCCAGAAGCGTTGAGCAGGGTTCAAGACGACAAGAGCCATGTCTCCGAGAAGGCTGCCCTGGGTCAGACACATTACCAGGCGTAGGATGGTGCCGAAGAAGAGACCTTCCTCGAGAGTGTCGAGGTATGAGAAAATCCCCATGTCTTCGGTTTCGTCGCCGCACACGACGACAATGCGCTTGGCAATTTCCAGGTTCTTGGTCACAAGGACTTTCGTGCGTGGTCCGCCCTCGACGTCGGCATCTACAGGAATGGTCATGGTTTCTATGCCCATGGCAGCCAGATCGAAAAAGACCAGACGGCGAACGGCCTCTGTGGTTGTGGTTTTGTCAGTTGCTGTTTACCTCGAATGGTGTATCCCAACATGGATACGGGTGAGGGTACTCACGTTGAAGTGCATGCGCTTCCAGCTTTGCGATGCGCTCATCCTTGGACTTGTCAAAGATGAAGCCTTCCTCAGGGTTGCTGATCTTGCGAATGCGGCCAGTCTGATTGACGAAGTAGCTGCGCCGGTTGATCTTGTGTTAGCATGGGGGAATATGAGGTTTCATCAGAGACAGGACGGGGTCTCACCCGAGGCTCTCCAGGGTGTTGCCAAAAACAGGGCGAGGAGGCAGACTAGATTCAGGGATGTTGGTTGACATCGTTGCTGGTGGTATCAATCGAGGATTGATCCGATGAGGATACGAAGTGCTGAAGTCAAGACTGAAGTGGTCTTGGTTATGAAAGAAAGCGAAAGGAAAGATGGGAGGATGGCAGGAAAGAAGAAGGAAAGGTGAGAGGTGAAAGATGAGGGCAGTGATACGGGCAAGGTAACTCAACGACGAGACGACGACGATACGATCCTCAGTTGAGACTGAGCTTTCCAACAGGGAAAGAGAAGCACGATGCAATACCGAGAAGAAGAGCTTCCGAAGAGAGAATTCTCTTGTGAGCGACGCTTTGGAAGCTTTGAGACACGAAGTATGAAATCAGAATGAGTCCCGGCTTGCTTTTGCTACCTGGAGATACCACAAGGGGCTGCAGGGGAAAAGCAAACGACGCAATACGCAAAAAATACGGAGAGAATCGTCAAAGAAAGCCTCACTCATTACGAGCAAACAATACCAGCAAGGCGACAGAAAACGGCCATTGCCTCAACGGCAGGAGCAACGCAAGACGAGTGACATGACCAAGTATTCAATCGAAAATGTGAATAGCATCATAAACAAGATCATATTTGCATACTGTACAAGCTTCAACCCAATTGAAGCGAGAGATAAACGCCGCGCAACCCACTCGACCGGAGATCTCCATGCCCCAGAGAAACCGGCGACAACACACCTTAATGATTTACCAAGACGCCTTCTTGACACCAGGGAGTTCACCAGCAAGAGCCTGCATACGGAATTGGTACTATAGATCGGAAGATCAACATGTCAGCAATGGAATCATCAAAACCCCGAGGCAATCGCAATCGCAATCGCAATCGTAATACAATGGCCAGTCATTCAATCCACTCACTCTGTTGATTCTGAAATCGCGGAAAACACTGCGAGCAGTACCAGACTCTACACAGCGGTTCTTAATCTGCGTAGGACGAGTGTAGGCGTGCATCTGAGACAATTGAAGCTGAGCCTGAGCGCGGACTCGGCCAGGGAGGGAAGTATTGCGGATCATGTAGCGGAGAGCTTGGCTATTGCGCGCAGCGAAAAGAAAAAGTCAGCAAATGAATCTCAATTCAACGCCAAACTTTACAGCAATGCGTATACATCGCCGGTCCAGCTGGTCTGCCTGCGGGCAGCGACGGGGTTCATTTCATACCGTTCGGGCTCGGTCTGCTCAAAGGCCATGCGCTTGTTGTGGTCGCGGATCAGGCGGGTATTCGTGAAGCCAGAGAGATCGAGCTTCTTGGGCCGGAAGAGCCCTGCCATCTTGGTCATTTTGGCGGTTGCTTTTTTGGTTGGATGTGTCGAGATTGAGATTGAAAGTCGGGAAGCGGTTGGCTTTCGGCGAGGCGGAGTTGGAGCGAAAACTGGATGCCCGATTTGGTTTAGCGCCGTTGATGCAGGATTTCACTGGTGGTGCCTTTCAAGCACTACGTTTCTTATACTTTGGTTGATAGTTTTGTTATCGTTGGAATTTAAATGCTGTTGGGATATGGAGGGTGATGTAGGGATTTTTCTACGGTCGCACAGATTGGTAGGCTTTGTAGATTAACCCTGCGTTTGACAATACTGCGCTGCGTATGTGACGTATAGAAGCTCTACAATATCGGTAGCGCTACGTTGCCCATGACCGGAATACTCGGGTCACAATAGCCCGCCTATTTCAGTACGTGGATAATTATGCCAGCAGAAGAACAGTACGAAAAAAGAGGCAATCCTTGCCGGAATGGTACTGGTACAGCTTGTGAATTGATCCAAGTCACCCCCCATCGAGGGTATGATCTATATGCTCGGAAAGGGGCAAACTGCCCGCAGAGGAATCACAGTAAATGCAAGCCGGTCCGTGATGACCTAGACCATCTCCGCCCGCACACACATCGCGACGGTTTCCGCCCGCTCCTCTTTCACACAAGGAAGCGGGATCTCAAAGCCCATTCATTGTCGACCGAATTTAGTGATCAGCCTTGCCAGCGGGCTTAGCGTTGGGGTTGCGGGGGTCGTTCTTGAACTCGGCGGCTGTGCGGATTTGACGGTTAGTTAGACGTGCCCGGGACGACCATCGGAGTTGGATTCGCGTATGTTGTTGTATGTGCGAAACTCGGCGATGACTTTTATGTATAGCTGCGCGGGTGGGACTCACTGTTGGACAGAGTGTTCTGGAGAGAGTTGACGCCGTAGAGAACAATGAGGCCTAGACGGGGGATTCGTTAGATTGAAGTTCGATCAAGCGTCCCGGATGTGTAAAATAGCGAATTTGCAATCAATTCGGGTCCGGAATATCAGGGCAATATGGGATATAGTATTTAGGCGTACCGGCAGCGAAGAAGGGAGTCAAAGGCTTGGCTGTAGTTGAACAGATGCGTCAGTCGTTGGTCCATGTATAATCCTCCCACGGGGCGTATCCGGGGTCCAAAAAGCACATACCCAGAGCGCCGGGGAACTTCTTTCCGAGGAGAGACATTGTGGCAGGTAAATCGAATGCGAAATGAATTCGGTGTTCGGGAAGATGGAATGGCAAGAGGACGGAAGAGGAGAAGTGAGGTTTGGAGGTTTGCCCGGTCCCGAGATCACGCCGCCTTAAAGGCGGTGACATGCCGCTTTTACCGCCCGATCTATCCCGACCATTGTAAACAATCAACTTCTGTAACTCTGCAATTCACACACCATGGCTGCTTCACTATCTTCGTGCGTTTCATCGTTACAGTCCTCTCTTCATATCTTGGACAACTCTATTACCACCCTTGATTCGGGTGTGAACGACTTTCCACGACTATGTAAAGTCCTCCAAACAACTCGAGTATGTTCAAAGCGCCAACAGAAATAGAAGAATCAAGGAGTCTGACATTGATTACTGGAATAGCATTTCGAACTCCTCCCCGAGCCAACGTTACGCGAAGCACAGCAATCTCTCCTCGATGAAATCACCCCCAGCATAGCCCACCTGCTCACACTATCCACAAACCACGTTGAAAAGCTCGCGCGCCGCGAACAAGGCCTCAAGGCAAAATGCGACCTGCAAGAGGGCCGTCTCTCCTCCAATCCTGAGAGTCGATCATCAGCAAGTCGCCAAACCCAAACCAATGCACTGCGGGGTTGCATGGCGGGGTCTGGGTCGAATAACGCAGCCAAAGCGGCCGAGCTGAGACGCCTCCAGCAGAAGAAAGAGCGGCTCAAGTTTGCGGTTGATCGATTGGAGCTGCAGAGTACACAGAAGCAGAGGCAGTTGAGGAAGAGTATGGCTGCGCAGTGAATGGGAACTACTACTGGATCAGATCACGACTATCTATGAAAACGCTGCATGTTTATGCAGCTACTAAGGGCTCGACCAGGCACGGATTCACCGCCGATGCTGTCATGAGAAATACCCAAGGCGACTTTGGAAGAGCAGCGGCTGTTTTGCCCAGGCATTATGCCCTTTTACCCGAGCATTCGAAGACAAGCCTGTTGCAGACAGGCAGGCATTTCGCTGGACGGGGTTAGTACATGCCTCACCGGCGACAGATTCCAAGGCCTTCCAGGCTACACTTCTACTATGTGGATTCTCAAAAAGCTGTACGAGGATTAGGGCACGACGGGAACGAAGGGCTGGAAGGCTACAGCCCTAAATACGTGAGTCTATGTACATTCGAATCAATTTCCAAATTTCGGAGTGAAGATGCTATATTTACATCTGTAGAAAGGCGAGAATGCGACTATAGTGTACAAGATCCATCCCCTCCCAATGCCAAATGCCACCGCCGCAGCGAATATTATACAATAGATCCCCGGGTAAAAAAAGCGCCATCCAAATAATGCAAAAAAAAAAAAAAAAAAAAAATCAGCAATCTAATCACTTCCAAGACGGGAAAAGACCAATCCAACTATTCAGCAGACATCTTACTCTCAGCCTGCCTCAGCTTCTTCTTGTCATTATGCTTCTTCCAACTAGGAATGCGCTGCCCCCTCTTCCTCACAGGAGTATCAGAAATCTCCTCCTCGTAATCATAATCATCTTCCTCATCCTCATACTCATTCTCAAACTCGCCATCCTCATCATCACGCATCTTATTCGCCGCCCGACGAGCCAAGCGCTCCTTCTTTCCCTCGCCGTGTTTCTCGCCCAGCTTCAAGTTCCGCGGGATACGAGTCTTCGCGCCTAAAGCCCACAAGTCACCCCAATTCGACTTGCGAGCGTCGCGGTAAGCCTGGCGACTATAAGAGCGGGGGACAGTCCAGCGCTCGATATTGCCAGCTGGCGTGCACAGATCGAAGATGACATGGCCGCGGCGTTTCATGGGTGGGTAGACGGCGCGAGGGAGAGCGAGGGGGTGGAAGGCGAGTTTATCGGGGATGTCGGAGGTCTCATCTTCGAAGCCCTCGAAAGCAGCGTCTGTGGCTGCAGCGCCTTGTTTTATGCCTTGGGTTTGGCGAAGGTCGACGCCGCGCTGGACGGCGATGTAACTGAATTTGAGGTCTTCGTGGTTGCGGTCCTTGGCGCCCATTATACGTTGCAGGAATGGGGGGCGGATGTACCGTTGCTCGAAGTGGCAGTAGTCTCTGCGGCCTTTGGTTGCGCCTGCGGAATTGTGCATTGGGCAGGTGGAGTGGTTGGTGCAGGGGGCGATGATCATGCCGGGTTCTTTTTGGATTACTGGGCTTTCATCGGGGTCATCGAGGAAGTTGTCGTATTCTGTTGAACCTGGGCTGGCAATATGGCGCTTCAGGAGCATTTCTCGTGCTCCGGCGATGGCCTCGAAGCCCTTTTGTCGGCCTTTCTCGAGGAGAATAAGGATACCGCCGTTGGGGTTGAGGAGGGCCCATAGGTTTTCAACGTGCTGCTTGCGCTCATATTCTTCTTCCAGGCCGAGGAGAGAATGGGGTGCGATGATGACATCGTACTGCTTGCGCTTGGGAGCTTTACGCGAGTCATCAAATGTGGGCTTCTCGCGAACATGGACGTAGTCGGGCAGACGCGGGAGGAAGGTGGTGTTGTCGAGCATGGCGGATGCACGCATCTGTAGGGCTACCGAGCCTGTTAACACGGTCGATCGCCCGTATGGGATAGGCAAACCCTCAGGGTGGTCGGGAACCATGAGCTCGTATTCTGCGCGGATGATATCTCTCCAGGCTAGGATACCGGCACCACCACCGCTGGCATCGAGGACATTTGGTCCGTCCTCTTGTGAGATCAGACGACGGATCCAGTCGGATCCCATGCGCTTGCGGATCTCAATCATGACGCTGAGAGTCGATGCGTAGATTCCAGGGTACAAGGCTGCCAGGTACGCATTGGCCTCCATTTCTCCCATCTGCCTTTGCGAAGCATGCAGAGGAATGGGAAGCTGCGGTAGTTGAGCACGGGGAGGTGCTGTCGTAGTCGAATGAGGCAACCCCGGTCCTCCAAACAGATTGCGTGCAGTTTCAGCGATATGTTTGTTGGAGAACTCCGACAAAATGATTGAGATGGGACCGGTCAGAGTATTCTTGGGCAGATGGATAGTGCTGGGATCCGTCCCAGATTTGCCCGCGAGGGTGTTCGGGTGCATTCTAGGAGCTGTGTCGGGAACTGCCTCATTCTCAAATTTCTCGAGCATAATCTCGCCACCCAGTTGCTCTGCAACTTCCCTCGTCCGCCTCATGGCAATGGTTTCTTCCTCCTCTGGGGGAACATCCATGTCATAAACAACGGGTACATCATCCTCAGCGGTATGATTTTCCTTGTATTCAACCTCCTCCCAGTCACCTTCGCTAGTCTCACGCAGCAGACTGGGATCCTCGTCACCTTCCTCCTCAACCTCCTCAAGCATTGGCTCTTCCTGGCGGAAGATAGGTTCTCCATAAAGTCGGGCATAGATCTGAAGCTCGGCATCATTCAACAACCCTTCCGGCAATTCCTCTCCAAACCGCTGCTTGACGAGATGCACCCAGGATTCTGGAGTATGTTCATCTCGCTGGGTGATCAACTCAACGAGCTCGTTCACCTCATCTTCTTCCCCCATAAGTTCCAACTCTTCCAGTATCTCCACCATCTGAACCTCATTTTCACCAATCTTCTCAATCAAAGCGTTGATATCGTCCGCAGCCGTCTGTTGGTCCGTTTTGCTGGATTGAGGCAAGTCTGACGCCGCCGGCGCAGACACAAACCCCCGCTGAGGCTGGCGCCGTGTTGCCGCATACTCGGTGTTCAATCGGCGTACAAGGCTGCTAGAGCTGACCAGGGGTGAGGCTTTTCGTGTAAAGGCGCGCTGTTGGGTTGGGTTTACCCTGCAGGCAGCTCCGCGGAGCTGTCGCGACCCAGAAGGGCGCGCAAATGTGCGCAGTAACTCGCGCGATTGTGACATTATAGCTCCTTATGCTGAAAATAATGACAGCATGAGCTATTCGAGATGTCTCAATAGGAGTAGGTTGAGGTGGCAGAAAAAATATAAGAGCCCTGGAACCCAGAAAATTGATGCCAAGACACCTATGCGCCTATCACAAACTGCGGGCTCCTGATTGGCTGGCCTGCCATTCCAAGATGGTCCCGTATAGATCAGGTTTTGAAAGGCTAGGAATTATCGGATTATTTCATGGCGAACTGGTCAAGATGTGTATGAGTAAAGGTTATCATAGTCCCATAGTATCTAGCATCTCTATTCATGCTCAAAATCAATTCATGGACTTGAATTGAAGGCATTTTATATTTCAAATGTAGGGGTATCAAAAAGCACTATGTTTCACTTTCTGTATCTTCATTGCCCATGAGCACTCGCAGTGCACCTACGCACCGCATCACTTCATGCTCAAGGGCCGACAATTTCGCCATGACCGCCATAAGACTAGGATCCTGGCTTTCAACCCGGACCTTCTCCTTAACGCGTACTTCCTCACCCTGCCATTGGAACGAGACACCCGCCTCGTCATGTGTTGGTGCCCGTGATCCGAATATCCGATCTCGCAAGGAGAACCCTGTCAGTGAGATATCCGACGCGAATGCAGTGGGCGCGTGATTGAGAGCGGTGGACTCCAATGTCCGAAGAAGAAGAACAAGAGCGGAATCGGTAATAGAAAGATGGAATGATAAGTGCGGTGGAAGCGGAGGATCAAACATCTAGAACGGAGCATCAACATCAGTAAAGGGGACCCCAGGGATTGTCTCATAGACTGAACATACATTTTCAGTCGCGCTGGCCTCCCACCACTTCCCTCGCGTATCATCCCCCTCCCCCTTCAGCATCTGCCTTGCCTCACTAATAGTCTCAAGCAAGAGATGCAGCTGGCTAAAGATGAAACCCGCATTGAGAGGGTCACCCGTCCACGTGCTCACATCGACGATATCCAAACTCTGCGCCACAAGATCACGAACCGAGACCAGCTGCGGCAGAACCAGTTCTGGTGCACCAGGTGCCTGGGAAAGGTTCAGACGGGTACTGGGGGCACCGCGTGTAGGCGGCAGCGATGCAAGACGAAGTTGAATATCCTAGAACAGGTAAGCCATCTTCCCGATCGCCGGTCGGATACGGCATACGTACCCCTTTCACGATCTTGGTGCCGACTCTAGTCACGAAGCCTTTGACGTTTTCCGACCGGAGCGACGATAGCACCAAGGTCGAGCCTGGTTCCTGGGGGCTAGCAGGACTGCGCATTCTTGCAGACCTTCCTTCAGTGAGGCAAGTGAATCCTGCATGGACTGCAGGAGCCATTCTAGCTCTCGGGCCTAAGATATATGGGTTGGCATATTATATTGGGGAGGGCTCCACCGTCACCAATGGAGCTATGGAGCTGCTATCTGTAAGGGTATAGAACGTACCAGTGTAGTGTCCGCCTCATGGTTGATCTGCTCTGCCGGCAGTGGGGGGTAAGCCCAAGTCGCCATGATAGGGCTCAGTCGCAAGGTTCGGTAAGGGCAGAAAACTTGGATAGGCAGAAACGTTCGATGATCCACGTCACTGTTGGGCTCACCGCGTCGATAGGAGCTGCAACGTTGTTTCGTGCTTCACTTCGTCATTGACCGCCCAAGCTAAGCCCCATTAGGCTTAGTGTAGCCAATAGAGTGTGGGCTAACCCACGAACAGTTAGCCGATCTGGCGCAAGCATGACGTTATGATCATCGATGTGCTCAATTTTGATAGAGAAAGAGACCTGATGATGCGCATTATATCAGAGGGGCCTCGGATACCCCGGCTCTTATACAGCTGGTCCATTTTCCACCTCAAATTTTACCTCTCTTCTCTCCAACATTCCTTGAACTCATCCCCCAAACCATTCCTTTGGAGATATCCAACCTCTTATACTTCACTACCTAACAGTAAATACCTACCTGCACTGGTTTACCCCGCAGGGACCAAACGCAATGATCTTGAGCAGTAAGCCGCTCCCCCTGATTATCGAAGTATCAAAATCTGACCTACTATAGGAGTATCATTGGGCTTTTTGGGCCTGTTCTTCATGGCAGGCTCCATTTTGCTGATCTTTCTCACACTGCTGGGGGGTGCTCGCAATAGCACCCCACTGAACGAGATCTACTTCCTGCAGGCCGACACTGGGAACATCCCTGGGGCCCCAAGCATTTCGCGATGGACCTTCTGGAACGTCTGCGGAGTGACCAACAATGGCAGGAATGACTGCGGCAAATCGCACCCCGACTACCCATTTGACCCCCCAAGCCACCGCACTTTTGATACCACCGTTAATATTCCCCCTGAGTTCATCGGGTAGGTTCTTTCGAGGTTCTATGTTGTATATATACATCGACATGTGCTAACCATGTCTATAGAACGAACCACTACTTCTTGACGTCGCGTTTCATGTTCCCATTCATCATTATCGGTCTGTTCTTCGCCGTGTGTTCGCTCTTCACTGGTTTGCTATCTATGTGTACCCGTATCGCCAGCTACCTCTCTGGTTTCCTGGCCTGGCTCGCTCTGACTTTCCAGGGCATCACCACCTGCCTCATGACGTATGTTCCACTTCGATTGATATCAATTCAGGACCAGATAGCTAATTATACTCACCAGTGCTGTCTTTGTTCAGGGCCGCGACGCCTTTAATCGCAATGGTCAAAACTCCCAGCTGGGCGTTAAGGCCTTCTCCTTCATGTGGACTGCTACCGCTTGCCTGTTCCTCTCATGTCTGATGTACTGCCTCGGCGGTGCCGTCGGCCGGAAAGACAACTCTGGATACAGCGGACGCAAGGAACGCCGCCGTGGGTTCTTCTCCTCACAGCGCTCTAACAGTGTGAGAAGCCAGAAGAAGGAGCGGGAGAACAACTCCTACGCTTAATGGATAGCATAAGTTATCCGGTCCCGCGTTTCTCATCTCAATCTCGACAAGATAACAAAACCGGAGAACCAGGCAACATCGTCGATACCAGTCGACCTCCGGGCCTTCCATATACGACTTTATATCCTCCTGGTTGATATCCCCTTTGGAAGTTCATGCTTTCTCCAGGAGACGAGACCTCTTACTATGCTTTGATTTGATTTGACCTTCCAGGATTGAAGCACCCACACTCACTTGATGCTGTTACGAAAACCTTACGATCCTTGCTGAACTTAATTCCGGGGCCACCAGATGGCTGTGGGCATTTACTGCGCAGTACTCATTTTGGTTTGGTGCACGTTAAAACAACGCGAGTTTTTGATGATTTATGGATGAATCACATGGTTCAACGATTCTCCGATTTTGAAGATCATTTTGGATTTGTGTCTTTCGTTGCGACGATACTTAATAGTTGTTGTAATATAATCTATTGCCTTAAAATCACTGGAAGTAAAATCTTGATTTTTAGACAGCTGACATAGATATATAGATGCCTTTTGTTGGAAACAAAAGAGGAACTAGCAGAGAGATAGTAACCGTGAGAATACAGAACAGGTACATGGAAAAGCCATTCTCTATTGGTCACATCCAATTGAGTTCTATAGATCTGAATCTGAAAAGTAGGAAAGGAAAAGACTCCATGATGATAACTGCAGTATAAAAGACAAAAATAAAAAAAGACAGCCTCTATCAGTCATGCATGCATCATCACACCATAAACGAAATCCAAGTCTTTTTTTTTTTATTCACAGGAAGAAAAGGAAAACTTAAGCGGAGCCGTTGACAGCACCACGGACGGCGTTCTGGGAACCAACCTCACGCACAGCGATCTGGAGACCGAGGTCGGGGTTGACGTGGACCATGACCTCGATCTTGCCGTTGGCCTTGACGCCCTTGACGGCGAGCTCGGCAACGGGCTTCTCCGTCTTCCAGACAATCTCGCGGGTCTCCTCCTCCTCGTCGTCCTCGGAGTCGAAGTCGGAGTCATCCTCATCCTGGGCGGGCTTCTCCTCCTTGGCCTTGGGCTCGGGCTTGGTGACCTTGATGTCACGGGCACCCTCGCACACGCGGACCAGGACATCACCGCCCTCCTTGGGGGCGGAGTACTGAGCGATGCGGCGTGCGGGGAGGGCAGTCTCGGCGCTGAGTAGGGGCTGGAAGGTGACGTCGGACTGGGAGGTGAACTCAACACCGATGGCCTTAGTCAAGTGGGGGGTGACGGTGACCATGGGGTGGATGGACTGCTCAATGTCCTCGTGCTCGAACTCCTGGACCAGGGAAGCCTGGAAGGCGGCACCACGGGAAGACAGCTCGGAGGGGTTGATGGCAGTGGTGGAGGTGGCGGGGGCCAGGACAGTGGTGGTCTCGGGGAAGATGTTGCTGACCAGCTGGGCGAGCTTGGGAGTGTGGGAAACACCTCCGGAGAAGATGACCTCGTTGATGTCGAGAACATCGAGCTCGGCCTTCTTGACAACCTGCTGGATCAGGTCGGTGAACTGAGCGAAGACCTTACCAGCGAGGAGCTCGAAACGGGTGCGGTTGACGGTGGAACCGTAGTCGACACCGTCGACCAGGCTCTCAATGCTGAGCTGGGCGTTGCTGCTCAGACTGAGGGCCTTGCGGGTGGCCTCACCCTCAAGCTTGAGCTTGGCAAGACCACGGGCGTTCTCGCGGGGGTCGGTCTTGTGCTTCTTCATGAACTCCTTGGCGAAGTGGTCGATGATGATCTGGTCCAGGGAGGCACCGCCGAGCTCGTAGTCGTGGGCAGTGGCGAGGATAGTGTACATGCCTCCGCGGCAGGCAACAACGGCTACATCGGAGCGGGTGCCACCAAAGTCAGCAACAACGGTCAGCTTGTCGGTCACGGTAGCCTCGGGGCGGGCATCGTAAGCCATGACAGCGGCGACGGGCTCGTGGATCAGCTGGAGAACATCGAGACCAGCGGCCTTGGCCGAGGCAACGAGGGCCTCACGCTGGGCATCGGTGAAGTCGGTGGGGACGGTGATGACAGCGGCGTTGACATCCTTACCAAGGAAGTCAGAGGCGGACCGCCTCAGGCGCTGGAAGTGACGGGTGGAGATCTCGGAAACAGTGACGGTGTTGGGGGTCTCGCTCTCGGTGTCGCGGATGGTGAAAGCGACAGTCGAATCCTTCTGCTGGGGGTGGGCAGACGGGTGGCAGGGAGTAGGGTCGATCGACTTGAATTCCTTGCCGAGGAAATCACGGAAGTATGCGACAGTGTTGGCGGAGTTGCGGATGAGCTGGGCCTTAGCCTGTGTGCCGTGGTACTCCTCGCCCTCAATATAAGAAAGGATGGAAGGGATTTGACGGTCTGGCACGGGATTAATTCGAATTCACAAGACGTGGGGCTTGAAAGCCTTACCTCCCTCCTCGTTGGCAATAACCTCAGCCTTGCCCTCCTGTGATGTTGTTAGCCATTGCTCTATCTCAAATTGCACACCCAGATACGTACAGGCGAGATACGGGCAATTGAACTGCAAGAGTTACCGAACGAGATACCGATAGCGAAACGCTCCGCCTCAGCGGGGGCAGCGGCGTCACCCATGTCGAATGTGGGAATAAGTGGTTTTTAAATTAAAAAAGAAATAGGATATCACACGTCACGGCGTGAATTCTGTAGGGGGATGATCGTAGTGATGGATGGCTCGATTGAGGGGGAATCGAAAAATCTTTTGAAGATTTTCGTCCGCTGTGGCTGGTGGTTATCGATAGGGATGTGGCGCACGGATACAGCCACATCTTGAATTGTCCACAGAGACAATGGTGTTGTATAGTTGAGTGCGGTGAGATATAAGAGCAAGTTGAAATTAGGATTTGAGACTGTCTTAAGAGGAATATTAGCAAGAGTTATTGCTCACGTATGTATACATACCTGTCTTCCATGTTTTAGAAGTATAGGTGAGGGGTCACGTGGTGATAAGGAAATATGGGTTTGCAGATAATTCGATGCTCAGTCAACTTCTAAGAACAGCAACTTTGAGCTCGACCTGTCTTAAATTTTGCTGTAACGCAACTGTCCTCAGCACACAGTCGTCAAACCAGTCACCATGAGCACCCCGCTTGTCCTATTACCCTGCGATGAGGTACCTCGCGACCATCTTCCTGCCAACAACTCGAACCCTCTACGGCTGGGCCCCGGCCTTCGTATCCTCTCACAACCCTCTTCAAAATCTGCCGACTCCAAACATGTCTTGACAGCCACACAAGCTGGTCTACTCACGACCGATGCCAAGAAGAACACAGTCTCACTTCTTTCTTTCCCGAACCGCCGATATATCCCCACCGTCAACGACTTCGTCATCGCACAGATTCACCACTCTAGCGCTGATTTCTTCCACTGCATGGTGACTCCGCACACAGCACATGCACTTCTGGGCCAATTGTCATTTGAAGGCGCATCCAAGAAGACAAGGCCAATGTTGAAGCAAGGCGAGCTGGTGTACGCCCGAGTACTGTCCGTGGGAGTCGGCGCCGGCGCCGAAGTCGAGCTCACCTGTGTGAGCCCATCAACCGGCAAGGCTGAGGGAGGTATGGGTCCTCTGGCCGGTGGAATGGTCTTCGATATTTCAACGGGCATGGCTGGGCGCTTGATCCGGGCAAACTCCTCTTCAGCTGAGACAGATGAAATTGAAGGGCTTGTTGTCCTTTCTGAGCTTGGGAAGAAGCTGGAAAGCTCGGGAGGATTTGAACTTGCTGTTGGACGGAATGGAAAGGTGTGGGTGAACTGCTCCGACTCTGAAGAGAACGCCATTAGGGCTACAGTTGCCATTGGGCGCTGTCTACAGGAAACCGACCAGAAAAACCTCCACCCTCATGACCAGAAGAAGCTGGTGACGAAGATTCTACGGGAGATGAAGTTGGCTTGATTGTGCCCATTGGGCTGGAGTAAGGGTATTACGACTTGCATTTGATTTCTATGCTTTTATGCCAGCATGTATACTATTAATGCAATCAATGAGCTTGATGTCTGTCTTGTATTCAAGTAAACATATAGGAGGTCTGTATAGATATAAAATGTTCCATTATCCTTTGTTGTATTGCTAGGGCCGCTGGCGAGCTATCTACAACGCATATTTGGGTATTCTCCAGTCCGCCCAAAACAGTCCCAGCAGCATTGAACAGACAGACATGTAGATGAACAAAAAATGCAGCACGTACGTATGTGCACACTAACATTGCAGCAATGTGCAAAAAGAAACTCTCCCTCGGGGAATCGAACCCCGGTCTCCCGCGCTTATCGGTTTTAATGACAAGCGGAAATCATCACCACTAGACCAAGGAAGATTGAATGACCGAGTTACAGCTCGACCACTTGGCTGGTTGATGGAAGGTCCCACATGCAAATGTCTCAAGTTTCAGCATCTATTTGACAAAATTTGCACATATGTAGCCGTCCGCATCACCTCTCCTGTAACTCCTTCCATATCAATGGGAAAGACAGCGCATACAAATTCTGGGTAATCGTACGCTTCGGTTCCCATTTTCATTCGCCGTTGTGCTGATGAACATCAACTAATAACGTTATCTGATGGTATAGATTGATTGCTCATGGAGGCGGTCATCAAGGCGGTGGCGCGTATTGCCGGATTACGCGCTATCCGCCGTAAATTTTGTTCGGCTTCGGACAGGCCAAGCTTCCTTTGAGTGCATCTCTCTTTCTACATTCAGGGTTCACGATGGGTCAGAATTCGTCCCAGCCCGAGGGAATCCCTGATCTCCCCGAAGAATTCGGAGTCGTCGGTAGGTCTACTAATGCGATTGATCTTCGTACTCGATACTGACGTTCACATTCCAGTTCCCGAAACTTCGTATGCAGAACACGACGCACCGGAGCACAAAAAGAAAAGCAAGAAAAATCGCCACTCAAAGAAGGAGAACTTAATTCAACCCGAAGAGGCCAATGGCATAGAAACTCCACTTTCAAATGACGATGCGACCAAGCCCTCGAAGCGCAAGCGCGAGGACGAACCCGAGCGCAAGAGGTCCAAGAAGAAAAACCACACGGATGACGCGCAACATGAATCAGAACATCCTTCGACACAATCGCCTTCCGCGCTAAAGGTTTCCTTGTCCAGCCAAACCACCCCATCGAAGGCTGAACGCAAAGACAAGAAACCCCACAAGTCCAACAAGGAAAAGAGAGATGCGGATGTCACAGCTTCTGCCACTTCTCAGGCTTCTCGCGCCACTCCGGCTGCCAAAGACGCTCCCACAAGTGAACAGCAGCTGTCCACAGAAGGAAGAGGCAAGATCCGAGGCCCAAGGACCAGAGAGGCAGACAACAAGAAAATCGGGTTCTACACCCCGGAGGAACTCGAGAAGATTGAAACACACAAGGTCAATTTTTGTAATTGGCACGGCATCAGTGGCCTCAAATACGACGAATTGATCCAGCATTCAGAGCGTGGCTCCCAGGACTGGCCACTCCCCACAGAGACCATCAGCAAATCCGAATTTTGGGATGAGATCTACTCTCTTCTTCCTGGCCGTGACCGACGGTCCGTCTATCGGTTCATGCGCCGCCACTTCCAGGGCTCAACTCAAAGGGCACATGATTGGTCACCGGAGCAAGATGAAGAGCTCATCGAGCTGCACGCCCAGCATGGACCGAAATGGACGTACATCGGCAAACTCATTGGTCGCAGTGATGACGATGTGACTCAGCGCTGGAGGAACAGGCTCAAGTACAAGGAGACCATGAACCGCGGCGCGTGGTCGGCAGATGAAACAAAAATCTTTCTACAAGCTATGCAGTCAGTCTGGGAAACATTGAGCCACACCCTCAACCAAGAGGAGAAACGCAAATGCTTGGGCAAAGACTTCTATGAGATGGATGAGAGTCTGGTTCCCTGGGGTACCATCAGCGACACCTTGGATAATAAACGATCTGAACAACAGTGCTCTGACAAATTCCGCAAGGTTCGACCCGTTGTCATGAGAATGCGAGCCAACGGACAGCCAGACGCCGTCTTCGATTACGAAACCTCTGCTAAGAGGGCTCGCAACTGGAACAGAAAAATTGGCAAAGGCCAAATCAGCGACCAATACGTGAAGGATGATGACCATGACGTGGACATGGACGCGGACGAGATTGGAGAGATGCCCGGCCCACAGCCAACCCGTACGCAAGGGTTCTCTGAGATTGCTCAGGAAATTAGCCATGCTTCTAGCCAAGAAACTGATGCCGAGTCTGAATCGACGAAACGGCCAAAGGAGGCTAAGAAATCCAAGAAGGGCGACCATACCGAGGACCTCGTTGCAGACGAACAAGCCGTGTCGCGCCCCAAGACCAAAGAAGAGGGGAAGCGCGAGAAGAAGGAGAGGCGGGAGAAAGAGAAGCAAGAGAATGCTGAGGTTGAAGTGAAGGCTGAGAAAGCTGCACGAAAGGAGCGCAAGAAGCAGAAGAAAGCGGAAAAGAAGAGACGGGAGGAAGAACGCCGTGCCGCTGAAGCCGCTGAAGCATCGAACAGCGAGGCAGAGAGTGAGCCTCCAAAGGAGAAGACCAAGGAGACTGAGGCTGGCCACAACTCTGACGGTGATAATGACAACACACAACCTTCCCCCGCTGCTCCCTCTCCCAATTCCACCAAAGCCGACACTCCAGTCTACGATGAAACCGACAGTGGCGAGGAAGAAGAGGATGACAGCAATACAGACGTGAAGTTTGAATCCGACTCGGAGTGAGCCCGTTGGAAAGTTTGCTATTCTTTGTTCTAAGATACCCTATCCTGCTCCGTTCCAAGCCTCGACTGCGAATATGACAAGAAATAAACAAATAAAAACACCAAGAAAGCTCACTTGTAAAAGTAATCAAAGTCTTCAAGTTATATCATGTAAGATACACCATGCACAAACTACAACTCATCCTTCCTTTCCTCACCACTCTGCACAAACTCAACCCTAGCAGCATCCTCAACCCCAGCAACCCTTCTCGCCAAAGCAGCAATCTCATCATCATAAACCGTCCACTCAGGAACCTGCCTCCTCGCTCGCTCCAGCTTCGGCTCTTTAGTAAGAGGGTTATTACAAAGGTCAATCGTCCTCGCCGTCTCCAAATCCTCATCCGCACACCAAGTCTCACACCACAACCAATCCTGCGGCAAACTATGAATAGGAATATGATGCTGCATATGATTAGGCAGATCCTGGTCCAGATTACTAAGACTGTTCGGATCAGCCGAGAGCATCTGATACTGCCCACGCAACCGATCACCAGCCGCAAGAGCGCGGAACCGGTTCAGGTCAACAACATACAGCGCGGAAATATGGTACGGTTTCCCGCGGAGGAAGTTCGACCAGTACCCCTGCTTCCAGAAACGGAAACCCTCCATTTCAGCGCGGGAATCGCCCATCGGGGTGAAGCCGTAGGGCGCGTCTTGGAGGTCGTGGGTGACCAGATCGTACATGTCTGTGCGGACGATTTGGTCTGCGTCGACGAAGATGACTTTGTCCAGGGAGAGGGGGAAGAGGACGTCTAGGAAGAGCATTTTGTAGCCCCAGATTTCGCGCTGTTTTTCTTTTTGGGCGCGGAGCCAGTGTGGCCATTTGTAGGTGACCATTTCGTAGGAGAAGTTGTATTCGCGCGCAAGGGAGGGGAGGAAGGCGCGGAAGGAAGGTGAGAGGAATTGTTCGATAAACCAGAATTTCACCGTGTGTTTTGTGTGCCGCATTACTGAGACCATCATTATGTTTAACATGCGTTCGTAGAGGTGTCCGCTTGCTACTGAGAAGATGTTGATGTCGGCTTGTTGGTCGCTGCTCTTGGTGCTGACGCCTACGCTGGAGAGGACGCCTGAGGCGAAGTTGAGGCCCTTGGCGAAGTAGTCTTTTGTTGAGCCTGGTTGGATGCCGGTTTCTAGGACGTCTTCTTCTTCGTGGCCTGGTTTGCGGGATAGGCGGGGGAATAGCGTGCGGCCTTGGAAGGTTAGCAGAGCTACCTCGTTGCTTTCGTCGCCGGTCTGTGGGCGATATCCGAGGCCGCCGACACTGTCGATGTTGAAGAGCTTCTCGCTGCGGCCGGGCTTTAGGTTAATCTGCCACAGGCCTGGCTGGGCCTTGAATTGGAAGTATCCCAAGTTGGCCATGATGATCGTATCAGCGAAATAGTGATTTTTCTCTGTGCCCAGGGTGAGCTGAACACCTCTGGGGGGTGTTTTGGTTGTGAGATCACGAGAGTGGCCCTCGATCAGGATGTGCTCAAGGGCATAGATTGCATCAACATCGGTGCCGGCCTTGAGCGAGCCCAACTTGATGTTATCCAAGTCGTGGATCGAGTCCTTGGGCGCAACAAGCCACGATGAAGGCACGTCCATGCCCAGAGTTAACAGTGCTTCGACTGGCACACCAGTGAAGGAAGCCTGAGGCCGAGCCAGAGCACCGCCTTCGGTGAATGACGGCTCTGACTCGAGAACATAACGGTAGAACCGCTTGACTGGCAACTCCTTGAGGTCCTCCTTCGGGTTGAGGAAGATCTTGAGTTGAACACCAGACAGTTCAGAAAGAACCTTGATAATTGGCAGCCATCGCTGGGCAACCTCAGACGCAGGGTCAAGAACAACAGCAACATTAATCGGAGGATCATCAGAATTGGAAACCGTGATCACGGAATGAACAGTTCTCCACTTATCGGACACATCCATTCTGAAATCAGGAGTGTTCTCAAAGATCCCCTCTGGAACATCCGAGATCATAGAAAGGGCCACAAGCGATGTAAGCTTGGCGAAGTCGAGCGGGCTCGAGATCTTTGTTTGGAATCCTAGTTGGGCGACCGCCAATGCAACAGGATCGAGACGTTTGAGCCGTTCGTAGGCGATGAGCTGGCTTAACTCGTCCACTGTCAGTGGGTAATCCTTATCGATAGGACCGACTGCCCTCCCATTGACGACGAGACCTTCTGTGCCAGGCTCGAAACCAAGTTCTTTGGCAAGGCGCTGGTGCAAGGCTTGGACCGAAGAGAGCTCTTCAACCGCGATCTCCGGAATCTCAGCGTCATCGTCAGATGCGCGAATTCTAGCCAGGACCTGGTCGATGCTTTCGCCTTTAGCAAGCAACTGGTAAGCCATGACGAGATTCTTGGGGAGAGCATCGTCATCTGATGCGGCATTGTGAAGCAGAAGAACCTCAACATCAGTATGCTCCTTCCGGAGGTTGAGGGCTTCAGTCAACAATGCAACACCCTCCGACTCGAAATCACCCACGACAATCATATGAACACTCTCCAAGGCGCTCTTGTCAGAGGCAATACGGGGGATCTCGTGCAAAATGTTCTCGTCGGATCCAAGGATGTTGGCAAGATCCACAATGCGAACACTCTTCGGGTCTTCGGGCATGAGGAAAGTGTTACGTCTCTTGAATGCTCCAGCCAGAAAGAATTCAGGGAGCCAAGCATCCTCCTCGAAGAGGTCCTCGACGATTCCCTGTTGTACCAGCTTCAAGTCCCGGCTAATTTGCATACTCATTCCCTGCATCCAGTTGCCCTCGCTGGAGACGGGAACACCATTGATCAGGAAGGGAGATGCGTCACCGGCAAGGCTCAAACGGCGCTGGTAAGCAGCTGTGTAGGAGACAAGAGCATTGTACTTTTCGCTTTTTAAGACTTGGTCAAGAGAGAGGGCCGGATGGTCACCAATAAGCTCGTGTTCCTTGGTTGCAGTTACGAAGCACGATTTATCGGGGAAACCTCTCTTTCCCTTAGTAGCATACTACTTCAATGTCAATACCACACAATATACTTGGGATACTTGGGTGTAAACATACTGCTTCGAAGTATTTGACGAGAGAGTCCAGGCCATAAGCATCGAAAAGGTAATGAGCCACCTTCAGTTGCGCGACAGACTCAGGAGATGAGCTGAGAGGTACCAAGCCAAATCTCACAGGGATGCCTCGTTTGATGAAAGCATGCAAGTTACCAGCAATGAGCATCATGTTCTCCGGGTCGGACAGATCAACAGGAACGACCACATTGTGGAGATCCCTGCGCACTGGAGGCAGCTGTCCCGGATAAGCACTGGCAATATACTAACTAGCAATTAGCATAGGTCAGAATGATACGAGGTAAAGCACAAACCGCGTCGAGTTCACTAGACCAGCCCTCGTATCTGGAATCCTTTTCCAGATCATTCAGCCAGATAATAACCTGGTTCTCTTCCGAGTCATCCCGGTAATCATACCGCTGTTCCTCGCCACCAGCCTGGGCCTCAGTGAGGACCTGATGTGACAGAATCTTGACAGCGTCGTTAGCGGACAGGCCGAGACCGCGGAACTTCTCAATAAGCTTCCTCTCACGGCGCAAATGCTCCAGAAGAGAGAACGCATCGATCTGACGCGTATCAATTTGCACGCCGTTGATCCACATGACATTGTATCCACCAGGAAGCATCTTCGCCCGATTATGGCGAATCTCCTGCAACATTTCTCCAGTAGCATTGTGAGCCGCCACAGTAGAAGAGTACTTAGGGAAGTTCTGCGAAAGCTTGATCAAAGTTTCCAAAGGATCAGCACTATCCATCACATATTTCGCAGAATTAACACCCAACCGCGCAACCTCGGAAGAAGACAAAGGCCGCAAATCATCCGGTGCATTCTCCTTCGTTCCCGGATCAGGATTGGTCTCAGTATCAAGCTTCTCCGCAGCACGGTCATCAATAACAATGTAGTCCGTCCGCTTCAAGGCAAGCTCCACGCCATAGCCTGAAACAAATAACGGCCTGGAAACCCAATGCTGAGGAGGTCGGTAGCGCACCCGGTACGAGATCTGTCCCTGTTTCGCCATACCGCTCAATGTCTCGTGGAAATCCCTAAACATTGGTGCGGAGATATCCGCATACAGGACAGCCGGAGGGAGCGAGATGTCACCCAGGACTCGGTCAAAGGGTAGTTCCCTAGGATCCTGCGCATCGAGAACATCCTGCTGCGCGCGTTCCAGCGCAGAAGAGCAGTATTGCTTCTCCTCCAGATGAACCCAGACCGGACACACGGCATCCTGGGCCGCGCCTAGTGATTGCTGGACAGAGGTATTGTAGAACTGGTAGTGAGCCTCGATGCGAGGCGCGGACGAGCGAACAGAAAGCGATAGCTTAAACGAGGATAGACTCTCAGGGGTACGTAGATGTCCACCGTCTTGGACGACGCTCAAGAAACGGTCGTAGAGCTCTTGCTCTGTTGTGAGGTCTTCGAAGGTCCCATCGGCGATGCGATCCAACAATGGGAAATACGAGGTGGAGTTTTCTTCTGCCGCGGATTCCCTGTAACCAACTTGGGCATTAGCATTGCTCGTCTTGACTGTTTTCTCGGCTGTGAAGGTAATCTATTGTGCAACATACAAGAGCTCGACTAGGTATGGGGCCGAGTCGAAGGAGGCTTGGAGCGCCACGTTGACGGCTGGACTGGCATTGGCCTTGGCAATGCAGCCTGGGAAGAAGGCTCCGATGGCGGCGTACCACCGCCAGGAGATGCGAGATCCCAACTTCATGGTTGTAGTGGTGTGGTTTGTATAGATGGTTGTTTATAGGGGGTTGCCCCAAGTCGGGGTGGGTTTGTGTAGGCGATATTCCCGAGTCTAGATGTCCATGTGAGTTGTACCAAACATAACGGGCCCAATGAGCCCCAGCTCGAGTCAAGAAGGTGTCGAGATGAGGTTAGAGATTCGGCTGATCTGGACACTTGGGACGTTTCGTTATCGCTTATCGGGGTTGTACGGCGGACGGAGCGGCAACTGCCGCAATTTCCGAGGTTCTACTATTGACTGGTCACTACATGGGCAGGCAGGTTGATATCATAAAAAATTGAATTGAAATTTTTATTCCCAGTATGCTAAGCATGCTGGGCGCTTTCGTAAGGACATTAGTCGTAAGGTCAACACCACCAGATGCTCCACCAGAAACGCCGCTTGTTTTTAATCAAACAAGATAATCAGACTATATGCAGCACCAGCTGGCTCTGTACAACAGAGACGGTATAAAAATGATGATGTGCAGGGGGGCGGCTGCAGCAATGGTAAAAATGCGAACAAGGAAAGAAGAAAATTAGGGGTAGTGTAGCAAAGGGCGCCTTTAGATAGCCACGGCAATGGCATCAGGATGAATCTCGGCTGCGGCAGATTCGATTTGCTTGCGAGCTCTGGCCTCATCAATCAGGCGTTGGCGCTTCTCTTCGGTCATGTCGAAAAGCAATTTTGTGTTGAAGTTGGCCGAGATGTGCTGGCTGGAGGAGCTCTCGGGGCGGCTGGAGATATCCTTGTAGGACTTCATTTTCTTGAGGCACCGGGCCAGCTCCTTCTTCTCCTCCTTCTTAGGGTCCTTCTTGGCCCACGATGTCATCGAACTGGCGAATCGCTCCAAGATAGAGCCGTGTTTGCTCGAGACAGAGGGTGCGGGGAAGTTGGGAAGAGGCTTCTCGTTATTCTGGTCATCCTGGGAGTAGGAGGTGGTAGGACGAGAGACAGGGCGGGAGGCAAAGCTGATGCCCGAATCGGTGCGGCGCGAACCGTTCTTGGTGACTTCAGAGCGGTCGTTGATCAGAGTGCACTCGTCAATCACCTCGACGACTGCGTTCAGGTATCGGTCCATGGCATCGTACACCGCAGGCCAGGCGTTGTCGTCACCGGGCCGGGTGCCTTGCTTCATAACAGGGTCCAAGATGCTGGGGTTGTCCTCAAACTTGATAATGAAGGTGAAAAACGCGTCGCGGTGGTTTTCGAGCGTTTTTGGTGCCAATTGCTGGGTTGGAGTCAGGCTTTGGGGGTGAACAGGCGGCAGCAATGTGTTGAGAAGAGCCAGACAGTTGGCTTTGTTGAACGGCTCAAGCATCATCTCATTGATCAAAATCTGGTAGAATGGTTAGCAAGGGAAATGAATCGATTTATGGTGACACTTACCCAGCGACGGAGACCGACATACACTTGAGTGTACAAGAAATCGATCATGCGAGCCTTTCCGTTGATCTCCTGGTACCAAGACATCACACCAGGGTACTGACGAGCAAGCTCGGAGTTCTTCGGGTCCCGAGCATCGTCGACAGTCACATTCAGACGACGGAAAGCGGCATCAATTTCTTTCTTCCAACGGTCCTGAAGGTCCTTCAGGTAATCAAGAGCAGTCAAAGCCTGGGCAAAGTCGACTTCGGCCAGGTCCAAACAGAAGCAACGGCGCACAAACGAAGTAGTGAAGCTTGGAGGCAGCGAGCAGGGCTGAGAAGGCAGTTGGGAAACAGTACGGGTCAAGAATGCACGGAACTGGGCATTGGCATCCGCTTCAAAAGAAGGAGTGTCGGAGCTGCGGTGGGTAGACTTGGATGCCTTGGACCAGACCGAGTTGCGAGACAAAACGGAAGGAGTGGAGCCTGCCATGGTGCCTTTGGTCGGATGGCAGTTTAGTTCGTATGCAGCGCGGAGAGAAATTTCGTATTGATCGGCGTAACGCAAGCAATGATCAAAGATCCAGGTTAACGATGACCCATCGGGTGCATCGAGTGTTCCATAGTTTGGGTCGGGAGACATGCTATGCAGCTTGGCAATGGTCTGACGAGACAGGTGTCGAGACGAAAGAGGGAGACAGCGATGATGTGCAGAGATGAGAGAAAGATGGAAAGTTCAGATGGCACTGAGCCGTAGTTATGGTCGAAGGAATCGCGACGGCTGGGATAGCTCAAAAACCAGCCAAGGGAGGGGAAGACCTGATACACCCAGATAGGAAAAGCAGGCAGACGCGGGCGGACGATTGGTCGAGTCTCGATATGTCTGAGACACTCAAGTCCAAAGAGAAAAAGCTTTCGCGGCTGGCGGATGTTCTTTGTCTGAGATATCCCTTGGGGAAGGAGGACCAATCACGTTGCAGGTTTGATAGATTTCCTGCACGCCAGATCTGATATGTATACAAAGTGAAGACGGGCTTCGGGAGCTAGCTTCCGAGGGAAAGTTTAAGACACGTCGAGTGAGCGAAGGGATAGAAAAGAGTGTGAAGTAACGAGGAATAAGGAATAACGAGAATAGAAGTGGAAGTGGAAGTGGAGGGAGGGGAAATGGCCGGTACAAAAAGGCGCGAGTGTTTGCCCGAAAGACATTTTAATTAAGGGCTTCGAGTCCAGGCCCGGGGGCTCCACCAGCGTAACATCATCATAGGTCCCTGGGCTATGGGTATGCTTTAGACAGCCGTTGCTTTCCCGCCGCCCCGGTATACACTTTACCTATTCAGGTAGGTTCTAAGCCCAAATTCAATCCAGCTTCTTATGATTGGGCTTGTTACCTTGCACAGCTTATGTGCCTTGCATGCGGCATTCGACTTGTCCGGGAACTGGGGATAGGCAGCCGTTAAGCCGATGAAATTTTCGGCTCTATCAATTGTACTTTGTGTGATGGGACTGGTCAATTTAGATATTCGCCCCCTTTCAGCTTGCGTCGTACGATTTATTTTTAAGGTGGCCACAATACTTTATTCGCCCCCTCCCCCGATGGGAAAAAAAGTTAATGTTGGACGTAAAACAAAGGATCTTCAATTTCGATAACCTTTGGTAATAATTTACCCATTAACTTATTCTTAGATCGTTCGCTTGGATCTGGTGTGGGGCTCACACGCAATCCCCGATGAAACCGCCTCTACCACGATGCCGGGACCGCACAAAATTGGTCGTTAGATCAGTACAAAAACGGTATTCCATACGCACACACCCGTGTTCTATACCTGTAGACTGCATTCCCGTCCGTAGACTCGAAGATATCAACATGATATCAATAAACAGCCGGAATCGGAATACTGTTCCATGGTACAGTCAGCGTGTCACTCTCGAGTACCATGGTTGGCCCCTATGTGCCTCGTGTCTCCGCCTCAACTCATTTCGTCCTTTTGTTTCTTTGGTTTCATTTACTTCGATAGGTCAATTTTGCAAAGTGACACCTCCCTGGGTTGACCTTTTGACCTGACCTCAAAAATCAGCAACATCAAACAATGCACACATCCGGCGTTTCCATAAGATCTCAAAAACAAGAATGTTCGACTGGACCGGACCTTCCCAAGTGAGTCTAGTGCATATCACCTGACCGTCTTTCAAGTCACGGCACCCTGCCGATCTCTCGAGTCTAGACATGAAGATCGTCAACATGTATATTTGCTTCTGATACGTCTACCTGCCTCAGGGGGAAAAGTGCGCCTCATTAGCCTTTGACGAAGCGATCATTTCGTCATTCGCTGACGGACAGGAATCTCATCGGTCTTCCAGCTACCGGATACTCGGGTGAACGCCGGGCCAAGCGTTGCAGACACTTGGACCTCTATCTCCCTATCGGAGATGAACGCTGGAGCTTCTTTGGATCAGGGGGTGTTTTATTCTGATGCTCTATATGGAAAACTGCACTGTCTGCTCATTTGACAAAGGACTTCCTCCCTACACGTCATCCGCCTCCTCAACTGAATACACTTCCAATTCAGCGATCATCGTGCGCGCGGGAATAGTAACACAAATCGGGAAACCACCGTAATCAGGTTCCTCATTCGGCATCATAGCAAAGATCCCACTCCTAGTCTCATCGCCATTCAGAACACGCAGAGTCCGCAACTCCCCAGTCTTCTGGTTAGCAACGATCTTCTCCTCGAACCGCAAAAAGCCGGTGAAGCTGCTCGTGGGACTCAAAGAGCGTGCACGGACTTGGAAGCCCCATCCGATCAAAAGGAATTTTCCTCCACCGAGGTGGATGACCATACCTGCGCCCGGTCCGGCCTTGCCAAAGACAAAGCAGCGCTCGATGGTGATTTCATAGCCGGCCCAGTGCTTGATGACCGGACTAGAAGGATCCGAGCCGTCAGCTGCCAGCTCGTCGAAGAAGAATCCAACCGAGGAGTTCGGCCGGGTCTGAGCTTCCAACACGATCTGGGAAACTGATTCTAGGAGTCTGTAGTGCTTTGTGAATGGGTTCGTATTGGGTTCCAGTGTGTCGATGCCAAAGGGTGAGACACCAATTGCTTGGAAGGATCCGTATGCGACCCAAATGCGTCTGACGCCGTATTCATCGCGACGCTGCTCGGGTATGAAGAGTGGCTGGTTCCGGTGTCGGTATTTGCGGCACGAGGTTGCGTAGTCGTTTAGATAGACGTCTGGTGCAACAAAGTCCAGCGATGGCGCAAACTGCTGCCAGATATCAAGGACGTTGCTGGTGCCGCCGCCAGACGGGTAATCGCCTGGATGGCCGCCACCACCAACGACGACTGGGAAATCATTGTCGCCATCTTCGCCGACATAGTTCTGCCAGACGTTCGTATAGAACGGAATAGGGTACTCTTTCTTGCCAGCCGCAGCAACGTGGTTGAGATATTTGGCGTAGTGGTATGCCATGAAGAGCTCATCTGTATGTGGGCTCTTGCCAAAGACCTGTTCCCATGTTCCACGGGGACTAGCCTTAGCCTTGAAATGTTCCAAGTTGCCTTTGAGGTCAACATGGAGCGCTTCCCAGTCCTGCGCTAGGAATTGCACTAGATCCTCTGGGACAGGCTCAAGGAACCGCTTCTCGGCGGCCACAGAACCGTCACGGGAGTCACCTAGCAAGCCAGTCTCGTTCTCGACTTGGACCATCACCACAGTTGAATGAGCCCCGTCGACTTCTTTGAGATGTGCCAGCAAGCGCGAGAACGCTTTGGTATCCGCTTTGCATCCTTCCCCATGGAAGATGGACAGCACGTCACCAGTCTGTAGTACACCCCCGGCCTTGCGTAGCTTCGCTCGAGGGAACCGCTTCGTGTTTGTTTTCACCCATGAAGGTACGTATGTAGAGATACCTAGACGGTCTCAGAGAAGTCGACATTTTATAATGAAAGGGAACATACCATTTTTGAAAGAACCAAACCACAATAACACAAGATGCAGTCCATGATTCCTAGCACCGAGGATAACCTTGTCCAATTCAGTAAAGTTGAATTCATCCTCGACTGGCTCGATATCCTCCCAAGTCACACATCCCAGCACAGTATTGATATGAGTATCAACAAGCTTCTGCCAAACAGTATCCATATACTCCGCGGAAGTCAACGAGGAATTCTGCAGCTCAGCAGCAAGCGACAGGAAAGGCCGGCCGTTGACAATAAGTTGTTGGCCAGTTTCCGTCTTGCGGAGATGTGGGATGTCAGAGGTAGGAACGAGCATTGTGTCTTGCGCAGATACGGCTTGAGCTCCAAATATATCAAGAAAAGAAGAGAGAATGGACACTGCTAGAGAATGAAACGAACCCATTTCGCAGCTACACTCTTATACCTGTTCTCTCGCTCTCGTCTTACCCCTCATCGGACCCTCCACATGCGAGTACAATTGACAAGCATGTTGTAAGAGGCCTGTGAGAGTACACCAATATCCCGGATATGATCACACCACATCAACCATACGGCTTTGAACTTGGCCGATTGGATTGATATCCCGCAACATTGCGTTGATCTACCCCCCAACCCCCCGCACTTCCGACCCCCGATCGTGATCATCGTGGGCAGAAGCTGCGGGAATGAAGGCTGTCTATTGGCTGATATCCCGCATTTTTAAGCGTGGCGCTTCTCCGCAAACACTTGTCCCGTTTTGGTAGAAATCCGGGGTGAAGGTATGGACTATGTGGTTTGTGCCTGATTGAAGGGGTCGGAAGTTTTCTTGTTGTTTGGATATGTATATAAAGAGCCTTTGATGACCCGAGGATGTTCGTGGAAGTATAAGTCATATTCACGTTATTGTATTGCAATATGAGCACGGGAGAGAAGCATTTGGAGACTGGTGAGGCTACTGCAGCTCACTCTGAGTTTGTTGGATATGGCCCTATGGAGGTTCCTCGCGTTACTTGGTGGAAGCACCGTGGTTTGCGCAAGTTATATCCTATGATGCCTATTCTCTTTCTTGGTTCGACGATTAATGGGTACGATGGGTCACTCTTGAATGGGCTTCAGACGATGACTCCATGGCAAGAATGTGAGTACTGACGGGATGTATGCATTGGTGATGGGATACTGATATGCGGGTAGATTTTAACAACCCGAGTGGTTCCACGCTGGGTCTTTTCACTGCTATTCAGAACATTGGTGGCGTCTGTTCCTTGTTCTTTTGTACGTGTCCCTCCCGCTCTGCTTCATGATCTTTCTGATGATTCTTCATCTGATAGCCTCCTATATTGCTGATTTGCTTGGAAGAAGGGCCGGAGTAACCATTGGATTGATCATTCTGTTGGTCGGGACAATTATCCAAGTGGTTCCCTCGGTCAACTCCAACATGTTCCTAGCTGGAAGGTTCCTCGTGGGTCTTGGGTATGTGACGCTTGATATCCAGTTGCAACACTCTACTAACTATTCCCAAAGATCCAATGTGAGCCAGGGATCCGCTCCTCTGCTCATCACAGAGCTTGCCTATCCTCAACACCGTGGAAAGTTGACGACGATGTACAACACGCTGTGGTACCTAGGCTCCATTGTCGCAGCATGGACCGTCTTCGGGACAATCAAATATACCTCCGAAGCAGCATGGAGAATCCCAGTCGGTATGCAGGCAGCAATGCCTCTCATACAAATCACAGGCATATGGTTTCTCCCAGAAAGTCCTCGCTGGCTGTGTGCAAAAGATCGCCCAGATGAAGCCTTCGATATCCTTGTCAAATACCACGGAGGTGGCGACAGAGATGATCCATTCTGTTCATTCGAGTTCCATGAGATCCAACAGACCATCCTCATGGAAAAGAGGAACTCCAAGGATGGATGGCAAGTCCTGGTTCAAACTCCAGGAAATCGAAAGCGACTGTTGCTCATTGCACTAGTTTCGTTCTTTTCGCAATGCTCAGGTAATGGATTGGTATCATATTATCTTCACGATATCTTATCATCTGTTGGAATCGAGTCATCTTACGATCAGTCTATGATCAATGGCGCCTTGCAGATCTGGTCTTTGCTGGTTGCTGTTGGATTTTCTGCTTTCCTCGTTGACGTCCTTGGTCGACGGACATTGTTCATGATTGCCGGTGTTGGTATGCTGATCAGCTTTGCTGTTTGGACCGGGTAAGTTGATATTCGAGTTGCGTGTGATGGTATAAGAACTGACGAATTGTCTTGATGCAGGTGCTCTGCGGTATATGCTCAGACTGGTAATACCAGCGCTGGCTCCGCTGTCATTGCCATGATATTCCTCTTCTATGGCGTGGCAGGATTCGCTTGGCCAGGTCTAACGGTGGCGTATCCAGCTGAAATCCTTCCGTTCAATATCCGAGCCAAGGGCATTGCTGTTGGAATGGCTCTAACGGCTCTGTCATCCGTATTCAACCAGTATGTCAACCCGGTCGGTCTGGAAGCTCTGCAATGGCGATTCTATTTCGTCTATATAGCGATTCTGGTCGTCGAATGTCTCTGTATTTGGTTCCTATTCGTGGAAACAAAGGGACCGACACTCGAAGAGATTGCAGCGTTGTTCGATGGCGAAGATGCAAACGTGGCCAGCAATGAGCTTCGGCAAGAGACCAAAACAGTGGATGGTGCCGGGATAAACAAGACCTAGGGCTTCCCCTGTGATTCACTCTAGTGGACGAAGCATTGACAAGGCATCATTGGCAAACCTTCCACGCTCGGCAAGGTCGGATCCAGTAGGTGTTCCCACTTCACCCTCGATAGGCAATGCATGATGAAGTAAAAATTTGACAATCCATCTGTCGACAGTGTAAATGTCGTCCATGGACTGCATGCACACTTTTTGGAATGTGAATAAACGTTCCATCTGTTTTAACATTAGTAGTTGACTAGGCAGGAATAATTCGCCAAATTTAGTCGGTAGATCTCACCATCAAATCCACACCTGGCCAGAACTGCTTCAGTTTCAATAGTATCTCAAAATTCAAATATAGGCGTTTTCTTGTATCAAGTAACTCATCCTGGCTCCCAAATAACAACGTGTGTAGCAGCGCAGAAGAAGAAACAACTGTCATATGGGCCACGATGAGATAAAAAGCTTCGCAATCTTCTGTCTCGTGGGACAATCTCAACAGATCACTGAAAGAGGCAGCATGATACTTGCAGCGAGCAACAAATATAGTGCGACTGGGGGTCCTCTGAAGCTGTGTATCAAAATATTGAAAATAGAGCAATGTAGCATAGTGGTGATAACCAAGATGGAGCGCGACAAATGCCCGCCCAAGGCCTGCCGTTGCATGCTGTTTCAGGTTGTCAATAGTAAAATGTAAATTCGACGGAAGATCTTGAAGATATTTGTCAAACTCATGCGCTAGCCTTTCGGTGATTGCTTCGGCTTGGTGCTCATCTAGGGCTCCATCAGCGAGTCTCACATGGAGATCCTGAATATGGCTGAATATTCGGGCGAGTATCACCATGTATCCCCAGAGACCAACCCCGAGTTGGGCACCATTCTCTAGATTATGTCCTGTTTCAAGGGACCAGAAACTGATTTCAGGCATGGGAAGACGATTTTGGCCTTTGTCGTACATTTGTCGGGGTAGGTTTAGCCCCGCTGAGGACCATGTGTCTATCATGTACAATGACCACCAGGTTCGCACCTTGATCTCCTGTGTAATGCTGTCATCTGTGGCATCGGGCTCTGGCAAATGAAGAACATGTGCCATTCTAAAGGCGACTCCTGCTCACTGTTAGGTCTTCGCAGTTGCTAATCCTGATATTTCTTACCGAAGAACAGTGCTTCGCCTGCGGTCTCTCCTTCAGCTCCGCAAAGGTTTCCTATCAGGATGCTTGCATGGATAGTATCGAGGCAGACATTATCAATATCTATTTTCAGGGAGACTTTGGCGGCCGAGAAGAACTCCTTGGTCTTTTGTCTCACTTCTGGATCGTCGGAGAAACTAGAAAAAAAAGTATCAGGCCAAGTTAAATCAGGAAGAGAATGATCAATATTCTACCGGGCTGACAACGCCATAATACCATATAGTATCGCCCGAGGTAGTGTGCCATCTCGAACTCTTCTTCTCAGGACGCTTGGGCTGAACAGAGTATGCGGTTTATCATGGATGAGTTTCAAATACAGATCTATCAATGTCTCTGCCAATTCCTTCTGTGTAGTCGGAATAATAAAATGACTCATTTCTGTGACATTTGCTCTGCTGGATGTTGAAAGTTTTGGGAGGAGATGTGTTTGCCGTCGAGGTGAGTTCGTGAAAGAACAGTACTTGTTCTGTCTCAAGCACTGTTGGCAAGGTAGATCTCCCCGCTCCACGATGCATTTTCGTTTGCCAGCCCTACACCGCGTGCAGGAAGTAGATATCTTCATGATTTCACTCTTTTGGTTCTCTGGAATTAAGACTTTTGAGTAGACGAGGTAATCTCGGTACGAAATCGAGGGGTTGTATCACGTGAGGCTCATAGTTTGATATTGGATCAGTTGAGATATTTAATGACAAGAAAGAGTCATGCGACGCAAGAAGCATATTGACCAGATTCTCCCGGCTAAATGCATCTAGAGTGAGTATATCAACACGGGATAGCCACAACATGGCACAAAATAGAGCGACTCCTCAGATATCCAATCAAGACTCGCTTGATATGGCACAGAAATATATCCGAAGGATGCAGTCAGTCATCCTCAATCAAAAAGAGAAATAGAATAGTATTATTTCGTCCACACGAGTGCTTTCCGGAGTGGTGTAGTTCCACCTGGGGGGATGTCATATCACAGTCTCCGCCCGGCAGAAAAACAGACGATAAGCTGCAGTAACTTAAACTGTCTCGGCAACAATTCATTGTTCAACATTCCAGCCATGGGAAAAGGACCATTGGAGCAGAAGCTCCAGTTCGAAAAGAAGAACCAAGACCTCGTCAAGCTTCCCAAATGTAAGTCAACAGCCTGCGGGACGGCCAACAGAGCCAATGCGACTGTCGCGGTACAGCTCAAATCCAAGATCCCCATGACTGACTGGCTGGACTACACAGATGCAAAAGTCGAAAAGCGCCCAATACCCCATGCACCAGTTGCCTCTCCCTACGCCGGTGCCTCTGTTCCCAAGATCGTCTACGTCTCGAGTAGCACACCATTCATGAGCGCAGTTAAGCGCATCCAGAAACTACTCCTCCAAGCCGAGAAGCGCGCCACGGCAAACATCAACCTAGAAGACACGCGCAAAAACGAGAAACAAAAGCTCGCAGAGCTAGCCAATATCTCCTCGAAGCGGGAGGAGGTCTTCGTCAAGGCGACGGGACGGGCCATTGAGAAAGCGCTCAATGTCGGCAAATGGTTTGAGGAGAAAGAGACTGAGTACTCGGTCCGTGTGAAGACTGGCAGTGTCATTGTTGTTGATGATGTTATTGAGGATGAAGAGAAGAAGGAACAAGAGGAGCAAAAGCGTCAACGGCAGGAGGGGCAACAGACTAACCCTCCTTCGTCGGAGTCTAAGTCGGCTGCGAAGAAGAGGAAGCGTCAGGCTGCTGCCGCTGTGAACCCTGATGCTGAGCTTCCTGAGAGCCGTACGCGGTGGGTCAAAATGGTTGAGGTTGCTGTTAGCCTTAAGTGATTTTGCAGACGGACGATGGCTTCGACGGAAGATACGAAAGTTATTTGATCACGACTCACAAACACGAATCAACCCGCCAAATTTCAGTGGCTAGGACTGATCCCTGTGATAATCCTGTGGCCAAGCCCAGGATGTTCCGGCAAAGACTCAGCAAGTTGCACAGGCACCTCTTGTCTATTGGACAAACCCGTTGGATTCAACAGTGGTTGTCCATCACCTGGTTACCCAGCCGAGGATTCATATGAATCTCATCTAAAACCCTAAGGGATACTCACACTGGCTAAATTTGAGAGCTTTCAGCGACCCGCATCTCGCCAACACCAGTGCAGCTACTCTACAATTGCAACGAATCATTAGCTGGGCAGGTACAATCCAGAAAGGAACACTTCGTTCGTCCAAGGCGGACAAAATCATGTACATCGAAAAAATTCCCAGCTTATAAAACAGCACCAGAGCACATAACCAAAGTAAAAATTCAACTCAACCCGCCGTAAATGCCCCAACCGACTGGCACGGAAAGAAAGAGATGGACACCAACTCGAGGCTAACAGTTCTACTGTAATCCAAAGGAGTTTACAGGAAAAGCGTAAATCATCACATCTGCCAACGGGAACCAGATAGGCATGAATAAGAAAGGAAATAGTACTAATGAAAAAAGAACTCCATAATACGCTCAGAAAGCCCTGCGCAGCCCTGCGCTGACATGACACGATGAATGATAATGCCTGAAAACCCTTCATCAAAAGAAATGTTTCAAAGAGAGGCTGCAAGTCATGAACGTATCCTTATTTTTCCCCCATCATGTACAGACAAAAGAGAAAGAGATGCCGAGTCCCAGAGGGTGAGAGGCTAATAGTAACATAGTAGGAGGTAGAGAAACAAACATGAAAAGGAGAGGACAGGAAAGAGGGGGTGGGGCATCGGAGAGGTCGATAGAGATGGTCGATAGAGAAATTCATCGAAGAAAGTCATCAAGAAAATTCGTGGCAAGACAAGAGAGATTGTGGGCTGAAATGGACGAGGCTCCGAATATGAAGACAGAAAAGGGAAAAAAAGGCGACCTTCACCCGAGAAAAAAAGACCAGGGAATCCATCGCCAGAGAGTCATGACTGGCAGAAGTTGAGATCTGATGGAACGAAGATAGGAGTGAAGGCCAAGTTATGCAACGTACTTATGCAATAGAACCGCTTAGGAAAAAACGCCGGAACCCAGAAGGAAACAAGGCGAAGCTGGTTTACTTGTCCATCTTTTGCCAACCGTTGAGATAGGCCATCAAGCCTACCCCTAATAGTACCACGCCAAAGATTGAAGCATACGGACTTGCTTCTTCCAGAACATTGTTTCGGTGGTGTGTTGCAAAAGCAGTGGCTGCAGCATCCAGCTCTTTATTCTGCTGGGTAACCGAATCGAAGTGATTTATTGGGCTCTTGGGCTTGGACTGCGTTGCATCATCGCTCAAAGTGGACTGTCCCGACTGGACATTGCTTGGTTCATGAATTGTATCGGGCTTCTTCGCAGCGGCCAACGCAGAAGCCTTCGCGCGTTCCTGACGCAACGTTTCAACCATTTCTGCCAAAGATGTGCGAGATTGTGTGGTCTCGTCTTCAGCCTTCTCTGCACGGTCTTTGAAAGATGCGACTTGTTTTCTCATCTCTTCCATCTCTTCCATCATGGTATCCAAGCGGCTTTGAAGCTTGTTGGCATTGGCTTCTGCGGAGGCAAGAGCCTCGCTGTCTTTAGAAGCAGTCTCCAGAGGATGAATGCCATTGACCTGCACGGTTTCTTCCGAATCATCCTGCTGCTTCTCATTGATGTCCTCTGAATGTGGAACAATGCCATTTTCGACAGGGGCCTCTCCATTAACCGATGTAGAGCGCATCTCTAATTGATCGGCTCTTTCTTCTGCCAATTTCCGAGCAGCCTGCTCCTGAAGTAAAAGAGTTTCCAGTTCCTTGACACGCGTGCCTTGAGCATCAATCTCTCGCTTGGCAGAAGATAGCGCCTCAATAAGGGACAATATCTGGCTGGAATCGCGTGAGACGGGAGAACCCGCGCCCCCTTTGGGCTTCTCCGTATCGCTGCGCTTCAAAGGAGAGAACGATTCCGAGGCGCTGCGCGGCGGCGCATCAGGTTTTTCTGGCAAGGGCTGCTGAGGTGGAGGGGCAGGAGGATCAGAGAACCTTGAGAAAGAGTCGACCCGCGGCATTTTTGGTCGGCCATTCATCTGTCGGTGAGCACTGCTCTCCAGAGGGGATGGCTTGGCCATCTTCTCTTTCTCTGCGTAGCCTGGTTTCATAATGGTCGTCAAGAATTCATCGGTCTGGCTAAGATCGGTTGACTGTTGTTTTGCTGATTTCAATTCGCCCTAGAATGTGTCAGAAAGGTACTTGTGCGTGGAGTCATTAGCCATACCGTGAGCCGCTTGACGACCTGTTCAATAGATATTGGCGAATTCCAGTAGTTCATCTGCCGTTGTTGGTGCATAGCATTGAGCTGAGTACTGGCGGCACTTTGGTTGCTGCGGTTGCTGGCATTGCTACCAGCTCGGTTACGTAGATGCGAAAGAGGTTGGCTCAAAGGGGAAGGAAGAAGTCCGCCTCCAGAGGCAGGATCTAAGTCCCCAAAGTTCAGATCAAGTATGTTAGGTGTACTGCCATACAGACCAGCATGCTCAACCTTGGCTGAGACTTTGTGGTGGACGATAGTGTTCTGATCCTCGCTGACAATGTCAATACCGAGTTCTAGGGTATCGTTTTCGCGTATTTCGTGTGGATCCGACTCGCGGTTCTCAGGAGATAATCGGTGACCGTTCACAAATGTACCGTTAGATGATTTGATATCCCGGATCCAAATCTTGCCGTTCTTTTCGGCCCATATCTCAGCATGCTGCCGAGAAAGAACCTTGGAGTCGAAGTACCCATTGAGAGCTGTGGGGACTGTTTTGGCGTTGGTCTGTCGGCCAATTCGCAAAACGTCGGGGTAAATTGGCACATGGATTTGTTTCTTTTCAAAGGTGCCATTCATTGGCACGAGAGCCAAGATCACCGGCATGTCAGCGGACTGTCTGGGTGGCCCACGGGGAGCATTCTGCTGGTCAGGAGAGGGATAAAGCAGATTCGCCGTCTGCGACGGGACGATGGACGGAGGCTGGTGCATGGCGGCCATTGTCGAAGATGCAGTTGGGCCCGACGAAAATGCAGACACCGCCTGAGATCGCGCGTTCGTTACCCCTGATACCGGTTCAGACTTCGAGCTGGGCCAAGGATTCCGCGCCGGCTTCTTTTTTGATGACAAAGTTCCTGATTCACCTTCGGAACTCTGCGCAGCATGCGTATCTTGAGAAGCGGACACGGTCGACGTGGTAGAGGACGACCCGATAGAGGAAGAGGAGTTTGATCGTTGGACGTGCTTCCGTGGCATAAACATCCGTGACACGTCGTCCGCGTTGACTGAAGACAATGCTCCTTGTCCCCCGTTACCAGAGCTGTACCATCCCAAGCGAGACCCCGATTCTACACTAGGAGGAGATGCCACAGCAGTCATGGAGAAGGATGCTCGCAAGTGAGTAGAAGCAACGGAAGGTGTCTAGATCGGCGCGTCCACGGTCGCGAATTGTAGAGGGGGCCGTTGTTCTCGAGGCGGTCTAGGAGTCTGAAAAGAAGATGTATTGGAAGATCGGGTTATGTCCGAGGTGTTGGGGAAATTGAATGCGCGCAAGGGTGATTCAATCTCAGCTGCCCGGCTAAAAGCAGGACGGTCGCGTTAGTGTCGTCTGAGTAAGGTGAAATAGATTGGCCCCCTAAAGTCGAGGTCAAGGCCTCAACTCAACTCCACATACAGCCTCACATCGGGTGGCAGTATACTCACTATTTAAAGGTGATCTGAAACGTAGTAGGATGTGATATTGGCCGGACCAAGGAGGGAGGTGCGTGAACGACTTCACACGTCCCAAAAGGTGACGGAAGCACAAGACGGCACTACCGCCTCAGCGCAGGCTTCAGGCCCTGGGAATTTAACGAGAAAGGATGTCAGAGATCGTGGAGAGTTGCCATCAAGTGATCTCGGCAAGTGCGAGTTGCTCACTTGGTCTACTCCCTTGACGCCCCCGGGTCACGTGGTGTGTAGGCACGTGTGCGCCCGTTGTCCATCACGTGATGATGTGGAGAACGAAGCTGGGGAGGAAAACGAAGCTCGTTCTCCGACTATTCAACCTCGGGATTTCTCGTTCAGCTCTGAGCTGCTGCCTTTTTTGACCTTGCAAATCTATTAATCAATTCCAATAATGCCTGTTGTTGCTGGTCCTCCCGCCCAAGCCGGCCCAGGGGGTGCGCCGTCGACTTTCGACAAGAGTATGTCATCTACAACCCACTCGCTATACATTGCAATGCGCTGGGAGTGTTCCTTCCTGCATTAGTCAATACAACTATTGGGAACATATGGGCTGACAAGACTCTAGTGAAAATGGGTTGCATGATGGGTTCCAGTACGTGGTCGCTTCACCTCGTCTCGAGCTCTAGCTAATATAGTACTCTAGCCGTCGGTGGTATCATGGGTTTTATTATTGGTTTGTCACGCCACTTCTCTACCTCGACTATAACGCTGACCAGCTATAGGAACCGTGACAATCTTCCAGTACGGCGCTGGCCCCAATGGTGTCATGCGGACACTGGGCAAGTATATGCTGGGCTCGGGTGCGACTTTTGGGTATGCTTCCTTCACCTCCCGAGGGCTGGTTGGAATGGCTTGAGAACCACAGGCTAACCAAAGCGTTCCCCTACAGACTCTTCATGTCTATTGGTAGCGTCATCCGCTCCGAGGGACCTGTGAACGATGCCTGGCTCCGTGCCCGCGGACCCCCGATGATGCTCCCCCGGCAGAGCCCCCTGCGCCAATGAATACAACCTTTCTCGCGGTCTTAGGACAACACCCGGGAAATATGCGATATGACCACTCCCCTGGCGACGTCCCTTGTACGATATAATCTCTGGTTGAGAGACTTTTTTCGGGCGGTTTCAGGAGACAGGAAACCACAACGGTTGTTGCCACCTTCAGGTTCCAGGGATACTTGCTACTTCAGCACGCAATGTACATAAACTAGCGGTACCCAGGACATGCTGGCGTTCAACAATTCCTTAAATGCGCCAATCATTGTAAGCGATAATGTGAGAATGCCTCCTTTTACTGCCATTCGATTCAGTTCCACATATGCAAAGAGGGCTCATTGCTTGTAGTTCTTTTTACGGGGTAACGCATGCAGTTTCAGGGGGAACTGGCATACGAGGCCCGAGGCTGCAAGTCCCGGTCCCTGTGACCAGTGATCGATCAATCTCCGGAATGATTTCAATAGATGCCAGCCGGTGCCTCCTTGGCGTCACGATGTGGATGTTACTTGCGTGGCCATTGCAACCATTAGGGAGGCTGACTTTCTAATACAAGGCAGCCATCCGCATGGTGTGTTGAGTTGGCAAAGGTCCATTTTGTTTCAGGCCTGGCTCTATCAGAGGCCTGGCCCCTCAATGTAAACCTGGGGTCAATTCCAATCAAGTTAAGGGAGCCAAACATATCTCAAGGCTTTTGGCCCTTTGACTTGTTGACACTTCACATCCATAGATTGCGAACATTTATCCCAGACGTGCTAGCGCCTCGGATACATTCAATCATGCGTCGAATCTGGGGTGTCAAGTTGGCATGCTGGGCGTTGCCATTTCTATGAATTCACAGCTAGCCACATAACTAGTTCAAATGACTTCTGCTTGTACCCGCTTGTCCGGTTCACGAACTACAGCCTTGGAATGGTTGTCGGATTTCCATTGCAGCTGCTTTCTGGGGATTTAAAAGTCGGCGATTATGATACTGGTAGGGTCATCCAGGTTGCTGAAATCCTCATCTTGATATATATGCATGGTCAAAAGTACCTCTTTTCTACTGTAGTTCGGAAGTACAGTATTGAGTTTCGAATATGACAGCGGCAACAACGACGATTGGATATTGTCGCAAGTTGCCAAAAATGAAACAAAAGATAGGAATGTCTTATAGACTATGTACTTATCAATAAAACAAATATTTATATCCCTTTGAGTCACCGGCACAGTCAGCCAGGTACGTAGGACGTTCATAGTATGTGGAATTAGTCCAAGACCAATCAAAGCCCCTTACAGTATACAGTGTAGCGGCTGGAATAGGCTGGCATTTAGTCTAATCTGAAAACTGCCCAATAACCAGGGCTTCTCTCGCAGGGTCAGCCTAGGTCACAGCCCGACGCCCCTACAACCCCCAGCCCCCTTTGCATATGCCACAGTAACCCTGCTCCGTGGAGGTCCAATAAGCAGTCTGACGCTTAGGCAGAACCAAGTGTTTGCTTTGGGTTAGATGGCAGATATAAATATTGCGGCTCAAATTTGAAATATAAGTAGCAACGCCCTGCAGAGTATGAGTTTCACCCCTCCCAATCCATCTCCCGTTCATCATGGCTACGCAGCTGGTATCTCAGGCTCTGCATTACAGCTGCGCTTTGGTAGCCGCTCTATACATCGTGGTCTGTTTCCTCAGCGGCAGTCCAGCAAAAAGAAGGAGAAAAGGTCGCCCCAAGTGCAGAACACAGCTTCGAGTCTCCTTAACGGCTTTGATTGTGCTCACATACATTGGCCAGACGGTTCTAAGCATCACCGTCAATGACCTTGACCGATCCCAATCGTTTCTCGTGCATATGACCTCCCAGGCCGCCGTGTGGTCTGCGGTGTGGGTGCGGCAACATAATCCTTCCAAGTATGAGTTGGCCGGAGCGTCAGTCGTCACCGCTGGTTTCGAGATTCCCCTCCTTGCGCTCTCATTGTGCCACAAACCGAGGCAGTGGGAACCAATCGCGCAGATTGCCATTTCAGTCATTCGGCTTTTACTGCTTGTCTTGGTGGCGATCACTATTCTATTGGAAATCAGACAGAGAAAGAAAAAGGTCCCGGACGAGTCGCACCCCTTTCTAAATGGCAATCGATCATCCTACGGCGCAGCCAATAGTCCTGATCAAGATGATAGCAGTGCTCTGTCTGACAGCGAGAGCGATTCGGACAAGAACCAGAATACAAGAGCTGCGCGGGTCAAAAGGCTCCGCAAAGAACGACTACATTCGCTTGGTGGCTGGTGGAATTACCTAAAGGACTTTAGCATTTTTCTGCCTTATTTGGTGCCCAGAAATAATCGCAAAGTGCAGCTCTGCATTGCCACCAGTGTTGTCTGTATAGCGTGCCATCGAGTTCTGAACATTCTGATCCCCCAGCAATTAGCCGATGTTACCGATAGCATCTTCGCCCACAAAACGCCATATACCTCTTTGGGAAAATGGGCCTTGTTACAAGTTATTGGTGGCGGAGCTGGACTAGGGCTGATTGAAGCACTCGTGAAAATCCCGATCAGGCAGTTTTCTTACCGGCAAATCACCAATGCGGCTTTCAGCCATGTCATGAATCTATCGATGGATTTCCATATCGAGAACGACTCAGCAGAGGTTATGAAGTCGATCGATCAGGGGGGAGCGTTGAACAATATCCTGGAAATGGCTATCCTCGACATCGCCCCGGCAGTGGCAGACTTGTTTATTGGATGCTTCGTCTTCTACCTGAAGTTTAACATCTATGCTTCTCTCTTGGTGGTGATTGCCTCTATCACTTATGTTTCGGCGGAAGTCTTTACCTCCAATTGGAATCTAGAGAATCGACGTGACTTAACACAGACTCAGCGAAATGAAACTCGCATCATGCATCAAGCTGTGCAAGGCTGGCAGACTGTCACCTACTTCAACCAGTTCTCTTATGAGAGGTCTCGCTTTGGTGAAGCGGTTGATTTATGCTTAAAAGCAAGTGCTAGTTTTGGTCAACGACGGGCAATCGGAAAGGCGCTGCTAGACCTACTCAGGCCACTTTCCTTTGTTGGTCTCTCCTCGCTCATAGTACACGAAATCTCCGTGGGTCGAGCCTCAACGGGTGATTTTGTCTTCTTTATCCAGTATTGGTCGTCACTTATCTCTCCGCTAGCCTATCTCTCAGCACAGTATCGCTGGCTCGTTTCAGATCTAGTAGATGCCGAACGTCTACTATACCTCTTTAATTCTAAGCCAAGTATCACCGAGAAGCAAGGTGCCACGATTCTTAAGTCTGGAGATGGCCGAGTTGTCTTCGATAATGTCAACTTTGCCTACGATACCCGACTATCAACCCTCAAAGACGTGGATATCACCGTCGAGCCAGGGACAACAGTTGCACTAGTTGGAAGGACAGGCTCTGGAAAGACGACAATCCTCAGACTCCTCCTCCGACTCTACGACGTAACCTCTGGCCGGATCGAAATCGACGGCCAAGATATTCGAGACATAACCCTCAGCTCGTTACGCGAAACTATCGGCGTCGTCCCACAAGACCCAGTCCTGTTCAACGCGTCTATCCTTGAGAACCTGCGTTACGCTCGACCCTCAGCTACAGATGAGGAGATCCACGAAGCATGTCGCGCTGCGGCTATCCACGAGAAGATCTTAACTTTTGTAGACGGGTATGATACTACGGTTGGAGAAAATGGTGTTAAGCTCTCTGGCGGGGAATTGCAGCGGATAGCCATTGCTCGGGTCTTCTTGAAGAAATCGCCTGTTCTTCTCTTAGATGAGGCTACAAGTGCTGTGGATTCGGAGACGGAGTCTGAGATTCAGATTGCTCTTGACCGCTTGAGAGCTAGACGAACTACCTTTGTTATTGCGCATCGGCTTTCGACTATTGTTGGCGCGGATAGGATCCTTGTTTTGCATGAAGGACGGGTTGTAGAAAGCGGAACACACCAGGAGTTGGTGAGGAAGGGTGGGAGATATCAAACTCTCTGGGAGAATCAGTTTGGTAGTGATAAAATTAAAAAAGCCTTATAGGGGAAAAAAGGAGGAAATGAGGGTACAGATTGAAGGAGGGTTTACACTAATTGCCTAAATCAATATTATTCAGAATGACGCTTGACATGTTCTTCAGATGGGATTTATAGAGGGAAAAAGGACCACGTAGTCTACACCTGTTTTCTTAGGAGCAAGCAACTTGTTTTCAAAATGAATCATCTACTAGGTCATCTTGTAAGAAATTTATCATCGCAGTTGTATCGGTACATATCCTGTATGTTAGTGATGGGGTCCGACATAAACTTCGGATGGTGTGAAACGGCCCATCACTTTGAAAATATATATGCAGTCTTTTGAGATATATCCTCAAGGAACCCACTACTTTTTCTTTAGATTCTGGCGGTAAGAATATCACAGACATCCAAATAATCTGTTACCGTACCATATCTACAACCGAAGGCAATTTAAAATTAACACAGGACATGTTGTCCAGAGGCTAACAAAGAGAGGCACAGATCCCTCTGGTCAAATTACAAGAAAGCGAGAATCTATCTAACAACGGAAGGGGGAGAAAGCGAGATTGATACATAGAATTTGTTGAGGAAAGAGAGGAGAAGATCCCAACTGTGTGTGGAGGTTCTGGGAATCGTATAGTGTGCCCGGTTGAGGGGTCAGTTACCCGGGTTCGAAGCAACCATGATCAACGATCTACTCCGCACAGCAATCTATTTAGTCCGAGAGAGCCTAAGCAAGTGAGCACTAAACCAAAAAAGGACGAACGCTCAATTCTGTACCTCGGATGCCCGAGCCCCTTTCTCTAGTTTTGCCTTCACTTCCCCCTTTATACCCCTTGGTTTCTGGCTCATCACAATATCAAAGATGAGTTTAATTGGATCTACAAGATGCATCCGCTTGTCAAATTAGATGAACGGCTATCGACGGTGTGAGCCCTGGAGGGCATGAGGGTATGACTCAAGCGGGTCTCTTAGGGCTTTGGGAGTCAAGATTTTCTTAAGCCACCCCCACAGCCAACTCTCAACGCTCAACCAAGGCGTGGACTGCTACGTGCGCATGTACATGTGTACACCGTGGTCATTCCTAATGCATGGCTGCCCATACAGTCGGTGTTATGACGAATTGTATTCTGCAAGGAGGCGGTGAGCGAATCACACAAGTATGAATGAAAAGAAATGAATCACGTTCTCGAACGCCCCAGACTCTTTCATCGCCATCAAACTACACCAAACTGGTAGACCAGGGCGACGATCGGGTGGAGCAGAGTTCCATGGTTCTTTTCAGGTACCGGGAGAATCATAGAGCCCCATCAGAAAAGTCTGTTCAAGGGGGGCAATACAGTAAAAACCGGATGTCGGTTAAATGCTAGATTCGGGATATCGCGACTACAGTACTCTGTACTTTGTCTAGATCTTATAAGGTAATACTTAACGTTAATTACGCCATAGACGAACTGTTATGTTTATTATGTTTATCACAAATAAGCCAAATAAACCTATTGTATGTTCCTGCGTATGACGCTAGGGGTTCGGAAACTATGCAACTTCCGGACTGGCCGCGAAAGTGTGACGAGAATCTTCATTTCTGTTGAGTACAGCGCTTCTGGAAACAGAAACCGAGTACTGATCGGATCCGGCCACTAAATGGGCATGTACTGTTGTATACAGACTAAGATTGACAAGGGTCTATACACCTATCGGATACCGAGGGAGGCGAAGAATCTCGTATTGTATGCGCCTCACCGGGGCCACATGAAGGCGACTTTCGGCCTCTTCCTGAGCGTGTTCGCCCGGAATTGGCTTAAGGACCCGGTGAACAGGACAACACAATTATTCTCTGTACAGTGTACACGTATGTGTCGGTAATAGTTTGGTAATATGCAAGTCGCCCCTAGCGTCTGTGCGGGAAGACCCTTCGTGTTCCTGAGTTAGCGCCTTGTTTGGGTGATTTGTTAGGGCTCCAAAGGCCATAGTTCGGATACGATGGAGCCCAATTTGGATAGTCCCATAGTCCGCGTGTCTCAACGCCCAATCATACATCTCAGCTTCACCTAAAAATCAATAATCATTAAAACAAAGGAAGAAAAATAAGCCACAGGGCTCTCTAATGGACGAATGGCCCTTTCCCCAGGTTCGGACCTGGCTTATTATTTAGGGCATTCCGGGCCCTGTCCGATTTTTCCCTTTTCTCCTGCAGGCACTTTAAGAGATTTCTCTATACACTCGTTTACCAATTACTCGTTTTATCTTGAGCAGCGCTCTCCCCACGCTCTTTACCATACATTCCTTGACGCTCGTTTGCGCACATTCTAAAACAAGCCCCAAACAGCCATTGTCTCATTGTGAAGCCTCATACTGCGACATACCAAATCTTCCATACTTCACGCCAGTTTAACATCAGACTTTTCACCTTGATCCAATTCATCTCAATTACTCATACATCAATTGATTACTGTTGCGCATAAATCGCCACAATGAAGTTCACCACTGTCATCACCTCCCTCCTCTGCCTGGCAGCTGCCCCGTTGGCTCTCGCAGAGGACGACGTCACATCGACTGCGACGACCACCATCACCAAGACTCTGATCCGGGTCAACTCGGTGACTCCCACTCCCACCCCGAGCTCCAGCATGGTTACCGTGTCGGCTACCTCGACCCCTCTGTCTCGTGCTTCTTCGACCACCTCGGCTGTCGCAGCCGCCAGCTCGACTGGCGCTGCTGTGAACCTGGGCGCTGGCGTGCCAGCTGCCCTTATCGCGGGATCTTTCGCTCTCATCATGGGCCAGGCCCTGTAATTGGTGTGCATTGCGACGAGGCGCATTCATGCAAGCTGCGCTCAGCTATATTGGGTCCATTGTCCTCCTCGCCCTTTCTTTTTACAGCATGAATGCCGCCTTGTCTCTTCTCGCGAGCCGTTCATCTTCAGCAGAGCCGGGATTTATACGCTTTTTACTTCTTTTTACTTCTTTTTTTGGACTTTCTATTCCTCTCGGTTAGCTGGAGAACCCATTTTGGAGAGGAAACGGTTTTACGCTTCTCAAATACCCCAGTTCTTTTTTTTTTTTTGGCATGATTTCGCGGAACGATACGAGTTGACGCTGTTATTTAACCCTTCTCAACAACCTCTTTTTCGATTCTCCTGTCCATATTCGTTTGGCGGATGACTGTTTGATATGGCTCTTACCAATGGCGTGTTGTGTTGGATTTGGAACGGAGAGGATCTCATAGTCATCTACAGAACAATTGACACCTTTGTTTCTTGATACCCTATATAAAAATCTACGTTATAACTATACAACTACATGTATACAACTATGGAGTGCCGATCATTCCAAGCCGTGGCCTCCGGGGTCGGCTGATGGCCGTGCACCCACGCGTCTGATCTGATCTTATCTCTGGCATTCCAGTCTCGACTTCTTACCTCTTCTCTCTTTTCTCCCCTTTCCAGTTACAATAAAAAGTACAATTTACTATAGAGAGACCCCAGTTGATCCCATATTATCTCCCAATCGCGCAATTAGCGCGTTTGTTGACGCCCGTCCCTATCGCCGTCTCCACCACGCGTCGCACCTCAACTAGCACCAGACGAAAACCACCCTTCAGACTTCAGACCGAACCTGATGAACCACGCGGCCCCAAACCAAATATTCGTCTGAATCCAGCGCACCATCGCAATGGACGGCGAGATCCCTCTCCCTCCGCCGCGGCGAATCCGTCACCGCTCACCCGCGCACGCGGTCAACCCCTCGGCACCAGGCACAGGCCCAACCCCTGCAATCGCCTCGTTCCACAAATCGCAGCGCCTATCCCGCTTTGACGATCGCTCCAGCCAGCCATCTAGTGACCCCGCGCTCTTTTCCAGCGATGACATCCCCGCGTCTGGCTTGGAGAACTATCATGCGCCTGTGTCTGGCGCGGGCCGGAAACGGCGGTATCGTGGGACTTGGTGGGGGGAACAGGTGATTGATCCGAAGCGCAAGCGTGGGGAATTTAAGGATAAGAGAAATGTCGATAGTGGTGTCTGGATGGGGAGTGATGAGTCTGTTGCGGAGTCGCTTTTGCCGTCGGAGGATGGCTCAGCGTGGGGAGACGATTTGCGCAAGTCGGTGCTTGATCCGAGGAAGTCAGGAAACTCGACTCCTCTGCTTATCGGGACCGAGAATGCTTCTGCGCAGATGAAAGGTGTGGTTAAGAGACCTGAGGAGTCGGAGGAGCAGCGGTTTGCGAGGGAGGTTGTTAATGATTGCCTTGATAAAGGACAGGAGAGCATTGATCTTGGGTAAGCTCTTTGGTCGGATATATGCTTGATACAATGGTCTAATCAATTCTTCCCTTTAGCGACTTTCATCTGAAAGCCATACCCTCTGGTCTATTGCGACCTCTGCAGCATCTAACGAAGCTTCCCTCAGTCAAAGAAGCCCCAGTCTCTGAAAATGTCTTCACGTCTTTGCAGCCATTCCTTCGAATCTTCCTTCCCAACAACTCCCTCTCAACCTTGCACAACGACCTCTTCGAACTCAGCAATCTCAAGGTCCTTAGCTTGCGGAACAACAAGCTAACCGAACTTCCATCTACTATTCGCCGATTGACAGCCTTGCAAGTGCTGAATCTCTCAGTCAACCGACTGACCTGCCTCCCGTGGGAACTTATAAAGCTCATGCAAAAAGGCGAACTGAAGCACCTGACCGTACGGCCAAACTCATTCCTCCCAATCGAGGAAGCCCAGATCGCCGAATGGCACCACAACGCGACTAAAAGGCAGACAGAAGAGCCCGAGGAAGAATTTCTATCTAGCCAACTCCAATTCAACCACGACGAATCTTCAACCATCCGCAAGCCCTTCTGGGACCCAATCCACGTCGCCACAGGCCCAACAACCTTCCTAAACATGGAAGGCAACCCAGTCAGAGAGTCCACTCACCAACCCCTCCATAAATGCCGCCCCATCTCTCCGCGAACTCTCTCTCCGCACCGTGAGCAAGCTCCCCTACCTCGAGCAAGCCACAGACGAAGAACTAGCCGAGTACCCGGCCCTCCTCGTGCCTCTCCTCCGCCAAGCAAGAGAAGTGCGCGCAGCAGGCGGACAGCCCTGCTCTGTATGCGATCGTGAATTCGTGATCCCCCGCACAGAATGGCTGGAATGGTGGGATATTACACCATGCGAGAACGGTATGAAAATGCCGCGTCATTCTGGCGAGAAACTTCGGCCTTTGCCATTCCGTCGGCTTGGGTGTAGTTTGTCCTGTGTTCCCGGATCACAGTGAACGTGGAACTTTCTTTGATTGATTGCATATACTTCCTCATGTGAGCCTTGCTTTCGGGTTTAATATAATTTTGGTGTACAAAGATTGCATGTAGATCTTCGGTGCTGGGATTCTTTGTATTTTGGTTATTGGACATGCTAGTTTGTGATGTGTCCTTGTAGAAATTATGACAAATACGTTTGTTGGTCTTTGTAATTGTTTTTGAACTTGATTTGGTATCAATTCTGGTATCAATTGACTTTAATGAGGCTCGCTTATTCTGTTTGCGCAGCCTGTCTTACCGCGAGCCTTGCAGTAGCACTCGAGTGGTTTATTATGCTGACCAACTCTGTGCTTTGCTAAGAAATATGTAAATTCTGCTGAGAAATTTATATCACTTGCTGGACAATCACTGGACATAAAGGTGCCCTAACTACATATCGCAGATGTACAGATCATATCCAACTATAGTTAAGCTCCATAGACAAAAAGCCTGGAGAGTAAGCCAAGCTAATTGATACCAACCTAAAGATATATATAAAGAGATCCATCTATCCCAAGAGTCCCCCAAACATCAAACACCAAGGAAACCCACAAACCAAGTCCCAAACCACAAATCAACCCACCACGACCAAAATGCCAACCTTCACCAAACCAAACCGACCCTAACCTGGCTAATAAAAGGCACATCCTCAGGCATAAGCCTCTCCCTCGCCCGAGCCACCCAATCTGCTAACCAAAACGTGATAGAAACATCCCGCAATCCATCCCGCACACCAGAGCTAGTATCCGAAATCGCCTCCATCAGCAGCGAATGGCACGCCCTAGATGTGAACGACCCATCCACGCCAGCGGCACTCCTAGCCAAGCTCACCGTGTCCGGAACCACAATCGACGTGCTGGTGAACAGTGCCGGCTTCTGCATGGCTAGGGCTCTAAAGCAGATCTCAGACGATGAGATGCGCAGTCAGGTGGAGACGTTGTTTTTTGGACCGCATCGGCTTGTTAAGACTTTTGTCCGGGTATGCGAGAGAGGAGGTTTGGGGTTGTGCTTAATCTTAGTTCTGGGGCTGGGTTGGTGGGTGGGGAAGGGTTAGGGACTTATGCTGCTGCTAAGGCTGCTGGGGATGGTATGTTCTCTTTCTGGTTTCTGGTTTCTGGTTCTTTGCTTTATCGGTTTATACTTTGATGTTTTGTGTTTATTGACTGGTGTCTATGCTATATAGGGTTATCCAAAGTTCTCACTAAGGATCTCGCTCCGTTCAACATCCCTGTCTTGACGGCTTGATTCAGTACGTTCAATACTGGAATTGGGAATGCTGGTGTTATGGCTAGTGAGGCTTTGCCTGGAGATTATGAGGCTTCGGCTGCTTCTCAGGTTATTGAATACCTGCAGAGTGGTGCGTTTGCTGCGGATGGAGACAAGGATAAGGCGCTAAGACTATTTGTGAGATTGTGATAGGTGAGGGTGTTAGTGCTAGAGATGAGGAGGAGCGGTTCTTCCTTTTGGGTCGGGATATGATTCCTCATGCTAAGGTGGTGCAGGATCAGTTAGGCCGTATTCTTGAGGCTTTTGGGGAGGTTGCTCGGAATGCGTATATTGATCAGAAGTGAGACTGAAATCGAGGCTTTGCTTTATCAGTTTAGATGACCAAGTTGTCGTGAGAACTCAAGAAAGATGAGATCGTCGCCGAGTTTTCCGATAGATGGTGTTTTAATTTAGGTGAATAGTGAATTGTATTTTTGAGCCGCAATCAGCTGTGTTTGAGCACACTTACTACTCTAAGGATGTATACGGCCAAGAACATGGCTTAGCAGAATTGGTGAAGGATAGCCAAGTCTCGAAAGCAATGGAATACATTTGCGTTTTCATCACGAAGTAAAGATTTAAACGATTGACCCGCGGTGCATCCCAGCCGCTTCAACCATGCCTGCACACTTTGCAATCGCCCAGCACACTGGGATGTTCTCACTCAACGCCAGGCAGAATCAAGTCATGAAAAGGAAAATCAGAAAGTTCGCTAATAAGCATGCTTCAATACAAAGAGAGCAAATTTCACACACGCTGTGACGGGGAATGATGAAAAGGAAAAGAGTGGACTAATATAGAAAGGTTAGCGGTTACGGTCCGCACGAGCCTGGTGCCAAATCGTATCACCGCTCAGGGCCGAGAAACTAAGGGTTGCTAGGTTTCTCCAACTTGACTGTGGCGCAGAGTTTGCATGATCCCCAAGTAGACCTGCAGTTTGCTCGGCATCGGAAGCATCATCTGTGGCGCCTTCGATTAATACCGGAGCGGAGGACGCGCCAGCCCGGGGAATGGACTCAGAGGAATGGAAATCATTGGATTGTTCATGGAGGCTCTGAGAGTCAGGAGTCTGACAGTGAGCCATTGAACGCACAACGTCGCCTTTACAGATCGGGCAGGTTCGTCGACGGGTAGTCAACCAGGGTGTGCTGGTGAAAGGGTTAGCATTGCTCGGAGTTGATATACCATTATAACTTACATGCACTCCACATGGAATTCATGGCCACACGGCAAGCTCATGACCCGGCTCTGGCCATCGATATATTCCTCAAGACAGACAACACACTCAACCTGCCTTCCGGTGTACTTGCGTCGCCACAACGTGGAGCCGGTTTGTAGGCTGCACTTCTCTTCCCTGGGTAGCACGGATGAGTCTAACATAGTTCCCGACACTGTTTGCGAACGGGATCGGTTTGGTCGAGATGCGCTTGGCTGGATCTCGTTGCCAAGAAGTGGAGAGGTTGGCGAGAGAGCACCAGGGCTAGAGGGACGCGTTGAACCGGATGATGACGAAGAAGTAGTGGTGATTGTGTGATAAGTCCGGACAGGAAGTCGTTCAATGACTGACTTTGGCGCACGCCATCGACGGCGCCGGATTCGAGACCGAAGCAGCAGTAGCGCGTACACCACAGTTAGTGTAAGCAGCGGACTGATGACAAGTACTAGTAGCGTATCGAAGAAGGGGCTGGTGGACATGCTCGTGGGAGTCATTGTAACCCAAAGACCTTCATGCTCAAAAGACTCTGCGCTAGGGCGACTTGACGATTGAGGGCCGGGTTGAACTTTCTGGTTGGCTACTGTGCCTTTCTGAAGCGAAGGCGATGACGAGGGCAAAGTCTCTTTTTTGGACTCATCTCCCCAGCTGGAGAACCAGCCCTTGGTCGATGAAGCAGAAGATTCAATTTCTGCATTGGCTCCAACAGATTGTTTCGCAGAAGCCTTCACGCCCGAGTCATGAGAAAAACTGGATTTGTCGATGCTTTGATATTCTCCGCTGCCGGGAGTGATGCTACCACCCTGAAGAATATTGGATGACGAAGCAGTGTCTTTTTCTGCATTCGCAGTCTTGGATGTGTCCTTGCCTGTCGTAGAGGTACTCGCTGTCGAAAGCGTGTCGCTCTTAAGAGGCATCAGATCGGGATCTCTCCAATCTTGAACTCCAATGACAAAGTCATCGTCGCCAAAGCTTTCCGGTGACATATCGGCCTTGTTAGAACCCTCCAATTTGTTGTCCAATTTGGCACGAGTGCGGCGATTGAGATCTGTTGACCTCTTCCATGCGCCTTGTGGGGTTAGTGGGGTTTCTTTTTCGTCCCACGAGCCTAGGTTAATCCAGTCAATGTTGCCACTGCTGGGCGGGCGTCGGCTGTCCTCCAAATGGCCTGAGCCGGCGTACTTATCGCACAACCCCAGGAGCGAGCCAAGTGCACGGAAGAAACCACCTTTCGAATGAGATGGTGTTGCAGGCCTCTCTTTGGCAGTCGAGTGGACACTGGCGCTAGGGGTTGGTGTAACCGAAGCCGTCGTTGAAGTGGCCACTTGCTCTTTGTCGGCATCCGGCTGACCTGCTTGACTCGATTGAGATGATTTCAACACATCTCCCAGGCTAGCAGTACCTCCCGCATGTCCAGGAATCAATGAAGATAGAAGATGGGCGGTGGTGTAGGAGGTGAATAATGCTGGAATCGTGACATTTGAGGTATCGCCCCGCGCATACATGGTGACCAGGTTGCCACCTCGAGTATCATCGCCAACGATCACAGCGATTCCTCCTCGCCGTTGCGCCCATTTGACCTTTTCCAGGAATCCACAGCCGCCTCGACTCAACAAGACCACTTTGCCCTGGATCTCGGCAGTCTCCTGTAGCGATTGGATATCGGCATGCGCGGGTGGCTTGTTTTGAACATAATCTCCATACTTCTGACTCATACCGGGGTTTGAAGCCCCGGATTCGGGCAGTGGATGATGCAGGTGGTCGTCGGTGCCATCATTCGACGGCGGGGTAGTGGTATCATCTCTATCGTTCTGCGGAGTGGTGTCGGCCTGCGACACCGACCGCTGCGGGCGATTTGGCAACTGATCATTCGCTGTGCTACCTCCGGGCTTGCCGGAACTCTGATCCGTGCCCTTGGAGGCTTTGTCCTGCTTCTTTTGGTTGGCGCCCTCGCCCCAGCCGGGAATATCGGAGCAGCCCAGTTCTCCTTCCACGCCACCGGCAAGTCCGCCCTCTCCAAAGCCACTTCCTACCCACAACTGGCCACTCAAGCCCTTTATCGGCAGGAGCGGACCAAATGCCGCTGGCCGAGCAAGGAAGAACGTCGAGTTGTCATCGGTGAGACTGATGATGGCCGACGGAGGGAAAAGCGAGGATGGTATATTGAAAGAAAACAAGGAATGCAACCGGCTCGTCCGACCAGCAAGCGTTTTGGGAGTCGCCACACGAGGCGAAGTGAGCGCGGAAAAGATGGTGAGGAGGATCGGGAAGAAGATTAGGCAGAAGAGCACGATAATCAAGCGTGGCGGTCGCATGTCTGGTAGATGAGGCTGTCCTCAACGAGTAGCTCAGAAATTGATCTTGGAGTGTATCGAGGGAGTGATATGCGGGACCGTATCACTGTACTTCTAAAGTTTGGGGTTATCTCTTATGACCAATCCAACGGTTGGCGGCAAGTGATCAGGCTGCCACTCATCGAGCACAATGAGCAGCACCACGGCTGTTTGAAAGAAACCGCAGGTGACCACACCAAAAAGGAGACAAGGAGATAAGGAGACAGTTGAAGTCAGGTGGAGAAGGAGACTCGGGAACTGATGATCGATTACCTAACTGGAGTCTGTGACGGCATGTTCACCGTGTCATGTGTTGGAGTCACATGACCATATACACAAACTTTCAACCTCAAGTTCATGTTGGTGGGCACAACATATGGATGTTGTAGATGTCTGCCCTACATATTGAAACGTTATATGCCTCTACCTCTAGCTGTGAAACACTAGGTCAAAGAAGGCTAAGTCAAAGTGGCAAACAAAGTTACGTCAGTGAAACAAAAATAAGCCCTGAACAACAAACAACACAACTGTAAAGCTAGTGTGCACGCAAGAGTCCATGTCTATGTACTGCTACAGAGTGCAATGCAGACATCTATTAAGATCTTGGTGAAGTAATGTTCTGGTTCGCGGACGATCTGCTGATCATGTCATCATGGCTAGGCAGCTGCGTAATCCACCGCCTTTTCGGTGAATTATCTAACACTTATGGCCTACACCTGCGCATGTATGGAGACATATACAGTACACAACGAGGTTTCTTACTTACATCCAAGGACAGGATATTTTTGGACGATCAGCGATAAGGCTAGCTCCACTTACTCTGTGGGGCTTATGATATTAGCCCCGCTAGACATGACGTATCTAATTCGCCTTGATCGTTCTATGGGAATTATTCTAGAATCTCTTCTACTGCTTACTATACTTTGAACCTCAATATAGGAGGAACTACCAACTTAACATAAAGCTAATTGTAGCTATTCCCTGTCAAAAACTGGATGGACAGAACAATTGGCAACCGTGGAGCCAGCCCACTTAATATGAAACCATGGTCGTACCCCTAAGCTACCTAGCCTATTGCTGCATAGCTTACCTCCACGGTCGTATGGACTCAAACCTTGAGGACCTGGTTCAGTGGCGTTCTAACCCATGCAGATCCGGGACATGACGACGGATGACATTAAACGTTCTCCTCATTTTCAGCCAAGAATCTGATAATGGTTGATTTAACCCGTTTGGCACGTCATGGAAGAGGGAAAGAAGACATCTGATGGGTCTTTATCCACGTTTCACTGGTGCTGGTATTCGTGTACCCCCGCGTTATGGCGTCACCAAATTTCCGCAAATAGCGACCTTGTAGTAGCTGATCGAGATCAATCATGGCCCAAAAAGCATATAAGTCGACTGTGATTCCCAATCGCTAAAGTAATATTAAGAATTGCAAGAACCAACAACTCGGAAATACTTGATCCAAACAATCATCTTTCAACCCTTCTGTTTCTCAACACTTTGCATTAACACCTCTTTTATAACCAATTTATCACTATGTCGAACCTCATGCACAAAGTCAAGGATGTCATGACTGGCCATCACGACAAGAACGAGAAGCACAACACTCATGAGTCCAAGGCGTCTCAAAAGGTGGATGGTTCGTTAATTCACACCCCACCCTCAGAACATGGCACTAACAATTCAATGCATAGATACCCGCCATGCCTACGGATCCTCTCATAATACCACTAAAGACCACGATTCGAACCAATACAACTCTGTCGGTGCTGGCTCCAACACCTATGCCTCTGAAACTGGTGCTGGCTATGAGTCTGGCGCCCACCACGGCTCCAGCATGGGAACTGGCAACTATGGCACCGGCAATGCCACCGGTGGCTATAGTTCGGGTACCCACCACGATTCCAGCATGGACAGAATGAATGGTGCGTACAATCAACCGACCCCTTCCTTTTATTGGCAAAGCAATTGACCGTGGCAGAACCCTCCAACACCTATGGATCGTCCACTACTGGCCCCACAGGTTCTGGTGCCTACGGTGCCACTACTGGCAGTGGTACTGGCATGGGCGACAGTGGTATTGGTGGCTACAACTCTGGCGCCCAGGACTCTAGCATTAACCCCTCTAACACCTACGGGTCCTCTACTACCGGCACTGGTAACTATGGCGCCGGTATGGGTAACACCAGCTCAGGAACCTACCATGACTCCCGCAAGGGCCCTATGGATATCGGTTCTACTGGAGGAAACTATGGCTCCGGCTCTGACAATTACGGATCGAGCAACATGGGCGGATATGGCTCAAGCACCATAAATGCCGGCCCTCATGACTCCAAGATTGCCAACAAGCTGGACCCTCGCGTCGACAGTGACCTAGGTAAGCTAAGTCGTTCCTCATCACCATTTCTTAGGGCTCAGCTAACGTTTACCTCCATAATAGACGGCCGCGCACAGCGCACTGGAAACACTGGCTCCACTGGACACTCCAACACCTACGGCTCCAGCAACCCTATGACTAGCACTGGCCGCGATAACTACGGTAGCTCCACTGAAGGCTACAACACTCGGTCCCATGCCAGCCACAACATGCCTTCTCAAATGGACTCCCGCGCTGAGCCCGGCTACGATACTCGCTCTGGTCAGCAGTTCGGCGGCAACGCTACCGGTGGTAGCAGCTACAACGACCACAGTTCAAGGACCAGAAAGACCTCCGGTCCTCATAACTCTGACTTGCTGAACAAGCTTGACCCTCGTGTCAAGGAATCCAAGCAGGACACTATGGCCAACCAGCGCGGCGGATTCTAGATCATCCATTGTGTTTTGGACATCACGACTAATTAGTTTCTCCTCGTACTTTTAGCTTTATGAGTATGATGCAATTTGATATTTACATTCTTTATAATTCAGCTTTTGCATAAAATTTCCAAGGTTATATCGACCGTTATCAATGGATCTATAATGCTAGAGAAAATATATCAAGAGACAAACCCGTTTACCTGTCTTGCCGTGGGAGCTTATATATGATATGCCTTAGTTTCAATGCACTTCCTGGTATTTTAAGCCCTCGGATACATAAATAGCTCAAACACTGAGCCCAGACCATGTCTTCCTTACGATGAAGAGAAATAATGATAAGCTAGTTCGTTTTTCCCGCATAGGTGGTAGCCTGGCCGCGACAATACGGCGACAATACGAACTGTTCCGTCGCTTTAAGTCCCCACAACTACCTCCTGGACTTTCTTCCTCGTTTCTCTCCAGCCCTTCAACCCCTTTCATTATATCTGATCATTCAATTGCCAGAAATATTAATAAGCATTCCCCAAAGTTCATCCACTGAGCTCTCATGCCGCCATATTGGTAAGAGTGCACCAGTGACGATCTTCCCCATGGTGATGTGCAATCAAGCCTATATGGAACTCTATAACTTCATGGAATCGAGTCAATCGCGAGTACTTTCTTATTTCCAGACCTATTCTGTACCTGGGAGTGTAAGGCCAGCACCTCTATCTGGGTACGTAACATCATGGATACTAGAATCGCTGACGAAATATGATACAGTTATATCGGATGAAGACGAAAGAGGTGTATATGTGCTTGTGGGCGTCGCAACGCGTTATTGAAACAGAGAGGCCAACCTAGCATTTGCGAAACCAGCAGCAGGAACAGTGTCTGTGGCACCCCGAGTTGCACTGTTCGTAGAGCTTAGTTCAGATCATAAGAAAGCAAATAGAAATCTCACTTTCTACCTATCTTGTTGTAGATTACCATCGGCGCTTCGTAGTTTGAGCTGGTATTCAAGTCTGTCTGCCATTTGTATTTGGAGAGGTCTAGCACGCGAACAGGCTCGAACACGTTGCTGCACGCCCCATCGGTGAGCGAGGAAGCCCCGGCATGTATCTCGCCTCCGAGAACGATCATCTGCGAGCCACGAAATGTCTAGCAAACACCAGTGAGGGCGTCGTGTTCGATAGTCGAGTTGACTTACGGCTCTTCATTGGTCTGGTTGGACAGCCTCGGTGGTATAACACACGAACAATATCAATTTTGTGGCATAGAGTGTGGACCCAGAGACATGGCTTGCATTCACATTGTGGAAGAATGTAAAGTAAGCTGCTAATTACATCTTAGTGGGAGGTCAATTTAGCCACGTGCGTGCCTAACTGATTCATTTACGCTTACATCTCATGGCCCGTAAAGAGGCAGGCAAATCTGTCCGACATTTGGCAATGTGGATGCTACTAGGTAAAAAGATGTAGTGTGTTTCCAATAGGTGAAGGAAATGTATGCATGAATGACAGGGACGGATATTAGTGGCAAATAAAGCACATTCTCTCCCCGTCTTATTGGACTAGAATAACATTCTCTATGTTCGATCTGCACAGTCCTTATTCCTGCCCTTGTGTTGCTGGATCAATTCCTTTCCGTAATCATTCCCATTAGGTGTCCTCACAAGTGTGTGAATATGGAACTTTCGAGGCTCCTTGTTGGACAGAAAAACACCACTGTGATGATCAAACTCAAAAAGTATCACCGGTGAATGAATGCTATAGTAAAAAGCGTCATGTTCACCGAATTGACCAATCCAAGCAAAATAAGTCTCGTTCCAATATTCATCGATCTCAGACATGCGGGCTTGTAAAGCGCCCTCTGGTAGATAATCCAAACTCAATTCTAGGATATTGCGGACTTGTTTCTGCTCCCAAGCCTGAAATTTGGAAACCAAGCAACCTTCGTAAGGAATAATCCGGTTATCTTGAAATGCGCCCCCGAGATGTCGCTGATCGGCACGATGATACCTCCAAGTTGGAAGGTTGGCACAGTAAATGTCGGCCGAGACCTGGACGACAGCGCGCGTCGCTTCATCCATCGAAGATATGAGGCGCAGGCCGGCTTTCTCCTGTTGGACAAATAGCTCCGTTCCTTTGCCAGGGCCCTCATCGATGATGTTTGGTTCAGCGCCCATGAATATTGGAGTGAAAACCATCTGTTTCCCAATCACCAGGCAGTTCAAACAGAGGTGGTGCCCATATAGCTGCCATCCCCAAGGCTCTTTGGACGAAGGGGTACCGAAGATGGCAAAATTGTAGGAGAGCTCGTTCAGAACATTCTCCCCACGGACCACTTTACCGAGAAAGCCGTTGATCTTCATGCAACCGCGTACTTTTTCATAACCAGATGGTGACAGACTTGCCTGGAGCAGGCCATATATTGCCTGTACTATCTCGGTCTTGACTTCCTCCAAGCGTAGCCCGTGGTGAAAAACGTATATTTCGGGGTTGCTCCAAGATCGCCATTCCGGCGCATCAATTGGATAGCTCATTCTTTCCCTGTCTGATTTGGAGAGCTTTGAGAGGAGATGTTTCGCTGCAATGCACATTTCCCTAGCAGGTGCTCCAAGATCCGTGTCTTCATTCGCAAGTTGATGAACTTCTTGGTTGACTTTGCCATTGGACGAAATTCCCTGATATGGCTCATCGTAAAGAACTTTCCACTTTTGCATCCAGCCAATCATGAACGGCTCGGCGCAACGGTGGGCTGCCCACTGATATGTGTCGGAATTTGTGAGTTGCACACTCCTTGGGTTGTCACTCGGGGGGATATAATCACGAAAGGACTGATATTGACTCATATTCAATCAAAAATCCAAAAGATCAGAATGCCTGTATCAAGAATAGATTGATGTATTGAACGATCCCAACCTGGGAATATTCGAGAATCTTATGCACAATCAAATGTGGGTTCGGTTCCCATACGAGCTGCCCACGAAAGCAGAGACCCCACATTCTCAAGGAAGGGGGCCGGGCCTTATTAGAACTACCATGTTTTCCTGATCCTAATGGGATGATAGGATGCTTTTTTTGGTCTCGCAGCCCACTTCCTTAACTTAGCAGAGCACGAGCACTCACTATGTTTGACTGGGAAAACGACGTCTTCTTATCAACCTGGGATAAGAAGTATGTGTCGACAAATTTACGACCGGGAAGCAAAGATTTTGACGCAGAAAGTTTTAAAGAGCTCCAACAAGATATTGATCGCAGTGGTAATGTAACTGGGGTTTCTTATTGCATTCTTGTATGATATCCCACCCTCCTTAATTTTCGTCAAACTCTTACGCTGATGCGAGCCCTAAGGCTGTCGTGTTCTGTGCTCTGAACCGTGCAGATGTAGTTGGCCGAATCTTTGACCAGGTCACTGCAGATATGACGCCTGAAGACAGCATGGAGACCTTCAAGCGCCTGAGAGAAGCTATAACGATCGTTTATCCTTTCTTGGGAATGCCATCCTGTATTCCAGCCTGTTATGGAGTCATCGGAGTGATTCAGAAAAAGGGTTCCCAATACGCCTCGGACGATAGACTTCGATCCAGCATCATTACGCAGGAAGATATGGACAAGGGACAAGAGCTTCGACAACGCGTTTACCACGGTGTTGGTAACTCGGAAATATTCCAGTTAATGGACAAGTATTTTGGTGATCTTTGTAGGTGAAGTGAAAGCAACATCTCATAAAGTGATCGAGTGGTGCTGACGGCTTTTTAGTTGCCTGCTCTACGGCCATAACATGGGGCTACTTGATCTCGAAGGCGAATGAACATGTATTCACCGAACAAGAATCACATCTTATCGTTGCTTCTGCCATTATAGCACTTGGTGCAGCGCGGCAAGCGAGGAGCCATATCAAAGCGACCATCGGACTTGGCAACGATGTACTAGTTGTTAAGTCCGTGGTCAATGTCGTGAGAAAACTTGCCAAGTGGGCTGGCATCTCGATCAACCTGCCCAATGTCGATGAATGTGCGGAGGAATTGTATGCGAATATAAGGCAGCAACTGAAGTAGAATGGGGGTTTCAAGAAAGCGCCGGAAGCGATTGGAGTGTGTTGATTCCAAAATAGTATTATAACAAATATACTTCTCCAGTTTGATCGCCATTGTGCCTGGAATATTGATTTCCAGATGTGCAATGAAGGTTTTCTATCTTCCTTTCCCGGGGGCCATCGATATCAACGTTGATAATGGATTAATTTTATGGCACATATAATCTATCTGGGCACCACCCATCTCGCTTTGTTGACTAGCGCAACTAAATCCCCTTTCTCGTTTCATATTATTTTTTTCAATTACCCAAAGCGAAATATTGTTTACAAATTCGTGGGGCTAAACCCACATTCTGGCTCTGGGTAGGAGTTGACGCTTATAGAGGGCTAGTTGCATCACTTTTTCTTAGACTGCAGCAACAAGCCTAAATCAAATTTTGCAGTCCTCGAAATGTCTTTTACAAATCTTGTTCGATTCGAAGATGACCAAGGTGCTATACATTACGGCGATGTTCCCGAGGATTGCCTCTTAGATATCATCGGGTGCCGAGTACCCATTCTCGCTGGGGACCCATTTGAAGATTCACTACAACTCACGGGTCAACAGGCGGTGGTTTACAAGGTATTAGTGCCTCACATATGAACGCAAGTAGGGTGTGAAGATTTACCTCAAATCGACAGGTCCTGCCGCCGATTGAGAGCGTGCCTGTTTTCCTTTGTATTGGGTTGAATTATGCCGAGCACGCGAAGGAAGCAAATGTATGGCATTGCATTGTTATTGCAGGGCATTATTTCTAACGAAGTGCCAGCTTCCAATACCACCAAGCCCGGTCCTATTCATCAAACCAGCCGGTTGGTCCTCCCCTGTTTCTTCTATCACTATTGATTCCCAGTACCTTTTCCAGTGTTGAGCTACAGGTCAACTAAAGACGCTGTGTATACAGATGCTCTCGCCGGGCCACATGATCAAATAGAAATACCAGATCATGCCAAAATGTTGGACTACGAGGTTGGTAGATACTATCTTTTTCCCCTATTTGTATTGTTGCTAAACTCTTGCAACTCCCCCAGGGCGAGCTTTGCTTTATTGTGAAGCGAGACGCGAAGAATATTTCTGCCAGTCAGGCACAGGAGTACATACTCGGTTACACGGCAGGAAACGACATTTCATCTCGGCTATGGCAGCGTCCTCCTTTGGCTGGGGGACAATATTGTTATGCTAAGGGTTTCGACAAGTTCGCGCCTATTGGTCCGACAGTGCGACACGCTAGTAAAATAACCATGGACAGCGTTAGCCTTCAGACGTTGGTCAACGGCAAAGAGAGACAGAGCACTCTAGCCAGCGATATGTTGTTTTCTCCCAGCAAGATTCTCGAGCACCTTTCCAGCGGCTGCACGGTGCGCAAAGGTACTGTGGTCATGACGGGAACCCCGAGTGGTATCGCCGGGCGAATGAAGGGGGAACCATGGCTGCGAGATGGCGATGTGGTGGAGGTCTGCATTAGCGGAATTGGCAAAATCACGAATCAGATTGTGATGCCCTGCCACAATCGATTATAATGATGGTCGATAGTCAAGGAATAGATGTGTCGGGACAGATTTGGCTATATTGGGGGAGTTGGTGACTGGGATCAAATAATTTTGAAATCAATAACGCATCACAGCCATTGGCTAAGGTCGGTAAATTCGTGCGTACTTAGCTTTCAACCCATGATCTCGTAGTGATAAAATAGAGGCTCCAGTCTGAAAAACTTCCCAACGGAGCGATAACCGACGTGTTCTATTTTCGTTCGACGGTCCTTCGGCGCTTTTCGTAGAGTGCAGTAACCGGTCAGTCGTTTACTCTGCCGTCGATTGAGTGTCAAATGGAACCGCCAATTCCCGTAACCCTCATGATGGTACAGAAGATCGGGATGTGGAAGAAGATGTTTGACGGTTCTCGCCCTTGAATTCGAATCCCAATAGAGAATTGTGCCGCAAAAGTATTGAGGGTGAAATTGCAGGAGCTACTTATTTCAAACGTGTGACGAGAATTTCCAAGGGTAAGCCTTTCCTTTTTAACTATTAGGGGGTAAGCTAACTTTCGACCTGAGGTAAAGGTACGATTAAAATTTACAAAATGCCTCAAGGCCTACGAAAATGCCTTGATCATTATTCGGCACGGAGCGTGAGACCCTAGAACAGCATAGTAAATGTCTACTACATATTGTTATGAAATTTTAAAAGACGTTCCTCAAGATGCCCTAAATAAGACACGACATATCATTGATGGTGATTGATCACGACGTATCTGAAAATCGATAGGATTATAATATCACTTTAACATAATAAATCGGATATATCAGTCTGTATTATAGATTCTATTCAAAGGCATCATTTACTATGTAACTAGAAGCCAACTCAAATGTCTGGCTAAGCGCGGCACCCTTTGGATAGAGTTCTCTATACCTGGCTCACATGCCGATGTGATGCCGATGTGGTGGTCAAATGTGGGGAGCCAATCGGCGTTAGTGAAACATGCTTTGTATGGCGAGGAGAAACCCCGGTTGTCGAAAGTTAAATCGAAAACGATAGGTTATTAAATTCCAGCTCAACGATGTCGGCCGGCCCTTGACAGCAACGCCCTGCTGCAGCATTTATTTTTGCCAGCAGGAAAAGTATTCCCCTAGCCTAGTTATTGCCTGAGGGACACAACTTCTACTCGGTATAGCTAATTCGTTGGCGATACGTCACAACAGCCCCACAACATCTCCAATCTTATCCGCCAAAGGTGGACGCACTACTCTCTGTCCGACAAGTCTCCTAATCCGGATTCCAAAATGACCGAGACTGCGCAAGGTATCATTCGCCAAAGTTCAAGCTCCACCCATGGGTGCTTGTGTCGTTCTCGGCATAAAAGGATTGTTGTATTGTGTGGCGTTCGATGGGTTAGGGATCTTGTAAGAGAGGTACAGAACTAACCGTAAATGTAACTTGGTAGGGTAATCGTTTCCCTTTTTGGCTATAATATTTAGCTTAATCAGCAAGATATTGTCTGGATATCGTCACATAACGTTAGCCCACCAGTAGTGCGTATCAGAGTCTCAAAAAAATACCTTAAAAACTGGAGCTTCAATAACCAACCAACCGAAAACTGGGGTCCCCGCAACCCCTAAACCAGCTCCAAACTCCACTCCAGAGGATCCGGACTTTCCACCCTTGCAACCTGCCTTCTGTCATTAATCTTGCGAACAGCTGAAATTGATATTCATGCACAACAAGGTTATATCCTTGGCATACTCATGATTCCGGTCCTAGTTAAACCGACCTAATCCTACACCCTTCATAGAATGGCCGACGCTGAAGAGAAATGGCGCAAATGCGCATTTTGCGAGCGACGGTTCACGAAGGTCGAACACCTCAAGCGACATCAGAGATCACGTATGTAGTCTCTCCCTCGGTCACTATGGGTTGATGCTGATGTTTTGCAGACACTGGAGAAAAGCCGTTCAAATGCCCTAAGTGCGATCAACGATATGCGCGAAGGTATGTGTATACTGAGACCTCGTAACTCTAGAGGTGACGCTGGACATCGCTAATGGACACATCACCCGCAGTGACGTTCTGGCAAGACATATACAGAACCACCCAAGGAGAATGTACCGAAGCAGAGTGACCAAGCCGGTTCCCATTACAGGGACCAACCAGCAATCAACTTCGACTTCTGTAGACGATATCCAACGAGATAGAAATTCGCAACAAGCAGGAATAGTAGCACCTCTCACAGCCATCAATAACCCAGACAGTGATGCGGGAGTGCAGGACAACACATCATCTACCAGCAATTCTCCGGTTGATGCGATCTATGAACATATATCAACCTCAAATATTGTTCTCCCCGTGGATGAATGGCTTTCAGCTCCAACGAAACGGGTTAATGGCAAGGGCGAACGCTTATTCGTCCCCCAACAGATGGAAGAATCCAATGCTTGTCATCGTCCTGTAGCAGAGGACTCCCCAAACTACGACTCTTCTTCATTCAGACACTATGCTCCACTTCTGGATCAGTCGATAGTCCACTCCCTGGCCATTATCTACTACATTGTACCCTTGCTACGACCTCAGTGACATCGATTTGAACGTGGCATTCACCGGAGCCAACGCGTTATTTGGAAGCACCGGTCAGACTCTGGAGGAGGGACCTAGTCCGTTTGTGATAGAATCCCCATCCCTAGCGGTGCCGATTATACATAGTAACGCACCCAAAGAAACGGAAGCCCCCGTGAACCACTGGGACTTGATTCACTGAAACGCATCGAGCAGATGTGGTCCGGCAAAGGAATTTCTCAGCCGGCTCTTCTCGTTTGGACGTTATGGGACGACGTTACAGAGCACAAAGCGGCTAATATCCTCTCCGACCCTGCAGAGCATGTTAATTTGCCCTCAAATCATCCTTCAGAGCATAGATCTGAATACGGGATGAATAGCAAAATCACCGAACAGTGTCGGGAAAGGCTGTTAGTATTTCACAGTCAGACTCAAACCCCTCCAGGAATAGCGCCGGCTTCAAATGTGCTGTCGCCTTCTAAGACTCAACAAAGTGAGCTTTCCTCTAGTCCAGCAACCGGGCCATGTCTCCCAGACCTTTCGGATGTAGAATTTCCTTCACTGGAAGTACTCGATTTGAGCCTGAAGTTCTACTTCCGGCACGTCCATCTGTCTTTGCCCTTCATACATCGGCCCACTTTCAATGCTTCAGAAACACCATGTTTGCTCCTTTTGCCGATGATATTAATCGGGTTTTCGATTCTCGATCCGTATGGCTCAAAAGCCTTTGTCTCACGCTACCAGGCCGTATGTCTTCCAGATGGTTAGACTGAGCAACTGACAGCTTTTATTAACTGTGAACTCTGTCCGGCAGTACCTTATCGAGTTGTGCCGAGCAGACCTGGCCTGCAAAGCTCGCGGAAAATCCGGCTCCCCATCGGGATTGATCCGTTCTCTAGCATCCTCACTTCTAGTTTTGTACCTCAATCTGGAAAATCGGGTAAGTCGCCTTCACCTTGATTATCAACACTATGAAAAACAGGTTTTAATGGTACAGATAGAACCACGAAGAGGCCGCCTTTATGCTGTGTGCCCAGACATTACATGTAACAGGGTCATTGTATCGATGGAACACAGAGACTAACCGTTTTCTATAGATCGCCGAAAAGCATGGCTTATACGAGATGCACCATAAGCAGGACCTCATTGCGAATCTTCTTACAAAATCTTCTGATAGTGAGAGCTATTGGATGCTGTGGGCAAGGATTGAATCTATCAAAATGTAAGCGTGACTATTCCAACTTTTGGGTTGCCAACGAAACTGAATCTCTGGCATAGGCTGGTATTATGCTTGGTGCGTATGGATACGGCTTACGCCCGCTTGATGGGTACCAACGGGGTCATTGATCCCAACCAGGTCAACGTCATCCTCCCCGTAAACAGCGTTCTCTTCAACTCACCCAATGCGGATAAATTCGTGGAGGATGCGAAGATGGCAACAGCCGTTCCTATGCCCGTTATCCACATGCGACATTTTGCGGAAAGCGCCCCTAAAAGTGGAGTGATGAACGGATTCCTTCTGCGAGTGGTTTTGGATCATATCCATATCCGGGTCTCCAGCGCTCAGGTTCGGGTCTTTTCCGCCGCGGACGATAATGTGCCACAAATCTGCGATTTTGCACTAGCCAACCTGTATAACCGGTCTGCGGAAGCGAAAGACATTAACCACCAGCTTGTTGCTATATCGAGAAATTATGCGAGCTTGCTTCAGCCGCCTGCTGACCCTCTTTCCCCATTGGCATGGAATTATCTATGCATGATCGTATCCGCTCCAGTCGAACAGTTGGAGCTAGCGATCGGTCGCCGCGGACCACAATGTGCTCCAAAATCCCGCGCTGCTATTGAGGTGTGGTCCAAGTCACCAGTCGCCAGGCGGGCCGTTTTGCATGCTGCCCAAATATGCTATATCCTCACCTTCGGCGCACACCCGCCGTTATCCTCAGCGGAGAAGAAATTGCTGCGAGTCGAATCGATGGTTTTCACCTCGGCCTTGGTACTTGGTCTGTACTTTTCCACGGAAAGAACATCTATTCCTTCTCCTAGACTGGCCGAAGATAGCAATCCACCCAGTGCGTTGGAACTCTTGCAAGATATTGACTGGGCTATCGTCAACGGCGAGGGCTTTGCAGAGGACTGTGATTGGCCCATGGCTCTCCACAATACTGAACGATCTACCTCAGCTCAGTTTGCAGGAGTCCAAGCCAGGGAGTTTATTCGACATGGGCAGCTATCACTTTCCTTTGATGGTAAATCTCAATTGCAAGGCGTCAAAATGGCCGCCAGTGTTTTCCAGGAGTATGCCTATATTCTTGATCAACTTGGTGGGTCTGGTGAGTCTCATGGATCTGGGAGTGACTTTGCAAATATAGCTAGATCTGTTAGTGATATTCTGGCGTCCTGAAATGTGAAGGGGGAAGTGTCAGCATTTACGCCGCGGGTGACGGTTTAGATATGGGCAGTCGTCAGGTACAGTCTGATAGCAACAAGCCACAATGCCAAAGGATTTCCATCTGGCATTACATAGCTTTCTAGTAAACACGGTAAAAAAAATAAGCAGCGAATATCTCTCTTCTCTGCCGGTTTTATACCATACTTGCCTTGCCTCACATGGCATCCAAACCCCTCAAAGCGTTAGAACAGTCAACATGGAGGTGGGGGAGGAGGTGACATCCATAGCCCGCCCACGACAGCCCATGCACAGCCCAGATAGGATGAAGTCGCGTAGTTCTAAAAAGACAATTTGGTTGAGCAGAAATCAACGTAGATCTATGGATATTTATCTGTCTCGAAAGATTGTCGCGGAATCGCCGGTTAGTCGTTGTATTGTTCACTTGTGCGGGGAAGCGCCTTTTTTTAACAGGCGTTATAAGGGATAGTGACCGCTGTGATGCCGTAATTTTTGTGCATCAACCCTCTGTTTATTTAGGATATCTCAGAATGTACCAATAGACAAATCATGAGTAGCATATGTTTGACTGTAAGCGCAGCGTAAGAATGTGGGGAACTAATCGGATGTTTTATACAGCGTGGACTACACTACTGCTGAAATGTCTACAGGCGATGTGGCCCTGTCATGTAAAAGTTTGGAGGCACACGGCCCTTACCTAGCCATATGTGGGTTTTTACAATGATATTAAATTCTGGATATCACTTAAGTACCAAGTTTAGCGCCCCATGTTCACTTTCCTGTTTTATCGTTTGAAATTCCTCCTGCAACCGAAGACATATATACATATATATTGACTTCCCCAACCCCTGCCTCCAACTAGGATCACAATGTTGGTACAATTTATTGATATAACCCCCTCGTATCGCTATGTTACTCCCCTTTTACTAGTGGCCTTGATTGCCTGGCTTCTCCACAACAAATATGGCCACGGCATCAATTCAATCCCAGGCCCGGTGGCGGCTTCTGTTACCAACCTATGGAGATTGGCCTTGGTCACAGGGCGCCGACCAGAACTAGAACATATAAAACTACATCGAAAATACGGCAGCATCGTTCGTCTTGGTCCTAATGTTGTCTCAGTGTCGGACCCAAATGCTGTTAAGGTTATATACGCAATAAATGCGGGATTTGTCAAGGTACTCAGTGAAACCACACATTTCCTAATAGCAATCCCTTCCTTATATACTAAAGGTCGATCAGTCACACTTCTATACGGTTCAGAAGCCCATTGCACAAGATGGCACTCCCCTTGAAGGCCTGTTCAGCACCACAGACGAGAAATACCATGCAAAACTGCGGAGAGCAATATCGAGTGCGTATGCCATGAGTACACTGGTCCAGTTTGAGCCTCTGGTGGACTCAACAACAACCATATTTCTCGACCAACTTTCAGCACGGTATGCAAATAAAGCCAACCCGGATGAAGTATGTGATCTCGGTGCATGGCTTCAGTATTACGCCTTCGATGTGATCGGCGAACTTACGTTCTCGAGACGGCTGGGGTTTGTGGATCGTGGAGTTGATGTTGACGGCATCATTCATGACCTTGAGAAGTTGTTAAATTACTTTGCTTCGGTATGATATTGCTTTCTCTAACGGATTGCTTTTACGATCGAATTTTGGAGGGCCTGCTGACGTTGACGTTGTGGAGTTATAAGGTCGGACAGATGCCTGTGCTACATTTTTTCTTGCTCCTCAACCCTCTTCGAGTCTTCTTGAGCCGACTTGGATTGTTCAACTCATCCTCCCCAGTCGTGGCCTTCGCAAGAAAATGCATGGCTGATCGCTTCGATCCGAAACAACTCCATTTGCCAAGGACAGCGAAGGATGACAACACCAGACCTTGCGACTTTCTTTCACGATTCCTAGAAGCTGGAAAAAGGATCCAGAATTCATGACAAGAGATCGGATTCTAACCATGACGACAGCGAACATGTTTGCCGGATCTGACACAACCGCGATCACACTCCGGTCCATCTTCTACTACTTACTCCAAAATCCCAAATGCATGCAGCGTTTGATGGAAGAACTGCAGCATGAAGAACAAGCGGGTCGCTTCAGCCGTGACGACGGGCTCCTATCATGGAATGAAGTACGAGGCCTACCGTATCTTGGTGCGGTAATCAAGGAGGCACTCCGGTGCCATCCTGCTGCTGGTCTCACCTTAGAGCGGGTTGTTCCTCCAGCTGGAATATCAATTAATGGACATTTCCTTCCAGGGGGAACAATCGTCGGCTGCAGCCCCTGGACGGTGCATCTTGACGAGTCTGTTTTTGGGCATAGGCCGGATCAGTTCAGGCCTGAGAGATGGCTAGACATGCCAAATGAGAAAGTAGCAGAGATGAACAACACTCTATTTACATTTGGTGCCGGTTCCCGGACATGTATTGGGAAGAACATCAGCCTGCTAGAAATGCATAAACTGGTTCCTACGGTTTTGCGGCGGTTCGAGGTATGCGTAGACTCCTGGAAAGATTACTTCCTAATTTTATTTACCCAACCAATTATAACTGACACGTTGGACTTTCTAGATCACACTTGCAAACCCCGAGGAGCCTTGGAAGTTGCATAATGCTTGGTTCGTGAAGCAAAGTGGGCTTCATGTCCTGCTGAAGACAAGAACAGGAGATGCTTCATGAAAGCAGCGTTCATTTCCTAGGGGAAGTCCTATGACAATATTAGTTTCCTAGAGCCGCAGTAGGCACCATTGATTTAAACTGAATTCTATTTCATCTGCAGGCTTTGTCGACAAGCATGCTGTAATCTGTAGTACAGCTAGTTATCCAATACTTCGCAAAAGTAGAATGAATCCCAGATTTAACATACACATATGACCAATATAGGAGAAAGGCCTGATAATATCTGCTTTTACCCCAGATGTCTCGAGACGGACATGCGATTAGCTTCACCCCACATTTTCCGTCCCTGAACATGAAGCCCATAATGTGGGTTCCATCCGACTGGTTCCTACCCAAAGACAAGGACCCTCAAGGTTATACTAAATGCTATTTACTTCCACATATGACATTAAAAAGCATTTCTAGATTCAGATTCGGCAATCGTACCACCACCGATATACAACCGTCATCTATTTGGCTTTCGGACCCAACTGTCCCGTAGCGATGAGTTTGGGACCCAGTGTGAAAAATGCCCCACGGAGCGATAATCGATGTGCCCCATGTTCGTCCGACAGCACATCTGGCCCTCGCTGGAGAGTGGGCCCATCGTTCAGTTCTTTACCCTGTCGTCGGCGTAAGGCTAGATGCAACCGCCAAGTCTCTTGTCATCAATGTTCCTGGCGGGGAAAACCATCCTTGTTTTCGTATACACCGCGACGCGATCGGAATTTTGAACCAACTGCAAGCCCCGAAATCACACGGCCGAAGCGATGGTAAAATCGACTATTCAACATGTTCGGATTCCCCTTACGTGGATGCTGTAACGCCCCCCAGCCAGTAGACCTTGTTGATATTTTGTTACTTCCCACACTGCTTGATGGAATGGCATTATCTGGGGAAGCCTTGGGGTGGATGATGTCAATGGAATTGGTATCTTTCTATGGTAGATTCTCTTGTTCGCAGTTATTAAACAGAATAGACCTTTCTGAACAAAAGCCCAGTTTTCCGGTATACTTTACTATATCGACAAAGTAGGTTACTCTAGCAGGAATGTGGTCCGCTCAAGGGTACTAGTAACTGTATCAAGCAAGTCCCGTCCGTAACTTTGCATCATGATGCAAGTCCTATATCAGCTCTGTCTGAAATATCACCACGCACTCTTGCCGACAGCTTTGTGTCATGCTATAGGGACACGTTTCATCAAGTTCGGCCACTCTTGCACATGCAATCATTTCGGTGGGATATGATGCACATGGCCGATATGGAGGTTAGTGCAAATACCAGCTCCATCCTGAATTATACAAATGGCATTTCAATATTGACCTAGGCCGGTGGAATTTGGCGTTTAGTAAATGTGGGGTTTACTGTAAAGTGCCGCTTGGCCCAGAGGAAAAACCGTAATAACTGGCATGAGATTGCTTGAGGTTTCTGTCTCTATAAAAACGATAAATAGATCTCGCTATTGTGAGTCGTTGTGGATTGGCTCTTCTAGGTCCATTAGCCTTCTTTTGAATGCATACATTGAAATAATGTCGCCCATTTAAATGTCCCTACGAATTGTTATCTGAAATTGCATCCAGTCACGTATACTCTGCAATAATGCCAAGGCCCCACTACGATTGAGATTTCGAGACAAGGTAGTCCGGGGTTAACTCGTTTGTGGCTGAACGCGGGGTATAAACATGCACCAAACCGAATAAACACGTCTTGGGGTTTATATAGACCGACAGTATGGTCGTTTTCAGTGCCATCAAGTCTTACCTTCCTGTTTAATTTTTACCGATTCGTACACCAAATCTTCGAACAACGTCCTACACGATGTCTTCTATGTCTGGGATCAAACACGTGGATACCCTCCATGAAATGGACCACATTCGCACCAATGCCAGCGTCACTATACCAAGTGACGTTTTCGAAAAAATGTACTTGAGTCCGGAAATTGCCGTGAAAGGTCAACTCCGCAAGACCATGGCGAATCCTACGCCTACGTAAAGTCTCATTCTGCAGTACAAGCCGACGTTTCCTGTTAATACTGATGATAGGGGATTAATGGGGTTTTTGATCGCAACAACACCAGTTTCTTGCAACCTCATGGGATGGCATGGCTCTGGCGGCGGCGGGGCAGCATTAGTGTAAGTAGAAGTCTGGTCCCAATTATTGTGAGAATGAAGTATTGACTCTGCCATGCCAAGTGGCACGATTTACATTTTTGGGGGTGTGTTGCAGACAATCGCTTTCTTAATGGAGTGGATTTTGGGAAATACCTTTTCATCGATGGTTTTTGCCTTTTTTGGTCAGACCCTTCCTACTCATTTTGGCCACCTTTTTGAACTAATGTTCTTCTCCTGATAGGGGCATTCACCTTTACTCTAGCTATTACTTTCACACCATCAGCAAATGCGCAAGGGGCCTTTACAGCAAACACCTCAAACGCATCCGAGCTTGCTGCTGGAATGGCAGAGTATAAGTCTAGCTTTGGTCAGTTGTCAATTTGTTGAAGTGATTTGACATGCGCTTACACTATGTCGAGTAGCGTTCTTTTACATATGCTGCGCCGTCCTCGTCGTAATGTTCACCATTTGTTCGCTTCGAACCAACATTGTTTTCTTCTTTATGTTTCTACTTCTTGGACCAGCATTTATTTGCATTGCTTGCGCATATTGGGCATCCGCCGATGGCAACGACGAGCGCTCACAACGCTTTGAAAAGGTAGGACTTCTCGCTCGACCTAAATCTTAATATCAATTAACTAAGTTCCTCAACGGGGCCAAACAGGCTGGAGGTGCCCTTCTATTTGCTATTGTTATTCCTGGGTGGTATCTTCTTCTCTCACAAATGCTTGTTGCCATAGACTTCCCTTTGTCTTTACCGATAGGAGATCTGAGTACCAAAATTCGTGGTGCGTCCGCCAATAAAGGAAGAAATGGGGAGGCCGTGTAAAGCTGCGAGGTCCATTAGCTTGTCGAAGTGATTTCTGTCTGCTGGGCCAGTTTTCGAGTTAATTTTAGGGTGTTAATACACCCACTGTTCCCCCTCCACTGCTCTCACCACCCACTCCCTACTTGACTGTTCTGGCCACTACACCTAGATAGTCTTAGCTTGGAAATTATTCACCGTGTTTTCCACCGTTTCTAACCCTTCTTCTTCATTCGTGAACGCGGTGGTAGGAGTGATCGCAGACGACATGTAGGGCAGGAGATTGCAGGGCGTGGAGGCGTGGTTCCCGTCGCAGAATTGGACTGGACGATGCTACAGACCAGTTAGCGCAAGATGCAGAATAATACAGATGGACCTATATTGATGGAGTGGATGCAAAAATCTTAACCGTACGAAAAGCGAGCCATTGTTCCTTCATATAAACCTCTAGGCTTACTACCGGCCCTGGGAAGTTTCTGGGCACGTAAGAGAAACAAGCAGGATTAACTCTAACGTATTTCACCAGCCAGTGGATCACATCAGCGAGTAGAACACCTGCTTAGATCTCCAAAACCCATCTTTGGGTAGCATGTAGACCTTACAAATTATTGTCTTATTTGATAAGCCTCGCCGATAGTGAGTGATATCACAAGCGAAGTTAAACAAACGCTCCATGCCCACGCTAGTAGCTAGAACTAAAGAAAATATCTTTGTAATGTATAGACCCGCTAGAATTGATAAGAGCCTTGATACCTTTCCTTGGCCCATTTGAGCAGCGCAACGACCGTGTAATCCCCAGCGTCGAAAACTCCGTGGATAGACGGCAATGCCTAGGATTACTTTTGCTGATGAAGGGCTCTAGGCAAACCGCTTGGGCCCCGGCTAGGTAATGGGATCGTCCCTCCTTTGGTTGCAACTCAACACATGTGTCAGCTGCCCTGTGGTTAAAATTACGTAGGTATTCCCGATTTATTGTGCTAACTATGGTAACCAGCTTGGAGTTTGCGGCGTACTTCGTATTAGTCTCATGTCATTTCCTACTTTGCAATATTACTCATTCCAATATACGAGACTGTTAAGTGATATCATACATGACTTAGGGTACAGGTTTGGTTTGGTGCAACATACAAAACCAGTCCGCTGAAATACGCGGGCGATAAATCTTGGGTACCGCAAAGAAAACAGGTCAAACTGGGTGAGTTTTGAAGGTAAGCAGATTCAGAATAAAAGCCAGTCCACCTAGAAAACAGAGAGATGGGGAGGTGGCAGCAAACTCCCTCGAAACACTTTCTCGCTTCCCCCACACTTTGCCATAATGTACCCTGCTCCTCTCTTCTTTCAATATGTGGGTTGTCTCGGAAATAGTGAAAACAGGACCGAGATGTGGTACAGTTAAATAGATGGCGAAGCATATACGTCTCATGGCCTTCTGTTACATCACTTCATTTGAGATCAAGTACGGCGATCGTCTTGTCTTGTAGCAAACGCTCTATTTTTCTGTTATTGCTGTCACTTTCTGACAAGATGGTCCCCAAAGTAGTCCTTATTACTGGTGCGACTGGAACGCAAGGTAAATTTTCTCCTAATTTACATAGGGACAAACAAGCTCATGATGCGGTTTCTACCAGGCGGAGCTGTGGCCAGGATCCTTCTACAGCATCCCGACCAATATATCGTCCGCTGCTTAACACGGAACCCTGAATCAGACAAAGCCCAAGCACTGGACAAGCTCGGCGCTGTGTCTGTTCGAGGAGATTTGACTGTTCCTTCGTCACTCTCCGTACCGCTAAAAGGGGCTTGGGGAGTCTTTGGTGTCACGGATTTTTATGACACGGTATTAACTCCTTTCTATATAGCTAAGTAGACTCATGACTTACTTCTGTTTTCTTTTATTTATAGAATATTGTCGACGATCCACTTAGTGAAGAGCAGCAAGGCCGGAATCTGGCAAAGGCCGCGGCTGAAGCAGGCGTGGAATGCTTCCTTTGGAGCACCTTGCCAAGCTCTTCCGAAATATCTGGAGGCCAGTTTATAACGCAACTGTATGAGGGTGAGCAAAAATCTTTCTTTTTTGTCGACGTGTGTCAATCACTGAATGTTCTATTCAGGAAAGCACAATGTGGACGCGTACATCCGTCAAATTGGCCTGCCTGGTGTCTTCATTTTCACAGGCAATTTTTATGAAAATATGATCACTCGAAAATACGTTTCGTATGATCCCATTACGGACAAGATTACCATGAAGCGTCCGATCTTGAAGCCTGATGCGTCGAGTAAGATATTCTTCTCCAATCTTTAGGTTGGACTCGATGGCTAATACGTTTTGTTGCTTCTGAAAGTCACCACCCTTTATGTGGAAAAGGACCTCGGTGCCGTCTGTAAAGCCGTATGGGATCAGTGGGATGACAAGAAAACCAGGCTAGATGGAAAATACCTACTCGCCGCAGGCGCGCACGAAACCCCAAGTTACATGGCGCAGGTGTTGGAAAAAGGTATGATGGCAGCCCCGTCAATTGTTTCTTCTGGTTAAAACTGACTTTGAGCTTTTAGTATCGGGTAAGAAAGTTGAGTACAGTACTTTGCCGACTACCGGGATCCCCGAACGAGACATCATGCTCAATCTGTACAATGCTGTCGGCATGCATCCCAACCGTACTCTCCCTACAGAGGAGATCCAAGCCTTGGGATTAAACTTGCACACGGTTGATTCCTATTATCGACAGCGGCTACTGCCTCACTTGGGTCTACCCAGTGTCAACTGAGACGCGCTTCAAGCTCCTGGCTAGGAGTTAGAATCTGGGTGCCCGACATCACTTTGTACTTAAGAATGCTGCAGTTGTAGCAAACTCAGAGCACGATGGACCTTCCTAAAGCGCTGTCTATGCTTTTGAATTATTTTATGATTGCATCTTTACGGGACGATGTCGAGGTTGTAAGGTACTGTAGTTTGAAAACATCACCCGAATAACGCGGTTGCGCGGGGGCTTCCCTCCAATTGCATGCATTGAAAACAGTACGTATAATGGACGATAGACTGTTGTATCATTAGTAAGGGACGATTTTTCTCTGGTGAATCTCTCCCAAAATCGTCCTAATAATCGAAGCTTTGTCTTGGCCTTCCTTTTAATTCTAAATCAGATCAAATATTTCACCTCTTCACCGAGACTAACCCCGCCCGCACCCAAACCCAAATCCAAACCATCAAGTGCCGATTTGTTCGAAGCAAGAAAGTGGTTATTTGATTATTAGGCAGGTTTTGTTCCAACCTTGGGAAGGTTTTTGACTGTTGCCGCGCTGCCGAGATCTCCGAACTAAGTTTCGGAGATAACCCCGGCTACTCGTGCCGAGTTGAGAAAGCTAGAATGTGGGATTTCCTACTTCGCCTCTTCACCCCAGATCGTCCTTCCCCACGTTAACCATTCCAGAAGCAAGGGGAAAAGTGGCGAATCGGGCGCGATGTCTCTGATTAGCTCTTTATTCCCGGCCCCACGAATTTAATTTTTATGGGTGTTACAGTTCTTGTTGAGCAATAAAGCAACAGAAATGGCTGCTATAAGAGGCACCATTACACCATTATACCTCGGCCAATTCAGTTTGTTCAAAGCGTCGTGTGCAAATCTTTCAAAATGTCGAATCACCAGTCTAAAGTGGCATTCGTGAGCGGATGCAACGGAATCAGCGGCCATGCCATTGTTGAGCACTTGGTGCGACAGCCTGATAGTGAATGGTTTGTCTACTTACACAACTGGTTTTTGTAGACAAAGCTGACTTGAGCGGTGTCAAGGTCTAAAATCATTGTGTCCTCGCGCACTCCGTTGGTTCACTTCTGGTCGGACCCTCGCGTTCAGTTTGTTGGGGTGGACTTCATGTGGCCCCATGAGAGAATTGTGGAGAAACTCGCCCCAGTCTGCTCCCTTGTTACGCATGTCTACTATACGGCGTACGCCCATTCCAAGGATTTCAAATCTTTGCCGAAACTCAATGTTCCCTTGTTCCAGAGGTTCATCGACGCAATTGATGCTGTTTGCCCGGAGTTGCAACGAGTTTTGATGTACACTGGTGGAAAGGTAGGCATTTCACATATTCAACTGAAAAAATGGGGTTCTTGAGAATTGGCTAATGCCCTGGTTCCTTAGTATTATGGTGCACATCTTGGGAAGTTGATTGCACCTGCGGAAGAATCGTCCCCAAGATACATCGATAACGGAGATAATTTCTATTACCACCAGGAGGATTACTTGGTTGAAGTACAGCAACGCAGGAAGCAATGGAAGTACAACGTGATTCGTCCCACTGGGATCATTGGATTCATTCCTCACGGTTCGTTACTCGTATTGATCTTTTTCAGTCTTATTACTCACGAGTCCACTTATGCAGCCAACGGAATGAGCGAAGCACTCTCGGTTGCCGTCTACTTTTTGCTTTGTCGCGAACTGGGCTTACCTGCTCATTTTCCCGGAAATGAGTATCTTTGGGAAGGTGTGGACGATAAATCTTACGCTCCTAGTATCGCAGACCTCGCTGTCTTCGCATCTACCCACGACCACTGTTCCAACCAGATTTTCAACCATACCAATGGCGATGTAATTGTGTGGAAAAACTTCTGGCCCAAGATTGCCCAGTACTATGGATTGAAGGTACAGAAACCTAACTTCGCATGAGCCACGTGGTCGACTATACTGACCTACTTCAAGACACCTGCTCCCAGATTTGAACAGGCCCGTGGCCAGTCCAGCAACCTAATTGTTGAGTTCAATGTGCAGGAATGGGCCGATGATAAGAAACCGGCCTGGGAGCGAGTGGTTCAGAAATACGGTGGTCGAAAGGACGTGTTTGACTGGGTATCGTGGGATCATTGGAACTGGGCTCTGGGACGAGCATGGTCTACACTCCTCTCCTCAAATAAAGCGCGTGAGTATGGATGGACTCGCTTTGATGATACTTATAAAACTTGGCTGGACACGTGGAAAATACTAGAGAATGCCGGAATCCTCCCCAAGCCCCAACCGCTTGGGGAGATTTAGCTCAGTGCCTGCACATTTGAGTACCTATTATCATGTAGAAATTTCAACAGTGAATATATTTTTGATTCTATGTTTCAGGCTCAAATTTAGTATGAATAGTTCAATTCCGTTTGGCTGCAGCCTATTGAAATTATCTTGAAATGTTAGCGCATTTCCACCGTTTCCGAGATAGTTCTCGCCTTCTTTGTTCATCATCAAGTTGCGAAATTATATTTGTTCTCATCTCAAAGGAGCAGGACTTGATTCTGAGGAAAATGGACGTTTCCTTTGAATTTGTAACAGACGAAAAACCAACTAGAAAAACGACCTCCCAAGCTTTTGAAATATGTGTAAAATATGTCTCTATTTTTGTTTGTTGACTTGAGTGCAAATATTGTTTTGTTCTTGACCAAACATTTGCCTTCTTGGAAATACTGACATGTCTACGTTGCGATATTGCTCTCTTTCACTCGTGGCCTTAGCCTCTCCTCGAAGCTTCTTCTCCCCGCAGTGGGCTCCAAATTTGTTCGGCCACGGAGCTTAAGGTAGCGTAAGCTGGAAATGTGGGGGGCGAATAAGATTCATACAAATTTTGCAGCCCGACATGTGGGAAAGCATAAATAAATCACCAGTCAGCTCGGCCTTATCCAGCTCTGTATATTCCAGGCATCTTGTTTCTTTATACTTGTTTAATATGGCGGACACATATCTCGACTTCATTCGCCAGAGGCGCACATTTTATTCTCTAACCAATGCCTCGCCTGTCTCCGACGAACGCATTGTGGAAGTTGTACGGGAGGTTGTGCGCCACAGTCCAAGTTCTTTCAATGGACAGACCTCTCGGGTTGTGATTTTGCTTGGCGAGGAGCACCTCAAGTTGTGGACAATCGCTCTGGAAGTCTTGAAATCAACCTTCCCGGCACAGAGCTGGGATGTGTATGAGAAGAAGTTAAACCAGCGGAAAGCAGCCTATGGCACTGTACGTAGAAACTTTTGACCTCGTCTCGGGTATCCCTCCCCGCTTTGTCTCTTCTGTCACTAAACATGTTCCAACAGCTTTTGCTTTACGAGGATCAGGCGGTTTTACCGTCTCTTCAAGCCAAGGCACCACTATTCAAGAATCATGTTAGCCAGTTCTCGGAGCACAATAATGCAATCCTAGCTGGTAATCTGTGGACGGTACTGGAGCTGGCTGGGTTTGGCGCCAACTTACAACATTTTAACCCTTTTATCGATGCCAGGGTTACGGCGGAGTGGGGTTTGCCATCGCAGTGGGCATTGAAAGCTCAGCTTGTGTTTGGGACACCGGTCGAAGGACCTAATCCTGATAAGGAATATGGTAATTTAGATGAGCGAATTTTTGTGTTCGGAAAGCAATAAGCTGGGTCACTAGGAGACTGGGTTATTTGCGAAATCCAGTATTTGTCTGCTTGATCTAGAAATTCTATGTGGTCTGCGAATGTTTCCAGTGACATACAACCGAATATCACTAAACAGAGAATGTAAATTAGTGTCTTTAGTTCTCAGACCGTTTTTTATTATTTTCATGGATTCAGGAAGTGAAGCACATTATCTAGAACCGCTCATAATTCTCCTATCTAATAAGGATGTGTAGTTTGTTGACCCTTATTGCCGTGATAACATCTGCTATGCTGTTAATAGACTTGAAAGCGAAAGATATGACCTTGCTGATATTTGACTGTCTTCTAGGAGCCGACCTCCGTCGTACCATGCTTTGCTATTGCATGATATCCTGCCAGGCTGCATCAGGTATCTGGTTCCTGATCGGATACAACACGTACTTCTATTCCATCACTGGGTTATCAAGCCGTTCCAATATTCAATCATGAATACGTGCCTGGGCTTTCTCGGAGTCAACGTCGGCACCTTTGCCATTAGATACCTAGTCGGCTACCGTTCAATCCTTTCGGTCGGTGCTTTGGGTTGTGGGCTCAGTCAGCTCGCTGCCGCCATTTCCGCAAGTATCATGCCATCGTCCCCAAATATCTTCGTGGCATTCATGGCCATATTTATGGTGTTCTATAACGGATGTATCGCAACAGCCAGCTACATTGTTGCAACGGAGGTGGTAAGTTCGCGGTTGAGGGCGTGGACTGTCGGTTCAGCCACTTCTGTGGGCTCGTTACTCGCCTGGTTGACGAACTTCTGCACGCCGTATTTTATCAACCCTGACAATTTGAACTGGGTATATCGAGCCCCGTCGGTTGCAATTTCTATTCCATGAATCTATACCCTATAAATTCTTTCCGCTGACTTAGCTCTCTCCTAGGGTGCGAGATACGGATACATCTGGGCTGGTTCGAACTTCGTCGCCTTACTCTTTATCTTGTTTTTCATGCCGGAGATGAAGGGTCGCACTTTGAAGGAGCTCAATGAGATATTCGCTGCCAGAATTTCCTCAGTATCAATGCGCCATGCACGAAGAGATTCGCGATGTGAACGCGCAGAAGGGCGGGGGAGATTCGCCAATGCATTGCTCACGGAGAAAAAAAATTTGTAGTTGCTCGAGACAACACTTCAGCTGTTGAATGATATATCACGATCATTCATGACAGAGTTCCGTGCACAATAGAGACAAATCTGAGAAGATAACATCATGCTAGGCACATCCAAATCGCATTGTGCGGGCGTCAGTACCTTCGGGTTCAATGCAAGTATGAGCAGGTTTTGCGACCTGGAACTCGCTCTCTTGCAGTGGTGACTTAGAGATTTCCGCCACTGGACCCTCAATTCAAGAAAAATCCCTGTCTCGCGATATGATTTCAGCATCGCAGGACAACCTGTGACCACGGCTTAGCCTAAGCTGCTGAATCCCTTGGTCTCCGCTTCTCTGTGCGCCATCCCTAGGACCATTTTGGTCTGGCCGCCGTCGAAGGCTATACAAAGTAGGAACGTTGGCAACAAAAGCTGCGCAAAATCCTTCAACCGCTCCCCAAGTATGGCGCTGGTGTTGCGAGACGTCCCTGTCACCAATTGGGACGCGCAACATGGCAATGATGATGAGAAGGATTCCGATGGAAAAGAGTCCAATCAGTTCAAGTCGCCTATCAGTGTCAGAACTAAAGCGAACAACAAGCTAAACAAACTTGCCGTGTAATAGGTAGCCTGAGCCTGGCTAGCCAGGGCAACGGGATAATAATCAACATCACGTCCGTGGCCATGTTGAGAGCCACAAACACAAGTAGCTCAACGCGTGCCAGGGTGCATTTGCCTACACATTTGCCTTAGTGCGCGCCAGCGACATTGCAAGGACCACGGTTTACCTGGGTCTGGCTGCACTTGCCAGTAAAGGTGCAGGGGCCTGCATTCAGTGAAGCATGTCACCAGTACTGCCACATAAGTACCAAACAGCACAATCCAACAGGCGTTAATTATCAACGCCGGCTTAGGTAGTCCAGATAGCATCTGCTTGTATAAGAGGAGGACGACACTTTTCTGTATCCATAAACTAGATCTCACGTTAGTATCCAGGTCGCCTGGCATGTAAACAGAGGGTATTACTAAGTGAAGTATATTGTTCTGCAGACGAGCGTCATCTTGCTTCCAACCTCACGTCGATAGATATCCACCTTAGTTAATGTATGAGTTTCTCTATCCACGTTTTCCATGTTGTTATTACCCCACAGGAGTACAAGAATAATCAATGGTGAGAGGATAATGATACACATTATAGCAAATGACGTTAAGTAGTCACTGAGCTTAAATGTCTGCCTTCGTATCTTTCGCATGGCAAGGCGAAAGCTCATTAGAATAATTGCGAGAGAATTGAAGATTCCGACATTGATAATGGTCGACTTCGTGCTGTAACTCATCGATGGAAGCTTGTTTTGCCCAAGTGATATGAGTTGAGTCCAATTATAGGAGAATGGAAAGGAAACTTTTCTCGAATTCTGAGACTCATAGGCAGATCTAGTCAATACTTGACAGATAAGTTAATACAACATTAAATGAAAGCCCACTATACACAGGGGTACGTGAATATTTGTCTTACCTTTTCCATTTTTCTATTCGATTAGAGGTGGCACTAAGTTCAAGGACCATTTGCCACCAGTGTTGACACCTACATTATGTAATGACGGAGTTGGTTATGGGTAATACCTACCCGTGGTTGAGTCGACTGCGCCCTCAACCGTTCCTTTAAAGCTGCATCTAGGACTATCCACTCGCCTTCAGAGTGAAAATTCCCTAATGCAAATTCTGCCTTTCAACCACTATGCATATATACAGGCTCTTAAGTCTGCACGGCTTGCCAATTCTCAGGGATACTTGCCACCAAAAATATGCCTATATTGAACAATTATGACCTCTTTCTGCTACTGCTCATGGATTGACCGCATTTTATCACATAATTACAGCTTTAAAGCATAGCAAATAAGCGCAACCCGCTAAGTTAAATAAAGTGTAAACCTAGACACCTACCATTTTCTATAAGCCAAATGCTATGTGTTATACCAACAATCTTATTGTCAGGACCCCGACCTGCTAGGTGCCTGATGGATGCCTGAAAGTATACAGCGAGCCTTGACACTCGCATTGCGAGGGTAGCTGATCGCACGCATTGGCCAGGATGGCCGTGCATGTCGCTAATACATTAGCTAAGCGCACCATGTATTTATTGTGCTCGCTGGTCCTCGCATGGAGGGCCAGCAATTAGTCTCTTAATACACCTGCACGTACATTCGCCGATAGACTCTACTTCCCGAACTCATACTGCCACCCTAGGACCTCGCAGGGCCCTACTTCTTATCTCACAGCACCCGCCACGACATCTCCATTATGTCAGTAAAATCTATGGCAATTCAGAAACAGTGTTCCTCGCAGAAAGCTCTGCCACGAGCCTTTTGGAAGAAGGGATAGAATCGAATGGTGCCTCAAACACCTCGGCACCGTCGGTTGGCAGTTCTGGCTTATGATACCCAGATTCAGGCCGAGAACCATATTCATTATTTTTGGATTGATGATTTCGTCGTCGAGTGTACCAGATTGCGGCTAGCGCAATCAATGCAAACACGACCACGGCTCCAACGATAGGGCCAGCAATCCATGTTTTCGAAGATTTTCTATCAGTCGGTGTGTTACTCAAAGATGTAGCAGTGGGCGAGAACGTGGACGTTGGCGCGGGCGATGCCGTCGAGCTGGCTCCTGTACCAGTAGCGGTTTGCGTCGCAGTATCGGATGGTTGCCATCGAATAAAGATGGCCTTGGCATTAATTCCATCGGCAGTCCTCATACTAGATGTGGTGCCGGCTTTTGTGAATGTCCATAGGTGGGTAGGTTCGGTATTAGTAGAGGTGCACCGGTTCGCGGAGTACCAAACAATGCCATTTTCGGTTTGTGCGCTATAACCTCTAGTCACACAAATCATAGTCAATAACTAAGTTGGTCAAAAAATACGCTGGTTGAACTTACTTTGGACAGCAGGTTGCCCGAGTCTCGACATTGTCGTTAATAGATTCGACTGATTGGTCGGCTACCCAATAGCCCGATGGACATACGCCCGGCGAGAAGTAAGAGTTGGTGTTGGTCGCATATCCCGAGGGAAAGCAGCTACTCCAATCTGTGGGCCCTTGGCTTAACCACCAACCAGAGTCGCTAGCATCGATCGCAGTATCGTAGTAATTAGTGCCGGATAGGTACTCTATGTACCACGTGTCGGTGGTACATGCGGCTGGTGGCGAGAAGCTCGTTGTAAGGGGTAAGGGTGTGGTGGCTGTCATGGAGGTGGTTGAAGGTACGATTGTTGAAACCCCATGAGAAAAGAGGAGAAGGAAGGAGGGGGAGGCCGCTGTTCGCTTAGATATATCAGCTAGAAAACAGTAGCTTAGCGCCTCGAGCGATACGATACACTAACTCAGGGCTAGGAGTTATGAAGTTGAGCGCCAGTTCCGATTTTATTATATTTTCCAGGTTTAGTCTTTGGATATGTCGACGGGATGCATTGTGGCTTTTCTCGGACTTGATAGTAAACAGAGACATGGAACATCTCTAAAAGGAATTAAACAATGTCCAAAATTGAAGCCGATCCCGAAAGCTCAAGGTGAAGGTGAAGGCGACAAGGGCTTAACCGAAGTTTGCAGCCCAAAAGAAGGGGCCAGTGGATCAGACTACTGGAGCGCAAATGGGTCTATAAGTTAACAGCCAATGTTGTAGTATGTAGAGGCGCTTCGGGAGGGACCGCGGCGCCACAGCCTCCCCATCCGCGCTATTTCTTCTAGGCTAAAAATTGATCAACCGGGATGCTTCGGCCCCGCTGAAGTCGCGCCTTGGAGAAAGTGTCTTTCGGTTTTTTCCTGAATAACATAATATAAAGAGCCGCGGTACAATCTCTTGGACCGCTTACATGTTCCAACAAGTAAGCCGCAGCTGTGAGGACCGTAAGCTCACCAGCTTCTTAATGGCTGCGCTCACACAATACCCCTGGTCTTACTCGCGCGCTTGGAATGTGATTGCCTTGCGCTAGTATCATCTTGTCACAAATGTCGCGTTATATCGCAGCGAACGATATCTCTTATGCGTCAGCAGCCAATTACCTGATCATAATAAGGAAACTGGCAACTGTTGTAGAAATCTAATTAGCCGCTGAGTAGCAAGCTCAGACCTGTATGAGCGGGGCGACTGTTTATATGCAGGACATCGCCGAATTCCGTGTTCCTCTCATATTTCCTCTTTGCTTTCTGTTCATATGCCGCTCGCACCGACGTGATGTTTTGGTAAAATTTCTTCGATCTCAATTCTCTTCGCTCGTGCACCATTGCACGCGCTGGCCAAAACCTGCTTTGCCCCGGATGGATCCGTCGCCGACGACACTTACCAGCCATGTATCGCAATCGACGGTGTAGAGTCCATGTGTTGCTCACTGAACTCAACTACCCCTGATACATGTCATCCGAACGGTCTGTGTTTGAGCAGTGCAGACAGCAAATACGGCTCGAACTACTGGAGGGACTTCTGTACCGACGAAACATGGAATAGCCCCAATTGCCTAAGCAAGACAATCTGCGACAAGAGCGTAAGTACCAGACCAGCGTATTATTTTCATGCTCTTATCCAGCTTTTGAATCTATACTGACAGATCTTCCTTTACAGGCTGGAGGATCCTCAAGTTGGACTGCCCGACTCACCATATGCGATGGCGGCGCGTATTGCTGCGGTACAGATAAGAGCTGCTGCTTGGAAGGCACAACATTCACGCTCGCAGCTACACTAGTCAACATTGGAAATCATACTACTGCGACTGCGATCGTAACCGCCACTGTGACATCGAAGGTCTCAGGATCATCAAAAGTGGCCATTGGGGCCGGTGTCGGGGTCCCGTTGGCAGTTCTTGCTCTTGCAATGCTCGGAGCAGGTTTCCTTTGGGGGAGGAAAAAAGCACAGGCGAAATTGAATGCGTTAGACGCCGCCCATGCGGATCTGAAGGCGGAAGAGGATATGCGATCAGGAATAAAGCAGGCAGACCCAAGGCCGCTCTATGAGGTTTCTGGTCTGATATCGCCTAGTGAGCTGCCTGGGAGCAAAGCGCAGATGCGATAAAAATCCGGCTTAATACGTTATATGCTAGAGAGATATTACTATACAAAAAAGTGCCCCGAAGGTGGACGATACAAAGATGTCTTCTATTCTCCAGACGTCTAACTCATCCTTTACCGACAGTCACCACAACCCCTCTCACAACATTTCACCCAGCCCACTAATTGAACATAACCCTCGCCTCGCGGAATTATTTCCCATCTTATATCCATACGGTATTCTCTCTTCCATCCATCACCCAATGAAACCTGACAATCCCTGGAATACGTGTATCCTGCAAGCGCGAGGATGGTTGATAGAGAAGGGGAAAAATTCCCACCTCAAGAATCGTATGGCTTATTATAGACGGATTGATCGTCCCCTGTAAGTGCTCAGGATTCTCGGGCGCTTCGACGGGCACACGTGTCAATAGATAGTTCTTCAAATTGGTCGCTAGCGCATTAGTCGTTGTTGGAGGCCTCTGCCAGCGCCAGTCGAATTGGGGGCGGTAACACGAGGCTGACGGAAAAGAACTTCGAAAGATTCTAGCAAGTCCAGCGGCTACGGCCATCCAAGACGTAGCGAGTATATTGATAAGACTCGCATCACAGATCATATCACGCCTCGAGGGAGAGAATTCCGTGGCACATTGCAGACGACCAGTGGGTGCATCAGGGTGCTGATAATCCAACGTACCTACGGAAGCAGGCGATCAGTGGAACTGAGGGTACGAGTATCGACTGGATGGCTGTTTCGTCTAATTTACGCAGTGAGTTATCATGTGATCAACCCCTTCCAATACATGCGAGAATTTGAAACACGTTAGAACAAATAGGGATAAATGAGTTTCAAAATGGGGTTCGAGAAAGAATCTAAGAGAGTAAAGTGGTGAAATTGAACCCGGTTTTCTTCAAGAGATGCTACGGTACTTGCCATTAGACCTTGACATTTCACGTGGGACTCCCGCCATGGGAGTCCCCTGGGGCTAGACTTTGGTCCTATGGGAGTTGGTCTAGCGGGACTAGGCCCTTCTGAGAATTCCTTAGACTTCTCCAAAACCCAATTTCGGTTAGAAGCTAAATACTTTGTTTCTTAATAACCTATCCTAATAACAGATTATCTTTTTTATTCTAAGAGAAGTATATAGCATTGTATCTTAAGTGAACTTAAAAGTAATTGCATTAACCAGCGGTTTGCTTTAACTTGATCGGTAAGATCTACTCTTATATCCTCCACCGATTAGCTTCTAGACGTATATAGTAAACTAGGTATTTTCGGCTCCACACTTAACGCGGTTCTTGATTCATAATCGTTAGTCGGGAAGTTAGTAAGAGATAGACAGACATATGAGCAAACATAGTAAGATATAACAGTGGTTATAAGTCCATTCACATCCCCACGTTTATATAACCTATGTCATCAACCCGAAGCACTCGAAAATGGACAAAAAAGAGCTGAAAAAGGGAGGCCAAAGTAGGGCGAAAACAATGTGTAAAATGGTATATTCGCTTCGAGGCTTTCGTGAAGAGACCGGCTGATACTGTAGGGCACCGTTTATACGTCCATGTCCCCTGTTGTATTATTAAAACCGCAGGACTAAGCAAAAATAAATATAAAAAACAATTGTTGGTAAATTGCCGACTCCTGACTCCTCCTGACAAGTCAATCTCAGAGGTGCCTGGATCAAGTTCAACGCTAAGGCTAAGGAATAATATCACGTTTTCGGAGTTTTTCTCAAGCAGTTCTTGGCCACACGCTTGTGTGCCTGTTCATCTTCATTATCATGGGGTTTTCCTGGTAGTTTCACAAGGAGGTCCAAGGCAGTTTGTAGTTGCTCCAATCATGACGAACACGTTGAAGCCAATAGTCAGTCATTGAATAGTAGCGAGTAGTTCTCTGATCACCAAATGCATCCCGAAGATATTTTTTTCGCCTCAACAGAGTTTCCCTGCTTGCATAAGACGAGTCCAAGCTGGAAGAGGTATACTTGAGATGAAATCCATGTCTTGTTAATGTTAACATGACACGTAGATTCGGCCATTGCATACTTTTCTTGCTTTGACAGTGCTAGTCCTAGGGCATGGTAGGAATGTAATCTGCTCCTGTTGCTCGACTCAACCCCCCTTTTCCAGCTGTCTGATGCCTGCCTGAGTATATGCTCTGCGTTTTCATATTGGGCCAACTCAAACTGGTTCCAGCCAAGCCAGTAAAGAACGTCCAGGAACTCGGCATCTGTTGGTTCAAGAGAGTTCTTTAATCCAGTCACGGCCCTCTCGGGGCAGTTTTGGGTAGCCTTGTAATATTCCTTTCCAAGGAGCCATTAGCCTAGTTTAGCCACGGTGCGATAATGCGTTTTGACTTTGGATGAGAACGATTCCTCTGACTGGGGCTTTGCGATATATTTTGAAGTTGTTGGTGGTAATCTCACAATTATCCTTCGTTTGGGTTTAATATTGTGATGTTCTGGCCAGAGTTCTGCTTTGAGATCCTGGATAGATTTCCGCATAGACTTTCTGATTTTGTCCATCTCCGATGACTGTGTGCCTAGATATATCTGTGGCGATTGTTCGCTGCTTGAGGGTTCCAAGAGTCCAAGGGGCTGCCTGTGATCAATTTCAGAAAGCGAGAGAAAAGTGTCTGGGTGATTCGGTCCAAGAGCATAATTCTGAATGTTTGCTACTCTCTTCACGGTAAGCCTTCCTTCCTCATAGGCGATAAATTTCCCGCTTGTTTTACCCTACTCTCAAAGGATATTAGGACGAAATGTAAGTGATTTCGAAGTGTAAGGGAGTAGAAGTGTTATATACAAATCAATATTTAATTGGTTTCTCAAAAAATCTCTTTCTCGGCGAAAATCCTTGTTTCAAAATAGCTCTTATAATAAAAAGTTAAAGGGAGCGGCCTATCTTCATTGTAGGTGAAAAGAACGGAAACTGTGCTCAAATACAAGCACGGAGTATCTTTAATAAGTTGTTAAAGATTGGCTCAAATCCAAAATGTTAAGAAAAGGCTTCAAGCTCGACACCAACCAGATAAACCCTCGAAAAGATAGGTTTCGCAGAGAAAGCAATTGTGCATAGTCAGTTGAGATTGTTCGTCACGTTTCGATGCCCCCTTCTCCCCTAATGAATTTCCGTATTTCTTATCTTTCAACCGCTTCTCATGCCTCGTCGCTGAAGGATATGAGCGACTAAAAAATCGTTCGAAGCAGGGCTTTGAGAAACCCATCTTTCTTTGCTGCAGATTTTGGAAATATCTTTCCAGTGTCGATAGTGTACGCTCTCAGTGCCTTAGAACTAGGGAAATGCTTGACTTTCTTTCCTGTTCTTCGGGAATCGACTAAGTCGACTAGGTTCACATGAACCTTCGCAAGAGCCTTTTAAAATTTAGCCTCGCAATATCTAGACAGACTCAATTAGATAGTCATCACCTTTCGGCATTGAGAAATGCTCTCAGTTTGATTTTGAATTTTTAATTCAAAGCATAGCGCCTGCCAATTCTCTAGCTTTGTCGCGTCATTGCCGAAGTGAATGGTGAATTCAGATGAGAGGAATTCCGCACGCTCACTTCTGTACTTCTTACTGCCTTGTCTCCATTTCATTTGATATGCCAGACGGTCGAACTCGGTAGTTGCAAGAGCTGACTTTGCAGTTTTAAAAGTAGGGAAGTAAGAAAAGTAATCCAGATTTTCCATCTTAGATCCGACTGAATTGGTGTGTGGATTGCGAAAGCAGATGCGCAGGTAAAAAGTTGTTCATTCGTAGCGTTTAGCAAGGGATAATGCGGAAAATAAACCTAAGTCAAGCCGATGTATGTTGGTAGACTTTCGCCCCCAAGCTTCAAAAACTAGCCGCCTCACTTTCGCGCGGGGACGCCAGAACGACAGGGGTCGTTAGGCATAGTACGGCAAAGATCAAGGCTGACAATCTGCGGCCACCTAACAAGTCACGCGCGTCGGCGGCGTTGGCGCTAGCACAAATCCTCGAGATTTCTCCGCTTTTAATAGTACGAAACGAGAACACGAAATGAATCGGGTTGTCCGTTCATAATTTTTGAGAATAACTTCATTTTTCCGCTTCAATGACTTTGGCCTCCTCAATTTACTAACTCTAAATCTGGTTTACGATACGACAGGGCATGACAAGTAAAATGTGACGCTGAATTCATGTTAAAATCCCCTGGTCATTACTCGCTTAGGCCTCGAGGGGCTTCGGTTCATGCATGCGATGTGCTTTAGCATAAATCCGGCAGCCGTGCATCTCTGACGTGGCATGGGATTCCAAGAGCCCAACCAAGGATTCTAGATCTTTCAAGAGAGAAATCAAGATTGAGTCAAACCATATTTGATCCCACGGCTTATGCGAGAGTGTTGTGAGCCAGGGCCTAATGATTGACCAATCTCCCCAGGAAGAAGCCCTGTTACTACATAGTGCTTCTGCAAAAGACCTACTAGCTAGTAGAATTGCCCAGACGGTTTTTAAGTATATTTCAAACCCTTTTGAGTACCTTGGGCTTTTTTCACATAAGTGCTTGTGCAACTCTTAATGGTTCGAAATCACATTAACCAAGGATCAAGTAAGATAAAATGAGAAAATAAAGCACCTTTTCAAAAACCTACCCAGTTCACACTATAGCAGGATCAGGCCCCATTTCCCAGACCTGCTTCATTCTCAATTTGATGTTCAAGGTTATGCTGTGTCATTGGCCCTTTTACATTTGGGTAGCTGGCTGAGGCTCTCTCTATCATCGGCTATGGTGCTGCATGGTGAGTACCCAGCATCTTCGGGTGTCTGCTCCGTGGCTGACAGGATATACAAATGGTGGCCGGTTCACATTTATTTTTCGTTCGTACACATGTAACTCAGGATATAAGTTAGTTCCTTCTCTTATACGAGTAAACTACATAGCTGTTTGTCTTGTATGTCAGTCTTTCTATACCACTCAAAGTATGTCCTATTTAGCCAACTTTTCTACCTCCTGGTCAAGTGCGCGGTACAGAAATGTGGGCGCGTGAAACATGGCGGGGGTAGAAGGGCGATAGAGAGGATGTAGAACAATGCATAGGACTCATGACGTAGATCTAGTTATTGGGATTTTAATGACAAATTTCAAACCAGTTTTCACGTAACATCCCATATCGTGTAAAAGGAAGCCTAAGTGTAATGGCCACGCATTGGCGTAGTCATAAATCTCAAAAGCCGTGGTGTTTCCACATCGATATTCTGGCTAACTAAGCATGTCCCTAGTGTTCACGCTATACCTAGTTAGAACTAGGAGTTATACTATAGTAGAATGTGAGAGCCTGTTCGGATGTTACTAGATCGACTTTGAAAATCTACTGTCGGCTCCAAAGTTGAAAGAAATGGGTTATATTGGGGAGGCAAGGTCTTCCGGTAAATCTAAATATAAAGTAAACTAAAAATGCAAGTCGGTCACAGCATGTCTTTCAATGTTCTTCACTCGGTCCATCACGCGAATTGCTATATTTCTCTTCTTTCTGTTCGCGTCGTTCTCCAGCGGTTCCCACTTGTCTGAAATTTCCTTTAGTCTGACCGCGATGAATTTTTTGGTCTTGCTGATGACACGCTTCTCCTATTGGGCGTGGAATTCTTCCCATAATGGAGCTGGGCGCTTGCCACTGTTCGGCAAGACCTGTGAAAGATGAATATTAGCATTTCAATCAAATATGAGGGTGGCTTATTCCTTGTATATATCTTGGCATAGATTTCGTCGAAGTTTTGCAGCGTATCACGAATACCATTGGATACAGAAGTCCGTTCGTCCTCGATTGCCTGTATGTAGCGGAAAATGGCGATCTGACCCCGGAGTTCACTGATCACTTTGCAGACCGCGGCCTCATCGATGCTGCTCAATGCAGTATTCATCGTGTTGTCACCCGGGCTCATAGGATTGCCAGTGTATGTCTGACCCTTCATGATATTGAGATTGCGTTCGAGGTTGGTCATGACTGTTGGGTTTGAGCTTGAACCGAGGGCATCAGCAACGTCTCTAGCAGCCGAGCCAACGGCTACAGCTTCCCTAGGCTTATGGATGACCTAATGCCGGTAATCATGGGCGAAGTACTCGTATAACTCATCCCAAGTCTATGTGGAGCGAGTAGTCTGATAGAGTGGCCCCCTATCTTCAAGATTCAGTGTTCCTTCTTGCACAAAGAAGATAGGAAGAAGTTCGAGATCACAGAACGATCAATAGGATGCTCCGAATTCAAGGTGTCGTAATTTATCAAATAAGTGCTGTGTTTCGTGATGGTCGGGTCATCACACACACTGGGATTCTGAAGAGAGTAGGCATCACTAAATCCTCTTTCGTCATTCAGGGCTTTCCCTTGATTGCCATTGGGATATGTCGGTGTGATGAAAGGGAACTGGTTTCCGCCCCCCTGGTGGTGTGTGGGATTCTTTTCGACGATGTAGTGGCCTTGTCCTCCGGTATTGGGACCGCCCTTTCGGACCACCAATGAATTATAATGAACGTGATCTTCATGAGAGCGCTTCTTATAAGGCGGATCGGGCTGTTCGATATTGGAATCCCAGAGGCTGAACCGGAAAGAACACTTGACAGGGGTTTCGAGCTCTTCGTCCTCGCATGTCATGTATTTCTCGTCAGGGTCTGCAAACAGCATTCTTCTACTGTCCTTCCCAACAGCCGGGGCCTTTCGCTCTGCAGGCCTTTCACCTCCGGTGAAGAGGACTTTTTGCTTTGGAAGTTCTCTAACGGAGTGGTCCTTGTGGTCGGACCATCCGATCTTGATCTTGTCGTCTGCCTCCACACCAACGGATGCTTGCTGGGGAGACTCTATAATTCCTGGCTTTCCTGAGCCAGTATCTCCAACAACGCGAATAGAGCGAGGTATGCGAGATTTGAATTGGGCCTCTGCCTGAACCCCCGTGGAGGAGTAATCGTGTATCTCGATGTTCAGGGAAGACTCTAGATTGATGTTGACTCCGAAGACCGTGTCCTAGCTGTTATCACTAATTCACACTTTCCCGTCAACCGGATCTTTAACGGTTGACTCTAGCATGGCAGAGCCACTAAAATCACCGAGATGTGGCGGAGCATTGGTTTTTAAAGACCCATCACTCATGCTTTCAAATTTCATAGTGAACTTCGCATCGATTTCTCCTTGTCCGACCATGGCAACTTCGGCATTGAACTCTGGTGAAAATGATATGCTACCTGGATGAGAAGCCTGGAAATTTGTAATAGGGTCCGCAAGAAGATTTTCCACTAAGCTTGGTTGGTTATTGATGTTGAGAGTACCCTTGGCATCAACGTCGAGAGTTCCTTCCATCCGTATACTAGTATCGAAAAAGGTATATGCCTCTTTTAAGGACAGTTCCGGCGAGATTGTTTCGACCATACTAGATCCAAACCTCAATCTATCGGTCATACTTCCTTTGAGATTGACTTTCATGAAACCAGCATTGGAACATCCATGAACGTCTCCGGTAGATCCGTAGATACCGACATTGAAGTCATCATTGGACAAATACGGCTTCGTGTTTCCGACAAAGTCATCTGTGCGGAATTCCGTGATGATTCGCTTCCACTCCTGCCATAACTCGCTCTAGAAGCGTCGGTGGGTGTGTCCTCGTTTGTGATGCTTTGCCTCAACGACGTTAGTCTAGTACAGTTTACGGTCTCCATAGTCGACTCGAAGATAGACTTCCTTCGAGCTATCCCGCTTGACTTTGGAAAAGTCGTAGCTAAACTCCAATTCGAAGACTCTGGCCCCGAGTGGTGCACGTTTGGACAGTCGATTGAGAGGAACCGTGTAATTTGAGATGGTCACAGAGTGGGCAACGGCATACTTGGCGAATCCTTTGCCCTCGGGCATTCGTAGAATTGTCCCGTCAATGCCGTTCTCATGCATATCATGACAGTTGCTAGTGTCCGAATCATCCATGCAGATAAAGTGCGCTGTTTGTCTAGCCTGCCCATGATGAACACCGCCGGTAACGAACTCTAGGTGGGATCCATCGCGCTTGTTGACGTTGGTCACGGTATCAGACGGTCCATCGACAAGAACAAACAGGAATGCTTCTCCCCCTGCCACGCCACCCGATACAAGGCTCTGCTTATCCCAGGCAGGGACATCGTCTGAAGGTGGTAGCTTGGGGAAAAGATCGACGAGTGCGACCGGGAGGAAAGGATTTTTGTTCGCCGGTGTTGTTGCAGTAAAGTGGCTTCTTGCGCCTATTGTATCCGTTGGCGCATTTTTTACCGGTATTGTCTTGAGTATCCAGGCCAGCCTGGATGTCAGTAGCCGAGCACTCGTTGTCATCACACGTTCCTTTACCGACCCAATGACACCCTTGGAAATCATAAGGACAGCACCATGAAACTGTATGAGTGCCGAGGATGCTAGTCTTTTTGGAGCTAACAGCATATGGCGCATCGTTGGGGCACGTATCGTCCTTCGGGCCCCAACCACACTTGTCTGTCAGTTTGGCCCAGGTATTGCTCTCGCAGCAGAAGGCTTGTTGACTTGGTGCAAGGCATTTGGTATCTCCATGCGTAGAGTGTGTGAGAGTCACTTCTCCAGGATGACATTGTCCGTGACAAGAGCCCGATCCACGCCAGTACACGAATTTGGCATCTCATTGAGAGGACACCAGATGAACTTGGACTTGCCAGTGCCACACTTGTCGGAGAATTTGCCATTTAGAGCACGCCCGAACCCAGATAGTGCGTCAGAGTCACTATCAATGCAGTCACTGATCTTGCAGGACTAACCATTCAGCGATTTCCAATGGTTGATGTCCAAAAGGTGGGTTCGCTTTTGGTTGTTGTGGTATGAAGGCAGTGGCTTCCCAATCAATCCTTCGAGGGCTGTGAATGATTCATTGTCTTGGTCAACACTCCAAATCATAACTCCACCAAGGCCGACTTCATCTGCGTACTCCACTTTCTGCTTCAAGGTTTTCGCGTCATCACAACTGACCCAGTTGTCGAGATCATCACCATAGGTAATCCAATTTACGGCAGCATCGTGGTCGTAAGTGGCATTCTTGTGCTCCTTTCTGATAATGTCCTGGATCTCGAAATATGCCAGAGTACCAGACGACTTTGTACAGTCTCCCTTTTGGGCATCACCGTGGAAGTCACATCCAGGCTTGGTGCAGTTTGTGTTTTTCAGATGGAACGAGCGTCCGTAAAACCCAACACCTAACATAACCTTGGCAGGTGCAACATCATTTCTCCACAGGAGCTCCGACGATTGTTTGATCTCTGTCAAGTTGGTGTGCGGGTGTTCCAATCGGATTGTTTTCGTCCCATACACCCTATTTTCTGTCTTAGCTGGGTTTGATAGCTATAGAAGAGGCTTGATAAAACTTACATAAAGATCATACGACATCATGTCGACCAGTCGGCATATTTGAGTAGTTCAGGTACATCAAACCTGTTTTTTGCAAATTAGCAAGTCAAATATTAAGTCTGATGACACATTGAGTCCGGTACTTACCATCTCAGGTACCAATATGAAGTTGGGATGGTGAATGACAACCCATAGTAGACTCTAGCGGACGAATTAAACTTCTCACGAATGGTCTTCATTAACAAGACGTAATTTTTGACGTCCTCTTTGTTTCCTCCGCGGTCGCTGGCACCGGGATATTCCCAGTCAAGATCGACACCATCGAAGCCAAAGTGAACCATAAACGAGAGAAGATTATTCGCAAACTTAAATCGCTTGCCCGCGTCAGCTGCAATGTCAGAAAACTGCAGAGAATGACAATTTCACTCAAATTGCCGATATACGGGGACTTTCGGTCAACCAAATGGCATCCTGGAACCCCTCCTTGAAGAGCGATTGTTCTAACATGTTCGTGATTCCCGCCACCATTCCAGAAAAGTTTCCTACTGCCTCTTCTCAAAAGCACCGCAGGTGAATACATTTGCATGGCGCGTGACTCCACTTCCACCACAGCAAGTGCGACTGCGACGTCGGATTCCACTTCGACTTCGGACTCGGACGTAACAAGCACCGCTGGCAGTCCTCCCGGTCCCACCCAAACAGGCATTGCCTCGGATTGTAATAAATGGCTCATGCGTTCAGACAAGGGGAAGTATTGCCAAGATCTAGCGGATGAAGCAGGTATATCTCTCGATTGCTTCTACAAGCTAAACCCTGCCGTCAACACAAAGAAAGGAAAGTGCCAGGGGCTACTCCAAGGAGAGGCGTACTGCGTCGGGACAGAGTCAAATGTGTGCGAATAAATGGCTAGCTATGAGATGCATAGTCCAGCTATGTAGGTACATCAATTCAGTCATTCCTTATCGGATGAAAAAGTCGTAAATTTTCCGGTGCAACATTGTTACTTTCTATTCTAAGAGGCAATTTATCTAGGGTCTCCGGCTCCACGGATACGAATGCTTTGTTAGACTCTCTTTGCGCCGCGTTCCAAAGATCCTTCATCGATAGGTCACTTTGCCAGCGGCGGGCAACGTAGAAGTTATCCACGAGTTGCTTAAAACCAACACGCACGTATCCTTGGTAACCGCCTGTAGGATCATTCTCACACTCGTAGTCCGGATCGACTGCCCAGATCCACATAGCATCGACATGCCCATGAGCAACGAAAAGTGAGGTCGCAGACTCATGATCCAGGTACAAGAAAACGTTTGGAAGAAGACCATCGGAAAGGCTGCCTCTATTTCGTCGATTCTTGAATTGCTGGCGCAACTTGTCGACAACCTCAAGGAATCGATGAGTACTACTTATCTGGGATGGCCAGGATTGCGTCTCCATCTTATAACGGCGATAAATCTCAAGACCCGAACCGATGCGACACAGAGATCTTTCCATTGCCTTTTTTTGTTCTCCCTTAAAAACATCATATTTAGGATCAGCAACAAATTGTGGACTCTCGAAAACAGCGTATCCCCATGTTTTGGAGCCATCCTCTTGCCAAAGTTGCTGAAGCCAAGGCTTTCCCTCTGCAAACACTCTGGCTAGGTCCTGCTGCAACTCCTGCTTATTCTCTGCCTTCCTTCTACGGATGCTTTGGGCCCCTGCATTCTCAATGGCTTTGCATTCGTTCTCGTCGTAAAGCGGTTCTCGAAAGCGGTCAAGGCGGTCACAGACCTCAGTTGAGTAATCTTCTTTGATGTCTTCCAAGATATCGAGAGCATTCATAAAGGCATCGTCGATATGGCATTTCATACCATCAAGCCAGTATCGGGCCATAAGAAGTTTCATCTCATTTTCGCTCAACGCAGCGGGGAACTCAGCACCGCGTTTGACCAGTTCTTTCTTTGTAAGAGTAGTCACTGATGCAATTGATTCATCTTGAACCGATCGAGGTGGAAAATCGAGAAGTCGAATTCGATCGTCAACACTGACTGTGGAAGGATCATTTAAGTTCTCATGTCTTTGGAATAACTCCAGAAGAACATTGGGATCGTCGAGCCCTTTTTGAACCCGGCGAAATGCATGGAAAAGGTGTTCCATGTTTGTTGTTCTGATGGAGAGTATTGTTGGAGTGATGGAAAAGGGAAAGAAAAGCAAGTGGGCAGATCGACTACATAAATTAAATTGCAGGGCGCCCCCCCACTGCGCCCTGCCGATCACCTGTGCATGGCTGACTGTTCACAGTCATGTGACTTCTCCGCCTGTCCCATCTCAACTTTGTGTTCGGTCATATTTTGTCGAGTACAAGATAGGATTTAGGAATCTCGAGGGATCAGTAGGGCTGTTGCGAATACGGATATTCGCAGGAATCAGTGATATTCGTCATTCATATTCGCAAATTTTATTCGCAGATTGAGTAGAAGATCGCAATATGGACCAGAAATTGACCTAATTAGGTTTAACTCTTGGATTCTTGTGTGATAGGCGCAAAAGTATTTTCTCTAGTTACATAGCATGGTTAAGCAGTTCCCCCTGACGTTCTCTTTGTGCCATATCCTCGCCTACTACTCTTTATCTTTCAAACGACGATAGAGACCCGCGGCAATAGTCCAAATTACCTCGCACTAAATGATGGCTATCAGAGCGAGGTACGTCCTGATGACTGGACGTCTAGCTTGGCCTGGAGTCCAGCAGCACAAGGTCCAGAAGAAACAGTCCCATCATCCCCCCAACCTTCCGCAGTCAATTAGCATTCAATGCCAATATTGATTCTTTTGATGAAGCTTTCGATGTCGTTTTTCCTTCAGAATCTGCCTCTTAGCTATCGACCAGGGCCACTAGTTCGCAAAGCTCTACCCTAAATCTTCGGCAAAATAATTGGATGTGGGACCATCTTCATATAAGGGAATGTCCTAACGAATGGACGGAGAAGAGGAGTAACAGAAAGAGGCTTATTGACCGAGAAATATATTGTACTACCATCGACAAAGATACCGGGAGACACTGCAACTGGTCTACGCCAGACTCAAAAAGACAAACCTCTACCACCAATATCCGGCTCCATTTGAAAGAAAAGCATTGGGTTCTACTGCCTGGTGTTTCTGAGCCGCCTATTGTTACACCGAAGACTACTATTTCTAGTCTCTAGGGAAATAGGACTAAGCTCACAACTCAAGAACTTCTTTAAAATGAACTTCTTTCGCTGGGTTGCTAGCAGCAAGTAACTCTTCACAGTCATTGAATCACCAGCGTTTCAGCAAATGTTTAAGGATATACCAGGTTTGTCGCTTCCATTTACATCTCGTTATACACTTCGACGGCGTCTTTTGCAAGACTCCGACTTACGACGTGTTAAGCTGAGAGCTTGCAGCTATATACCAAACAATTGCTCTGTCCCTTGATGTATAGACTAGCAAAAACCATATTTCAATTCTTGGTATTGTTAGCTATTAGCTCACGGATGAATTTGAATATCGAGAGAAAGTCCTCGAGTTTATAGAGCTCCGCGGTCCATATAGTGGAGAGAACTTGGCTGCGGCTGTTGAAGGTTTGCTCGTTAAACTAAACCGTGAACGCAAACTGCTTTCAATTACTGGTGACAACGCTAGTAACAAGGAGCGGACGGTGTTACAACTATTTCAAAATTTATAGAAAACATGTGGGACCAACCCCTTATTCGTTGGTTTAGGCAGCTACATACGGTGCTCAGCCCATATTATCAACCTTATTGTGAAGGAAGTCCTGCTTGCTCTGAAGTCTGGTAATACAGACGAAGCTGCCTCTATCTGTGATAACCTTGGTGAAGGAGTACACCAATCTGTTGAACCACTTGGAAAGCTCCGGGTCCTAGCCCTCTGGATCCAGCGAAGCCTGCAATGTAGACAAGCATGGAACACCAATTGTAAGCATATGGACTTATCAGATAAGCAAGACCTTACGTTCCGTTCTTTATATACTACGGTGAATTCGTAGACCTAGTTCGCGTAGGCGATTGTGGAGCGAGCGAAAGACGCGCCGATAATAGGATTAACGACTGACCGACGGATAATCATATAAGGCTAGGGAATCCGCGGGTTAGCATTAGGGCGTAAAAGAAAGCACCTAATTAGGAATAAGGGGACGGAAAGTTACGTATAGGTGATGACGAGTCACATAGGGAAAACAGGGTGGCGGAGCTTAGGAGCTTGGTGATCCGGGTCAATAGCAAAAATGCCTCACCTCGTAGGAGAAAGGAAGGCGAAAAAGAAATCGGGGCTGTTGGATGGAGGGGGAAGAGCAGGAACTATATACAACCACGCACGGGTAGGTATAGCGACCGGTGGCGCTAAATTGTACTTGAAAAAACCAAACCCGAAGCAGCCTCCACCGTAGTCGTCCGATATGGTGTAGTGGCTAACATCGTCGTCTCTCACACGACAGCCGGGGGTTCGATTCCCCCTATCGGAGTTTCTTTTCTTTTTTTACCTCCTCATCCATATTACATACAGTATATCTAATTATCACACACCCGTTTCTCATATTTATATATATATATATATTTTTTTTTGGTGGAAGGGGGATTTTTTAGATGGACAATATGACCTCATTGGGTCAGGTGTATCATCATATTTCAGTACATCAACATCCTGCTGGTCGAACAAATATGTTCGCTAACTTATAGGATTGGGTTTAAGTGTGATCCTTAACAGGTGAACTTCGGGGATTTTCGATCTTGTAGTAGTACTACATGTAAGGTATATAATTAACTTAAGTTACCCGGTCAAACTTATATATCTGTTAAGACGATAATATGTATATCCATGGTTTTTCGCTCTACCGACTTCTGGTTTTTCGCATATATATATATCGACGCCTTGACTTGCAATGCAAAGAATATGCAGCTGGCTCAAAAAGTAACAAAATAACCCTATGTCATACTTGCAGCACAAGAGATCCGAGCATGATATCAGGGAAATTCTTATCTGACATGTGAGACTGCAGGTGGATTCAACGTTTTTTTTTTAAAACCGTTTTCTGTCAGACCCGGTCAATTTTCGCTCTCCAATTCTTCGTCTTTTACACACCCATCTATCTTCCCAACCATTGTCAATGGACTACTCGGGATTCCCATTGTTTCCCGCTATCCCGGCCTCGATTAGACGGCGGCTGCCCCGCTTATACTCGTCCCACCGTGCGCCCATAGGTACCGAATCGAGCGGGGATCCGCGCCGCGGACTGGCTTCCATATCAGAACCTCATCTGCTGTGCCATGGCCAATCCATAGAGCGAGTGATACCCGAGGTACGACCCTGGACAGCAAGCGATGATCTGGACTCTTTTGATTCTGGCTCCCGGAGCCCGGACAGCCCTCCAGCCGAGGAAATGGGAAGTCCGACTAAATATGAAGCCGAGTCCGGGTTGCGATGGAACCGGGTAGTACCCGGTGAGTCCTAGACTATTGTATATTGACTAGCTATCGCTGACAGGGTACTTGATGGGGCTAAAGCGTTCAATCTTTTGCGCAACGCGGGATATGAAGCCCAGCAACCACAAGCCGACGGCCGTCTAGCTCGATCGCTTTATGTAAATGCCTTGGTTTACCTTCTCGATGCTTTACCGCCAGATCTGTCTACCGAGGAGACTTCCATGCTCGAACATCACATCCCAGAGCCGGTCAAAGCATCACTAACGCCATATCCTCAACCACCGCAATATCTCCCTGATGGGAACAACAAATACAACTCCCACCCGAGATCGTATCTACATAGACTCCTCGCCTCGACAATTGTGCAAATATTTATTCTCCTGCGATTCCTTCTACCATATGCAAAGCTGCTTTTGCACCAGGTATATGCATATGAGCGGACCCACCGTATCACTGAGCGCATTCTAACCACTACGCTGGACACAGCCGATGGGCTCGGGAAAGGCAGTGTCAACATTGGGGTGGCGGTTTGCAAACTCCATGAAGGAAGAGTAGGTGCTGCATTGTCGAGCTTTGCCGCTTGGTGGATGGAAGGTGTGGCTGGAGGGATATATGAAGGTGTTGGAGAGGGGATGATGCATCTCGGTCTTCTTGGAAAAGAGTCGGATTTTGATAGATTTCCCGTGCAAATGGCTAGACAAAGTAGTTTATAGTATATATTAGATATTTTAAAGCGTTGTATATTTCCAAGGTTGTTTGTGAACTGTGAGAATTCCCATATTGACATTGATAAGCGATAAGCATCTCAACTTCTCCAACTTCTTCTGTACAATGGCGACCACCAGATTACCCTGCATTCCGTCTCTTCGAAAGCAGCAGCTCCACCTGGAATTGTGAGTTATTTGCTTCGCATTACGGTCCGCGTACTGACTTCCGAAGTGCGAGCTTAAAACATGCAACACCGCCAGGGGTCTACGTGACCCTGGCTCCTGGAGACCCAACACTCTGGAATGGAGTGATCTTCGTTCGCTCAGGTTAGTCTGAACCCATCAATTGAACTGCAACCCATCTAAAATCTGGTCTGTAGGCCCCTACGCATCCGCAATCCTCCGCTTCCAACTACGCTTCCCTGACACCTACCCCGACCTCCCACCTCTGGTCACCTTCGCGACCGACTTCTTCCACCCATTGATTGTGCCTCTCACCACTTATACCTTCAGTACCGGCTCGGCAAGTGACAACCCGGTCAGCGCAACAGACGAGGAACGATTACCGCCTGGCGGGTTCAGTCTCCGCCATGGATTCCCTCACTGGTTTGGCAGAGCAAAGCGGAGCGGCTTAGCATCGGGGAATACATCGCGAAATGTAAGCGGGAATAGTGCAAATGCTGCACCGGCGAGTGAAACGAGTGCTGCAGATCCTGCAAAAAGCGATGTAGCCCCGGACACGTCGACTGCCCCGACATCAACGGACCCGGAAACCAGTGACAATGACGTGGGGACACCACGCGTGGCCCAGGTCCCTTTCACGGACCAGTTTGCGGAACCAAAGTCTATTGTCCCTGTCTCAGAAATACTGAATTACATCCGGTCGACGTTCGATGACGAAACTGTGCTGGATTCGTTGCCAGTTGAAGTCGCCGGAAATCCTGGGGCATGGCATGCGTGGAAGGCACATCGCCGAGGTGGTACTGGTGGAGGATGGAAACGGGGAAGTCCGCAGGCCCGGCTTCCCGGTGATTGGCATTGGGATGGGATCTGGGCTCGGCGGACTCAAGATGAGATTGAGAATTCGCGGTCTGATCCGATGTTGTTTGGAAGTGCTGCTCGTGGGAGTGGGGATGAAATGGTAAGATCTCTTGCGCTGAGTGTACATTTCGCCCGGATGATACTAAGCTGTTCTTAGATTCGGTTCTCACGATTGGATGATGCGAGCTTGAACTCGGTCAAGGAGAGTATGGCAGCCATGGTAGGCAATGTGTAAAGAGTGCTTGTTTCGTGTTCAGATACCCGGTACTACTTGATTTTTGGGTCCTTGGTTCCCGTCGCCCTTTCCACTGCTTGCGTAGATAGATATACTTGCTGTTCTCCTCCCCAGCTTCTACTCACATTCATATTTCACAAAATGACCAATACTCTATCCTTGGATTTTAAGAGTTCAGCTTTACTGATTGCATTAATTCTTGTGCCCATTGTTGTCCTTGTCTGCGCTGTTGCCATCGCTCTTGCGTGTTCCGAGTACTGGAGTATTCACTCCATCAAGCAAACCTGCCTATCGTGCTGTCGTCTCAAGAAACAACGGAGACGCAAGCAGATTCGATCCGATCCCGAGGGTTGCAACATCGTACCATCGACTCTTGCGACAGAGTGCTCCGATATCCAGATCGAGATCGAGGTCCCTGTCACCAACCGAGAGCACGTCTAGATACTTCGCAAGCATGGACGAGTTGCCTGTACCGCTCACTGTCATCAAACGCAGCGCGTTATCCGATCGCAAAGTCAGCTCGCTGTCTCTAGCATACCCGCAGATTCCGTGTCGCAGCTCTTCACTTGCCACGAGCGTGAATTATGAGTCAACGGAGGCTGCAACATCCACACGAACTCCATCTCTAAGTGACAGTCTTTACAATATCGAAATTACCAAACTTCGTCCCGATCATACTACAGCAGCCCGGGGTACTCTGATTCCTGGTCAAGACGCAGATGACGACCCATTTGTTGACAATGTGATAACCTCCATACCTTTGAACTTGTTTCTCCTGCTGACCCATATATGCAGACCTCGCTACGCCGTCACCAGGCCCGATTCACGACAAGGAATGGGTATCAGATCGCGCCACGCCTGCTCGTTCGCTGGAGCTCCGGGTCTTGGAACACTTTGCAACCGTGCCTCACGTCAACGCCACAAAAGTCCCCCTGGAAATGGGAGCGTCTATGGGTCCAATGTCACAACAGGATTTTATGACTGATCGCGCCCAGTCTTTGTCAGAAATACTGCACCAAGGCGCGCCTGACTTGTTGTGTCCGATGAATCTTCCTATTGCATTCGCCAACATGAGTTCTTATGCAAGTCGGCCATGCATTGAGGCAGATTATATGTCCGTTTGGACCTCGGTGAATATTTCTGTTGACGTCAATCCCATTGCATTGCCTGAGGCCTCCCACTTGGCTCCCCTTGACATGATCATACTACTTGATTGCTTGTAAGTTGTTACCCTTTGCATGCTTTGTCAAGTACCAATCTAACCCACCTATCATGAAACAGGCAACAACCTTCGCCGAGCCTTTTGACGCCAATTATCATGGCATCCACGGTGCTTGCCTCAAATTTGATTGCTACTTATGACAGGCTGGCCTTGGCATGCGTAAATGGGCGTTCACCGAACGGATTTGATATATTGCTTCCTCTGGGTTTTCATTCAGCCGAGGCTGCTCAAGCTGCTTTGAACATGTTCTCCGCACGCCAGATGAAGAAGCATAGAAGAAGATGCCCAGACCTGGCGAACTCTATTCAGAATGTATCCCGACTCTTTTGTCCCTCATCTAGAACTGCCTTCTGCCATCTGGTTTTTATCACAGTGGGCTTCCCAAAGTCCTTTTTGGTAGCCAATATCGACAAGGCCATTGGTTTTCACACAGTCTCCCCCATCCCTTTTTTCCTCTCGGGACAGCCCACCCACCAGGCTGGCACATTTGTTCTGATGCTGATGAAGCAGATTCAGACCCAAGAAATGCCCATTTTGTGCGCAAAGTCACCAAAGTTGTTCGACAGCTTCGCACCGGCATCAGCCCTGGAGCCATATCAGACTTGAAGCTTTCCGTTGGTCCCGGCAATGGATGTTGGTTCGAGGCTGCGGCAGGAAGTACTCATCTGATGCGACTGCGTCCAGGCGAAACTTGGATATACAAGCTGAAAATTGGGCTACCTTTGGTTCAATACCAAGACACACAGTTCACAGATAATTCCATTTTCAAGGCATTGATTGCCCAGATCAACGATGTTTTGAGGGAGTATTCGCCTGAGCCGGCTCTCCAGCAGGTTCTCACTGCTGGTCTCGAATATGAACACTCTTTTCTACCGAAATCGCACACTGTGTGCTTGGAAACTCATTGCACGATTTCCCGCACCCTGGATATGTCCCACAAGCCACTTTGCGGTCATGAGAAGATTTCGACACTGATGGCATACGAAGATGACGACGATTCTATCAATATAAGTTTGGGTTCTGCAAGTGAGAGCAGTTGAAATACACAGCAGAGGTTGCCTTATTTTGGATTGCTTATTCTATCATTACGGGCCTTGTGTGTTGTGGCTTGCTATATTCTTCTCTCATGTTTTACAATCCGCACCTGTATAAGAAGTCCTGCTATTATTGCTGAAGTATGAATTCCATGCAGTCATAACACGAACACAATCAAACAAACCCCTGATACTCTAATCTAGCTCGGGAACTGAGCAATGGTGGATACGGAAAACAAGCCAGTACGGCACTTTCTGAAATGCGCAACATGCTCGTAACGACCAACCTCAAATACGAGGGTAGGTATTGCCCGCCATGCGCCACGTCTCCTTGATCAAGTCCGCACACTTCTCCCCAATACCATAAGCCGGCATCTGGGTATGACCTCCATGCAAAGTAGGCATAACACTACAATCAGCAACCCTCAGTCCAGAAACACCCCTAACCTGAAGTTTCTCATCAAGCACAGCCATAGGGTTATCCTTCCTCCCCATGGCACAAGTACCAGCAGCATGATAACCTACAAAAGAAAGACAAGAAGGTCAGTAAACCCCGAAAATGATCCAAAAGGAAAATAGAATAAAATACTCACAAGTAGTAGCATGTTCCTTAACATAAGGAACCCACTCCTCCCTCGTCGTATAAGAATGATGATTCAAATTCGGCGGCCATGACCCCTTAACAATATCCTTGGTCCCAGCCCCCTTCATAACAACCTCATTGCCAAACCGACAAGCCTCACTCAAAATTAACAAATCAAGCGGATCAGCCAAATAATTACAATCAACAATCGGATTCTCCAGCGCATCCGCCGATTTCAACGTCACAGATCCTCGCGACTTAGGTGCGAATAGCTCTGCTATCATGGAAAATGCGTGCTGATAGTTAATCGGGAACTGGTCATACTGTTTCGGCCCGCCGTAGCATTCCGTCGAGAAGAATTCGATGTTCGGTTGGGAGGGTGTTAGGCCCATCGGGTCGCGACCTGGTTGGCGGGATGCGTTTTTCCAGAGCGGTTCGTCTTTTAGGCGCTCGTCTAGTCTGGCGAAGGCGAAGCTGCCGAAGGGGAAGGTGGAAAGGAAGCCTGATTTTTGGGTTTTCCATTCTTCGTAAGTTTTGTCGAAGTTTGAGTCGTGGTAGACGTGGTGGTCGTTTGTTAGGCCTTCCTTTTCCGTTTCGTAGAACATGAAGACGATCTGGGTTGGTTAGCTTTGTTTTGTTTTTGACCTTGGATGGGTGGATGAAGGGAAGAATAAAGGTAATACTGACTAGGTGGTCCATTAGGTTCTTTCCTACACCTGGAAGGTTAACCGTGCAGGGAATATTGTGCTGGGCAAGTTCGGCTTTGGGTCCGATGCCAGATCGAAGCAAAATTGAAGGGCTGCAGTATGCGCCTCCGGAGATGATAATCTCCTTTCGTGCATGGTAAATCCGGGATGTTCCATCCGAGGTCAGTGTTGCCACGCCCGAAGCTCGCGTTGCATTCGCCTGCTTGCTGAAGATGATTTTGTCTACTGTGGTATCAGTCTTGATGGTAATATTCCCGCGGTGGTTCTTGTTTGTGACGAAGTCAGCACCTGTTGTGCGGAGACCTTGATATACGGTGCGAGGTACATGGCCGCATCCTTGCGCGACATCCCCAGAGCTGAACATGTCGTCGTGAAGGGGCATGCCCTGGGAGACGTAAGAGTCGAGTAGAAGCTGGGAGATGGGTGCGAGGTCATGCGGTTCCGTATGAAGGGGTCCAGAGTATCCATGGCTCTCTTTGTCGGCTTTGAACCAGGGCTTTGAGTGGAAGGTCTCCGACTGTTTCTATTAGTATCGATCTCAGTTTTCTATTTATTGCTGCAACTTACCTTTCTCATGGCCTTGAAGAATTCTTCGCCGCTCCATCCCTCCAATCCCCAATCGTCGTAATCTTGCTTGTTGCCGCGGATGCACAGCGTGCCATTGCATCCACTAGATCCTCCGAGGAATCGTCCTCGACTCAACTTCACTTGGCGGTTATCCACCCCCGCCATGGGAGGTGTAACAAGGTTCCAGTCGGTTTCGGCATCGAAGTTGTTTGACCACCTGGTATGTCAGTATCGAATTGAGTCGTGTATCGGTCCGAAAATGCTCACCCGCCAGTCATATGAACATTCTCCAAGTCCTTGTTGTGCTGTCCAGCTTCGATCAACAGGATTTTGACCTCAGGATTTTCAGCTAGACGGCCAGCAACGACACAGCCCGAAGTTCCACCTCTAATTTTTGGTAAGCATGAAGATAAAATCTTTACTGGCAATTGGCAATTGACCTACCCGCACACGATGTAGTCATAGGTATCCTCGATTTTGGAAGCCATGAAGGAAAGCAAAAATTACGAGCGCACACGACAAATTTCAAAAACAACACAGGAAATAAAAATCGAAATCAAAATCAAACACGACAGCCTCGACTCCTTAACCCGTACTTTCGACCTAGGGGACCCGCGGTAGCAGATTCCGCACATCATAAGGCCCGATGAGGGGTATCTGAGGACAATCTTTCCGATTCTCCATATCCGTAAAAAATGATTGGAGCTCAACCAACCCACGTACAACATTTCAAGGCTGCTGGTGGCACTTGGCATTCGATCTGTCCAATTGAAAGGCCAAAATAGAAAGAAAAGGACCCATCTGCAGTGTAGTGGGTGTTGGGGCGGAATGTTGAATCCACTTCCCGCTGCCTGAGGATATACAAATTCCCCGCAAACCTTAATCTCTGATCCCTCAGATCCGAACCAAGTTTCTGGCCTTCGGGTTCCGCATTGCGGAATTAGAGCCTTGATATAAGTGACCTTGCATTTTGGTCTGACGATCCCGTTCCGTTGCTCGAAGAGATCTGGGGATAGGGGAACTGCTGTAGTTCTTGTAGCAGATAGACTTCATTGTCTTAGTGAGACTAGGTTTCTCGGTCCGTCTTTATTGTACATGTACATGGGATAGAAAGACTCGATTATTGAGATGCCGAGAAATTCGCTAGTGTAGGCGCATCATCCTCAATCCTTTTCTTATCCCACACCGGGTTCCCATCGTCATCAAATTCGGCCCACTGGAAGAATGTGCAACCTTCTTTTCCTGGTGCAAACCCCGCATAGCACATCCACATATACCGGCCCCGTGTTTCTTGCTTGCGTTGTGAACATCGAAGGATTGCGTGCTGGCCACATCGGCAGCGTGGGGTATACCGTGGGTGCAGGGTATCCCGATACCAGCGATATGTAATATTGATGCGACGGTTCCCGGAAATGGGATGTGGGGAGATGGTTTGAGCAGGAGCGATAGAATGCTTCCATTCTTCTTGCATCTCTGCGTGCATGATGAGAAGCGAGTTATGGGGAAGATGAATAGAAATCTGGCCTTGGGCATCTGCACGTGCAGCCGATGCTTCCTGGCTCTCTGTGGACTTTGAAGATGGACTCGTGTCTTTGTCCTCATTTGCTTCTCTGTTGGCCTCTTCTTCTCCTTGGGCTACTATCCGCCGTACCCGGAACTCACGGGCGACGCCTAGGCTTAGGCTTCCTATCACCGGGTGTGGTCCGAGATAGGTGAGTTCATCTGAGTGATAGCCCACGCTCTCCGTTGGCCCATCGTAGCAATTCACAAACGCTGCATTTGGTTTCCACTCCTTCGATGATTGGTATTGTAATTTGTTCCCGCCTGGATAGACGTCTCGTATTCGTTTCTGGATCTCTTCGTTGACAACTGTTTGTACCTGTCGTGACACTGAGCGGAGCTTTGGCGTGGCTTGTCGTACATTTGACCGATATGTTCCGCCGTAGGTGTATTCCGAGGTTTGTTGACGGTGTTCCTCGGGCGTGGAGACGTACACAGCATGTGTGTGAGGACTTTGCACGGTGCGATTGAAAACCTGGAAGTCGTACCGCTGGAAATACTTTGACTCGTCTAGTAGTTCCTCCAAAAGTGCGTTTGCTGCTTCAGTTGGCAGGAAATTGTGGACTATTGTGCACGGTGTATAGGCTGCAATGTCTTCGGGTGAGTAAAGGTGGAGTGTCTGACCCTTCTTGGTTGGCGGGGGACGTCTTTTCTTTACAGTTTCATTGATTGGTTTCATGGTCCCGTCTTCGGCTGTTGTGAATACATGCGACGAGAGAGATGTTTGCATGCCGAGTGACGAGGCAGGAGCTGCTCGCTTCTTGGTCAAGGGTGTACTCGCTATAGCCTGTGTGGAGAGCAAGGCAGATGTAGTTTCAACTGATCCGTCACACGAGACAAGAACATCCAGAAGCTCATCCTGTTTAATTTCCGGGAAGAGTGATAGCAGTATTGCTAGCTTGATATCAGTTGAATCATCCGGGTGTGAGGACTCCTGGTTCAAGCTGGACTCCTCGCCCGAGTTAGACAGTCGACGTCGTTTCCTCGAAACAAAGCTATCCATTATCCTTTAGCCTGTACAGATGTTCTCGTGTCGAAATGAGGCTTTCCAGTGTTGAAAAGTAATGCTTCATAAGCAACACGATAAGCTTCTTATCGGCACATGATTGCTACAGAAGTAACCAATCAGATTGCCCAGTTATAGATGGGCGAACAGGGATCACGGTCAACTGGACAGAAAGTACTTCAAGCTAATATAATATATTGTAGGAACTACAGATCTAGGCACTCCATTGTCCTTCTCCCAAATATGCTTTTCCCTCCTGGTGATACTCAACCAAGCCTCTCAGCTGCCTTAGCCCATCAAAGACCTCGACCAACGCATCGAGTGCCACCATTGTCCACCCATGATAACTTCCACGAGTATTCTTCATATATCTAGACATACCACTGGTATCGATACCATCCACGTGTGGGTGATCATCTAGCCTGGAATCTGGAAAATTCTCTTCAACAACCTTCACCCAACTTCTACCCGCACCAGCGTCTCCCTTCCGAAGCGAACCCATATCCAAGACACCTTTCAAGTGAGATAATACTGCATCATCAATCATCAAACAGACGCGCAACCTACTTGGTAGCTCTGTTTCAGGGATCGCCAACGATACTTTGAAATCATGAAAGACTTGTCGAACCGCGTCCTCGTCTAGATCGGCATACATATCTCGAGAGCTAAAGATCTTCGAAGCGAAGGTTTGGGTGAGAATGCGGATCTCTTCATCAGAGCCTGTCATTACTCGGTGTAATGATTGACAAACGGAATCGTTGAGGGAGCGTAGAAGAACCGGAAGAAGACGTTTCGATTCTGGCGCGTAGGAAGTGCGATAGACGACGGGGCCCCATGTTAGAGTGAGGAAATCCCGCTCTGGGCCTGGTGGTAGGGAGCGCAAGCCTGGGGAAGATGCAAGTCGGTAGACTTCTTCTTCGAGGAATGTACTGGCCGATGATGCATAGTGGTTGGATTCGGACATTGGGTTGTCGCATCCCATTTTGGGATTGACTCGGGTATTATCGCGTTTTGAGGTTATCATTGTAGTTCATATATACCAAGAGTAGTTGTGATAAAGGTAGAAACGAAGGAGATTGACTGAGATGGAAGTAATGTAGAAGTGACCAATCGTGGCGTCATTTCCATACTTCGAAGAGGCTGAAGGCAAACCGTTATTGAATGGTTTGGGACCTACCACTATTGGCCTGTCAATGGAAAGGATAAAGTCTAGAAGCATTCGTCTTCAGATAAGGGTCGGCTGCGTTATGTGTCAACTGTGACGTCAACGGTCTTTATGTGAATAACCGAAACTCAATATTGCACTCTATATAACCCTACGATCGCTAGTATATTTTTCCTTAAGGGCTTGAAAAGCCACATCAGTTTCAAGCAGCCCGCATTCAAGAAAACACCTAGGGTTACTTGCCTGCAGATCTGTCGCGTCCGGGACTGGTTTCTTGTCCGTTCAAGCGACCACCTTATGTATCCCGCCTACTCGAAGACTCAGAAATCCCGGGATCCAGCGCATTGAGTCAGATGTCACCATATGAGGCCACTTTATCTAGTCAAAAAGGATATAAAATGGCGTACCCAAAAGAGCAAGCCAATGCGATCAACTCCAATTCCGGAATTCGATCGCTGCCCTATGTACTCAACCCTATCTAGTTACATTGACGAACTTCAGGCCTCACAAGAAGCACATCTAATCCGCAAAGTAAACGGAAACGGACCTAAATCTAAATATTGAGATTGGTCGACTTTGCGAGTCGTTAATGTTTCTTATTGCTAGAAACTATAACACTGGAAGAACAGACTCATGTTTTTTTCTCTAGTCGACGTGAATAATTCAGCCCCAGCAATATCATCACCTGTGAATATTACTACCTTTAATCATAGAGATTATCCCATATATACTCAACCGCGCAAATAATTCCAACGTTGCTGCTAGACCCAATCAAATAAGCCTCACGCCACAACTTCAGAGGACACAGCATGACAGTCGCTGTACATAAGCAATCAAGTCGGAGTCCACCAAGCAAAAATAAACACACAGAGGTTCACCGTGGCGCAGTTGACCCCTCACTTCTTGGCTGAGTATACTTCGTATTCGCGAAGGAGAAACATGATGCGCAAAATCACGCAACCGTCTTAACACTTCTCACTCCAAAGACATACAAAATCTTCCTAGATGTAAATTTCATCCAAAGAGAGCAGAGATACCAAGCAACACTACCACCAAGCAGGAAGAAAAACACTACGGTCCCTCATTCAAGGTCCATAATAAGCATAAAAGCCAACCGTCAGACGAGGCACCGCGACAAGTTCACAATCCAACTGCAAACCACAACACCAAAAGAAAAGGGGAAAAAAGGAACAAATGTCCACCCCCGATCCCCAAAGACGCCGACCAGGCACCATCAATCCAGAACAAACCACATCCCACACAACAACATACACCTCAACCACGAGCAGTTCCTCATCATTCGGCTTCGGCCTGGGAGTCGGCAACGCCGATCCTCCCAGTAGTCTCCTACAATCACAACCCCTGACTATTCCACTCGCATCCAGATTTCCAGATAGTGGGCCGTCATATAACTATGGAAACTCATGGCCGACAACATCAACGCACTTGAGTACTATATCTCGTACTACGAGGCGTGAATATGATGAGGTCTGGAAACGAGAACAGAGGAAGATGAGATTGTTTACTGGACTTTTCTTTGTGGTGGTGATTTCATTGTTTGTATATAGTTGGAGTTCGGGTAGGAGTGTAGGTGAGGGTGCTGATACTGGAAGCACTGTTAAGAGCAGTTGGTGTTTTTGGATTCCTCTGGGTCCTGTGTCAATTGGGTATGGGTCTGAGGGATTCCAGTGGAGTATTATGTGGTTGTTCTAGCAGGAGGAAGTGAGAAGTAGGTGTTGACTTTCTAAATAGATTCATACTGTGGACATTAGTGTTGATAGTAACAAAGTCGTGACAAAGTCCTTTGCTCCATATCAATTACCTTGACTTGAAAGTTGATTAAGTTGCAATGCTTGAATTCTTACGAAGGGGAAGAATTTAATATGAATGATAGGAAGAACACCCGGATGAATTTCAAGGTAGAGACTAATGAGCGGGAACACCGTAGACAACGATCCAACCCATTACGACATAAGTATCAACGCAAATCAATCTAGAGACAGCCGACAGAATGTACAAGCAGAGGGTACAGCGTGGAAAAAAAGAAGAATCTACCAGTCATGAAAGATCATGACAGAGGGGAAAGTAGACGATATGTGAAACCGGGATAAAGAGAAGAAGATAAGAACAAGTGACAAAAATGTGTGCGTGAAAACGGAGATAAAGGCTAAGGTATAGCACAGAGACTCCCGGTAGAAAGAGGTATCGACAAGAATCGACTGTGAAGTGAAGAAAGGGAAACGTGAAAGCTCATAATACAGGGAAATGGGTTTAACTGATTTAAATCGAACAGAATAGGGGGTATGGAACAAGGGAGACAAAAGATGTAGGGAAGAAAAGAAAAACAAAAAGACAACAAAAGAAGAAGATAAGTATACATCCAGCAAATAAAAGTAAGTTCAGGTGAGAATGAGACGATCGCTTTTGTATGGGCAAATCTCAAGCAAAGACGGCGACGACAGTCATCACACCTAGAAGCAGTTGAGGGTGCTCTTCTTCTTTTTCTTGTTGAGGGCAAGCATGCGCTCCTCGAGCTGGGCGCGGGCGGCCTCGGCTTCGCGACGAGCACTGCGCTCCTCCTCGACAGCCTGGAGAGACAGGCGGGCAGAGCTGCGTTCCTTGCGAAGAGAGGTGAGCTCATCTTCGAAGCCCCAGGCCTTCTTCTTCCAGGCCTCGCAGTCGCTCTTGACCTTGCTGCTCTGGGCTTCGAGGTCGCCAAGAGCTTCCTCCAGGGTGGCGGTGAGCTGCTTTTCGGCGTACAGGTGCTTCTCAATGGTTCGAATGCGGGCTTCCTGATCTTCGACAATCTGGGCATTCACCAGCTCCTTGCTAGCGTGTCGAGAGCTGGGAGGGGACACACTGGATGAGCCATTGGTCTGGGCAATTGTGGGGAGAGGAGGAAGAGGAATAGCCGGCGGGGGCGAGGGAAGAGAAGCGGCGGAAGAGCTCTTGCGGAGATTAGATGTGAGGGAACTGCTGCGGTCGTGTGAACCCTCAGTGTTTCCGGTGTTCTTGATTTGGAGCTCCAGTTGCTCGATCCGCACTCGGTAAGTCTCAATGTCTCCCTCATAGATAACGATCTTGGCCTTGGCATCCTCCAGGGCTTGGTCACGCTCCTGTTGAATGACAGAGAGACGGTTGTGGTGCTGGTCGAAGCTGTTGGTAATCTGCTCCTCCAGCTCCTCGACAAGACGCACGCTCTTCTGCTTCTCAAGCGTTATCTCCTCAACCAAAGCTTCCTTCTTCTTAACCTGCTCGTCCTTCTGACGAAGAGTGTCCTCCAAAGTAGCGACCAAGAGAGCCAGCTCATTGACCTTGGCGTCCTGGGCGGTGTTCTTCTTTGTCAATTCATCCAGACGGCTGTCGGATTCACCGTGGGCCTCCAATTGCTTGCGAAGTTCGTCATTGGTGCCCATAAGCTCGGCATACTTGTCAGAGAAGTACTGCTTCTGGGACAAGACATCCTGAATTTGATCCGTCAACGACTCAGCGGAAACGTCAGAGTTGAGGAGAGTCGAAACAGCCTTGAGCAGCTTGACCAATTCATCACGAGAGTCCGCAATATCTTTCTGCAAGGCAGCCATAGATTTGTCGTGCTCGGCATCCTTCTCAACAAGGCGTGCATCGTGCTCAGCCTGGAGAGCAGCCTTAGTCCGCTCCTCGAGCTCAGCCAATTCACGTTTGTGAGAGTCGCGAAGAGTATCGAGTTCGGTCTTGTGAGAATCAAGCACGGATTTGTGGGTAGAAATCTCCTGCTCAAGCTCGGCTATCCGAGTAGTGAGGCCCAAGTCGACAGCACCGGCATTGACTTCCTCATCGGTGGTGATCTGAGCGGACAACTTCTCCTGGGCATCCGAGTGTGACTTCTCTAGACCCGCAATTGTAGCAAGCTGAGTAGCAATAGTGGACTTGTGATCTTCAATGTCCTTCTTGAGACCTTCTACAAGTTCCTGTTGTTGGGCGCGGTCACCCTCAAGCTCTTGAGCAGTGACCTCCTTGTTGGAAGTGTCAACACCCTCAGCACGCTCTGCACGCATCGCCTCAACAGAAGCCAAAGCGGCCTCAAGTTCGGCAAGGGTGCCAGTAAGCTGCGTCTCCGAGGACTGCAGAGACTCCAAGGCACTCTGGTGCTTGCCCTTCCACTCGGTAAGCTCGCCCTCGAGGGCACCAATCTTCTTGTCCTGCTCCTCGGCACCAGCATCCATAGCGCGAGTGGCGCTCTCTTGAGACTTGAGAAGACCCTTCAAGTTTTCAATCTCACCAAGCAGCTGCTTCTCACGGGTCTCATGGGCATCGCGGAGCTGGGTGATTTGCATTTCCTGAGAAACGACCTGGTCACGCAATTGGGACACCAGAGCCATATCGACAGGCGAGGTACCCTGCAAACTAGACCGTTCTCTTGTAAGACCAGAAATAATAGTCATCTTCATTTCCATCTCCTTCTTCACACTCTGGTTCTCAGCTTCAAGGGACTGGAGGCGCTCCATGCGGCTCTGCAGCTCGTGCATGGTCGCATCCAAATGGTAATCGAAGTTGTGCATGGCGTCTGGCTTCTCGGCGAATTCCTCAGTGGCAATCAATCGCAGGCCGGTAAGCGCGCGGGTGGCACGGTCGACGCCGGACAGGAGGTTCTGGCTGGTCATGCGTCGAATCATCTTGAAACCGGGGGTCGAAGGAGGCGAGGATGACTTGGTGCGTTGTGCCTCTGCCTTTAGCTTTTCAACCAGGGCCAGAATCTCTTCGTGCTCGGTCTGCAACTCGGTGTACTTCTGAGCCATCAACTCGGCACTCTCCTGGTGTTCGGCCAGCATCTTGCGCATACCCTCGGACTCCTCAGAGTCCACGGGTGGCACAACAGGGGTCGAAGGCGTGGATGAAACTGGCTTCGATCCACATTCAGAGGATTCGCGCAAAGTGGATGGCTCCCCGGCCGAGGATAATTCCGAGGAGAGTGACTGCGAGAATGAGTGTTGTGCTCCAGACTTCGATGTGGGAGTGCCTCCGTTTCCTAAAAAAGACACGGGGCGAGAGGGGCTGTCGGTTTGAAGGTTGGATGCCGGGTGACGAGCTTCATCAAGCTTGTCCTGGCGGAGGTCAGCAAGGACCTTGAGGACCTGCTCGTACTTGGATTCAAGCACTTCGTAATCACCCATGGTGTTCTCGTGCTGGAGACGGAGGTCGAAGAGCTCCTGGGTAACTGTCTCAAGCTTGTCGGCAACGAACTTGGACTGAGCTGGGCTTGAGATAGGTTCCTGAAGAAGAGCCACGGATCGACGTGCCTCCATCTTACTGGTGACATTCTCCAAGACCTTCAAATCCTCACCAGAAACATCAGTTTCCTGGCCAGATTGTTCAGCTGATTCATCTGATGCTTCCTGGATGGGCTCGATAAGATCCTCATCCGATTCAGGGATAGCTGTCTCCGTTGCTTCGCCAAGAACATCCAATGATGGCGTATGTCTGTGAGAAGCATACGCACCGCGAGATGAGTGAGACATTTGTGGGTAATCAATGCCATCGGGGGCAGCACTGCGCTCAGCCTCGTGATAGTGATCTAGTTCGTGGAGGAGGTTATCCAATTTTCCAATACCGCGCTGGCGTTCGATGACATGCTCCAATCGCAACACCTCGCGCTGCATCAGTTCCATATCCTGATCACCTTCCGCAAGTCGCTCTTCGAGTGTGGAAATGTACTCTTCACAGCTAGCTTCGCTATCGCGGGCCCGGCTGAGCTCCTTGCGGAGCTCAGCCACAATGGCAGCGTGCTGCTCCTCGCCTGTGGACTGTCCATCAAGCTTTGATTCCAGCTCATGGAGATAAGTTTCGGTACTGGCCTCGCGATCCAAGAGCTTTTGAACACGGGACTGGAGCTGCTCGCGGACGGTCTCGACGTAGGCACACTTGGTCTCACGCTCGAGAAGATCGCTTTCAGTGGCAGACAGAGAGGCACGGGTATCAGACAGGGAAGATTCCAAGCTTTGGATGGTCTTCTCGTACTCCAAGACCATCTGTTCCACAGACTCAGCAAATGACTTGGAACGCTGCATTCTCTCAACTGAGCTCTTGCCGATTTCCGAGGCAGCATCGTCCGTTTCATGGGTGTCGTGCGAGTCATTGGCCATAGTCGAAATGAGTTTGGCATGCCGTTGGCTGAGGGAGTTGTAGCTCTCCTGGACATCCAGCAGTTGGTTCTGTAGATGCTTCTCGCGTTCATTCTTGCGTGCGGTTCGCTCGGGGGAGCCTCCTTCCCGTCGGTCGGATGCTTCCGCGTTGCGAATCTGTTGGCGCAGGAAAGCCACCTCAGCCTTGAGACGATCGATGACAGCCTGCTTGTCACCGTCATCAGCAATATGCTGGATGCGGGGCTTGCTCTGGATGGCTCTGGCGCGTTGGGCGTATGAAATAGTGTTCAAAGTCTCGCTCAGGTGGAACTCGGCCGGAGTCACGCAAGCAATCATATACGTATAGGCATTCCCACCGAGTGAATCCTGAAGCAGGCGAGTGAGCTTGGAGTCACGGTAAGAAACGTGGGAACCCTGTTGGCGCGAGGAAAGTTGCGAGATGACCTTTCCGAGCGCTGCCAGACCAGCATTGATGGAAATACCCTCCTTGGCGCGTTCGCCGGAGGCACCAGTGTTCTTGAGCCGCTCGCTACCTGCCAGATCCACGAAGTGGAGCTTGCTGTCGACGGTAACCGACTCACCTGAAAACGAGTCGACTGGCATCGACATGCGCTTCTCCCTGGCGGGGCTGGAGGTCGTTTGGCCAGCAGAAGGCTTGCGCTGGACGAGGTTCAAACTGAAGACGGCATGCGACCGAGAGGATTTAGCGTTGATGGCGGTGGAGTCTGTTTGACGGATGGTCGAGCCGAAGTTCAGAGCACCGATCAGATCATCGAAGGAATTAATGTTCACTTGGTGCAAGCCGGTCAGAATAATGCGGCCCTTGGTGTCTTCGCGAATCGTCACGTTGCTGCGGTCATTCGCGGCGGTGGAATCTGGGAGCAGCAAATCTCTCAAGTGCTCGTTATAGATCTGTTTTTGTCAGCAGATGTAATGCGTACATAGCCCAATAATCGAAAGCGCACCTCCACGTATGTAGCCTTCAGCTGCCAGGTCTTCTCCTGGGTAGGCTTTCCAAAGTTCGAAGCGGAACTCATCGAATATCGTTGCGGTGTGCGGAGGCCCGTAGTCGAGTTGGAGCCATTCCGGTTGTGTTTTGAGGGGCCGTCCAATTTATCGAACAAGACCTGCGCAGCACGAGGGATAATACCTAAATTAAGACGCGATTAGTCTCCTGAGAGTTGTACAACAGTGGTGGAAACTCACCCATGTCCTGCATGTTATTCTGCTCACCGGGGCCGGAGGTACCCATTGTGAATGATTTTCCAGCTCCGGACTGGCCATAGGCCATGATAGAGACATTGTAGCCCTGGATGAAAGAATTGACACTGTCACTGACGTATTCCCAAACACCCTCCTGCTCAATGGTCTCCGGGAACACGCGGTCGAACACAAACAACTTGCGTCCCTGGGGAACATCCACAGCGAGGCTGGTCGGCGCCGTAACATGGACCATCGAACGTTGGAATCGCTGGGGAATTAACTCGTAGCCGGGGTCGGTTGGTTTCAGAGGAGGTCGCACACGGACAGCTGCACGAGTCAGTTTGGTTCCAGGCTGGGGAATAAGATAGCACATACCGACTTTGACCGCTGTCTTGCCATCCTCATCGGAGGCACGACTGCCTCCCTGCCTGCTGCTCATGCTCAGGCGACTGTTACTGCGCGGCGTGCGCATGACGGCACTGATGGGTCGCGGGGGTGCACCAGTCGGTGATGCTGGCGGTGAGACTGTCATCTCCCCCAAATACCACACCAGGTGGGAAAGAAAGAGAATCGAAAAGCTAATTGGGAGGTGTAGGCATGAGGCGCGAGAAAAGGAGATATGCCTATGTGGAGAAGTGTCAGTGCCCCTTAAATTTTTAGCAAAATAAGAAGTTCGGCAAGGAAACCCAACACACCCCGGATGAACTGCAGGCAAGAAAGGGAGGAAATCAGGAATAACTTACTGTACATGCACATGTACATGGAGATACCTAGAATAGTTTAGCTTCGAGTAAGATGAAGGGGGCGAAGCGAGTTCAGGGGCAGTAGTGTTTATGTTCTCTACAACTCTACAACTAAATCCTACAGAGTCTTCTTTCACATCTGTAGTAAAACGGTTCTCTTCACCAAAATGCCTCTATTTGCCCTTTGCATAAATACTCCGCGCACATGGTTCAATAGTTACCTTTCCTTGCACCCAATGTCCACTATTTGACGCGCTATATACAGCCCGAACCCATGTCTCCACAGAGCCTTAAAAGTGTGCAGGGAACACCACACGTTCTAGCCGTTCGTTTCAGATTTCTTTGCATGGGCCCCAAGTCCACTTGGATAAACCTATCCGAGATTGCGTCTCCTTTCAAGAGAGAGAGAGAAGCAGACAGTGTCGATCGGTGGTGCTCACTTCCACATGGAGTCTAAATCGTTCAGGGACGGGCCAGTTAGTCGATGTAGTAATTTCCCCTGGTTCCACCTTCAGCCGTTTATGTCAGCGGAATTCCTGGAGAGGCTCTTTGCTGTTCACCTGAATCATTTATAAAATGGATCTATACTTCCGTTCTTCTTGAAAAAGAGTCACTCGAATTTAGGCTTAAAATCTCATTTATTTCTTGGCTTCTTTTTTTGGCTTTATTTCCACTTTGTCTTTCATGGGAGGCTGATTGACCCACCCGTACTAATCAAACCGTTAAGGGATGATCTTCGATAATTTCTCGATTCCTGGCCCATTCGGCTCGGTTCTTCTACATCCCAAGCCCTGACATCCACCCTACACGTACAGTATTGTGCGCGATCACAGCTGCTCATGGGACTCGCCAATAGAAAGGGGTCCCTTCTTTACCATGATCGTAAGCACCTCGTACAGCACATCGGCGGCAGCCCTGAAAGAAACACGTCAGCTTCGTTTGTCTTTAGATCGGAGATACATAGACACATACATAGTTGACAACTCCGCATTGGTATCATACGCCGGAGCCACCTCGACAATATCCGCACCAATAAAGTTCAGTCCGTCCAGGCCACGAATGATAGTCCGCAGTTCGCGCGTGGACCATCCGCCAGTCTCTGGGGTACCGGTGGCCGGTGCGACTGCATTGTCCGAATATTAGAATATAATCTGATGGCAGATTTCAGGGGACTCCACTTACAAGCAGGATCCAACGTGTCAATATCAATTGAAAGATAGACGGTGTTGTCTGTTCCAACACGGTCGCGGATCTTCTTGATAATGCCATCCGTCCCTACATACCAAAGGTTAAACCGATTGCAACAATAGCGAGAACAGAACGGAGTATAAATACCAATTGTATCAATCTCTCGGGCCTCAACAATCTCAAATCCACAATATCCATCATTCTCATAGTCAGACGGACCTGAAAGCGTGGTACGAATTCCAGCATGGATGTTAGTGTCGTTCTTCAACAGTCCCTCCATAGCAGCATGATAGAAGTATGTCCCGTGGTTAATAGCAGCAACCTGGCTAGGCGAGCCGCCAAAGACCTTGGGTTTCCACGAATCCCTAATCAGAATCAGTTATTTAATCTGCTACACTATTCCTTCAGATGGGACGATCGCCTCACAAGTGACTATCAAAATGAATAACGGTCACAGGCCCATAAGCCTTATTAATACTCCGCAGCAGGGGCAATGTAATAGTGTGATCTCCGCCAAGTGTAATAACACGAGGAAGAGTCTTACCAGCCCTCGAGAGTCCCAATTTATCGGCATCGGTGAAAGGCTTGCGCATCAGGATACTGTTATGTCCTTCCTCAATTTGCTGGATAGCCCATGCATTGTCGTAGCTGGACCGAGATAACGGATGTCAGCTCTCACATATCATACTGCCCATATCAAGAAACTCACGAAGTAACTGGCACGTCACCACAATCCAAAATCCGCATATCGCTATCGAACGGGTTCGCCTGCAACGGTACATTGTAGCCACCGCTGAAGCCCAATTTTCGTGAGCCTTTATGTTCATTGCCATCCATGGGCAGGTGTAAGCCTCTGCTCACTAGAGGGGAATACATACTAGAGATTGAGGCGGCGAGAACCTTGTCTGATGCCGCTAGGTCCGAAGCGGGCACCTGGTCTGTAAGAGGTTCCGGTGTCAAAAGGGGCTCCTGTTTGATCACATGGAAATGTCAGATGGGTAATTGATATTGAGTTGAATGAATCTCGAGTTTGGCATCTGCTTACCTAGGAATGCGATATCGTACTTCTCAGCTTCGCTCGACAGGCATGGGAAGTAAGGTAGGCGGCCGAAGGTTGAGATTCCTGAGAAGACGGAGTCGGCCTTTGATATTTAGTGACAGAGCTCAATGGTTTCTGTGAGAGAGTGAGGACGTCTCTTACTTGGGTACCGCCATCGCCTGGTAGAGTATTGTACCAAAGGCTTTGGTGAGGACCGGCCAATGGAGTTTGGCTATGGTCCCCATGCCCTGCAGCCAGGACAGAGAGGGCAAGAAGGCCTGCGATAGAGGACAGCATGTTACCTGTCAAGGCAGCTTAGTTCGAGATTCCAGAGAGTGTAAAAATGTTCAAGGTAAATATGAGTTTGACTGTAAGAACACACACACACAAGATGCAGCGGTTGTCCGGGGTATATGTAGGTCATGAACTGGAGAATATCTTACCCTCACAAATTGTATAATGTATGCAGTGGGCCCATTTCATCAAGTTTCCCTTCCAGTATAATCACCACTCCTATCGTTGCCCAAAAGCAGAGACGATTTACAAGGGCCCGTCAATCCTATCTATCCAGACATTCTGTACCAAACATTGGCGTCAATCGGAGAGACAAAAAGCATCGCTTACAATGACTGGGCCTGTTCTCTACCGTCAACTTCCCATTAGGGAATAATTGCCAGGATATCGGTTGGCGGGGAATTGGAGAACCAAGACTTGCCGGCCGGCATACATCATGATCATGCAGAGCAAGATTTACCTCATCCCAAAAGGGAAGTTTCGCGGAGTGGGAGCGTAAGACAGTCATTAAAGTTGGGGAAGATAGCGAATACAGTTAGGGCTACTAGCGTATGGTACAGCTTATCAGTTGGTGATCATTGGAGGAGTCGATCTCTACGATTCTTATCAGTGGCTTTGTTGTCCGACAACGGAGTTGAATGGAAGTATAACGGTTGTTTGTTGATAGATTCTCGGCTTTTTCAAGTATAATTGGTAACATTGTAAAATGTATTACACAGGTAACAGCAATGTGCTTTACGTCGCATGCTGCACGAAACAGGTTGGCAAGATACGTGGATAAAGTCCCACCAGAATTCGGATTTCTATCAAATATAATAAATTTCATGTCTATTAAAAGCTCACAGGTCCTCAATGATATCATCCCTACTCCCGCTCAACCCCATCTTCTAGGGTCTCATGTACATCCATTCGTAGAAACGCCTTCCGAACCTCAACATCCCATGAACTACGAGCAACAATCCCCCACTCGAAAACCCCAACCAAATACAGCGCAATACACTGACCAACCCACAGACCCTGAAGCCCCCAGCCATGGAACGCAAGCCAAATACCGAGCGGCAACGCACCACAATAGTAACTCACCAAATTAACCAAAGCACCCACATGCTGCCGTCCCATACCACGTAAACTCCCGCCACAGCTCCCATTGAGCCCATCAGCAATCTGGAAAAGCGCCACATAAGGCAAGACTTTAGCAGTTAGCTGCACAACGCTCCTATCATCATTGAATATCTTCGCGAAGTGGTCCCGTGTCCCAATAAGAACGGCCAGCACAACTCCACCGAAGACCATGCTGAGCACTGCAGATGTATGCGCTGCCCGCGCAGCTCCGGTGCTGTCTCTACTCCCAAGTAGGTTTCCAATGCGTGCGGAAGTGGCAACTCCAATTCCGAAGGGGATTGTGTTGAGTACTTGGTCCGCAGTCATGATGACACTCTGGGCAGCGAGGGAGATTGTTCCAAGGCGCCCGGCTGCCAATGCCACAATCTCAAAGGCCCACCATTCTGTGCCAACGTGGACAACACCGAGGAGGGCTAGTCTGGCGAATATGCCTAGGTTTTGGAAGGCCTCACGCGACCATCCGCCCCAGCATTCGGAGCCATTAATAAAGCGTGCGTAGAGGACTAACAAGGCAAATGAGAGCCAGTAACAGAGGCCTGTTGCCAAGGGGGCACCTAGAAGGCCAATTTCGAATGTGTAGCAGAATAGATAGTTGAGTCCGGCGTTGAGTGGCGATGTAATAAGAAGGACGTATGTTCCTGCTCGCATGATTCCTGTAGAGCTGTTAGTAAATCCCTTATGTAGCTCGCCAAGTAGACTATATGTACATACCTTGCGCCTGTAAATACTTCTTCATGACTTCAAAATAGATATAACCAAGACCCCCAGGAATCAAACAAGTCAAAAACCGCGCACTATCATGAGAAAGTTGCGGATCTTGTCCCAGGAAGAGAAAGACTGGTTCAGAACAAGCCCACAGGATAGCAACGGGTATATAGAAAAGACCAAGAACCAGAAACCCGCGTTGGAGCAGGATTCCCAGATCATGTTTGTTGGCGCTGCCCGTGAATGAAGATGAGGCAAGTGTATCCAAGGCCGTTGTACCGCCGAGTGCAATCATCCACGCAGTGACCATGGCGAACATCTGTGAAAATGCACTTGTTGCCAGATTTTGTGGTGATGAGCGGCCGATTATCAGCACTGATACGGTTTGGAGGCTGTTTTGTAGCGCGTATGCTAGGATCACGGGGATCGAGTCTTTGAGCAATAGCCAGAATTCGGCGAGGATGAGGTCTCGTGAGTAAGGGCTTCCTTCTGGGTTTTCGTTCCATGATGGTGCATCGTCAATTGGTTTGGACAGGAGTGAGGTATGCTCGTTTGGTGGAGGGTTGCTTGACACACTGTCATTATCGAGATCGGGCATGGTGAGAGAAGGCGAAAAGTAGTTTTCTTTCTAGAGATGCTCTGAACTTTCAATGCACTCGTTGAAAAATTGTCTTTATACGCAGACGATTTTGGCACTCCTCACCTTAGAAGAGAAGTGTGGTCAAGTGGGGATTAAAAAGCAAAAAGCAGACATATCTCAAAGTTGTCTTTGAGCTCAACTTGATAGCTATTTAGATTACCTTAGGGTTTGCAACACCAGCCCAATTTCGGTAATTCAAGTCCGCTTGTCTCTGCATACTAAGGTATCGCTGTAAAAGAAGCCATTGGATTGATCATCCTTACAGCTGTTGTAATTTTGCTCCACTGCCGTTGTTGTTTTAGTGTAATCCAGGTCCGACCTCGGATCACACCTAGAACCTGTACCCGAGTTGTGGATTGAAGGATTGAATACACTGAAGCCACGTTTCGGTGGCTTCTGTATAGATGGATATACAGAATGGAACGGCCTAGTCTGAATGTTTAAAATGATGTCAGAAGCAACTTTATCGTTTAGTCTTATCAGTGGGGAAGGAGGGGGCTGTTCCTCTCCAGCTCTTGCCCTAAAACGGAAGTTAACTAGCGACAGGGATTTGTCGTCAATCGGAAAGTAAAGTCATATCGACTGATATTGTCGTCTGTGTCACTGGTATGACTATTGTGAATGAAGCGTTATCATCTACTCCAATTGCCCTGATATACGTTGGAGAGAGCATGTGCGAAAGGGGCAACCCGAGGATGTCGGATATGGCAATAGTATCAAGAACAGGATGACTCCATTCTAGCCAGAATCTCCACACTATTTATGCCGGAGAGATATGGTCTTCATAATTAGACCCTGTTCCATAGTCTACTGATAGATTCTTGGCGTGGAGTGCATACCCCAGAGATTCTTCCAAGGTAGAAATGAGCAATGCCGATGGATCTTCATCTCGGGAGATTAATTCAACACTTAATTTTCATTTTTGAAAAAGTGTCGCGATCAATTGGCCCCTGACCGTCTGCATCTCTTATCTTTCAAGCCCTTATCATTGTCTTTGACCAGTTGATTGGTTGATTTCGATGGCTTGCATACACCCCTGTCGCTTCTGTAGCGACCAGGCTCTTTAGGGAAAGGATAGACCCTATTCCAGAACTTCGAGTGTTGCTAACATCTGAGAGTATCTGGAAGGTGAATGTGTTGATTTACTGCAATTACTGTGTACTGTGCGGATTGAACCTAGTAGTGATGGACCTATAGTTTCGGATGGGCAAAATTCCACACATTCGTAGTAGATTGCGGGTTATATGACTATATACGAGGCCAATCACTGTCTTGCAGTTCCATGTCTGCTCCGTACAATGAAGCGAAACGTGCAAATCACATAAACCCAAAGAGTCACTGATAAGAAATGCCGTTGTGTTACGATATTCCTAGCCCTGGTAATAAGACCCGATCGAGTATGATGCTAGCTGATAGGGATTGTAATTGCTTGGTGTGCTTCATATATCCTTGAGTCCTACCCGATATCCTGTATGCATATTCATATATTCCACCTTATACTATAACCAAGTTGCATACCAACATTGATTTTTGTTAAGGCTCGTTTAACACGCTTCTAACAAAAGACAAGACATCAACCGAGCAGTATGTCGTCTCCCACAGCGGAGATGTTAGAGAAGCAGGAGGTGGCGGAGAAAGATAAAAAGGACGGTGCATTTCTTGAGTCAAATGACCGAATTTCCACCACGCCTATCGATCATGGCACCCAGATCCTATACCAGGTGGCTGTCAACAAAAGTGGGATAAAGCTTCATCCACAACCTACATCAGACTCATTGGACCCATTGAACTGGTCCAGTCTTCAAAAACACACTATATTGGCCATTGTCATGTTCAAGTACGTACTGAACTACCTTCACCTTCGCTAGAGAAGCCAATCGCCGTCAAAGCTATAGCTAAAACATGGTTCTATTATCTAAACAGATATTTCTTGTTCACATATCTTACCACGACGACTGTTCCATCCTTTACCGAAATCCAGGATCAATATCAAATCAGCTACTCGCAGGTAAACTGGACGGTCGCAGTCCCGGCTTTAGGACTATCCGTTGGTCCACTTCTATGGTCTTCACTTGGTGACATATATGGTCGTCGGGCGGTTTTCTTGACCGGGACACTCATAGCCTTGGTGTCAACTATCGGTGCAGCTGCCGCCGATAACTACTCGGGCTATATGGCGGCTCGTTTCTTCCAGGGATTCGGCGTGAGCCCGGCATCTACCGTTGGAATGGCTGTTGGTGAGTTAGAGTCGCATTCATCTGGAAAGCCTGCCTAACACTTTGCACTATCTCAGTAAACGATCTATTCTTTGACTACGAGCGCGGTCAGAAACTCGGTTTGTGGGTATTAGCAATAGATGCTGGATTACTTCTTGGACCTACTTGTAAGTATCCCCGAACATTTCGTTACGGATCCTGCGCTGAATGATTCTCAATATAGTCGGCGGCTTCCTCGATCTCGTCAATGCTGCATGGATCAACTGGTTCAACGCAATTCTGTTCGCTGCATTATTGTTACTCGAACTATTTTGCATGCCAGAGACTCTTTATCCGCGAAACAAGATGCTCCAACAAATGCCTCATCTCGATGGTCACAAAGCTCTCCCTGCTGATGTTGAAAAACAATACGTTAGAGATACCACAGTGGTGTCCGCACTCCCACCATCGCCGGAAGTTCTACAGTCAGACCTACGACGAACTAAAAACCTTCCATTCATAAACTGGCGCCCAGTGCCAGGCATGCGTCACCCAAAGCCATGGGATTCAGTAACTCGATTTATGCTCACCTTCCAGCAACCTGCGGTTGTATTGGCTATACTCGGATACAGTTTTATTTGGTACTGGTGGGTTCTCTCTGTTATCACTATGGTGCCAGCAGCATATGCACAATACACAGCTCTCATCCAGGGATTGTTGTTTCTTGGCTTGCTGCTCGGCACGATAGTTGCGGAGATTGGCTGCTCTGGTCGCTTAAGTGATTACATTGTCGAAAGATTGTCAAAGAGGAATGGCAATGTTCGTGTGCCAGAGATGCGCTTGTGGTTGGCGTATCCGGCTATACTGATCACAACTGGTAAGAGGTATCTATCCACGGTCATACACTTGGAGTGACTAACGATCGATATGATACATAGTCGGATTGATCGTCTGGGGAGTTAGCATTGACAAGAACTACCATTGGATGGTAGGCCAAGTGGCATTCTTCTTGTGTAAGTACTTCTCTTCAAAATGTATTCACATGAAAGCTGACTTAACCATCCTCTAGTCGCAGCAGGTATTCAAATTGGCAATACTGTGACCAGCAGCTACGTTGTAGACTGCTATCCTCTACAAACAACGAGTGTGATTACCTTCTATGCCGTATTCCTCAACCTCAGTGCTTTCATAAATCCGGTATGCTCCAGAACCTGATATTTGGAAATTAGTACTGTAGCTGACTATTTTTCCGTTCAATAGTTCTTCATTGCGAATTGGCAAGCTTCTTCCGGCTGGACCTGGACATTCACTGCAGAAGGCCTTATTGTGCTCGTGGGTGGATGTATAGTATTCGGCGTCTTGCACAAATTTGGTGCTTGGATGCGAGCAAAGGCACCACAGCCATCATGGGTGAACCCAGAGTTTGATATGGATGCTTGAGTTGGTTGCAGTATACGAGGATTGGACTATCTTTTCACTAGGTGTTTAACTGATATTCAAGTATTGTAAATATGAAGGCTCTTTTTATTTTATGAAGCTCCCAGTCTAGAGCCTATCCAAGTTGATCTGCACGTGTAATGGCAAGACTCGCGAGAGCCACAATGAAGCTCTGAACTAGATTACCGAAAAAGGTTCAGCCACATAGGTTCCGGGTACTCTATCGCTAAATATTTGCAAAGATAAAGGTCTATCAACAGAGATGCCGAAAAGGAGCGTGTATATACGCCGACAAAGAAGTCTCCCAATGCGGAGAGAAAATGCTGACGGTGGGCTAATTAAAACAAGAAAGGAAAAGTGGAACGAGGAGACGAGGATAGGAAGAGACACTCCAGTTTAGGCCGATTCCTTGGCCTCGCCGCTGGATTGCGACAGGCTGGGAATATCCTCGCCCTTCAGGTAGTTCTCAAATTCACCAACGAGCTTACCGCCCTTGACCCAGCGGGCGCGGTAAGCTTCACGGCGCTCTCCAGCCAACTTATTCAGGGCAGGCCAGTAGGTGTCGTGGTCATAGCGGAATTCAACGTCACCACCGACGGTCTTCATCAGATGGCTGGGCGGGACGTGTTCACGCAGGTCCTCATTGAACTTGAGCTTCTCCCGAGTCAACGGGTCAATAAAGGGTGTGATCAACTTGAAGAATCCCCAGATGAGGAATGGCACTATATCATATGAGTTAGCAACTTGATGCCAGAGCCTACGGTAGACCAATAACTAACCATTCAGTACCAAAGCCCGACCAAGTCGCTCGGGGTAGTGGTTTTGCAAGAAGTTAAGCGTCTGCTTGGCCTGGCTGGGACTGGCGTTCTGGCCAGACTTGGTCTCCTTAAAGTTGACCAGAAGCGCCATAGTCTCCTGACCAGGGGGCATGATATCAATGACTCGCTCCAGCATGAAAACAAGATGTTCAAGCTGGCGGTCGCTCTTCTCTGTGTTCTGGTTGGAGGGCAAGAGATACAGACACGGCCGTCCGTTGATATCAAAGCCCAGAATGACTTGCTTGCCAGTTTCATTCTCAATTGAGATATATTCAGGAGTCAACTTCTCCATTCCGTACTCGCGGCGCCATGTAAGAGTGCTCTGGAGGCGGGTCTCGGCCTCGGAAACATTCCACTTTGTCGCGCGCAGGTAGCGCAGGAGACATTCCCGAGTCAACCACATGCGCTCATCTTCGGTGATGGGTTCGGTCGGGGCATTCTTCTCTGCCTTGGTGGCAACTGTGGTCCATGATGAAGCAGTCTTAAGTAGGGCATCATACTTGGATTGCTGGTCGGGGGTGAGCTGTGCAGGTGGATTAGGCTTCGATTCGTCGAGCGGCTTAGGGAAAGGCTTCTGTATGAGGCCGTCTGCGGCAGACGTGGGGAGTTCGAGGTCAATTGAGTTCGAAGTAGGCTCAGATTGAGTGTTCACTGGTGCCGATGTGGTCTCTGCGGGCGCAGTATCTCCGTTGGCCACAGGCACATCTTGGGGTTCGCTGCTTGCCATTGTCTTGAGATCAATATGGTCTACACAGGGAAAGCTTAAGAAATCAAATAGAATGCGGAAGCCTTTCAGCCGAGCAAATTGACCCGATCGACAGGTCCACCTCGATTGCCGCGATGCTCAAATAATATTACTGTTTTGGGTGATTAGGTCAGCGACACGGTTTCACGCGTCTCCCCGCGTCAAATTGTACTTTCACCACTTCACTATCACTGCCAAAGATGGACGCCGAAGCAGAGCTCAATGAGCAATTTGCGAGCTCATTTCCTGATGGAATCACCAAGGATATCATGGCCGAGCTCCTCTCCATGTTGCGAGTGCATTCGATCACCGCGGAAGAGCTCTTCTACAAATGGGAATCCTACAGCATGAAGATGGGCGAGAGTGTGACCCTGACCATAGAGACAGTCCGAGGCTTCAAGCAAGATGTTCAAGAAGCATTGGAACGGGAAAGCCGCAGCCACGCTGGTCGGCATACGGAGAAACGAAACGCAAACACGGCAACCCCGCGCGCCGCAGCCGCAGCCGGCGGTGATATGTTTGGGATGTTGGATCAACTGACTCCGAATGCCTCGAACGTGAGATCTGCCGGTGGTTACGAATCGGCAAAGCGCAAGGCCGAATTCTCCTCGCCCGCTACACCCAGAGTCAAGACTGAAAAACTTGGTTCGCATCTGGGTACGAGGACGCCCGGGACTCCTGGTGATGGAATGCAGTATGTCCTTCCCAGAGTGTATGTATATAAGCTGCTAATACCAAGGCAGATCAGTTCCCTTCGCAGAACGACCCAACCCCGGCCAGACCGTCGAGACACTCAATTCACATCTATCCTTGCCAGAAACACCAATGGCACCATTCTCTGAAGCGCGGATTCGGCCAACAGCCAACACAGATCTTAAAAAGTTTGGTTACAAGCCAATGGGCATGAAGCTTTCAGAAGCATCGGAGATTCTAGACGACCGTATCGACGAGTTCACGACGATATTCCAGGCACAATTCAACTCAGACGACATCACATTTGGAAGCGCAGCTACACAGAGCACAAGCGAGATCATTGCTGTCGGAAGGATCGCCTCGGACAGTCTAGAAGGAAAGCTGAATCCGGCTTCCCTTGTTCTCGAGACATCGCGCCGGACTGGAGCCGGCAGACGTGTACCTCTGAAGGTGGACTCAGTACCCTCGGCCAACTTCTTCCCAGGTCAAATTGTGGCTCTCCGTGGTATTAACCCTTCTGGTGAATACTTTACCGTCAAAGAAATTCTCCCTATCCCTCTCCTGCCGCCTGCCGCATCTTCGGCTGTGACTCTGGACAACATCAACGACCGAATTGAAGCCGACTCCAGTCTGCCACTTAATGTGATGGTGGCGGCTGGTCCCTACACCTCAGATGACAACCTGGACTACGAGCCATTGCAAGAAATCTGTCAAAAGGCAGCTGATAGCTTCGCCGATAGTCTCGTGCTCATGGGTCCCTTCTTAGACATCGAGCACCCGTTGCTCGCATCAGGCGATTTCGACCTGCCAGACATTAAGGGTATCGACCCGGACACAGCTACCCTGTCCATCATGTTCCGCCACTGCATCTCGTCACACCTGGCACGACTTGCAGCAGCAGTTCCCAGTATCACGATCGTGATGGTTCCCTCCGTACGCGATGCACTCAGTCGACATGTCTCCTGGCCCCAGGAGCAACTTCCCAAGAAGGAACTGGGTCTGCCCAAGCAGGTCCGCATGGTCTCGAATCCTGTCACCCTATCTTTCAACGAGACTGTGATTGGCATGTGCTCGCATGACGTACTCTCCGAGCTCCGCCGTGAAGAAGTCATTCATGGCCGGCCAACGGAGGGCAACCTGCTCACCCGTCTCCCCAAATATCTCGTGGAGCAACGCCACTTCTTCCCCTTGTTCCCTCCAACTGCACGGGCAAACCTCCCCAAGCCTGGGTCAGAAAGTGGCATGGCCACGGGCGCTATGCTGGATCTGCCCTATATGAAATTGGGCGAGTGGTGGAACGTGCGGCCAGATATCCTAATTGTGCCGAGCATGCTGCCTCCTTTTGTCAAGGTAAGTTATCTATACAGTGTCTGCCGGCTTTGGAATATTTAACCATACTAACCATAAGATTTTCTGCAGGTTGTGGACAGCGTTCTAGTCATCAACCCAGGTACCCTGTCAAAACGTCGCGCGGCAGGCTCCTATGCACAAATGGCCATCCACCCACGCCTCGTAGCAGAAGACGAGCGCGAACAAAAGCAGCTGAGTCATAAGCTGTACGAGCGCGCTCGGGTTGATATCAACCGAATCTAGCGGCAACCATAATCATATCGCATAGTGCGCGGCGTTAGAGGCTGACCAAATGAGCCTGGACGGCGGCCATTTGTTTTTACAATAATGGTTCAAGGAAAACACCACAAATGGAAACGAATCAATGAACTATTCAAACAATACAAAACAAGCATCCATCCCACCATGGATCATGGGTATCATATAAGGCCATCCAGCGAAACACCAGTAAACTAAAGTCACCCACACACATATAAACCAACCGCTCAAACCCCACATACCACAAACAATCACCTCAAGCCAACCACCCTCCTACCACCCATCCTCCTCCCAGCATCCCTCACCCTAACAACCGGCGCCCCAGCCGCCGCAGCACCACCCCCACTCCCCCGAATCGTAGCCCCAGGCCCAGACCCAGCCGCACCAGCAGCACCCGTACCCCCAGCGGCAACAGGGCCACTAGCCCCATGCCCCTCACCATTCACAAGCGCCTCAAGCCCGAGATCCCGCCAAACAGCCTCATGCCTGCGGTCCATGGCGCGCGTAATACCAAAGGCAGCATGTTGGTCTGGCACGACGTCGTCTTCGTCTTCAGGGTTTGGGGGCTGGTACTGAGGTGCGACGTAGATGTCTTCGATGGGGAGGAAGGAGGGAATTGTGGCGGGGGAGGTTGAGCCGTAGGTTATTGTGTTTGCGTCGCGGCTGTTGCTGGTGCTGTTGTGCGGGTCGTTGCTTGGGTTTGTTGCTGTTGAGGTGTGGGGTCGCGTGAATTCTTCGAAGAGGTCGGCTAGCTTTGGTTGGTGCATGTGTAGGTATGTTGCTGAGGAGTCTTTGCTCTTGGGGGATTGTTAGTTTGGGTTGGAGTTGGGGTTGGTGTTTGGGGTTGGGAGGTGAGGGGATTGTGGAGGATTGGGGATGTGTAGGCACCATTTTGAATTTTGTTTCAACACCTGTTGTTATCTTGAGGTTTGGATGTTCTGGCAGTACTGTATTTGTAGAGAGAGCAAGATATTCAACAGAGTTCGCTGTTGCTTGTCAACTGCATTGAAGGGCAGAATAACACGCTATCAATATACCGCCTTTATATCACGCTAGTCTATATACGGCTAGTCTACACTTGCGGCTCCACAAGCTTGTTTCTTGAAGTGCATGCATGTATGCTACAACTTAGGCTATTCTGATTTCCATACTCCCTCGAAAGAATAAGTGAAAATTGGGATGCCTTGTCCGATTGATACATGTAAGAAGAGATCTATTCCATTCAATCACATCGCAAACCCTGCAAACCTACTAGGAACTCAACACATCTTAAGCAACCTATCAAAAAGAAAAGCCAAGAATCATACAAGGATGAAACAAGGATGAAACAAGGATGAAATTTATATCCCTTAAAAGAACAGCCTGAAAATTGCTGGTTCATAATGCATTCCGAACAACGAGAGAGCAGACCTGGATATCACAAAGTCGAGGCCATAGGTAACTTTTTAATTGCAGTACAGGCACAGACAGTGGGAAAATCACAGATTCGTACTCATGCGGTGAACAATGGGGACAGCGCTAGGTGGCAGACTGCCCATCTCGGTGACGACCATATCGACATATTCGGCAGGTGTGACATCGTACATGATGTTCAGCAGCTGCAGATTAGGCGTTTCCTTCCAATTTGCGAGCGGGGACGTAGAAGATGACGAAGCAGGTGTCTCGGGTGTGGGTGCGGCAGCGGTGGGTTTTCCACCCTTCTTATTATCAGCCGGGGCAGGGGTGTTGGCTCCGGGGTCTGGCAGGCCGGTGAGTTGTTGCGGGGGTAGGGAGGAGACCAGCTCGTCAGCATCGGCAATTTCGTTGACAACAATGCTGTCGAGTGCGACTCGGTCGGTGAATTTGACAGTCTCGCAGCAGACGATGACGGGGATTTCAACGCCGCTGGCACGTTCTTTGGCGGACATGGCGACTAGAGCAGTACCGACACGAGAGTACAAACCGCCGTTGCTGGTCATGGCGTGGGCGCCGAGGAAGACCTTGGTGGCATCCTTAATAGCGTGAGTAGTGGCATGGACGAGGGTGTACTGCACGTCCAATCCAGCTTTGGCGAGTGCGCGGGCTAGACTCTTGCCTTCGAACAGAGGTCGCGAGTCGATGATGGAAACTCTGAATCGTTTGCCTTGATTGTGTGCTAGTAGAAGCGTGTCCTTAACAACGTTGCTGCCAGCAAACGTCACAATCACATCACCATCTTGAACCTTTTGCGCCGCGCTGGCAGCAATAACCTGGCCGGCAACAGTAATCTTCTCGCGGATAAAGCTGTCAATGAAATCGCACAATGTAGCCTTAGCGGATGACTCGGGGGTAGAAGGATCGATGGAAGCAATAGCCAACTTCAAAGCACGGATAGCATTGCCCTGGGTGATCGAAAGAGGCCGACATGTCGAAAGATATGTGATCTGGTGCGAGAGATGTGTCGTCAAATGGCGTGCCAGCGAAGTACCCAAAGGGGTTGTGTAAGATTCGACGACCTTCACAAGAAATTGTCAGTAAAATCATCCAGCAAAAAAAAAAAATAATAATTCAGAGATAAAAAACCATACCCGCTTGAAAGCAAGCAACGTAGCAACGCAGCGCGCACTACTTCCACAAACAACATAATCCCTCAACTGCAATCCCAAAGCCAAAACAGCAGGGTGAACCTCCTTGCCAGCTCCGGCAACAGTAGTTCTCCGCTGCTGGCCATACAAATGACCAAAAACAGCCACCTTCTTATCATCCTTCTTTTTCTTCTGTTCGACCGGTGCACTCTGCGCGCCAAACGGTCCAGGTCCAGATCCCCGGCGCGGAGGCGCAGCCTTCCCACCCTTCTGCGCAGCACCACCAGCAGCATCCTTCTTCGGCGTGGTGGGGGCACGAGCCTGACCACCAGCACCAGGCGCGGCACCACCAGCAAGACCGCCAACCTGCTCCTTCTCGACCTTCTCGCGCGCGCGGCGGGCAGCCTTTTTCGGCCTTGGCCTTCTTCTTCAGTTCGGCGGGTGTGAGGGCTTTGTCGGCATCGCCGGTGGCATCAGCGGGGGCGGTGGCATCTTTGGCGATTGGCTTGGCGGGTTTTGAGTCGCGGATGGGGAGGGTTTGCGGAGCATTTTCTGTGGCGGGATGAGGCTCGCTCGCGGGCGTAGGGGCTGGTGACGGCGCGGTTAGCGCTGGGTCGGTGGGTTCAGCCATGTTGTATGACTCAATTATTGTGTAGGAGGGGTTGCTTTTGTTGGAGCTTGGGTTTGGTGGGGAGAGGGAGAGGGTTGACTCACGGAAAAAGAAGTGATGCCATAAGCGGCCCACCGAGCGCCGCAGCCCTAAGCGCCGCCGATGGACGTGTATACTCATGGCTATTAGGTCGGATTGAACAATATCACACTTGAATTAGGACAGCTGGTACAGTTTCAGTATGGATTTATTTAGGAAAGCTCTACGAGGTGCTGTCTCATGAAATAGGCTTCGTTTTGGATAAGGCCTGAAAGAAACTATACCCAACGGCAGGGTAAGGGTGGTCGACTTGAAACAGGCATCGCATCAGGTGTCTCATTATTCATGTCAAGGGGTCTCGCTATCAAATAAAGAAGTCATGGGCTAAGAATAAGTCCAGGTGCGGCCCAAAGGTGGCAGGCGTTGCCCTGGGAGAGTCGTGGTCCCAATCTAAACAAAGAGCAGATAAAATTCGCCGCCAACGCCAATCAAACCCTGTACACGCAATAAAACATAAAGAAGGTAATATCCACATATTAGTGATGGTTGTTAATTTGTCCCAATGCACGTCGTTTGCGAGTTCCGGGTCCCTCGAGGGGCCGGAACCGCTCGTGATCGGTGGCCAACTTTCGCTTGAAAACACTCAGATCACCGAGAAGATCATGCATGTGGTTTTGCATTCGGTGAGCCTCTTGCTCGTTGGCATCGTGGGTGATGGTATCGTCGTCCTCCCAGACATCCATGTCAGACTCGGCATCTGACATAGGAGAACCTTCGCGGTCGTCTGACTCATGGCTGGGCGGTTGATTCTCTTCTGCCACCGATACTATGCTGGGTTTTCTTTGATCGAGGGTGACGGCTGGAATCGGGTTCTTGAGACTGTCGACGGCCAATTTCAGGTGCATGCGCAGAGCTTCATTTTCTGTCTGCAATTGTCGAATTTTGCACTCGCTGACCATCTTGGTCTCCTCCATGAGTCGCTGCATCTTTTCGACTTTTTGCTGGTACTCTTCGAGTCTTTCATCTGAGGCCTCAGTCGCCCGCTGGTGAACGGCTGCTTGGCTCACACTGAGCTGAAGGGTACGAATCGTCTCTGCCATCTCCGCGATTTGCGCATCGCGTTCAGCTGCAGAGAGTTGGTCCTGATTCACACGCGCCCGAGTTCGGATATTCTTGGCTTGGTCGGCATAACGAAGGGTTGAAAGTGTTTCTTCATAGTCCGCAGGCGCGATACAGGCAATCATCGCTGTCTTCGAGTTGCCACCTAGGCTGTCTTTCAATAGCCATGTGAGAATCGAGTCACGGTATGGAACCAGTTCTTTGCCTTTGCGTACACCGCGGGGTTTCTTGGGATCTGCTAGAGCGGCAATGACACGACCTAGCGTAGTCAAAGACTTGTTGATGTTGGCACCCTCACGAAGTCGGGCGCCTGTTGCTTCGGTGGATTTGGCACGTTCAGAACCAGCCAGATCAACCAACCGAATGCGGGCAGTGCGTTCAGTCGTCTCGTCAGTTGACAAGTCATGGTGGATCTGTTTCAACGTGATGGTGAAGACGGCATGGGATCGAGATGAGGTGTCGTTCATCTTTGTGCTGGCTGTTGTCCGAGAGACGTCTCCCTTTCGCATGAACTTCATCAGCTCAGTGTAGTTCCGTGCCGTCACCTCCGTCAAATCTTTCACATATGGACCCTCCGACGGTGATTCACGAATGCGGAGATAATGCGGGGGATCGGTTCTGGGGACCAAAAGATCTCGGACGTGCTCGTTGTATACTTCAAAATATGAAACTCGAACATTGTAGCTGATATCAGGAGATGGCGAGTTCTCAATGCGCTGGAACAAATCCTCGCAGGTTCGAGGAATCAAACCGGGCCTATCAGGCGTGCCCATCATGGTATAACTTTTTCCTGAACCCGTTTGCCCATAGGCGAAGATACACGTATGGTACCCTTCAAAGTTGTGATCCAAGAACTCCTCACCTAGTGAATTGTATACATCTTCCTGGTGTGCGTAGTGATCGTCCTCCTCATCATGCGACCAAAACGAGTTATCGAACGTGAATGACTTGTCTTCCAGAATCTTGCCACGGGCTTGCGACTTTGGCTTCCCGAAGTCGCCAGGTTTCGGTTTCGGGGCTTGGAGGCAAGTCATTTGTGTACGCGGGTCCATGGATATCAAGCAATGCGCGTTGCGCTCGATTTCTGCAAGGCAGTCAGACAACGACTTCCACTTCGGCGACGGAATTCCATATCCCAGTTCCTGGCATCACCTACCTCGAGGCAAGAACTTTCGCACTCGTACGACGACGCGCACATTGCCCCCTGGCGTGGGGCTGGCCATTCCATCTCGGCCGGATAGCGCTACGCTTTCCCGCGCGCGGAAGGACGGACTTGAAGCGGAAGATCTAAGGGTGGCGGCGGAGGCGGAGGTGGAGAGAATGCTAGGCGAGGTGATTCCCGTCGCGGCGGAGAGTTCGGAGGAAGCGGCTGATGAGATCGAGCCAGGGCCCGGATGGCCGATGTGGTGGTAGAAGCGCGGGTCCAGCGCCATGTCCCTGTTGTCCCTCAATAGCTGCACACAAGCGGTGACGGCGTCGCGTCGTCGGTCAAGAAGAGATTGGTACATGCAATGGATTGAACAAAAGAAAGGGGAATGTAGAATGACAGGGCAAAGGGCAATGTAGAGAGAGAGAATGAGTGAAAGGGGGTTCGGTACTGTGTTGCGCGTTGTTTCCTGGATACGTTTCAGGTCAACAGAGACTCGAGAGGTTCAGAGCCCTGGCATTCTGCGCTATGCGCAAGTATTCGGAGAAAAGAAAATATAAAAAAGAACGGATGGCATTCAAGATAACATTTGTTACGAAGATGCGGTATACAAGTGTCTACGCAGGTGTCATGGTCTACAACCCGTTGCCACAGCAATGGCAGGCTTAGGTTTCAACTCCATAGACTCCAGTCTCCGTTGGATCTCTTCAATTTCCACTTTAACAATTATGTCACACTTTCACTTTCAATAATTACGATTAATCAAAGTCGGCAGTTTCAGCGTTCATGGCTGTATACAGGTCCGCGTCGTCGTCGAGCGCGTCGCTGGGCTTCTTAGCCTTGTTGCCCCAGGTAGGATCGGGGACGGGGTCACCAGCGGCGTTCATATGTTCACTCAACAGCTGATTTGGTCCAAGCTCGCTCTGCTCTTGATTGATTATGCCGGATGTAGTCTTGGGATCGGGCAGGCCTTTTGTGGCGGCCTCCTTCGCCTGCTTCGGTACGTCTTGCAGAGGCATGTCTTGTGGATGTTAGCGTTTCTGTATAGATCGAACAAACACCTCCACAACCACCAACTCCTCTCACTCTTGTCCATTCAGGGTAGAAGGGGTAAGGGGGTACATACTCAATAACTGGTGTTATGATGTTGTTTTATTGATTGTGTTTGGCTCATACTTTGGTAGTGAAATATCAGGGCAGAACGGACTATATTTATGAGCTTCGGTGGCGGTATGATAGGATCATGACGACGACATCTACCCCGAGCACTTCTCCGCACTCGCCATTGGGAGAGATATTTAGCGAGTGCCACCAATTCCATAGTGTTCTGTAAGTCGTATGTTGGGAGCCAATTGATTGTTTTGAATAAGACGCCCGCTGGTGGAATGGTTGGGTTGAGTCGGTTCCGTGGATACCGAGCTCAAAGCATCATGGCAAATATGGTTGCCACCGAGCTCTCTTTCGCTCTATTCCATGACTTGGAGACTGATTCTATCCTAGCTCGCTTTTTGGTGGCAATCGAAGCGCATCGATCCTGTTGGTCGCCCTCTGTTTCTCATCTTCGTCATCTCATAGATCATGGATCATCCAAACATGGATGTCTTGAAGTTATATTGGACATCGCCGTATTCCAATGAATCATTACGTTTAATATGCCTCAATCCTAAGCATATCTTTATATAGGGAGATAGGGAATCTTTCAAACAAACAACCGGAACAAGGTTTATGTTTGCCACACTGAATGTCAGGGATCTATACAGGATAACTATGCAACACTATAACCTAGCAATGCGGGGATCGAATGGGAGGGAATATATCGAAAAAGCTACTATTCTTTGTACGATATTTCAACGACAATTGAACGGCCTTTCTAGCAGAACTTACCCATCAGCACTGTTTTTACGGATCTGGCTCTGCCCGAATATATTATTCCAAGTCACATGGCTCTGCAGTTCAAATTATCTGGATCAGACTGTACCGCGAAATTCATTAACAACCTAGTGGCTGATTTAGTAATACTAGACACTCTTGAAGCTGACAGCCCTGGGGAGTGTCAAAGATCTGACTCACTTAACCTCCTAGAGCGCACGGTGTCGTAGCGATACATCACGATTGACAGATGAAAATATCGCGTGTTATTTCGGGGAAGAGCATGCATTTGCTGTTATAGGGGATTTGAAGTGGGAGAGGAGAGAATGGGCTGCGGTTGTTTTTGTGTCGGGCAGTGGCTGCCTTGAATTAAGACTTTTGGTTTGTAGAATGAAGGCTTGGAAAGTCGGATTTTGGCCGAGGGTTGAATCAGTGGTGCATTCCTGGGTCAAGGGATTGTTTATATGAGCTTTACAGGGTTGGTTGGACGCCTGTTGGCTTGCGAGGGGATATGAAAACAGAACTTTTGCCAGTCAGTGAAGCCCACCATATTCTGGATCTTCGACAGATATGTACATGTATATATATATGTACAGCTTGCCGCCATCTCTGAAAGGACGCTCTCCCAAGAATTTCAATGCCCATAGCTATACATAGCTCACTTTTATCAATCATGATCGACAGGCAAAACAGCCACTCAACGGGGCGAACCGGTACTGGAATGTGGCAATGAGACTGGAGAATCTTCACCCATCTTTTAACCGTTTATCAGATAAACTGTATTCCATTTTTGGCATGATCTCAAGTGCCATTCAGGTCTAATACATTGCGAAGTGCAGGTACTCGCGGGCCTGGGGTACTGGTAGCGTATCCGAAGGGAGGGATCCCTTCCTGACAGAAAACACTGGACTCGTCTCGAACGAATCACATACATGGATAAGAAAGCAGAGACCTCGAATGGGGAGTATTCTTCATCTGTATGGCGGATTATGCAGATCGGAAGTTGCTCAACATACTTCAATTTCTGCCTTAAGCGCTCGAAGCGCAGGCCTGTGCAGCCATGTGGGCTGCATTCTAGGTAAAAGTCAAGACAGCCAGCTCATATGAAACGAAAGAAATCCACGTAGCCACAAGGACATCCGCCAGCCAAAATTGATAACTCGAGAATTACCCGGATGTGAAGTATACATACAACCCTGCAAGCCTGCAAGCCTTCCCTCCACCCAACAAGACCCACGTCCCCAACACACAAGCGTGATGATCCAATTTCCAATCATCTCGTTCGACTATTTCCAGCCAAGTCCGGCCAAGAAATTCATCAGTTTAACAAAACACCCTGGAGTGCTTGGCGGGCAAGTCAACATCTTCGACGAACTCAAGCCGATCCACCCCGACGAGCTGATGGGCGAATGGGATGGGTATATCCTGACCACGGGACACCCCTTCGAAGCCGAATTGGAGACACTCAATTGGTTCGGTAACACATTTTATTCTACGGACGACGTGGCTCCGCTGATTGTTGCGCGGAATGGTAAGCGGGTGTGCTTTGAGGACTGGGGGCGTGCATCGGTGAGTACAAAGTGGCACAGGGTATGCAGGGATCTATTTGGGATCTCGGTGTACGGAACATTCTGTATTCTTTCATTCTGACCTTGGCAGTTACGTGAGATCAAATACCACGGCGTAGTTTCTGCGGCCCTGGTGTATGATGAGCGACCCACGATAGTCTATTATCGAGCTGTGAAACATAACATGGTTGCCGGGTGTATGGAAAGTAAGCAGTTCGAGGGCAGAGTCTATTTCTATCTCACGCGGTAGGGGGTTCACGTATGAAAGGGGCGTACAGAGAGTCTCGGTGCAACAGTTATAGATGGGACATGAGTGGTTGTCTGCACATCCTTAATTCAGCCCTATCCGAGATCCACATGGGGCCAGGCAGCAGTATTGTGTGTATTCAGTGTATTCAGTGTATTACAAGGGTTTGAAGGAGCAAAAGGTCTCAATAAAAGTGAATTTGTATTTGCTCGTACGTTGTAACTATTGCGCGATCACCGCCGAGATCGGCTAGTTTTTCTCGGGAGTCGCCTCGACCCGACCAGGAACGCCGATTTTTGACTCATCTCTTCTTTCCCTCTATTTAAGCTACGCGGAGGGGGCGCACTTATTGTGTTATACTGCATTGAACAGCCTGCACAATGGAGAAAACAACACAACCCCCAGCCGACCTCGAGGCCTCCCCCAATGTCCCCGTAAAGCAGGAGTCCAGCGTATCCCGACGATGGAAGCAAAACCTCACAACCACGCACGCAGATCTGGTCTGTCTGCTCCTCTGCTTCCTCACCGGACTATGCGATAGCAGCGCCTACAACGCATGGTCCTGTTTCCTTGGCATGCAAACTGGTATGATTTATAACGTCCCGAGGCCGATCCCGCAAGGGGCAAGGGCCAAAGCCAGCACAAGCGCAAAACTAACAGATTTCTGCTCACAGGAAACACCATCTTCCTCGGCCTGGGCGCCTCCAACCAGCCGTCCAGCAAGCCTTGGGGCTGGCTGAAGTCCCTCGCCTCAATCGCGTCGTTCTTCTTCGGCGCAATGGTCTTCTCGATCGCAATGCGCAGCGTTGGCGCTCTCCGCCGCGGAACCCTCTTCGTCTCCTTCTTCGTGCAAGCCTGCCTGATCGTCATCGCTGTCGCTCTGATCGAAGCCGATCTTATTCCTCATACTTCTGCCGACGCTGGCCTCGATGGCGGTTCCCTCTTCCTGGAGTTGATTCCTATCGCCCTGCTGGCTTTCCAGTCTGCTGGTGGTATGACTTGCTCTCGGTCGCTGGGATATAATGAGATTCCGACTGTCGTCTTGACAAGTGTTTACTTTGATATTGCTTCTGATCCTAAGATCACTGATAAGCCGACTACCAATGTTAAGCGCAATCGCCGTATTGGTGGTGTTGTGTTCTTACTCATTGGTGCGATTGTTGGTGGGTGGTTGAGTCGGAGTAGTGGTGGTATGGAGTCGGCTTTGTGGATGGCTGCTGGTATGAAGTTTGTTGCTGCCATTGGGTGGTTGTTCTGGAGGGCTGCACCGCCGAAATAGATAGGGCAGGCTGTTTTGGCTTGTTCTGGTAGAGATTTGTTGTAGATATAGATCGGCTTATTAGACTTGCATAGATCAATGTTAATATTTTATACAGACAGTTACAGTTCCTTGGGAAGACACTCGGGTTATCTCAAGTCGTAGTTTATATGGATACTAAAGTCTAATGCATAGGACAGTACTATCCAATATTATAGTCCAGTCTGCTCCTATACTGTATTTCCAGTTTCTGTTTTGGTAAACTACATACATGGCTTTCATTCTTCAATTCTAATATAGATGTAGTCGCCCTCATCTCTCAATTTTTAGTTGACATTGAATACTTATCCTCTCTTCTGCCTCAGTAACCGGCCCTTAACGTTAGATATCATAAGTACAACTACATAGACATTTCCTATATCGATGGCCCATTTAGCATACCCCCGCAGCATAAGTACATTAAACTATACATTGATCAAGCCATTCAAGTAATTACATCCCAGATATGTATGCATGGAGTCACTACTTCCAAGACTTCTCAACATCACCAGGCTCTTTCCAAGTCTTCTCAACTTCAACACAATCCTCCTCAATATCCCTCCACGACAAACTCCCCCACCTTTCAGGTCTCTCAAGCGCATCAACAAAATGCTTCAGAGCCAGCACCGTCTGCGCAGCCCATCTCTCCTTACTAACCTTCCCAACACCAGCAGCCAAAGGCGTCATAAGAATCCTCCCAATCCTCCTCCCAATCCTCCTCCCATCCCCATCCCCATCTTTCCCTAACCCCCGATTCCACCCCTCAACTTGCCCCAACAAACTCCACACACACTCATAAACAACTTCCCGATCCCACTCCACAGATCCCGGCTCACGCATAGTAGGACAAAGCGCAACCCAGGCACACCCAAACGGATTCCCCTTCAACTCCTCGGGGAATGGAACAAGCGTACACGTCCCAGGCGGTGCGAACCCGCGCCATTTCTCATATAAAATGGCTTGCGCGGCTCGCGTCACGGCGTGGTAGTCGTTGCGGGGACTGAATGCTCTTGAGATTGCGGCGTCGAAGGCGCCGTCTAGGCGGCCGTAGCTATTTGCTGGGGATACGATTAGGTCAAAGGTGGTGCCCTCGGGAAGGGAGTTGAGGCGTTCGTTTATGGGGGTTATTTTTACGGTTTGCGGGTTGTGGGTTGGCCAATTTGTTTGTAGGGAGGTGTTGAAGGCTGTGATGAACTCGTCGTCCATGCATAGGAGGAGGATTTCCGGGATGTTGGTTGTCATTTTGGGATTGGGATTTTGTTTTGGGGGAGGATTTGGGGTTGAAGGGTAGTTTAAAGTAGGATGTAATGAAGTTATAGAGTTGATGTTGCCATGTGGCGGAGTTCAAGGCATCAGCTTAATTACTGCGTTATGCGGGGCTGAAAGAGGCTCTATTGCCCGACTCTTCCATATATTCCAAGTATTGATGTTGATCTCTGTTTATTTGGCTACCTTGCCTTGCCGCTGTGATTCATTTGTAGAGCCACTGCCTTTGGCTCTATCCAAATTGAAGAACTAAGCAAAAAGAAACATGTACGTGATCCAGAGAGCCATCGTGGCAGTACAAGTCACAAAACAAGAATGATCAAAAGCAAAACCCCACGGGTATACGCAAGAACACAGCTCATTCATTCATCCAATCCAATATCTCTCTCTTTCTGAAGAGTCACCTCCTCAGAATCAGCACCATCACCATCCCCAGCAGCACGACTCACCTGAGTCGACACATACCGAATCAAGCTCTCACACAACCGATCAAGAACCCATTCGGGCTCCGTCTGCGTAGCCAACATGGGACTATTCTCACCAATCCAATCCCAATTAAGCAATCCATACTCATCTTCATTCATATTTACAGAATCCTGCGCACCGAGTGATCGACTCGCGGAAGAAGACGGCCTCGTCCGCGGATCCGTAAACTGAATCAACCGTGTAAACTCAACCCATTCCTCATAACCATATCGTTTCCGTTTGCCCTCGCGTACATGTTCCGTCACACGACGAAGGGCAAAGGCAAGCTGCTGGGCTAGTTCGAGTGGTGATGGATCACGAGCTAGTTCCTCCAGCGTTGGGCGTGGATGTTCACCGGCTACCTTGACGAGATGGGTAGGTCGATTGATATCACCTGAATCGCGCCTATGTCCTACATCGCCATTTTCGCCACCTTCAAGCGCGAATCCGCGTTTCACTCGCTTCTTTTCTTGGCGGGAAGCGAGGAGCTTTGTAACGCCAGGAATCCGGCTAAAGAAGGATTTGTAGATGCCTGACTGAGGGAGGACGGTGTAATCGCCCACTTTATTGGTTGCATGCTTGAAACTTGCAACGACTGTATCGACCATTTGGGAGATGAGTATTGTCATCGTTGGGATGGCGATTAGTGACCACAGCACGAAGAAGGGTCTTCCTGCGTTCGACTGGGGTGTGATGTCACCGTAGCCAATTGTTAACAGTGAGCAGAAGCAGAAATACAGGGATTCGTAGTAGGACATTTGTTCGAGTTGCCAGAATACTATTGCTCCGCATGTCCATACGATTCCGAATGCGGCTATGCTGATTATCAGGTTGTTCCAGCGACGGAAGCGCATTGTATCGTATTGGATGCGGCGCATGGCGTCAAATCGATCTTTTTCTTCGCGCATGACAAGAAGTCTAGGTCGACGGCCTGTGGCAATGGCATTGATTCTGTTGCGAATTGGTCCATGGCGGTGGTAATGATGAGAGCTTTTGGACTTCGATCGAGTAGGAGTCGGGGGAGTGACTTCCGTACCGCGGATGGGGATCTTCCCTTCGGAGGCTGAGAGCTCGCCAAAGCTGACCGATCGATTGAATGTTGATACCCGTTTCTGCTCGATGTGTTTCCGGATCACGTTCTCGTAGTGAACTTCACGGGCAAACTTATGAATGCTTCCAACAACCAATCCTAACATGATAATTCCAATGACTGCATATGGCCAGATGAGACCTCGACCAACAGGTGCGACGGCAGTTATGTCACCGAATCCCAAGGTCAGAACGGTGACATCGCAGAAGTATAACGCATCGGCAAAGGAGATATCCAGTACGCTTTGGAAGATGGCCGCTCCAACTAATAGCCAAATCACAAACGCAGTCATCTGAAGAATCAATGTTCGTTGTTCGTCGGTTAGTGCGAAGTGCTGTGGGTATCTTCCTAGGAAGTATCCCAGCATATTGATCATCAAGGTGCCGCTTAAGAAGAAGTAGAGACATGCTGCAATCACGGCACTCCAAAATCCTTGTGAGTAGACCTGGTCAGGGCCGACTGGTGGTGCATAAACACTCATGGCAGCTGTAATCCCACCAAGCTATCATAAGTATCAGTATGATGACCAAAACTAGACAGATGCGTCACTCACAATTCCCGTAGCTATGAACCACAGAATAATAGTAACCGGTAACGCGACAATGTATCGAATGACTTGCGTAAAGTTGAAAAGCAGAAAGATGTTTCCCACAACGCCACAGAAAAGTGACACAGCATTTAGAGCAATGGCCCTGGAGACAGCATTAGAGTTCACCACAACTATAACCGCACGATCCTGTCTTCACTCACCAAGGAGGATCCGGATATCCTTCCTCCAAGTAATTCCCAGCACGTCCTAGAGTCTTAGAAATAATATCATTTCGCCAAGGCTGAATCAGCGCAACAATCGACATAACATTAGCAAGTGGACCCGTCGCAGCTGCAATAAGAGGAATAGTCGTAGACGCAATCCACCAAGTCTGCGGCTCATCATCTTCAGCCGGCCTCATATTAAAATGACCTTTGATCGATTCCCATCGTGAGAGCCCGGCAGACCTGTCGTCCGTGGGTATCTCGACTGTCACAGACCCATGCTGCATCGCTCTAGCATATCCATGCGCAGACCGAACTGGATCTAGTCGGAAGCCGAAGGGTGGAGTGGCCGATTTAGTTGCAAGGGAAGTAGATTTGAGTTAAGCTCTTGTGGGTACCATCAAGGATCGCGTCTTACACTGATCCTGATAGGGTGAGATTGCATCGGGTCAACGCGGAGAATGGGTTGGATCGTATGAGTTGTACGCGCCCCATATGTTCCCTCCCTTGATATGTCCGACAGGACAGATATTTAAGAAGACATCTTCGACGCGAGGGTTCAGGCGCCAGTATCACGCTGTAAATGATGTCAATGTCTAGCTTTGACCTTGGTCCCGTGACTGGCTTCCCCACATGCGTCATCATTCTGACTAACTTATATTGTCAAATCAACAACATGAAAAAAAGATATACATGTACGAAATCAACAAGTAACTTTCTTCAAGCGATCGCGGTGAGATAGAGGTGAGATAGAGGCCCGATATGGCGACGTGTATCATAACTAGTTATGTTTAGGCAAATAGGCATGCATAGCCACATGGTTAGTAGGTTCATACATGTAGTCGATTTTATCAAACCTGACGAACATAATCTTTGACTCGAAAGTGAGACCCATCACTCTAATATAAGCTTACTATAACTTGTATCACACAGTATTTGCTACCACTTCCAGGATAGTTCGCCCAAAACCAGCTCGCTGCTTTTTAAACAGCCTAGAGCTCCGAGACAACATCTCACAAGCTCAGTTTAACTCTGAAGGCAACTAATAAGCTAAAGCCGAGCCTCGACTTAGCACCCAGTACCTATACATGGACCCATTCCACAAACACAACAGTCCCCAGACCAAAACCAGCCTACCGGGCACAATAATCCAACTAATAATACTTCCAAAAGAACCAAAAACCCATGCAACCCATGCAACCCACCTAAATGCCAAAAATCCAGGATATGATGCACAACGCAACCCCGCATACACATGCATGTATTACCCCCACCAAACCCACTGATAGGCTCGCCACCCCCCCAAAACCCCCAACCAATAACCAAAACCGCTACAATTAACCACCCCTGAACCAATAGCAACCCCAACCACCTGCATAAACCAAAAAAGCCAAAGCCAAAGCCAAAAAATCAAGACGTCAAAACGCTGGGACCTACACTTATATTGACAGTGACATCAGGGCCCGTCATTTGGGAATGAGTACCTGCTTTTGCAGGATTGGACCTGAAACTAAGAAAGTGCCAGGCAGCCAACCAGCGACCTTTGTAAGTTGTACGGAGAAATAAGTTGACTAGTTGCATGTTAGTATGTTACTAGTACTGTTGGTAGTGGGTAGTGGGTAGTGGAGGTGGAGATGGAGGGGTTCTACATATTGTACTCCGTACACTGCGTATTGCGTATGTACACTGCTGTATGTACATGTACATGTACGTAGCACCTTAGGGCGGGGTAGTGATCCACACTGCATGTCGGTAACTTTTGCTGTACTCTGCGCCGGTGCCGCGAAGCGCTGGGGTAGCTTCTCTATCACATATCATCACACCTCTATGGAGGGGGTTACGTGGAAATAGTATGGATACTACAGTATGGATACAGCTACGGTGTAATAGTATGGTCGGGAAGTACATGTATACTATAGCATTACTAAGGAACATGGCATGATTGGAAAGTATAACGAGTGTCAGGGTTGGTCTATCGGATGTTGGGGTCGTGGTTCTATGTACAACCCGGATTCCTCCTCGCACCCAACATCAAATCAAGCAATAGCAAAAGTAAAAAGTAAACGCAAAAGGCAGAAACACAAAGCAGTTTAACGAGAAGTAAGAACGGCTTGCACGTATATAAGAAATCGCAAGATGGTATCATCAAAGCAGAGTGAGACGAACATCAACGACAAAACAGGAATCAGAGTTGACGGCCAGAAAAGAGAAGACAAAGATTAAACAGAGGACGCCAGTGATGGAATAGAAATGATAAAAAAAGACGCCGCCCCATGAAGGAAACGAGATCAAAATCGAGGCGCCGGAACCAAAAACAAAAAGAAAACATGTATCTTTTTTGGTCGTCCATTCCTTGGACGATATCTGCCGATGAGATCGAGAAACAGAGTCAGAGTAAATGCAACGTGCAAAGCTAGCCGGAGTCAAACCAACGCGCTCCAAATGCAGTTCAACAAGCGTCAAACGCTCCCAGTGTAAAGATGAAAACGAAATAGGAAATTCTCTGTGGATATCATAGATATCATTCTCGGTAGTCGGTAGTCGGGGAAAGGTGTGAGGTGTGTGGAGTGACATTTACATAGCCGAAGGTCGGCGCAGAATGTCTTCGCAGTTGGCATCGAATCGCATGTTCCAGAGCCGAATACTGTTCATAAGCTTCTCGGTGTTTTCAAGCTCGCGATCACGACCGAAAATAGATTCGACAAATTCACAGCCTGCATTACGGCCCATAGAAACAGGTTTTCCACCACCTTCTCGCTTTGCGGCCTTCCACATGTAAAGTTCACATCCCTTGAGGAGCTTCTTGAAACGAGCCCAGAGGCGCTCGCCACTTTCAAGGAAATCTTCGACGACTTCCTGCGCCTCCACGCGCTGAATGCGTGGGAGACATTCGTCGGCCCTCTTAACCTTGCCCGCCAGCTTGATCAACAAAAGCCACAAGTCGCCAGCGACATCGGCCATGGGCGTCGAGGCGCCGTGGTGGAAAACGGTCCAGTCGTAGATCCACTTTCCGAGGGAATTCGCATCGAACACACTACCGAGGAGAATGATCGGCGCCTCGGTCGGATCCCAGTTCTTGATCGAATAGCCTGCCGGGACACCTGCTCGCTCGGCGTCATCTTCGGTAGCGGTTGGTGGGGGTTTCGCGGCGGGAGCGGGCTTGGGCTTGTTGGGGTTGCGCGTGGAAGTGGACTGGCGCCGTGCGCGGGAGCGTCGGGCAGCATCGATATCCTCGTTGTTAGGAGCCTGGGTGAAGTAAAAGTGAGAATCAGCTGGATTTGATTTGCGGTAAGAGGTCGACGCGCGACGGGGGCCATCGCGCTTGGGATTCGAGGCCGGGGGATGGCCTGGGCGACTGGGACGGGGCTCGCGGGTGGTGCGCGGGACGTCGAATGCATCGTCGACCACATCGACGAAGATGGGTCGCGTCTGCGATTGCGACGGGTCGAATCCGTAGCTGTAGCCGGGGCCATAGCCGTAGCCGTTTCCGGTGCCGAAGCCATCCCCCGTAGGATGACCAGCCGAGGAGTGGTATCGACGGTGTTTGGGCATGTCCGCAAAAGAAGCACTTACATGATCGTGCTTTCGCGATGGAATGCCATAGTCTGGCGTGGCTTCATAGAAGCCGTGCGGGTAGCCCGAGGTCGAATACCATCCCCCCGTATCTTTGGTGGCTGTGTAGCTGGCTTTGCGGTTGTGTCGTCGCGAAGTGCCCCGGGGTGAGGAGTATGTGTTGGCGAACTGAGAGGCGTAGTAGGCGTAGTGAGGTGAGGTTGGAGGAGACTGCGAATAGTCGTAGGTGGACCACCCGGGTGGTGGACTGGAGTAATGATACATTATCGAACGAGCATAGAGCAGTTCAGATTGTAAATGCAATGGCAAAGAGACAAAAAAAAAGAACACCGAGTATATTATACAGGATATCGTGCACCCAAACAGAAATCGACGCCGATTCAGAACTGCAGGCCAGATAGGATTTTTTGGGGTTAGGACCGTCACCGCGGTACGGTTTCCGATCGAAGAGAGGAGGATTGAAACTGAATGTGCTGAGAGGGCATTTGAACGTTCGGTCTCGATCCACTGAAGAAGGGAGAGTGCGAATAGGGGGGAGCTCTACCAGCTACCAGATGGGCAGAATCCTGATAAGAAAGACTCCTGACGGGGAGCCCAAGAGTAATAACAAAGAGAGTCTCCCACAGAGAAGTTAGGAAGAGAGAGTGGAGAGGGAAAAATTCGAAAGGATGAAAGGAGAGAGTGATATTGGCGCCAACCAAGTGTGTGTGAGTTGGCGTGGGCTGTGGCGTTTGGTAATACACGTACTGGTATTCTATTCTATTCTGTTCTATATTTATTAGATTATAGATTTAGAATTATAGAATTATATATTTGATTATGTAGAATTCTTGATCTACTCTCTAGTTATGGGCCTTTTATATCCTACACAGACCCTATCGTGACTCACTGTGGCGATTCTTCTCGAGTTACCTACCACTTTCGATCTGGCTCTTCTCCAAAGTACTATGTCTACCCCTCAGACTAGTCCAACTAGTCCAGTTGTCTCCTCGATATGCAGAGCGCTTGCGAACAGCCCCTCAGTTGACTCGGACAACTGCATTTCCCTGTAAGGCAACTATATGTCGCCCAACTTTGACTCTCTGACTCACTTTGATTCAGCAACTGGGCAAAGTAGGAAAAGTAGAGTTTGATCAAAGATCTCACTGGCTGCCTTACAGCTATGGGCTTAATCTAGGCACCCCTCTATCAGGTGGCGTGTCATAGTTGGGTTGGATGAGCGCAAAACCATGTGTCTTCCAGAAGTAGGGTACATGTTCCACGGGCCACTTCATCTACATGAACACCATAGGTGAACTTTCCCGGAGGAATACTGGATCGGGGAAGTGGTAAATCTACAGCGAATACGAAGAGACCTGCAAAAGTACATGTGAGTGTGTGTGTGTGTGTGTGTGTGTGTGTGTGTCTGCACATGTAGATGTAGTCCCAACTAAAAGCCGGTTCCATGGTTGGTTAGTAACTCGATCGCGATTTCACGGCCCATCCCGTCTCGTCCAGCGGTTCACTTATTCAAGACTCCACTATAGATATTCTCCGAACGTCGTTACAGATACACGTTGCCATGGCAAGAACTAATGAGCCCCATCAGGGTCTTTGTATTAACACACGCTTCGCTTGTCTTGTTGGGCAACATCACGGACCATGCATGGGCTTTACCGCTGCGTCGCTGGGCAGCAACCGTCTACTTTGGGCCAAAATATAGAGAAATTCGCAGACCGCAACTTGCTCCTCCACTGGGATACCGTCACCAGACGGATAGAAACTTCAGCTAGCAATAATGGAGAAAGAGACTAGCTCCTGATGTCTTGGAGGCCTGGCTGTGTAGACGTTGGGATTGAAGATGAAGCCTTACTCTCCAACCAACGCATTATGAAGTCAGAGTTCTGGATCAACGGCTGTCATCCATAGGCAATTGGCTGCCCACAGTCTATTGTTTCAGCGTGGGGCAATGAACAATAGGCGACACGCTGCGACCGCATTCAAGCCCTAATCTGCCTTCTTCGGAACTGGTTAGCACTAACACTAAGGCCTGATGTATGCAGCATGTCTGGCAGTGATACTGCAGTTGAATCCCAAATCTCACAACACCTACTACTACTACCCCTCTGAAACAGAAATAGCAATCTGTCCAGTATTCCAAATGTAAAAGGGTCACCGCAATTTACCCCAGCCACCGATACCAACATTACCACTGCTGCTACGCTCACGCACCGAGTAAAGGGATGAAATGGAAGGAATTTCAGCACGTCCTTGCTGCGCACACAAAGAATTCAAGGCCGATCCCTGATTCGAGGGTTTTGTTTTTCTCGAGATGAGTCAAGTCCCTTCGAGAAATCTTGCCCCTGTTTTACCATTCCAGCCATTCAGAAGACAAAACACACCCTGCACCGCCGATCATCTAGGGTTGCACATGGCGTTTGATTAACAGTTGAACAAAAAAAGAAATTAAAAAAAATACAGCCCACTAACATTTTTCTGATCGTGCAGACAGGATAGATCTCACATGCAAGGCAAGCATAAAAATCATCATATATAACGATCGATGTGTCTGCCTACTCAGCACACGAGATATGACCTCCCATTCGACAACTGACCAACCCCCCTATTTTGCCACCCCCAACCAAGGCTGAGCTCTCAGCTACCGCTGCACATGTAATATGTAATGGGCGATCTACAGTAAATAAGAAGACAAAAAAACGGGGACATGCGTAATGATGCGTAATGCTCACCTAAGAACGGGCGATGGAATTTCTAGAACAAGGTTTAGAGCCTAGGAAACTACACCAATGACGACCGGTCTAAACAAGGGCTGCAGGGGCGGGCTGAGAGCCGGCGGTAAACTCAGATTCAGGCTCGGCTGGACATGTAGGAACATAACCTTGAACTGGCGCACGGGCCTATACAATTTACACACCGTGCTCGTGGACTGTATGCAGGAATATCGGAATAACCCAATCTTCCATTCTATATGTACTTTCTGTGCAACTTTATACTTCGGTAAGCTTAGAATGACTCGCATGGCAAATATAGGACTTCATTTTCTGGATGAGGACACCGAGGCCATGGTGCATGTTGCATGTTACCGCTTGCTTTTGCTTTTGCTTTTGCTTTTGCTTTGCGTAATAGTATGATATGAGTATCGTATGAAGCCGTGCACAATAGTGTGCTCCGTCCTCTTGCTCCGACCAGAACTCCGAAACAAAAATCCTGCAACCTAGAACAGTGGAATCCGATCACCGATTATTGAGAATTAATTTGAAGAAAATTGAACCGCCACAATGCAAATAGTAACAAAGCCATGAAACAAGGCACTGCCTCAAAATCAACTTATATGAAAATTACACAATTAATTAACTTATACCATACATTAAACATTAAACACGCACCCTCTAGTCTCAATCACATTGGGTAACCACCCGCAGCTAGTAACTCCTATCTACCAGCTTGCCCCTTGCACGAGCGTACATAGGATCTAAGCGCGGGAGGATCAAAACAAAATATCGGTCCAATTTAACTGGTCCCCTATTGGCATTTTGGGCCGGCATGGAATATTACAGTAGCTCTTGGCGACTTGAGCGGTATGGATATTGAGTTTGCTATTAGGGATTTGGGACTGTTTCCGAGATTGGAGGTGTTCACCATTTTTTTCTTTTTTTCCTTTGTGCGTGCTGATCATGTGCATGTAGGGTTTGGAATTTGCCCTTGCCCTGTGCCCTACCGAGTATGTGACTTGTGTACTTTTGGTTTTTGAGGGCGTTGGATATGACAGGGGATCCATTGGTTGTTTTGCTTTTTTGGCGTATGTAGGCGGGAGATAGGCTCGGGATGGAATTCCCCGACTGGATGGGTTTCCGGGTTGTGGGTTGTCGGGAGTTTTGGTTGAAATGTGGTCTTGTGCTTATGAAAAGGAGAGAGTGTTATAGTAGGTCGGCTTGCATTGGTTGTTGATTGCAGAGTGTTGCTTTATCAGATTGCTCGGTTACACAGTATCAAATGTAAAGACTTCTTCTATATTGGCTGCTGGCCTAGAATATATACATGCACGCGTTCTATTCGAAAATATATAGACAAAAGAGAGCCAGTATGTGTCAGCCAATGGCAAACTGCTGCACAAAGAATGGTATCATAAGTTGAAACCCAAATCGCTGATCCTTGAATGAATGAAAGAAAAAAAAAAGCCAATTCCGGATGCTGAAAAGCTGGTGACCGCGAGCACATAGCCCGGGTATGAACTAATAAAGACAAAAACAAGACAATCTATGCCACCATGTATTCTCCTTCGCCCCGCTTGGCCTGCATGACTTGGGACCACCGGAAGGCCTGCGACGTAGGTGCCCGACCTCCAGCCAGCGGAGGTGGCGGTCCGAAGTCACTTGGATAAACGGGATACGAGGATTCATCAGAATACTCAGCCCAGATCCGTTCTAGGAGCTCTAAACATGATAGGTTGTTGACAAAGCCGGAGTCCTTGGAAATATCCTTGCAGCGATTTCGGATGATCGATCGGTGATTCTCCTCGACACACTCCGACCCGACGATGAATAATGGCCAGAGGAGGTATACATCTGACTGCACGGTATAAAGACAGTGCATGGCCAGTTGAACGAGGTGCTGGATACGTCCATGCCGTGACGGGAGAGTTGGCTCAGCTAGACGTTCACAGTATAGAAGCGCGGCATGGCGAAAACACTCCGAGATCTGGAAGACGTCCTGGAGATTCTCGGGGGCCACTTGGTACGCAGATGTGGAGGTCTGCGGCATGGTGTAGTTGGTGGAGTTCCATGACATAGTAGATGCAGACAAAGGCGGAGAAGGGAAAGAGGCTTCAGCAGGTGGGTCGAATCGCCAGGATTCAAGTCGCTGCCTAAGTGAATACCATTCAGTCCAGAATTCTGGAGAGGATGGACGACGGGACTGTTCGCTGCTCTGCGGCGGTGTGGGGAGGGAGAACCCGTATCCAGGAAGCGGCATGGAGCCAGCCATAGGGTCTGGAGTGACCGTCTCCCACCCGGGGAATAGCATAGAAGGGGGAAGAGAGGCGGTGGAGACAGCAGCATCAGTTGGGCGCGAGAGATTGGGGGTTTGATCTTGACTGAGAAGGTTCAAGCGACCCAGCTGGGAGATCAATTTGAACAGACGACCATCACAACCAGCTAGGTTCTCCAGACCCCATTCTCCATCGGTTTTTGAACTTATCTCCAAGCATGTCCCACGAAGCTGTACGTCACGATCATTTGTAGTAGCTGTAAGCGTATCGAACCATGAGAACATGCGGATGAACCATTTGAGATCTTCTGTCATCACACGAGAATGGCGCATTCGGATCGCTAGGAGCCTTGTCACTCCTGCAAATTGTGCCCGGAACTCGGCAACACCAGTGTCACAACCATGAAATAGGCAGAGCATTAGAAGTGTTGCCAATACCGAGTCTGACAGTCTTCGACGGGGGTCAGCCAAATCGGCATTCAATGCCTTGACGGCCATCCCGCGGTGGTGATTTTCTTCCCTCACGTATCCTTCCGGAACCGAGATGCCATAGCGATCTTGGAAGTCTTCATCAGTAAGGGCACGGTGAGCCATCGATGCCATGCGTGCTGGTAGTGTTCTTTCAGTAGAACGATGGTTATGTTCTCGCCTTTGTCGCAAATTACTTGTAGCCAGTGTTGCAATTGCTTCTTGTAGAGCCTCGCTCTCCACCGCCAAACGGATGACATGCGTACGGAATGGATTTGTTGGGCTGTCAAAGGCAACAATCATGGGAGCAATGACTTCAGCATAGTAGCTGATGAGATATCGAAGACGGGGTGTCTTTCCCACGGATCGCGCCAAAAGAAGTTGAGATAGTGATGGAGAATGTGCAGCGTTCCACAGCATATGGTAATTAGAATCTCTCTTGACATCCTCTTCTTCAACATCTTGTGACGATGGTGGGGTGACAGGCTGATATGGAATGGGCATTGCAGTAGGCCAGACTGGAGAATTAAAGCTGGCTGTTGGGCTTAATATAGGAGCATACTGCAATGCCGTATCCGGAGTCATGTATTGTGTAGTATTTGGAACCAGAGGTCGGGATGGTAATGGAAGCCCTGAAATCTTAGGTGTCGAAGTAGCCGTGTTAGACCACGACTGGGGATCTGGCATATCCATTGTCCACGGCATATCGAACCCCGGCATCATGGGTGGTGAACTTTCCATTTTCACATTGGCGGTCCCAGCGTCGAACGATGAGACTTCCGGGCCAGTGACTGGAGGCACCGGAACCGAAGCATTATAGGGAGCCCGCGATGAAGACGGTCCACTGCTGTTCGAAGCCTTTGGTTGTGGTTTCGCAGGTGTCGCTTGCTCTTCCGAGTCCATCACCGGCAGCTTCTGTCCGCGGAGCTTGCCTCGGCTTGCGACTCCAACCCCCATGTCAACGTCGTCTTGTATCCGGAACATTCGCGACCAAGTTCGAGGCACTGGGAGCAATAAGGTCTGCGCCGATCACACCGTGCCCCTCGCTTGGAACAGGCAAAGCAGTCATCAGAAGCCCCGCTGACGACGGTTCTCTTGCGGCGTTTTCGGACGGGAGCATTCGGGTCGGTCTTGCGGGATTTCCCCTTGGGTGCCGGGTCTCGAGACTGAGGGTCTGGATTATTGGAGGACATCATGGACGGATGATCTGGTTGCCCGCACGGGGTCCATCTGTTGAGACCGCGAAGGCCCGGTGAAAATGTGAGGGCAGTTTCAAGGTTGCGGGGAACGGAACGTGAGGAATGGAGATTTGTAAGATCGGAGCAAATTGTCAGAGTAAAATCTGGGGAATAGCGTAGGAGATTAAGGGACGAAGAGAGAACTGAAAAAGAAAGGAAGAGGCGTGTTGGGGGGTGGATATGGGATCTGCCCGGTGGAGGATGATCCGCGCTCTAACAAGAACTGAAGACGGGGCGTTCGCGACTGATTTCTCTCATATCTGGTTCCACTCGGTGATCATGAAATAATCGCGCATCTCACCTAAATAATGGCCCCTGCACACTGCGCCTACCTCGGCTCTGGGGAGCACAAAATTGAGACCGGGGGTGTTTTAGGGTCTCGTGCCTCGTTTCCGCAGTTTGATATATCTGTTTCAATCTGCATATAGTACATTTCGCTATTTTGCACACTCCTATTAACATTGGGGCTAAACAGCGTAGACTAAATATGACCCGCCAAGCCTGGACCAATCTTCTTCCCGCCCAGCCCCAAAATGAACGCCACAATCTTCAACACCCTCCTTATGCGCTAAGAGCAGGCATGTACACTGTATAAGCCTGTACAGTCTATACATAGTCTCAACAGTTCAACTTCATCAGTGAATTGGCCGTGGCCGTGGCCGTGCGCCGCTCCCTGAACCCCTGGACCAAAGCGCAAACTTTCCGAGTCAACTTGGCGTCATTGACCATGGGTGCTTTCCGCCCTGGGAGGGCGAGGTCCCTCGTCCTGGCCATGCTCTCTTTGATCCTTGTATGCACCGTCTACTTTTATTGGACCCCGACTACCGCATCCTCCACCGTCTCCCTAGTCCCGAATACAGCCTTCGAAGTCCCCCTCACGGAACGCCAAAAGGACTTCTGGAAAGTCCTTCGACCGATCTTCGAACGGCACAACCCCAACTGTCCTTCTCCGGATAAACTCGGCGATGTGGACGCCCAGCATTTCGATCCGACGAATGAGTTGCCGAGGCCCGACCTGACGTCCCTGAGCGAGGAAGATGAGCGGAAGATGGAAGAGGCCCATGCGAGCTTCATTCAGGATATCAAAAACTCGGGCAAGGAGTTGAAGCCTATTCATACCCCGGGGAAGCGGGGGTTGGTCTCTACGGCTGGTGCGACGTACCTACCCGTGTTTGTGTCCTCGCTGCGAATGCTTCGCCGCGCGGGATCCACGTTACCGGTTGAACTTTACATGAAGGACGCCAGCGAGCACGAGAAACGTGTTTGCAATCAAGTGCTTCCTAAACTTGATGCGCGATGCTTGGTGTTGGCAGATGTAGTGGGCAAAAATATCATCGAACACTATCAACTCAAGATCTTTGCGGTTCTTTTCTCGTCCTTTGAGGAGATTGTCTGGATGGACGCCGACTGCTTCCCCCTTGGCAAACCAGAGGAGCTGCTCGACTCTGAGCCATTCAAATCCAATGGCCTAGTGACCTGGCCCGACTTTTGGGCTTCCTCCGCATCGCCGCTATACTACAGGATCTCACGACAGGAGGCGCCATCCATGGCTGCCCGCCAGTCCTCAGAAACAGGGGCTTTCTTGGTCTCTAAGAAAACACATTTGCTACCACTCCTATTGGCTGCCTACTACAATTTCTACGGCCCGTCTCACTACTTCCGCTTGTTAACTCAAGGCGGTCCTGGTGAGGGCGATAAGGAAACCTTTATCCAAGCCGCTTCAGCACTTGGTGCACCTTTCTACACTGTCAGTGAGAGGGTCCAAGCTATCGGACACGCCACTGCAGATGGCCTGTCTGGATCAGCCATGGCGCAGTCAGATCCCCGCGAGGACTATGCCTTGACGCAACAAGACAAGTGGCGTGTAAAGGACCAGGCTGTGGCCCAGGCACCACACATTTTCTGGATCCACGCAAACTACCCGAAGTTCAATCCTGGAGACCGGATCTTCGGTATGGGATGGGAAACAACCCCCACGCTGAAAGAAGATGGTTCGGATGGACGAGCCTGGACCGCACCCGCGGAAACCGTTGGGAGATTCGGATACGATGTCGAAAAGGCATACTGGGAGGAAATCAAATGGGTCAGCTGTAATCTGGAGACGGCCTTCAAAACATGGGAGAACAAAGTGGGCCTGTGCGAGCGAGTCGAGGAGTATTGGGGCCACGTCTTTGCTGGACCGCATGACGATGATCCCAAGTTTACTCTGGATGGCTGACGGCTGACCTTGGATCTACTGCGCCCATACTCTGCGCTTTTGGCCGCTTTCTGGTCTTTCAGCTTCTTTCCCGCCCCGGAGTCGGGTTACTGTGGCTTGGACACATGTCCTGCATTATACCACACCTCAACTCCACCACCGGAGAACCAGACCACAAATGTCACCTAGACTGACTACTGTGTACTGGTCCCGCAATGGAGACCAACAAAGTCGTGTCTGGCACACGATTAGTGGAGGCTTTTATTACACAAGGCCCTCATTTGGCTAACCATCTCCCCCAAATAGAGCTATGACGTTGTGCCAGCCATGTACAGCATCGACCAAATATTTTTTGAGGCCTGCGCAAAACCAATTTGTCCCAGCTACTACACACATGTTACGCAAGACACACATAATGTTTCTTCAATGTATTTATTCAATGGTCACACTCAATAAATGAGGAACGTCATATCATAGGACATAAGTTGAGTCCTTTCACACCCCAACTTTGGTATACTCTTTATGATGTAAACCATCGTTTTCAACCCCACTATAATTTAAGACACTCGAAAATGGGCAAAAAAGAGACGAAAAAAGAGAGGCCAAAGTAGGGCAAAATTAATGTATAAAATGCCATACTCACTTCGTGACTTTTGTGTGGTGTACTGTTTAAAACTTCACTCAGATATCATTATATCGTACATAAATGCAACAACATCCATCCCCACCAACCCAAAAAAGGTTGCTATTTACTATATCATAACCTCGTAACATAATTTAGTGCTTGATGCCCTTCTCACGAAGGCGCTGCTCATCGTCAGCCTGGAGCTCGGCATCAACCTGGGCACCCTTGGAGGGAGCGTTGCCGTGGACCTTGGCCTAGAAGAATCAATCCGGTTAGGAATTGCAAGTGACGGAATGAGGAAGAGTATATGATGCGGCGTCACTTACGGGCTTGGTAGGATCTTGCTTGCTAAGCTCGGCTTCCTGGTTCTGGACGTCGTTGTGGTGGTGCGAAGGGTCTTTCTTGTGCTCCTGGGAAGCGAGCTTGTTGGCGATGGAACGGCCATCCTTGGAGTCGAGGTTCTGGTGGCTGTGTGTTTGGCCTTCCGCGTAGCGGGCGCGCTCCTGGAGCTCGGAGACGGGCTCGTTGCGCTGGTCACCGGCTTCATAGACGGTACGGTTTCCGACGGAGGATTGGCCTGACATTTTGGATTGAATGTATAGAATGAGTTTTGGAAACGGGGATAGGAAAGGTTGTGTTTTGTTGGATTATAGAGAAGAGTGTTGAGGGGGTTTTCAGCTGTAATTGATGGGAATTCAAAGTCTGAAGCTCGACCCTTGGTCTTATAGTTGAGATTGTACTTGTGATGTCATGCTGGAGTCACTGAGATCATAGTGGGGCATTAACCAGGTTGGAGGGCGATGACAACAGCTTCAACCCTGCGATTTCTGATCGCATGTGCTCTGGACCCTTCGTTGCTTTTCTCTTTGCATCACTGCAATCAAGGAAGTTGCTTAGTGACATCGTTCAATTCGTGTGGAGACCAAGAGCTCCCTCCACTTCCTAGTTTTCTTCCTAGGTTTCTTCTGACGTTGATGCTTGTACCTGGAAATCTGGTGCCCTGTCATTGAATTACAGCACGGAGATTTGATCCAGTTCATAGAGGTAATTGATATTCCATATTATGGTTTTGTGTACTTTTGGCTTTCGATCGGAAGTCAATCATCACGATGGTGCAGCATACCATCGAATATGCTTGGCACTGCAACGAGAAACTAAGGTGCACGTCTGCATGGTTATCTTGCTTATTATTGACCAAAGTCTAGGTTGAAGTACAGTTAGCCACGATTTTAGACATGTCTGTTCGCACCCATGAAAGATAATTCCTACATACCTCGGATAATAGTGAGGCCGGGCATCAGTTACCTCCCGCCAATATGGCCATCAACCCTACATTTCTGGCGCATGTCGATGTGGGTAGGTGAGCTGGTCATTCCGAGCAGTATTATAAATGCAACGAATTGCAATCTTCAGTATCTCTGTGTGTTAGGAAAGCGTGTAATGAATCGATGATACTATGTCCAAGATATATTCTGTAGAACTATACCTTATTTCACTGTCGCATCGTCACTGATAGTCCATTCGCCGCAAAAACTTACGCTAATATATCTATATACAGTAGAAAGAAAGATAATGTTATAACTTGATTGACGAAAGTTCTACAGTATAGTGTGATTCGCATTACACGCAGTTTGGGATGACCATACCAACTCGCTTACCGCACATGTCATATTCTACCAAAGGAATGACCTTTGTTATACTGTAGGTTTACAGCAAGATCCAAGCACAGTATTAATTGGCAATTGACATTGACCTAACCATCATTGACCTAATCATCCAATTGCAAAGGATAGCTGGCCCAACCTGTCAACCACTTGTTCTTCTTCCCGGCGGACCAGAGGTCAGAAAGAACAGGTTTATCTCGCTTCTCAAGAGAGCTGGGTGCATAATAGCAACGTGCTTTCTTCATATCGTTGCTTCCCTCTTGCCATTTTCTACAACGGCGGGTATGTCGACATCGGTAAGGTTATAGCGTATCACCAGGAATGATCGTGAGGACCGTTTCGCGAAACTGAAATCCAAGTGATGACCAAAAGTCCACTATACGTAGGCTGGCAGAAGGCGGGAGCTTTGAGTTGAAAATGTCAGCCTCCAAATCCCACGAGCAAGCGTCTTATCTATGGAGAAGTTCACCACTCCCTTTCGAAGCGTAGGCTCACCAGCCCCACTAAGAAACCCCAGTGGCCGAGGTTCGATATAAAGATCTAGCACAAGGATTTGGAGGTCCATGAAGCCTCCGAAAGCCTTGTAGAGTTCACATTCTGCTCGACTGCCCACTGATCGTCGAACTTGAAGACGAAATTCTTCTAGGCGGGGACAGGACTCAGCCAGTTCGGTGATCTCGGAGAGCTGAGCCTGTTAAAGTATTTGCTAGATGTGCCCTATGGACAGCATAGGTTAAATCGAATACTGTCAATTCCTAGTGTGTTTGTTGCAATAGAAACTTTCATTTTCTTTATACTTGCGATGTGCAGGCGGTGAACCGTGGAAGCTCAGATCTCTGACGTAGTCACCGCTATTTCATAACCTCGAATCGTTCAATTCCTATAGAGTAACATATCGCTCATTGCTTGAAAGGCAAGGGGCTCGAGGATTGTATAAATCTGCGTCGTCCAACATGCCTTGAACACGTACCTGTAGCGACCCACTCCAGCCATCGGAGAGAAATGCGTGATTGAGTGATATCAACCTCCCAGACCATGTTCGCGCGTATACCACTCCGAGCGAGCCGAACACTAAGGCATACAACAACCTGCACAATTCCACAGACCTACCAACCATACAAAATTGCTACGATGAGCACCTCAACCGCGCCAGCAGCACCTACAAGCACAACAGAAGTGCAACCCCGCTTCTCCGCGCTCTTCACCGAGCTCGAGAACCGGTTCAAAGCAACAAACCTCGGCAGCGATAAGTGGTACATCCTAGCAATTTCCACTCTAGCCGCAAGCCCAGACCCAGAGCGCGCAGACCAGCTCTACCTCCACCTCATCCAGCAAGACCAATACACCACCTCCGCAGCCCGACAAGCCCTGATCCGGCGATTGCGCGAAGCACTCGTCAAATCCGTCCCAATTGTCGGAGTTTGCAAGCCCATTGAGGCAATCCTATCCGTCGCCGAGGTTGAGCGCGACGAGGATAAGGATTATACCTTCACGCGTGAAGGCTGGCAATGTGACCAGGCGAACCATGAGCGTGGCACGGGGTGGATGCAGAAGCTATATTCGCGGAATACAACTGACACGCTAGATTTGTTTAGTGCTCACCGGGACTTTTCTTGGTTGTCGAAGGAGATTACTTATGGGTTGTTTTTGTCGGATCGGATGGTTCTTGATGATTTGGATACGCAGTTGGTTGTTTTGCCTGGTATTATGAGTCAGAACTTGCCTAAGGAGACACATTGGCATATTCGTGGGACTAGACGGATTGGGGTGCCAAAGGAGGAGGTCGAGGTCATTTGGGATTGTGTGCAGCTTGTTGCGCAGTTCTTTGATGTTAAGCTTCATAAGGTGCCCACTGTTGAGGCTGTTGAGCATGATGTTTAATCTCACTTTATTAGATCCAGATTTGATTAGATACGGTGGTTATGTGGAGAGGAACTTGTGTTTTAAAGACTTGGTACTTATTCAACGAATGAGGTCTATAAAGCATCAACAGCCCTGGTACTTGGAGTACTTGTAGAACTCATATCCCGTGTTTACTTTGCCTGCTGATAGGCTGCAAGGATACTAGACTATTGCATGAGCCGTAATTCAGGTCGGATTTGCTTCGCTTCCAACCTATTCTCATAATTTAATGTGGTATGCGAACTTCCATTCCATTCCACCCATTTTTGCCTTCTCCCAAAATACCAAGTCTGTTCTCGTGGTAGCTTGTGAGGCATGTGTGTGAGTTGAGTCCAGATAGTCTACTTTCGACAGGCACGGAGCTAAGAACTAATCAACTGCATTCTCTCTATGGTAAAGGGGACGGACGCACTGGGTGAGACAGAGACCAAAGTACACCTCGCCGCTAAAGCTCCGGTGCGTAATGGCAATCGCAGGATAAACAGGTGGTTGAAATGCTTCCGAGACCGTCCTATCAAGACAAATGGCTAGCAGGACGCCGAGATTCACCAATCTGGGTCGGTTAGCTCTTGCTCGCTAAGTAATATTGAGTTGTTAGCTTTCTGCTTGACTTTCAGAAACTCAAAGGAGATAGACCGATAGACCGAGACGGGCGTCTAAACAGAGCCAAATAGGAAACAGGGCTTCATACAAAGCCTAGAAATGAGATCATAAGACTTACAGCTGTCGTGCAGCCTCTGCGTCCTCTGCGAGGCAGCGCAGGGCTCTTGCGTGGACCCGTAGATGCACTGCGCGTGGAATGAAGTTCTCCCCGCAATAAGCGCCATGAGTGCGATGACCCGGGCTGTAGCAATCTCAATGGGATCTGTCATCAAAGTATGATGGCTTTGCCAACACGGGCTTCTGCCAAGTGGCAGCAGCATCAGCCTCGGCGACGCTGATTGAATCTTATCGTGGAAGCTGGCATTTTGATGCCCTGAACCAGTACGAGCGTTTCAATTCTCGTCCGGCATTGGCCCGGATTTTGTCACGCCGCTCTTGCCTCCTAAGAGCTCCAAGTCGCAGCAAAATGTCGTAATACACATTGTAGTTTTGAATACATTGGGCTCGATTGTCCTCGGTGATATAGGGATCTGGTTGACTTGGGAGGTCACTGACGCGATGTCCATAAGCCGTGGGTCTGCGCCATACATCAGCAGCCATCCTCCCTCATTTTCGCCGATATACAGAGCCTCGTAGTCTTCCATTTTGAAGATTAAACGTGTTGTTTTTGAGGCGTAGTCCGGGAAATCTCCTTCAGGATCGACAATTAGGTCAGGGATGACGGACTTATCAATTTCTCGGCTTTGTAAGGTTTGAGGTCTAGATCTTCGGAGCGTTCAGATTCGCTACTGCTAGGCGGGGAAGGTGTCCATTTATCGTCGTCATCTGCGGACCGAGCAGCCAATTTTGTCTAGTGAGCGAAGATTTCTGCTTAAGCCTTTCGACCGGGTCTCCCCCGGCTCTCTTTGTCCGACGTTGACTCTCTTTAGCCAACGCGTCCATAGCGTCATTGATAGTTTTCTAGCTCTGGCAAGGGTCCGTTATATGTCAAAAATTATATAACCATACCCTTTTTCTCAAGAATAAAAGGCCTTGATCTTCATATATAGCCTTCAGTATGATCAAAGAATCATCACTCACGGATGATGATTTGGTAGGGAGGGAAAGAGAGTACTTAGCTCAGCTTTGATGCGGCCGTCTAGCTATATATAAGGGAATCAACGTAAGGGAATCAACGCAAATTATACCAGCAGGCCAAAGCATATACAGAGCAAACAGACCTACAGTCAAGCCATTTCGTACCACCCTTTGAACAAGAACTTCATAGACCCCCAAGCTCTAGAGTAACTATACAGACATATTTAGGGTTGTGGCAGATAAGGGCCGATAAGGAAAAAGTTCGCAAGCGGCCGAGCGCGGGGCGAGCAACTTCGAACCTCACCTTTACCCAACCGCAGAGGATTATTCAATATGGTTAAACGGAAAGATCTCGGTGATGTCCCTATGGGCGGCACCCAGCCCGAGGGCGACGATTCCGACGAGGTCAGACTGGCTAGATCCCACTGGATCTCGAGCATTGCTAACAGGACTGACGACGACAGGATATTGACATGGTCAATGTAGACTTCGAATGGTTCGACCCACAGCCAGCTGTCGATTTCCACGGCCTGAAGAATCTCTTGCGCCAACTGTTCGACAATGACGCCCAGATCTTCGATATGTCCGCGTTAGCGGATTTGATCCTCTCACAGCCTACACTGGGATCGACGGTCAAGGTCGACGGAAACGAATCGGATCCCTATGCCTTCCTGTCGGTTCTCAACCTACAGGAACACAAGGTACGCAAATCGCCTCACTTTTACAACCTCATGCATACTGACAATCGCAGGATAAACCCGTTATCCAAGACCTCATCAAATACCTCAAGACCAAGACTGCCGCCAACCCGTCCCTGTCAGCCGCCAACGAGCTCCTCTCTCAAAATCCCGTCCCTCCCATCGGGCTCATTCTGACCGAGCGCCTGATCAACATGCCTTCCGAGACCGTCCCGCCCATGTACAACATGCTCCAGGAAGAGATCGCCTGGGCGGTTGAGGATAAGGAGCCCTACTCTTTCTCGCACTACCTGATCCTCTCCAAGAACTACGAAGAAATCGAGTCAAAGCTTGACCAAGAGGAGTCCCGGCCGCAGAAGAAAAAGAAGAAGGATGGCGAGAAGTCCGAGCGCTTCTTCTTCCACCCCGAGGATGAGATCCTGGAGCGTCATGCGCTCTGCTCCGGCTCTATTGAGTACACTCACAAGTTTGATGAGGGACACTCTGACTCCAAGCGTGCATTCCAGGAGCTTGGTATCCGTACTAATGGTAGCTTGATGCTCATCGAGGCGGCCAAGTTCGAGCCTATGGTCAAGGCTGTTACTGAGTACCTGTCTTAGACAACATCATGACCTTTTAGTGTCATAACTTTTATGTCCGGTTTATGAAAATATATTTTGTGCTAGAGTTCTCTTGCACTTTTGAGTTGTCTATCTCGGTTTTGGCATGGCGTACTGCCGGCCACATGATCTTCGTAACTATGGAAACCCTAAGGAAAATATCGACATCGTAACTTCATGATCAGTCCCCCCTTACTCCCACTGTGTTCCCTTGAGACGCTGCATGAGGTACTCGACTTCAACAACCTTGGTCAATGGGATAACACATTCCTATAAAAGCACCAGTCAGCAATCCATCCATATGAAGAGGAACACATAAGACTCTCACCTTGTACATAGCAACAACAGCATCACTGTTAATCTTCTGATCCTTCTCATCAGGGAAAGCAGGATCAGTGCCATAAGTCTTAGCCTTCAGCCCAAGACGCTCAAGGACCTTCAACTCAACAGCCGAATTGGTAATAGCAGCATCAATACCGGCCCTGTCCCCAGCCTTAATCAGGCGCACAAAAGTCTCCGGATCCTTCTGGAACTTTGACTCGGCAACGAACTTTCCAAAATGAATCCGACGCGACAGCGCCTGCAAACAGGAAACGTCGCAGGTTGCAGCCGAGCCGTAGTTCTCCTGCGTCTCACCACGGTCCTCACGTCCGTACTTTGGGCAGACTGCGGGCAGGATCTCGTCGATGTAGCGCTTCTTGATGATGTCGTTGACGCACACATCGTTGTCGTGCAGGATGTGCGGGTACTCCAGGGGCTGCAGGATGGGTTCTTCCAGCACGTCTGGGAAGAAGGCGTATTCGTCTGGGGATTGGTAGCGGCGCACGCGCGACTGTAGCCGTTCTTGTTCGCGGAGCAGGTAGTCTAGCAGGCTGAACTCGCTGTTGGGGATCTTCACGCCGCCAGGGACGTAGACGGTCTTGTTGACTGGAAATTGTACCCGCTCGATCAGGTGGAAGGTGATTGTGTCTTCCAGTCGGCTAGGAGCTGGAGTGTTAGCAGACTGCTCTGTGGTAATCTTATATTGGAGGGATCGGTTTATGCATGGTGGGGCGCGGGGAAGATCTAAGGGAGGTTCAGATCCAATGAGGCAGTGGAAGTGGAAGCTCACATCAGCTGGAAACGAATGTTGGCAAGGTCCAATGCCTTGGAGGCATCGGAGAGATCAATGGCGGTATCCATGGCTGGGTTTGGTGGGTTGGAAAAGGAGAGTCGATCTGCGGGACTGCGAAGTTTAGTACGGAGTCCACTCGTTGAGCCCCTTATATAATTCGCATCTTAGAGCCCTGGAGGATGACTGTCTGTGCAACATGTTCAGTATGCATCCTGCAGGGCCCGATCAAACAAGCCATAAGTACATGTAGCGAATAAAGTTCAGTGTTGGTTGATCTATCTAGTAGATCTATTCGATCTGGTACTGGACGGTACGAGGCCGAGGCATATCGATGTGGGCACACCACAATCGACGAACCGAGGCCAATTGTAGCTGAAGGTCCTTGCAGGGATTGCAATAGTGTCACTCATCCCTCGTCGGTAGGGTTTGCACAGTCGAAATCAACCGAAGCAGCTGGTTTCAGACCGTAAAAGTACCATACGGCAGTACCCGGGGAACGCGGTAACCCGCGCGAGCCTCCAAGTCTCCTGCTCATCACCAACCCAACCTCCCTCCCCCAAATCGCATGGGTCTTGGAGCCCAACTACTCTATGGAGAACCAGCGCCGCGACGACTCGCCGTCGGGCCTGTCAGATATCGCCGAGGGCGACGGCATTCTGGGCACCGGAGTGACGGTAGGCTTTTCCCCTGCCCTTCGACCACATCCCCCACCAAAGCTGCAGGCTGACTAGGGATATGCCATTGCAGACTCGTCATATTGAAGCATTCGGACGAAAGGTCACCACAACGGCAGGACACTTGATGGGACCGAGCGAACAGAACAACACTCACTTTCACAATGCCATGAATGACATTCACCGCGAGCTGCGGCGACCAGCGGCGCAACGCAAGGTGTTTTCCCTAACACAAACAACTCCGACCGACCTTGTTCGATCGAAGCTTTCGACTAGCGAGATCCAGTCGCGTGCTCTCTCCTCCCTCCCGGACGACCTTCTCGCCAACATCCCCGAAGATAGCAGCTCCTACTCCCTTTTCCAAGGCTTCCAGGCCTCTGTTCCCGAAGATGAACCCGAGAAAAAGCGACACCGGAGGCGTAGCTCTAAAATGCTAAAGGACAGCGAGAGAGGCGGCGCCTTGACAGCTGGCCCGGCCGGGTTGAAGGACCAGCGGAAATCGCTCAGTCGCAAGCTGGACTTGATGGGTATTCGCAAGAATATGTGCAGCGCGGAGATTCATGAGATCGATAACAAGGTCGCTAATTTGCACAAGATGCGCAAGATTGTCCTTGATCGATTGGCCGGCCTAGAAATGGACGAAGCCGCATTGGAGCATGAACGTGGGTCAACCTATGGATGCTCAACCGTGAGAGTAATGAATCTGACTTCATTGGTATAGTGACCGAACTCGACGTGAAGCTCGAGGATTTCCAAGAAGAGGAATCCCAGGACACACCAGTTGCAGCGACGCCGCAGTCTGAAGACCTGGAATCTACTGGGTCATCAGGCGATCCGGCCATGGAAGCTTCGTTTATGTCAGAGTCGATATATGACAAGTTGCCCTCACCTTCACCAAAGAGCCTACGGCACCGATCACAACGTATGCAACTTTATTATGCTCTGGGCGCGAATTGCAGCTGACAGGTCTTAGGGAAACGGTCTATGCCCATTCTACACGAACACTTTGCTCCAGGGTCTTTAATCAAGGAAATAGAAGCACATACTGATATGGTGACCGCCATCGACTTCGACTATCCTTTCGGTACAATGGTCAGCGCCGCGCTAGATGACACCGTCCGAGTTTGGGATATGAACGTCGGCCGATGCTCCGGTTTCTTGGAAGGACACCACGCCTCGGTTCGATGCTTGCAGGTAGAGGATAATATCGTCGCAACGGGATCGATGGATGCGTCAGTCAAGCTGTGGGATCTGAGCCGTGCTCGGCCCACGACGCGGGACGGGCGTCTCAACAAGCACGAGCGTGATCAAGAAGGACACATTTCTCCGGTACCGCCATCCTCCAACCTCGAGGACTGCAACGTTTTCTCACTAGAGGCACACGTGGACGAGGTGACTGCACTTCACTTCCGCGGCAATACTCTCATTTCGGGTTCTGCGGATAAAACCCTTCGACAGTGGGATCTGGTCAAAGGACGTTGCGTACAAACACTGGATGTCTTGTGGGCGGCAGCTCAGGCATCTTCGACGATGTCAGGAGAGTCTGACTGGCGACCATCGGGCCGCATGCCCGATGCGTCTGCCGACTTTGTCGGCGCAATACAGTGCTTTGACGCTGCGCTAGCATGCGGTACAGCTGATGGGATGGTCCGTCTCTGGGATTTGCGCAGTGGACATGTCCACCGCAGTCTTGTAGGCCATACCGGACCAGTAACATGTCTTCAATTTGACGATATGCATCTGATCACGGGCAGTCTTGACCGTAGTATTCGAGTAAGCTCTCATGGGTTCGCACTCTTTGTTTTATTTCTGACTGTTTTATAGATTTGGGACCTGCGCATGGGCTCAATCTACGACGCTTATGCCTACGACAAGCCCGTTACCAGCATGATGTTCGACTCAAAACGCATTGTAGCCGCCGCCGGAGAGAACGTGGTCAAGGTCTACGACAAGGCCGATGGCAACCACTGGGACTGCGGTCCTGGTGTCGGCATCGAAGATGATGGGCCATTCCCCGCGACTGTCGAGCGAGTTCGTCTTAAGGACGGCTACCTCGTGGAGGGTCGCAAAGACGGCACAATGGCTGCTTGGACGTGCTAACGCGTGATATGCCATGTAGTGGTCGTATACCTGCTTGGGCCTCCTCTTCCTTGTACTTGCTTTCGCCCCTTACCCTTCGCGACCGTGTATAGTATCCATCCCCCTGTGTCTTAGTAGCGACGGGGCGTATCTGGAGTGGCAGGACCATGACGTTGGTTACTCTGTATACAGCATGAACATGTTCATGGACTTCTTTCATATCCGAACCACTGATCTCAATAAGTAAGGGCTTGTTCCAGACTGTAGTAGCATGATACAAGTCAGTATCGGACCCTTCAATGTAGTTCGAGGCGTCTCTCGAGTAACAAAGAGCTCTGTCACAAAGAAGAAACGAGACCCCGCCTACCAGTGCATCTAATAAAAGAACAGTTTTACATACAAAGGGATGGCATGTTCCATCTGGCAAATGTGCTGCAGTACAAAAACGTCCAGCCCGGCGTCGAGTTGGGGATTCTTCATCGGCGATCTTTCACGCTCCACCCCTACCCTTTTCTTCTTCACCTCCCTTCCACCCCGGATTTCGATCACATCCAGACAGGTCATCGCTGCAGAATATTGAGCTAGCTTAAGCAGCTACCTCTCAGCTCATCTTCTCTCCTTGGGGTTGTCAGCTCTGGTCCGTCGCAAGTCACGTTCCGTCGCGTCTGCGCGTCTTGCAGGACCCGCGATCTACAAACCTCCGACTTCTACACTGCGCCGGCCTGAGTTTCCTCTGTTTATGCTAGCTTCCTGGTGAGTTAGGACAATTTCTTGATTTTTCTTTGACTCTACTTTGGTCCCTCTGCAGCCATTGGTCCCGGTGCGACTACGTATCCACGTCGCATTTGTTGTCCGCATCGATGCGCTGATTTGAGTCTATGGCTTTGTCTATGAGATGAGACTCTGGATGCAATACGCAATGGAATGAACCCTTTTTGTCATCTGCAATTGCACCAATTCTTCAGCCTCTATAGCCCTGTCATGGCCACCTCTTCCCCGCAGCCTACTCGAGGTATTGGGATCTCATGGCTACCCCGTATCTCTCACCCGTGATACTTTGTGTTTGCTTACCTTTCCAATCAAAGCTAACATATACTGACAGATACTGACGATACAACCCAGGACCGAACCGTTATCCTTCGAATCGGATCACGGTTACATGAGCAAATGACACCGAAACGCGCCACGCGCAAGGCTGATGGAGCTCCTCAGCGGCGAGTCCCCGAGTTCCCTGAGGCATACCTTGACACAGCACCTGAACAATACCTGCCTAGTATCCCAGTCGGGCAATCGTGGAACTATGGTGCCCCTACTACAACAAGTATGCCTCGGCATAACGTGGTGCAGGCCAATATAGGGATTAAGGATTTGGCGGCAACAGTTGATGTCAATGTCGAGAAGGCCCAGGTGCGAGCGAAAAAGGCTGCCCCAAAAAACGCCCCGAAAGCTGCCCCGAAACCCAAGGCGACTCCGCGCGCGAAGGCTCCAAAGCGTGCGCCAACACCCGATCAAACCCAGCTTCAAGATGCCCTGCAGCATGCTACCATGTCACCCACAGGGTCTGACAAGACTCCCACACCTCCTGTTAAGCGTGCGGTCTCTTCAGAACCCAGTCCCGATGTCGAACCTCCAATGCAGCGCCGTCTATCTCAGCTATCAAATCCAAATTCTCCACTCTATCCATCACCGATGCATCGGGCTGGGTCTCCTTATCACGATGATCCAAGGCGTAGCTCGCTTGATCGCCACAGCTCCGTCGACAATGCTTCCGAGCGATCTTGGAATCTGGAACGTGATATCAATGAGGACGAATTACAAAGGACGAGACCAGGATACCGTGGCGAGAACATCACAGCCCCGCCTCGACGCCCTTCTGGTCTGTACATTGTTCCCGAGGAAGACGAGGACCTATCGGAGCGTGGATCTGTGGCCGGGTCTTTCAAGTCCGAAGCTGATGCCTGGACTGCTCCCGCGCGAACAGTCATCCCGGGATATATTCGCTCGGCGTCTGTCGCGAGTAGTCAGTCCCTGATTGAACTCAAGGAAAGTGTACTACGTCGATGGAGAAGTTATTTTGAGGACCTTGCGGGATACCGAATCAATTGGAATCGAGCAATGAGTGTTTTACTTTTTGCTGTGGGCCTTGTATTCGTTTTCTCAAGCGATCTCCCAGGAAAGCTTCAGTCACGCCTGTTTCCCGGGGATGACATCCTGTATTACTCTGGCAATATGTCTGACCCTACAGTTATCAATGGCCTCCGGAGCCAGGTATCAAGAATGAACTCCGAGATGTCATCGCTATCAAGCGAGATGAACTCTGTTCGATCGGAGCATTCTAAATACCGCAACGCTGTTCCCACATACATCACGGACTCCAGTCCGCATCGAAATCCAGTTCATCATGTCAATTTCCTGGCGTTATCAACCGGAACCCTTATCGACCCGTTCAACACCTCCCCAACCTATGGTAGCAGGGCGCACTGGGCTATGAGGCCATGGAATTGGGTGAAGTCCTTCACTCCCATCTACACAGAATTACGAACTCCACAGCCTCCAAGAGCTGCCCTCTCTGCTTGGGAAGACGCGGGTGACTGCTGGTGCAGCCCCATCCAGAACGGAACCCAACTATCTGTCTTGCTTGGCCACAAAATTGTTCCAGAGTCACTCGTTGTTGAACACATACCAGCGGGCGCATCTCTCGACATCAAGGCCGCACCGCGAGAGATAGAGGTGTGGGCTCGATATGAAATAAGCTCTGCCAGGCCACCGATTGAGGAACCAACGCCCAAGGCTACCGGAATGCTACCTCGCTTTTGGGCCAATGTTGCCCCTGCAAATGGTCCATTGCCACCACTGCCGACCGAACCTCCTTCTTCCCGCGACCAAAGCGTCGGTAGCTTGGGGCTTTCAGGACTCGGCTCACTCCACGAGTTGCTCATGGAATCTATTGGTCGTAGCGATCCCAAAGAGCACCCAAGCGCCTACTCTGACGACCCAAGGCTCGGGCCAAATTACTACCGCATTGGCAAAATGAGATACGACATCCACAGCGACCAATATACCCAGTCATTCCCCATCCAGACAGTCATCGACATTCAAGGCATCCGCGTGGACAAGATTGTGTTCCGCGTAGCTTCGAATTGGGGAGCAGACCACACCTGCATCTACCGACTCAAATTACACGGGCACCAATAAGCTCAGCGGATAATTTGCTTCTATTATGATTCTCATTCTTACACTTCTCTCTCATGTCTTTCTTCCCAAAGCGAATGGCTCTTTCTGACCGATCTGGAGTTTGAAAATGTGCTTTGCGATGATACCTTGCATAGCTGCGGTGGTGTTTCAGGTGTTTCTTTCTTGGATTAATGCTTCTTTCTTCTTTCTATTTATCCCTTAGAGCCATATCATATGATAGCCATGAGTTTATGCAAGCCCAGCACGAGCGCAGCGCTCTTCCAGCCAATATATCCGTTCCCTCGTAGCCGCCTTGAACTCTGTGACAGCACATACATGCAGATTGGGGCCAACCGGGCTGAGGCTGTGTGACTGTGACTGCGGCAAGGTACCTTTGTTTAGTTTAAAGATTGCTATATCTTGACGCGACAAGAGTACTCTCAATCTAATCACTTCTCCCAAAACGATTCAAAATGGGGGCTACCCAGAAAGGCCATCATTATGTGAGACTTCACGCTAAATGGGCCAACGGTCGCGAGAGACCAACGGTACAGGAAGCAGAAGCACGCATCCACGAAATCTACGACTCCGGCAAGGCATTCTTTACAAAAAAGGCCATCAGCAATCTTTGGGCGCAGTGCCAACGCAACCCCCAACACGGCGACAAACTCACCACCACAGATCTGAACGGCGACGATGTCGAAATCGAGACTCAGACCGGGCGAGTTAAAGAATTTCTCAACGAAAAGGACGTGAAAGGGGCATATGTATAGTACGGCAATTCAATCCAGTCTATCCTACCTAGCTCCCCTCCATAATCGACACCGCAACTAACTATCTCCAGCAAAGAACTCGAGCTAAGTTACGTACCGCGAGCATTAATGCTCAGCCACCTCAGATGGAGCGAATATGTAAACGAACAGATCTACTGCTCTCTGGGCGTCGACCAGCGGACACATCTCATTGACATAGAGACAAAGGAGATGCTCCCTCCATACCCGACCCTCGAGCCGGAGATTGTAGCGCAACATTTCGAAACATGCATGCAAGAGTGGAAAGATAGTCAGACATGTACCGACGTGCAGAAGTTGTTGTCGTCGTTTGCAAAAGATCATCGGATCAACAAGATTGTCGGGTTTGCTCTTGGTTCGATGTCCTACATAAATCAAGGTCGGGGCGATAAAGAACCTTACTACTGCAAGCGGAGTGCATCGCAGCATGCACTCCAACTCACTATCAAGGAATGGTTGCATGGACGAGATGGGGGAACGGCTGGGGGTATCGCGTCTTACGTGCAGGATCCATGGTATACTACGATCGATAAGGAGATATTGCACAACGCTGGACTCGAGGTAATTGATGATCCGCGTGGTTGGCTGGAGGTGGATGAGCAGTCTGTTGTGCTTTCCATTGCGCCTAATGTGGCTACCAAGGAGATCATTGCGGATCTTGCTCGGCCGGCAATTGTCATTTGGTGTCGTGTCACCGATCTGAATCATATCACTAAGGAGGAGGGGAGCGTGTGAGTATTGTCTGTGCTGTGTTCTTTCTGTTTGTTTTTTTTTTTTGACAGTTTTATGAATCTAGGACTGATCCTGACTCGCCTCGGGTGAGGAAAATGCTCGAGGGGTATGATATTCACGAGTTTGGGCCGGATACGACGCTATTCTCGGACATTGCGGTTTATATTCGGAAGTCGGCGGTTTGTGACAGTTTCAGTTAAGATGAAAAGGAAAGGGAAATTCAATTGAAGTCGTGGTTTTGAACTTGAGTGCCTGGGTAAATAGGTGTCAGACAAAAAAGTTATCGTTAGCTATACCATTCGTTGACCTATCGCCGTGGATGTGGCCATGAAGGTCAGCAGGGATGACGGTGAGAATATGAGAAAATCTACTGCCTAGTTCGTATCCATGCAGCGCAGGGGCCTGCGAGACAAATGATGCAGGCGGAATAGTAGAAAGTGATATAGGGAGAGAGAAGCTATATGTTCTCACCCCGGTCCCCCCCAGTTCCCCCACCAAGGCGGAAGACCAACTCGGGACCTTCACCTCTGGTCACGCGCCTTTTCGTGCAGCCATCCTCGTACCAACCTCCAATGGCCTCCGAGAGAGCAATCGATCGGGAAGAGCGACTGGGCCTGGTGAGTGTCTCATTTTAACCTTGCTTTTTCCCTGAACCTCCGGGGCTTACATCCAGATCTCGACTAACACCTTAACACCTTACAGCGTGCCATTCGCAACTTCCTCAAAGCCCGCAATAGTTACGATGTGCTGCCCCTCAGCTTCCGACTCATCATCTTCGATACCTCGCTCTCCGTCAAGGAGAGTCTCAACATCCTGATCCAGAATGGCACGTCCTTGAACCCCTCCCTCTCCACACCCGCCTCTACATCCCTCTCTATCCTCGAGAATCCCATTGTCCGCGCAATGGTCGAATCCCCAGGCTAACTCTGACCCGGACGCCGGGCGACACAGGCATCGTCTCAGCACCATTGTGGGACTCGAAGGCGTCCAAGTTCGCTGGACTTCTAACCACATCCGACTACATCAATGTGATCCAATACTATTTCCAGAACCCAGCGGCGCTGGACCAAATCGATCAATTCCGCCTGGACAGTCTGCGAGGTGCGTAGACCCCCAGTCCCAAATCCACCCCTCGTTACAACCTAGGAACCCCGCGGCTTACAAGACCCTACAGAAGTCGAAAAGGCGCTAGGCGTCGCGCCACCAGAGACCATCTCAATCGACCCCGAACGTCCGCTGTACGAAGCGTGTCGGCGCATGCTGGAATCGCGCGCCCGCCGTATCCCCCTTGTCACCAGTGATAGTCAGACCGAGCGGCCCCACGTTCTCAGCGTCATTACGCAATACCGGATCTTGAAATTCGTTGCTGTCAATGTACCTGATACGCAGCAGCTGCGTCGGCCGTTGGGAGAATTGTTGCTTGGTTCGTATGATAATGTTGCTACGGCTTCGATGGATACACCCGTCATTGATGTCATCCATATTCTGGTCGAGCGCAGTATATCCAGCGTACCGATTGTGAATTCGGAGGGTGTCGTGTACAATGTTTTCGAGTCGGTTGATGTGATCACCTTGATTAAGGGTGGTGTTTATGACGATTTGAGTCTGACTGTTGGAGAAGCGCTGAAGAAACGTTCTGCGGTATGTGATATGCGGGATTTTATATGCCGACTTTATACTGACCGTGTACAGGGCTTCCCTGGTATTTACACCTGCTCACTCAATGACGGCCTGGATACTATCTTCGACACTATCCGCAAATCCCGGGTCCACCGTCTTGTCGTTGTGGATGAGCACTTCAAGCTCAAGGGTGTGCTGACCCTGAGTGATATCCTGCACTACATTCTTCTCGAAGGAGAGAACGAAGAAGCATGATCCTACATATCAGCCTTGCATGGTTCCGGCGTTTCTTTAGTTGAGAAATATTCCCACAGACAGGCCCGGCGAGGCCATGTTTGGATTTTGGGCTTTACGAATGTACAGAGGTAATGACATGGTCTCTAAAATGTTTGTCGGAATATAGACTTGAAGATTTGATGAACTTCTTGGACGTTCGTAGACAACGTAGCTTCCCAATGTGCTCCTTCCTCGACGCAGGTCTTACCCATCCTGTTCTCTCCCTAACTTACTTCATCTTCTTCACTTCTCTCGTACCGATTCACGCATACTCACGCAATCATGCGTCGCTTTCGTGCCGTGTTCAGGTCATCCAGATCAGATAATCCAAACCCTAAATCTCGAGCGCAGCGTCGTGCGTCCGATACAGAGCCACTGAAACCCCAGCCAGAGGCGATTTCGCAGGAATCTCGAAGCGATGTCTCGCCATCCAAGCCTGCAAATGCCTTGACTGCAAAGAAACCCACGGAATGCACCACAGTTCCTGTTGGCGAACAGGCTGACGAAACCCAGCCAGTTCCTCTTGAGTTTGAGCATACTCCTCTGCTTGGTCGATCCAAGTTTGGCACAAAAAGACTGAAGAGGATCGTTGCACGCTTGCATTCGAGTCTACCCCACGAGGAGGATCCTGTCTCCGAGACAGTTCAATCTGCTGAAGCCCCGGCTCCCGATAACGTTGAAATCCCAGCTCCTGACAATGGAGACCCAACATCCAATCCTTTTGAACAGGAGGAAGTCCCTCCCGCGCAGGATAGCCCTGGAAAGTCTGTTCGCTTTGATGATAAACCTCAGGTCGTTGGAGATGGTGAGCGGAAGGTCAGCACTCAGACGGTTGAGTCACAGGAGTCGAGCCAGACTGAAGACACTGTCTGTCGACACCCTACTGATGCTGAGCTTATCCCAACCCCGACCCGGCAATCCTTGGATGAGTGGTCATGGCCAGGACTCATGTATTACCCTGAAGATGGCACTCACATTCGTGAGGGATCCGACCCGTTCTCCGATGGGAAGAGCACTGAGCCCCAGCAGGCACATCCATCGTCCTCCAAGCGTCCTGATCGAAGCCGAGAGCATTCGAAGGCCTCTGAGGGTTCCCTTGATCCTATTCTTGAGGATGATGTCGACAAGATTGAGCCTGCTCCGCCTCCTGAGAGGACCAGCTCCATGATCAGCCATCTCAGTTGGATGAGGGAGCCATGTCAGCTTGAACCAAGCAGAGCAACTGTCGCCTTGAATCAGTTGATCACTCGCTTCAGTATCCATATGCCCAAGGTGCTTCCGGAACCTGAAGACAGCCTACGTACGTCCTTTCTTCCCTTGGTGTGAGCTACCACTAACCTCATTTGCTAGAGGGACTGCCTCGCCCCGAGGAACAAGGCAACGGGCGACGGGGTTTCCGATTGATGAGTCGGGTTCGCAAGGTGCGATCTGGGTTAACGGCCGATACAAACCCCCAAACACCTAAGCTGCGACGAACAAAGACTTTTGCAACCCTGCGTCGTCCTGTTCCCATGACTTCGTTGCGAGGACGATCGGTGGAAACTTTGGCTCGTCTTGGAGGACATGCATTTCTTATGTTGGCGGATTTGGCTCCTTTCCCCCTGCAGCTGCCTGCATGCATTGTGGCGACCGTGATATTTCTGCACAGATATGGTTTGTAACTTGCCCTCCTACGTCATGACTTGGCTAACGGGTTCCTGCAGGTGCAAACGTGCCTGGCCTCTTTGTCGATCCTGGTGATTTGAAGGCAGCCACTCACATGTATGACGATTTTGCCTCTCAAGTGCTCTCAGCCGAAAAGGAGGAGGCCAAGATTGCCTTGACCATGCGTGTGGTTGCTATGCCTCAACTTACTCAAGATTCAGCACCGGCGTTGAGTGTGGCATGGACCCTGAAGGCCTTGTTGGCGGGGCTTCACTACGGGATCCTCGGGAGTGTCCGACTGTACCATACTTTGAGCGACATCAACCTTGCTTCCATCCCACAGCACGCTGACAATCTCCATGTGCCCGACTGTCTTGAAGGGTTGGATCCGCGTATTGCGCTCCGTGTGCAGCTTATCGCCCTTGCTGTTATTGCGCTGACGGATGACATGCAGCGCGAGCTTATCTGTGCAGTCTTTGGGCTGCTCACCCGACTTACTCGTGTCGAGATTCCTCCACCCGGGACTGATGTCCGGACAGTGGCGGTAGACCATGGCCTGGAGCGGGTATTTGGACCGCTTCTCCTCGGGACCAGGGGGCAAGAGAACAGAGACGGGGTGCCGGTGCATATGGTGGAACAGGAGATCGAGGAACAACGCGTGGCGGGACTGTTGATCGATCATTGGTATTTTGTGAATCTCCAGCTACGAGAGTGGGCCAAGGGAGACTATCACAGGGAGTAGGCAATCCGTGGACATGGGACAGAGTGAACTATGTATTCTAGAAGCTTCAGGGCTGTATACTTCAACGGGATGGGACCGGCATTGAATCCCGTTGGAGCTCCATTCTTTAGCTTATGCTGTTATCCTGTTATTCTTTAAATACATCTCCACTTGCTCTTTCTTTGTCACACTTCGGATCTGCTGGACGGAAGTCTTGTCCGACCGTGGCTCCTTCCAAGTCAACCGCGGACTCACAACGCTTCAGGCACCGGCCGAACGTGGAAGTGAACAACTCGGTTGCTGGTTTAGGGCTATTCACTTCTGTTAGGGCAAGAAGCCAACCTTGTCCTTCTTCACTCTTCAACACCATCATGTCGAATATCATGAACCTCACTGAATCCCATCTCGCTCCTCTCCCCTTCGCAGGCGACTTCCTAGTCCCAATCCCAGACGAGGAACAACTCTGGGGCCTAAGCCCCATCTCCCCAATGACCGGCTCAACCTGGGACCCCAGCAAAGCCGACTCGGCAGCCTTTACCCATTCCGCCATGGAACGCGATCTCAAAAACGCCCAAGTCCGCAATGGCCAACCAACCCCTCCCCCCTACGACGAACAACAATCCGCCAACCACCTGCCTGTCTCAGCCCTCGACATGGCAATGAGCATGAGCATGGACAGCAGCGCAAGCGCCTCAAAGCGCCGTCGCGTCCGCGAGTACACAGCCGCAGCGGCAAGTCTCAGCCCAGAACTAGATCTAGACGACGGCGGACCAATGGACAGTGCGAAACGAACCAAGTTCCTCGAGCGCAACCGTCTCGCTGCTAGCAAATGTCGTCAAAAGAAGAAAGAACATACCCAGCAGCTGGAGTTCCGCTACAAGCACCAGTCGGAGAAACATCAGTCTCTCATGACGGAGATTGCACGACTGCGTTCGGAGGTCCTAGGGCTGAAGAATGAAGTACTGAAACATTCTCAGTGTGGTGATGAACCTATCAAAATGCATCTCGCGCAGATGCTGAAGAAGATCACTGATGTCGATAGTCAGCCGTCGGCTGTTGCTGCGGTAGGTGCTATGCCGCAGTCGCCTGTGCCTCTGCCGGAGGATTCGTCCATCTCGCCGCTTGAGCCGGCCGCTGCTGTTACCACTGCTGCTATTGCTGCGGCGATTGCTATGCCTGTGTCTATGGCTGCGCAGCCTGGGCAGGCGGCGTTGTCGTTTGGGTTTGACGATCCGTTGCAGTTGGAGCCGGGGGCTGCGGCGGCGGCGGAGGCTTTTGGGCAGCAGATGAGGAGGGATTCGGAGGCTTCGCTTGTCTCGGAAGGTCCGTTTGCTTTTTCTGCGGAGGATACTTTTGATGATTTAATCAATGTGTGAGAGGGTGCCGGCGGAACTCTGTTATGTGTTATGAATATGACTTATGTGGAGGTAATGGGGCAGCAGAGCTGTTGGGTTGAATTGGATGGAATGGGATGGCGTTGTGAGTTTGTTACTCCCAAAATTGTTGATTTTGACTTGCGATCCAGTGTGTGAGCTGGAGGGTGCCTGGAGTTTTCTTTGTTTCATTCGCTTGTGTGGATGGATGTTTACTTTTCTGTGGACTTGGTGTCACGCTTTATTCTGTTCGTTCGTTTCTAGCTGTTTATTGTTGGCGATAGCTGGGCTTTTGCTGGGCCTGTACCTGAAGATATATCTTCTATGAATGACATGACCTCTGATGGGAATGTATTTCCCACAACGTGGTATCTTTATATTCCTATAACAGACTATTAACAAACATTGTATAGATCATAGACAAGTGTCAAATCAAGACCGTCCAGCGGTTGACTCGACATGTGCAGATTGATGCTTGGACTGGACAGACTTAGTATCGATATCAGTCTGCGTATCTTGGTATGCATCAGCATCACCATGGGCAGATCCATCCACTGTAACCCCCTTCCACCCATGCTCGGCATCGGGATCAATCCCATCAAACAAATGGTTAATTTCCTCCAGAGACTTGCCGGCAGTCTCCTTCAGGAAGAAGAATGTAAATATGACAATGAGCACATCCAACAGGCCAAACAGCAGGAATGTCCCCCAGCCAATGCCCGCCTGGATGTACGGCGTCGAGAAACTCCATACGAAGTTAAACAACCACTGCGATCCAACACCAAACGCAACACCCGGCTCCCGAATCCGCGTGGGAAAGATCTCACTCGTGCACGGCCAAGGCAGCGGCCCCCAACTGAAGTTGTAAGCGATGATATCAAGATATATCAACGCAACAGTTGCAATCCCCGAAGATGTAACTGTCCCATCCCCAGGTTGCGGGTAAGCCTTGATGACCGCCGCAGTAGCAATCATACAAACAGCCATAAACGCGGCGCCATTCATAAGCAACGGCCGTCTCCCAAACCGATCCGACAAGAACACCACAAAAACCGCACAAGCCACAACCTTGATCGCACCAAAGATACCGGTAAGCAACAAAGTGCGATCTCCATCCCCAACAAGAATCGCAAAAAACTGCGGTCCAAAATACGCCAACGCAGTCGACCCAGTCGACTGCTGCGCCAGAAACAACCCACCACCAATCAACAACCGATGCATATTCGGCCACTCAAGCAATTCCCTCACCCGGAACCCAGCAGTAGCATGCCTCTCCTCTTCCAATCCCCTCCGCATATCCTCAAACTCACCCACAACCCCCACCCCCTCTCCCGCCCGAATCCAAACAAGACTCCTCCAAGCCTCCTCCTCCCTCCCATTCGCCAACAACCACCTTACACTCTCACCCAGACTCAACACCCCAACCCCCATAAGGAACCCAGGAACAATCTGCAGGCCAATAGGCAACTGCCACTGCCTCGCCGTGGCCGGCATCCCCTTAACCCCATAATCAACCCAATAACTAACAAGAATCCCAATGGTATACGTAAGCTGATAACAACTCCCCAATTGGCCCCGGATCTCCTTGGGACTCATCTCGGACATGTAGATCGGTATCACAGTTGCTGAGCCACCAACGCCTAGTCCGCAGATTACCCGGCCGACATAGAAGGCCGCGAGGGAGTGCGTGTCGATCACTTCGAGGATTACGCCCATGCAGAAGACTGCTGAGCAGATCATCATTGCGGCGCGCCGGCCGAGGGTGTTTGTCAATGGCCAGATTAGGAAGCAGCCTGCGAATGCGCCGGCTTGTTGGATTCCCACTGCTATGGCGCTTATGCTAGTTTTTGGGTGGTGGTGAAGTTGAAGCTCTGTTGGAAGGAGGGGAAGGTTAGGACACCGCCTGTGGGTTGGCTTTAGTTTGTATACTTTTTTTTTGGGCAGGATGGTTGGTTACTTACCTATTACCCCGGAATCATAGCCGAATAGGGCTCCGCCGCAGCAGAGGACTAGGGCTAGCCAGTAGGTGCGCCATCGGGCTTTTGATAAGCGGGAAGCCTCCATTATGGGGCCTTCGAGCTCGGAATTGCTCAATTGAGTGGTTTGAGATTGGTTTGGGTTTTGGGGGAGCTCGCTATAGCTTGATGATGTTGTGGAGGTTGAGATCCACCGGGTATAGAGGTTCGAGCACCAGGTAGAGATGGATGGGAGGATTGGGAATGAGGAGGGGGCAAAGATATAGTTGAATGCATGGCTGGAGTCACATAAACCCTGAATAGCCTTGAAGTGTGTACTCAGGTAGTGTACCTAGGTAGTGTAGGTATGTAGTGTTGACGTTGAAGCTCTCCGGATCTGCAACTGATTATGTCATGACTGCCGATTGCCGACATGCGAATTCGCGTGGGGGGATTGCGCCATCCGAGGGTAACCTCTTCTCTTCCGTTCCTCTACAAGGTTATTTGTTGTTTAGTTGTTGGTGGAGTTGTAGTCCAACTATAAACTAACTTATGCCAGCAAGGAATTCTTATCAGATGTGGAGCCTCCCCGCATTCTTTGCCGATGGCCGACGAGCCACGGACAGCGACAGGGGATGGTCTGATGCTTGTGTTAGAGCTTTGGCTGCTTTGCCGATATAATCATGCGTGCCCCTCGGGATATCTGTGACCCCTCATTCTTTTCTTTCTCTTTCTACCCTCACCTTCCCTGACACCTTTGGAAATGGCACCCAAACGTCCCAATTTTCTGGTCATTGTTGCCGATGACCTGGGCTTCTCCGATGTGGGCTGCTTCGGTGGTGAAATCCGTACACCCAATATCGACAAGATTGCCCAGGAAGGTCTACGGTTTACAGACTTTCATGCCGCGGCAGCATGCTCGTGAGCATCACCTACCCAAGCAAGACTTACAACAAACTGACCATTCTAGTCCCACACGTGCCATGATCATGACAGGTACAGATCACCACATCGCAGGTCTAGGCAACCTGATTGAATGGACCAACATCTCCGGCCAGAACGGACCCAAGGGTTCCGCCATGAGCACCGCCCCGCAGCGTGGTATGCCCGGCTACGAAGGATATCTTAATGAGCGGGTAGTGGCACTCCCGGAGGTGCTGCGTGATGGAGGATACCACACAGTGATGTCTGGAAAATGGCACCTGGGACTAACTCCGGAGCGCTCGCCATACAAGCGCGGTTTTGAGCGATCATTCGCCCATCTACCTGCCTGCTCAAACCACTATGCCTACGAGCCGGAACTGAAGGATAAGGACCAGATTCCTACCTTTATCGAGGCGAGTTACATCGCTCTGCATATGGAGGATGGCGAGTATGTGCGCAAACTCCCCGAGGGCTGGTACTCGTCCGATGGCTATGGTGATAAAATGGTAGATTACCTGAAGGAATGGAAAGAGACCGGTGGAAGTGATGGCCCTGACGGCAATGGAGACCGTCCCTTCTTTGCCTATCTCCCCTTCACGGCGCCGCACTGGCCCCTCCAGGCCCCGCGTGAGTACATAGACCACTATCGCGGTGTTTACGACGAGGGCCCAGACGTACTCCGACAGAAGCGTCTGCAGCGCCTGAAAGAGCTCGGCATGGTGCGCGACGATGTCGAGCCACACCCCGTCCAGGCAGAGGAAGTCAAGTCGTGGGAGGAGTACTCGGCAGACGAGAAGAAGAAGTCCGCAGTAGCGATGGAGGTCTTCGCCGGCATGGTCGAGTGCATTGATTCCAACGTGGGAAAGGTCGTAGAATACCTACGCTCCACCGACGAACTGGACAACACATTTGTCTGCTTCATGTCCGACAACGGAGCCGAAGGCGCCGCCTACGAGGCCTACCCGATGGTCCAAAACGGCGTCATGCCCCATCTCCAGAAATACTATGACAACAGCCTTGAGAACCTCGGCAACGGCAACTCATTCATCTGGTACGGTCCGCGCTGGGCGCAGGCTGCCACTGCTCCATCGCGCCTGTACAAGGCATACACCACCGAAGGCGGCGTCCGCGTCCCATTCACCTGCCGATTCCCCAAAAACCTCAACATCAACCCAGTCGACGTAGCAGCCGGAAAGGGCGGTATAACAGACCAATTCGCAACAGTCATGGACCTAGCCCCCTCGATCCTCGACATGGCAGGCCTCAAACACCCAGCCCCAACCTACGAAGGCCGCGAAGTTGTCGAGATGCGCGGCCGAAGTTTCCACCCATGGGCAATTGGCCAAGCAGAACGCATCCACCCCAAAGATTTCATCCAAGGCTGGGAAACATGCGGAAGAGCCGCGCTCCGCTGCGCAGATTGGAAAATCGTTTTCATCCCTAAACCAAAGGGCCCAGAAAAATGGCAGCTCTACAACCTCGTCAACGACCCCGGCGAGATCCATGACCTGTCCGAATCCGAACCCGAGAAATTGAAACAGCTCCTCAAACTTTGGGATCAGTATGTTCTTGAGACGGGCGTTGTCCCGCTTTGTCCCGATCTGGGTGACTTCCTGGAGGCGACTGAGGCGCAGATGCCGGAGAATGCTTGGATGGAGTTTGATTATTGGAAGCAGGGCGCTAGAGATGAGCCGGAGAAGTTTTCCCGTCACCCGCCTAGGTTCCAGCGTACTGTTAAGCCTTTCTAGGGGGTTTACTGTAAGTGCTTTGATAGAATGTCTGAATTGTGTGCGGACTTTAGGCTATGCATTGTGATACCTACTTAGTTGATGCGTTGCATAGAATGCAGTTTCTTTCTCAATCTTAACAACTTTTCTAGATACCTAGAAGGTGTATCTCTTGGCCAAATCCCAAATCCCTCGGAAGGAGTGGCGTCAGTGTCCGCACCGGGGGTATAAGCCGATGAGGCGACACGGAAGGTTTAACCAGATTATCTGCGCCTTACACTAAAAGGCCAATGTGTACAGAGGTGTTTTGACTGTTTTCGATATCTATGTGCCTCGAGATTCAACTGTTTGTTTTCGTTTTCCTTTTGCACCACGCTTCTTCTGCTCTTCTTCTGCTCTTCTTCCACTCTTCTTCCACTTTCTTCTGCTCTTCTTACGCTCTTCTTCTGCTCATAGCATTTGTCACTTCACACCTACTAGCTTGTTCTCGCGCATCTAGACACCATGACACGCGTTCTCGAGGAACCGAGGATTCGGGAACACAATGTTCGTCTTTACGATAACAATGGAACTCTCCTTGCTTGTGAGTTACTTACAGAGTATGGGAAACAAAACAAACTGACCAACAGCTTTGCAAATCAACCCCCTCCAGAGACATCTAACGCACGAGATGCTGTACCGGTACTGCAGTATGATCTTCATCATTCCTGGTCACCAAACATGGGCAATCTTTCCTATCCTCCACGATGAATCACCAGGCCGTGTCCTTCGTTCGGACCGCCAAACCCCCATCAAGCCAGGCAATTACCTAGTTCTCGATGATGGCAAGCATGCTAAATCTCGAGGTACTGAATTATCTAACATTCATTAGACCAACAGCCGATGACCGTTCAAGTCACTAGCGAGTCAGCACCGCGCCGTGTCACCACCCAAGATCCCAGCTCTAGGTCTGAAGGACAACGTGAAAGAAATCATTTGGTAAGTTAACTCTGGAATTCTGTGGCACACCTTACGGGGTGGCTAATAGCTTTTATAGCAATCGCACTTCCGGAAAAGTCTGTGCGACAGAGACTCCATTTGCGCAATCACCAATTCCGAACCTCTGGGGGAGATTCCCAAAATCCATACAGTGGTCTTCACGCCTCCCACATTTTCCCTACAAGCCAGATCGCACAATGGGAACGGGAAAACTACCAACGATATATCACCGACCCCAGTCCTGCCTCTAAGATTGGAAGCAGCAAGCTGTACTCTCCTCAAAACGGCCTACTTCTTGGACCCGAAGCCCATGAAGCGTTCGATAAATTCAAAGTCGGAGTCGATCCAGATGTAAGACTTCTAAGATTTCTACCTGTGGCAGTGACTAAGGACACAAAAATCTAGGCAGGTTATAAGATTATCATTTTTGGGAAAGACTCGAAAGGACTGGGAGGCACACGCCTTAGAGACTCTGCTAGAGATGGAACAGACCAAAAAAACGGCGTTAGTGCGAATCTACTACGATGGCATCTAAGGATGTGTGTCTACCGCAATATGAAAGCAAACGCTGAGCCGCAGCCCCTATGGGACGAAGACTTAGGCGAGGATAACATGGGTCAGATTCTCGAACAACATGATGCGGCCGAGAGGATGGAAGTGGAGCTGTTCACGCGCCTCGGGAGTTTCGTGGCTTAGATGCCACAGGCAGTTTCTTTCTCAATCTTAACAACTGGTCTAGAGACCGAGAATGTGTACCTATTAGCTAAACTCCAAATCCATGGAAGGAGCGGCGTCAGTGCCCGCACCGGGGGTAATAAGCCGATGAGGCGACCCGGGAGCTTTTAACCATATGATTATCCATCCGCGCCTTATGCAAAAAATTCCAATGTTTAAGTACTCCTCCGCCACTTTACAGTTTCCACCTTCGCGCCGTTACCACCTAAGCCCCAGATCCGAGAATTGTGGCGGGTCATGATTCCACAGATGGGTTCTACTACAGATTATATCCTGGACGGGATCTTCGCCCTTGCGGCTCTCCGTATCGCGCGCTATAACACCAAACGGAGACATGCTCTTCTTCCTTATGCCAATGAACGGCATTCAGCATCTCTATCCAAGGCCCTGCCACTGATTGCCATGGTGACACCGCAAAGCTGTACATCGCTTTTTGTCTTTCGGGGTCTTAACGCTCTATTATAGTCTGGCGCGACCCATTCAAGAAGACGATGCGCTGGCTTTCGGCAACGGCGTCATTCCCGAATGGTTATGTCACACGCGCGGCATAGATACAGTTGTAATGGCGGAGGCTTCCGTCTTTTTCTTCCCCTGTATCTTTGATCTTCGAAGTACCTGGAGAGGCTTTGGTTGCTGGAAGACTCATACTCCCGAGCAATTCCAGGTTCTCACGGAAATGAAGGGTAGAATATGTCCTAGATGATCAAGAAAGGCAACTCGCTTTGCAGGAGGCAGTTGTGGCACTAAGTCGGAGTGACTCGTTTTTGTATGGCCGGAACTTCAAGGATCAGGATAAATTGTGCGGTTTGCATGAATGGCTTTTTGAGATGACTTATGCGTACCTGGGGCTTTTGAAAAGCTGTGATAAGGGGGCTATTGTGTGTGCCTGCTTTCTACGCGGTTTTGGTGAAGTATTTTGAAAAAAGGTGGATACAAGGCTCGGCGGTTTATCTGATCAGGGGGATTTATATGCTTTTGGATGGAGAGCATCGGCTGTTGATTAGATGAGCTATAGAAGAAATTGGGTGGGTTCTTGATGTGGGTTCTTGCTCTATATGGTACTAATATTTTGAGCATCTTAAACGTCGAGGGGGATAGTAACATTTATTATCCCTGGGCTTAAAAGTGTAAGAAACAGCAAGATGCGTATAAGTTGCCCTTTCGGGACACAAAGCGTATTCGGGTGGGTCCCCATAATGCTTGGCGATGAAGTGCCTTTCTTATAGATTCGAGACGTCCCCAGAGTTCAAGTTTTGAATGCTTCATCCAAATTCCTATCATGCATTTTCTAGTCCTAGGAGCTACAGGTATTAATGCTCCCGCTCAGACTTACGTGAAAGAATCTAACTTGGATAGGTGCCATCCGCCGCCAATTCTGCGATCTCGCTTTGAACGAAGGTCATAAACTTACACTTTTCGTTCGAAATGCCACAAAGGTCCCAGAGAACATTCTCAACAACGCAGAACAGGTAATCGAAGGATCATTTGAAGCCCATTCCGACCTAGATAAAATTGCAAAATGCGGAGCAGACATGTTTGTCTCTTTTGCAGGTCCAACATTCGGAGCCAGCGGGACAGTATGAACTCACAAGTACTTCCAAGTCCCACAAGTACATGTACTGACAATCCATTCCACAGCCCCTTGCAGATGGATACGAACTTTTAATCCCCAAGCTCGCCTCGCAAAACATGACTCGTGTTCTCATTCTTTGCACGCCATCTTTCCGAGACAAGTCTGACGTTGAAACGTTCAAATGGCGCTTTGGTGGTTGGTTCATGAAGTTCTTCAGTCCGGGCCAGTACCAGGAGATGATTGCTATCGGAGAGACTGTTTCTACCTCGAGCGAAGAAATCCAGTGGGAATTGTTTCGGGTTGGCGGACTTACTAACGGGGACGAGGCGCCGGTTGAGGCGACTCATCTGGGAAGCGGACTGGACAAGACTTGGATTAGTAGATCTAGTGTTGCGAGATGGGTTTTGGATGAGGCCATAGAGGGGAAATGGGTAGGGAAGATGCCTTATATTTGTAACAAGTGAGAGATATCAACTCGGCAACTTCACCGCCCGCTGTCGGGTAATGTTAAACAACGCTTCTTGGCTGTATCGTTAAATTGTTTCATCCTCAACCTCGCGATTATGATTTATTATCTTCTAATATGCCCCAACGACGCTCCCATACTAAATCTCGGGATGGTTGCAAACGATGCAAGAGACGACGAATAAAATGTGACGAAAGTGGTCCCGCTTGTGGGACTTGCAAGGCTCGAAACGCGGAATGTGAATATGCCAATAATGTTTTTCGACCGTCCAGCTGGACTGGGCAGTATGAAGAAACAGTGTCTTCGTCAGCAAGGAAGCCGGTAACACCCATGGCTGAAACTTCATCTCAAATAACCGATGCCGGGCTTGTTCACGAGAATCTGAAAAATCACATTTCTTCAACAAAACGAAATAGAGAATTAAAGTTGATGCATCACTGGACCTTGAAGACATGCCACAGTTTCTCGCAACCCCTGAGTGATACCTTACAAACATACGTCGTGCAACAAGCGCTACAGGAGGAATTCTTAATGGACGTCTTGTTAGCCCTCACATCTCTACATATGGCCACTGAGCTTCCAGTCACCAATGAAAAACGGGCAGTCCACCTAAGTGATGCACTGCAATATCAGAGTAGCGCGGTACCAGCTACCAGCTTTTCGTGCAGCGCTTGAGAATATCTCACCTACCAACTGTGACGCGCTTTTTGCATGTTCTGTGATAATGATGGCCTGCACGGTTGTTTTCCCATCACTTGAAAACAATTCCCATAGCAATGCGGGTACTGGGAAGAAAGTGCCCACTGATCTAACATCGCTTTTTCAATTTGTGAAAGGCATTCACTCCATCATTGATCAGGCTCGTCCTTCACTTGAAGAGGGGCCGTTCAAGTTCGTTATTATGCCTTACTTGGGCGTTCATCAGATATCTTCAACGGTATCAGAGGGGTTCTTCCTCCTATGTTGACGGAGCTTTGTCATCGTACATCTCCAACATTGCAGGGGGTTTATCGACATGCTGTTGATATGCTAGAACACTGTGCTATACCGGAAGGGATGGTTATACCTTGAATTGTCATGGCTGGCGAGGAATTTGTGGATCAAGTCGAAAAGGAAGAGCCGTTGGCCTTGTTGATCTATATTTGTTGGGGAGCTCTGTTTGGCCTCCTTGAAGAGACGTAGTGGGCCAAAGTGGCTGGGGAAGTGATTGTGAAGAATCTGGCTGAATGTATCACTAAAAATGAGGAGTCGGATGAGGTTGTGAGGTGGGCGAAAGCAAAAGTTGAGATAAAAGCATCATGAAATGCTTGCTATTTGCTATTTTGCAGACTCTCAACTCCTAAATACACAATTTTATAGCAACGCAATGCCCCTCACGGCCCCACTAGACTAATCCTAAGCTTAAAATAGATACGTCAGCTCAGGAATTTATAGGGTCAGCAGGCAACACTTGGAGACTCAAACATCTCCATGTAGACTGCCGTCTTTGTACCTCGCGGGGTAAACAAAATCTCTTCCTCCCTTTCATCCCCCTCCGCAATAATGCGACCAACCCCTCTACCCCCAATATACAGGGGCAAGCTAATGTTCTTCGACGAAGTCCTCTGGGACAAAGCCGACGAACTCCTAGCATCATGGAAAAGCAGACTCTTCAACCAAGCCGCCATAAACGAGATGACAGCTCTAATCCAGCATCACCGCGAAGGCATCGCAGACCGGCTCTTCCCACCGCAAAAGGGCTCGTTCAATATGGTGATCCGCCTCCGCTTCCTAGACGGCGCATCTACAATCATCCGCCTCCCAATACCAGGATACTCAGTCTTCCCTGAAGAAAAAGTCCAGCGCGAAGTCTCAGTCATGCGCTTTCTCGAGCGGCACACTGAGATCCGTGTCCCGCATATATTGCATTATGGCATGACCGACCAGAGTCCCGCCCAACTAGGCCCGTTCATTATTATGGAGTACATTGACAGTAATGCCGATTTGGTTGATGCGCTGAATACCCCCGGAATACCCATCGAAGAACGCCCAATTCTTGATCCGGATATTGCACCTGCTAGGCTTAGATCTGTGTACAGTGATATGGCAGGGTTGATGTTACAAGTTGCAAAGTGTTCATTCAATGCCATCGGATGCATTTCCAATAATGAAAACGATGAACTCGATAACGAGTGGGTTGTCAAACATAGAGCGCTCAGCATCAACATGAACGAACTCGTTCAGGTGGGGGGTGTTGCACTGGAACATTTACCCCAGCGAACATTCACAAGCGGGTCGGAATACTTCCTTGTCCTGGCTGAGCTGCACATGGTGCATCTATCATCGCAGAAACACGATGCTATCTACTCTGCAGAGGACTGTCGAACGAAGTACATTGCACGTTGTCTATTTCGGAAACTAGCACGCGAGAAACGTCTCTGTCGCTTTGAGAATGGTCCCTTTAAGCTGTATTGTGATGATCTCCGGCCTGCAAATATCCTCTCCAATTCCGACTTAGACTACAAGATCTGTGGTGCGATTGATTGGGAATTTTCATATGCTGCGCCTGCGGACTTTGTCTATGCCCCACCGTGCTGGTTACTCCTTGAACGGCCAGAGTACTGGGAAACGGGGTTGGATGATTGGGCGCGGGTTTATGAGCAACGGCTGGAGGTCTGGCTAGAGGAGATGGTCATGCGGGAAGATGCTGAGATTGCGCGTGGTGTGATTGGGGAAGAGAATCGACTATCCGGGTTTATGCGGGAGAGTTGGGAGAATGGTGACTTTTGGGTTAGTTATGCGGCTCGGCGGAGTTGGGCGTTTGATGTTATCTACTGGGCTCGAATTGATCGGAGGTTCTTTGGGGAGGGGACTATGGAGGATCGATTTGCTTTGTTGACTGAAGAGGAGAGGGGTTCGATGGAGGAGTTTGTACAGAGGAAGATGAATGAGATAGCTGATGCTTGACTGCTTGTATTCTGAATGGGAACTAGAACAAGCTCACGTGTCTGATATCCAGGCGCGTTCACAATGTTTCTAGTTGTGCTTAGCTTCAAGTTCTTCCATGCTCCTGATATAATCTCGGGTGTAACATGGGCCATCTGCTACCGTATATCAGAATAAATGCTCAGCTAGTCATCCAGCGGACCAAACCCTGGAAGCGGAAATGACAAGTCAATATAATGAATTTCTTTTTCTTTTTACAAAACACTCAACTTTCATCCAATCATGTAAATTCATATTTAACCTCATGCATCAGCCCACTCCCTTCAAGTTCCTAAAGCGAAAAGTAGCACGTCCAATAGGCCAGTGGTAAGACCTTCTGCTAGCTTGGAAACCAGAAATTGAGGGAAGACCAACACGTTCAGCCTCATATTCAAACTCATGACTTGGCGGTATTAAGTCTGATCCGCAATAGCCGAACTTAGTATTTAACCTCCTCACTTTGCCGTCTCCAGGGTCACGTTCCCTCTAATCCCGGGGTCCCTCACTCCTCTTACCAATTGCAATTTTTCCTTCATCACACAGGAGCGCATATAATCCCTCTCTGCTCTACCTTGTTGTTTTGTCCCCAATAACTTCCATTTTTTGTCGCCCAATCCAAAATATCTTTTAAGTTCCCAACGAACCATGGCCTGCCCACGACTTTTTCTCTACGGCAGCCCAAAAACTACAAACCCCCAGTCCCTCGTTGGCTCGCCAATTTCCCAGATGGTATCGATAGAGTTTTCACCGCATATGTTGGCGTACAACAGCGTGCGGGGAACAATACAGGTCAGGTAGGAATCTCGTCTCAGATAGTCGAACGGATCCAACGATGGCTTGTGGACCCCCAATATGCTCCCAAATCAGTGGAAAATTTTCATGTACTCGACGGCGATGACATTCCAAATTCGACAGTATTTGTTTGCTACTGGGATAATAATGAGAGATACGAGGAGAGCATGAGGGGTTTAAACCTCGCAAAGCTTCATCAAGCACTTCGCCCTGAGGATCGACAAAGAGTTGGGCTTTGGTGTGAGAGGTTTACGACTCAAGTTTCGCGTCTGGAGACGAACTACTCGGGTCTAGATTATCTGCCGGGCCTTGCCCGGCTCCCTGGGACCAATATCGTTGAGCATACGCGCTCAGCCTACTGGGGCGCAGCGCGAGATCGAATTCCGGCTTCAGCTCACGACATATTCGAGTTCGACAAGTCTTCAGCTATACCATTCGATTCAATCTCTGAGACGGACAGCCCGCATTTGGTCAGCACAAATTACGATAATCTGGTTCACATCCGCTCAGGCCAATTTTGGGCGAACTGCGGCGATGAAGAGACCAAGTCATACGAGGAGAACCTGGAACCGACGCTACGAGAAGGTCTCATGTACTTATGGCAAAATCCAGTTGAGAGTGGCTCAATGGGCCTAAGATACTTGAGGAACACCGTGCATGGCTCGTCTCAGCACGAGACAAATTCTAGGGAGACCTGTGTGACTGGGTTCTTCAGAAATCTCTCTGATCTGGAAGGGTGGGCCAAGCGACACCCATCCCATCTGGCAATTTACACTGGCGCTATCAAACATGCCAAAAAGTTTGGCGAAGATCGGAAATTCCGAACCTGGCATGAAGTCTCCGTATTGAAACGTGGTGAAGCGCATTTTGAATATTTGAACTGCCTTCCGACAACAGGGGTGTTGGGGAAGGAAATACTCAACCCATAGCCTCACGATAACATACTTATTTGTTCCGCATCAGGTCAAGGAGCTTGCAAGGCCGTACGAATCAGGCAGATTAGCTGTAATGATCTTACATACCAGCTGCCATTTCAACAGGATGATCCCGCATCTTCTGAGCGTACTTGAAGATAATTTTAGATTAAGATATTCTAATTCCATAAGAATAAGCGATCCAATTAAACCAAACCGTACTAGGAAGTTGGTGGTAGTGGGGCCACAACAATCAGTATTAGTTGATGTATTATTGGGCGAGCTTGCGGTCTTTTGTCAGGGAGAAGTATAAATATTGCGTCTACTGATTGAGGTCTGACGGGATAGAGCTGGTGGAACCACTAAGAAACATTAGCAAGAAGCAAAGCAAATGGACAACTCACCTTTGAAAGAGAGTTAAGAGAGGGAGTGTACATGCACAGCGTTACCTCGAACATATGGACTTACAATTCATCTAACACTTCGGTGCTACTTAATGGAAATGTGGAAAATGTTAATTATACCATTTCTTAATGAGAGCTGTCGTAGATTCTCTCATGTAAATCTATCAATACAGTGAACACTTGAATCACACCTTTCCTAATTCCTAGGCTTCAGTTCATGAATCCGTCAATGCAGCCCATTTAAACAGATGAAACCGGAAGATCCAGTGGGATATTGAAGCAATTCATCAATTTTGTTCATGCGACATGCCACGCGAAGAAGTTCGGTTAGACGATTCGTCTTGAACGGCAGGACATGACGAAATTGGCTGTCGGGAGACTATCACCGGGTTATGGCAGTGCGGAAACCACCCCTCCCCACGCCCCCTACATCTCCATAACTTACTACGGACCTCTCGCTTGTCGACCAGTAACCTCTTAGATAGCCTGTCGATAAGGTTGCCCGTAAAGTTTAAACTGAGTCTAACGTGAATATGTGACATCGCTTTTATTTGTCGGCTCAATCTGCGGCAAGACGGGGCAAAAGCGGCTATTGCGGATATATCATCACCAGATCACTGTGGTGTGGAAGCCCGCTATACATACCTCTATGATTTCGGTAACCTAACTAAACAGGGACATCCTCCTTGTCAACAAGCAGCCTGGTAAGTAAGCTAGCTCCTCAAAACAATAGACTCAACGTGGATATATGAGAACGGCCTTCTATCTTGAATCAATCCCAACATGGCTTCTATTCTCGCTTTTACTCGTGTTGCTGCTTGCCATGTGGCACCCCGCTTTCTTTCAGCCCAAAAGTCAACTGACAAGGCAATATCTATCATTTACCAAGCGGCCGGGAATGGGGCAAATGTGATCGTTTTTCCAGAGTCCTACATCTCAGCATTCCCTCTCTGGAGTGCGTTGCGTCCGCCAACAGAAAACCATGACCTTTTCAAAAGAATTGTTCAGGAATCTGTGTACGCAGATGGTCCAGAGATTCAGGCCCTTCGAGATGTGGCACGCGAAACCAACACGGTCATCAGTATGGGTATTTCCGAAAAGGCTCATGCAAGTACAGCATGTCTGTACAACTCAAATGTACTTATCAACGTTGACGGCGAAGTCGTCGTCCACCACCGGAAGCTGATGCCGACCTTCTTTGAGAAATTGACCTGGAGTCCGGGCGATGGCTACGGGCTGCGTGTGGCCGATACTCCATATGGCCGTATCGGAGGTCTTATTTGTGGCGAAAATACAAACCCACTAGCCCGATACTCTTTGATGGCCCAGAAAGAACAAATTCACATCTCATCCTGGCCATCTATTTGGCCGACCAAGGTTCCCGCCAGCATTTCTGAGCCAACCAACGAGCAGTCCGGCCAAGGTTCTCGCAACTACGACAATGTTCTCGCCAATCGTTTGCGAGCCGCTGCTCATTGCTTCGAAGCCAAGTCCTTTGGCGTCATGTGCAGTAGCCTCCTTGATCTGGAGGCCATAGACGCTATAGTGGAAGGTTCTGGTTCACCTGAGATAGTACGACGTGCTCTGCAAGATTCTTCTCAAGGGATCAGCATGTTTTTAGATCCAACGGGCGCCCCGGTTCCTGCGTTTACAGTGGACGAAACAACCAAAGTTCAACAACCAGTTGAATTTTTGCAGAATGAGGAAAATATTATCTACGCCGATATGAACCTCGATTATTGCATTGAAGGGAAGCAGTACCATGATGTCGTTGGTGGATATCAAAGACTCGATGTTTTCCAGTTGCAGGTCAATCGCTCTCGGAAGGACCCGGTCATTTTCACGAAGTCTAGTTTTCCAGAGTGACCCAATCTTTCATCGTATCAGAATTTTGTGCACAAATCTATATAAGTCCAATTAGGTGACAAAGTTAGGAGAAAAAGAATTGAAAAGAGTCCTTATTACATGTAGCCACAAGCACGGTGTGGCACCTCTTTTGCCTCTATGTGGGTCGAATCCACCAGTTGTTTGCGGCTAAATCGTACTTTGAAATTACAAAACATAAATGAATGGAAACTTTCCAAAAGCGATATAAAGGCATTGCCCCGCAAGAAATATAACTTCGACTTCCACCATCCTCATAGCCAGGCATATTTACCTCTTCCTTTGTCTTCCATCTCGAAACTATTACAATGTCAAAAATCATCCCACGTAACCGTCCGCCCTCTTCTTCGTACCCGACCCCGGGTCCATTGCCCATTGCCCTAGCAAGTTTTGCAAACATGTTCTGCGTGGGAACCTTGTACGCTCTTACCACACTCCAAATGGAGCTGCCACGACTTCTTGACATATCGGGGCCTTGGTCACTTGCACCCTTTGGAGCCGCCTGTTTAGGACTTTCTGTTGGTGTGATCACTTGTGCGTCACTGATCGAACAAAAAGGTACCAGAATTGTCGCTGCATGGGGCACGGCACTTTGGGGCTTTGCCGTGGCGAGTGCAGGCATCTTTCTGGCTAGATTGAATTTTATTGCTATTCTCGTTTCGCTGCTTGCTGGAGGCATTGGTGTCGGCTGGACCTATCTAGCAGTTGTTGTTTTGGTTGGGGAAGCCTTTTCTAACCTTTCGCTCGTCCGAAGTGCAATCGGGCCTATGGGTTTCTCATCCGGAGCGGCGGCGTGCATTATGCTTGACTTCGTTTTTAATTTTGCGTCTTTGGATGCAAATAGTCTCGGAGTTGGGGTTACGTCGGCAGGAATTGGGTTTATCGTCGTCGGAGCCGCTACTATGGTCTTGGTGCCCAGTGAAAAGAGGAAGGCTCCTTCCCTTTTGAAGGCACAGAAGAGCGAATCTGACTCCTTCTTGTTTGTTCTGCTTTTCTTGAACGCTTTACCTGGAATGGTAATTTTTGATGCTTTGCTTCCTTTCGCAAGCTATCACACGCAAGGCACGGAATACAACCCTCTTCAATTCTTGCCTTACAGCATGATCGCATTGTTTTCTGGGGGCTGTTAGCTCCATTTCTCAACTCAAAGTTTGGACCGAGGCTCACTTTTGTTGTTTTGTTCTGTCTGCGAGGCTGTCTTCTAGCCCTGCTTTCGCAATTCAAGAACGCAACTGTGGCAATTGCCTGTCTTTTATGTGGCCTGTTTGGCCATGGTAATGGGTTTAGTATCCTCCCTGGATTGGTCAAAGCCCAACTGGAGCAGCCTGCGTCATTTCCTTCCAGCTACGGTCGAGTTCTGATAACCTGGGGCATAGCGGGCTTTGTGGGATCCATCATGAACAGCGTTCTAGATGCATCGCTTGGAGACTATGCAGCTGTGAGTTTAGTCATTGGTGTCATATCGTTTTCATTCGGTGCAGCGCTCTATTTTGTACCTTCCTTGGGGGCTGCTTCTCTGATCTAGTCTCCGAGGGACAATTGAAGGGCAGGCTGCGTGCATATCCCTGTCAATAATATTTCAGGTGTCCATCTTTTCGCTGGAGGATACCGATGCATCACCATGTAATAATACTGATTCCCTTTGATTGATCAATATCTGGGGACCGGTAGGAAACCGATTCGTCGTCTTTTTTGTTTTTTTCCTTTTTGGAGGGGTGGGGTGCATTTCTTTCATATCGGCAGCCACACAATATCCATCTGGAAATTCTTCTCTCCAAAGGCCCGGTTGCTATGTTAGGATCAAAGGAGCTTCTTTGCTCACAGGAGCGCATTAAAAAATAGGTTTGGAGACTCTTTAGTTTAAAAATGCACACAAACAACATGACACTTGCCCCCAGGAAGCTCCCAGGCCCATATCCTTTCTTCAGCAAGAAACTCACAGGCTATTCCAGCTCTCTGAAGGAGAATAAATCAGACCAAATGATCAATTTCTGGCAAGGTCTATCTGGCTGGCGCAGCAGAGTGGAGCGAGCGTGCGGTCGTAAGCATTCATAGGAACTTAGGAGCATCCATGCGCCCTCAAATCGTATCGACCGGAGGCGGAACTTACATGACACCGAGTGCTCTGTGGTCATCTACTTGCATACTCGGCTTATAACTTGTTTAGACGGCCTTTCAAGTTTTTTTTTATACGAAAGCGCCTTGAGGTCTCCTTACTTCACGGTGTTCTATAAGCAACTTGAATCAAGCACTACCCTATGACTGTATAGCCCGAAGCATCCTATTCAGACCCTCCTCCAGCACATTGCGCGGATGTGCAAACACCATTCGAAACCACCCCGCTTCTTCAGCAGCATAAGCCGTCCCAGCTGCGATGTAAACTTTTTCTTTTCGAAGCTTTGCCGTAATTTCCTTATCAGTGGCTGCGCGGTCTTTCACTGCAGCCCCCAAGTTCATCCAAACGAAGAACGCGGCATTGCACTCAACGTAGGAAATCTGATGGGACTTGAGAAAATCTGTAGCAAATTGGTAGCTTTCTGCCAAGCGATACCGGTTTGTCGCAATGTATACACTTGTGAATTTGTCATCCAGTAACAGAGATGTAGCGACGTGGTCTGCAAGGCTTGATGGGAAATTGTACAGGCTGTTGAGAAATGATAATCAGCACGTCATCCGGCCAAGATAGCGATACACAAGAATCTTACGAAATGCCATCTGCAGCATCCAAGAGCAGCCTATTCGATTGACTGAGCAAACAGCCAATCCTCAAACCAGTTGCGCCAAAATCCTAGTCAAGCAACAGGTCAGATCCCGCTCAAGGCAAGGGAAGGGAAGGGGACTTCGGACCTTACTTAACCCCCATACGACATGCACCATGCTTGGATCCATCACCTCCTTGACATCCATAGACAAGACCGAAGTGAAACCCGGGGCATTAGGCAGGCGAGGGTTCTCCCAGACGGACAACGCGTAAATCTCATCACTGATTAAATGAAGTCCATTTTTGTTGCAGAACTTCATGTACTCTCTTAGGACATTTCGAGGGTAGCAGCGCCCTAAAAGTATCATTATTAAAGGTCGCATTGTACAAGAGCAAGACATAGGGACAAACCGAGCGGATTATGCGGTGTGCACAAGAGGAGTGCTTTGACGCGGAAACCTTTGCTCTTCGCTTCAGAATACGCCTTTTCATACTGTTCGACTGCGGCCAAACTGAACGGATCTATTTCCGCGAAAGCGACTTCTAATAGTTCAACCCTACAATGGTAAATTTAGCTTCATCTGGGAACTTGACGAGAATGCCCTACCCTGGCCGCGTTCCAAATGTCGTTTTGAAGGCATTAAAATACGGCCGCCCAACGAGAATGTAATCACCAAACTCGGCTAAACCCCAGGCACAGCACTCAACTGCATTGCTGACACCGGATGTGATAGCGAGATGAGAGGGACATAGCGCAGTCCAAGGGGAAAGCTGGCTGTTCAAGAAATGACAGATGGCTTCTTTGAGCCTGTGCGATCCGCTGAATCCGTCCCCGTAAGTCAATGCATGTGCGTCGATTTGAGACTGTAGAATGCGATTAGTGCCGATGTTGTGGTCAGGTAATAGTGCGTGGAGTAAAGCAGTCAACTTGAATCTTACATTAGAGTTAATAAAGCTCTCCATCTCCGCATGCATGAGAGCCTAAAAATATTAACAACTATGAAATCGAAGGTGATTAATCCTCACATTCTCGGCAAGACCGATATTCACAATACCGTCAGGATTGGACTTCGGAGCCCACAGATCACTCAATACGTCGAGAAAAGTTGGCTTCTGTGCCGCGAAGGCTTTGCCTCGCGCAGAAATGCTACCATCCATCGTGGCAAATTGATGTAAAAAACTCAGCGACTTCTTTTAAATTGGTGCTAGGAGATTGCGCATGGTCACATAGACTTTCCTTTTTGAATGGAGTTCCAATTAAACTTTTGACTGCGGGTCTATGTTCTCAGAAGGCGCATGGAAGATGCGGGACCAACGGGTAAAACGGAGTTGCGATGGCGGGTAAGGTGGAAGAGAGTTGCACATGAACGGCCAAAATATTTCGATTTTCGTTGTTGTCTCTCTCTTCTATTTTCTTGCTACTTTCGCCCTTTCTTTATACATACACTATGGGCGGATCCACATAGCTTGTCTTGGTTTCCTTGATTACATGATATGATAGCATAGGCCAGTAGGGTGGGAAGAAGGCATGGAATTAGAAGCTTGGGGGTTGTATTGTTGTAGGTCTGCAACCTTTGCAAATCCGGTCTTTAGTCTTTACGAGGAGATGGCTGTTGCGAGGATCCCAAGGGGTTTTGCATCATAATTTTGAAGAGCTCTTTGATAGAGCCCTCGGGGTGGACTGCTTGGAGATAGTCCAGTTTTTATGTATTCTTCTTGCTTTGCCAGCTCGGAGGCAGAGTCACTACGAATTTTTCTATTGGCATGTAGCCCGAGTAGGGCGGACAGCATGAGCCATTCAGCAAAGATGGAAAGTTTCAGACCGCCGATACACGTTCTCTGATGCTTTGGCATATACCACGGAGCTTTGAGTTTGATGGGAGTGAGGCGACTAGGTTCGCTTTGCCCGCCACTACTCAGAATCAGAGCATCTTGCCGGATAGCAGCGTCATTGGACGGCCTTCTAGGCATTTTGTAGGGATGGAGAGAGCTGAATTTCCGTGGTCTTCGAATCCATTTGCAGTACATGAGTCATACCAACAAATGTATCTCCGAAGGTCGTGGAACTGCTTTTATTTTACAGCGCGAGGCCATAATCTGTCCTCAATAGCCTGAACAGGAGGAGCAAGGTAAGACCGTCACATTTTCGCTTCCGTCTGCGGCACTCCCCACAAGCACGTATGGAACGGAGCCGAAGATACGAATTCTTATCTTGATGTTCCGGTCTGGAAATTGCCTTGCCTTTGGGCATATCGGTCTCTTAAAGCGTGCACTCCTTCGGATATTCCCAAAGAAGGAAGGAGAACAAGGGTTAAGCTCGGGCCGGGGAATTGACGGAACGATATTTTTGATCGCCTTTTGTACTGCTAGGATAACTTTCTTTTTCCTAATGTCATGATCATTTGGCACAATTATCAGTACATGCTCCAGTCTAGTACCTCTAGGGGTGGCGCAGAAAGCTTGAAGTTCCAGTAGTGGAATATATACATAATTCTTAGACCCCAACCCACAATCCAGATATGAGAGGTATTATTATGGACTGATGATACCCTAATGACCATGAACTTTCTCTATCAACTCTGAAAACATGGAAGAGATTTGCTCTTCAGCACCACTTTCCCGCCACCGTCCCTTGTCTTCAACGCCAATCTGCTGTCCCTCCACAGACTCTAGCGTCGTAACCTTCACAACGAGCCCAGGAGTAATCGAGACGGCGTTCATGTGCAATCCTTGAATAATCCCACGCAAGTGATCTGCCGCCTTCCCACCTCCTCTCCCTCCATACGTCACGATGGCCGCAGGCTTGTCTTTCCATTCATAGTACAAGTAATCCAATGCATTCTTCAAACTGGCAGGAATACTCCAGTTGTATTGAGGTGTAACGAAAATGAACGCGCTGTACTGTCGAATTTTGGCGGACCATGCTTGCGTGTGTTGGTGCGCGTAATGAGGCGTAGGATCAGCCTCCGGAAGGAACGATGGAATGGCAGGTTCGTTGTATAGAGGGAGACCTTGTTCGCTGATATCAAGTATTTCAAGACTTTCCTCGCAGTTTTGGCGAGAGATGATGTTGAGAACGTATCGAGCGATGAAGGGGTTTAGTCGGGGCTCTCTGGTGCTGCAGATGACCAGTGCTATTTTCTTCGACATGATGGTGTGGTCGTTTCGCTTGAAATATTAGATTTTAGACTGGCATTTACATAGATGGATCTTCCCTTTTATATCTTGAAATCATTGTTACCTGGGAGTATGTACTATGACTAGCGCGGATGGATTGGGCAGCCTAACCTTAAAGAGAGATGTTTCCGCGGAGGGCCCGCGGATGACCCGAGACTTTACTTCGCTACTGTTTGATTGCTATGAGCAATATGCACCTATATTTACAAGGATAATGTCTCTCTGCCGGATGGGGCCTTTCCTATCTGGGCTGCCGTCGCTTTATGAGGGCGCTCAGGCTTAGGATCACTGAGTAGATGTCAGCACGGGCTCCGAGTGATCACGCTCCAAATCGGTCACGTGTAGGATGGCTAATCCGCTGTGATCCCAGGCGCTTGGCAGGGCTCCAAGCCTTGCTGGCTGCCTTACGGCTAAGGCAGCTACTCGGGCTGGCTGAGCAAGCCAGGTTGGCAGCTTCGGCAAGCAAGCATTATGTAATTACACAGCGGTGAAACTGGCTAGCTAGCTCACGTAATGACAACCATGCGATCCATACGGTATCTCACCGCGACGTTAGTGAGCGAAAGTGCGTGCCCACCTGGGCAAGTACTCACCTAGGCAGTGAGTGCTCAGTGAGTGCTTAGTGACCACTTGGGCATACTCAGTGATTCCTTAGTAATGCTTAGCGCACCCCTAATTTGTCCAACTCCATCTAGACCATAACTAATAGACAGGCCTATAGGGCTATTTATTCTGTGATAGTGCGTTTAAAGATATTTAGGCCGCCCTCGTTTTCTAGAGAATCCCTTGCCTCTAAGATAACACGTTATGTTTACGGAGAAACGCCGCTATTTATTTAAGGCAGTGTCGACTACTATATGTCAAGGTGCGGGTCTACTAGTCGTCTTGCAGGTAGGATACGTACGCACGTAGGTATTACTCTAGGACAGCGTTTGCTCGTTCAGTTTGGCCATCAGTCCCGGGGTGGTAGGCAGCCGACAGAAGGTTCGTGATTTGCAGGCGTTTCGTAAGGTGCTAGCGGAATTGTGCAACGAATTGTAGTCATCTATCGCATACGGTCGTACCGGGCAGACTGTGTAGTTTTCAGACATGGCGGATGTATAGGCGGGTCACTTCTTCGGCATTGCAGGTGTCCTTGCAGGGTATGAAGCGCTTCATGTTAGTCAGGCGGTCCACTATGACAAGGACCGCGCCGTAGCTGTAGCTTGGTTCCGGGTACGTGATAAAGTCCATACTGATGTCTTGCCAGCACATCAAGAAAATGCCCAAGATCTCTCTCTCGCGAAGGAGAATCATGGCCCAGACAAAAATGCCGGCGCCGAGGTTTCGACCTGTCGCGCTAGGGAAAAGCACTACATTCTCTGGAGTTGCTGTAGGAAGCCCGAAACCTTTGGCCCCTGTTAAAAGTGTATGCATAAGCTGAAGGTTTTGGAGGGCAGGCAGATCATGCAATACCGGCACAAGGCTACTTACAGGCAAGAGGGTCGATAAATGTTCCTTTCACCCCCGAATAGATGAGGAGAGAGCCGATGGCGCATGTGGCAGCGTCAAGGACATAAGGGAGGTATGTGACATGGGTTGAGTCAGACATAATGTTGAGAGATCTTTAATAGGAGGCGCTAGTATCAAAGATAGATGTCGCTTGGGAAAATGTGATCTTATCAGTACACAAGAGTCCGGGTTTCCCAAGGATAGAAAGAAATGGGGCTAATATAAATTTCTGGCGACCAAAGGCCAGCTGCAGGGAAGATCGGAACTCGGGGAATTTCAAGGTTCAATGCTATGTCTAGGCACATAGAAAATACCTAAATTGCTGATACACTAGGTATCCAGCATTAATTTTCTAAATGAATTGACTAATAATCTATGTGTCCGAACCACATCTGGTTGGTAGGCCTTTTGACCACATTCTGTGAGTTGATCTGCCGTTGGTCTCTCGCCCGGTATGCTCGCAGTTCATGTATTTTTTACATGCATAATAGTTCAAGGGGTCTTGGCTGCTGCCTCCTTATCCTCGGCCTTTTTTGTCTCATGAGAAGGAAGCCTTTTGAAGGGGATCAAAAGGGCCAGGACCACAGTGAGAGCAGTACCGGCCAGGGCGAAGGCAAAGACATCCTTGATACCAACCATATATGCATCTCGAACCAAAGTCAGCTGCTCGCCTTTGTATACATTTGCAACTTCTGACACTCCAATGTATAAGATCTCTGCCGAATCGATTTGAGGAGCAGTTCGTGCCAAGGTCTGCAGCAGGTAGTTGTTGAAGATAGAATTCGCAGCCGAAACAAAGTAAGCCCCGCTGATAGATTGGGCCACTGAGAGGAAATTTAGCGGAGAGGACCAATGCTAATGGGGTTTTCTAGTACTCACTGAAAGCTACTCCCATAGTCGCTGCCACGGTTTCTGGCGTCGCGAAACCCTGTAACGCCGTCACCGGAACCTGGTTTCCTAGACCGATTCCGAGCCCAAAGGGGATCTGAGCGCCGATGTACCACGCCTTCGAGGTGTCGACGTCGATGCGGTAGACCAGGGCGGCGCCAAGGACAGCTATGAACCCACTAATAAACTCGATGGGCTGTAGGAAGCGGGTCTTCCCAACGATCATACCGCTGACTATAGCCCCGCAAGTATAGAAAGCCATGAACGGAAGACAGTAGACGCCACTTTTGATAGCTGACATGCCATGAACGGCCTGGAAGTAGATGGGAAGATAAAACAGTATCTGAAAGTTGGCTAGGTTGGCACTTGAGAACAAGACCGCAAATTAGCTCCAATGTCGAAGCAGACAAGGCTTCTGGGTAAAAGGAAGCATAAATCATACTCACATGAGAGCGTATAAGAGATGGGACCATGTAATACGGCCTGCCAGCATTTTCAGGGGCATGATAGCGTACTCGCCCTGGAACCACTCGACGACCACAAATGCAATCGTCAAGGCAACCCAAACAGTCAAGGTGGCAATGACGGAGCCATTACTCCATGGTTTCTCCATGCCGCCCCATTGTAGAGCCAAGGTGAAGAAGATAACCGAGGTGAACAGCAAACTCCAGCCGGGGAGATCAAGATGCAGTAGAATCTCTTTCCACGACGCGGGGGTGGGCTTAATGTGTTTCGGCATTCGCAAAAAGAGAAATTGCAGTACGAGAGCTGTGCCCCCCACTGGAAGATTCACCCAGAAACACCATCTCCATGTGACCTCAGTCGTGAATACGCCGCCTATCAGGGGGCCGATGGTCGTGGCGATCATGAAGACGCCCATCCATAGGCCGATGAGCATGGGGCGAGTCTTAGGCTGTGCCGTGAAGTTGATGATTAGAACAGAGCCGCCGAGGGTGCCTGCACATCCCCAGCCCTGCAGAGCTCGACCCACGACTAGCGCAATGCTGTTAGGTGCGGTGGCGGCCACGATACTCCCAATCAGGTACAAGGCAAGTGCTGTCATATACGTCCATTGAGCCGAGAAGTATTTGTACATCTTACCCCACGGGGCGGAGGTTGTTCCGACGAGAAGGAAACAGGCACCGCTGTACCATCCGATGTCGCTGAGTGCGTGAAAGTCACTGGTAATTTTCGGGATAGCCGTGGCAACGATACCCTATGGACCGAATTGATCGTGTTAACTGTGTACGGTGCTTAAAATCCGCAGTCCTCTAGGCATAAATAATACTGACCAGGTCCAAAGCTGCGATCAGGGTACTGAGACTTAAAGTGGCCATGATGATGATCAAGCGGAAAGACGTCGCGTACTCCGGATCTGATTTCTGGTGCAGGTCCTGGCTCAAGTCACCACTCCCCTCAGTATCATCGCTTCCTCGCTCCTTGTTTCTGAGGCCGGTAACGTCAGGCAAATGGCCTGCTTCGTTCTTGCTGAACTCGGAATCCGAAGTGGGTGCCGACATATTGCACGTTATTGTCTGGTGACAGTAGAGGAATGCTGAAACTATAGGCCATTTTGAGACTTCTTGGAGGAGAGCAGTTTATATGTCTGCAGTCCCCTTAGGCCCCCTTAAGCTTGCAAACCCCATTGCGGCGGACGAATATCAAGAATGGTGCAATGTAGGAATTCGTTCCGCCGATATCACGGCGGAGTATTGTAATTTTGGAACAGGACCCGAGATGAGCTTCGCGCCCCCCTTTTGGCTCGAATATTACCGGGGCTTTCGTAAGGTACGGTCTCAAAAGCTGACACACCACCACTCCGCCGCCTCTCCGGAGCTCCAAGTCTACCTTTGACTTACGTCCCCGTCGTGCTCATGTCCAGGTGTTCGAATCACTTGATTCCTTTGTACCCATGTATCTGAATCATCTGCCTGCGACACAACAGCTTGCAGGGCTATGCGAACTACTCGTGTGCATCAACGTGCCAGCTACCAGATAGACCAGACCCATCATGGACGCTACCCCTGCTCAGCGTATGGGACAAGCTCGCAGGAATCCCTCCCTCGACATAGATGATTGGGATTCAGTGCCCCCGTCCAAACGTAAGAAACTTCGAAGAGGAACTCGCAGCTGCTGGGAATGCAAGCGACGAAAGATGAAATGCGTATTTGATAGTCCCGATGACGCAGTCTGCGTTGGCTGTGATAGACGTTGGACCAAATGCGTGAGTCAGGAGTTCCCGGAGAAAGTGTCCACCCCTTTGGACAACCGCCAGTTACGGGATCGTCTGCGACGAGTGGAGTCTCAACTTGACCAATTTCTTGCTGCGGGCGACAATGGCCGAACAATGGCTGAAGACTGCCCGGACCGGCCGCTGGACCACGACATCCCAACCCCGGCCTCGATGTACAAACATCCCTCAAATCACGCGTCTCCTGCATCGCATCGGCCCGTTCATACCCCGGCCGAGGACGAACATCCTCACCATCTCAATCTCGACAGACCTTCATTCCCTGCCCAAGTTGGCGGCGCTTCTGGGGCCAATGCATTGTCTCGGACTCTCTTCGATTCCTTGCCCTCGCGGCAAGATACCGCCAGGATCTACAAGGCCTGTGGTAGCCACCATTCTATTCCATTCCATGAAATCCTAACAACCCCATACGGTATTCTCGATCGGCATGGCCTTCGGTCGCAAAGTCGCCTGCTCGAGATCCCGGGTCCGAACGTCAACCCGGTTCTGATAGCACGTCACATGCTACACCTAGCAAGCTTCCTCCAGCACCTGCACCCAGATCTCCATGAAGAGCTTCGGGGTCTCTCAGAGCCACCACAAGTCATACGCGAACGACTAGCGGACAAAGCCATCAATTTAGTGGCCATGAATGACAGTTACATGGGCAGCATTGAGTTTCTAGAGTGTATTATGCTCGAGAGCCTGTATCAAGCCAATTGCGGATATCTACGACGAAGCTGGAGGACAGCGCGGCGAGCCATGACTATTGCGCAGTCCATGGGCTTTCATCGGTTGGGAGACCGGGCTCAGTACATGATCCTCCACCCGGAGACCAAAGCGTACCCACAGTTCATGTGGTTCCGCATTGTCTTTTACGATCGACAACTGTGTCTTATGCTCGGTATGCCACAGGGGACCACAGATCGGAGTATGGCGTCAGATACAATGCTCGCCAAGGATTCGGCCAGCGGTCGTCTTGAACGAATCCACTGTGTCATCGCATCGCGAATTTTGGAGCGCAACGAATCTGACTCGGCCAGCTATGATTACGCCTGGACGCAGGAGCTCGACAGGGAGCTGCAGCGAGCAGCCCGGAGCTTGCCAAGCCGATGGTGGCTGGTCCCGAACCTCAGTGGCCAGACGAAAGACTCACAGGCTTTGTTTTGGGAAATGCGGCGACTGTCAGAACAATTATTTCACTACAACCTTCTCAACCAGCTCCACCTTCCCTATATGCTTCGCGACTCGGTTGAGCGCAAATTCGACTACTCCCGAATCACTTGTGTCAACGCCTCCAGAGAGATCTTATCCCGCTTCATCATGCTGCGCCGCTGGAACCAAGTAGCATTTAGTTGCCGCACCATTGATTTCACCGCCCTAATGGCCGCCATGACCCTGCTATTGGCCCATTTGGATAGCCACCGCTCCCCAACGGTCGACAATTTTCTCGCTGCTCAATATTTGGGCGACCGTGCCATGATTGAGCAGGCACAGGAAAACATGGAGGAGCTCAACCGTCTGAACTCCGACACCTTGAGTGCACGAAGCGCTCAATTGCTGGGCCGGTTGCTCGCCATCGAGGCCAAGGCAGCTGAAGGTGACCTCCAAAGCGCCCAAAGCGTCAGCGTACGAGGGCCCGAGACTGAAGAATCACAATCCGGTGACACGACGATCCCTGGCAAAAACGAATATATCCCGTATTTCGGGGTCGTTAAAACTGCGGGCGTGAGTCACGCTGACAGGATAAGTTCCCAAGCACAATATGTGCCACCGGCAAATTACCGACAGAGCCAATCCCCGGTCGTCATGCGAGCCGGGACGGAGGCAGAGACGCAAGCACAGCCGAACTCTCTCGCAACATCAATACCTCCAGATCCCCATAGTAATCATTACCGTAAGAAAATAAACAGCAACAGCAGCAACAATGACGTAACTGCCCTCTTTGCGCCGCTACTTTCGGAGGTTCTCTCAGATGATACCATGCAGCACTTTGAATACCCTGGGACGGCAGCTAGAATTGAGGATGATCCATTTCAAGATCTCGACTTGGCTTTCTTGGATAACTTGATGAAAGACACAGGAGATTATGGACCAGGTGGGACAGAATGGGCCGCGTCATGAAAAAACGCAGCATTTGTGCCGTCTGCATCTTGACATAACGTATTTGACATCTGTAATATTCTCCTTCTGACAAGCTCATCCCTATGACTACACCCACTCTTATCAATTAGAGATCTAGAACAAAGTAAGGGGCGTATTGAGAACTTAGGAATCGAAGGCGTTCATGCCCCATCTCTATTTCATTTCTACTTCTTTTTTCAAAGCAAACAGAAACGAGAATGTTTAGTGTTAAGCCGAACTTTATGCGGATTTGACCCTTTTCTTTCCTTGGGAAAAGAACAGCAGACAATTAGACCCATTCTTATATACATTGACGATTCATATGATTGTGAGGTCGGACGCCAGAGTGTCCTGGGGTAAACAGAGGTCGAGGTCAGTCTATTATAAGCATAGGAGCAAATTACTAGACACTAGAGCCAGGGTGCAGTTCGGTATTGTCACATTTCATGGTCGGGTAATTTGCATGAATAGTCGGTTCTCTTGGCATTCATCGAGGGTTTGCGAGACCTGTAAGCTCGGTGTGTTTACCTTTACATTTTGAATCCGATGCTGAAATTAAGCTGACGGTAAGACCGATTAACGGCATAATTGCGCAGACCATTTCTATGGATGCGTGGAACTAATACAAAGCTTTATCTGGAGTGAAAGCCTTTCTGAAACGGACTAAATCCATATCCAACTCGGGCTATTTTGATATACAGTATTGTGCCGAGCCCCGGACACGCATGCTCGGAGTCCGAGTTTTGAATTAGCAACCAAAGCTAGCGTCATTTCAATTTCCAACTTTCAACTTCCGTTGCTCAAAGTCATGCTAGGAGTAAGCTTTAAGCAGCCCAACTGGGAAGTCGAAAGGCCGCCCCAGCATAAGTCTAGAATCCTTCTGATTTGCGTTACATATTGGATGCAAATTGGGCTACCTTAAGGACAGTGTTCCATTGGCGAAAGAGCAGAGATAGGGAGAACAGATTGAGCAAGAGCCTAGCATGCCTGCGCCGGCCCACATTCAAGCGGCTACGCTCCAGAAATTTCTCGCAGGATGGAAGAAATTCACAGCCCAAGAGTGGATGGCTACCTGGTCTGCAGAAAATACGCAGCAGATCCTACCTTTCAGCCTTGGCGTGCCGCCGCGCTCGCGGGCAGAGGTGCAGCAAGTCTTACCAAAGCTCATTGGAGTTTTGAAGAACTATGAAGTCGGTGATACGAACTTTCTATAGCTCCACCAAAGTAAAATCCGCTGATTCCCTTTTAGATGGAAGTACACGAGCTGGTACACGATGCTTCAAAGGGAAAGGCTGCTGTCTATATCACCTCGATGGCCAACACCCCCTTTGAAGGGAATTTCAAGTGGACAAACGAATATGCCGTCTTTCCCACATTTAGCGAAGATGGACAGAAATATGCAAGCTGGAGGAGATGGTATATACCCTTTTTTATCAGTTCTTTCCCAGGTTTCAGAAATACTTGGTTTAACAGGGACATTCTCACTAGAATTTGATGTCTAAGCCGTTCAACCAGAAAGCAGTCTACGTCCACCCGTTTCAAACGGTTAGGATCACATTTCAATCTTTAATATATATGATGCACAAATTTCTCTAGTCTTCGTTCCTTGCCAACTGGCAGCCCGCGGCTAGAATATGCTACTAATTTCCCAAAGTCGGTCCACATAAACAATTGTGTAGGGTCATACAGTGTACGACTCCGGTTCCGAGTATCTGAATCGGCCAATAAAGAAATTCCATCTCTTCTTGTGCTGGAGTATAATTGCTTATCCAACATCCTAGAATCATACCTTATTTGCTCATATCTTCACATACGTAGCTCACAAATTTATCCTTCTCTGTGCGCATTACCTCCAGCCTTTACGCCTTTATCAGCCAAAGCTCCCTAACCATGCCGTCGCCCTCAAGGTCCGTGACTGTCGCCATCATAGGCAGTGGCTTTGCTGGCCTAAGTCTCCTAATTGGTCTTCAAAAATACCCACACATCAACGCGCATGTCTATGAGGCAGGAAACAAGTTTTCTGAACTTAGCGCTGGCGCCATCCTTGGTCCCAACTCGCAGCGAGCAGTGAAGTTGATCGATCCTCGTATCCTTGAAGGATTGGGTGAACGAAGAATTAACCTGTCCTGAAGGGTCCTAGTGTATTTGACCACTCCCTCAGTTCGTCACCTTGCACTATCCTCGATTTTGGCCCCCATCTGGTATCGATGGGGCTATCAAACCACGAGCCGCGCAAGTCGTTGGGGGCCAATTTCAGCCTCATGAAGTAAAGATCCGCGTGCCCATTCACAGCCCTGCTTCATTTTCGGCTTTCTCCTCGACCTGTGTTTGTTCTCAATGTGTCTTGACTTCGTTTCCTCTCTGGCTCAAGCCCGTCACGATAGTGAATGTTTGACTAGTCCTTGAATCACGTCTCGGGCTTCACAAAAATGGAGAACTGGGTAAAACGAGCCTGGGTGAGGGTCCAGTCATTCTTTCTCCGCCAACACTACCACGGAGTCTCGCAAAATCGCAAAAATGAGAGTGGAGCTGAGCTCTGCGCTATTCAACGTCCAGACCCAGCTCTCACTTTCTCTTCCAATCTCAAAAAAGTGCAGTCCACTCCAACAACTCAAATCCACGAACAAGACACTTTACTCCAGAGCTCAGGCGAACAGATATCGGTTGAACCTATTCATAATCCCTCCGATATTCAACACCCCGGTTGGATTTCCGGCGTTAATCTCTGCGCCAAAATCGCGTCGGGTATTCTATTCATCAATATCATCTTCATAGCCGTGGCGGCCGGGCTGGCAAGGAAACACCCCACCTCGCTCCAATTTTCAACCTCGCAGGTATTTTATGAGGGCAGCTGCAATTTAACAAAACGATGGAATGTCGCTTTGCATTTTATTATCAACATTTTGAGTACGGGGATTCTGGCCGCTAGTAATTATTGCATGCAGTCGCTTGTCGCACCCACACGGGAGGAGGTTGATGCGTGCCATGCGCAGGGAAAGTGGCTTGATATTGGTACTGCCAGTATCAGAAATCTTTTTTCAATTGAGAAACGTCGTATTGTTCTGTGGCTGGCTTTGATGATTACCGCCACTCCTTTCCATTTATTGTAAGTACGAAGACCATTGGCAACTGACGAATCGCTCTAACACAAACGCAGGTACAACTCCATGGTTTTCGAGTCTCTGGGTACGAATTTGTTTGGCACCTACGTTGGGCCTAGGGATCTGACCTCTGAAAATATCGGCCGATTGACGACTCCCGGTCTCGAAAAATGCTTCGCAGCTCCGGCCGGCATTAGTGGCGTTGGATCATTCACCTGGGACGAATTTTCTTCATACATCTCAGATGGGAGCTACACGCGACTTAGCCTGACTGAATGCGAGAGCATTGCAACAGACCAGAATGCAACAGGGACAAAAGCACTCATTGTTCTAGTCAACGAGATTTCGGTGAATGACGGTGGCAATCAGGCCATACTATGGACAGGTGCTTTTGGGGGCCTTCCAAATAGTAATGCCGGTACATTGCTTTCTGGTATCGAAGGGACCAGATCTTTTAGTCTCGTCAACACATCATCCGAAACCTACGTTGAATGTACATCATGGAAGAACTCTCAAGACGCTTATGAGCCTGGGGGAACACTTTCCGCTCAAGAGTGTCTTTCAATCCCCACCGATGAGAGATGCCAGTTGCTTTATAATCCGCCAATCTGTATTATCATCTCCCTAACTGCACTGGCAAAGATAATGGCAATGTTTCTTGCAGCTCGAATCGGTCGTTCCAAAACAGCACCTCTTCTGACTAGGGGTGATGCAGTTGCATCCTTTGTATCAAGGCCAGATTCTTCGACAGAGGGTCAATGCTGGTTATCTAATAAAGATGTTCATAATGGGGACTGGAAAGTATTTCAGCAAAACCGCACTGGAATGCCCCCAATTCTAGCGAACCGCAGAGGTACCGAAGAGCAGTCAAGATACAAAAAGCTCGTTCGACGCAAGTGGCAAGTCCAAGTACCAAGCAAAAGGAAATGGGTGGCAACTCTATTTTTGTCAGTTGGTCCTGCTCATCAAATCCTACATTCATACTCACCTTCTCTATCAGGTGTTTATCTTGCATTGGAGCAGGAGTGGCACTTTTCGAAATGGCGCTGGGAAGCATCGACGACGGTGTCACTAGGTCCAGGTCCCTAAGCGCATCCCGACTTGAAATATGGTGGGAATTAGGCTTCAACGCAGGTTCCTCTAACATCATAACTTTAGAAATGCCGTTAACAATGCTGGGATCTGTGGTGCTAGCCAACGTTCCACAACTGGCTCTCACTTTGTCCTATTATTGTTATAATAACGTGGTGACCGATATGCTTGCAGCCCGGGAGTATAGCTCTTATGGTGCTTCGCGCAAGCCACTTCGAGTGACCTGGCCTGCCAAGGGCAGTCGGCAACGGTCAACATACTGGCTGAGCGTACCATACCAATACGCCGCACCCATTTTGTTGATTTACGGAATTTTACACTGGCTGGTCTCTCAAAGCATCTACTATGTGTTGGTGATTCCTTATGACATGCAGGGTAACCCAAGCTTAGCAAATAGAGTGAGTGCTCTGGGATACTCGCCTTTGCCAATATTTTTGTCAATTCTTGTTGGTTCTTTGATGATATGCATCTTGATCGGGATTTCTTGTCAGAGATTGCAGTCTGATATGCCACTTGCCGGGTCTTGTAGCGCTGCAATCAGTGCCGCTTGCCATCCCCCCAAAGATGAAGATCTGGATACTGCTATTCTGGGTCCGATCAAATGGGGACAAGCAATGAGGTCATCAACATTGGGGATGAACCATTTCAACAATGAGATTGATGATGAAAACGGACATTGTAGCTTCACTGCGCTGGATACGGTGAGACCAAATTTAACCAAGTTCTATGCTTAATATGATTTTTTACTTACGAGCAATCAATCTATTTCGATATTATCACATGTCACTCAAGAAAATACTTTCGTAATTAAACGTGTCAAACTGCGATAAGATCGAAGACATCGCATTTTTTTAGAGAGTCCGCATAGTAACATTTGTCCCGGAAATCTTGAATCCAGTTCAGGTGGAGCACCGGAAATTAACGAAGATTGTGCAGGCACAATGGCCGGCGCGAATCAACTGGATGAGAATAGGGTGGATACAGTCGTGATCAGAGTACATGTCGTACCAGATGGCAAGGATGCACATGGGTGCACGATATATGCACGCATTGACTCGTGTACATTGAGCCCACAGGATCAAGAACACGTCGCATTTAGCCCTGTTTTTGCACGCATAAACCAGCATCGCTTCTCTTGCGCTTACAATCATGGGGCTCATAGAACCTCCCCTCGTACTTTTGACCGCACAGACAAGAATATATACAGTGGTAGGTTGGTATAATCTTTACTGGTCGGGGTAACCTATCTACTTGTCGTTCAGCCGTTGACCGCAAAATACCAGAGAAACGAGTAGATAGTAAAACAATGAATGAATTTGAACCCCAATATGTAGGTTTTTCTCTCATTTTGAAGGAAATCGCTATAACGGTTGGACAAAATAACATTTCCGTGTATACAAGCGAAAGTACTGTATTGTATGTTGATATCGGGATGTTTCCCCACATTCAAAAGGTCATACAGAATCAGGGGGTTCCGAGCCGCATGTACCTGAAGTCTGTGCATACATGTATATTGAAAGTGCAGATCGTGGATATTTACTGTAACAAAGCAATATAGTGACAGCCCTAAGAGACCGAACAGAAAAGAACAGAATCTCGTCATCGAACTCCACAATCGCAACCGCCATTGCGGGGAAATCAGCCACTTCCTATGCAACTTTTCTGGGCTTCATGTCTGCCTCTGGCTATAGGCCTGTTCCATCATGGAGGTAAGACAAATCAACACTCTCAAGCGAGCTCCAACTAACAGCATCAGGTGCCAAAAGCCCGGGGAGCGGGCAGGTCAGGACCGCGCCGACGAACGGGCTGCCTGACATGTAGAGCGCGCAAAGTGCGCTGCGACGAATCCAAACCAAGCTGCTCGAACTGCGACCGACTGCGACTGCGGTGCGTCTATAAACCCCCCATCGCGCTCGGGTGGGGGTCATCCCCATCTCGCTCCAATGCGCCGAACCCTGCACCGACAGTTCCAACCAGCCCACCCGGCCCAGCAGTCGCAGCTGCATCGCGCTCACCCGACATCAACTTCTTCAACACTGTCCTCCGGTCCGATGATCATTCAATACCAACACTCCGACATCTGCCCGCGGGGGATCCTTACCCCTCCGAATTTGATATGCTTGGATTTATGGGCGGGATCACATCGGAACTGGAGCAAAAACACCTCGATTTGACGACTGGGCTCGACGCTACTTTCACCGCTAGTCCATCGCAGTCGCTTCCTGGTGTGCTGCCGAATATGGAGGGCCAATTTGTCGACCGTCACACCCCACTCAGTCCCGATGCGCCTTCTTCGGGGCTGGATGAGACGTCTATTGGAAGTGGTTCGGATGGTGCTACCCCGCGGGGGAGCTGGTCTGATGCCGGTGGTACTTCATATGAGGATCAGCTTATACAGCACTTCCTGGCCATTGGACCGCCGGCTGCTCCGTTTGGACCGCTCAATATGGAGTGGAAGTACGTGCGGCCGGCGTTGTTGGCTCATGCGCGGAGCTTTGGTCCGCTTTTGAATGCTGTGTACTGTTACACTGATATCCATAAAGCGATGGTGGATGGGAAACGCTGGCGCTGGGCGCCTACGTATTACAGAGTTTCCAGTTCGGAGATCCAGGCATGTCTCCTTGGTGAAGTGGGCGAGTACACCCTTGTCAAGGTCTATGCGACTGTTTTTCTCTTAATGTTATCCGAGGTAAGATCCGCCTTCTTTCAATTTGAAGCATTTTAGCTCACATCTATCTCAGCTTCTCTCATCCCACGAGATATGTGCTGGGACCTCCTTTCTTAAGTCTGGATACCTCATCCTCCAGCGCTTCCATGATCGCACTCAAACATGGACTGGCCTTGGTCACCTCCTAGTCTCATGGGTCTCTCTACTGGACGTCAAATCCCTGATTGCAGGTCGCGAAGGCCACCCTCTAACCGAGCTAGGAAATCTACCAGAGCACGGAATTTCAATAAAGCCAGTAGAGCCACAAACGTTCCCTACACCACGCACCACAACTCCAAACGATGACCCGAAAGAAGACGACACCAACGAAGACCCATTCCGCAGCCCCAGCTACCTAGTCTATGAATCAATCGTAGGCCCCGCCTTCCAATTCTTCGTCCAAGCCCAACAAATCGTCCGACGAATAGTCTGCATCGACCTCCACCACCGCAGCCGCGGAACCCTCAGCGATGAATTCGAAGTCCTCCAAATAGCACACAAAGTAGGCGCAGACCTCGAAACACTATGGCATAAACGGCCCGCAGTAATAGATGTCTACGGACGACCCGAAGCCCTAGCCGATATACTATGCGCCCCAGTCGCAATGGAAGTCTGCCGCACGTTCCGACAGTACATCGCCAGTTTCCTGGCTAATTTCATCTACCTGCACCGCGTTGCATTTGCAATCTATCCGCGCACAGACCGTGTCAACGGTGCCGTGGACCAGATCATTCAGCTTGCTACTGTTGAATCTGCCGGGCCTGGTCACCTCCCTGTTAGTTTTATGTGGCCGTTGTTTGTTGCCGGCCTGGAAGGGACCAGTGATCAGCGTCAGTGGATCGTTCAGGAAATGCATCGTATGGCTTCTGTTCAGGCTACGGATCCCGTTTCTTTGCTTACGCGTCATCCGGCTGCTGATAAGGTTCTCTTGTTGCTAGAGGAGATGACTCGACGGCAGGATGCTTCACGGACGTGGGCTGACTCCAAGTGTGTAAGGCGGGAGTTGTTTTCGGATTTCTTTGTCGTGATTTGAACGGTTTGTTCGAGACACGAGTTGTATGTATGATCTTTCATTGGCTTTCAGTGGTGTGCTCATTATGACTAGCGATCCTGATTTTTTTTTTCCGTGATGTGATGTTATGTTATGACGATGACTCTCTCTTTCAATAGATGTACCTAGGTATCTTGCATGGACAGTATTTTCATAATAAAATGGAAAAAGGTTACTTTAGACCGTCCCGGATCCAAGTGCTCGATATACAACCTTGTCCCCTCCCATACACCGTGATCGGTGCAATAGATGACCCCGTTCCTTGCGAACATACGCCGCAAAACAAATAGCCGCTACGGCCACAGCTCCAGAACTGATGAGCACAGGGTATCGAAATTGCCCAGGAAGCGGGAATGCAATAGTGGAAGCGAAAGAAAGCATTTCGAAAACATTCTGCAGCGCCATCTCCGTAGCAGAGAAACGGGCACGTGCATGTTCCTCGACATTCTGTGAATGCGATAGGTAATCAGTATCAACACAACCACAACATCAACATGGATATCAAAATGGGGCAAAAGGGTAAACTTACCTCCTGCACAAGAAACTGAACCGATAAATCAAATCCCCAAAGCCCAACCCGACTCATAGCAACACCAACAATCAAAGTTCCAGCTACAACCCGCGAATCCGAGTCCCAACCAACAAAGGCAGCAGCCGCAGCAGCCACACAAACGAACTGCCAATTCAGGAACCACAATCCAGACCGGATTGGACCAATCCGGTTCATGATCATTGGTGCAGTCCATGTACCAGACAACTCAGCAGCCACAGAGCCAATGCGCATATAACTAACCTGCAACGAGGTGAACCCCGTGTGCAGTAGATATGTCACCATTGTGGCGCCGAATGAGAGCACGGTTAGGTAAAGGAGGCTTAGGGCGAAGGAAGCTAGGAAGACTGGGCTGGTTGTATATTCTTTCCAGGGGGATTGGGATTGGATAATTTGGGGGATATCAGCAGGTGAGTTGGTGTGATTAGAGTCATGGTTCCCATATTGTATATCGTCCGGCTCTTGGGTGGGAGAGGCTGGCATCTGCTTTTTCAAAGCTGGCACTGCTTGGTAGACTTGGGCGATTGCCACGTACTCGATTATCACGGATGCTGTGTTCAGGCCGAATACTGTCCAGATGGCGTAGCTAGTTGAGATACTGTCGACTAGGGAGATGAAGACTGGGGCTAGGAGTTTGCAGAAGAGGTCAATTCGTCGCATTGAGGCGTTCAAATCTGTGGTTGTTAGATATTACTTATCTTTTAGCTATTGACTTGCTGTGTACTTACCTTGTCGAGGCACACTGATGCTATCCGATATTACGATTGCCTGAAATTGCATCACACAATTAGTGGACTTACTTCATATAGCGAGCAATGAAGAATGTATAGCTCAAAATCTCGAGAACATACCCAATCTCGCTCCACAGCTACCGTATTTGCCGTAGCAGCCAATTTCTCCAAACAAGCTAAAATCCCCTGTACAGCAAACAGGACAAGAGTGATTGTCCAAGACTTCGCGCTCATAAGAAGCACAAAGCACAAACACGACACAGCAACAGGAACTCGTTGCCAAACTAGTAACCCAATTAGCAATCAAGTTCGAATAAAACCAATCCAAATCAAACCATAAAGACATAATACACATACCAATCGAATACCTCAAAGCAACAAGTCGGTCAGACCGATCAACCCGCGCACCCAGCCAAGACGAAAGTGCAACAGCAGACAAAGCCCTGACCAAAGCATATATCGACGCATAGAGCAACGTGCCTGGGAAGATAGAAGCGAGGAATAGCACCGCGCCAAACTCGAACATGCGTGAGTTCCATGTGGATAGAGTGTGAGAGATGTAGAGGCGTGTTAAGACGGAGCGGGCTTCTGGTGCTGGGGTGGTATTTAGTTGTGAACTTGGCCCTGACGTCGGTAAGATAGTGCGCTCGGTATTGATGCTTTCAGATGAGGATCTGCTTGATCCGGAAGACCGTGTTTCTAGCTCCATTTTGATGTGCTGGTTATACAAGTTGGGCGTGTAGATTTGCCATTGAGGTAGATGAGTTGAGGTGCGGATCTGCGATGTTGCGGGTGGGCTGAGGACCTTTGTGGAACCCGCACTAGTGACTGTTGGGAGTGTTTGCCGCTTGAATGTTGTGTTTTCTACTTGTTCTATAGTTGTTTAAGGCTATACTTCTACTTCTACTTTTACGGAAGGTGATTGATGGGGTAAATGGCATGTGGGTATATAGTCCCAATATTCGATAAATTCTAATACACCAGAACAATAAAAAATTACAGGTAGATGGTATCCCTCTTAGTTCCACTTGAGCCCTCCCTCGGCAGTCTTCGACGTCTTCCGGGCAATCACCTCGACGACCTTTCGGCGGACACCCTCGCGGTGGGCGTACTTCTCGAGGAAGTGGTCCACCACGGGTCTCCGTGATGCGTGTCCTTGACGCACAACTTGCTCAATCTCGTTCTCAGAGGGGAGGGCGAAGTGAGCGTGGGGGTAGCTCTTGTAGTCTCCATTGCTGAAGAGGGCTAGGCGCTCCTCTCCCTCGGGGATCTTGAAGAACTCTTCCACAGCCTCGTCGGAAACCTCCTTCAGAGTAGCCGGCTGCCACTCAGCCTGGCGGGGAGGCTTCGACACCAAACGGGCGTTGACACCCTCAACAAAGTCGGGGTGGCGCATAAAGTGGGCAGAGATCGCGTGCTCGCGCTTGAAGGTCTCTGAGATGCTCCACTTCTTACCGAGGCGCAGCTGGCGAAGGGTCACTTTCAGGGAAGTAGGTGAGCGGCTCGAGAGGGTCTCTAATGTCTTCTGGGCCCACTCCTTGTGCTCTGTCTCCTGCTCCAGAGCCTGGAAGATTTCCTCCACGGTGTTGAATGCGAAGCAGCGGTCAATGGCAGTGCGCAGGCTACCAGCCATGAGCATAGGCTCCTCTTCAAGAGGAGGAAGGCCAAGTGAGAACTCTGCCATAGTCTTGTTCACGGTGTGTAGGCGTTCGGGGAGCTCGACGTGGTCGGGGAAGGTCAGCTCAGAGAGACGCTGGGTCACATTGGCCAAAACACTCGAGTGCAGGTAGTGAGTAGCAATGCCGGCGTACAGAGTCTGCACACCCTTCAGGCGCTCCGAGGTCAGGGCCAGGTAGGTGCCGGTCTCGCCGTCGAGGCGGGGCAGGAAGAACGAGCCACCCACGTCAGGGAAGAAACCAATGGTTGTCTCGGGCATGGCAAAAACAGTCCGCTCAGTTGCAATGCGGAAAGGAGCGTGCATGCTGAGGCCAACACCACCACCCATGGTAATTCCATCCATAAACGAGATAACGGGCTTCGGATATGTAGCAATCATGTGGTCGAGGGCGTATTCGAGGGCAAAAAAGCTAGTCGAGGCTTGTTGTCCCTCCAATCCCTCCGCGTTCTGCTTTGCCAGAGCGGCAACGTCGCCGCCTGCGCAGAGAGCCTTCTCGCCAGCTCCCGAGATGAGGATCATATTCGCGAGACTAGACTTCTCCCATTCCTATTCAACCAACGCTTAGTATTCTGTTGCTCTTGTCTTCCGGTGAACCAATCTAACCTTCAGTCGAGGGAAAATCTTCCGTGCCATGGAGCCGTTCAAGGAATTGAGCTTCTTAGGGCGGTTGAGCTCGACGCTGCGGATGCCGTAAATCGAGTTGAACAGAACATCATCTGGCTCATCGGTGGGAAGTTCTTTGGGGATATTCGTCGACATCTATCAATGATCAGCTCTGATGTCGGTGTTCGGTCCGAGGAGTGCATACCGAAGCTGTTGCCGTGAAGGCAGGGTTGGTCACCTTTGCGCGTAGAGGCATTGGGGAAACGCGCGAGATCCAGCTCGGCGAGGGTAGGCGGGAGAATGAGTGTCGAAGTAACATTAGACCGAAGAAAAGAAAGAATCAAGGGAAGGGGGTATGATGGTGACAATCAGATGTTTCTCCGCTTTCTTGACCTCGGGAGTTTTTCTCGCTGGATTTTCTTTCCGCTCCGACTCTCCGCCCATAACCGACACTGCTTGACATCACATTTGGATGCTATTCGACGTCAAGGGTTTCCATTGTGTTGTGTGGAATGAATTGAAATAAAATACTATGGAAATACTATAAAAATACTGGGTTTTAGACTAGCACGGTTCTGAAATAAAGTGATAAGTATAGATCTATTTGTACATAGCTAGATAATGCAAACAATATAACAGCAACACAATCAAGCCCGAGGGCGGCCCAGCTGGAGTATTTCCTTTCCGTCTAGTGAAGGCGACCAGACTCTGTCCTCCTTATTCAGGTCTGTAGAGTTCTCGCGCAAAAGCCTGTGCAATGCCTCCTTCTCAATAACGATTCTCCCTGTCTCCAGCATATCCTTCACATCCACATCCGCAAAGTCGATACATTTCACGTGCTTCTGGAACTTCTCGGCTGCTTGGAACAACCTCTCATCCGCCTTCTGTGTAATGAGTGTTACCCGACCCTTCTTCTGGTCCCAGCCATGAGCCGTGGCGACGTTCCTGACGAAAAACGGAGTGGCCTCTTCGGGGAGAGTAATTGAGTTCTCCACGACAATCAATTCGCCGCGTGCGTGCCTGTAGCTGAGGGCGATGCGCCAGGCTTGGGCATAAATCTTTCGTGGCAGATCGGTCGAGAAATCGCGAGGATGGGGTCCGTGGGCTACACCACCACCACGGCGAACTGGCGATTGCTTGTCACCTGCACGGGCGCGACCGGAGCCCTTCTGTGCGTACAGCTTCCTGTGACTACCGTGCACATCGTCCCTCCACTTGGTGCTGGCTGTTCCTTGCCGGGTTGCATCACCCTCGTAGACGACTGCGCGGTGGAGGATATCATGACGAATAGGCATTTGAAGGAGTCTCCGCGAATAGTGAATCATGCGTTCGGGTTTCATGTCAGGCCAGCGGTAGGTCACGACTTGAACAGGGAGTTGGCCTCCGGGCCGTTGTGCTTGGGGGGCCTCGGTGGCATTTTGTGTCTCGATGGGTGTTGTAGGCTTTGCTTCCGTTGCCATTGACCGTGTGAGGCATCGCTGCTGCGGAATTGGGTTGCTTGTCAGTAACTGCGTCCAACACACGGATCAACAATTCACGGAGTCACTCACCGTCACTTGCTTCGGACCGGACATGAGTCCGCCCGAGCTGCGTGACAGCAGGCGCAGCGAGCGAAAGACATCGTGACTAGGCATTGTGTAGAACCACTGTGGTGGATAACGCCTATAAGTTGGTGATGTCTGGTGTCTTGAATGGATGAGCAAAAGTTGATCCCGGGCGGTGGGTACTAGCAGAATCTTGGCGTCCGAACAGAAAAAGTCACCCCGGAAAGACAACAACATCCGACCCTTGAGACCAACCCCATCACAACCCCCAATTCTTCGAATCATGGCTCACTGCGAGCGGGCTTCGAAGCCCCTGCTCCAATGCCTTCGCAACACCTACTCTCGAGGCATTGCTGGAGCCCAGCTCCAGACGCGAGCCTTTCAGTCGACTGCCAGCGTTAGAGAGCCCGAAGCTGAAACGACAAACCAACCCTTCCACAAGGCACCCGATCCTTCTCTTGTGACGAGCCCCCGGTTAGAGAGACGCTTGTTGCGACAGGGTACCGCCCCAATTGGATCTCGTCGTCGTCGTGCTGCGCTCCAAGACTCCGCCAACATTCCTTTTGAACAACTGCCATACCAATGTTTCCAAGAAGCTCGGAAGGTTCTCCTCGCCGACCGTGAGGAGAAATTGAAGGAGATTGAGACAATGAGACAGCGCCTTGCACGACAGGAATCTCTGTCCGTTGAGGAGGCCGGAGGAGAGAAGGCGAAGAAGTCCCGTGTCACGGCGATGCAATTACATTTGGAACGCCTCAAAATCCTTGCCGATATTAACGATCCCTTGGTGAAGCGCAATTTCGAGGATGGCGAAGGTAAGGCTTCCTGACCGACCCATTTGGATAACTTCAGCCCAGGCTTATCATATTTCCATTCCAGGCGACATGTCCAAGCCCATCTACCGCTTTTTGGCCGACCGCAAATGGCGCGAGTACCGCCGCAAGATTCTGGTCCAGCGTATTACCCAAATGAAGGTCATTCCGGACGTTCTGCCTCACTGCGATCCCGTCGTGGACACCAGGATGTACTTCGGCAAGCGCCAAGTTCAGGCTGGTGAATTTGTCGAGGCAAGAGCCAGCACAAGCGCACCGAAGCTGGACATTCAGATCTTCAAGGGTGGTGAAAAGCTTGTCACTATTGCAATTGTTGACCCGGATATCCCGAACGTTGAGGCCAACAGCTTCGATTATAAAACGCACTTCCTTGCCGTCAATGTGCCCATCTCGGCCACCTCCACCAAGGTCGATCTCTCCAAGCTTCTGGAAGACTCCCAGGTGGTTCTTCCCTGGCTGCCACCTGTTGCTCAGAAGGGTAGTCCCTACCACCGTCTCTCTGTCTTCATTATGGAGCAGAAGAACTCTCGCCCTCTCAACTTTGAGGCCATCAAGGCCAAGGAGACTAGCCGCGACGTCACTCTCCGCACCCTCCAGGCCAGCTACCACCTTAAGGCCATTGGTGCTCACTTGTTCCGTACCCAATGGGACGACACGACCCTGGAGGTCATGAAGGAGATCGGATTCGACGGTGCCAACGTGGAACTTCGCCGCGCACGGGTCGAGCCTCTGCCATATAAGAGACGTAACCCCTCATCATTCCGCTAATCTTGTCTTGTCTAAGTCGTTTCCTATATCGGCGATTGAGTATAGATTTTGTATTGTACAATTTGATATGTATGAATATGCACACTGCTTTCACAATTCCCTTCCAATCACAAACTCCATGTAATGCTTAAACAAAATCCCAAGTAATACACTCCTCGGCATAAAGTATAGATGCGATGCCGCATAGTCCAACCTAATCCAATTGCGCAGGTTGCAACGGGTTACGCACCCACTCCATCTTCGACGGCGGCCATACCCTTGCAACAATCTTTCCATTGATTAAACCCATAGGAACCGGTCCGTAGTTTCTCGAATCTCTCGACCAGGGAAGATTGTCGCCAGCCAGAAAGACATGGCCCTCGGGTATCTTAACACAAACGCAAGTCAGCAATTGAACTACATAACCCTAGAGCAAGACAGCACCCCTACCTGAATCATATTTTGGTCCTTCCCAACCTCCGTACTAAACTGCTGGTCCTGACAAACAAAGTCCCCAGGCATCCCAATGACCCGCTTGGCAGCATGAACGCCCTGGAAGTTTGGATGCCCAAATCGCACAATGTCGCCGACCTCAATTCCCTTTCCGTGTCGGTGCATCCGCGAGATCAGAAGCCAGTCGCCTCGCACGTTGAAGGTCGGGTACATGGACGGACCGGCGCTGGCCTGGATGGTGATCAGGTGCTCCCAGATCAGCGCGCAGCCGCAGAAAGTGCCGGCGCCATTGAGTGCAAGCCGGCCAATGCTGCGCAGGTTGGCGTGTCGCAGCGTATTTCGGAATAAGCCCTCCATGTGTGGTTAATTGAGAGCTAGTTGGTTCTCTCGGATTGAGCTTCAGCCGGTCCGCGATTGGGTCATGTGACCCAGCGGTGCCTTTAAAAATCTCGATTTCGTTACTCTCCCGTCTTTCCCTTCTCATCAACAGTCGACATATTGTCTTGCACCCTGAGGTGGCAGGTCTCGCTTCTATATTGGATTGTGAGGTCCTGGGATCATTCTTGCTATTTCAGCTGTCCATTTAATGTTGTGGGCGCTGGGCTGAGCACCTGGATTTTCCTAGGTGTCGACTTTTCTGCGCAAGCATCTGTACAATAGGTAGAGATGCTTGAGCTGTTCAGTTGATATTATACCCCCTTCCTATCATTTCCCCATATCCAATTCCCTTACCCTCTCCCACTCGGGAAATCCGCTTCTCCAAATGCTAGAGCTTGCCGTCGTCGAAATTCAGCACCAGGACGAGCAAGTGTGGACAATGAAGCAAGATGAACACAACCAGCCTATCTTCTTCTTGGCTGTCCCCCAGTGTGCCTCAATCTTGACCCCATTTCATTATGGGACTGGGTCTTTGAGTCATGCGCAGCGGGGAGACATCTCTGCATATCAATTTATTTCAATTCATATTCATTTCACCATACTGTTCTGTATAAAACGTAGATACATTCCTCAAGTCGATTTCCACATCGTATCAGCATCTATAAGAAGTCAATTGTCAGCCCAATGTCAACCAACACCCGAGAATGAGTCTCCAGCGAAGCAGGATGATATACATACCAGAATGCTTCTCAACAGCCTTAATCCCCTCCCTCTTCTTAGCCTTCTGCCGATAATCAACCCCAAACCTTCCATCCCGATCCCCCAACAACTCATCCAAGCCCCCAGGCTTTGCAACTTCCACACTCTCAGGCGAAGTAAAACTCCCCATCAACTGCGGCGGACCCATAGGCACAACATCCCCACGATCAACCTGCCAAAAATGATAAGTTTTCCCATAAATAGGCGCAACATCCTGCATCTCAGCCGTCTCAGCTGCCTCCCATGCAGGCTTGGGGACGCCAGCTGGCGCGGGCATGATCAGCATGCCGCTCTTCACTTCGAACTCGTGCGTGTGCCAAAGCTTGCGTTCTGCGGCTGGGAGTGTTTCGAAGATTCGCGGTGAGACCATGTATTCGACGCCGATTAGGCGGGCGTTTGTTTTTGGTGAGTCGTAGATTAGACATTGGCGGACGTCTGGGGTTTGTTGTTAGTTTGCGTCATATCATTAGGGAAGAGTATGTAGGGCTCTGGATCGTGCCGTATCGTGACTGTAGTTAGAGCTGCATACCTTCTGTTAAATGCGTGCAGTAGTGGTTCGCCTCGACGCATCGAGTGGGATCGTTGGCATAGACATGGAATGCGTTGAGGTGCGCGCAGATCTGTTTCACTGGCGCGAAGTCTTGGACCATTGAAGCTCCTGTTTCGAGTACTTTACTCTTGACTGTTCGTGGATCGCCTGGGATTCCACTTTTATCGTCGGTGTTTCCGGTGCAGGCTGACATGTCGGCGATCTATTCAACCTGAGTTGATGGAAGTTTTTGTTGGAGTATGCTTCACTGACAACTCTGCGCAAAATATGTTAGACTTCATCCAGTAATTCTTTACCTAAGATATTTTGTAAAGGAAGAGAATATTCACATCATCCTCACATCATCTTAATTCTAGAATGTATTTTCTTGGCTTTATTGAATTACCAACTTGACGTCACGATGATTGTGTCCCGGGAAGTCGGACTAAACTGTATACATCTAATCAGCATCATTATACCCGAATCACTATGATCATTTATTTGTACCTTGGATGTGCTTGGAGATTTTCTAGATATCTGGCAGATTCGATCATCGGACTTCCACTGTGCTCACTTCTCCATGCTAATCAGAACCCTCGCATCTTGCAACGATCCAGCACTAGGAAGGCAGAGCGTGCCCCAAAAATGCAGGAGATCATGGCAGTTGGTGCCATTTCAAGAGTTGACTCAAGGAGCATCCGAGCCTTCTGGTTTAACTCTTCGAATTTTCTGAGTCGAGCTTCGTATTGTGCGAGGAGACACTTGTTGTGGTCACGGTTGATGGAGATAAATTGTTCCACCTTCTGTCTGATGGTGTGAAGTTCCGTTGCAAATCCGACCTCCATATATTCTGTCATGGCAACGGCGAAATAGGATTCCTCGGTGGTGTAGTAGATGTAATTGGGCTCAGCTGGATACTCAATATCTCCTGCGAGTATTGACCAGTACTCTGGGTTTATATTGGATATGCCTTGTTCCAATCTACTGACCCAGATATTGTAGTTGTTAGTACCTAGGCTGAGCTTGGATACTACCTGGGAAAGCTGCCAGGTCTCGGTTGATGCCATCGTGAGGTCTGTGGTTGTTGAGAATTGTTGGATCATGAGGGCAGACTTTTGCAAGAGACTTGAAATGTGCTTGCTGGGATAGTCTATCAAACGCCAAAGTCGAGATGGATAGCAGGTCGGTGCGTGTGGGCTCGTGGGTCTTCGTCGTTAGCTTGAGCATACAGCGAGACTGCGGGTGAATCTCGAGTGCAAGGCTGGGAAATCAGTAGAATATAAGATGGCCTTACCTCCTAGTCCTCTGGCTTGGTGGCAGATTAAAGAAGCTCAATGGACATCTAATAGATATTGGAATAGAAAGAAGAAGGCGTTATGATTGAGGAAACAGACCAGTGGAAGCAGAGGAATTTCCCAGATATCAGCTTCTAGACAAACAATAAGCATTTGCTTTGGCAAACAGTTTCAACACCGCGCTTTGTATCAGATGAAGCGTACCCATCAGATCATGAGACTGAGGATAACAACGTTCAATTATGAATTTTCTGGCTGTTCTCAGGTCATATAATTTGGCGAAATGAACCGAGATCACCCCGGGGAACACATAAGCAAAATCATTGCCCTTATATAAGCCCTCTAATACATTCTCCGGCTCAACTCAATCGTTGACTCCTTGTACAATGCCAATTGCAGGGGGCCTGCTTCGTAACCCAGCCATCAACTTGTCCAAGTCACTCAAGAATTCAATATTGATATCTTCGATTTGTGCCCATTTAATTATATCAAGCATTTTCTCATGACACTTATGAACAAGTGGTTCTCGTCATCCAACAGGACCACAATAATGAATAAAGACAGCTCGAATGTCTGCCAGTTTGGTTCGTGAAACGCAATAAGCAACACGAACCATGAGCTGCTTCAAGTTCTAACGTTCAGGGCCAGACAAAAAACTAAAATTACATTGAGAATTTTATTTCGACAGTGGTCTATTTATCTATCAAGCTCCAGAATAGCTCTGTGGGACGTATGAGCCAGGAATGGCATACGTGCCCGACTCGCTGAGCATTTCCTTTCACTGCCTATTTGCCGTTTATCTCTTTTGTCGTCTTGATCTATTGTGACAGGTCCCACAGGACTTGTATGCTAATCTATTCCTGCCTACACATTCTACAGGTACATCACACCCTTCATTGTTCTCCTGTCTGTTCTCACCCTCGCAATCATGGTACTGGAGATATACAATATACTCTCTAACAAAGGGTTATCCGTTTTTGACACAAGTTTCAACAACTGACTCTGCAGTTCTTGGGCAAAGGATATTGTCGGCAATATCCCGCTCAGTTGGCCATGCAGAGCAGTTGCAGCTACACCGTGTATGAGTCTTTGAAAAAGTTGATATCGACTTGCGCGAGGAGTCAAAGCGGAGATATAATGAAAATCTACGGTAAGCTACAACTTACTGATTGCTTCGTTTATCTTCCCTATCGCATCATTTCGAGACGTCTTTCGTATGTTGCCTGGCACAAACTTTCTTCCTGCAGTACTTCCAGGCAAAGCTTCCGGCGTATACAACAGCGTGGTTAATGAAACACCTAAACACCTGTTTGCACGTACTGAGACCCAGAATGAGGAATGAATATCACCCTTTAAAACCCACGGGCCACATCGATTTCGAGAGAAGCTGGGCGAAGTGAAATAGGATACGTGGACACCCTCAAGGAAAAAGCCGGCTCCAGCGAAAGGAACCACATTTTCTGGAGCTGCAACTACTGCCAGTGTGCTGTAATCCTTTGGGTCATATCCCAGGCACCAAGGGTATATTCGGGATTGCTACGTGGCCTACATAGTGCATTTACACGAATCGTTGGTCGTTTCAGCTACGAATCTGGTCGAGAAAATCAACCGCAGTGTGTTTCTCGCTGCTGATAGGATTTTTCGGCTTTTGTAGTGATTAACTTTCTTTCACTGTCGTATGGTGGGCCAATTTTGCGCACGGCAGCGGTTCCAAGGTATATATTTTTCTCGATTGCCTTCCCAAATTTAGCAGATATGCGTCCTGATTTCCAGATACATCAATAAGGAGAAGTATTGTTTCGTTTTGTTTCTGTTGGTCATAATCTTAACAACCAAAATCTAGACAACTTATCACTATAGAGTAGTCTAGCGAAATATCGGTTACCCAAGTCCGCGAGCACTAAGCCGAGACGAACAATCGAAAAATCTCTTCAGCCCTAGACCCAAATCTATCACTAAGCTCCATTCCTTAGATTGAACTAGTCAGATGACAGTCGCGAATAGGCCTCCGGCGTCCTACAATTGAAGATCTCGGGATTCAATCTTACATTGAAAGCCGAAGTAACATCGACAGAGGAGCATCGCTCAAAAAGAGGAACTGCATCTAAGATCCCAAGCTAACAGCAATTACCACTACCAATTCCTACTAGTAGAAAACGCCCGGGCGCAAGGCACTTAAATCCCAGACCGACACCAGATAGGCAGAAGCAAACACAGAAGATTGACGCTGATCTCCCTGATCGGCAGATCCCCATTCCACTTGATCCATTCAATTCAGACGGAAAAGCAAGTCAAAACTCTTCACTTTCCTCAAGGGGGCGGCACCACTGTGGAAGCAACTATAGTTAGCGCAGAAAACCTAGCACTAACACTAACACCAACACTAACGAGCACACCATGTACCGTTACCCCCCACCGGGGATCTACAGGTGTACAAGTACCAGATTCTGAAAAGTGTAATATCCTCTGCAAAGCCCAGTGCCCAAAATCAATAACGCGGCATACACGGCCGGACCTTCCCGCTCGACTTTTATGGTTTCTCATATTGTACAACAGGCCTGGGGCGGACTTGAAGGGGGCGACGAACCCCGTTGGAAGATTCGTCCGATCGGGAAAAGATGCACGCAGTGTGGGGGCGCTTTGAGGAGACTGGGGCTCGGGGGGTTGTGTCCACCGCTAATCCTTTTGATCTTTTAATAGGGGAATGAATGGGGGCTGCAAGTGTACATGTACAATGTACATGTTGCAGTCAAACATACATAGGCTTGGTGCCTACAGCGCCTCAATTTTTGAATCTATAGTAATGATACAGCACACTGAGACAAACAAGGATGGTACGGGTCTGAGCAGTCGTGTCTAGACTTAGACGCAGAATGCAGAACGCAGAATGAAAGGGTGGAGGCACTGTATATCACATCTGTGTGCCACGGCATACATACCCGGTGAAAGACCCAACGTAGGAATGAAAAAAGGGTGGCTCGGTGGAGAGAAGAATACGGTGAAGGTAAAAGCGAAGCAACCCAAGGGACTGGAACAATCATAAATGGAGATTTTAGTTGGAAGTCTGCGGTAAGTTTCTCTTACTACAGCTAATACAGTAGTCGCAGCACATTAAACAACCCAAAGAGGTTTAGTGAACCCGAGGAAATATGGAGAGCAAACCGACGACAAGAGGGCCTCGAGCCCCTCTTATCTCGTAAGCAGGCGAAAAAAGCAAAGACAATATGGATACTAGCAGGGAAAGAAAGGCCTCCTTTTGCCGTTTAAGCAGCCAACCAGCGCCCATCAGTGACAACCTAAGGTGCGTGCACTGCACTAAAGCCAACTAATCAAAAGCCTCCGACACACCTCCGCACAGTGTGTGAAGCATATAGGATTGGAGGATCAAAGTCAAATCTCCATCACATTAACTGCCGAGCATAGACATGTAATACTGTAAGGAATGAGATCACAGCGCTCCGACATATTTACTATCGAGTTACACTGCACGGAGGTGTGCCACCTCACCGCAGCTGTTCGCACAGCGCAGATACCCCTGCGATCAGCTGCATTGATCTTCTTCTGGCGACACCCGCAGAGGTTGAGTCATCGCGGAGAGTGCATGTGGATGTCAACCTTGGAACTGGAACCGTAGTTCCCGAAGTTAGTAAAAAAGTGAAAATAATAGCGAGTCCTTCGTATGGAAAGAAATGGAACCGGAGCCAAGTTGCATACGAGAGATCGGCCCCTGCATGGAAACTCATTTTGTGATCTTTTGAGTTTGCCTCGTTCGGAGCAAGATCGGCATTCCTAGCAGATCGTGAAAAAGGAGTGAGCACTGGCCAAGAATGGGGTGGATCCTAAGGTGCGCGGTTAAGCACCGAGTTTAAACCTGGGGCGATGGTTGGTGTGTAGGGTGAACGGGTGAGTTGGACTACCTGTACTCCATAAATTGGAGTAAGTTTCAGTAAATTGGACGGTGCGGCAGTGATTGGATTCCTAAATGACAACGTGTCTATAGCCCCCGTCCCTTTGGGTTTCTACTCCGCCACTCAGTTTGTTGTTGACTGTGATAAGGATCGATCCACCTGCACCTGGACCTTGTGTGGCGTCACGCCGCAGGCGTCAGAACACCCGAGTGTTGGATTTTGAATAAACTTCAGCTATAGGAGTCGGTGACGAAATACCCACAGTGTTTTTGTCGTTGGATATGCTTCCGTCCCTCTATATATCTCAGACCTGGCGAGGCGCTGTGTCACAGGGCCCTGCAAGTACAGCTTTTAGGGTCTGGCCTGCAGGCTTTGTTTGACTTAAGCTGGTCTAATTCCGAACAGCCAGCTGATTCTAGGTTGCAACCTATCGGGAGCATTCTTAGTTTCAACTAGAGACACAGCCCAGCACCGTACTGCCCGCACTGCCCGTAATGCCTGTACTGCCTCCCTGGGACCGATGTCCGAGCATAATCCGATCGTCAAGACCTTGACATAGAGGTGAGATGAACAAGGAGAAAGAGCCGAGGTAGCAAAGTGCTGTAATTTTCTATTTAATTTGTTAATTACAGTAGAACAAAGGAACGCACGGCTATCTGAGTGACCCGAACATTCTCATCCGATGCTACACCGTAAGGAGCTGATGACATGGCGCTAAAGCAAGCCAAATTGACTTAGTCCCGCAGCTCCCTCCCGCTGCATTCCTTAGAAACGGGCAATCAGAGACCCCGACTGGAACGTCTGGAAGGACGAAGGAAGCTGGGATCGGCCCCCCTTGCCCCATTAGTGGGGGGCTAAGGAGTGAAACGGAGTTCATGGCATACACACACGCCCTTTCGGAAGTTACTCTAGTGGAGTCAACCAAGGAGGCTGATCAAAGCCCGATCTAGCGTGGTCTCGGACGGCGACCGCCTGAGAGTCCTCGAATATTGCCTGGCATGCAGGGTTTGGAGAGACATCCTGAGTCCAGAATCCAGAATCCCAAATCCTGCGGATATGTCCGTTGTTCCCGTTCCAAGGGGTGTGTGACCAGGTTAGATGTCTTACTATGTTGTTACGGTGTGCCATACTCCAGAGATCGGCAATTTTAGATGGTGTCAGCGGTTCCACTAAGAGGAGAACTTTGATTATTATTGATTTAGCCCCCCTTCTGGAAATTGTACATGGTCTCCAATTCCTGCCAATCTTTTGCCAATGCCAAGTTTTTTTCTTTTCTTTTCTTTTCTTTTTTTTACTGTGGCCCCTGCTGTGCAGAAAGTGGGCCTGCAAATGTGTTCCGGGCTGTTGCCGTGTGGATGTGTTTTGCAGGCATATCGAGATCAGCTGTAATCCGTATACATGTAGCAATGACGTGTAAGATGTGGCCCTAACAGGTTGAGGTTTACACTGCCATATCCTGGAATATGAAATATGGAATGCTATCGTCCATGGTGGACATCCAATCCAAGACCCCTGAAATGGCCTGTTCTTGGCTTTGAGCCCTAAGCACGATCAGATCCGCCCGGCCACGTTGTGAATGGTGGCTCAACCGCTCGTTTCCTGATCGGTGACACAAAGTGGGCTTTAATTTCTTTTCATTGGATTCTGAAATTGGTGTCAATCTTGCCGGGAATATAGTAGACTGGTCATATCTCCACTCATAATTGAAACGTCAACCGCATGAAAACTCCGTTCCGCACCCAAGGCCCCAATGGACGGTACCTAGCTCCACGCGGGTTCAACGCTTGGGATTGCCGAGCTTCCCGCTCAAAGACACGCATGTTCTGGTTTTGGTGGCGCCCTTTTATGAACCGATGAAACAGGTCCACAAAACGTTGAGGCACTCGGATCGATACGCTACCATTAGCTACATATTGGTTGGCGCCCACCCCTCTTTTTCTCAGGTGATACTGGAGAATGACCTCGAATGCTGATCCCGACAAAAATGCAGGTAGCCTAACACACGCACTATGGCCCAAGTTTCTCTTTTCAGCCACTCCGAATGATTGGTGGAGATGTCTATTTTGGGGATAACATGGACCAACAAATAAACAGTCCATCTTTGTATATTAGGTAGACTGTACAGTAGTAGAATAAGATTGCTCACCATCAGGTGGCCATGATGCATCTCCTGCATCATGTACATGTACTCCGGATAGGAGAATGTGTGCATGAGAATGGCCGGGTATGCGTACAGTAATGTAAACTTTGGGAAGGGGTCCGCCAAAGAGTATGACGGTCTATTTTCTACACTCCACTTAACCCCCTGTATGTAGAAAGCTATCACATTGTAACCCTTGCGTAACGAGTCCAGTAGGGGTAATAAAATAGTCACATTCTTATAGCGCTCAGTCTGAGGTATTGGTCGCAGATCGGTCCAAATCGTAGGTCACAAAGCATTCCACGGGCGGTTAGAGGGCCAAGGTTCTTGACTCTTTAGTTTTTCTGTAGAAGCGAAAAGAGAAACTAGTCCTTCTTAGGTCTCAAAGAGGGCCCTAGTACGTACTATAGATATTAATAAATGTAAATAAAATAAGTCTAAAAAAAAGATAAAAAAAACAAAGGAACACGGGAGTAGCCCCAGACTAGGCCCGTGTGAGGGTCCATTATACTCCTAGTCCTACTGTATTCATGTACAGCTAATGTATGAATCTTCCCCATGTTCGCCTCAAAAAGCATGTTCCATGTTCCCACAGGTCCGATCCCCCCACTTTCTACTCCCTATTTGCTGCACTCCGGAGTATTCCTGGCTCTGGTCGAAACGGTAGAATTGCCCTGATTCATGGTTTCGGTTCCAGGTTACCATTTATTTGCGTCTAGGCTCCTTTAGTGTCAACGTCGTGTCATCTTAGCATGTGCTGTGGGATCGTAGATCAGGCTCCCTAGATTCCTTTTTATAAGCCCTGCCTTGCCTGATCTTCATACCTCACTCTCTGTTCCTGAAGGAACATTGGCCTTTCACGTCCCACCTTTTATTTTTACCCTATACTTCCACCTACGTAAGCTGTTCCCGCCACCATCATACTGACTTTATATACTGACTCCATTTCCCCTCAGGTCTAACTATACTCTTTAACTTCTTTACACTTCTCTTATATGGCCAATTACTACTGTCAACCACAGCCCTCTTCGACAGGCTCCCAATGGTTTCAAGACAATGCAACTTATAGCCAAACCATGCAGGATCTGGTCCGTGCCTTCCCTCGGCCGAGACACACTCGGGTCATGAAGCCTCGTAGTGCTGGCAACAGTCCTTCAGCAATGAACAGACGGCGGTCGACCGTCAACCAGAATATGATGCATGGCATGCCTACTCAATATCAGACCTCCTTGGAAGAAGCCCTCCTTGCCTCCGCGGTCCGGAAATCTCGCCCGATCAGTTGGCACCCATCATCGGCAAGAACTCGGGGCCTTTCAAACCCGCAATGTATGCCCGATTACATCTCGGACAACTATGCCGGCATCGGTCCTCTCCCTGATCAGTACTTGAACTCAGCAGTCTATGGGGGCGAAGATTTCATGTCATATCCCATGACGGCGGATCCATCCTTCTCGCCAAACAGCTACTTCCCCGTCTATTCGGACATGCCAGAGGAGTTGCCACTCCCGCAACAACCCACGACGCTCTCAATGACTGGCTCGCAGGTCGAGCCGATGCCGTGGGACGTTACCGCCATGTCAACCGATTTTTCAGCCATGTCGCAGCCGGCTTCCGACAATTGGACCTTGGATATGCTCTCCATGGGAACCAACATTCCCCCACCGGAGACAACCTGCCCAAGCTATGTCAGCGTCCCATCTCCCGGTGAATTGAGCGGACCATCAACACCCGACTTTCTCCCGATTCAACATTTCGAAGATCCAATTCAGCCGATCGCCATGCCAAAGAAGGCCGGCAAGCCCGAGGAAGAACTGGTCGGTATGGGTCTCTACAACCAGCCCAACGGAACATTAGCCCGGGCCCCACAATCAAAGTCGGGCAAGGGTCTCAAGCTCGAAGAAACATTCACGCCTTCCGACGAAGACAAGGATGACGAGGCGGACGCAGAGGCCGAGAGCGTCGGGCAGCAATCGCCCCAGCAACCAGTTGTCTCGGATGAACCTACCCCGGTCCACCAGTCGACTTTCATCCCCAAGCAGCAGCCCAAGCAAGCTCTGAACCTGGTGCATCGGTCTTTCTTCTTCGAACACGATGACGCTGATCAGCATTCCATGACTGCTCAGCCATTCGCCGCCTTGAACCAACCCTGCATGAGCTACGGCTACGGGTGGATCTAAGCCGGTCGCTCGACACACCTTTTTATTTGCTTTTTATCAACATTTTTAGCTTAACAGCGGCATAGCGTGGAGTTTATTACTATTATTTGGGGGCGTCAGATACATGGATACCCTGGAACGATATGACTCGTATCCCATTACAATTTTTTTTGTTTGGAAGTTGAGAAATGTACTCAAACGATCTGACATACAAATTCGCTGAAGAATATTTACTACTACATCCCATATCTCCTTTCCTTGTAAGATACTTAAACTCGTTTGTTGATAGACGAAGTAAACAATCCTCTGCTCTGATTGGCCAGGAATAAACAAGCATCGGCAAAATCTCCCCAAAGGAAAAACTATCTGCCGAGAATATTTCGCAGCGAACCAAGCTCGAAAAGTCATGCAAGCATAGCAGAATTCATACAACTTCGAAATTAGTTGTTTGATTTCGGGCAGCAGAAATGGCAAAGGTCATTTTCACGGCTTGGAAGTCTAAGTCTGAATTACTGGACGTGCGGAATGAGTTTTATCCCACGTCTTCATGTGAAGGACCCGATTTGCGTGCTCATGGCTGTGCAGTGGTATGTATGACTGGATTTATTCAGATAGGGCATTGATCACTGATATTTGCGTTTATCAAGGTCGAGGCTTGGAAGCTACGTGGCAATGTACCGCATCACGTTGAGGCTACTGCCTTGTTAACAGATGCCATTCTCCATGATGATGCCCAGAGCAATTCCATCTTCTCTATTCGGGCAACTTATTCCGCTGCTTTCTGTCGGTGAGTATCATCGGCTCTATTCCCCTCTTTTTTTTTTTTTTTTTGGGTTGAATCTATGAAAAATATAACTGACACCACCTACAGCTTCGTCACTGGCCTGGTAGACACCAAAATCCACGGCGTGCGCCGAACAATGTTCCAGCGCGCAATGGACCTAGGCCTCCCAGCCTCCTTCGTGGAACTCCGCCACGAAGCAACCCACCGCGAGCCACCATCTCTCGTTGTCCTGCGCAAGGCAGCGCAGCGCTCGCTCGAGTGGCTCTGGGACAACTACTGGGCTGGTATTGCCGATGCAAGCTACGCGCCTGTATTGGACCATGACGATGGTGCATCTGTCAAGGCCGCTCTAGAAGATGCTTTGCAGCCTCTTTGTGGCGCGGATGCGGATGGGCAGGCCGTTTCTAAGAAGCGGAAGCGCGATTTCGGTGTTTCGGTTGCTATGCAGCTTGTCTCTATCTGTAATGTTTCTGCCGGTGCCGTTAGGCTTTTGTCGGAGGTTTTGCTTGAGAGGGGTGTTTTGGTTCCTGCTGGAAGGAAGTGAGTTGATCATCTTGCCCGTGTCTTCGGGATAGTCTGGATATGAGGGTGTGAACTCGTGTGCTGACTTTTTTCTTGTGAAACTTTAGGCTTGGAGAGTCTTTGAATGATTCTTTCAGAGAATGGGACCCTGTCCTGCAGAGGGTTGCTGAGACTCATCCTTCGTTCTTAAGGCACCTGACAGAAGATATGGTCAATGATCTCGCCTTCAAGGCCCCGGCCAATGCAGCTGAGAGTCCGCTATCTGAATCTATGTATCTGTGGCTGTCTCATATCCTCACACATTCTTTCTGGGAATTCCACAGGCAATCATGCCCGCAAAGCTATGTTATACAAGCTTGCGATGAGAGTCAAAACCACTTTACGAAATTGCTGAGTCGCCATTTAAAGAAGCAGGCCGATGGATTCAAAAAGGCTCCGAGCTCTCGATCTGCTAGCAAGAACCGTGTCTCGAAAGACAAATCTACCAGGAGTGGGTCATCAGGTGCAGGCTTCCAGCTTTCAGAGAAGCTGCAGCAGCATGGGTGGGGATTCGTGGAAAAATGGGATAATCGGCCTCTGGGCGTTATATCGAGTAATTAGACATATCTTGTAAAAGAACAAAACGAACATGCTGCTGGCAGCAATTGAATATAACAAATGTCTGCTAAGTTTATACTGTACACTAAAAGCTGCCAAGGAAAAACAGTTCATCCGGATGACGTTGCTGATCCGTGAGCTGCCGCTTTTAGTTGCGTAGGTCTGAGCACGCCTCTCAGCATCATGGTCAGTGATTGCTAAGCAATCTGGTCTCCTCTGATTTGCTGCTGACGAAGACCTCAATAAAATGTAATGCGCTAGCCCTACTCACATCCACCACGCTAGACATGCTCCAGTACCCTGTTGTAGCTGTCTGACGGAGGATAGTAGGTCTGCATTGACCGATAGCGAGCCAGTTCAATCTCCTTGAGGTAAGCCTCCCAGGAAAATGCATCAAGATGACGACCACCATCCTTGTACTCAAAGCATCCTCGCGCAGAAATTAGAGAGACTTCCACCCTGGTGACTAGGATCCATGATCTCATGTAACTGGATCGACCCACCTCCAGAGCTGAACAAAGAGGGACTGTGGAAAACATGACTAATTTTCGCCTAAACCTGGACAACTTTGAAAGTCTCTCTATCGTAAAATTGGTAGTTGAGCCACGACAGGTCAGAAAAATTCTTTCAAAAGAAAACATGCGAATAAATGTACACGTTGGATCAAGCACGGCCTATCGTGATTATAGATTTGTAGCCAGAAAGCACATCCCGAAAGCCAGAAATGTTTTAACCCACCTAGCGCAGCTTGTCTGTCAATTGTTACGAAATACTGAGGCTTTATCGAATCCCAGAGTATTTTTGGCGTCTCCTGCAGATCTCAGAGTGTTCATCTGGAAAAGAAAAGGGCTCGTATTATTCCATGTGATGCGCAGGATGTCAATACATGTATGGGATGAGAGGGGGGGAAATTTATAAGAGAGGTCACAAAATAAAAGATTGTGAGGGATAAACGTTGGAAGTGCCTTATAGACTGAATGCTAGAGGCCGTTGACTTATAGAGGGGTGCCAGGATGTCACGTGCCACTGGATATATGCCCAGACTGAAATGTACTTACCCAGCTTGACTCCAAGTCTCACAGGTAAAAGCTTCCCCCACATTCTGATTGCTTGTAATGAACTTCTTAAGGACTCGGTTATCTGGATCTACTTCGCCTATCTTCAGATCTCAGCTCAGAGCCATGCATATCCAATCGATTCCCATGTGTATGTTGGGCTCCAGATCTTCAAGAACCCGTGTCGTATACATCAACATTGGAACTGTGTTTGCTTACTCTAGCTTTGACATATAGGGACGGGGAAGGGCAATAACTATGCCTACCTTGTGACCGATGAGCCGACCAAGAAGTCGGTTATTATTGATCCTGCCAACCCGCCTGAGTGAGTGTCTTGCAGATTGGGGTTGGGATATCTAGGCATTGCGCGTGTGTACTAATTTGTTTCTACTGGCAGAGTTGCACCAGAACTGAAGTCTCAGATTGATGCTGGCAAGATTGATCTGACAGCCATTGTTAACACTCACCAGTATGTTGAGTCTCTTTGAATGAGCTGGATGGAGTCCAGATTTACTGACAATTCATAAATAGCCACTGGGATCACGCTGGCGGTAACAATGATATTGTATACATGATCTCTTGATTTCTTAGGTCTTGTTTTCCACGCTAACTGTTTTACTAGCTAAAACAATTCAAGGGACTCCAGGTCATCGGTGGCAAGGACTGCGAGTCTGTTACCAAGACCCCCGGGCATGGTGATGAGTTCAAGATTGGAGATCGTATCTCCGTCAAAGCATTGCACACTCCTTGTCACACGCAAGATAGCATCTGCTACTACATGCAAGATGGAAACCAACGTGTTGTGTTCACAGGCGATACTCTATTCATTGGTGGTATGTCTGCTTTGCTCCCCCTTCCATGATTGTTCAATCCGTTGATGAACTCGTATACTGACCTTTGAACCAGGATGTGGCCGATTCTTTGAAGGAAATGCAAAGGAGATGCACAAGGCCTTGAATGAGACTCTAGCAGCTTTACCAGACGACACCAAGGTTTATGTAGGTTGGCCCTCTTGCTTCTGTCGAGTTGTATACTGACATATTTCAGCCCGGCCACGAGTACACCAAGGCGAATGTGAAGTTCTGCATTGCGGTCTCTCAGACTGAGCCGATCAAGAAGCTCCAGGCGTTTGCCGAGCAGAACCAGCAGACACAAGGGAAATTCACCATTGGTGACGAGAAGGTAGGAACCAATTGGATTTTATCGTTCTCGGTTGAGGCTGACAGTTTCATAGCTCCACAATGTGTTCATGCGTGTCCATGTAAGTTCTATGCCCTTTACTCTTCCATTTGCTGGTGCTCATTCCATATATTCAGGACCCCGAGATCCAGAAGGTTACTGGCAAGACCGATCCGGTGGATGTGATGGCAGCATTGAGAGAGATGAAGAACAACTCGTAAAGTATCAAAGCCTGGTTAGCGTAAATCGAAGGTGTATATCCTATTACTGTCTCCGCAGATAGATTCTCGTAGAAGGGATGTTTCGGCGAGAGCGAGCTATCCCGAGGTCTAAGTAATCTGCCAAGCTTAAAAAAAGCAAATAAACATAATATCCCGGTGTTTCTCTAATTAAACAATTTACCCCAGAAGTTCGGACAAACCCCGACAAGATGCGCTGTTGGTCCAAAGCCGACGTCATACCCACCTCCCACCATTCCACGCCAACCCACCGCTCCCTAGGTCGACTCCACCACAATGAGAGAGTGAGAAACTGGACAACTCCAGTATTTCAGCGCGATGGACAAGGCAGCTGTGGATGATGTAAGTGGTCATCATTAGACTGAGATATCCCAGGGACTGATCAGTGTCAGGGCCATGAAGGGTCGAGCGACACAGAGGCTCAGAACCATCTGGAGGTACGTTGCCACAGCTTCTCAACAGCTTCCAAACAGTCATTGACTCAAGCCCAGGTGGTCTTCTATCCCGACTCTAACCACCGCCGCAAGTCTTCCCTCGTTACGATGGAAAAACCCAATGTCCTACCCCACCTAGCCCAGAACGACATGACGACCGCCTGCTACGTTCACAATCTCCTTGCAAGCGAATGGACAACTCCCCCAAACATCCCCGGGACATAGAAGAGGACGTAATTAGAACGTTAAATGAAGATGAGGAGCTCGCGGCCAACCTCAAAGCCCCCCAGCCGGAAACTCTGTTGTCTGTTGTGGACGACGAGACCAAAGGCAACATAAGACCAGCACCGACAATCATTGAATCTCGACATCTGACGAAACGACAGCTCTCAGATATGGCCTATAATGTGCGCAAGCTATCTAAGAAGCTGGGCAGCATCAGACTCAAGCTCACAGTCAAGAATGTCTTTGTGGTATGCAAGGCGCAGGACGAATCACTGGTTAGCCTGACTCGGAAAGTGACTAGGTGGCTACTCTCTAAAGACCGAGACTCCCTTTACGTGGTCTATGTTGAGCGCCGACTGGAGACGCACCCGGATTTTGGAGCGTTGCAACTAGTCGAGGACGAGCCCTCTGCGCAGGACCGGCTCAAGTACTGGGATCCTAAGCTTGCACATGAACGCCCCCATCTGTTTGATTTTGTGATCACACTCGGCGGTGATGGCACTGTTCTCTACACCAGCTGGCTGTTCCAGCGTATCGTGCCGCCGGTGCTTTCTTTCGCGCTGGGCTCATTAGGCTTCCTGACCAAGTTCGACTTTGCGGATTACCAAAAGACACTTGAGACTGCGTTCCGGGAGGGCGTGGTCGTCAGTCTTCGATTACGGTTTGAATGTACCATCATGCGCAGCAAAGCGCGCGCCAAAGACCCGGATGCGCGAACTTTCTCAAATCGAGATTTGGTAGAGGAATTGATTGGAGAGGAAGGGGAAGACACACTGACGCATACTCCGGATCGGGTGTATGAGATTCTGAACGATGTCGTTCTCGACCGCGGGCCAAACCCAAGTATGATGATTCTCCTCCATTTTGGTATCCCGTGGAAGTTCCACAGCAGTAAATGCTAACGTCTTCTCTTCAGCCATGTCTCAAATTGAACTCTTCGGCGACGATGAGCATTTCACCACCCTGCTTGCAGATGGAATCTGCATTGCTACCCCAACCGGCTCGACGGCTTACAACCTCGCTGCTGGCGGGTCTCTTTCTCACCCGGAGAACCCTGTCATTCTTGTCACCGCAATCTGTGCTCACACGCTATCCTTCCGGCCGATCATTTTACCAGATACCATTGTCTTACGTATGGGTGTACCGTACGATGCGCGGACGAGCTCGTGGGCTAGTTTCGATGGACGCGAGAGGTATGTTGCTGCATATGTATATTATGCTAGGATTCTATATCTGACTGGACTTCTACTCCAGGGTCGAGCTACACCCCGGCGACTACGTGACAGTGTCAGCGTCAAGATATCCCTTTGCCAATGTCTTACCTCACGGTGGGCAGGGTGAAGACTGGGTGCATAGTATTTCCAAGACGTTGAATTGGAACTCGCGACAGAAGCAAAAGAGTTTCAAGTAATACGGCTGTTGGCAATATGCCGTGTCGCCTGGAGACATGATTTCTTTGACCATTTTACGCATTTTCTGTCTGAGTTTGGGGCTTGTTTTTTTTTTGGACAGCCACCGAGTGGCTTATTTACGGAGTACATATGGATTCCATACTAAATCTAGGCCAAATTTCACCTGATTGGGCGCTGGGCTTTGGCTAACAAATTTACAAAAAAAATCTTAAGATATCGATTCCTTGGGCACGCATAGCTTCAACACGTAACTTAACTTATTATTAATAGTCCTTGTGACATAAATACAATTATTGTCCTTACTGTATGTTTCTATTCACCGGGTGGACTCTTTTTTTTTTTTTTTTTCGCTAGAAGCTTCGTATGGGTCAACCAGCTGGTTTCCGGGGCAGCTCCGCTCGGCCCTATAAAAGGCCTTCGCCGGCCCGAAAACTTTTTCCTTCTTCATCTTCCTCAGTCTCTCAACTGCGAAGTTTTATGTTGGCTTCCACGAGAAAAGAGTCCATTTGAAGTACATTATCGCCATGTACTTCTTCTACTGACTTGGTAAGTCGCAGACTTTTTCTTCATTCTCCCTTTGCACCCATCAGCCAACGGCTACGCCGTTCGAAGATGAAAAACTTCCTACATTCGCAGTTTCCACGCTAGCCGTCGCTTGAACCCAATCAAGGCGGCAATGGGCGGAATATCTTCCTTGGATGTCTGAGAACTATTTGGCTGTTCTTTGGAATTATTTTCTATCGAGATTTTTACAGTCGGACGGGCGCTAATTGTGTCTTCAGAACAGAATCTTCTTTCATCACCCGCTTGGGATACTCGATACTACCCTTTTCATACACACATACACTCAGCTTGCTTGCGCGCTGCTTCTAGTTGCATTGTCGCCGCAGCTCTTGCGCGGTGGCTGCGATTTATTTTCGCATGAAGCACTGCTGAGTCCATGGGTTGTTGTGCTGGAAACAATATTAGTTTAGCATGAATATATGGTACATTTCGCTGGAAACTTTCTACTCTGTAACTCGTAATATCAAAGTAGTAACGTTATCCCTCGTAGACAACTTGTAAGTTCCCAGTATGAAATTCTCCGAGGCTGCACCCGAGGGAGATGTGCTCCGCCGTAGCTATCGCATCCACAGCATGTTCACCCACCGCAACCTCCCCATAGGTGCCATGACCACAGCGCAATCCATGAGCTCATACATCGACATTAATTCTCTGGGCCGTTAACATCGTTCGACATCTGACACAACCATGGCTGCGCCTCCCCGGCACTCCACGATGCTGTCTATCAGCAATGGCGGGACGCCGCAATCAGGGCCAAACGACAAACAGACACAACAACAAGCCCAGACATTACCACAATCCCCCGGCCTTCGAGTACCATCCAATCGCAAAACAATCTACGACCGACACCTGAACCGCAGCCGCAATGCAGAACTCAGCCGGGCAAGCTTCGCCTACCTATTCGGAGAGATGGTCACGTACGCCCAGCGGAGGGTAACAGGTATCCAAGACCTCGAGAAACGGTACGCTACACCACTGAACGAAACCCGCAATCTCCCATATCCAGCTCGACAGACCCATTCAATTTATCAAGAAATACCATACTGACCCAACCCCCAGCCTAAACGAACAAGGCTACCCCCTCGGCCTCCGCCTCCTAGACCTCCTCTTCTACCGCTCAACATCAACCTCCTCCTCAGCCCTCTCAAGCTCCTCAACCTCCTCTTCACCACCCAACCGCCCCCTCCGCATCATAACTCTCCTGCACCTAATCCACGGCCCCCTCTGGCGCCTGCTCTTCGGTCGTTCCGCAGACGCACTCGAGCATTCCGTGTCTCCAGACACGCCTAATGAGTACATGATCACTGACAACGACCCGCTGGTAAACACGTACATCAGCGTGCCTCGCGAGATGAGTATGCTCAACTGTGCTGCCTTCGTGGCTGGTATTATTGAGGGTGTCTGTGATGGGTGTGGCTTTGAGACGAAGGTCTCGGCGCATAATCAGCCTACTGAGATGTGGCCTAGTCGGACTGTGTTTCTAGTTAGGTTTGGGGATAGCGTTATGGAGAGGGAGAAGGTTTTGGAGCGGGCTGGTGTTAAATAAATTATGACCGTGGAGCCGTGTTAAGGCTATACGTCCATGATGACATGGGATATGCCTGACTTTGAGACATGCATTGTGCTTGAGCAGATGCCCGGTCGTCGTGCTCTTGCTAGCTTGCTAGATCAATGGCGTTTGGGGGCTATTTCGTGGCATCTTGTTGGGTGGTCAGGCGCTGATTGTTTGACATTCAAAGTCCATGATTCTGGCGCCGGCGTTTCCTGGGGTCTCATGGAACGTACGGGTTGTTGTCCGGATCTGGGAGCTCGTTATATGTGCTTCGAATGTGGGAGTCTATGTACAAAAGTCCTTGACGGCCTGATATTACAATACAATTCCTCCAGGAGAGGACATGCTATATTACATACAAACATAGAACTTGTTCCAAGTTGCACGTTTCTCTCAATGCAGATATCAAATCAAATCCACCCATGCACTTTTCAGAACCCAACGCCAATGACCAAGGAGATCAGATATCTAGATGTACTCACGAATCCACACGCCGCCTCTTCTCCCGGTCCTCATAAGGCGACGGGCTTCGCTTCCGTCTCTCCCTAGACCGACTCCGATCATACCTCCCCGAATCCCTCTCACGCCGATCCCGATCCCGCCGCGGCGAACCCGACCTAGACCTCGACCTCCGCCGCGGCCTGACAACACTAGCATTTGCACCAGTCGGCCCGCGATCACGATCACGGTCATCACCACGGTCAGGCATAAACCGTTCATCAGTAACACCCTCAGGTGGCCCATCCCTCCTCCTCCGATTCTCAAGCCCATCCCCAAACCGGCCCGTATCCTCAGTCTTCAAATCCCGATACCGAGTCCGGCCCTTCTTGCCCAGCTTGGTCATATCGCGCACCTGCATATACTGCGGCAGCGTATCACGATTAACATCATCCTCAAATCGAGCACCCATGAGATTCCGCTGATCCAGTCCCTCAGCCTCTTGATCCCCGCGGAAGAAAGCACCCTTGTGGAAATACCGCTGCATAAAGCCTGTCTGGCCGCGCGTAGCCTCGCGATCTTCCTTCTGCTTCGAAATGAACTCGCGGTCTTCGCGCTCCCGCTCTTCGGCTGTGAGGTTGCGCCGGCGCTCGATTTCTTCGCGTTCTTTCTCGGCTTCTTCGATTGCTTCGCGGGATCGCTTGACGCGCTTTAGTTCGCGCAGTTTCCAGGCTGCGCGCTCGGCCTCTGGATCGACGTCGTCTTTGTCGTCGATTGCTTCTTCATCGTCGGCTTCGACGAGCTCGTCATCGTCCCAGGCTCGGTTGGCTGTTGAGCGTGCGATTGCTTCTTTTTCGAGTTGGTCGCGGATTAGCATGTCTGCTTTTTCTTTGCGTTGTGCTGCGCGTCTGGCTTCTGCTTCCGCTGCTTGGTCTGCTGCGCTGGTTTTGCTCTGGATCTGGCCGGCAGACTCTTGGGCGAGGTTGCGCTTGTCTTTTTTTATGAACGTTGGTCGGATGAGTATGCGTCGCGGTGCTTCGTCTTCTGAACTGCTTTCTTCTTCTGAGCTTTCTTCTTCCTCTTCCTCTTCCTCTTCCTCTTCCTCCTCTTCCTCCTCTTCTTCGCTGCCAACCAGTCCAGATGCGGGAACAGTCTTAGGCACTGTAGGCTTTACGTCGTGGGTTGTAGTTTGCGGCACAGCCTTTGGCGCTGGGGCTGCCTCGTCTTCTTCGTCCTCGGTGACGAACCCTTCTTCATCTTCATATTCCTCAGCCTTTTGTGCTACTGCAGCTGCAGGGAATGAACTAGCTTTGGGTTGCTGTCTCCGGCGCTGCGCCTCGGCTTGTCTGCGCCGCTCTTGTTCTCTTTGCGCCTCAACATCCTCTTCCTCTTCCTCCTCTTCAGAAGACGAAGGCTCTTCGGGAATTGCTTTTCCGGGGCGGTAGCGACTGGGTTTGATAGGGTTTGCTGTCATCCCCCGGTGGGAGGAGGGGAGCGGAGGAGGCATTGTCGGTGGATTGATGCGTAGGAGAGGGAATGGGGTTCAAAAGGGTAGTTATATGAAGATCTCAGTCTCCTGGCTGGAAGCTCCAGCGCAAAGTATTGCGGCAGTGTGAAAGGAGCTGTGATGCTGATCTGGTCATCTGACGTATCGGGCTGAAGCTTTTGCTGAAACGATATCGGTCACGTGATGATACCAAAGCTGCGAGTAATGAACAGCTAGATTTGACCGTATCACTAAGTGGCTCTGGCTGTCCGATTCACTGTCAAGATTAAGTCCCTTGTCCTGCTTGCAATTGTAGCTTAGCCGGTACAATCTGTTCGATTTCAGCTCAACAAATACAGCCAAGCTCATCGCATACTATTCAATCACCACGTGACCACGCGACCCGCGATTTACGCGTCGATCAACTCTACGCTCGCTCTCAAACAAGCCAAGGCGTCAAAACCCCCATCTTTCAAGCAGTTTACAGGAGCACGATCTCAACACAGATCAAAAATTAGCAATCGGCCAACATGTCTCTTCAAACTCCCCGCATTCTCCCCTCCCACCTCCACGCCTTCCACCCCTCCAGCGCTGGCTCGCACACCACATACACCGTGCGTTTACTCGGCACCGTCACCGCGCTGCACGGCAGCACTGGAACCCTCACCTGTGGAAACAACGGCGATGTCACACTTATCTTGAAGTCCGATGCGCGCCTACAAGTCGGGAAGCTGGTTGAGGTTGTTGGGAAAGTGGCTGATCTGGAGGGTGGTCAGGTGTGTTTGATACTCTCGTTCTCTGGGGGCTGCTGGCCTTGAAGGCTTAAATCTGGGGTATAATAGTTATGCGAGAGTGGCATGCTAATGTGGGTTACCTTATAGGGATACGGACTTCGTGTTTTGGGCTCTACAGAGTGGGGTGACCCTGCTGATTGCGGTATGTATCCTTCCTTTGCTTTGATATAAGCAGGATATGTGTACTGTATGGAGATACTGATGTGTAATGCAGATTACAAGATCTATGAGCAAGTTGTCAATGCTACGCATCGGTTCACAAACATCTTTTACAACGTCGAGTAAAGGATTGGCATGCGAGAACTTCAAGCATATGGGTTGTGCTTCTTTCCAGTGAAAGTGAACTGTCTGTCTGTGATGCTTGATGGCCTGCTGTGTTGGGTAGAGTCCACTGGAAAGTGTGAATTTCTCAAAAAAAGACAGCATTGATTTCATATGATGTTGCAAGGCAGGCCTTAGCAGGCTACCAAGCAAGGTCTATTACTGGCATGGCCCAATCGAAGCCCGTCAAGCTGCAACATATTAGACGGTCTCATGGCGAGGACGGACTCGATGTTGGTCAGAGGTATTGACACGGTCACTGTGGTTTCCCTTTGTGATTCCCTGAATTTTTGCATTTTACATACGAGGTTATGATCAAATCTTTTCCCAAGACCATTGAGCTAGTTCACTTTGCTGAAACTCGAACATCGAGCGAAATTGTAGAGTAGGTCGAGTAACGAGAAAGTAACGAAAGGTCACAAAAAGGTACACTGGGTACAGCCTTCGAGACTTGAAAAGTCGAGAACATGAAAGGTTGAGGACACACGAAAAGTCGAAAACACAAGCAGTCAAGAGGTCTGACGCAGCCGGCATCAAAGTCAAGTCCTTTCGCCGTCTGATCTCCACTTCTATACGTATGAATCGTGAGACCAGAGCTAGTGTTGTGCTCATTGCCCAGTGGCAGCCCCCATCAAGCAAGCGTTAGGTTTCTTTCGGCCACATGCAAATCTAAGGAAAATCGTCCAAGGCGAGAAGGCACATGGTCTCTTTTCGTCCCATTGAACGTGGCCTTCACAACCTTCCATCTTTCTCTTCCCCACTCATCCCAACATGCATTACCAATGCCAAAGCTGCTACATGTGCTTCACCGTCAGAGAGGACTGTGAAAAACACATGGACTTAAAAGACCACAGAACTCCCCCTGCCCCCGGCTCTCTTCCGGGCCAAGCCCAAGATGGGAACTCGAACGAGCAACTCCAGAGGTCTCTCTCTTATGCCACGACGAGCACCCAACTCACTCGTGCTCTGAATGCTTACTATAAGCATACTAGCATACGATACAACCTAGAAACAGGACTCAACGAAAGTGTCCACAGCTACCATTCCATCAATGTGATCCTGGACACAACCAGCAACCGGACCAAAAACTATGGATGTGCGGTGTGCGAGCGTCAGTTCAGCTCTTTGCTAGCTGTCAACCAGCACATGGACGTGAAGGGCCACTGGCCCGGGCAGTTACAGCGTCCACAGCCCGCTCCACCTGGCTCTCAATCTATGGGCATTGCGGCCCCAGAACAGTTGTGGCCTGAAGAGGCGTTGCCTGCTTTGCCCAACATGCAACATGATTCTATCGACGTGAAGGATCAATATAACCCAGAAACAGGTAGATACATATACCACTCCGTGAGTATTAAGAACATGAGAATTAACATAACAGGCGTTCACTTCACGGGGTGGTTTCCGTGCGAGATGTGTGATCGTCTGTTCAGCACCCAGCAAGGTGCTAACCAACACATGGATGTTAAGGAACACTGGCGCCAGCACCAAGATCAGCAACGCATTCACACACACACTAGCACCAGCATCGGACCAAACACGAGCATACGCCCTCACATGCGCGCAGGCATCAGACCCCCGAGATATGCAAGACCAGTGGCAGCAGTCATATCCTTCAAATGCGATAGTTGTGAGCGTGTTTTCAACACCGAGGACGGAGTCATCCAGCACATGGCTGTCAAGGCTCACTGGCGTATCTTTGGATGCGATCTCTGCTATCTTGAGTTTCGGACTCGGGGCCAGCTGGAGCGACACATTGCCACCCATGACTCTTCGGAGCCGGAAATAAAGCGTCAACCAGATGTCCCTTTCGAGAGAGATATCCCTTGTGAGATATGCCATCTGGTATTCCCCACTGCAAGTGATGCAGATAAGCACATGGCCGAGGTGCATTTTTGCAAGGAGTGCGGTGGGCTGGTCACAGATACGAACACGCACATGGAATGTTCGATGCTGTATGTTGAGACTTTTTGGCGAGCTCAGTATGGCTAAGGAAAGGCAGCGCTGGCAGTACGTTGAGTTTGCCGCATGGAGTGGCGCTCACCCTTAGCTCTTTCAAGCTAAAGAGAGCGCTCGAGTTTCCCAAACAGATTGAAACTCAAGTTGAACTGGACACAATGCCGATTCCTGGTCTGGACTCTCATTTTAAATGACATGCGGTTACACCTTGTTTTCTTCTCTGGTACCCGCAATATCATTGGTCTTTTTCCTTTCTCCTTTCTCTGACATTTACTGGCCTGGGGCATCTGATCTGCGCTATTCTTTTGTACTTGGAAGCACGGCGCCAAGGGACAACGCACAGCCAAATATCAAAGCATTTATTACCACCTGTGGAACTTCTTCACGGAGAAATGTCATGTATGAATATGTATGACTTAGGGGCAATATTAATGATTCACTTCCACTCTTGATACTTGTCATGAATCTAGTCAATTGAACAAATCATTATTACGAGTTTGCATAACACTCACCGTACTCGGCTACCCACACACATATATTGTTCGTTCTCGGAGTACCACTCGAGGACAGGGACCCATGGCGCTTTCAATTCATTGACTGCTTCAGCTAGCTGTGAGTTGTTCGGCTGGTCGATATCAGAGCGAAATCGGGCACGAGATCGTAACTAGCCCTCACGCTGGATACCAGCTGTCTTAAATCCGAACATCCCCCCGTTGCTTCCACTGGCCAATAGCTTGATTGGCTTGTGCGCGTTGCGATCTGTTCCATGAAATTTTCTCGCGATTGGCTCCAGGTTGTCCGGTGTTCAGTCATGGTTCCACTTGAGTTCGCCGGTGGGATGCGTATTGCCTGCCTGGCGTCCTGTGATCGGGGGAATCATCCTTGAGTGCCATGCTAAAAGCGGAGCTGCTCGCAAAGGATACGCAAAGGATATCTGTTAATTGCCGAGAAGTAAAGGATTTAATATGAATATATCGTCATTTGGCAACGTGAAGATCTTTTTTTGGGCTGAGTATAACACCTACGATCTCTTACTGCGTAGAAAGACGCTTAAAAAGAGATCTGAGGATCTGAATCGAGGCAGATTACCCTATACTCGCTAGTCAATAGATTCTGTCTTAGTTTCTAAAGAGCCTCATGTCCCGAGGGCCGGGTCCACGGGTGGGCTTTATTAGCCGCATCTTAAATTATTGTATAAATTATACTTCAGCCGTTTGGCAACAAGTGCTCTAGGGCATGTGTATAACGTTTAGACATTACTGCCTAGGCAGACGTCGATACTTCCCTACAGACGTCAGATTATGTTCAGTTGCGTGGGTTAAGCCGAGAAAGATAGAAAGTTAGGGCACATGTGTAGCGCACGCGGTCAGGACTCGGGCTTCCATGGAGCTTCAAAAGCTTCGATTCGATTGTCATAAAAGGCTCGTGTCCCCACCTCTTCTCTTCTTTTCGTCGTCTCTCCTCCCCTGTCTATTTCTTTCATCATCTACCCTCTCTCCTCTTGTTCCTCTTTCCACTTCCTTAGGATGATTTCTTCTCGTTAAAGTTCGACGTTGGCCTGTTCCTGGCCTTTCTTCATGGGTTCCTTCGAGTGTTCTCTCCTCTGGGCCGATACTACTGGCATGTCTCTGGACGTGCGTGCGGATTCCCGAGTGGTCATCTTGTTGCGCAGATGGACGGGGGATTTTCGACAAGGAGGTGGGTGGTTTGAGGCAAGAAACCGGTGTATTTGCTTTTTTACCTTTGAAGATGACCATGAGCTTTTAACACTGGGTTAGTCTATAGATATAGAGATTCAACCCACTCTACATCCTCATATTGCGTTATGGTCATTGTAGATTTCCATTTCTGTCTATCAGCTTTGTATGTATTGTGTATCTAACCTTGCGGACTTGCAGTGATGGCCCTTGAAAGCTGGGATATGGGTGAGTTTACATTTGTAGGCGATGCAACTACTAGATGGATGTTCAAGCTTTATGGCCCTAGACATGATTTATGGGTTTCTGAGCCCGCAGGATTATAAGGATCAACTGAAATTTTCCGCCTTGCTTTTGACCACGTCTTTCTGTCGACTAGTCTAGGTAGGAGTTTATGATATTTAGGTAGAATCCTGTATGTTCCCAGCATGTACTTTCACCAAACTTAGAGTACGGATCTACAGCAAGACGAAACGTAATGATTATGAGTAATTTTGATTTATTGATGTAGTCGTTCTGTCATAAGAAGCCGCATGGGATCCAAAAAGGTATCCCGGCTAACAATAAAAGCCTATCGCCTGCATTTCAGGGGAATAACCCGAACAGAAAGCACAGCGAATGTAACAAAGAAGTCCCAACAAGGTGTACTTCAGGTCATCGCTTTGAACAAATAAGGAAATAATGGGGGGTGGGAAATATCACAAAAGTCGTTGGCTGTATGCAACATAACAAGAGACCACCCATACATGAAAGAAACCAGACGCCGTCGCTTGAAAACTCAAAGGAAAACACAAATATGATCGGGAGGAGAGAGGACATCAGTAGATGGATGTGGCCTCGGTATTAGGCAGAGGGGTTTGCCTGTTGAACATCGGGGTTCTGGCCAGCAGACTGGGTCTTAGGAGCCGGACGGATTGGGTCGGTGTGGAGAGCGTCGGAGCTAAAGAAGCCGGAGTCGGGGACGACAGACTCATCGAAATTGAAGGGGAGGAACTCGGAATTGAGGTTGTCTTTGTTCACTTCTGAGTCGGAGAAGAGGGAGTTGATTAGGTCCTCGGCGGGACCGTCAGATGATCCGGTGGGGGAGACGTAATCTTCTGGGAGCCAGTCGGCCCAGTTGTCGCCGTCAAACTTGGCGTTCTGGAGGAAGAAGTGGTTGGGCTGGTCTGCATCGTCGAAGATGTCGAGGATCATGCCGTCCAGGGATTCGAAGGCTTCGGAATGGAGGCTTTCATCGGTTGTCAGAGGAGCGAAGGGCTGTTGCTTGTTTGGTGACTTTTGCTGGCGAGGGCTACCCTGACTTGCTTGAATACGCTGCAGGCGCTCGGCTGACAGCCGGGTGGGAGTCATGGTCGAGCTCAGATCCTTGCGTCGGTTGGCACTTGGGGAGTTCATAGGCAGCGCCAACCGCTTTTCGACCGATGTATTGGCTCGGGCGTTGCGTCGACGAGGAGTTGGGCTTCCAGTCTGATCATAGTCGATGGAAGGGCTCTCGAAAAGTGTGTCGAGGTCGTCGGCCGGAATGGGGACGTGGTTCTCTTTCTGAGCTCCCTTGTCATCCTTTGTCGAAGCAATGCGAGGGCTGCGACGAGGGGAACAGCTATTTACCATAGAGGCATCAAGTTCCTTCAGCGGGCCCTCATTCTGGGCATTCTGGAAAAGCGATCTTCTCAGAGGCTTGGGGGTCGAAGTGGTGCTATCCGCTGATGAGGTGGGACGAGGCTGCGTGCGTCTAGCAGGGCTGGACCGAATGGCACGGCGCATGGCCTCCCTCGCGTCTTGCTTGTTCCAATTGGGAGCCGACTCCTCAGACGGGTGCTGCGGTTCGGTACTGTTTGCTCGAGAGCGCTTGTTGGGGGAAGCACCTTCGTCGTCATCCATTTGAGGAGTCTCGCCCTCAGCCGGCACAGAAGAAGCTTCGGTGGCTGCCGGAGAAGAAGCTGCCGGCTTGTGGGGAGCAGCCTTACTCCGAGTTCTGGTGGCAGGGCAAGAGTTGGGAGCCTTGCCATTGCTGGCTCTAGCAGGACGCTTTCTTTTCTTGGCTGCTGGCTGCTTGGACCACTTATGCTCTGGACGCATTTCCTTGAACTTGTGAAGCCACAGACCACACGGGTTGCAGAAGGTCATCTGCTTCCAATGATCCTCGTTCTCCTTCTTGTAGATCAAGAACTTCTGGACTTCACCCTCGGAGTTCCGATCCAAGACATCCCAGAACAACATGAAAGGGCGCTGCATCATTTCTTCTGCAACCTTGTCATTTCCCTCGACTTCTTTCGACCATGCTCGGCGCCAGCTGGGAGTTTCAATTGAGCCACAGTTTTCGCAATATGGCGGAACCTCTCCTTTGGCAATAGCCTGCTCCAAGCGTGTCTGCATGTTGATTGCCTGCTTTGTCCGCTTAGCCTTGGTGTTGACGTTGGCATTAGTCTTGGTGGTTTCGAGAGGCATGAATTTCACGTCAACGGGGCGAGAAGGCACAATGGGGTCGCTGGCGGGAATGGCGCGCATCAGTGGGTGACACTGGTTGTGGGGAGCAATTGGTCCTGGCAGCAAGGGTTTGGGCGCCAAGCGCTGCGGGCCGGCACTTGAAGAGGGTCTTGATCCAGATGTGGCAGGTCGAGACTGCGCAGGTGGTGCCTGAGTCATAGGCTGATCCGCTGTAATCTCGTCGACAGGGAGTGGGTCATTGGAGGTTCCTTTATGGGGGCCAATGGTGCTGACTGGGGAGCTTGCTTGCACTGTAGGTCGAACAGGGCGTTTTTCCTGGGTGATCTCGTGGGACTCTGCCCTTCTGCGGTCATCCTGGGGTGTGGTGGTCTCATCGTCAAGAAGATCTTCCAATCCGGCACTCATGAAGCCAGAGTCAGTGTCCAAAGCGATGGGTGGCAAGACGGGGCTTGATCTATTCAGCAGACGGCCATCGAAAACGGGAGGTGACGATGGCATGCTGAAGGACGGCTCGAAGAGACCCTGGTATCGAGTATCCTCGGGCGAAGCACCGGTCTGATCTGTACCTGGCATGTCGTCACTCTGGCAATAGGGAGAATTGTATGTAGCTGGACAAGAAGCAATGCTTGCAATGGATGATTCCCGCAACAAACTACCTGTAGGTCGAGACCGGCGGGTGAAATCAGATGGCCGAGACATGGGAGTGGGTGGGCGGACGGGCTCTTCGTAAGACTGTTCAACAGCGATAGCAGGGTTCACAGGGGTTGGGCGGTGAATCCGAACTGAGGCCGCGGTACTGGCTGCAACCCGTAGCGAGCTGGGTTGTCTTTCGATGTTCATAGCTGACTTTCCGGGCCAGCTTGCTTGGTATACCTTGGCTCTCTTGCGGGGCTGGGGATCGGTAGATTCCTCCTCACCACTGCCATATCCGGACTGCATCGAGCCTCGGCGTTGATGATATGATACTTGGCTCTGGAAGTCATTTTCCCGCATAGAAGCACTCGATGAAGGGCGAATTATATCACTGTGGGGATTGTTGTGTTTGGAGTAAGATTGATGATGGGCAGGTGTTCGAGAACCACCAGGCGTTGAAACTCTGCTAGGAGCATACGAATGTGAAGGCGAGACCGAGCGGACAGATTCGTTGGGTTGGAAATTAGAGAATTCTCGTGGCGTTGACCCTTCACTCAAGAGCTGGTGAAACCTCTCAATTCCGGAGTGGTGCATCGGCGAGCCGGCGTGGCTTTGGGTCCTCGAGGACTCCAGCAAGGCAGGGTTTTGACGGACAAAGTTTGTCCAAGATTGTGCATCAAAGTCGCCTGGAATGACATTGCTCAAATCGCGGTACTTTTGTATGCTATCGAGGTACTCACTCTGCATGACAGTTGGGACAGGCACTAGCCGCAACTTGACTTCCAGCGTCTCTTGGGCGGCACCCTTGGAGAAGAGGCCGAGGGTGTTTTTGCAGACTCGTCCCGTGACGATAGTCTTTGACTGAGCTTCGTTTGGTGAAGAAGACGACAACACCCATGAGAGCATGCCTTGACCGACGAGAGGGGTTTCATATTCTGAGTAGTCATAGGCGTACACTGTGTAATCTTTTCCGAGCTGAGCCACAAGTTCAGGGCTGGGAAAAATGAGTAAGCATGCCACCTTTGTAGGCCGGGGTAGATAATCCTCACCTAGCAGACACAATTGCCTGGATACATGTTTTTAACTCGATCACCCCAATTGGAGTGTTCTCGTCAAGGTAGGCCGTCTGGATGTCGAGCACGTGAGGCCATCTGGCAAGGCAATTCGTTTTGTTCTCGCTGTCAAATGTGTAAAGAACCTTCACTGTATGCAGAACATGCTTAGTACTGGAATAGTTTCATTTTTAGCAGCATTGGGAACATACGCCTCATAGGGCGGACATCGATGCCATCCTGAGATTCCATTACATCAGAATTTCTCTGCCCACCATGCAAGATGGAGGGTAAAGGGGACAAAATGGAAACTCCAGGAAGGAGAGGGTCTCGACTGGGTATAGAAGTCGAGGATCCAAGTTGTTGAAGAGTGAAAGAAGAAAGAAGAGATCGAGGGAAGAAATCGTCGACTCAAGTCGGAGGGTTGGGAATGGGCCAAAAGGAGGAATTAGCGAGCCGATTGATCAGCACTGCATCTCTAGTATCTGGTCGACCGGGAGAATGGACAGGTTATGCAGGAGGTAGTGGAGGAGCCTTTTCTGCAGGGCTGGAATGTTAGTCCTGGAAGCAAAAGGAAATGATAGACTGCTTCTTACCTAGGATTGAACAGGGAAAAGATAGGAGCTCCACTAGCTCTGCATAAAGGAATAGTGAGAGAGATAAGTAGGAAGGGAGAGAGTTAAAGAAGAGAAGCCTTGCATGCGCGAGTAAGCTATCTCGAAGATCTCCAAACAGACGTGACGCGACGTGACCGCGTCCAATCACGAAACGGCAAAAGGGCTGGGAAATTGGCCTAAATTTTCAGGTGTCAATATGCGTGGCCACGTGATGCGAGCTCCAACTTCAACGGACAGACACTGCGACATCACACCTCTGAACTTCGCGCCCTCTTTATACCCACCATGTCTACAGCTCCCGATCCCAAGATTCAGTGTGTATTACCTCGATGACTCATTGTGTAAGCCAAGCTAACGAGTCCAACAGAGACCTGCTCAACAAGCCGAAGAGCGAACTCACGTATGTACCCTTTGCTTTGACATTCGACATCCCTTCCTCTGTTTCTGAGTAATCGCATTTCCCCTCGATTTCTGCCTGATCTCAGATCAGCGGGATTATCCACGACGCCCGCATCTCGGAACCTTTTGCGACCGCTATCTCCCATCACATTCTTTACGCATGCGCAAGACGTACATACAGCAGGGGCAAAAAAACTAATCTTGCATTGAACAGGGAATATGAGGTCGCTCTCGTCGAGGAGCACGAGCTCACCGCCGGCCCATTGTCCCTCCTGCAGACCGCCACCCGAACGCACACCCAGGTCCTGATCTCCTGCCGAAACAACCGCAAGCTCTTGGCCCGTGTCAAGGCCTTTGACCGACACTGCAACATGGTTCTGGAGAACGTGAAGGAGATGTGGACCGAGAAGCCCAAGGGCGGCAAGGGCAAGGGTGTGAACAAGGATCGTTTCATTAGCAAGATGTATGTGCAGACCGTGGACGGATGGATCAAAAGATCTTCATTATCCTTCTCTCTTTTCCGTACATTTCTAACCTACTTTTCCATCCAGGTTCCTGCGCGGCGACTCTGTCATCCTCGTCCTGCTCAGCTGAGCACCCAATCTTACCACTCTCCCACATCCATCCCGCAAGGTTTCCAGATCCTGATCTTGATCTAAATCCGCGGGAAGGTCACTATCCTGCCACTTGCACAGCACCTCGGACCTACAAATCCGTCACCGAGTTATCATGTAATCGATCTCGATACCCTTTTTTTCACTTTCACTTCCCTACTCCGCCTTTTCTCCCTTGCTTCTGGCCCCGCCAGAGCTAATGTCCTGATACTACCATCGCTGTGTCGGACCCCTCTCTTCAGAAACAGGAAAACATGTCTTTTGAAGTTACCGTTGTGTGCAGGTGAAACACTTGGTTGATCTTTCTTGTTTTTTCCCTGCGGGGTGGACTACCGAAAAAAAAAACTTTTCTCTCGGCGTTTCTTTCTGCGGGCGACTTGGCCTGATGTTTTTTTTGTAGAGGGATCGTCGGACGGCGTCTTCCTGGAGCAGGGCCGGTTAGCAATGCATCTTATGGAATGATTTGGTTCATATTTTGGTAGAGTTGTACTACTAAGATGTAGTTTTTACTCCGTACGGTGATCTAATCTAGTCACTGTAACTGTAACCCTACTGGACCTGCCTTGTATTTGAAGGAGCGATACTGCTGTCAAAGCCAAAGGGTCTTTGAAGCGGAGGACGTACTCGTATGTCTATATCTACGCCAGCCTTCGCTGCTCGCACATCTCAACCTCGGAACTGAAATATCCCTTTCTGTGTACATGATTTGAGTCAGTGTAACCTTATTGTTTCAAAGGCCCTCCTTCCTCTAGATAGACATAACTTAACCCATCTCATTTACTGATTCGCGAAGTGGAAGTGATGTTGTCCAAAAGGTATAGTATCACCTCCAGCCCAGGAACTAGCCCTAACTCTACATCCCAAAGAGAACTAATAAGCTAGAATTATGTTCAAATTAATAAAACCCCATACTCATATTCATATTCATATTATAACACACCCGAAGGAAAGTGTGCCAAACCCACATACCGCTATACAACCCAAACACCAAATCCAACCTCTCCTCTTCTTATCTCATTCCAAGTCTCACCACCAATCTAAACACCCTCCGCAAGCCCACTCAAAAACTCAGACAACCCAAAAGCCCCAGGGTCAGGAATCTTCCCAATCCACTCCTCCTCACTCCCAACATAAACAGTCCGCCCGAGCGAAGCCTTCATCGCCTTCGTCCTCTCAGTCCCCTCCCTCGCAGCGGCCGCGGCACTCCCCAAATCCTTGGTTTCAACAAGCGTCTCAATAAACGGCGTAATGGCATCAACAAGTGTCCGATCACCAACTTTAGCAGGCGTATACTTCCCCAACGCCTCCAACGACATCTGCAACGCTTTCGCCCAGACCTCTGTTGTAACAGGCGTAGGCGTCGAAGCCGTACCCTGAGCGCGCAGGCCGTGCGCCAGCGCGTTGAGGAAGATGGCGTAGATGGCGCCGGATGTGCCGTCCATGACGTTTTCCACGACTGTTACGATTCGGTTGAGAGTTACCACTATGTCCGCTGTTAGGGGTTGCTTGGTGTCGTTGAGCAGGGACTGGATTGCTTCTGCGCCGCGCTTTAGGCCGATGCCGCAGTCGCCGTCGCCGACTATTGTGTCGTAGCGGGTTATTTCTTTCTCCGCGGCTATTACGCGGGAAAGGCCTGATGAGAGGGCTTTCTGGACCGTTGTTGGGGGGACTTGGTAGGTTGTTAGTTTGGGTTTCGGTTTGGGAGGGGTGGAATGGAAGGGATGGGATGGGGGTAGGGCTTACGGGTTAGGTTGCTGGGGATATCTTCAACTTGGACGGTCGTCTTCAGATCGACGGGCGTATCGATACGGTTCGTCCAGGTGGATGTGTTGACAGGGGCAGACCAGCCGACAGCTTCAGCGGGTGCATCCAGGAGTTCCAGCATGGACTTTCCAGCGCCGAAACCTGGGTCAACTAGCTTCATCAGGGAGATGCTGAAACCCAGGCCGTTCAGGCTGGTTAGGAACGTTCCGGTGATGACGCGCACCATGTTGACCTGGTAATCGCGTTCCAGCTGGCGGTAGACTTCATCGGTGATACCGGCCAGCTCGAGCGGGCTGACACCACCGAGGTTGTTGATCAGAAGAACGAACTTGTCTTCCGGCTTGCGGGTCACATAGCAGCGGTCTGGGTCGTTGTGGTCGAGGAGTTGGAGGAGCATACCCTCGACCAGCTCGACGAGGTCGAACTTGACGCGGTGCGAGCCTGGCTCGTTGTGGATTCCCATTCCTACTTCGACCTCGCCATGTGGGATGGTATCTTCGGGCAGACCACGGCCAGGCACGTGGACATGTTCCAGCGATGAGCCCAGGGAAACGAGGTTGGCATTTGCCAGCTGGGCCAAAGCGTAGACGTCATCCAGCGAACCACTAAGAAAGAACAAGGTAATGTTAGCCTTTCAACCCCCGACCTTGATCACCATCACACAAGATAACAAACATACCCAGCCTCAGCCAAAGCACCAACCATCTTCAAGATCAACACACCACCCCCAATTCCCCTCCTCCCAACTTTCCCGCCCTTGACCCGCCCAACGCCCACATCATCATTAATAGCAAAGAACTCCGTGCGAATCCCCGCAGCGCGCGATTTCTCGGCGGCCATACCAAAATTCAACACGTCACCCGTGTAGTTCATAGGAATAATCATAACGCCGTTGTCAGTGGGGACGCGATCGATCGCCGCACGCCGGATCTGCTCGGCAGACGGCGAGGCGAAGATCGTACCTGCGACCGAGGCATCACAGAGACCGGCTCCGACGAAGCCGGCGAAGGCGGGTTCGTGGCCTGAGCCGCCGCCTGTCACGATGGACACTTTGTTCGCTTTGCGGGGTGCATCCGGGCGGCGGAAGACGATTTTGTTTTCTCGGTCGAGGGCTAGAGAGGGGTTTGTTAGGGTTAGGGAGTTGAGGGCTGTTAGGACTAGGTGGTTTGGGTCTGTGAAGAAGTGTTTGGCTGGGGTTTTTAGCGTTAGTATTTGTATACACTTGTCGTCTGGGTTCGGAGTATGGAGAATAGAGGTGTGGGGAAGATCGGGGGTGGAGCGCACTCTGCATTGTTGATCAGTGGATGTGTTTAACCACAATTTGGAGAGTTGAGTTGGTTTCGGGAGTTTGATCTGGAAACCGGGAGGAGCTTGTATAAATATCCAATCCTCGGATGTCTGATCGGATTCGTAATTTCCAAGACAAGAATTGCTCGAAACCTGAAAGGAAGCTCGATATGAGCTCTCGGATTGGAGAGTGCTGCGGGGGGGAAAAGTGGGGAGAGACTGGTTTCTTGTTAGATTTTACTTCTAACTTGTACCAAGAAGGTCATATCCCTGAGGCTGAGCTCATTGCCAATGCGGGGAGCGGGTTGGGAGAGAGACTCACGATGTATAGAGTATGGAGTATAGAGACACAGATTCCCATCTATACTTCCCTCGCGGGATACCATCCCCTCTTTATGGCAGCCATATCTCCCACAGTGCATTGGCTTTTCTTTGAGTTAGGGGCGACCTTTTTTCATGTTCACATGAGCAGATGAGGGTCTGGATGCAACGCTTCGGCTTACCCTCTGCGGGAATCCCGCCAGGTACATTTCTTCTATCGTCCGATAACGCAGTTCACCGCTAACATCCCTGGGACTACGGTATGGTTATTTGATACATCTCTCTCTCCACTCTCGTCCGAGTGGTTACTGTGCGACGTGCGACGTGCGTCGACTTGGATTTGGTAGGTTTGCCGGTGCACATACCACCTCTTTTTTATACTTGTACTTGGATATTTGTGTGTAGGGGGAAGCAACGTAGATTATATACTGTTGACTATTGAACTGAACCGTTAAATCATTGTACTACCCTGGATATGCATCCCAATTGGCAATGCCATTGCCACTATCACCACTGTAGCCAGGGATACCGCAATTCCACATCATGAGACCAGAAAAAAAAAGGATCTACGAAAGTGTTGGGGATCAACTGTCAGATCCAGGGGGTGTGGGGTAACGTGCATGGGAGCTGGTCATGGGGTGTTCTTTATATTTCCACCTAAGTATAACTTAGATGATAAGTTATTTATAATCTCTAATCTATCAGTATGTAATACGTTGTGATTATTTAGAACACATCCTAATCCAGTCGATGTTTCCCCGGAATACGGTGGCACGGCATACCTCTTTCGTCCCTACAGCTCCCCTCGTACTTTAGTGTGACCCTAGCGCCATCGGCACTGGCCGAGGTCGAGCTCGGCACGAAAGTAAACCCAAGACCAGATTCGTACTTGTAGACTTTTGGGTCCGGAGGTGCTCCGATTCCCCGGGCCAAGGTTGCTGGGTCTTGTCGTCTATTAATATTAACTCAAATAAGAATAGATATGTGTAGTATTTCAAGACTCGAATGGGCAAATGTTAGATATTCAAATGCTAAAATAACCTTCAAACACCTCATGTACTACCTAATGTTAACGTTATGTGGCTGGCCACTTTTCTCCTCAATCTTACGGGCTAGGCTGCGCCGCCACAATATCCCGAGTATACCTCAAACAAGTAATCGCACGCGCTGGTCAAAATACCAAAAAAAAAAAAAAATGACAATGGAAAAAAGGATTCCCTATTCCATAACCCCAACCATGTCCGGATGCGCGCAGTCGGTGAATAACACAGGAAAGTGAAGTACTGTCAACGGGGAGAAGTAGAGACGTGGTCTATGCCACGTAGCTGTATGAATTGGTACCTTCTTTGCGCTCCATATAGTCTTTCTCGATGAGCCTAGAGAAAAAGGTATTGTTAGATACGACACATAGCAAATACCACACAGTACTGTGAAACACAGTGGAGGGACAGGGTACGTACTTCTCAATCTCGCCCTTGATCTCTGCAGGCTGCAGCGCACCCCGACTCTTTGTGGCATTGAGAACCTCCGAGATCAACTCGGCGTGACTAAGGACCTTACGACTCTTCATGAGACGCACGATAGCAGCCTGCGTCTCGAGGTGTCGGTCGGCGGAGATACGCTCGTGCGTCGTCTTATTCTCCTCTTTTGTTTCCTTGAGTTGGATCTGGTTGATCTTGATGCGGGTTTGCTGGTCGGTGAAGTCGGTGTTGAACCAGAATTTATCGGTTGGGTTTACGTCTTTGCCTTTGGGGCTCTTGACTAGGACTTTATATTTGGCACAGGCGACTGACTGGAGTGTTCGCTTTAATTCTGGATCGGCTGTTGTTCCTCGTTAGTTGGAGTGATGGCTGGATGGGGGTCGGAATACTCACACAATCCGGTCGCTTCTTGTATTTGGGTGTAGTCTAGGCTTTCGCCATCTCGGACGTCATTAAAGAGTAGTAGGACGATAGCTTGGAATGAGCTGACTACTAGGTTCTTCATGTTATTGCCTTTGCCGTTGGCTTTGGGGAAGTATGCATTCAGTTGGCAATGTGACAGTTGATGCTTCCAGTCGAGTGTTCTCCCTTTGTGCTTGGTCTGATAGAATGCCTCGAAGTTGTTGATGGACTTGGCAATTTCGGATGGAATTCGCACGGGGACATCGGGGTATGATGGCCAAGAGGCAGCAGAGAGGACGCTGACATGTAGAGGAACCGGTGTGCGTTCCCTATGTGACCGCTGCTTCTGCAGCGCATCAAATGCTGCCATTTCAGCTTTAGCAGTGTCCATGTCATTAAACATGGACTCGAGATTATGTGTGAAGTTTGATCCACATTCATTCTTCAGACGAGCCAACATGCTCTTCTCCGCCTCGTTGCTCGCACTTCGGCCCATCAGCAGACGTCGTGCAAGATCATTCTTGTAGAAGGCTTCAAAGACTGCCTTGCCGTGTACAAACCGGAAAAGGTCAAGCACTTGATCCATTTGCCGGTCGAGTTCAGCATCCTCATCGATGAGGGTCTGGCCTTCGGACGGCATCTTGAGACCGCCCTTGAGTAGCCTATCCACGTATTTGGCAATCATCTCACCAGCCTTGGGGTTGTCGGTGCCACCTGTGGACTCCATCTTCTTCCCGCGGTTCATGAAAGTGCCAAAGGCCTCACGGAGGGTATGGCCCAGTTCATCATTTGAGTTGAAAGCAGAGCTCCAGATATCGTCGGCCTTGCGCTTGAATTGGAGAAGGTTGACGACCATGTCTGCTTCTCTCTCCGGATCGAACACGATCCCTTCACCCTCTTCGACGATATATTTTTTGAAGGCACCCTTCAGCTTGAGGGTCAAATCCCGTCGATCAAGCAGATTGTAGAGCTGTTTTAGGGCATCCTTGTTTCCGGCTCTCATCAAAGTAAGCACATCGTTGTCGTTGGTCAACAGGTCGGTTTGCTGTACGATCAGGGTCTCATCCAAGAGCTCGGATAGCTTCAACCTCGTGCTTCGGGCAAAAGAGAACAAACTGCAGCGTTCCACTTCACGCTCAATCAAGCGACGGGTATTGTCGACGTATGTAGCTAGGTTTCCTGCAGCTTCCCGTTGACACCATGAGGTAACAAACTTCTCGGATTCGGCCATCAATAGAGGTTCGAAGTCACTGCCGTAAACATCGAGATTGTGGAACAATTCCATAGCCTCTCTTAGCAGGGCCGAGTCCGCCAGTGCCGCGACATCTCCGCCTCGATCAGCAGCAATCAAGTTGTATGCACCCTTCAAGATCTTCGGCTTCAAGCTGGAATCATTAAAGATATACGACCGGAACTGGATCAGACCCATTTCCCGGATTACAGGCTGGTCTTTAGAATGCAGAAGGAACGACTGATCGAGATAATAGAATATCCAACGGACCGTAACCTGTAAAATAATCAGCATCAAGTACCGTACTCAAGTCGCCACAATTCCCAGTTCGGTTCACATACAAGTCTCGAATGCCACGCAGACCACGTCTCAAGAACAGCCCGCAATGTATCAACATCCGTACTCCCAGCCGCCCTAGCAACAAGACCCTCCCTCATCTTTCCATTAACATAATCCCGACACCGATCCTGAAGCCTCCTCGCCAATACAGCAGCGCGCTCCTGTCGACAAATATTCTCCCCACCCTTGTAAAGCTCCTCAAGCGAAGAATCCGGCTTCCGGCCATCAAAAACAGCCGTCAAAGCCGCATCAAGCTGCGACCAAACCTTATCAAAATAAGACTCCTGATTAAGCCGCGGCCCAAGCCTCAAGTTCTTAACAACGAGCTTCTTTGCGCCCGTATGTGGAGAGAAGTTGCTTTGCCGAGCACCGGCATTCAAAGCCTGCGGTCGACCCGGCACGCCGCCGACGCTGACGTTATTCAACCCAGAGCCAGGCCCCGACGACGCGCCCCGAAGCGGTGCGCCGCTCCTAGGCGGGGATCCGGAAAACTGATACATCTGATTCGGGGCCGGATGGGTGGGTTTGCGCGTGGGAGATGGGGAGCGGCGAGGCCGCTTCTGAGACTGGAGGAGGTCGGAGATGGATCGTTGCGGCGATGGGGAGAGCTTTCTCTTGCCGGACTGGCGCTTACCGCTCCTCTGATCGCCTTGAGAGTTTTGCTGCATCTACCCGATTTGGCCCGACGGGGATGATGAATGGTGGATCGAGATGGGGATCGGGGGAGGTTGAGGGGATGGACTCGGCGCGATAAGATAGAGCTCTCTAGGGCGGACTTGGACTTCATATATACAGTACGGAACAGTCTACTCTTTATATTCGTATGTACATATATTTTATCTATGCATTTTTCACTCTGAGCATTTGTCCTGGAGCTACCTAGGGAGACATTGCAACTTATATCCCCGGAAAATGTGATGATGTCTCCTCTTGCCGCTTTTCGACGAGTCAAATTGAGCTGTGTTCTCCATCTTCTCTACATCTCACCATTCTCTTCACATGGATGTATTCAAAATCAATGACCTCGTTTCCATCGACGAAACTCGACTGGAATAAACAAGATGAAACCCAACCATCCGCGCCGCAGAGCAATCCAATCCCGCATTGCTCGAAGCTATCTTGGCATATCACACAGCACACAGCACAGACGAATGCCTGCCTGTTCAAACACGCATACAAATAGAAAGTCTATCGCCAAACTACACCATATCCAGGGCACTCAATGGTAATTGTGAATCTCCCCTGACAGCTGCCATCCGCACCAATCTACCCAACAAAATGTCCGACTTCTTCTGGGTGCGGGCGCGGATCCTAATGGCATCAGCTTGAGGAATATGGAGGACTATTCAGTCCGATTCATCCGATGCCGCCATCTCAAAAACGACGTATCCAGCTTTGGAATGTGTGCTCGTCGCACTCTCGTTTTAGAACAAGCATAAGAGAAAGGTATCACTCACAGACCACTTGCCCTTTGACACAAGCGGAACTCGATGAACGGAGCCATGGCTTTCCTCGCTTCTGGACGGAGCCCAATGTCCCTGGCCAAAGACTCCGGATGGGCCGGGCTTTGACAGCGCTAGCGGTTACTGCGAAGGTGGGTAATCTTGAGATATTTGATATCCTACGTGCGGCTAGAGCAGATAAGTCGGCATAGTGTAGGGAGTATGGTTGCATGATGAACAAGACTAAGTCCGAATTCAAGAAGCGGACTACTTGGTATCGAGCCTCTCGACGTCCTCGCCTATTCATGAAGCTATCGAGGCTGGCAATCACTCTATGTTGCGACACTTGCTTTCTACCTGTGGATACTCCCCTAACTATCAACCTCACGCAACTCTAACCGTTAGTCTCCGCCGCTGTCGTGTGCCGTCGCCCGCTGCGATCTAACCAATGCGGGCCTGCAACAGTGTTTAGTAGATTTACTATCTCACCCCGAGCTCAACGCCAATCTACGTACGCCCATCTTCAACATTCATGCCCTACACTTCGCAACGGCACACCATGACCCAGATCTCCTTTCATGGCTGGAGCATCCGTCCCCGGTGGACTTAATAGCGCAGGAACCGCAGCTCTAGGACAGACACAGCTCCATAGTGCCTCTCTACCTCGACGGCTAATCAAGCCGTTGCAAACAGTATCCATTGCGCCTGAACCCTTGATTCGAGCTGGCTTCCACATAGTCTACCAAGTCCACTACACAAACAATTTTCAACACCAGAGGAATCGGCTTCGCAAAATCCACGGCCGTTGACAGAATCACAGCAACAGGCGCAGAATGGGACTGTTCAGCTTTTGGTGGAGTGGGGTGGTGTCGATATTCGAGCGGAGGATATAGATGGTAATACTGCTTTGTGTTACTTGGCTGGGACTTTGATTGTTAGTAAGTATATTGTTGCGAAGGTGAGACATATGGATGGGGGTGAGGATGTCTGGTGGAATGTAATTAATTTTTATGGGGTCACGCCGCGGGAGATGTGATATGAAGGGTGAGTGAGTGAGTGGGTGTAAGTATGGATGTACTCCGTATAGAATAGCTCAGTTATTCAGGTAAGTCTAGCTAACTCATATACTCGTGGGACTTGTGGTTATAAATACCGACTCATACTTAATACTAACAAAAGTCTACCAATTAAACAGTGAAAATCATCATATAGTTAATCGTGGACAAAAGAAAAGCCATGCAACGCTGAAAAATACACAATCATCAATGTACTTGTCCATTGTTCTTTTTGTGTTTTGTTTTGTTTCGTTTGGTTCGTTTGTCAAAAGAAATGAATATGTATGCATAAAACAGGGACCATAAATAGGGCGTGAACTCATCATCGGCCTTTGGACGTATATCGAGCACCGAGCACCGAGTACCGAGTACCAAAACTCCATCAATCGACACGAGGGGGACTTCTTGATTTCTTGCCCATGGGACTTGCGCTCGTTCTGTAGGGTATGAATTAGCTTTTCATCGCAATATAATGGGGTTCCAGGGGAGCATACGATCTCCGACGCTCGCCTTCCTTCCGGAACCCTTCAATGATCTTAGCCATCTCTTTACGAGAAGCGTTTGCATCGACCTTCCGCCCTCCAAGACTCATGCTCACTTTCTCATGCGCGCTAGCCTGTAGCAAACGCTTCATGAGTAGATGGCGCATATTCATGCAGACGAATACGCCACAATCACTGCCGCCGTCTTGTTGGGGCGAATCACTCAAATGCATAAAGCGGATTGGCATGTTTAAGAGATATCCGAATTTACGGGTGACGGTATCTGCTTCCCAGACGTTTCCTTGGTATAGCGAGTCATAGTGAAAAGCGATGCGGTCAACGATAGAGATCAATAGCAGGGACCAATGTGTGCCTCCTTCTGCTTCGTTGACATTGCGGCAATCGTTTATGGGTAGGAAGACATGAGTGGCGTTGCTGAAATCCGGGAGGGCTTCGCGGAGGGTTCGTGGATCCGGCGTTTGGAGGATCATGAAGGACATGCTTGGGCGGAGGAGGATGATGTTGGATGATTTGTAGCGGGTAAGAAATTCGTGTTCGAGGTATCTGGATCAATCGAGTTGCAATCAGTCACTTGTTTCGATGCTGGTTTCCGGTTCGGTTTTCGAGGGGTTCTGGACTTACTCCTCCCAAAATGAAATAATCTGTTATGTATTAGCTCAAGTGTCCAGCCAGGAAGATTGTCTCTCCAAACCCACATTATCTGTGAGCCAGTCGTTCTTGAGAGTTTGCATGTCCTCTCTTGTCACTGCTTGTACGTCAGCTACCAGCTATTGCTGTGCTCGTTCGGGGAATTGGACCATACATCGCACGTCATAGTCTGGGGGCACCCGAGGGCTGTCTGTAAGTATACCACTTGGCAATCGCAAGGTCCGGGCTCTCTTCCGGGGACTCACAACTCAAAAAGGCATCCTCGGGGTTCAACTGCATGGAGTTAGCAACTGCACCAATCTCGACATCGACTCCGAGATCCAACTCACCATATCACCAAACCTTCCCCGTACTTTCCGCAACTTGTTCATGATGGCAATATGCGCAACGGTTCACGGGAAAGCAAGTATATCCAAAAAGGGCAGCTGTCGCAAAGAACCTCGAAATATGTACTGCGCCCACAGTCTCAAACGCGCAACACGGACCGACTCCTAATATAGCCCAACTCCACAATATGCAGTGCCGACGACGATCCTCTGCGCAGAAGTCTCAAGCCAAGAGCGCGGCCCGCAGGATAAAAGAACGTAGAAATGAATAGAGCACAGTGGCCAGAGGCGAACGACAATTAAACTGCGATGTCCCCAGTTCTGCAGAGAAGTGGGAGTGGGACCCGGGGCAGGTTCTGGGTCGGGATTGGACGGTTCCTCGGAGGATGAGGCCGACAACCTTACGGGGTCGACGAAGGGATCGAAACGGGCTGGATGGGGGCGGAGGGCAGGTTGATGTGTTTCAATGGCGCATTTTTGTCTGGAGTGGGCTTGGAGCGGGGTGTGCCGAGTTTGGTGCTGTACAGGGTTGACTGGAAATCACCCGTGCGTCTGGTACCGAGGCTGTTTTCTTTTATCGGGTTTGGGGGTCGAGGGTTGGGACGGTATGAGTGAATCCTCTAAAGGACTGACTCTGGTGCCTCGCTAGGAATGCTCCCTGCGATAGTTGGGCACAGGCGTCACATGCAGGGTCACATGATCTGGTCAAAGATGTAGGTCTTTTGTCATTCTTTGGGGGTTTTTTCTTATTTTCTATCAAAGGGAAGAATTATCTTTGCTGATTCTCGGCGCTTGGAGTACTGGTATACTGATGTCAAAGAAGATCCACGGATGGTATAAACTTCGATTGTTCCAGTGTACTCCGTACCAAACATAGATATACTTCTCTAAAAGTTTACCGACTATTACACACAGACTACAAAGAAAGCTTGTTTGAATAGAAACCGAATGATTCGTAAACTGAAAAGAAAAAGGGGGTATCTAAACACATGGCCCATAGCCCCGGAAGATCAAAGATATCCATCCAGGAACCGTAGGGGGAAAAAGAGGAAAAGAAAAAAAAAAGAAAACAAACTGCTAAGCAGCGAGCATGAAATGTCCCCGGGAAAAGAAATAAAGCAAATCAAAAAGTGGCAGATAAGAAGGCAAAAGATATGCAAGCAGATGCGCCACTTTTGTAGTTTTTGCCCTGGTCATCCATCCCGGAGTATTATGGCAATATGAAGACATCATGAGATAAAAGAAACAAAGCTGGAACATGATATCGTATACCATGTTCGAGAGCCAACATTATTTTTTCTGTAATCCTTTTGGTCCTGTTTCCTGGTTCTTTGTTGTATTTTTTGTATTTTTGTTTCGGCATATCAAGAACATGGTCGAATGGTCGGTCATCGGTGATTGGGTGGTCGATCTAGTCTCGGATTCTAGCAAAGTGCTTGTTCCAAATCCATCCAACCGTGTGAGTGACATCGTCCTGGTTACGGGCAAGCCAGAGCTCGCCCTTTTCGCCAATGACGTCGAAGACGTCGCCAGAGACGTATGTTAAGTATGAATATCCACCCTCGCTGCGGGCGTCGATATCAAAATTGTAAAGGCTGGCTGCGCAAAAGAGAACTGCGGGCGCTGTGGAGGAGCCGGTGTTGACCGGAGCCGCTGGGGGCTCGTTGGGCGTATCGGACATGGGCATAGCGGACGAGAAGAATCCAGAGTAGCGGCCGGCGGGAGAAGACGGAACGTCGGTTGAATGTGTGCTGCTGATCACATCTGCCAGGAAAGGTGTGTCCAGGCTGAGCTGGGGCAGGCTTGGGAAGGGCTCTGTTTCAGATGTTCGTGCCGGGGTGCTGGAGCCGGTTACTTGCTGCAGCAATTTGCTGGGGCCGTCTGATACGACACGACCAGACAAAGTGGAATCAGCGCGGTAACGGCTGCTGCGAACTGACTGGCTTTCCGTTTGTGGTGACTGGAATGGATGGCTTCCGATGCTGAAGTCACGAGACACCTTGGGTGAATTTTCTGTCATGGACCCGGGTCTGGTAGAGCTGTTGATTGTTGAAGGCCGGCGAGGAGAGGTTATTCCTGTTTCATTTGAGGGCGACATGGGCACCAGATTGAGTGACGAGGTCAGCATGGACCCGTTGCAAGAACTCAGCTCTGACATTCGAGCTTCCATAAGAGTGTGGTCAGAGTGGAAGTCGGTGATGAGCTTATGAAGATCACTGGGGAATGCTTCAACGTGGGCTCCAATCTTTTTCTGCAACACACCAAACCAAGTAGTTTGGATCTGAATGAAGTTTTTGAGACAGGCTTCCATCAGCTTTGAAGTCAGGGCGTAAAGCTTGGGCAATTCGTCTTTGAGTGTCTCATTCAAAGCCACAAACTGCTCTCCTTGTTCGGTGGTTTTCTTGTCTGGTTTGTCACCACGGTCATTGATGGCTTTGTAGCGCGCATATTCCGGTAGCCGCTTGTCTCGCTTTCTCATGATTCGCTGTGGTCCCTCATAAATCTGAAGCAGTTGGACCATCGGGTCGATGACTGATTTACGGACAACCTCAAGCTGTAAAATGTTAGAGATGTTTTAGCATATAGACATGTCGCAACTCACGTGTGCCGGCAGGGCTTCCGTCGTGATTTCCTGAACTGTCAGTTTAAATAGATGCCACTTGCTCTCCAGCTCTGGATAGCTGGACTGCTCCATGGATGTCATGCTGACAATGGCACCAGTATACTCGCTGAACTGGTCTATGTACCGTTGAATATCCTTGGTGTAACTCTCCGCATCACGCATGACCACCTGCAACTGGAAGTACCCGTCGCCGAGTTTCTGCGCCAAGGCATCATAAGTTTTATCTTCGAACAAATCGGAAAGCCCAACTTGTTGTCTGAACTTCTCCGTGCGACGACCAAATGCCTTTGACAGACCAGCACGTACATCTGACTGGTTGCGCTTCCGACCGACAGCTCCAACAATTTCCACTCGCTTTTTGAGCTCGTTGATACGGTCAGCAATGCTCGCGGTTTGTTCCATTGCCTTGGCAATTGCGGCTCTGTCCGGGTGATCATCTGGCGTGGATTCCAGAAGCTGGCCGAGAAGTAGCGGGAATTTCGTGATTCGCTGCACTGGTTTGACAAGCAAAGCGTCGAGATTCCAGGCTCTAGTGATATCACCTGCAAACCGGTGGCATTCGTCCAGCCAGATGGCCACTTTCGGATTCTTCAATAGAACGGTGAGCTTCTTGGTGGCGGCTTCATGGTTCATCAAGTATTCAGTGTACACCTTTTCCATTTTAGCCATGTGAGAGAGGAAAACACGACCAACAGCTGTGCCACGATCCTTTTCAAGATCCGACAATTTGTCACCCTCGGGATTTTCATTGATTGTGGAGGAAGATCGGTCGATTCCGAGACCATTCTTGCGATTGCGCCTGCTACTCCACCGTTGGGACAGCGGTATGACATAGACCTTCTTGACTGCTTGCTTGAGATCGACCAAGAAGGCATCGGAAAAATCTGCTACTTCTCCAATATTGCCGAAAAGAATCTTGACATCTTCAGCAGAAAGATCCAGCAAAGAGGTCGATGTCCCTTTGTAGATATCCTCAACAATCTTCATGTCATTGCCGAAATCGTATTCGGTGTCGACAATTTCTTTCATAACATATCGACGCTTCTTGAGACGGCGCTCTTCCGGAGAAGGGGACTTGCTGGTCTCAGGCCGCAAAGGATTCTCTGAGGACGGAGCAAGAGACGTGGCTGAAGAGTCGGCAGCGCGAGGGGATTGACCCTCATTGTGACGCAGCAGCGAAGAGTTTTCGCTACTTCCCGGACTGTGTCTCATAATAGCAGGGGCAGACTGGTTGGTTTCGGCTTTCATATTGCTTAGAGGAACAGCTGGAAGTTCGCTTGCTGGCCTTTCCTCAAACTTTACGTGAGCCATCGTCATCGACGGGTTCATGGATGAAGTTGGGAGATGAGCTTGGGATGTCTGCTCCCTGAGAACATGGGTGTCAACAGTCTTGGGACCGTCGTTCGAGCTTCCCGAGGCCCCAGCGTCCAGTGTCGAAGGCACCAACCTGGGTGTTAGCATGTCTTCAGTATCAATGCCGTCGGGTTTATTTGCAGTAGCAGCGTGTTCATCATCAGCAGCGATCTGCATCCAGTCCATAATGGAAGGAGATGCATGCTCCCAGTCATCACGCCCAACCAGACTAGCCGTATGAGACAGTCTATCCGCAGCAGGGACGTCCTGGAATCCTGGAACGACGACTGGATCATCAGTGAGACTATTGGCTCGCCCATGCCCACGCATATCCATAGGGTGAGATCGACGCTCGGGCGAGATGCGAACCGTAGGCACGGGTATATTGTGACCTGTGCCTCGAGTCAACTCTTCAAGGTAGAGCTGAGTAACACGCTTCGAATCCCATCTACCGAGCCGAGCCAAGTTGGGTGGCGTAGAGAATGCATTACCGGCTGCATGCGACTCTGACGCCTGAAGAGTGCTCGGTCCTGTTACACCGTAATCCTGAAGAGGTGACGAATATTCGTCGTCGGCGATGGAGGCTGGTCTGGTTGAGACAACTGAACAAGTTTCAGTTGGGGGCTCTGTGTCGCGGCCTGCAATAATACTGTCGTCACAGCTTTCATCATACTGCTCGTCACAAGTGGAATGCTGATTTTGTACAGAAGAGGACCATGAACTCATACTCCATCTGTTCTGAGGCTGGTTTATGGCCGGTGCCTGTTGAATTGATGTATGCTGAGGCTCTTGGGTGTCGGTACTACTTGACGAATTGAAGTAGGTTTTCGTATCTCCGAGCATAATTTGAATCGATTCCTTGTCATCGGTTTCCGACATACTGCAATCCGGTTCATCGCATGAGTCGTCGCTTGGGCTAGATTCGCGGATTTGCATAATCTGATTCAAGATAGTCCGGTGAGATAAGCTGGGGTTCCTCTGGAGAAGCCCAGACTGCGGCTCCGGGTCGAAAGTGGTAACATGGGTACCGTTGGAATCGGTTGTGACAGCTGAGCATGGAGCTACATCCTCGGAAGGCTGTAGCTCGTCTCCCATAGACGGGCCCTTATGGCTTACTCCCTGCGGCAGACCAAGAGTGGGAGAGTCCATTGTCGTGTGTGGTGCCGCGATGTCTGATGCCGGGAGCGAAGTATTGAGATGTAGCTTCGGAATTCCTTGCGCACCGTTCTCCTTGAAGAGGACCGGAGTGGTCGATTCTTTGACTACCGTAGCCATATCTTCGGGCATTGGAGGATTGGACGCAGGTGGAATGGGTGTTGTTATAGGTTCTTCTGTTGGTGTCTTGGAAGCTTCATTTGCCTTTTGGTCTCGTACCAAAGCGCGGCGTCGAAGCTCTGCTGCAGCTTCTTCCTTTCGTTCATTCTCTTGGACCGTCCGATTGAAAGCCTGTTGGATGCGCTGGCGGCGAGTTTCGAGATCGACATTACCAAACTCAGGGATTCTGCGTTGCCGAGGCCGAGAGCGCGGGCCGTTATGCTCGACTTGCTTTTGTAATGACGAAAGTGTACTACCAACTCTGGAGCGTGGAGAGACCGAGGCACCATGTGAGACGGGTTGTCGGGGCCGCGAGCTACGCAAAGGAGGTGATTTTTTGGGCGGTGGAGCAGCGATGTATGCCTGAAGTCGTCGACTGGATTCGGATAATTGATTGCGGGTTCGGCCAACTGCCGGGTCTCGTCTGCCACGCGAGGCTATCGCAAACGAGGCGGGATCATCCTGTGGCATGCGGGATGGGCTTTGTTTTGGTGACGCAATGGGAAGGCGGCTGATGCCCTTGGGCGGGACGGTAATGGCAGCAGATCGGCTGCTGAATGTCGGGTTCGAGGTTGGTGATAGGGCATCCGGGCCGGAAGCAGTGACAAGACGGTGCGAGGAGACAGGAATGCGAGACTTGGAATTCGGACTGTCCGGGGGCTCTCATCGGCCTTTGCCCACTGCAAGGGCGCGCGAACTGCCATTTCAGGTTCCCAAGGCTCGGCAAGGGGTTCTCGCGAAGGATTTCTATCCAGATCACTTCGTACTCTGCGGTGTTTTCCACTGCTTACTCCACCGTGGACTGCCTCTAAAGAAGTTGTGTGTCCAAGATACCACGCAGTAGGGGTCAACGGTGACTTTGCAGAGTATTCGGCTTGGTCGATGAAAGCTGGATTTGGGCTTGGGATACTTCCATCAGACCCACGACGTCGCAAGTGCGATGGAATTCCAAGGCCAGTGTTGTTGACCTGAGTGTTGATCGACAACACTTCACCACACAAAGGCCGCCGAGGATGCGACTCCTGTATCCGTTGAAACAAAGGCGGAGGAATTGCGTTCGTGCGGAGAGGTGCCGGAACAAACTTCCCGACTTCTGGTGATGAAGGTATGGAATCTAATGCACGAGGATAACTGGTGACAGATACTGGCGAAGAATCGCGAAGGTGACGATGGCGAGACAGGATACGAGGTCGGTCAGTGTCTTCAACACTACTGCCAGAAGGACTCGCTGCTCTAGAGGTCGAACGAGATGCGGAGGGTCGGGGGAGAACCTGGTCGGAGGTATTGTTGAACTTGTTGATCAAATCTTTGAACGAAGCCTGGCGGGATCTGGGACCTGGTCGTGAAGCTATGTCGGATGTGCCTAAGCTTGAGGAGTCTGATGCTGAACGGTATGTTTGTCGCCGGGCACGCGATGACTCCAGAACATTTGTTGGCAGCGGTGACACTTTGTCACCCATTTGTGGATAGTCGGCCGCAGCCATGCCTGTTGTCACATCGCTGAACCCTTCGCTAACATTGGATGTTGACAGGGCCCCACGGCGGTAATAGTCGGCAGGGTCTGGAGACTGCCCTCTATGCGACTCGGCCAAATGATTGGAGGAATGGGGGTCACTGAAAGTCGGAGAATACGTGGTCGAAGGTGCTGGGTTGAAAGGTACGGTCGGCGAGTCTAAAGAGTGGCCAAAGGATTGTCGCCCAAACGGGAGCGGCTCACGATCCCGGACACCAAAAGCCTGTTCGTCACCGCCAGACATTTTGCATGCTTCAGGCCGATCGACGTGGACTGGCACCTTAGGGAGCTGATGCGTTGTTCCGGGATGTTCGCCCAACGAGGATGTCGCAGGTGAGTCGGTTCAGGCTACAAAGCAATCTTCTCGGGTGGCGCACACCCATTCAGCATTCATATTTGAGACACACGCAAACCTCACACCGAGGGGAGTTCCCCTTCGAATCTAAACCAAAATGTGGGGAGATTCGGATCGGAGATTTTGGGTAGTGTCAGGAAGAAGATCGGCTTGAGGCCGACGCCAGAAGAAGCCAGGAAGCAGACGAATGGGAAGATCGTAGGCGAAGGCGGGACTGACGTTTGTTCGTCTCCAGCGGGCGCTGATAGGCGATCTGGGGAGGGGGACAGGAATCCTGGTGGGCCGGTTTATTAGCTCTCCGGTCCAAGCCGTGCCTAAGTACAGAGTAAGGAGGGGGGTGGGGAGGTCACTTACTACCGACCGTCGATCCCTGAGGTGGTGAAAGAGAGGTTGGGAAGAAACAAGGAAGGGTAAAAAGACAGAAGAAAGAGAAGAGGAGAGAGAAAGTGAGGCGAGAGGAGCCTAGAATGGTTCACGATCCAAAAAAAATAGCGAAACAATCCCAAGTCCGAGGTTTAATTTGGAGAGGTTCCGCATAACTTACCTGATATTATATTATATATTACATCATAAATCATAAATATTACATTACTACTATATTTATACGGCTATACTGTTCAGCCACATGGAAAGTATTCAGGAACAAGTAACTTCGCGTCTTCCCCTGAGTGGAGCTGAAGGCCTTTTCTAGACCGCCCGTTCCATGGTTCATTCCATTGTTTAATTAGAGCCTCTGATTGGTCATTCCCAGCCTTACGCGGTTTCACGTGGAACATATCGAACATCTACCTAGGTATACTTGTGTTTGGATTCAACACCAGGTCTACAGGTCAAGGTTAGGAACTGAATTGGGTTCCATTCCTTTACCCAAACCCTTCCGCGTGACGCGTTACCCATTGACGCGCAGTGCAGTCATAATGGGCAAAAAAAGAAAGAGACCCATCAAGGATCGGGGTCCGCCTTCGTCTCACCCGAGTATCACCAGCTCTCCCCGCCGTTTCAGGAACCCGACCCCATCCACTGGGAAAATAAGCCATCCCGTTATCTCCCTGTACTACCGACAGGTAGTGACCCTGCGAGAGTACCTCCTAGAGCAACTCCCAGTGACCTCCAAGTCGCGCCGGCGCCGCATCCTGGCAGGTTCGCGAGCCGACGACCCAGCATCCCAAACATCCCAAACACTGGCGCATCTGCTGGACTCCACTCTAGTGGGTGTGCTGAAGGAGTCCTCACCGACTCTCAACTCCGAACGCCAAAAGGAATATCTGTCTTTTACCCAGTCCCAGTCACGGTCTATTCTCGTGAGCACAGATACTGGTCCGGCCTGTCCGCAATCCGAGGTGCGTCCGTGGCTGCCGAGTAATCTTACATACCTGACCACTGACCCTTGCTGCAGGTGGTTGATTTCGTTATTTGGAAACTGTTCAACCAGAATGGCTCTTATTCAAAGCCCCAGCATTTGCTGGCACATGGGTTCCAACGCCCGGCTATGGGGTTAAATGCCCTTGAAACGAGCATTCCGGGCATTGTGTCTCAATTTCCCAATCAGAATGTCCGTATTCTCAAGGACGGTGCATGGGCAGAGGTCTTGGACCTGCTTGGTAGTAATGGAGACGAGATCATGATGCAATTGTTATTCGATTGCGGAGTTTTTGCGGCTATCAATGCTCGAAAAGGCATTTACTACCAGCTAAGTGGTAGGTTTCGTCGATTCAATGGCATAAAATATTGTGCTTATGATTTGCCATAATAATAGGGTCACCGCTGTCAATACTTGAGCCGCTGAATGATGGCACAAGCCCCAACGAGCTCGCCAAGACAAAGACAAAAGGACCACCTGTCAGTGCCCGGGATATCCCCAAGGAGAATGGCGACCGCAAACGGGATTCTGACAAGTCTGTTCGGGGTCCGAACAGCATCATCTTTCTGCGCCGGCGTATACTCTACGGACGAGCCGAGTCCAACGTGAGAACACCATCTGGGTTAGGAAAGACACGTATGTCCATCGCCGTTTGAAGGTCGCATCCAGACCTGAATTGACTTTTTATTATAGATGTCCTTAACCGCTTCTCGTCGCTTGAATCAGCAGCGGAGACTTTGCATGTGCTGAAGTATGTCTTCCCTCGGCAATTCGGCCTGCTGAACGCGTTTACGGTCGATCCAGATGGCCGCAGCAGCACAGATGACCTCAAGAGTTTCATGTTCCGAGAGAATGAAATATCTTCTCTGGAGAAACAGAGATCTCGGCGGGCCCCCCAAAATGGGTGCGCAGCATCAGATGAAGGCATTGAACAAATGAAAGTCCCTAAAAGGCTTCGTGGGAGTGCCATTGAGCTTATCCGGAAACTGCGGGCTCGCAATGCGCGGTGCTCCTACTTGGAGCTGCTGCGATACTATTGTCCAACTGATGTGAGACATTCCTACCACTTGTGGGTAGTGAGTAACTGACACCTTGCAGCAAACCGGTCCGCAGAGGCTTGGCGCCTTCGCCTCGGATATCAAGTCGGACACCGGCAAAACCGAGCCTAATTCATCTATTCCATCAAATTTTGTAACGCAGGTACCACTTGGCCAGCTATCGTCAAGTACAACTTCGGCGCCGACACCGTCCGATGCCACGACGTCAACGAACCACACAGCAGGTGACTGCAGTGGAATTGAGGCTGAAGAAAACCCGGCGATTCAGAAAGCCAGAAGCAGTCTGACTGATTATGCCACTCCGACATCTTCGGTTTCCGCATTCTGTCGGTCCGTGCTCCAGAAATTGATACCCCGTCAATTCTTTGGAGTTGGTCCCAATGGCATTCACAACCTACGACTGGTGCTTCAAAACGTCGACCGATTTATAAAATTGCGCCGATTCGAGAGTCTCAGTCTGCACGAAGTGTGCAAAGGCATAAAGGTTAGTTGCCCTGTGCGTTCTGAGACAGACTCCATACTGATCGACACTCTAGATCACAAGCATTGCTTGGCTGGAGCCACCCCAGGTCCAGACTCCAGCATCTGAGACAAGATCGAAGATGTCTTTGTCCGATTTGCGCAAGCGCATGGAGTTACTTCATGAGCTTATTTTTTGGATCTTTGACTCAATTCTAATCCCTCTGGTTCGCTCTCACTTCTATGTCACCGAGTCCCAAACACACAAAAACCGCCTCTTCTATTTTCGCCATGATGTATGGCAGCAATTGATCGAGCAACCTCTTGGAGATTTAAAGGCTACTATGTTTGAAGAGCTTGAAGCAAACCGGGCCCAGCGTGTGCTGGCACGGCGACCACTTGGCTTTGGTGCTCTCCGTTTGCTTCCCAAATCCACAGGTCTCCGGCCCATCTTGAATCTTCGCAGGCGAGTCATGAAAGAGTCGTTTTGGGGCGGAAGGCGGCGCACGTTCCTTGCTCCCAGTATTAATTCAAGTATCACTCCGATTTACAACATGTTGAATTATGAGCGACAGCAAGCGCCCGCCAAACTGGGATCGTCCATGGCGTCTGTGGCAGAGATGCACCATCGGTTGAAAACATTCAAAGAGCAATTGACCGATCAATTTCCTTCAGAATTCAAGGGTCGGAAATCCAACATTCCACCCCTGTACTTCGTTAAGCTTGACATCCAAGCTTGCTTTGATACTATCCCCCAAAAGAAGTTACTCAGTCTGATAGCAGAGCTGGTCTCTGAAGAGGGCTATCATATCTCCAAACATGTGGAATTTCAGCCTCCTGCCCAACAAGGGAAGCCTGCGCGAAAATACATAGGTCGTGCTGCCCCTATGATGAAACCACAACACTTACCGGACTATATCAACAATGAACCCGCAGGCCGAAAGGCCAACACTGTATTTGTCGACACGATAGCTCAGAAAGACTACGATACCGGAGATCTTCTGGCGCTCCTTGATGAGCACGTGCGATACAATCTCGTCAAGTTGGGCCAGAATTACTTCCGCCAGCGCAATGGCATCCCCCAAGGCTCTGTCCTTTCCAGCATCCTCTGCAATTTCTTCTACGCTGAGCTCGAGCGGGAGGTATTGGGTTTCATCAAACCCGAGAACGCCCTGCTCATGCGACTAGTGGACGACTTCCTACTCATCACCCTCGATGCAAATATAGCAACACATTTCCTGGAAGTAATGATCCGCGGCCAACCCACCTACGGTGTCCGAGTCAACCCAGCCAAAAGCATGGCAAACTTCAGCGCAGTAGTCGATGGCATCCTGCTACCCAGACTTGAAGGATCACCTCTATTCCCATACCTGGGTAAGCTCATCGACACGCACACACTAGAAATCCACCGCGATCAAGACCGCATCCTTGAAGGCGGCGAATCAGCCGCTGTCACTCTCTCCAACGCCCTCACCGTCGAATCCAGTCGCCTCCCAGGTCGCACCTTCCAGCGCAAAATGCTCTCCTCTTTCCGCTTGCAATTGCACCCTATGTACATTGACGACGGACACAATTCCCGCGCAGTCGTACTGGCAAACCTGTACTCGAGCTTCGTAACATGCGCCATGAAAATGTACCGCTACATGAAATCGCTCCGCGGCCGTGCACAGCCAGGATCCCTCGCTGTGAGTCAAACTATCCAAGCCCTCATATTGCAGACACAAGGCATGATCCAAGCCCGGCGTGCTGGTAATTCCGGGTCTTCGTTTTCGTGTTTCGTGCAACAATCGCATATTATCTACCTGGCAGCAGCAGCTTTTCGGTTTGTTTTGAAGCGCAAACAAACGCGCTATCGGGAGGTATTGCGTTGGTTGGATGATAAGATCAAACAGGCTCGGCCTACATCTGACTCTCAGGCATTGAGAATGATGCAGGTTGTGAAAAAGAGCAATGAGAAGTTTGAGGAATGGCGGTTTTAAGTGGGAATTATCTACAACAGCTATTGTCCAATGAGATCTATGTAAATGTACCATATCTACTTACACCGCGGATCGAGCAACATTGGACGAAGACCCGACTGGAGAGAGATTGTGGTTCAGGGGTTTGAAAGATATGTAGAAATCATAATTGATACAAGCTGATATATGATTTACATATAGAAGGCTGTGTCTGCTCATCCCTTCCCGTGTCAGAAATGCGTTAATACCTGCGAGGTACAAGGTTGAGGGTCCAAATCTCCGTAGTGGGACGAGTATTCCCGAGGTACCCCCCTGTTCTCGGCCAGACCGAGTGCGGCAACCGTGCCTGAGGTTGCTCCGCTTGCATCGCGGATTCTCTTCACTTTCTCTCTTCGTCCCTCATTTGAACTTCCTCATTTCTGTCTGCTTTTTCACATTCATTTCGCCTTTCTTTTCGTTTTCTTTTTCACCTCTCTTGGTGCTACTCATACCCCCGTGTCGGCCTCTCCTGATCCCTCTTTACAACACCTGATCTGGCTTTAATCAGGCTGCGGCTGAGCCTGCAATTCGTTTCTCGTTGACTGTGTTATTGTTCTTTGTCTTTGTTTTCTGGTCACCGATCGATCGTGCCCCAGTCCGAACCTCCAAATCCCGATCCTCGTGTCCGATTTCGATCCCTTCCGGCCATCCCGTCGGTTCCCTCCTGTGTTTTTTTTTTTTTGGCCAGGGCGATTCGTGGGGGATCAACACGTTTGAATAATTGCACGATACCATGACCACCGTTGGCCCGACGCCCAATTCTCCGCCCGAGCTCTCCGGGTCCAAATCCTCCAAATCCTCCTCGTTTCATTCATCGTCCCACCTGGACGGCCCGGACAGTATATTCACAGATATCTCGAACTTCGAAGAAATCGGCTTGGAGGATGATGCCGAGATATCCTACGTGGACCCAGCGGGATCCTATGGCCGCGCTGGGGCAATGGCACGGTCGCCCGCTGCTAGAATGAGCAAGACCCCCACGGCCTCTACACGCGACCTGACCGCTACCCCGAAGCCTCGAAAGCGGAGTCCGTTACCTCCCATGCAGGTCAATGGAGCAATCAAGACTCCCCAATCTGCAGGCTCCCTTTCGGCAAGACCTGGCAAACGCAGAGATTCGAGCAACACACGCCATTCTCCAGGGTTGACCCCCTCTCAGCCTCGTCGATCGCGGTCAATCTCACCACTCCGACCCACGTCCAGCCGCTCCGCCTCAAGCACCAGCTTAGCTCTGTCTCCGCTGTCCGCGCGCGTACCTGTCCAGAAACAAACCTGGCAGCCGAATCGCAAGTCCCTGAAAGACCTGGAGGAGGAATACCATGACTCGGACGATGAACTGCCAGACGATGCAAGCCTGTGGAATATTCCTATCTCTCCACGCCCTCAGCAGGATCGCACCCTGTCAAGGCCTGCCAGTCCCAACGGCGGACGCAGTCCCGGCCGGCGCCCATTGCCCTTTTCGCATACCATATCCGAAACGCACGTGCCACTCGCACCCGAGAATACGGCCAAGGCATCCCGCATGAAGCGAATACAACGATCGAGCTCCGCAGGTCCTGAGCGCGGTCAGATCTCGCCTCGCAATCCTCGCGCCTACTCGTACAACAGTTATATGTCGGATTTGTCCGAGGAAGCTAAGATTATTACGGAGGCTCTTGAGCTGCATGCGGATGATAGAGATCGTCAGCGTGAGGAGAATGTGCAAACTGGCGCCTCGCGAAAGTCTAGCGAAGACTCACACCGAGCGTCTCGCGATGCTGTTGCGTTGCCGCCTCTGCAGAAGAGCAATATCATGATCGACCCGTTGCCGATTAGCAAGGAGAAAGAGAAAGTTCTCACGCGGACACGGCCTAGCTGGCTTCCGCCTAAGGATCAGAAGGAGGAAAAGAAGCATTTGAAGCAATATCAGCAGATGATGGCCCAGTCTCGAGAGACTGGTAAGTGTCTATAATGGCCCAACTCACTGTCAATCTTCTAACTCGCATTTCAGAGAAACGTAAAGCTGCCCGGGATGCCTCCGCGCAGTGCGAGAAGGACAGCACCCGAGTAACGCTGCAAAACATCTGGGATGAATACGTATACCCTAATTGGGACCGCGCTCTCCGCGAGCCTCGAATCCGGGAACTCTGGTGGCGCGGAATCCCACCTCGCAACAGAGGAAATATCTGGAAACGCGCCCTCGGTAACGAACTAGCATTAAACGAAGAGACTTACACCAAAGCGCTCCAAAGAGCGAAGGATCTAGAATGCAGGAAAGACGCAGAAGGCGAGAACAACAAACGACTACTGGACTGCTTTGAAGCTATCAAAACAGACGCCCCGAAGGCCTTCTCAGACCTCAACCTTTTCCAAGAAGGTGGTCCATTACGGGATACGCTCATCGACGTCCTTCAAGCATACTGCATGTACCGCAGCGACGTAGGCTATATCTACGGCCTACACACCATCGCCGCCCTCCTCGTCCTCCAGTTCCCAACACCAGCATCCGCCTTCCTCGCCATGGCCAACGCTCTAAACAGACCCCTCCCTGTTGCATTCCTAACCTGGGACCGGGGTGCCATGGCCCGCTCTTACACCCTGGCAACAGATACCCTGCGCTACAAATTCCCCCGCCTCTTCGCCCACCTCACGGAAACCCTGCATCTCTCCAACGAAGAAATCTGGGAACCAATCTTCCGCTCACTCCTGACAAACGGCCTCGATCTCGAGCGCCTCTCCCGTGTCTGGGATTGCTGGGTCTTCGAGGGTGATCGCATCATGATTCGCTCGGCTGTTGCTGTTCTTGGCTGTCTGCAGACTCAGCTATTTTCCTTCAACCAGCCAGATGACCAGTCTCGCATTGCCGTCCGTGATATTATCGGTTGGGGACCTCGCTCGCTCGGTGCTAGTCAGAAACCAAAGGATCGCCATAGTGCTCCTGCAGCCTCTGGCTTTGGCGGTGGATCCATTGAGAATCCCGGTGTCGCTGATTATTGGGTCCTTTCCTCTGCTGGTGATGAGGATGGGTTTATGAATGCTGTGAGAGAAGCTGGGAAGGTCCGCAATTGATTTGCTCCTGGTTTCTGTTCCTGTCTGTCTGGGTTTTTAGCTGCTCCTTTTCCGGTTGAGCCTTCCTTCGTCTTCCTTAGACTTTTTCGACTTTTTTTTCGTACAACAGCCACCATCATTTTTCTGATATCCACTCGCTACCCCAGAGAGAAAGGAGCGCAATTCAACTATTACATTACGGCTTGACTAATTCAAATGGAATCCCATTACTATTACTCTTCCGCCTATTGTCTATTGTCTATTGTCTACTCCAGTCACCACCTCATCCACTCGCTGACACCTGTTTCCTTCCTCTACATCTTATCCTGTATGGCATGACAGATACACCACACAAGCCAGTCGTTTCTTATTTCCTATTCTCTTTTTTGCCTCTTGTCTGCTTGTTTCTTTTGCCGTTAAATTCTTCTCCATCTTGTATTTCTAGCCTTTTCGTGACTCATGCCCCTCTGATGCATTGCGTTTTTCCGTCGGTATCTCTTTTAGTGGTATTCAAGCAATCAAGGTCATTTTTCATTCTTGGGTTTGGGTTCGTTCTTTTGGTACTATACCAATCAGGAGTAAGATTATTAGGGTTGTGGCTTACTTGACTTGTCGCCAGATATATAGATTCTAATATGTTGGCTGATGGATGGATTGATGGTGCTTCAACTGTGTAAGAATAAAGTATCTCAATTGTAATGTTCTTGTCATTATCATTTCTCTATTTCAGTTGGATGTTGACGAGAGCCTGCGTAATATTCCTTACAATATTGCGCGGATAGGGGCAGATAAATGGCCGGACAAAAGATAAAGAAAGCAATACCCTCTAAGAATATGCACAACAAAAATATGCGAGGAAAACAGCCCAGCCTCCACTCTATTTTATGATCAATCATTGCCACACATTACCACGAAACCCAAGCCACAGGCCCCTTAGGGAAAAGCCGCACAAGAGCCTTGCGCAGCTCATCCATGCAGAGAATACCCATCGCAAGGCCAAGCGGAATAAGCCAGAACTCAATAGGGACAGAAGCAGTGCTGAACAAATTCTGAATACCAGGAACCTCCGTAACGAAAATAGCAATAACCAGGGAAATGAGAATAGCCAACGGCAACCAGGGATTGCGACGAGCAGGGCGAATAGGATCGGCCTGGAGCAAAGACATGCGCTTACTGCGAACGGATAGCACGTTTCCCCATTGCATGATAACCAAGGCGACAAAGTAGCAACATTGGCCCACGCTCGTGAAGTGGTTCAACTGGTCCTGTGTATACCCGTGGAAACCATCTGTATAGTTCTCGAAGGAGAAGATGAGATCTGAGAATGGGATACCAGCGTAGCGCCACATGTAAAGGAAGAACATGGCATGAGCGCTGAACGCTTCCATTACTCCGACGAAGAGGTACGATTGGCCGTAAATTCGGAGGTTGATGAGGTGGTCCTTTTTTGGGCGGCGGGGAGGGAGGCTGAGAAGGTTGAATTCTTCTTTTTCCATGATTAGGGAGAGTGATAAAAATAGATCGGTGAAGACGCAGACTACTATCATTAAGAATGTGCTGAGGGGTGCTGGGCAGCCGAAGAAGACGTTCATAAGGACCGGCCAGATTTCGGACCAACTTCCTGCTGGGAGTAGGTAGGCGATGACCTTTTGCAGGTTCTGGAAGACTAGTCGGCCGAGGCGAATGGCTTCGATGATGGAATCAAATCGTTCGAGGAGAACTAGGTCTGCGGCCTCGATTGCCACGTCGCTGCCGGATCCGACTGCGATGCCGACATCTGCTGCGCGTAGAGCTGGGGCATCATTGACGCCGTCGCCTGTGACTGCTACTATGTAGCCGCGGTCTTGGAGCTCTGTGACAATGCGGAGCTTTTGCTCGGGGGTGGTGCGGGCGAACACGATTTCATCGTAACCGCAGATTGTCTCCCAATGCTCCGAAGTCAATGATGAAAGGCTCGGGCCTTCGAGGAGCAGGCTATGTCGTGACTTGGGGACTTTGATTTCCATCTTTGGATCAAGACCATCACTCAGGTCATCTACAGTATCAGGCTCAGCTTGTCCGTCATAGATTCCAATGTCACGGGCGATGGCAGCTGCTGTCAATCCGAAATCACCAGTCACCATGAAGAAGCGGATACCTGCCTCTCGGCAAGCCGAGACTGTCTGAGCAGTCTCCTCGCGCGGTGGATCAATGATGCCAAAGATACCAAGAACGGTCAGGTCCTTTACACCCGACTCAAGCATCTCGTTGCTGAAGTCGTTTGTCCCAGGGGTAGAGCAGGGGACGTAACGGCGCTGGCATATGACAATCACCCGTTCTGCGCGGCGTGACAGCTTGGCCTGGAAGTTTGAAAGCTTCTCCCGGGCCTCTGCATCCAATGGACGAATTGCATCATGGATTGCAGACCAGTAGGTAGAGCACCGATCCAGTAGCACATCAGGTGCTCCCTTGACGTAGAGAAGGAATTCGTTGGTTGAGTTCGGATCACGATGAAGTGTAAGCATCCACTTATTCTTCGAGTTGAACGGGATCTGGTGCACACGCTCATATGGAGCCAGGGCTGTTGGCGACGACATGCCAACACTATCGGCAAACCGAAGAACTGCCGCATCTGTAGCATTTCCATTGACAAGACGGTCATGGATGGGTTTGTTCATTGTGGTCGGGTCAAACGATGCATCATTGCAGAGGACAGATGCCCGTAATGTATCGCGCAGGCCGTCGGGGATTTCAGCAACCCCGAACTCGCTAGGAGCTAAGTCTTCCAGACTGTACTCCCAGTCAAGCATTCCGAGAGACTTGACAAACATGCGATTCTGGGTAAGAGTTCCAGTTTTATCGGAGCACAGAACGTTCACGCAACCCAGAGTCTCAACGGTGGCAAGACCCTTGGGCAAAATGTTGGTCTTTTTCATCCGTTTGGCGATCATCATGAGAGTCAAGGCAACAGCAACAGGTACTCCCTCCGGGATGAAAGCAACCACGCAGCCCATGACATTGTTCAGCATGGATACAACGGACATGTAGGATGGATGATCCTTGTGCAGCCATCCCAGCCAAGTGAAGAAGATCAGTAGAGCGAGGCAAATTGTGAGGGCAACGATGATTGCCACAAATCGGTTGATCTCGCGTTGGATCAAGGTTGACTTTTGTTTGACGCCGGCTGTCATTGTAGCAATGCGACCCATGACGGAGCGAGAACCGGTTAAGACAACGATACCGATAGCATTGCCATTGGTGACACCTGTTCCCATGAGGGCAATATTGCGAGTCTCCAAGAAGTTTGCCTCGGTGCATTCAATAGCGCCTTCAACCTCGTCTGACTCGCCGGTCAAGATGGCTCGGTCGAAGCGGACATCACCCGAGCTCTGCAACAGGCGCATGTCCGCGGGAACCTTGTTGCCCATTCCAATGTGGACAATATCGCCTGCCACTAGCTCAGTAGCAGGGAGATGGGTGAGCTTTTCATCTCGCAAGACCATAGCCTCTGCGGGTAGGAGGTCCAGGATTGAATTCATGACACGCTTAGTAGACCAGTCCTGGAAGGCCGAGAAACTTGCTTGCAAAGCAATGACGATAAGAATGAGCACTGCCATGGCGAGATTCTGAGCCGAGGGCGGATTGCTGAGCGGCTTCCAGCAGACGAAGAAAATGACCACTCCAACCCAGAGCACAGAGCAGAATCCGCCAAAGACGTAGAAGAAGATCTTTTTGAAATAGTTCTCCCCGTGGTGTGCAATGATATTTTTGCCATCTCGCTGCAGACGAGTAGCTGCAGAGGATGAGCTGAGTCCAGTATGTTGGTCGACGTTAAACTCCTGGCATAGGCGTTCGGTGGTTAAAGTATGGAAGTCGAGGTTTTCGAAGTAATCTTGGTGTGGCTGCTTTTCTTTCTTCGGGGCATTGAGAATATCCTTTGGGGCATTCTGGGACTCGGAGATATGGATGGACAGGGTTCGGAATTCGATGGGCAAGCCAGCAGTTGCGGCATTCTGACTGCTTCTGCTGCTGTGGATGGTATCCCGGCTCACCGAGCGGGTTCGTGTGAACTGAGCTGGCTGGTAGATCGATCGAAAGCCGTCTGCAGTGGATGCTTCCTCAAAGGTAATCCGTGCGGAACGTCCAGTGCGATCAGAATCATCCTTGATCTGATCACTCTCCGACTCGACATCGACATCGGTGGTGCTACCTTGGGAATGCATGATGGACGTCTAGTGATACAAAGTGAACGGGAAGGCAGACAGTCCGGTGTCAAGGAGAACAACACAAGCCCGAGGTGTCACAGAAGAGAAGGTGTAGAGCGTAGAGCGCAGAGAGAGGACAGGAAAAGTCCTCTTATGTATGTTTGCAGGCCGACTAGGCCTGATTAGAGTATTCCTAATTGGGAAGGTTCAAGCCAGTTCCTGCATGTCATAGCACAGTCACTCGAGGGAAATAGATACTATGACTTGATGTTTTATTTCCCTCGATCCACTTTACCTTAGGCTATACTAGTAATATCAGCTTTTGATTCTGAATTCCCTGGGTCTGTGTCGATATCACTCTCTCTTTGCTTAAAAGGAATGTAAGAGATACTCCGTCTATTCAATACAAACATTTTGTGACACGATCTAGTTCTCTACCAGAACCAGGCACCACCATAACCAGCCACAATTGACAGCTGTCAGTGAAGTATGATATACGTACTCCGTACAGGAAGTATTGTAATATTACCATGTAGAAGGATACCGGCCAATCACTAATTGTATATATCCACAACTGACAATACAAAACACGTTCAGCCCTATTTTTCCCTGGTCGCCTCGATCAGATTCCCTGGAAATTCAGGAGAGAAATTCTTTCAGATCAGGAGCCGCAGCGAAAACAGAAACAAATGCCGCAGATCTCGTAAAATTTGCTGTTTTCCGTCATGGTCATAGCCACAATAGCGTGGTTTATTCCCCGGGTCGCCATGAGGGATTTTTCCTCGCCACAGAATGACAGCGAACTACTCAATTCAGACGTTATCAACTCCCATCTACCACTCTGAAAGGCTCCCACATTTCAATTTTTCTCTCTAGCCGCTTTCAATTTACGCGAGCCGCTTCAGTAGCTAGAGTGGTAACTGAAATAAATCGCTCACTATCAGTCTATTTTGACACGATCATCATGAGCAGTTTGCCGCGTCCAATCGCAGATATATCCAGCCCGCTAAGGACCAGCCACGAGAGATTTGTTTTATTCATTCCTGGCCCATGGTTGAGAAAGCTGTGCTACGATGGGATACTTCGTAATTTCCCATGTGCTCACTTTCTCTTCGTGCGTGTTTATCCTAGGAATGTGAGAGCGGAGGGTGAGTGATATACACCGCCAATGTGCAGGTCTATATAAAGACAGCCCAGATTCAAAAATCCACCGTAATATTTCCTTTCAATTCGATATTTTTGACTTCTGCTTCGCAACCTCCCCTACGTGTCTATCAAAGCATACATCATCTGAAAACCAGACACCTGGACACTGATCCCCATGCGCCCTCCAGACCAGAGTAACAACTATCATGATTATCCAAATCGAAGAAAACTCCCCAATGGGTGTACAGATGTCAAAGGCAAAGGCTCACTGAATGATGCCGTCCAGGGAACGGGAAGTCGCGGCTGGTCCGCCTTGAAGCACGAGCATTTACCTCTCTTGACAACCATCTCTACCGACAGACTTCCTTTGATAGGAGATCCAGCAGTCCCAACGCCCAGTGCGATACAACTCTCAACCTCCAGTCTACCATTCACAGAAAAATACGGTCGTTGCCAGCAAATAGTCCATTACGGGACAAACAGCACGACCCGCCTCCACGAATCAAGGGGCCAACAGCTCCTCGCAATCAAAGTATACAGACGCAACATCTTGAAAAAGTCATCCTCACCTACCCGCCCATCTCATTTGACCACCTGTCTCTCCCCAGCTAGCGCGACCATTCATCCTCAACATCCCAATATCCTCCAAATCCTCGACCTCCTCCACAATGAACGCTCCGAACTGTGCCTTGTTATGCCATACTGCGCCGGTGGGGATCTACATACCCTCATATCTCGAAATGGATTACTTCCAGCCCACGAGGCTGACTGCATCATAAAACAAATCCTGCGTGCCCTCTGCTTCCTCCACGAGCACGAAACAGCGCACCGTGATATCCGCCTAGAAACCGTTCTTCTAACATCAAGTGGAGGAGTCAAGCTGGCTGGCTTTAGTGATGGACACGTTCGGAGAATGTGGGAAGAGTGTGCAACTCCAGCAGAAGATGAGAAAGAAACCCCTCCACCACAACAGCAACATCATCATGCGACTTGGTCCTTCTCCTTGCCGTGGCCGCTATCTTCACTTACCCGCCAGAACCCATTTGCCTCTTCAGGCCGCAATACTGCTCAATCTATGACCATAAACCCATCAACTGCCTCCTTCGCCGGTATGAGCCTCCCGTATACCCCACCAGAGGCATTTGAGCATCATTCTCATGCCTACGCGCACAATGACAATGAGGAAGAAACTGACCCCCGTCCGGCGGATGTTTGGGCTACTGCCATCGTCTACATGACTCTCATAACCGGACGATTGCTTTGGCGCAGTGCTCGACCACATCGCGAAGATGGGCGGTACTTGGAGTACTTGCATAGCCGTCGTGAAGAGGATGGGTATGCGCCGATTGAGTCGCTTGGACAGGTACGTATCACCGAGTGGACGTTCCTCTATCTTGCACAAGAGACAACTCGCTGATAATTAGGCGACAGAGACGACGTAATGCCATTTATGCAATGCTGCATCCCAACCCCTGGAAGCGGATCACCTCGATTAATATACTACGATCAGAGTGGATGAGTGGTGTGGAAGTTTGCGAGGCAGGCGAGTCAGGGAGTTGAGCTTTAGAGATTCTATCAAATGTGATCTCCATGTCTTCGAGAGGCATGATAAAACGATCTTAATTAAACTTGCGATGCCCAAATCCTCGTGGAGGTTGCGTTTTATTAACTCTTAATACTATCGATAGCATTGTCTCTTTCAAAGCTCCATATTCCCTATCTCACGCTTGGCTACATCTTTCCAACCATCTCTCCACCGGTTCAAGGGTTGTCGTCCATGCGTGGGAACTTGCATGGTTCGTGTTGAAGCTATTATTATCAGTCTTGGATTTTACGATGATGCCGAGATTCTATGGGCAGACACTGTGGGGTGGCTTGCAGCTTCAATATCCATAAAAAGAATCGCGCACGGTGTAGGCGCCGATATAAACTCCGGGCTCGCCATCCACTACAATAATGAGCCGCGACTAGAGAGACATTACTGCTGTCGTTCAATCTCCTCTATTGCCACCTTGTTGGGATCCCCATAACTAAATTACGAATACATTTGTCAACCAAATAAAATTGCTGCGCTTGGCGACCCGACCCCTGGACATGAAGAACAATGTTCTTATATACAAATTTATCATGGAGATGGCGATGAGCCCCTACAGAGAAGATATGTAAGCGAGTACAAGCAGGACTTTATGGGTCTAAAAAGCCTAGTCGGTCGCTAATCAGTATCTAGTCCGGATGTTCCACCACCAGACTTCACGCCTCTACTCAAACTGTGTAGGGTGACATCAGTCATACTTTTTATTATCACCGTCTTCCTTGACTTAAGAAGTTGAATTATATTGCATCATAGCTCATGTATCGTTCAACGTTCCGAAGTCTCGAGCCGGGTTTTTTAGTATATCTGCATCACACGAATGCCGTATTCAACTATGAAATAACATCTTTGAGTGGTCCTAAATTAAGCAAGCAGAATAGGATGAGAGACGCAAGCTAATTCAAATTAGCTTTGTATTATTCGATTCAATTGCTCCAAAGACAGGGCCAGTCTCCCCAAAGAAGTCTGCCACATCAGTGACAAGTATCTCTGGCTGCTCCCAAGCAACGTCGTGTTGTCGCCAAAATTTGATGTTGCATGCCTCACTCACCCAGTCATGGGGGTAAAGCCACAGCTACAAGTAATTACTATATGTGCTCATCTGAAAAACGTTCAATAGATAATAGTCGAAAGAGCTCACCTCATTCGGGAACAAGGAACCACCGACGGGCTGTGAGATGTTTCGCGCTAGCATGCTAGATGAGTCCCCATTGAGAACTGCTTCAGCTTCCTTGTAAACCTGCATAGCCGCGCTTGGGCTTCCCTGATAATGGATAAGGCCCAGTGGATGATTTCCTCCGGTGTCCAAGGGTAATTGTCCGTCCATGCCTTGAGTTTGCCTATGAACCAAGCCCAACATGCCAACAGGAGAGTCATGGAGTGCATACCCGAGAGTCACAGGCTTTGTCTCCTGGATACGCTGATAGCCACGCTAGGATACCAGACTGTGTTAGCATCTAAGCAATTTTGAAGGGTGAAGCTGAGCCTACCTCCATAGTGGCGAACCATTTCGTTCGCTCCAGGTTCTTTTGCTCCTGTTCGCTATATTGACCACGCGCAAATCGAAGGAACTTGTTGAGTGATTTTTTAGCATCGGGTGGCAAGGCAAGAAACATGTTTATATGTATTGCCAGAACCGCATCGGCGTGGTTCAGCGCCATATACCTGACAATTTATGAGCCCCAATCACCACCCTTTCTCATAATTAGCAGCTTGTTTAGTCTATAAACAAATATATGAAGGCAGTTATACCTGGCAGACGTAGTTCGGGTATCCAAGCTTCTCCATAAGGCTGGCAAAACATTCAGCGTGCTGTTCAAGCCCAAAACCAGCCTTTTTGGAGTATTCACTGAAACCGTATCCGGGGAGGCATGGAGCAACTACATGGAAAGCTTGCCTTCCATCAGTGGGCTCTGTCAAAAGCGGTATAATCTTGAGAGCTTCAAGAAATGGACCAGGCCTACAGGAAATTATTATTTAGTACAAGTCATTCGAGTGGATTCCAGTAAAGTTGCATACCACCCATGGACAAAAATTAGGGGGATTGCGTCTGGTTTGCTCGATCTGTGATGGAGAAAATATATATCTAAGTGTTCAAATCCATTCACCGCGATATCAGTTGTGAAGTGATTGAAGGTGTTCAGGTGGGCCTCGAATGACCGCCAGTCGTACTTATCACGCCAGAATTCAACAACTTCTTTGAAAGCCAGGTGTTCAACCTCCAGATCATTCCATTCCACACTCATCATACCATCATCAATTCGAGCATATCTCAGCTTTGTTTTGGTCTCCTCAAGTAAGCTCTCCGGGACATGGATCTGTTATTACTGTCAGCCGCTGTTGCTCGCTCAATACATATGCTGCAAACCTTGTAGGGGCGAATACCCTCCATTGGTTGTCCGGTAAGAAGGATATATAGGTTCTAGGTGGAATATATTTACTGAGATCAAAGTAGGCGACTACGTGTTGTCATTCGAATATGTCCTCCAAGTCAGACAGTCTCCTAAGAGTTTTTGAGGAGAAATCATGTCCAAAATATCTCATATTTAGGTACCTATAGCGTTATCAGGAAAGTGGATGCGCTCCCCCGCTCCAGATGCTCGTTGAAGTACAAAATTCCTTACACAGGTGACGTCTACACAAGGTCCGCTGCGGATGAGCATTAGCCGTTCCCCACAGCGGATTGGCATTACCCGCCTGTGTGTCATAGCCTGCGAGCTCTAACATTCCAACATAGTGATAAAAGGAGAGTAGATTTTCTTGATTAACGTGCAGCATTCTAAACATCTGAACATCTGAATAACGAGCTTCGTTATGGATTCATTGAAGGGACGCACCGCTCTTATTGTGAGTGGATATGTCCTCGTTAGATTGTGATTCTGCTGACCATATCATAGACTGGTGCCTCTATGGGCATTGGCGAAGCTATTTCACTCATTCTGGCTGAGAAGGGAATGAATGTCGCACTTTTGGCTAGGAGTAAAGTAATACAGCCACATCGTTATGCTTGGTGCTAGTTATGCTAACGGTACTCGCCAAAGGACAAATTGGAGAATGTCCGGGCCAAGATTCAGCAGAAATCTCCATCCGTTAGGGTTCAAGCCTACCCCGTTGACATTCAGAATTATACTGAAGTCGATGCAGCGGTAGCGAATGCCATCGCAGAGCTAGGCGAGATTGAAGTTTTGATCAACAATGTGAGTCTATCCTCCATTTCAATATAGCCTCCTAGACAATCTCTGACATCCCAAAGGCTGGCCTCGCACTTGGTGCACCAGCTAGATTCTGGGAGCTCCCAGTTGATCTGATTGCCCAAATGAACGGTACCAATATTGCTGGTGTCATGTACACAACCCATTCGGTACTTAACAGGAGCATGTGGCCCGCAAAACGGGGAACTATCATCAATGTCTCGTCTGTGACTGGATTAGAATGTCCACCTTTTGACGGGGAGGCTGTCTACCACGCGAACAAAGCCTGCATTGAGGGCTTTACTAATAGCCTACGCTCGGAAACAGCCGGCTCGGATATTCGCGTTTTGACGCTGCGGCCAGGTTGTGTTGCTACCAACTTCCATCTTCAGAGGGTCAAATACGATAAGGTTGCCATGGATGAGTTCTTCTATGGCTATGAGCCGCTGGTTTCTGAAGATCTTGCCGATGCAGTTTGGTACATGCTCAGTCGCTCTGGGAGAACGTCGATCAAGGCCCTCGATTGTGTCCCGACAGCTCAAAGATCACTTACTCGATTCGATCGGGAATGGAATGCCAGACGGGACGAGAAGAGCCATGGGTAGTTCTGGATACCAAGCAAGAAGATAGATTAGTTTTTTGTTTCATGCATTGATAATCTAGCCTGTCTCTCACCTCGATGGATTCTCTTTCACTCTAGGACCCGTGTTGCCTATATATGTTTACTCCTAATTCCGTTCAGATAGGACAAGGGGTCAAAAAGGAAAAATTTGTATCATGAAGGGCAAGAAGAACTATATTGATAATGAAAACTCATAGGGACATGGTCGCCACATCAGAAAGTACTGTTTGTAATCCCGCAATACTCATGGCCCTGATCACAAGGATCATTGCACAAAACATCGGAAAAAGCGCCATCAAAAAGTAGCTGATCACTCAGTGGAAGATCAAGCCAGTCAAAATATGACTCTGGATGAGGCGAGTCATCCGGCACGGTGCTTGGTTCCTCGAGTTCCACTGCCGTATTCGAATCGCTTATGACAGATGAAACAGCTTGGATTTGGTGAGATATGCCCCCCGAGCCATTTTCCTGAGGTTCAACTACACTTCTTGGTGCGAGGTTCTCTGCCGGATCAGACGCTGTGGATATTCCGGATTCTTGTGCAAGTGATGTAAGCACCTCGACTGCCCGGCTGCTTTCTTTTCCAGGTGGGGTCATCAGATTGAGGATATGCAGATTCAGGCTGTATAGGTTGTTTGATCGCCGAGCCAACATTTCATCGCTGGATTTTGAGTTGAAAAGGTGAATATGTGAGGCCATCACTAGACCTTCGACAGCAATGGGAGACAATCGACGCTGGGTTGCAGTGAGCATCCAGACGAAGCAATTTAAGCCAATGGAATGAAAATCACTTACTAAAGGGTAAAAGTTTCTAAAAGAGTTAATGACATATGAAACTCGAATAGCAGAAAATGTAGCTGATTGAAGATGAACCAGGTGTGAGTTCTGCAAACTGTGTAGGGATTCCATTGACGGACTACCACGAATGAATGGACGATGAAGCATGATCTTCAACGCTTGATACAATAAGCTGCATAAAGTATTTAGCCATGTAATCTTTGGCTACCATTTGGTCTTTAGTACGTACTTGAATTGGTAAACATGTGGTGGTACTTGCTTGGTCGCGGCGGATGGTACCCTGAGAGGGCTGGGTATATTGTTGTAGAACTCAGACATAGCAACGTGTGTCTTTGTTACTTGGTCCTCCTTTTCTTCAAAGGAAATGGAGCTTGATATTGCGTAGCTTATTTAGACAGGGTTAGTGATCATTGTAAAGATATTTATTTCTCTCTGCGGCTTGAACTCACATTTTATCCAAGGCCGGTGTGACGATGCGTAGCAGATCGCAGGATATCTGGAAGTTTGACATACAATAAGATGTCAACTTCGTTATCGTGGAGTTTTCTGAAGCAGGCCATAAACAATACTCCACGCTCGGAACTATTGGAACTGATATTGGCTGTATATCAGATTCCCGAATAGCACTTGGCTGGCCAAGAACCCGAGTTATATGTCTGTGGATGTAAGCTTCTGAGAGGTGATATGGGAATGAGAACGCATACTTTTCTAGCATCCAAACCCCCGCCCACGCAATCGAATGGGCCAGGATAATGTCCTTTGAACCGAATTTTGAATAATTGGTTTCCGGCTGTTGTAGGTGAAATCCGAGAGTGATCGCATGCCGAATAGCAATGCCTATATGCATAAGACATGTACTAGAAGGTGCTTCAGATTCACTTACCGATGTATTGAGAGGCCGAAGCTATATTTTCCATCAACAGCTCTGTTTGAGAAATGATAGCTGCCGATAGAACAAGGGAGAGGCTTGGATATTCGATCTGCTCAAGAACTGATGACTTGGCATGCTGAACAAGCGAATTCCTTGACGCGTTCCAGTCGAAATGGGGGAGTCCTGGCTGAGAGATATCTGTATTACAGGAACTTAAGGCTAGCAACGACGCCAGCAAGGTAGGCGTGCAGTAGCCGTTGGCACCATTGTCAGAGAGGTCTTTGCGAAAGAGAGGTTCATGAATTAAAAGCGGCCAGGTGTTTTGCCAAGTCCAGAACTCCTCCAAGAGTTGACCTTGGAGGCCCGGTTCAAGTAAGAACGGAGATTTTTCTATTAGTAGCACACCATCATTGATAGTGATCTTTCGTTGATGAGATGCCAGGAGCATCTCATCGAGTTTGCGGAGGAACCCTAAGTGACCATATGCACTGGATGGTCGTGATTCCGGTCCAAAGAATGGGAGATCCTTGTACTTAGATTGGTAAAACACTGAAGTAGGGTCATGTATCTCTGCCTGTAGTGACTTTGGGTCTTCCAAGCTGTTTGAGGGCGTTGGTCTGTCGTTCGTACTGTGACGAGATAGGGCAAGTTGACCCTCCAAGAGTGCGATTCTGGCGTGGAGGGCGTGAACATAACACTTTGTCGGGGGCCTATTACACTTAGCATTTTCTGCTGTATGCATATAATCACTGGTTTGACCAACTTTCGCTTCTCGAGGTGATAAGTATACTCGCATTGACGACTCTCCCTCTCGCACAAGCCACATATGGGCTTTTAGCCATCACACTAGACATGGATGAAGTCAGTCTTTTATCCTACCACTTTAGATAAGCACTTCGCTTACTTTCCGTTTCCTTTTCCGACATGACGTGCACGCAATAGAGACACGTTTCCTGTCCGCAGTCGACATCATTGGAGATCTCGGGCCCCTTATAACGAAATTATTGCATAAACACTGCAATTTTATACGAGACTCCGTTCCCTCAGGATGTAGCCAGGCTATGGGAATTTCTCTGTTGGCTTTTATATGCGATGGATGTGAAGACAAAGTTCGACAGTGGAATGACGTAATCAACTGGGAACAGCCTGACTTTAGGGCTACATCTGAGTTCTTATATGCTATTTTTTAATATAGTATTAATTTCATCAGCCTATACCCTCAAGGGATGCGACAAAAAGCACACTAGACAAATCTGTAAAGGTGAGGTTGAAATGTCACCTGGGCATACTCCGTCCAAAGCGCTGACTCAGCCACTTTAACGCCCTCACGCGTCCCATACGCGTCAAGCTTCAGGGAAATGCGGAGTGCCAACTCGCACGGCCATTGAAACATTCCTCATCCCGAGAATCCAATTTGAGAGATACTCCTGTTGAGGTAATCATCTATCATCTCCACTTTGTCACAATCCGTCCTATCCCACTGCTGCTCCGCATACCTGCGGTGGGAGCAGACCAACTGCCCTCAAGATGACGCCTCAATCATCGCAATCCTCCGCACCTTCACCGTCTCTGAAACGAAAGCAACCAAGCATCTCTAGTTTCTTCACCCAGAAATCCACATCCAGCTCCTCGCCCAAAGACTCCGAAGCGACCCCTACCAAGGGGCCCAAGAAAAGACAAGCCTCACCAGCGGAGAAGATCAACGAGTCGAAACGAGCTGATACAGTGGAAGAGGATGACGACGAGGATATTGTTGTACCGGCTCCAAAACGAGCTAAGACCGCCGGCACAGACGCAGAAGAGCCGATTCGAGTTGCGACGAGCGTGCCCTTCGAACACACTTCCCAGCCGAGTAGTAGTCAACGCACCGATATTTTCAAGTTCCAAAGCTCCCCTGCTGTTGCTACGAGTGTTACTGCTAGAGATGCTACGGAAGAAGCCGATCCAGAACAGGATCGACGGAAGAGAGAGAAGGAGAAGCTACACCAGAAATTTGTCAAGAAGCTCGGCGGAGCCGATTGCTTGATTGGAATTGGGAGGACAGCTGCAAACGATGCTGCTGCTGGAGCGGACGATGCTGCAGAGGCTGAGGACGATGATGAATCTCCTCCTCCAATCAAGGGCAAGGGTGCCAAGAAGGGCGGGAGCAAGCTCACGCCTATGGAGAAACAGGTCGTCGAAATTAAGCGCAAGCATATGAACACTGTACTGGTGATTGAAGTCGGATATAAGTTCCGGTTCTTCGGAGAGGACGCGCGTATTGCCGCAAAGGAGTTGGGCATTGTGTGTATCCCGGGAAAGTTCAGATTCGATGAGCGTGAGTATATCCCCACAACGACGTATTGAAGGTCACTAATGCATGGACTTACAGATCCCTCGGAGGCACATCTTGACCGGTTTGCTTCAGCCAGCATTCCAGTGCACCGACTACATGTCCATGTGAAACGACTCGTCACAGCAGGCCACAAGGTCGGAGTGGTGCGACAGATCGAGACAGCTGCACTCAAAGCTGCGGGTGATAACCGCAATGCGCCGTTTGTCCGCAAGCTGACGAACCTCTACACCAAAGGAACCTACATTGATGACGCTGAAGGTCTGGAGGGTCCTGCCCCGGCAGCGGGAGGCACCTCGCCTGCTACGGGTTACATGTTCTGTATGACAGAGACTAACGCCAAGGGCCCGGGTAACGATGAGCGGGTGCATGTCGGAATCATTGCAGTTCAGCCGGCTACAGGTGATATTATCTACGACGACTTTGAGGATGGCTTTATGCGCAGCGAGATCGAGACACGACTCTTACACATTGCCCCATGTGAGATTTTAATCGTTGGCGAGATGTCCCGAGCCAGCGAGAAGCTTGTTCAGCACTTGTCCGGAAGCAAAATGAATGTCTTCGGGGATGCCGTGCGACTGGAAAGGGCTCAGAAGAAAAAGACATCCGCTGCTGAGGCTCACAGTCACGTATCGGGTTTTTACGCAGGCAAAATGAAAGCTACGAGCACTCAAGAGGACGCTCAGGCAGCAAAGTTACTTCAAAACGTTCTTGAACTACCGGAGCAGGTTACTGTCTGTTTGTCCGCTATGATCGAGCACATGACTGAGTATGGGCTGGAGCATGTGTTTGAACTGACAAAATATTTCCAGCCCTTCTCGGCTCGCTCGCACATGCTCTTGAACGGAAACACGCTGGTCAGTCTGGAGATTTATCAAAACCAAACGGACCATTCGGCCAAGGGTAGTCTGTTTTGGACCCTGGATCGGACGCAGACTCGATTCGGACAACGTATGTTGCGGCAATGGGTTGGACGGCCTTTGCTTGATAAAATACGTCTCGAGGAGAGGACCAATGCTGTCGCGGAGCTGACGGACCCTGCCCGGATGGTTTTCGTGGAAAGAGTGCGAGGCTTGCTCGGCAAAGTCAAGAGTGATCTGGAGAAAAGCTTGATTCGCATTTACTATGGCAAGGTAAGTGACTTTCCGTCGTGGCGATCTTCATTGGTGCTAATATTGGGAAAGTGCACACGCCCTGAACTTTTGAATGTGCTGCAAGCCATGCAAATGATTGCGATGGAATTCGCAGACATCAAATCGCCCGCTCAGACAGGCTTTGAGTCAACACTAGTGAGCGAGGCAATCGCCTCTCTGCCCACAATCCGAGCAGAAGTTGTCAAGTTTCTGGACAAGATTAACCTGCATGCAGCTCGGACTGATGACAAGTACTCTTTCTTCCGTGAAGCGGAAGAGACCGAAGCCATTGGTGAACATAAGCTCCAGATTGGAAGCATAGAACACAGTCTCTCTGAGCACCGCAAAGAGGCGGCGTCGACAATTGGAAGAGGCAAAGTCGAGTACTCGACAGTGTCGGGCATCGAGTACTTGATCGAGATCGAAAACAACTCACCGGCACTCAAGCGAGTCCCCGCATCATGGATCAAAGTGAGCGGCACAAAACGCGTGTCACGCTTCCACACACCGGAAGTCGTTCAAATGATCCGAGAGCGCGATCAGCAAAAAGAAGCCCTAGCTGCAGCATGCGACCAAGCATTCACAGCTCTACTAGCCGACATTGCAGCACAGTACCAATCCTTCCGCGATTGCGTCCAATCTCTCGCAACACTAGACTGCCTGCTATCCCTAGCAACGATCGCCCAACAACCCGGCTACGTCAAGCCCGAGTACACAGACGAAGCAGGCCTCCACATCGAACAAGGCCGACACCCAATGGTCGAGCAGCTCCTCACAAACACATACGTACCGAACGACACAAACCTGCACCACGATAGCACGCGCGCACTCCTCGTCACGGGTCCAAACATGGGCGGTAAATCCAGCTACGTACGACAAGTAGCACTAATCGCAATTATGGGCCAAATCGGATCCTACGTCCCGGCAGCCTCCGCCAAACTCGGCCTCCTAGATGCCGTCTTTACCCGCATGGGAGCCTTCGACAACATGCTCGCCGGCGAGTCGACATTTATGGTCGAGCTCTCCGAGACAGCCGATATCCTCAAGCAAGCAACGCCGCGGTCGTTGGTTATCCTCGACGAACTGGGCCGCGGTACATCGACGCACGACGGCGTTGCTATCGCGCAGGCTGTGCTCGATCACATGGTCCGGTCTATCCAGTCCCTCACGCTCTTCATCACGCATTACCAACATCTTTCACGAATGGTGCAATCCTTCCCGGATAATGCCCTCCGCAATGTGCACATGAAGTTCACGGAGACAGGCGGGAAGGAGGGCGACGAGGAGATTACATTCTTGTATGAAGTCACTGAAGGTGTTGCGCATCGCAGTTATGGATTGAATGTGGCTCGGTTGGCCAACCTACCCTCGGCTGTTATTGATGTTGCTCGTCAGAAGAGCGCTCAGCTTGAGGAGTCTATTCGCCGGAAACGGTTGGCTGGGCTTGTCGGTGCGGTTGGGCGTGTTCTTGATGACAAGGATAGCGATTCTGTTGTTGATGGGCTTCTTGAGAGGCTTGTGGCGAGTGCTGAGCAGTTGTAGTTTTACTTTAACTGGCATGAGCAGGCGCAATGGGCATTTTCGGCACTGTACAGGTTTACATATGCATGAAATACTATCGATTATAGATCAATATTGGCATGGCATGATGTTTACGTAGACTTGATGTGTAGACATGAAGATCACCCGGGGCCATATGTACTAATCCAAGCCGCTACGATACCTACTTGGCCATGTACCAACAAACTACAATCGAACACTGATCAGGCACTACAAACGCGCTCGAGACGGCAGGCGGAACCGGAAGTTTTCAAATGTTTTTTGGGGGGATTCCATTGTTCCTTTTGTCGATCAGGCCTGGTTCGAATTGGGGAATACTTTTCTTCTTAAGTACCAGCAAGGAAGCCAGTACGAGGGGGAAGAGGGAAACAACATCACAACCTCGTTTGTCGCATTGAGCCCATGCAAACACGTCAAAAGGACGTGCGAATGTAGTAAAACACCAGATCGAAACCAGACCAGACCGTTGCCACAAAGTCCACAAACCAGCCCTCGCGCAAAGAACCTGATTTCGTTTCTCATATCAATAATATTTGTTGGGAAAAAAGGCTTTCTAAATCTTGAATTTTGCGATTCTCTCCTTCTCTCTCTCGCGCTCGGTTCTCCAAAATCGACCTTCCGGGACTTTTGGAGCAAAAGATTAACACCAAAAAGTCAATCCACCCATAAATTCACATCCATTCGATACGTCGGAGAAAGGCGACAGTCGATAGGCGGAAAGACGGGCAGCGCGGCAGTTTAGGGCTGGGAAGTTGGGGAGGTTGAAGGTACGGCAAAGAAGAAAAGCGGAGGACACGTTTTTGGCCGAAGAGTGATCATGAAAAACCGGTCGTGAGGGATATGCGAGAGAAGAAAAGAGACAAAATAGACGACGCGAGCGAAATTTCGTTTTGGCGGTTTTTAACGGAGACGGCGGGCCTCGCGCTCGGACTCGAGGAGGCACAGGATGTCATCAACGCGGACTGGTGCGAGATATGTTAGTGTGGTTCGTGAATTTTGTGTGGTCGATCCCCGAAATTTCATATTCCGACATTTGGCACTTCAATTGGTTTGAAGACCATGTGTTCCTCCTCTTGAGATGTGCATAATCGAGGAACGATCGGAAGAAAATCATTATCGCATACCTGGGCCCTTGACGTTACGGATGATGGAACGCGAGGTGTCGTCCATGAACTCGACGCGGACCTGGGTGACACCACCACGGGATCCTAGAAAGAAATCCAATTAGCCATTATTGTTCCTCCAAAGTTCTGGCTTTCATATTCTTTTGACGGGCGATCGGGGGCGCATGGGCAGAACCCCGCGGATATCGAAATGTGGATTTTGAGCTTCAAAAAACTCAGGAAAGGCACATACCGGTGCGGCCGAGGACACGGGTCACCTTGACGAGCTTAACGGGCTGCTTGCTGGAATCCATCTTGTCGGGAGGGAGAGGGCGTTGAGCTCGAGGGTTGGAGTTGGTTGGACGGGAGTAAGGGAATGTTGAAGATGAATTTGCCTTGTGTGGGTTCGTGCAAATTACGCGAGGGCTCAGGGCTGGACACCTGAGCCGTCAGGCAGTAGCTGAGTCAGCGGGTAATGGATACCTTGGCACCTGATTGACACCTGACGGGTCAGGCAGACACCATTTCTTTTACGTATACAAGCGCAACCTGACTGGATGCAGGTGCGCCAATTAATTGAGCCTCCTGAGTTTATAGAGTCATGTCAGAATTGAAGCAATTGGTTGTAGAGTATCACGTGGGCCAGTCCTCTCACCCTTGCGGTCTTCCCGTACAATCTCCGGTCCCGCCGTTCGGATCTGCCCCTCCAATTTCTGAGCTCCGGTGTGACTCTGACTCTTATCTTTTATCCTCTTGAGCAATTGACTCTTTCTCTTGATATTCCGGTATATACAACTACCTTCAACCCTCTCAAGCCAAAGTCTCGCGTTCAATCGCTCAACCGCAATGGATCTCGTCAACCAGTGAGTCAATCCCAATTGAAAATCAGCATTGCGCATTATGCTGACCGTATGACCCCAATCAGCCTCGAAGGCCGTCTCCTTTTCGCCGTTCCCAAGAGCAAGTCTCCCCCAAGTCATGATAACTCATAGAGTCTACACGACACTCCCATGAAGCTGGAACAAAGAACAAAGAGCAAGAATAAGCACAAGAACAAGAACAGCATGCTGACGACACATGCCACTTTACAGAAGGACGTCTGCAACAAGCAACTCTGGACCTTCTCTCCGGCTCCGACGTCCAATTCCGCCGCGAAACCCGCCTCGACATCGCGCTGGTGAAGAACTTGCCCATTGCGCTGATCTTCCTACCCGCCGCCGACATCCCAACCTTCGTTGGCGAGGGCCGCGTTGACCTCGGTATCACCGGCCGCGACCAGGTCGCCGAGCACGATGCCACCTTACCCGCTGGCGAAGTCTCCGGCGTGGAGGAGATCCTCGATCTCGGCTTCGGCGGCTGCAAGCTGCAGGTTCAGGTCCCTGAGAAGGGCGACATGACCGAGGCGAAGCAGCTCGTTGGCCGCAACGTCGTGACCAGCTTCACTGCGCTCACTGAGCAGTTCTTCCGTCAGCTTGAGGGTGTCGAGGCTGGCCAGAAGCTCAGCACTAAGATTAAGTATGTTGGCGGTAGTGTCGAGGCTGCTTGCGCTCTCGGTGTTGCGGATGGTATTGTCGATCTTGTTGGTATGTGATCTCCCTCCTCGGCCATTACTTTGGCTTTATTGGCAGCATGCTTATATTGCGCGTTCATCAGAATCCGGTGAGACCATGAAGGCCGCCGGCCTCAAGGCTATTGACACCGTCGTCTCGAGTACCGCCGTGCTGGTCAAGGCCCGCGAATCCAACAGCGACATCCTCACCCTCCTCACCTCTCGTATTCGTGGCGTCATCACCGCCCAGAAGTTTGTTCTCTGCCAGTACAACATCCCCCGTACTCAGCTGCCCATCGCCTCCAAGATCACCCCCGGCAAGCGCGCACCTACTATCACTGCTCTTGAGGAGGAGAACTGGGTTGCTGTCAGCTCGATGGTTGAGAAGAAGCGCATTGCTACAGTAATGGATGAGCTGACCAAGGTTGGCGCTACTGATATCTTGGTGATGAACATTGCCAACTCTCGCACGGATTAAAAACTTTGATGACTTGTTTTCTTGTTGGTACTTTCTAGCATTTCTCTCATGATTGGTTATCTTATTTTCGTATTTATATATATTTTCTATGATATAGGGATATTGTCTTCTTCTTTCTTACTTTTCTTTTTGTGGGATTTTCTCTTTGTTCCGATGAGATTTGGAATGAGGCAAAAGCACATTCTGGGGAGATGTTATGATCTCTTTCGATGCAGGTACATACATAGAAGGGCATTGGGTTTATATTTCGGGTTAAAAAGAAGATCTATCCGTCTTAAAATTCGTTCCAATCTGTTTAACTTGTAATTTTCTATTTCTATAGACGATATCTTCATCTTCCTTGTCAATGTACAAGAAACATATAATGTATATACTCACCTCAAAAGAAACATGCCAGTCATATATCCAAAACCCAATCCCGAACCACATAAACCTAAAAATCATAAGCGCGAGGCATTGGTATCATCAAGCAGAAATCAAACATAACTCAAAGATCAAAAGGTCCAACCAAATAACAATCATAATTCCTTCTCACCAAGCCCAACACCCTCCTTCCTTCCCCGAATAAGAGCCCTCAAACACTGCCCGACCCCCTCAAGATCCCCAAGCAACCCAACATGCCCGCGATCACTCTTAACCAACCCATCCTTAATAATCCGATATCCAGGCGGAAGCATAGCAGCCGAAGCAAGACAAACCCCATCACCAGCCGCAAACGCCAGATCATCATACGCATCAATATGCTTGATGCCCTCGCGAGAGACAACCCGCGCTCCGTATACAGTCGGCACGGATTTACCGTACAACACAGCCACAGGCGGGTATTTATTCTCGGAGTGATGAGCCGGCCGGAAAGCAAGGTTCGATTTGAACCGTTTCGTCTCGTGCAGTGTGCGCTGGAGATACTCCATTGCTGCGCCGCGTGGGATCGTGCTCGTCGTTGCCGCTTTGGTTGTTGCTGAGCTGCCGCGCGGGTGTTGGACGGGTCCAACTAACCCGTCTGCTGGGGAGTGGGCCGTCTCGTAGGCGTTGTGGGCTTTTTCCGATGCGTAGGTTGCGACGGAGGACGGGGTTGGCGTTGTGTTTGAGTGGATTGGGGCATGATAGGCGGATGGGCGGGGAGGGTTGCGGGCTGTGATGTCCTTGTCTGCTGTGGAGATTGGTTGGTTGGTGTCTGAGAGGTTGTGGGCTTCTTGGGCGAGGGATTCGTCTGAGTCGTCGCGTGGAGGCATCGAGAAGCGCTTGCCGATAAGCGGGAGGTCTTTTAGGCCGCGGTTGCTTAGGGTGCCGTTTGTTGGGAGGGCTGGGGCTATGCATGGCGAGAGGCGGTGCTCGTCCCAGGTTTTGGCATCGAAGAAGTCAACGCGGAATTCTTCTTTGCTTTGCTTGTCGATGAAGCAGTGGCCGTCTTCGGGGAGGAGGGCGAAGCTTGTGCGGAAGGTGAAGTTTACTTGTGCTGTTAGGACGCGTGAGCTGAGGAGGACGTCGTCGCCGTTGCGGAGGGGTCCGAGGATGTTCACGCAGTGCTGGGGCACGCCTGCGTAGAGGACGCCTGCGAAAAGGTCCGGTCGTTCGTTGACCGCGTGCCGGGTTATGAGGCCTCCCAGGCTGTGGGCAATGACTGTCGCTCCACGGGGTTTCTCAGAGCCTTCTGGTTGGGGTTGATTGCACGGCAAATTCTCCAAGAAGGCGATGAGTCTGCGGGACAGAAGCTCAGGGCTCAATCGCCAGTCATAGCCGTAATCATGGACACGGAGGTCTCCACGTTGGGCATTGTCGCTCTTGCGAAGTCGTTTCATTAATCGTCGGCAGACGTCCACGGGACCAACATGAGAGAGAACACCCGATGGGATGATTGTCTCTTCCATGCGCTCTTCATCCTCTGGGCTCAGTCCGACCTCCAGGTCCACCTTTCGCAGATTCAAGCCAACCTTCATCGGAACCCAGAGTTGTCGGTGAGGCGGTTTCGCCGACCGCAGAATTGATCCTCGGTATCCTCCCAGGATAACAACATCTCCCGCAAGCTCGGCCATGGCTTCTTCCAAGATGGGATGTGTCGGATTGGGATTGTTCCGCGGAAGAGGTGGCGGGCTCACAGCACGCTGGGGTGTCTCTTTATTGTCAGAGCCATTGAAAGCGGAATTGGAGCTATTACCAAGCTCTGGAAAGAACTGCCGAGAACCCCAATCTGTGCGAATGTCGTGGAGAGTCGGCATGCTGAGGAGCCTGCTGCTCGAATCTTGGAGACTATCCTTGATTGCCTTGAATCTGCTGTTCACCTGAGAGTGCACATTCTCGTATAGTGGTCTCTGCTCCAGGGACGATGCCGTGGACGAAGCGCGCAGATATAGTGATTGATCTGATGATGACCTCCGCAGACTCGGTGGCCGACCCGTCACAGCTGTGCTAGGTCGCCGGGCAAAAGAATGCTTCGCAGCTGAGGTTCCATCAGGGGATCGCAGCTCAGAAATTGCCTGAGAGGCCTCTCCATCATCATCATGACCGAAGCCACTCGATCCCCTCGATGCTCGCGGTGAGGGCGGAGAACGCCGATCCAGCGACGACGTTCTCTTCTGCTCCAAGTTCTTTTTAACAGCGGGTGCCACGGTCTGACTGCGCGATCGATTCTGCGCGTTCCCTGGGCCGCGGAACGAGAGCGAAGGCCGCTTCCTCAACGACGCCAAGTCCGGCAAGAACTTCTTCAGCTCGCCAGACCAGGCACGCGGCCGACGAGGCAATGACGTCTTCAATAAATTACCGACAAAACTAGTCCGGTGGCTCACAGCTATATCCTTCTGTTCCGCCGTAGCCGGGGGCTTGCCCCAACCCGGGGCAAAAAGATCACTGCGGGGACCATGTGGAACACGGCGCTGCAGCTGCGTCTGAACAGAAGGACTCGTGCGCTCTTTTTGCTGTACGTCGGGTTCGGTCTCGAGTTCCACCGTCTCCGGCTCGACCGTGATGTGCGATGCGAAAAGACCGTCTTCGCCGACAGTATCCGGGATCGTCGCGAAATATTCCCCCTGCTTTTCTAGCACGCGGTTCTTCTCTTCCAGGGGCGTTGCGCGGGCTTTCATGCGGCTTTGTTGGCGGCCAATGCTGACCCCGACCACATCACCGGCGGCATCTTCGTCGGCGTCCGCGACGGACAGGGGGACCGGATCATCGCTGTCGGAGCTCGAGAAGGACGAGTAGTGTGAGGGGGAGTCTGAGGCGGCGATGTTCGGCGACGACTCGGAGGAGTATAATGTCGGGTGTTTCTGCGGCGGAGCCAGCGCCTCTGGAGAATTGCCGATTGAAGTCATCTGGAATATAGAGAGCTCTCAGAGCATGAGGTCGTACATGTACGGGTGTGCGACTGTCCCCAGTGTGATGTAATTGTGGCCCGGGCGTATATAAATATGCAAAGCTTCAATTTCAGTCGCTGATGCAGATTTCAATGCAGTAGCTGAATATGTGTAGCTGTGTGGTTGTGATTTTTATTTTCTTATAATCTGGTCGGAGTGGGTTCCACCAGCACAGCCTTCTCGGGTCGCCCGGAAGGCGAACTTGGTCCGTTTGGTGCTTTTGTGCCTCGGGAGATTTGATAGATATCTGGGCAAATGCTTAGCCTACGTTGATACCTGCAGCGTTGTCTTCTCCACGATCTACGCGCCCCCGTGGTTGAAATCGGGAGATCGATGCCCTAATCTCCGCAAAGCATCATCAATCCACCTGGGCATGTTGACGGCGATTTGAATCATGATGCTTCTGAATCCTGTTGCAATCCTGTTCTATGCACTTTAACCTACGAACTAAATCAACCGGGATTCTATTTCCTACCAGATCGTCGCAATGATGGCATCTCACATAAGATTTCAAGATTTTAACGTTCAACATTATGGGCTAACGCATCATACAGGCATATAGCTCAATAGTAGTTCCATCATACACATAATCAACTGCGCCCCACAAACTTCCCTGACCGAATCTCCTCCTCGCCTTTACGCGCGATGTCCGCATTCCGCTCTGCCCCCTCGTTAGACCCGAAGGCCCGATCAACAGCGGTATTCACGGCTCCACGCAGGGATTCCCCGGCACCCTAAACAAACCAATTAGACCAAATCAGAGTATATATCGAAAAGACCAACTTACATGAACAGAAGCCGCAGCTCCCTTCACTCCGCGACCGAGATTATCACCGGCCTTTGACCCCGCCATGGAGCTCTTACCAGTCGTGGTGGAGGATTGATCTTGTCCCGCTGCCCGCTCTGTCCTGTGGGCTGTTGGCTTCTCATAGCTTGACCCTGTTGCAGGGTTGTAGCCCTTTGTTGCAGGATCGTAGTCTGATCGTGAATCCTTCATACCAGTCGGGATGCCCGGGGAGCCTGTTGAGGAACCGCCGGCGACATTATGGTGGGTTCGTTGGGTTGGTTCGTAGGTTTCGTTATTCATAGTCGTATATTTGGCTTGGATATATGTATACAATGTAGGTTATTTTACAGCTGAAGAAAGAAGCCGAAGGACTGTGAGCTTGATTTATAGTTGTCGATGACGTCAGGATGAGCGAAAGGAGGCTCTTCGATCCAAAGATCTATGATCTATACAATGATTTATACAATGATCTATAGCAGTTGGTATTCTTCTTGTCGTACACTGCATCACTTATTCCCAAATGCATCATAGACATTAACACTGCATAAAAAGTATCAATAATCATTCCCGAGCCGAGGTCCAGGAGCAGTTTTCCTAATCTGGGAGCCTCTCCGATACCCCAGACTCCCTTTTCTTCAACGCCATTCCCTCCCTCCCCGTTTCTCTTTTAATTTATCTCTATAACCCTTAATCTCTCTCACACATTCTCGCTGTATACAATCCTCCAAAATGTCCTACAAGCAAATCATCTACACCACCCCGCCAGCGCCGGCCATCGACCCCTCCCTCACAACTGGAACCTTCCGCGTGAACACAACCCCCAAACCACAAAATGTCCCAGCGGACAAAGTCCTCGTTCGCGTGCACTACCTCTCTCTCGATCCAGCCATGCGCCAATGGCTAACCGCCAAACGCTCCTACATTGCCCCCGTCGAACAAGGCGCCGTAATGCGCGGCCAGAGCATTGCCCAAGTGGTCTCCGTCGGCAGCGACCTAACAACCCAATACAAAGCCGGCGACTGGGTAGTCGCTTACTCCGGCTGGCAGGAATATGCCCTAGTCGGCGCCAAAGAAGCCGAAAAGTTCACCGTCCCTGCCGGCGGCCGCCCCACAGATGCCATGTCCGTTCTCGGCATGACCGGGCTGACGGCGTACTTTGGTATGCTTGAAGTTGGGCAGCCGAAGGCTGGGGACACGGTTGTTGTTTCTGGGGCTGCTGGTGCGACGGGCATGGTTGCTGGTCAGATTGCAAGGATTAAGGGTGCGAAGCGGGTTGTTGGATTGGCGGGGAGTAAGGAGAAGTGTGAGTTCCTTGTGAAGGAGCTGGGTTTTGATGCCGCGGTCAATTATAAGGATGCCGATTGGAAGAAGCAGCTTAAGGAGGCTACGCCCGAGTATATTGATGTTTTCTTTGATAATACTGGTGGTGAGATTCTTGATGCTTGTCTTGCGAGGGCTGCGAGGGATTCGCGTTTTGTCATTTGTGGTGCTATCAGTCAGTATAACTCTGCTAAGCCGCAGGGTCCGGCTAGCTTTATGACTGTCATTGTGAGTTTGGTTCTTGATTCTTGTTTTTGGGGCGGTTAGCTAACTGTTGGCAGTCGCAACGTATCACTATCAAGGGCTTTATTGTCTTTGATTATGCGAAGAAGTATCCCGCTGCCCTGAAGGAGCTGGCCTCCTGGTTGTCTCAGGGTAAGCTCAAGCGTAAGGAGCATATTGTCCCTGGTGGTCTGGAGGCGGCGCCCAAGGCCCTGATTGATCTCTATGCCGGTGTCAACACTGGTAAGATGATGGTGGAAGTCGCCCCGGTCAGCGAGGCCTTGGCTGCCAAGTCCAAGCTGTGAGATTAGAACCCTGCGTCATATAGCGGTACACTTGGAGGACAGGGAGAAGGGTCTACCTACAACATACAACATAGTCAAATCTAAGCCCAAAAAAAGGAACTTTTTAATCAAACTGCACTAGAATTATCTCACACAGTCCCAGCAGCAAGAACATATCCCCCGTCAACAACAACACTCTGTCCATTCAGATACTGATTCGTCACCGCAAAAAGCACAGCATTAGCCATATCCTCATCCTTCCCTGGTCGAGAAGCCGGCACCTTCTTCTCGTATTTCTCAGCAGGAATGAAACTCTTCTGCTTCTCATCGCTCTCGCCAGCAGTCATCTCACTAGGGAAAACACCAGGCGCAATATTATTAACGCGGATCCGCAAATTCGAAGAAGAGACCTCATGCGCCAACATTTTCGTCAAATGGATCGCCGCGGCTTTGGAAGCATTATACGCAAAATGATGTTGCGATAACTTCACAATACCCGAAATGGAAGTGGTATTGATCACAGTACTCGACCAGCCTCGTTCGGCCTCAGACCCCTTCCTGAGAAGGGGTAGGAAAGCAGTGGTCATGAAGAAGAGCTGCGAGACATTCGTGCGGAAGACATCGTCCCATTGAGCGAAGGTAGCGTTGGGGTCGTCGAAAAGTGATTCACGGAGTTTGCCTGCGTCTTCGTGTTCTGTTTCTTGGGTTTGGTTGGAAATGCCGGCGTTGTTTATCAGGATTGAGAGATGGTTTTCGCGGGAGGACAGTTCTTTGACTAGGTTGCTGATCTCGGTCTTTTTGGTAATGTCGGCTGTGAGGGGGATGATTTCACCGCTGATGTTTTTGTTGTATAGCTCGGCTACTCGGTCGAGCTTTTCTTCTGTTCGGCCGATTATGTAGACTTTGGCGCCGTTTACTGCTAGGGCTTGGGTGGCCATTAGGCCGATGCCTGAGCCGCCGCCTGTGATTAGGGCCACTTTTGCGTCTGATTAGAAGCTGTTGGTATGGTTTTGGGGATATGTGTGGCTTTACCTTTGTTCTTCACATTGAATAGGTTCTCGAGCTTGAAGTTCTGGTTACTTTGTTGCGCCTCCATTTCGATCTTGTTTGAGACAGGAGACTTTTGTGCAGATGAGGTCACGAACTGGCGGGGTTGTGGATAAGGAGAGAGGTTCTGTGGAGCTATTGATGGATGTAGCAACTTCTGAGAATTCTTCAAGTAAAGAGCCGAAATAAATCGTCGAGTTGGGATATGAATTCGCGACATGGTTGCCGAAGTTGACGTGGGTTTATATACGGGAAAAGACAAGACTGTGGGACAATCGACAACCATGAAATACGTTGAAATCTAAAACCTGTTCTCGTGGAATCTTGCCTGTTGCAAATACAGGTTATTCTCCATTTGTTGGTCATGGATTAGTTGACTGGTTTGTCTCCCATCGACGTTCTTTTGTGGATCTTCCTATGACAGGGAGTCGGTTTATTTCGAGACATGGATCTTTCAATAGCCAGTCGTAGACATCAGTCTAGGCAAAGTTAATTCAGGTTTCTGGTTTTATTGTGTAAGCCAGGAGCTTGTTTTAATGCCTAGTAGGTGTCATATATCAGAATGATGTAATAACTATGTCGACCTCGGCCAAGTTACACGTTTGCTACGGTGACTACGCGGGAAGTAGAAATAAGACGAACAACTTAAACTACGTAGATACAAGAGGGTTAGAACTAATCTAGTGCTATAACGATAAAGTTTACTAGAGTAATTTTATCCTTGCCATGTTCCAGGCTTCGAAATTCAAATATATATTTCGTATAGACAACCTAAATAGAGTCTGCATTCGGTCCGAATTACCAACACCTAATCGACAGATATTGCAAACTAATCATGATTTTGACCTTAACCTCAAGTCATTGATGTACCCGTTGCATGTTCAATGAAGGATAACGCACGAACTGAACATACCGGGAACAGCTGAAAGTAGCCACTAAATTTCCTAAAAGAGCAAAAACCCACCGTTCATTGAATAGCATGCGGAGTCTGCATGATATAGTTTTGGAGGATATCGTTCACTACGAGGAAAATTTACTAGACACCACGTAGATTATAATGTCCTGGTTTGCAACGTCCAAGGTTCTCAAGGTGTGTATACCTTATGAGATAAATGACCATTGAATGCCCGCTACGTCTCTGCAATGGGCCACTGAAATCGTAAATTCAGTGCTCATATTCATACAATCGCTAAGCATGCTAGTGTACAGTGTAATAGTCTTCCCCGCTGGAAAAAGAACATACAAATTGACACCCACGAAGAAACCTTTGCAAATAGCAATCCATGTGGGTGTGAATAGATGCTTAGTTTTCACGGCACGGGGGAATGGTAAAGCTACCACATTCACTGATTCAGTCCTCCTCCAATTTCATTCCTCGTTACGCATAACACCTCCACAAAAGTACTCGTAACATCACAAGTTTGGGGATCTGTTGATTTAGTCAATATTACCAGGGAGGTAGAGGAGAGAAAAGTCGTGTTGATCTCCCTCAGAGATGGTCTCCTCGGATGGAGCTGGGTGGCCGATTGGTTGCCAGCTAGTCTGGTCCATGTGGCCGTGGTCATACAGGGTTCCATAGACGGGGCCTTTCGAAGGGGCGAGCAGGGGATTGGCATGGTATCCACTCTTGTTGAAGTCGCGGTAATGGTCACTAAGCACCGACTCGTCAAAGAAGTATCCAGGTGAGGGATCACCGTTGTCGACGGCAGCGCGCTTGGCAAATGGTGAGTGCCAGCCGTGAGCATCAATGCGACCATGAGGGTCCAAAATGGGCTCAATGTTCTCCTTGTCAAGCGCGGTTTGCCCAATCTTCGAGCCATGCATGCCAAAGGCGTTTGACTTTCCGTCCAAAACAAGATGCTTGGGGGTCAGTGTATCAAAATATACTGTACTGGGTCGCTCTTGGCCCTTGAGGGAGAATTTGTGGTCGTCTTCATCGGTGAAAACGCTGAAGCCACCCTGCGACTTCTTTCCAAATGCCTGAACAGCAAGACCCAGTTCATCATCTTCACATGTGTAGGATACAGTGCGGTCTGCTGTGCGCTGAGACCGACGAGGTGATCTGCGTGGTCCCTTGGCCATTTCCTTAGTATTCTTGGTTACTTCATATGCAGCAGTTTTCGCGCGTTTCCTGTCCACGGCACGGGGCATGTTGGGGTCAGCACGTTCCAAGGTGAGTTTTCTGGGGCGGGTGAAATGACGGCGGGGAATCGGAGTCTCTCCTTTCAATGGGCTGTGGTCTTCAACATTGCCCGAAATCACACGGAGCTTTCGAAGGGTACCAGATGGAGAAAAGACCATTTCAGTTGGGGTCATGAGCAACGAAGTCAGTTCCATTCTCTTCAGTGAGGAACCGTCCTTCTTCTGGTTGCGCTTGAGCTTCATCTTCTGTGTAGCAGAGTCAAAGATATCCATGCCAGGCCACAAAACGCCCTTCAGTCTTGCGATTTCGTCAGCACGAGCCTTGTCCACAACGCCACCAAATGCGTGGGAAACGGGTTCCACAAGAGGCTCGAGGGTGTCTCTCGAGGAAGCCCAGGCAATCTCTTCAGGCTTTCGTCGGTTTCGGGGCCGAGTGGGTGTCACGGGTAGGGTTGGGTAGTCTCTGTCCTTTGGCACAGATGTGCCCCCAGATTGCCAGTTGTTCGAGAATCGACCGGAGCGGAGGAAAGGACCGGTGGAAAAGTTTGCACTCATGACTTTGGTGGTCGATCCCTTTGGAGTATTGATTGGTGTGAATGTTGAATATTCTGTGTCTTCATGTTTGCCAAGGAATGGATCAGCCAGACGAGGGTCAATACAATCAGAGATTGAAGTTGTTGAACGCGTTGAAACGGAGGTATCAGTGGCACGTTTCTTTGGAGGGGGTTTGTTGATGTTGTCTTCCGACTTTCTCTTCTTGTTGCGGCATTGTTTGTTGGACAAACGCTCAGCCAACTGCCTGGGAATGTCATTTGCTTTGGACCATAGTTCATACTCCTCGAGGAGTCCGGTGGCGTCGTCTTCATGGTGACTGCGGACGGTGAGCTTGAACGTGTGGGACAGGTGAGCCTTGGAGGCCACGTGGGTCAACAAATGGGAGCTATCACAGAATCGGGGCTGCCCAGGGCAGATGATGCACTGGAGTGAAGTATCCATTGCTCCAAGAGACACTGACTAGATGCAAAAGGAAGGGGCAGTAGAATTGACCAAGAGCACGTGTGGCGAATAGTGAAGTCGACGAAGGAACGATGAAGATGTGAAAAGGTAAGCAAGCAAGACGTGACCAAAAGACAACAGCCGTACCTGCCCTTTTGACGATCTACGGTTAGGTTGGGAAGGTGCCGGTCACGGGAGTCACGGGTTCATGAGGTCAATAGGTATTCAACATCAATGTCTGTTATTGTCAATGTAATTCACTATCCTATTGTATGTACCACGATGTCTTAACAGCCTTAGGCCATTGTGGGGGGATATGAAGCGGAATAAGTCAAAGTGGTTATTGATCTCCTCCCGCATTGTATCCCGTGGTCCATGGGAAAAGAACATTCACGGGTTATTAGATTGCGGGAGGGTAATAAACAGATGCAATTCAATACGTTTCACCTCAGATATTTGATGATGGACTTGGGCATACAACTAGATCATGTTAGCAATCAATCCCATATCACGTGCAGAATCAACTCACTAAACAGGGTCGATCTCCTCAAGACCTTCAAACTTAAGTAGACTTAACCCCGCAAGGCTAAAGTGTGTATGATAGACATCAACCATGTTGCCTGGTCGATCAGCAAAGCCTCCAGCATCGGGATCCTGAATAACGTTAGGACGGTGTCATATAATTTCCAAGGGTACACTAACCTGACATTGCAATACAAATGCAGCAAGCTTCTTTCCATCGATCCAGTGCAGACGGTCAATCATGGCAAGACTTGATCCAACCCACCAGCTATAGCACGCATCGGCCAGCTTCTCTGGTCGGCCATTGAAGCCACCACTCTCAATCTGTCGTTCACTGAGCCAGGCGCCTAGGCGATCCTTGTTCACCAGATCCAAGCGGCCCGCAATAGCCAGGGCACCGATGCAAGTGAACACCTGACCAGCATGAGACTCGGCGCCAGGGCTGATACCATAACCGCCATCCAAGTTCTCACAGCTTTGAATGTGAGCAACAGCCTTGGGAACATCGACTCGTTCCAGAAGACGCAACAGCGATAGTGCATTGAGAGCACCATACAGGAATCGGGTATCGGTTTCACCCCACTGATCTCCCTTGAAGGAGCCATCTGCGTTCTGCAGGTTTGCAATGACTGTGACGGGTTAGTGTCCTAGACTGTTGATCATGTTCGAGAGGAGGGCCGTACAAGACCCAACTTTCTCCTTGCCGCCTCGGCCTCGCTTCTCGAGTTCATCCACAGCATCAATGGTGACGAGGATCTGGACAGCCGAGACGGTGTAGAGCATGTGGGCGTCGTGGCCTGGTGCCGCGCCGAAACCTCCATTGTCGCTTTGACATGACAGCACAAAGTCGATGGTCTGGTCTCGAGGCAAGGCATCTGGTTGACCCAAGATATGCAAGGCCGTCAAACCCCAGTACACGCCATTCAGTCGAAGATGCTCGGTCAGCCAGTATTCCAGTTCATCCTTCCTCTATGATCCGTCAGATGCCCGACGCGTTGTTTTCTTTCAAGGAGCACGCACTGTGTCCAGGTTCTTGATGTAAGTCACATGTTTCATGGTATGCAGTTCAGTATCTGCGGGGCTACCCCCAGCCCTCCCCGGGCCCGATACTAAAGCCATGTCGATGGGGGCTGAAGTTTAGAAAGCAGGATGGTGATTGGAGGAAGTTAGTTGAGGATCCGAGAGCTGAGACCATTAATAGGGCGGTGAAGCCATCCAGTCCAGCTAGGTCATTACAGTTAGCCTGTGGCTTGCACATGGGATGTAGGGAATTTGCGGCTTAGTGTGTGATTTTTGGGTTTTAGTCACCGCCTCACGTGAATGCCCCCTTTCGGCATAGTATGGTTACATAATAGCGCTAGTTTGACGTCTCGCAGCCATGTTTCAGATTTGGATGGAACCTCCGAGGTGTGTTACGTGCAATAACTTATAATTATAGATTAAACACATTATTTCTGACCTAGATACATATGTGTTGTATTCCGAGTCTTCCAATGTCACACACGACATACAAGACGCTTTCAACCTTTACACCGTGGTCCCCATTGTAGACAATGGTGGCTGTTTCTAAAACGAGAACTCCACAAGCATCCATGGTCAAGTCGGCGATATAGGACCTGAAACCCAGGCAGTAAATTAAATTAGAAAAAAAAGTGGAGGGTCTCAAAAAACGCTTCATGGTCAGTGGGAACTGCCCCTGATCCGTTGTTCAGTTGTAGTCCACCAGTACCGTACCAACAGTAGGTACTATATTATAATATTGATGCCTATTTTATCTATTACTTCATCATTTCTACATCTCAAGGTAATGATCTTGATATGACTGTTGACAACCATGGTATGGAAAAATAGGATTTGCTGGACATGCCTTCCCGGCCAATTGCAAGTCACGACGACGACTGCAACGTAAGGCAAGCACATCATCCCGCCCGTGGCTCCAACTGCCAGACCCAGTGGCTTTAAGTGGAGAGGGCCTTTGATCACAAAGTACTCCGTTCACCGTGCATCTTTCCTTAACTCTTTTCAGTCCCATAAGGATCCATCGTCCGAGCTGGAGGTGACGTGAGCCAATGCCATCCAAATGTAAAACAACCGGACCTATAGTTACTATTCACGTCTACCCATAAGTTACTGTACTGTGCTCGGGTCGATCCAACCGAAGGCGTCCCTTGGATCAGTGACGTCTGCCCCTGAATAGGAATCGATACTGCTTGTCCACTGAATTTCTTTCTAGAGAGTGAATTGATTGGATTTAATTAAAAATAAGATATGAAAAATGCGGAATGTTAGCATTGATATTTCTGCAATAACTTATTCTTAATTTTCGGATTGTGGCTCTCAAGTGCTCGGACTAGTGTACCGCTAAACTTGTGTACAGGAGTTCCTTTCGAACGTCTTCTGTCTCTGTTTCTCTCTATTGCTCTGTTGTCCTGCTGTCTGATACTCTGTTACTTTTCTACTGTACTGCGCTCATACTGTACTTGTTTGACACGTCTCGGTCCACACTCCTATCTCGCCCCCCTTCCGCCCTGCCGATCACTGAACGAAGCGCCCAAAAGAGGGGGAAAGCAACTTCGACTCTCACAACCTCAGCAAAGCATAATATGGTGAGTGACGGTTTGAGGCGGAACTAAGAACCCTTCCATTGTCTCTGCGATCTGGTTCCTGGCCTTGTCTGTCAACAAAGAAGTGGCTTCTTTTAACTCTGCATATGTCACCACACATGCGGTCTCACTGCTTTTTGGGGCTGTTCTTTCACATGTGCCTGTTATTCTGACTGTATAATTGGCGCTTCAGATCCCGCTTCCTCGATAACCCATGCCACTGTGACCTTTTCACCTCTACACGCCAATCTCACACCTCACGTCAACACGGAACTCGAGGATCCGCATTGATACAGGTACAGCCCTCTCAGCCGCACACTATCTCTCAGCGCTGACCAGTTGCAGCAGAGTTCTCCGAGGCCTAGATCTGACGAAACCTTGATCCTCAACCTTCGCATCTATTCGGGACAGGGTCCTGCGATCGCCCGGCATGCCAAACCGACATTCGACCGTGCCCAACCTCGACCTGAGCTCGTTCAAGACAGAGCCAAAGAATGGGAAGATTTCATCGCCTCTTACACCAGGTGACCAGAGTCCGGACGGACTGAGTCCCTTGACACCTCGTTCGCCCAAGTCAGCATCGAGTTCACCGTTGTTCAAAGGCGCCACGATTCGCCCTGTGACGCAAGACTCGGGCAAGGCAACCAGCCCTACGCTGCCCGTTTCTCCTGGCACAGTCCCCGCCGAGCCTACAACCCCCGGTATCACAGCCATTCCTCAATACTTTCCCTCTCCCAAAGACACGAGACATACGCGCGATGCATCGAAATCATTCTTCGGAAACCTCAAAGCACCGAAATCGTCACACAGTGCGCAACGGTCTGACAGCTCTGAGAATTCAAACTCCACTGAGCACCCTAAGAGCAGGGGTAGCTCCAGAGACCGTAAGATGCAGGTGACTTCGAAGCCATACGAGTCAACACCGGATCTTCCAGGCGCACTTGCCGGTGCGAATGGGACAGAAAAGACAAGTGAGTTTCCCTGCGCGCTCGGGGTTATCATAACTGACCATGTTCTTACTAGACGGGGTGTCCACAACTACCAAGAGTTCACAACCAACAGAGATGAAGAAGACTGGCACAGATTTGGAGTCAATCGCGCCGAAGAAAAACAAGCAGCGCTTCGCGAATCTTTTGACCCGATCACGCTCTATCCGAGTCGACGAGTCCGCTGGCAACAAAGCACCGGGTAGACGCCCGTCAACGGGGCTGGCCAAGCTGGAAGAGTTCAACCAAAGTGAGACGGCAAACCCACCCCGCACAGCTACTGCGCGCGCCGAACGACCCAGTCGAGGAGGCCTGCAACCGCCTGAGCGCCAGGCAGACACAATCTCTTTACGAAAGGAGAGGAGTCATGGGAACATGGTTGCCTCTGGCTCATTGAGCCAAGTGTCTGGCGCCTCGGCTACTCTTTTCAGCAACCTCAAGCAGACTTCCAGTGGTGCTGCAGACCGTATTGGAAAGGCAGGAAAGGGCTTCTTTGGCAAGATCACTCGCAGTGGTAGTACCAACGAGCGGGAAATGATCAACGACGACGCATACATGTGCTCAGTCATCAACCTTCCGCTTATTGAGCAAGCGAGAAAGACACGCATTGCAAAGAAGCTCGAAGACTGCCGGGACAAGACCGAGTTCTGGATGCCCGCCTTGCCATACCGTTCCATTGATTATCTGAACTTCAAGGGATGCGAAGAAGAGGGACTTTATCGTGTCCCTGGCAGTGGCAGGGAAGTGAAGCATTGGCAAAGACGTTTCGACACGGAATTCGACATTGATCTTTTTGAAGTTCCTGACCTCTACGATATCAACACCATTGGATCACTGTTCAAGGCTTGGCTTCGTGAGCTGCCAGATGAGCTCTTCCCGAAGTCGACGCAAAACATGATTGCTCAAAAGTGCGAAGGCGCTACTACCGCACCGCAGCTCTTGAAAGACGAACTTTCCAAACTCCCACCCTACCACTACTACCTTCTCTTCGCCATCACCTGTCATCTCAACCTCCTTCACTCTTATGTCGATCAGAACAAGATGGACTACCGCAACCTATGCATCTGTTTCCAGCCCTGCATGAAAATCGATGCATTCTGCTTCCAGTTCTTGGTCTGTGACTGGAAGAACTGTTGGCAAGGATGCTGGACGGAGAAGGAGTACCTCGAGAAAGAAAAGGTGATGGATGAGCGGGAACAGCGGGCATCAGAGGAGCAGGAAGCTGCCCAAACCAGAGAGGAGGTCAGCTCCAACCTCAGCCATGAACGGGCCATCTCATCCTCCAGCAGCGCTGGAGACGAGCCACCTCGTCCGCCAACCTCCCGAAGCCGAAAGTCTCGACCTAAGGACATTCAAACGTCGCACACCCGCAGCGTATCTCAGCTTCCCGAACTCGGCCCTCCACTCTCTCCCATCAAAATCTAGAAGAAGGCTCCCTTCGACTTGTCTTGAACCACAGGATCTCATTATACTAATTTGGTTCCTGCTCTTCCTCTTCTGGCTGGTCGGAGCTTCGTCTTATCTGCAGGATCAGATAGGACGAAACAAGTTCTGCTTCTGCCTTGACCTCATCTCTCCATTGTCTCTCGCCCTCTCTCGCATACGATACCATCGCCCTCGACTTCACATCTTGACATTCTCGTCGTAATTTGATCTCAACCCAGCATTGTCGGAGTGCATATCCTGGCGTCTCTGGATCGCGGTTCCCACCATTCTCATATTCATTCTCTTCTTCCATATGTACATCTTCTTTTCTCTTGGTATCTACTCTGACATTGGCGAATGGTCGGCGGTTTTGACTACATTTGCGTTTTGTCTTTTTCTTGTTATTGTTGTTCTTATTTGTCTGTTCGACTCCCATCTTTTTGTTCTCCTCTTCATCTCTTTGGAAGTGCAATAATTCCCTTGTGCTTGTGCTTTGATGTTGCGACATCTACAGATTCCCCTCTGCGGTTGACACTTTCTATCTTCGCCTACTTGTTTCGTGTCTTGTCTGTTGATCTGGTTTGCAATGGTCTGTCTTTCTTTATTGCTTTTCTCTATTTTTTATTTACTGTTTATTTGGCGTTCTCGTGACAGGGACTTTGTACTATAGCGGAAGTGGGCAGGCAGGCACTTTTCGGTTCGATCATCGAAGATCTTTTCAACGTACAACACATCTCCACAACCACGTAGAAGAGAAAACGGTAATGGGGAATGGGAAAGTGGGTAATGGCAAATATTGACAGATGCAATGTTGAAAGTGCTTTTGATGAATCACGGTATATGTCCACAATACATGAGAAAAGAAATAAAACATCGACTCCCAACCCCAACGCCAGAGATCAGATCCAGAGTAGAACAAGAGCAGAGCAGGGCAGAGCCCACAAGGGAGCTAGCAAAGTAATGCAATGCAACACAAGTAAAAAGAAAGAGGTTTCAAACACTCCCTACTTATTTACCACCCTTGTTCGACCTCTTCTCATTAGATCGCATCTTACGCTCATTACGCTTAATCCTCTCCTTCCGCTCAGTACGCGACATACCACGAATAGAACCACCCTGCGCAGCAGCATCCTCTTCCTTCTTCCACTTCTTCTCATCAACCTCAACAAGCCACTGGTTCTCGTCGTCCTTGTTCTTGCCCTTATATCCCCAGCGGGGCACCCACTCGCCGCTCGCCTCGTCATACTGCAGCTTCCGGCGGCGCTCCTTGTCCATGCCTGCTGCGCCGGGCTTCTGGTTGTATTTTCCGATGCCCTTCTTGCGCGCGAACAGCTCCCATTTCGTGGGGGCTTTGGGTGTTGGCAGGGGCTTGTGCCGGGGCAGCATGATGTTTGGTGCTGGGAGGGTCAGGAGCACACCGTCTTTCACGGATGAGGTGATTGGGCATGTTGTCAAGAGTTGGTTTAGCAAGCTCTGGACGCCGTCGCGAGCTGTGGCTTTCAGGCTTGCGTTTAGGCTTTGGTCGGCGGGGAGTTCGAGTGGGTTGGGGTCGTCTGCTAGGAGGTGGCCGAGGTCAAATGTGTAGGGGGTTGGCTTGGAGACGGTGATGGGGCTGTGATTTATGTTAGCTTGGTCGTCCGAGGGATTTTTTCGGGTCCGTTGTTTGGTATCTGGATAAGGTGAATCGTACAGTCTCTCGCCCTTGGTAGTGGACGCAGCCACGGTGGAATCGGCCATCTCAACGTCAGTCATTGCGAAACCTGTTGGTGAGTTTCGGTGGTGAATGAGAAAATGAGTATTATCAGAGAAAAAAAAGTTGGTTATCAGTTGGAGAACCGCTTTACTTTTCTGCCATGACTAAGACTGTCCGACCGCCTTTCCCCGTTGGGAGAAGCGGATTTCGCATCAAATTATCACGGACTGTTGCTGTTCACTGCACCCAATTCCCATCCACGTTCTCAATTCCTGCCCTGGTTGTCCACTCGCTAGCTGTGCTGGTGCGTAGCTGACAACCATTATGGCTTCCTCGTGGTGCTGGAACTGCCTCTCGAGGCTTCGCCAACCGCCGCAAGCACTCCTCCCTCCGACGCCCCGGATTTCGACCGCCTCCTTCCACTCTACTGCGTTGCGATATTCCCAGCCGGCCAAGAAGAAGGGTAACAGCTTGACTGTCATGAAGCACAGACAGTCGACTAGCTTGCGGAGAAAGAAGAAGAAGATCACTGCTACTACGCGTCCACCCGCCGTCGGCGAACGCAAGGCCTTGCGGAAACGCATTGTCCTTAGCAACCCCAATGCCCTTGAGATTGAGGGTATGCAGGACCTCTCCGCGGAGACTATGGTTGATTCCCGCCTCCGTGGTAGTGTTCTCGGCCTGCCTGCCACCATGATCGATCAATTGAGAGCCGTGCAAGCGTTCAAGCCTAAGCAGGGCTGGTCGTTATTCCGCCGACCTGGAACTGTCCTCCGCCGCGATACCATTGAGATGGGTCGTTTGTTTGAGAAGATCTCTGGGGAGGGCGAGGGTGCCCAGAAGGGCAAGGTGGTGAAGAAAATCATCACCGGTATGAAGGGATCGGGCAAGACGGTTCATCTCCTCCAGGCTATGACTATGGGTTTCTTGAAGAACTGGGCTGTCATCACCATCCCTGACGGTAAGTTCTGCGCAATATGCATTGATATTCGTGCAATTGGACAGCTGCTAACTTATACCTTTTTAGCTCGGGAACTCGTCTCCGGTGACACCGCTTACGCCGCCATTGAAGGCACTAACCCGCCGCAATATGTTCAGCCTGGCGCGACTTCGGCTCTGTTGACGCGTACCGTCACTGCCAACTCGGAGCTCCTGTCCAGCCTCAAGATCTCCCAACAGCACCCAGAATTCAAGTCCCTGACACCTAAATCGTCCCTCGAGGACCTAGCTGGACTTGGATTCCACGACCCTGCTGTCTCCTGGGCAGTCTTCCAGGCTTTGTGGAAGGAGCTTACAGCCACCGGCCCGGCCCCGGGACTGGAGAAGGACTTCAAGCCTCGCCCTCCTATGCTCGTTGCCGTGGATGGCCTGGCCCACTGGATGACCAACAGCGCCTACCGCGACGTTGACTACAAGCCCATCCACGCCCACGACCTCGTCTTCGTGAATCACTTCCTCTCCCTGCTGAAGGAGGGTGATTCTCTGAAGAACGGCGGTCTCCTCCTTTACGCCACCTCATCCTCCAACAATCCCAACCCCAAGGATTTCAATGTCGCCCTGGACCAGCTGAAGGCCCGCCAGGCAGGCATCAGCCCCTCTTCCCCCGAGTACCCCCAACCAGCAGCCTACACTGTCACCGACCCTCGTGTCTTGGAAATGTTCGCCAAGGCCCAGAGCTCGCTCGAGCTGCAGACGCTCAGTGGCCTGACTCGCGAAGAAGCCCGTGGTTTCATGGAGTACTTCGCTCGCAGCGGTCTGCTCCGTGAGTCCGTCAACGACTCGTGGGTGAGCGAGAAGTGGAGCTTGTCCGGTGGCGGTATCATCGGCGAGCTGGAGAAGCTCGGCCGTCAGGTTCGCGCCCCTGCTGCTGCTCCTGCTCCCGCCCCTGCTGCATCTGCTTAAGCGAACGTTGTATTTCTTCTCATGTTTATCTCCGGCTTTGAATGTGTTCTAGAGATACGGGCCTGTATATCGAATGCTGGGGTTTTCTCTGTTCTTCTTCCTTGTACTTTACAAATCTCACTTGGTCCTCGTGTCTGTATGCATATAATGGATTTGTTTTGAAAAGCTACCTCCGCCGTCTTTGATCTAACATCTCAGGCCCTTGAACATTGCAGAAGTCAGTTGGTCTTGCTCAAGTCGATCTCGAAGCAACCTCCACAAACTCCACAACCTCACCATCACCTCACTCCTCCAACCTCTTAGGCCTAACAGCCCTAACCAAATCCGGATAATCAAACTTAGCAACAGAATTCACAAACTGCGAGTTCCCAGGATGTGCCTCCTTAACCTCCCCCTAAAAAGGAAATTCATAGGGAACCCAATATCAAACTCATAGGCTCCCTCAATCTCCCTAACATCCTCATCAGAAAGATCAACCCCAAGAGCCTCAATATTCCCAAGCAAATGCTCAACCTTGCGCCCACCAACAATTGGAACCACATACGGCGCCTTGCGCATGACATACGCAAGCGCCACACTGGTGATAACAGTCTTATGCCGCGCCGCAACGGCCTCAAGGACCTTCGATACAGCGATATCCGTTGCGCTGGGCGGGACTTGCCGTCCTGGGTTCCCGGATTTGGAGAGTTCGTCGCGTTGAGCTTCGGTTTTGAAGGCGCCGCCGCCGATTGCGCCCCATGGTGCGAGGCCCATTCCTTCTGATGCCGCCATGGGGATTATGTCGCGTTCGAAATCGCGCGTTGCGGCGTTCCATTTCCCTTGGTAGACTGAGAAGGGACGGAGGGCGTGGTCTCGGGCGTCTTTTTGGGTTGATTTTTGTTAGTTTTGGATCGATATATGTTGGTAGACTGTTTGATCTATTGGATCTGGGATAGGGTGTTCAACATACATTGATTCGCCTTGCTGACAATCCATGCTGGTGTATCACTGATACCAAGGTACAGTACCTTTCCAGAAACGACCAATTGATTGAGAGAAGTCATTACTTCCTCAATGGAGGTGCTGAAATCCCACCAGTGGACGTAGAACTATAAGTTATTCGTCAGTGCTGATCGAAATCACCCTTTTGAATCTACACATAATATGCATGCACATACCAAATCAACATAATCAGTCCGCAATTTCTTCAAACTAGCCTCGAGAGACAACTTCATACTCTTGGCATTGTTGCCGACAAAGTTCGCCTGGATCTCTGATGGGACATGACTGCGGAATCCAGTTGTATACTTCGTTGCTAGGACGATTTGGTCGCGCACGCCGCGGGCTTCCATCCATTCGCCCAGCCATTTTTCTGAGTCTTCTGATTGGTAGTTGTTGGCTCTGGATTGGGTCAGCTATATAGTTCGTCTTTTGGTATTCAACGGGTGGCTATTTACGTGTCGATGAAGTTTCCTCCGTTCTCATAGAATGTGTCTAGGATCTTGAAGGAGGTTTCCTTGTCGCATTCGCCGAGTCTTTCTTTCCTGTTGGACTATTAGCTATTTACTCTTGCTTTGATGGATATATACCATCGATATGTCGAATGGTATTTCTCGCATTGCACATACCAGGCTTCACCAAAGTTCATCGCACCCAGGCATAGCGGGCTCACCTTGACTCCGGCTGTAGGAGCTAGCAGGCGATAGCGGCCGAGACGAGACTTGGGGGTTGCAGCTGGGGCAAACATAGCGATTCTTGATTGAAGGTGCGAATTGACAGACGGTACTGTTGAGAGCTCGGTTTATTGGGAATCAACGGGTCCTTTATATAGTGCTCCTGCGGGGAAATGAAGTCACATCGTTTGGGGTATAATTATTAATCTGGATCTTATGTCCAGTAAGTCCGGCGGGCTCGGGTTTAGTAACCTTCTTTTATTTTAGGGTTATCTCCGTTTGTATACTTCTATTGTGCGTTGAGTGCTTTTTTCTTCAGGATTGGTGATAAGAGAGCTATACTTACAAGGCTACCATCTCTCTCCTCTCCTTTGTCCCCTTTCTGTATACTCTGAATATGTCCTGGACTAGCTGAGTCGCATAGTGTCATTTTGTGGGGATTTTTAAAGCCCGATGTTAACCATTTTGGAGCTACCCGATTTGAATCTCATAAATATAGTATTAATACATAGAATGAACCAGCACATGGGTGGCCATCCCTCTCACTCTTCTGACAATGTTGGTCCCACGGGGAGAATGTCAACACCAGATTTGGCTATGCAGCTCTAGAGTAACTGTCGGGGCAACGCTACAAATCACACGCGAGTAGGTACTGCCTAAGCTTTGCTACCTAGCGTAATAGAGGCGCCGGATAAGCGGATAATTTGGCACCGGATAAACGGATAATTTAGCCAAGTCATGGTCCGGCTTTGTATAAGAAACAACCAAGCAGATCTTCTGCATATACTGTAAGCGGTCTGGGGTGCGGTAATATGGGGACTTCGAAGTCTGATTAGGATGCTCCATATGTCCCCTTTCCGCGCCCAAGGCTGTGAAGCATGGACAACTGCATGGATCCGAAACCAGGATATGGTTGTAGCACTGTCATATACCTGTCGCAAGTCGGGGCTTAGTTGAAAAAAGAAATGAGAACCAAATGATATTAGACAAGACAAAAGTTGATAAATATAGTTTAAATCCGACGTTAATTAAGGGACACTTTGGGGGCCAATCCCAAAGGATCTGACAGCAAGTACATGTATATCGAAACAAAGACATAAAATAACACATGCGTTGACGAAGCACGGATATGGCCAAGCCACAATAGCTCAAAACAAAGGGGTGTCTCGAGCTTCGGGTTATACTAACATCTCGCTTCCAGTATAAAAGTTGGATTCAATGGAGTCCAAGGCTGACCCCAAGATCTAGCAGATGGGGCCAAAAGAGAGAAAACAATAAAAACTGGGGGTAAGACCATGGGATTCTAGTCCCTGTCGTGTATGCCTTACCTTGTCTTCTTTTAGTATAAAATTATGCAAATGTTGGGAATGAAGTAGATGTTGTCCCAAGTTGGAGTTGAAAGTTGGTTGTGGGACCGTGCTGACCGCGTGCCTCTTCCCCGAGCGCAGCCTGAATCCTTCGAAAAGCCTTTATATCTTCTCGTTTCCCCTTTATTTCACTGCCATGAGCTATCATGTACGGCCAGTCAAATCGCCCCGATCCTCCATCGCAGCCTGAATGGCGACTTCCGCCGCGTCCTCCGGGGGGAGGTCCACCTCCCCCTCCCCCTCCTCCGGCAACATACACGCCGGCTACGTATGGCCCGATCTCAAATCCCCAGATCCAAGGAGTGTCACCCACAGGTTCGGGTGCGGATACAACCACGTGGGGAGTGCGGTTCAACCAGAGCCACGCTCCACCGTTGCCGGTGGGTTTTACGGTTCGCGGAATGTCAGATGTAACTAACAGTCGCATAGCCTCGACCTTCCAGCACCAACGAGCAGCCATACTCCCATGTTCAGTCGCCTTCGCAGTCACCCGCCGCGAATAGCAGTCCTTACCATGGGTTCCAACCCCCAGCCGCTCACCCTTCTCCGTCTCCATACACACCCAAAGTCCAAACCGGCGGTGTCCCTCCGCCGCCGCCAAAGATCCCTCAAAATGCGCCAACCCAGCAAGTTGGCCACGCAGAGCGGCCTCCGCTCCTTTCTCAAGGCTCAGGGCCAGCCGCGATGACTGGGTCTTATGTAATTCGGCCTGCGCCTTTCGTTAACACGAGCGCGCCATCTACAGGCGCATCGGCCTTGGGCCCGGGCACGCCCTCGGACTGGGAGCATCTTGGCCCTACTCCCGGAGATTTTGATGACGCGGCTTGGTTTCCACCAAGACAAACTTCTCCACCCCAGGACATAATCCCACCACATTCGGGCATCCCGCCTGGGATGCCCAACATATCCGCGGCAAACGATCCCTCGCAGTTCGTCCGTCCAAGAACGGATACAAGTGAGACAATTCCAAGTGTCAGCTCTGGTGGCCATGGGTCGGGACACGTCAGTTCGGATTCTCCCATTAGTCCATGCACAACTCACGGGGTGCAAACGCCGCCTCCGCCGACCCGTGTAGATAGTGACAGCTCTGCTGTCTCTGCTGGTGGACATTCAGAAAGCATTGATAATGTGATAGATGCATGGGCTCGCCCATTATCACCTCCATCTAAACCAGCTCAACCCGGGCTCCAGGGCCCAACATCACAACCACAGAGTTCCGCTCAATTTAACCAGATCATCCCAGCCAAAGAGCCGGAGTCGACACAAAGTATTCTGCCGCCTGCTGAGCATTTGAGATCAAGCTCAACCGTCCCCGTGCCCCACGTCCAAACACCTGTAAATGAGGCTGCATCCAGAAAGCCAGACCCCTTCGAGGATCTGGACCCTTGGTCCAAATCGTCCTTGGAACGCTATGTTGCCATGCTACGCAAGGAAGCGGTGGCAGATTTGGATGAAGAACGATACAGGATCTTCACAGCATTCATGGCCAAGGAGACGAAACTCCGAGAGATTCTCTATAATATTGAGCATGATGAGCCAGAGAGCTCCCCAGAACCTCGCAGAGCTTCTAGTTCTGTGTCTCGGTCGCCATTGCCAAGGCTTGATGAAGACGAAACCTATTTTGAGACGGGACTGATACCCGTCTCATCAGAGGATAATCCAACCCCCTCGGTGACGGCAGCAACAGAGGACGGGGAGAGCGATGATGTTGACGATGTTGGAAGTGAGTATAGTGCAGGCGGACGACCCAATATCGCCAAGCAAGCCCGAAGGGGCTCGCAGTTTCAGCCAAAGTTGTCTGTACTGCTCTCGGGCCCAGAGCCAGATAAACGACTCTCAAGAACCTCGTCATTTCCTCTGTCTGCGGATGTACAGAAGCAACCTTTGGAGCCTCTGAACAGCAACCCTCCACGGCCTATCTATACCCCGTTCCAGTATACGGAAGGTCCTCAGCGAGGCTCGGACAACCTAAAGTTTGATCGCCCGGCTTACGAGGCTTATTCCGATCTACGCCAAGCATCTGCCGTAAGCGGGCGGGTCATGTCAAATGCACCAGTGTCCACATCTCATCCGAGAGCCAGCACCACTTCTCCGGTTCAAAATGAACACGACGAAACTTTCCTCGGGCTCATTCGTCATAAAAGCACCGCTTACTCTAACCCAACTGGGCGAAACTCTGTGCCATCTCCGGCGCTGCCGGAGTCTCTGCGAAAGGGCCGGCCAACTAGCCTTGTAGAAGAGCTACGCACTATGATCTGGACACCTTTGGACAAGCAATCTGAGAACTCGTGGCATATCACAACTCGGGAGGAACTCAACAAGTTTCCCGATGATTTCACCTACATCCAGCGCACAATCGATCGATGGGAAGCAGCTGCACAAGCCCGACGACAGAAATTGGACCAAGAGCGTATACTTCGCCAGGAGGAATCAGAGGAGCATATTGATGACCTCTTCAATGGAAAGGAGATTGGTTACGCGGATATCAATACTTTGGAAGAAGATTTCCGGCAAGCTGAAGCTCGGGTCCAGCTAGAAGAGGAACGACGCGAAGTAGAAGATTTCACAAAGCAAGTCTTCAATCCTTTGGACGAAGGTTTGAAAGAGGCGATCTCGGCGCTCCGTAAATCCTACGACTCTGCTCTTAGCCAGCTTGACCGTGATCAGAAAAGCAAAGGCTCGCCAACTGAGCAATGCAGCCCGTCTGTGACCATGAACATGGTCAATGACATCCACTGCAAACTCGAGATCCGGTTCCAAAAACGTCTCGAAATCGCACTTGACTGTGAGCGGCGGCGCAAAAAGGCTGAGCGGCGACCACTTGTTTTCATGGGCGATATGGCTAGTCTGCGAAAACTTGATGGAGAATTTGATCACATGGAACGACGAAACATTCTGGAGGCGTGCAAGGACCGGGACGACCGAGCCAACCGACTCATGGATTGCTTCGACGATGCAATCTTACACGGGCTAGGTATGAATCAGAGCCTCCTAGACGAGGTTGCTTCGAAAGCAGCCCAGCTAGATCTCGCCGCCCTCCGTGCCTCCGGTCTCCCTGATTCTGAACTTGAACAGATTCTCAAGTCCGCGGCGACCTTTGTAGCGTCGCTTCGCGCCGACTCAGAGGCAATTCTTCGCAGCTCGGGGGTTGCGGACATGGCCCTCAACGACGCCGATTACGGGGTCTCCGTCGCCGAGGCACGGTATGCCAACTCGGACCCGGATATTTTCCTTCGGCTCAGGGATGAGAAGAAGAAAGAAGATGATACTCTTCAGAAAGATTTGGACTCGAAGTTGCAGAGCATCCAGAAGGGGCCTGTGCGCATTGAGTCCACTCTTCAGCGCCTTCTTTCTGATCTAAAGAATGCTCCTCCAGCCGCGGCTCCGGTCTCTCCAGTTGAGCGCCACTCTGCCTCAACGACTCCAATTACGGACGTGCCCTTGCCTCCAATTCTGCGCCCTTCCACTGTTGTTCCTGGTTCCGCATCAAGCCCAAAAGTTGTGGTTCAAGATGCGGATGAAGACTCGGAGCACAAAGAGAGGCTTCGCAGAGCGCTGGAAGAAGCCAAGAAGCGTAATGCCAGCAGAGGTAATCATTGAGGTTTTCTTTAAATTGGTGTCTATTTGTGACATGAAAACAATTATGGGCACATTCATGAAGCAACGATTATTTTAGTATTTAGTATACCCTTTTGTTGTCTCTTTTCGGTTTGAGATCTTGTCATGTTCGTCTGACAGATGCGTTCATGGTAAATACCCACTTTCTGCAGAACTAGTTGAATGAAGACTAGGGTGAAATGACTATTTCCCTATTTTCCCACACCCACAACAACCTACTACGGAGTATTTCCGTGCATACAAAGCTTTCTGGTCATAGTTTACATAGTTCCCTTTAGAAATTTACACAACGTTATCCGTTTCTTCAAAAGACCACTCATTCCGGAAAGCCGAAGCATGTTGTAGTTCGCATGCCAGTCTTGGTAGTTCGGATGCTTTTTCCCCACGTTACACAAAGATTCTCCTGTTACAGACCACAGCACCTCGACTTCACCACTCTCCTCTGAACCTTGCAAGCAAACTCGCTTTTATCCATCGAAACTGGAGTCTCCCCATCCCTTGAGCGTTGACCTATTGCTTCTGCTGTAGCTGCACAATGGGGGCCAAAGTAAGTGATTCAACGTGCAGGAAGAAAAGAACGCACAGACGATATCATCGAATCCTCGACCAGACCCGAACCCAAAGACAAAGTTACCTTCTACGCCCTGAGCCTGATCGGATGCGCAGAGCAAGGCACACGTTAGGCGCCCATGGATGGCCATTGGCAGCCGATAGCCAAGCCAGAAACATAGACGCCAGTTGCTGCCGATCAGCAGTTGCGCAGTCAAAAGTATCTACCGTAGCTCAACAGCTTGATTTCAGTGCAACCTGGTGCTTGGACCGCATCCACATGCAGGGATCGAGGATTACCTCCAGACCCAATGCCCAGGCCAGCGGGTCGTGCTGTGCACAGCACCCTGCTCGCAGTGCTCGGATTCGCCGCCCCCTGTACTATACGATGATATCGACCCTTAAACCGAAGCCTGCGGCTGAAACATGGTGCTGCAGTCTGCGCAGGATGCTCCGGGGGGAAGGATTTGACATGTCGTCTTCTGGGCCGCTTCGGCTATCCTTCGGTGATTCACTGCCAATTCACTGCGCAATATGCAAGACAGGCCCTCGTTATCACCAACGTTCCTTCGATAGTGATACCAAGGCATTGCGGGCGTCTATAGCTTTCACCTCGGCTGTGCCATCCCTGGATCCCCAGATCACTTTCTTTGTCGATCAAGAAGTTGGGCAGTTGTCTCGCTGTCAACGTACGTCACGTCCCATTCGACCACGTGTATTGAATGAAGGACTGGGGCCTGTGGGGACCCTTGATCTTTATTATTTTTCTTTGATGCAGTTGCCGCAGAAACAAAAAAGAGCCTCGGGTTCCCCGACGTATCCGAAACTCATACCTTCTTATTCTCCACTATGGAAAGACAAGGGTGCAATCTTGGCCAAGGAGCATGGGCCAAATGGCGGGTCCAGATTCCGTTATTCTGGAGCTTCCAGAGAGTTTCGAATTCGCTTTCGGTTGCTCGGGCGGCGATCGCTTTGCTGCGCTTCTACTGCGCCTGCATCATCTCAGATGGGGCAGCATGCCTAACTGGTTTTTACTGGTTGTCTCTCCATTTCCTGCGCCTGCGGCATTTGATCCTCGTCATTCTCTACTGTGGTGCAGAGATTACGATCGGTGCCAACAGCGTCTACTACAGAATACGCTACGCAAACCTTGCGCTGGCTAACTGTAGAACCAGTCAACTCGGGGCCTCGCTGATCATCATACCGCTATTAACTTTACCTTGATTTTCAGCTACACTCTTTTCCCGTGACATGCATGGGATTTGCGCAGTGTCTTTGAGCAATGCTCTGTGTCATAGACCATTTAGCCATCTCGGAGCCACCGACAATCTGTGCTCGGGTCCCAGCCACCAAGACCCCAGATCTTTCCTCCCACCAGATCCCTTTAGTGTCTGTGCGCTGGATGCTGATCGGTTGATATAGGGCATAATTAAACGTCGCGACCTTGTTAGAACATCACCTAGCCGGTTGAGCCTCCCCCTCTTCGCCACTCCCACTAAGCGCCGTTGGGAGGGTAAAAAAAGTCCTCGGCAGTCAAAGCACATCGCAACGTTGTCCACAGAATGAAAATCATACGTGACTAATTATTTAAAGCGGGCGCCAGGGAACCCCGTTCCATGGTTCAGAGTACCCGCTTCCGTCCATGGGTCGGAAGAACTCTGTGTCTACGAGAGTCCACAAAACACATCTGTTCGCCTTCTCCCCTTGATTTCTGGCGATTTGGAGGGTCCCCCTTTTTCGCCTTTGGCCATGTCTGCCCCAACTCGACAATTTCACAAGTTGTGCATCGGTCAGAATATGCCAGATACGGCCCAAGTCAGACCTCGCGCGGGGCCGCCGGACCCTTCCGACGACAGTGACCAGGGCAGCGAAGCCTCGTCGGAGGGGAGCTCCGGTGAAGAAGGGGTGGACGAGGAAGAGGGGGGCGAGAGCACTGACGAAGACGAATCCGAATCAACTCACGAGGCTGTCCGCGCACCGTCTGGGATTACCTACGACCTGGGCGAACTAGAATCCGAGTCTCAAGCCAGGGCCTTGGTGGGCTTGACCAGCCATTTCGAGGTGAACTGTCGGGTGACTCCCACCGGACATGACCTCCAGCTGTTGGATCGGCCACAGGTGCACGTTGGCTCTGAGGCAACCACTTGCACTTGCTCTGTCTTTAAGGATCACCCAGAGGAGCCATGCCAGCACATCTTTGTGAGTGTGACTGTCTAGAAAACCAAAAAAATTGGAAGTCTCGGATCGATGCTGATACTGCTTCTTACCCCCTAAACAGTGGCTCCTCGATCAACTGCACGGCTGCTTCCTCGAGAAGCCCGAGTCGACAGAGGTAGCACTGGCTTCAGACGGACGCCCGCACAACCTGCCGCCTATTGAGGGACTTCTCAAGGGTAACCTGGAGGCAGTTGCGAAGCATCTCAAATGGCAGTACCTGCGGGATGAGGGTAACAGTACAGGTAGAGGAATGACGCGAACAGAAAAAGTGCGGGACATCCTCTCTGCCTTTAGCAAAAAGACTCTTCCGGAGGACTTCCGCCAGGACTTGACAGAGACGACTGAGCAGGCAAGGACAGCAGAGGCTTGCGTGGTACAGGGCGATTTCGAGGCAACAATGTTCCGGTTAGGTGTGCACGACGACGGGGTTTTCAACAGTCTGTGCAAAGCGATGCCTGTCGAGGCTTGTGCAGCCATCTACTTCGACAAGGCGAAGGAACACTCCCGACGCCTACTTGATGACTTTGACCGATACTGCCAAACAGGCGAATTGCCCGCAGAGCCCGTGGGCCCAAGTCTGGGTCTTTTTGAGCCTCACGAGATTGTCTCGCAACTGCAGCGTTTAGTATTCCGCATCATAACCAACATGTCCGCACGCGCACCGCACAGCTCCGAAGCCGCCGTCGAAGCCCTCGTTTCGGTCCTGGACTCAGTTGCAGGTCGCAATTATGATCCTCTTTTAGGAAATCGGTTAGGCCGGGACTCTTTCAACGGCGAGGATGAGGACCAGCGCAATCTATTCCATTTGCTCATTGGGTCGGACGAACTTGAATCGGATCCAGACGCGCGGCACTTTGTTCTCAGCGCGCTTGATGAATTGCCGCCGTCCGACCTCCACCCTGTCGCTGGGCCGCTGCGCGGCATCCTCAACAAGATCGGTCCCGAACGACGTGCCCCCAAGCTCTTTCGCCTTCATCTGGAATCTTTAGTTCGCATCGCTGAATCCTACGTTCCAGATACTACAACTGGAGGACAAAAGCGGCCGGCCGGCAATGGGAATTCAGGAGGGAACTCGAAACGAACCCGATGATTTGTTTGATTCTATTTTCTTTATACGTTTGTTTCATACTCTGGGAGGCCATCGTGTTCATTCATTGCAATACCCCCTGCATCATTTCCTTATCAGCGACATCATTTCAGTTCGTTTTGCATATCGTTCATCTCATTACTGCACTTAGGTTTGATGTACCGTGATCGCACAATCATACGCAGCTATTACATAGCCATTACATATCTATTCCCATTACTAGTGGTACATCGCAAACTATCACACATAGAGTTCGGTTTGCCCCAGAAACATCCTATCCCATGATCATATAGTCCTATGAGGCATGTCGTCACCCCAAACCCAACACTGTGGTCTTGGGAGCCAGCATCCATGGTCCGGAAAATGAGCCGGGCGTGTCACTGCCGCCGCTCAAGGGTACTTTAACCCGATTTGAACAGCCGACCCATGGAACACTTATCAGAAAGTGGGTCGCCCACACAAGGGGACCTCCAATATTCGCGTAATCCTTGTTTTTAAGAAATCAATAAAATAAAAACAAGACCCTACAGATCGAAGATTACACCAATAACTCGACGGTCCAGGGACCACCTTCCGAAGGTCGCTTGGTGATCCGTATACACTTGGATCTCGGGTATGCTCGGCTCGGCAGTTAAACATTTTGGCTCATGATCTTGGCTTCAGACTTTGGAATTAAAGTAACGCACCAGTGTCAAAGGTACACGGCCAAAGCGCACAGCTTTCAATGAAGGTTCACTAATGTGCCCACAGTAACTATAACTACGGAGTAAAGTAACTGTATTTCCCGCGTGCGTGGGGAACTATTTCGACGCTATGCGATATTGCTGTCCGAGCGAGTATTTGGAAAACGTGGCCTTTGTGATGTGCGACTCGGATGGGCCTCGGATCCCAGCCGAGCTTTGGCCGATGAATGTCAATTGAATTGTTTGGGCTGCTTTGTGATCCGTGCACACGGCTGCTTGTTTCTGGATGGCTTTGCATGGCGTTTGGGCTAGTGCTTCTAGTGCTTGTTAGCTTGTAGGGTGGATGTTTGGGTGGGGATCTTTTTTGACTTCTATGAGAGTTTACGAGTGTTCGTTTTGGATGTCGGGTTTGCTCGGATGGTGGGTTTCAAGATAGTTTGCGGATCGGTTGTACGTGTACGATGAGATGAAGCTGATGTTCCATCGTAGGTGTCTTGTCCCTACTACTGTGGAGCAAATAGTTAGTGTAGTATCAAGCTGCTGCCCTGTCGGGCCAGATTTATACAAACGTAGCTCTAGTCTTCGAGTGAGAACAGCAAGCTTTTGGTATCAAAATCCGAATGGAATATTGGCTCTAGCACGCCACTAGGGCATAAGGTCATTGCTCAATCGGATTTTGGGAGAATTATGGCAATAGATTCACAGTTTTGACTATATGAACATCAATGCGATGAATGAACGCCCATTCCAGACCATGGCTTCATAAAATTCACAGCAAGAGACTCAACTGTCGAAAGTTCGCTCTAGTTCTTCAGTCAGATATGACGGTTCCTATGTATAAGAGTGTAGTTAACAGGGCTGATTCGTTTTGCAAGACTTGCAATTCAAGGACCTGCTCAGCATATTTACAGATCATTTTACTTGAGCTCAAGTCGTCTGATTACTATGCCACAGGTCAAGCCGAGAGAATCACATGTTTCATACCTACGCGACTCAAGGTCAATAACTAAAACGCGATTTTATGTCAGCCATTAAATTTCCCTCTCCCAAAGTTTGGAAAACATCGCGAAATAGCCACGTCGGTTAAAATGTGACACGCGACTAATGGAGTCAGATGCAAACATAACAAATACCTTAAAATACCTTAAATTCGACCTGACGCGACTTTAGATGCGTCTTTCTCTGGTCCACTGCATTTCTCCCTCCTAAAGTTTGTAACATATCGCCAAATGGCCATGTCGGCTCAAACAGGCAATCCGGGGGGTAACCCGTGAGTCATGGGATCAGTGACCGCAAGTCTAATGGTTGTATGGAGCAAGTTCTATTCAGAGCTCCACGGTGAGTTAGATAGGTTTATTGGCTATCTCAGGATATTGATCTCGATATAACCATACACTCCTTCCAACTGAAGCTCTATATTGGTTGTTTCTCGCCATTGTTGCCATGGACTTGGTCAAAATGGTGGCTCGCTGCTTTTTTTCATCGCGAGGATATGATTCATTTGATCTTCTTTCTTCATAGGAGTTGAATCTAAAAAGACACATACGATGATCTATTTTTGGAATATTATGCACACTCTGATTGTACCTTGCATACTGTATGATCTTCCGGGCTATGAAGAAGCTTAGCGTTTGGACTACAGGTCACTCTAGTATTAACAGTGGGATATGTATGTCTTTATCATGGAGAGAAGTCAGCCAGGGAGGTTTAATATCCCTTGTGACTTGCTGTGCCTATATAGATCAAGGAAGTGCACACCTTGCTCTAGGCCTTACCAAACCCTAGTGCCAAGATTCCAAAGCTTTTATCTGACGTGTGGAGGAATGAAGCTTCATGCATTCTCCTAGAGGCGTGCTGCGATTGTAGCCCTGTACTTCCCAAGTAGGAATCTCTTCATGATATTTAACCCTTTTCATGTCAAGTTCTCAGCGCAAGTGCTCTATGCAATGAATGTCACTCTAAGAAATATCCTGATCTATCACAATTTTTTTCATAAAATCCTACATGGGTGAAGATCGACGGGACATACGTCAAAGGCCCGTAGGGAGTCGCAGGGATGATGGCCCCTTCCCTATAAACATTACAGATTCCCCGTTGATACAGCAAACCCGTACAAAAATGCAGGGCACTCCAAATGTGCCTTCCCCTTGGGACTTGGATTCTTCCCACTGGGAGTTCTATCTCTCACCAGATCACTGTGCACGATACCGCGATGCCGGACCTTGGCAAGAAGCTTCCCGGGCGGCCATTACAGCCAAGAACAGCCTCGAACACACTCCGACTCTTTATTTCATTCCTTGTATTTTATATTCTCCTTATCTTCTACGCACGTGCGCGATGCTTTCGCGACCCGGGCTCAGCATTCTTCGACCCTTGGACCGCATACGATCTCTCTTATTCATCTGTGAGAATCGGCCAGGGAGATTCATATATTGAATCATTTAACAATGAGACTACCGCAAATACAAAGTCTTCATCTGAGCCTGACCTGTGTATCGGGATCGCATCGGTCGCCAGACATGGTGTTGGCTATTTCCAGAGCACAGTCGGTACGGTTTTGGAGGGACTAAGCAACACCGAACGTGCCGATATCCATTTGATTCTCTTCATTGCGCATACCGATCCGTCGGAGCATCCATCCTACGAGGAACCTTGGCTTCATGAGCTGGCAGACCAGGTACTGCTGTACGATCCCGCGGAGGTTGACATCGATCACGTTCGATCGCTCGAGACAGATGCGGCAAGAGCTTTTGGGCGTGAGAAGGGTCTTTTTGATTATACATATCTTCTGAAGGCATGCGAAGCAGTGAATGCTCCGTATACCATGATCCTCGAGGACGATGTCGTGGCTATGGATGGCTGGTATCACCGAACCATCGGTGCTTTGGCATCAGCTGAACAGCAGACCAGGGCCTTGGGTGCATCAAAATGTGAGTTTTTGCCACATCTGGAATCTGACCATCAACTCCACACCATTTTCAAATAGCTAACCACCACCACTTTCATCTAGGGCTGTATCTCCGCCTCTTCTATACGGAGGAATTCTTCGGCTGGAACTCCGAAGACTGGCCGATCTTCCTCTCTTACTCAATCCTCGCGGTCTGTTTAGTTGCATGTGCTTGCTTAGGCGCTCGACAATGTCAGCATCGCCTCCACTCCCGACTCTCAACTGGGGCCATTTTTATGTTCAGCGGCATCTGCACGCCTCTCCTGATCGGGTTATTCTTTGCTGCTGGTCGTGTATCAATGGTTCCTATCCAGCAAGGTGTACACCAGATGCCTCGCTTTGGCTGCTGCTCGCAGGCTTTCGTCTTTCCGCGTTCAAGGGTCCCGGATCTCGTTGATTTGTATCAGTCAAAGCACATCGGGTATGTGGATACAATTACGGAGGAGTTTGCCGGTGCAAAAAATGAGATCCGCTGGGCGGTGACTCCTATTATCATGCAGCATGCAGGGCGGAGAAGCTCAAAGGGTGTGAACAAGGACACCAACACCCGGCTGAGACATAAGAAGAAAGGCGAACTGTCGGAGGTAGAAAAGCTGTGGAATTTCGGATTCGAGCTGAACGATGCGGATGCATTGCGTTCAGAGCATAAATTCTTCAGTGGCGAATCGGTTTAAGTATATATATCCTGTGTTTATTCGTGTATATAACTCTGACAAGAGGTCGGTTCAGAGATAACATTCGCTTTATGATCTCGGCCGGCCTGTTTTGGCTAATATTGCCATTTCTGTCCGCTTTCTTTAACAAGTAGGCCGGCTGGCCCAATGGCAAGGCGCTTGACTACGAATCAAGAGATTGCAGGTTCGACCCCTGCGTCGGTCAATTCTTTTTTTTTTGTTTTTGTTTCGTTCATGTGGGACGAACCATGACATCCTTTTTGTTCTATTTTGAAGTTTCTAATAAACAAGATATATAGTTTTCGCTAGATTATACAGGGGAAAGATCTAATAAAATAATAGTGTAACAAAAAATCAACTTAAGAAATTTTAGGATGCATGTCGCTGGTTAGTGGAAATATATACATCCTCCGCCTCAAAACTCCGTAGACTTCGGAGGTAAGACATCGTCCCGAATAAAGGTCTCGTCGCAAAGCCCTCATCAAGTGACTTCTCAATAGCAGCTTTGCTCCATCGACAATCACGCCCTATAATCATGTCTATCAGCACATGAAAGTTCAAAAGGCGCATATTGCCTTACAGTGATTGTAATGGACTGCTCCACAGCTTTCTAGCGCCTCATGCCAGTGCAGGAACTGTTCGCCTAGCAGGAGTTTAAGATCGTCAAAAATTTCTGCTGTCGCCTCTAGGGCCCAGACCCCTTCGTCCTTATCCCAAGCAAAAATCACCTGGTCGTTGAGAGGTTCAGACTCAGCACGTTGCTTTTTAAAGCCGAGCATTAACTCCGTATTTGATAGAAATAAGAGACACGGTTTAGCTTCATTGTTGCCCATCTCCAAGGCTACAAAAAGATCCGAGCTGAGGGACCGCCTCCATTCAAGATAACCAGGAGGTTCCACGGGCGGAGGTTCCAGTTCGCAAATCAGCATGATTTCTTTTACTCTTTTCAGGTGGAACTTAGGTATAGTGGGAATGATTCTAGGATACTCTTGCAAAACGGAGTAAGGGTAGCAGAGAAAGAAGATCAGAGAAGGACAGGAGAAGAGAAAGGGCAGACAAGGAGGGGAAAGAGGGAACGGGGGCGAGACGATGTGCATATAGCCATGTGCCCCGTTTGGCCCCGAATCAATAATAGACCGCCCCTTCCATAACGTACTTCCCGCCTACGTCGCCGACCCCAAAACACAGAGTAAATGCGAAACTTTGCACTTTTGTATCTTAACAACCACGCTATATTTTGAATTAAATATTAGTTCGATTACTCTGGTAAGTATTTAGAATAACATATTTAGATTCAAGTCTATTTATAATAAGATTTCATCATATTACGGAAAAATATAACATAACTGGACATTCGATGAATATCTCTATTAATACTTAAAATAATTTCTCTAATTTCTCTAGGTTATGAGGAGCTCTATTTAATAATATATTATATCCATCCAAGTACAGACCACCAGCCCCACGAGATCGAATTCCATGGTAGAAAAGGTTCCTCAAAGAAGCATAAATCGACTTATGAATATAAACAAAATGGAAGCTGCCATAATACACCTTAAATACATATATATCACTCATCCCGAAAGATCCAAAACAACCCGACCCTGCAACTTACCCTCCTCCATCTCCTTAAAGACCCCAGTCAAAGCATCCATTTTCTCAGTTCGATAATGCGCCTTAATAATCCCCCTCGCAGCAAACTCCATAGTCTCAATAGCCTCAGTGCGATTCCCAACCGCCGAACCAGTAATAGTAGCATGCTTGTTAATAAAAGTAGAGGGGAACGCCGTAGCAATAGCCTGCGGCTCATTCTCGGGAATACCAACACAGACAAGAGTACCATTAAAGCGCAACAAAGGCAGAGCCTGAGCATACGCAGCATTCGCAGCCGTACACACAATAGCAGCATGAGCACCCAACCCATCCGTCAACGACTGAACATGCTTCGTCAATGCCTCGCCCTTGTCATCCTTGGGGAACTTGGTGATATCGATGAAATGCTCCGCCCCGGATTCCTTAACCAGCTCTTCTTTACTGCCATGGTCGATTCCAATAACGCGTAGGCCCATGCCCCTGCTGGCGAGTTGCACGGCGATGTGGCCTAGTCCACCGCCGGCGCCGGAGATTATCACCCATTGGCCTGGGCGGGCATGGCTGCGCTTGAGAGCTGAGTATACGGTTACGCCGGCGCATAGCATTGGCGCTGCTTCAGCTGAGTCTAGGCCTTCTGGGATTGGGGTTACGTAGTTTGCTGGTCCCAGGGTGTATTGTTGGAATGTTCCTGGGGTGTAGTAGCCGGATACTTTTCCGTTGAAGCAGAGTCCGTCGGAGCCTGCTTGGCAGGGTTCTGTTCGAGATGGATGTTAGTCGCTATTTGTTTCTGGCTAAAAGGGGGTATAGGTGGGGAACATACGGCAATGGCCGCAGGCGCTAGAAACCCATTTTACTCCGACTCGGTCGCCGATTTTCAGGTTTGAGGATTCTGTGCCTGCGCCGAGCTTGACAATCTTGCCGACGCCTTCGTGGCCGCCTACCTGGCCTGGCTGGGTTGGGAATGGGAGCATGCTCCACTGGGAAGGATTAGTTGGGATTCACTGGTTCAAAAACGGATAGTCCGTGCTTACGGTATTGGTCATGATGCCATAGTCCGAGTGGCACACGCCTGAGTGGGTTCTATTGAAACGTTCGTTAGTATTTCACTAGAGCTAGTAGGCAGGAGAAGACAAACATATTGATTAGAACCTCGCCGGCACCAGGCTCGGGCACGTCAATCTCTACGACCTGAGTCGAGACCGTGCCAGGCTTATCAAAGATAACAGCCTTCTGCTTCTTGGGGACTTCGATAGCAGTGGTAGCCATTGTCATTGCGATCCGATTATTGACAAGCAATAGAGGGAATGGGAATCAATATAGATAGATTCAACTAGGTAGTGCAGAGTGTGAGAAATGCTTGCAAGAGGAAATTGAGAGCGGAAGGGAGCGGTATTTAGCAATCCCCACGAAAGAGGGGACGGATGTGGAGGCGTTATCAGAGCCACGGATTGGCATTCGGTGCGCCATGCACAGTCGGTTATGCCTCGGAACATGCAACGTCGCATCATAACTTTACATAACTTTGCATGTAGCTCCACATAGTGCGGGGATGTGGAGTCGGGAACCTCGGTCGCTATACTTAGCATCATGCGTGCACTACGAGCAGCCTTTTGGACGGAAATTGATAGGGACAAAATGTAAACTGCAGGATATAGGAGATTCCATCAAGGTCCCCAGCTAGTATGCTTTGACAGCTGTCATTGGCCAGTGCGGAATATAACTTACAGATTAGGGTTTACTATCTACACCTACCTCTCCCTATGGACCTAAATGAAAAAGCGATAAATATCACGAGAATCTAATACCTACAACCATTTTCACACTACCCAGAGATACAATAAACCGGAAAAACTTCCCCAGATACCCACATCCCCCCAATCAGGAACTACGCTTGAACATCATGATCCACAATCTCATCATTCTCGATGGGTCTTGCCAGATCTCTATAGTTGGAAAAAATGGTAGAGCCCAGGATCTGGTGCAGACACCGCAGTAGAATAACTACAAAAGAATCGTTCTATCTACCATACCATCTACATGGAACAATCTTTACAATTGCATGTAGATTTTACGGATGTTTTAGCAAAGAATAATCCGTCACTCGTCAAAACCAAAATTCAATTAAAACCAATTGGTGGAAAACATAGGGCCTTCCCAATTACCCAAACTGCCTAACATCTCCCATTTCTTGGACCTATCTAGAGCTGGATCATGATCATGATCTTTCCAAATTGTATCCAGACGGGGAGGCTCTCCAGCCACTCACATCAATTATTTTGGGGTCTTTTTCTTTTTCGGTTTTGTCGTTGCTTTCTAAAGGGATCCCCGCGTTTCTTCAACTCTGGTCAGGAATGTTTCTTCATTGGAACTCATCTTTTTTGACCAGCATTGAGAAAACACCGGGAATATCCTGCCAATCCGTTTGGTCGGGCTTCTGGCGAGAGTTGGTTGCCCATGTAAGTGTCCAATCTTGGTCAGAACCGACGTAGGCGTGTGCCGTAAAGGAATATTTCCCGTGCCATGCGTGACGTGATTTAATATTAAGCGTTATGTGCGATCCTGCGGGGTCCTTAACGAAGAATCCTGTCTTGCTTCTTGTGGTGCAATGCACACCAGACCTAGAAGGCCAAAGCTCGTCAGGATGATACTAACACCATCTGGAGCCTGAGGCCTCCAAGGATGAAGTGTATAATAAGAGACAGACTGACCTGACGAAGATTGCCCGGGGGCAGATCTTGAGCGAGGACGCAGCGTGATAGGCTAGATGGGTGATTGCACGCAACGTTTCTTCGTCTCGAGGCTTCTGATTATCGTAGAAGAAGAACTCAACCTTTGTTTTGGCTATGATTGTGGGTTTCGATGAAAGGAGTTAGGAATAATGGGAACGTGACCAATAGGAAAGGGATACGATAAAACTGAGGTCGTAGAAGAGTCGGGGAGGAAAAAGGGTTTGAGGACGAAACTTGGCTATGATTCTATGCCACATACAAAACCAGCCACTCGGAAAATTAGCAAAGGAACAAGCATAGGAGAAATTTTGAATAGCAGGAGCACCATTAGGCCTACCAGGATTTGGATCTCTAATTGCAAGTCTGCATGGGCGTGCCTGGTTTGTGGTTGTGGTTGTGGCTTGAGCAGAGAGGCACGGTTTTAACCAGAGTAGAAGAGACTGCATAGAAAACAGGACATACCTGTAGTACGCTGAGACCGAGTGTCCTTGACGTGATCAATGTGTCTAACGGAGTTGAGTTTTTTACTCACAAGCTGTGTCTTGCGAATGATCTTGTAGGACAGGGGGTGCAGAGCGACCATGCAGACAAGTGAGGACATCTTCTAGTGAGACGTGTAGCGAAAAAGCCACATCTTTCTTCTTGCATAGCAATCAATCAATTTTCACCATTATTCTGCGTCATGCTACCATCAGTACCCGTCTTCCTTCGAAGAATAAGCACTATCTGCATTGAACCCACCAAGCATTCTCTTGGTCTGCCTCTCTTTTAATGATCCCCGGCCTCAAGATGCATCTGCTAACAAGATTGACATGTTCCTTACGAGCGTCTCGCGCATCTCTCGCCGCTATACTTTTTGTTTACCTCCTAAAGACGTGACATGTCAAGGCTTCCGTCCCCATACTAACTTGAGCTGATCAGGTATCGACGAAAATGGCACCAGGAGGGAGAAATTCTGATTGCGATATTATCTGTTTCCGACGATTGGGTTCCAACCGGAGACGCTACAGAACTAGACCGGTTTGTTTTCAAACGTGTTACGAGAGTCAGGCTAATGATAGAGACAGGTGCTTGAAGAACTAGCGACCACGAAATGTAAGCGATCGATAGCCTAACTGCTTGCCCAAAGTAATCTAAAACAGCCTATGCCTCTATTGACTGCGTATTTGTAGTCAAGGCGGGAGCTACAGGAAACTGAGAGCCATGACGAGTGTCTTTTGCAGCATTGCAATCAGGAGAGCGGCGACTGGATGGGAAGCTCTTGCGGGGCAAGCGACAAGTTAGCCTGCTTTTCTTGTTGATTAGCGGTCTGCCTGCTTTGGATCTTCAAAGCTAGTGGTAGTAGGCGTGTGGCCGCCTGTGGTTTACAATTTGCCACATGAGCTCAATCGAAAGAGCTTAAGACGACAGATTTCCTTAAACCAATGTCCCTAGATCTGTACTGGCTGTTAGGCTAATGGAATCGGATCTCCAAATGACAGATAATCTATGTGCAGTCACTTCGGGTCCTCGATACTCGCGATGAAATCGAACGATAATGTCGTTTGATGGAGAAAGCAAGAAGCAGATTCGGCTTTGGAAGCCGTGGAAAAACGGAGGAGACTACGCTGGTTGTGAGAAATCGGAGGAAGTTTTGGCTACATTTTGTGCTTGCAAGGTCGGACATCTATGCTCAGTCTGATGCATAACAGCTGACCAAAATTGGAGGCGATGTCTTTTGTGAGGGCTGCGACGGTTTCATCGATTGTGAGGCTTACGAAATCGGGAAAGGAACAAAATTGATCTAATCATTGACAGGCAGATAGAATTCTATCGAGACATCAACGCGCAAAGGGCAGATGAAGAGAGATAGAGCGCTGATCTAAAACCATAACCTATTCGTCTCAAATTCTTCTATCCGTCTATGAGATATGCTACTACAGAAGACTACACAGGCTGATGCATGCGTAGATAACACAGAACCCCAAATGATAAGAAGTTAGCATGAAAATCCTTGGTCAAACACCCAGAAGTTTCCTATCGAACCCAGCTTGCATGCGTACCAGGACAGCCGCATGACAATGGGGAGCTTGAGACCCAGAACCTGTCCAAGGAAAGAAAAGGAGAGCCGTGAATGCCGAGTCGGCGCTCCAATTAAATTACATACTTGAAAACGTCAGCAAAAAAGGAACTTTCAATATCTCGGATTGCCATTATGAACTTACTGGAATGAACAAGTACGGAACTTCTCGCTCATAACGCTTCCAGGCCTCGCCGTACTTTCTCCGGCATCTGCTGATATCCCTGTTGGTGCGGTGGATGATCATAACCATGAAAAAAATGAAATAGAACCAAGGGAATGGGCTCCTATCAATAAAATATTAGTGGAAGTTCTTTCACATATTTTAGCACAAAAAAATCTTACTTGAAACCGGTGATCAGACCCCAAGACATAGAAAAGAACATGTCGGGGACATAATTCGGCTTTCGGATAATTGCGAACCAGCCATCCACCATGATGTGATCGCCGGTATCTGTCTCGATTGTCTTGGGGTTCTCAACAGCTTGCCATGGCACTTGAGGGAAAGTGTTCCGCTTAACGAGCTGGCCCTTTGCCTTGTGACGAAATGCGTTCTTCTGGCCATTTGCGCTATCCCACATCCAATAGAAGAAGATGTACAGAGCGGAGAATACTGCCAGGGCGTAACGGTTCCAGTGATACTCGGACGGGTGGTGGTTGGCCAAGTAAAGTGCGCAATGGCAGTAGGTGAAGGGCACACCGGCCAAATTCCAGAATGTTAGCAAAAAGCCCAGCTTTTCAAAGTACATGTCCCTGTTTAGTGTGAGCTTTCCTGGAAGCATTGTTCCATAGTTATTATTGACTCACCAGCTGGTAATAATCATCTGCTCAGCTTTAGCACAAGCGTTGGCGTACAAGTAATGAGCGCCAGCCAAGAAAACCACTTCCGCAGAGACATAGCCATAACTTTCGTATTGGCGAGCAGCCACAGAGCAGGTGATGAGGAACAGAATGAACCACGGAATCCGGACCTCGTAGAACATTTTGAAGTCCAAAATACCAATACGGGGGTTCAGCTCAGCACCTATGAAGAAGTCATAGATGGGAGAGCCGGACAGTCTGTGGGTTCGTCCGCGGACGATGGCTTGGATGTAGACGATGAAGCTGTTCAGGAAACCAGACAGAATAGCAACACTCATGATAGGCCCAAACTCATCAATCAACGTGTACAATGGGAAGATGCCAGTAACATGCAGGACAGCAGCGATGGCGAGTGTAGCATAGAAGCTGCAATATGCAGAGCAGTAGTAGGGAAGCCTCTTGCCGCCTTCGTGCCTCAACGGCCGGCCAAAGTTCGAAACACCGGGCATGTAGCAGTACATGACTGCCTCTAGGATGAAGAATGTCCAGAAGGTTGCCCATGCTTTTGCGGTTGGATAGGCTCCCTCGTAGACCAACTGGCACAGGTGACGCCCAAAGTCAGCCCAAGTCTGGTTGGACTCGGGCAGAGGAAGCATCCCATCGTAGTATGTGGCTCCAATCCACATATACCACATCAACAGGGGGGAGCCAGTAATCAATAGCATTGCACCAAGCGAGCCGCCAAACTCCAACTCATCTGACGCGCCATCAGTGAACTTCGTTGCTGGCGTTGATCCATTCTCTTTGTCGCCCTTAGCTTGTACGGCCATAGCAGGGTATCTCTGTTTGACAGCCATGGCGAACGAGGTGAGTGAAGAATGCACAAAGATGTCTCAGTGGAAAGATATTTATCCCCTGGTATTTATTGCAATGGAATCAGGTGACTATTTGTAAATCTAGCTTCTATAGTAGGTAATCCCCGCTGCTAACTTAATGCAATTTAGCTCTCTTTTTGGAGTAATCTGACTTGGCACTTACAGGCAATGCAGATACCCCACCTTATAGGAGCTCCTGTGACATTTTGCGACAAGTTAGGCGAGATTTGGTGTTGAGAATTTGGGGGGGGGGCAATATAATTTTGGATTCTGACTGCGTTTCGGCGAAGCCTAGCCTAGTTCATGCATTATTCAGGGGTAATACCGGCTCTAGGGGCTCTTTCAATTTCAAATCTAGATAGTTTGTCTTAGAGATGTATAAGCCAGTTAAAGAAAGGCAAGACCGAAGAAAAACTAATCTCAACGCCGAACTTCCCCACTAATAGTGATGGAGTAGCAGATGCCAAGATTCTGGGCATCTCATCAGAAGAGAAGTCTACCAATAAAAATGGTCACATTATGCGAGGCCGGTGTATACCTACATGGCGTATACCTACAGGGCATATACCTACAGGGCATATACCTACATTGAGTATATCTACATGGAGTATACCTACAAGTAGGTATTCATCTAGCAGTAGTCGCAAGGTCCTAAGTAATTGGTCTCCAACCCTGATGTATTTTACATCAAGAACCGAGGCATATACTTGAGGCTCTCGGACCCACCGAGCAGAGGCAGATCAGACACTTATCAGGATGACTGAGTATCAATTGGAACAAGTTTACTACCCACTCCTTAGCTTGCAGCATCTATGTAAAGCTGCTACAATACAATTGCATATATACTGCCTTTCCTATTCGGAGGAGGATGTGGATCTTCAGGGAACGAGGCTCACATTCCAGACCAGTGTAGTTTCGGCCCTTCTTCTTCCTTGAATATAGTCAATGAATGCCAAAGATATTCGGGGTCATAACCTATGTATTTTATGCAAGTGATATATCCCATCGCATTAACTAACTCTATTTACACCAGTTCAAGCATAAGACGCCCAGCCACAGTATAGCACAGCAAGATTCCTCTCATCAGTCGCTTGCTGAATCAGTTCATTGACAGTAGCAGTGACACTCAGAGTCTTACTCAACTTCTTGGCTACGACAGTCAAGGCTCGATCAGCCTCACTGGGCTCGTTCCTCGAAGAGGTATCGGCCACACCAGCACCAGGCAGTAGAGGAGGCCCATCGCCAGCTTCTTGATTATCTTGCATCTTTTTCATACGCAGGGGCGAGACAGTCCAGCTGTACAAGGGATCATAGCGCAGAACATCGAGGATGGTCATGATGCTATACGATTCTTGGCGGAGTGCCTCAAGGGTAAACTCACAGCAGCGCCGGAAGACACCTTCGGTCTCGGTGATGCCAAATCCATCAACTAGGTCGCGTGTCAGACGGAAGGGGACTACTTCGGGAACGGGCAGGATGCGGCCTTGTTCAAATGCAACACCAAGATCGATGTGCACGACTTCTCCGGTCTTTTCGTCCAGTAGAATGTTGTGTCCGTGCCTATCACCGAGACCCAGAACGTGGCCGAGGATTGAGATTGCGGCTGTACTCCTAGTGTAGGAAAGTCGCTTGCTGAACCAGTCATCTGGGTTGTTGAATTTCTCCATGAAAAAATATTTCATCACCGGATGGAAATGCTCGGTCACTTGCCGATAGGTCCTGACGCGTTGCTCAAAGGATCTGGTCTGGACATCGGCAATGTGTTTGCGACAGGAATTGGGCTTCATGTCCTTGGGGAAGTACTTTTGATGGGCTGGCATCAGGTAGTCGTGTAGGGGAATGGTGTTGGGGACGAATTCAATGATTCCCGCATTGGAGGTCAACGGAAGAACCTTGTAGGTCCGAATACCTAGCTTCCGTTGGCGCGTAGGCTGATGGTCTTTCAAGAGACTGCTAACTTGCTCGAAAACTTGTTCCATGATGGCGTCTTGACGCAGGTCATCATTTCCTCCCTTGTACTGTTGATTTGATCAGTTTAATTCTATTCAACGTGCAGGAAAGAAAGCATCGGAATATAGGGGAAAAGACAGAGAGAGGGAGAATATATACCAGCTGTTTGTAGCGCTCGCCGTTAGAGGCAACGGCAGTGACAATCTTCGGCGCACTGACGCCAGAGGCAATGGTAAATTCGGGGGAAAACTTGGCAACCGTCGGAACATGACTATAGTCACAATCCACGCGGAGTTCAATCTTCATAGTAGGTGGTGGCAGTTTATAAGTGATGACATCTTGTCCGAGGCGCTGTCCAGTCGCGAGGGTTTTCAATGGAACTTTGGCGCCGCTCTTGAACTTGCTGTCTGGTCTGTCGACTGCGAATCGCACGTAGCTAATGTTCACATTGTGCACAGCGACCCAAGTGGGACCAATCTGGCCGTCGCTTTTAAGACGATCCACAAGCTGGTTTGCAGCACGGAAGCGCGAGACAGACGACTGATCTTTACCGCCCTTCGACTTGCTGCTGGCGAAGATTTGATACATTCCGTGGAAGGGGTGCTCGACGCATATCCTGAAGACCAATTGCGTGAGCAGTCTTTGGAAGTCATCAGAGACATCAAGCAAACGAGAGGATAGCTGGTTCATCAAAGGTGCAAATTTGCGACTTGGTACCTCATCGAGGTATCGGGAGACAGCCACATTTGCTGTTTTGATGTCTGACTTGTCGAGCCAGAGTGCGCAGAAACGTAGAGCATCATTGTTGTAGGTATCACTTTCTCTCAAACAAAGAAGGTAATTTTCGAGACATTGTTGGAGGAACGCTTCTCGGCTTCGCAGCAAACGTTGATACTCACGGTCGTCAAGGTCGAACCATTGTTTCGCTTTAGCACGGTAGTTCTTCAAATACTCTCTCTCCTTGCCCGTGGCGTTCTTCATCATCTCCTCGAGGCCAAAGACTTCTTTCTCCTTGCGGTCACGAAGTTGCTCCACTCGCTTGAAATCTTCCAGCCCATCGGGATTCAAGAGCTGCTGATCACAGAAGGTTGCAAATCCATGATAGACTCGCCCAGCCTCTTCACCGTCGGAGCTCCCTTTGAGTTCTTTGACTGCAGGGTATAAATAGTCTCGAAGAATAGAGTCGGGCTTTTCCAAGCGTGCCTCAGCGACATGATGACCCTAACGCAAAACGAATTAGCCATATGCTGGGGATTATCTGCATGAGGATGAATTTTACCAAAGTTACAAGCAGTTCAGGCCGACTGAGTGGAATTGCTTGGTTGTGGAGATCGTTTTGGCCCTTCAAATGCTGAAGCATGCGAATTGACGCTGTCATTTCGCCTTGGTCCCAAAGAACATTGGCAAGGTCGAATTTTGCGGCTCCTTCAATATTCATCCCCAAAGCTGCACATGGCTCGGCAAGCTTCGAAAGGTTCATTGCAGATTTTAGTGATGCCTGTGAGATGCCATGACTTCTAGTCACTTCCAGCGATTGCCGGATGACTTTCGCCTCTAGCAACCGGGAATCGCCGAGACTCAGCCGTGATGATGATTTGAGAACATCATTTTTCCTGACCGACGAGAACAATGCCTCATGCCATGACAAGATTTCGCCAACCTCATGATAGCTACCCAGGTTAGCATGCGTCCAATAACCGCTATTCAAATACTCACCTTTCGGTTTTCAGCCAGCTGCTTCTCACCATTATCTTTTTCCATTCGGCCTCCATCTCTTCAGGACTCGCAGAGTGTAGAGTATCACTGATCTCGGTCATGATTCCAAGTGCGCGCATCGAAGTGCGCAACTGGATGGCGGAACGACCGTTTTCTATGAGAGAATCAAGGGTAGTCAACAGCCCTTTTTCGACTGAGCTGGTGACCTCGAGCAGAGAACCAGATGAGTTGAGACCCTGGAAAGCTCGGAAGACGGTTGCTGATGGCGATGTATCCAAGGGCGAGACTGGAATATCCCAGTTTTGAAGGCTGGTGGCTGCTTGCAACATGCTATCAACTGCCACAGGGGAATCCTTTGTACCACTGGAAGCGGAAAGCATTGTGTTGGCGATTCCCTGGAGATTTGTTGCATTCAGTGCCTTCAAAACTCCATAAGAGTCTGCACTGTCTGACATCTGTATCCCACTATCATATTGCGCACTCTGGAACAGAAGATTTTTGAATCCAGAGCCTTCGTACTCCAACCGTTCCATCACGCTGGTCAGCGATGAACTTTGCTGAATACCATAGAACAAGTCCGGATCATCTATGTTCTTGAAAACATCATGAAGTAGAGCAGATGGTGGCTCATATTTGACAACAGATGACCGACGGGACCCTGAAACCACCTTGGAGGCCTGAATTTCTAGGAAAAGAAGAGAAGTTTTCTGCAGCCCGCAACGATGTGCCGCAGAAGACGCATCTCTAAAGTCGATATCAAGCCATTTATCGCGTTGGACAATGGTTGATTCATCAGGAACGGGTTGGTTGTGAAGGTAGAGAATGCAGCTTATCACAAGCTGTGCGTGAGGTAATGTATCCTCGCACACCTTGCACAAGACCTCTTTGAACACGGCAGAAACAGCCTCTCGAGATTCTCCCTTGTCTCCCTTTGCTTGTCTCTCGGACAGCAAGACATCGTGAATCACATAGGGCAACAGCTGTACCGCCAGGCCAGGGGCGGCGTTGAGGATCTTGCGAAGAGACCCGATAACAGGATCATCCAAGGCAGCAGTCGACAAAAGCAGAGAAACGTCACGAGCCCATTTCGCAACAGGGATCCCAGATGGGCTGATTAGTGCCTTTTGGCACCTTTTCTCCTCCAGGGTTGATAGGTCTATGGCAGGGCAATTGTACGGGCTCCAGATGAGTGCTTTCATCAAAGATTCAGGTATCACATCGCCACAGCCTTGGAAATCTGGAAAGTTTGCTATGTTGCTGATAATGAGCTGCAGAGTTCGCTCAACCAAGCCAGCTTCGAGATGATTTTGATTGTGCAGCATGTCACAAAGGACCCGAAGAATCCTGGCTTTGGAGTGGCAGAAAATATCAGATGACAAGCAAGACTCAGAATCCTCGAACAAGGAGAGATCCTGTTCGCGCAGGAGAAGTTGATTGATCTTGCCAGTGGCAGCAAAGGAACGGCCGATGACCCGGGCAGCCCATAGTCGATATTGAGGCCCGCCATTGAAATTGTGCAGCGTATGCCACAGGGAAACAACATGTGAAGCAGGGTCCACATCTTCATTCAGGGACCTATCATCAGCATCAGAAGTCCCAAATTCAGGACATAAGAGCGAAAGAACAAGATCAGCTACAGGCCTGCTGAGCAGCGATGTTGCAGAATCGCGGTCTTTGAGCACTTCGAAGACCAACTCTTTCCCGATGTGTCCATCTGCGGAACTCTTAGATGTGGAAAATTGCTCAGCTAGGCTCACTAGCTTATCAAACGACTGTTTCGTCTTCGTGTCCCAATCCGAGGAAAGCAGGTCTCCAAAGAGTCCTACCAGCCACTGATAGAATTTTTGGGTATTTGACTGCACCGTTCTAAACTGACTTTCCTGGGTCGTATTTTCCGGAGACGATAGGAAAAGTTTGCGAAGAGTAACCAGCGTTGAGACAGCAGTTCCAGCAGTGAAACCTGGATTATCTTGGAGGTATGGTTTTCCTTTTTCGAGCAAATACCAGAATATTCCAAGGGCATCTTCAGAACAGTGAACGTCACTTAGGAATGGCCGTAGGGAATTGAGCGCCATTTCTAGTGGATAGTCTTGAAGGATCACGGGACCAGCCACACACACAAGAATCCGTATTTTGCGGATGACAGAGCAAGCATGAAGTGAGCCAAGGGCAGGATGTATCGATTCAAGAAGCGAGCGACAGACAAAAGAAACCAGTGATGGCGTCCATATTGATTCAAGTTCGAATCCAGTGCGTTTGCAAAGGAACTCGAGTTCGTCCAGCAGATATCGTGCTCGGAACGAGGGCTGCTGGTTTGCGGGCAGCACATTTCGAGACGCGCTCTTGCTGACGATCTGCGTCTGGATATCATGTGCGTAGCCAAAGCTAGCACGCTTGGAAAATGCTCTTTCAATTTGGTCGTAGTAGTCGAGGGACTTGAAAAAGGCCGCAACGATTGACGGAAACCGGCTTTCGACCTGTGTCATGAACTGGTCTGCGCCTAGCAGCTTTCTAAGCTGAACCTCCACTCCTTTGGGTTGGCTGCCTTGCCCTGGAGGGGTACTGATATCCCGCGCAATGCTGTATGCCTCTGCCTTGTGGAAAGAGCCCACTAAGAGTTCAAGATGCGGCACGTCAAGATGTTCCGCCAATTCAACTGTCTCCTGTTCCTTGGCGCGCATCATCATTTGGCCAACGATTTCGTCTTTGACGTCAATTAACATCTCCCGAAGGTTGTCGTATCCAAATATACTGAAGGGCATCGCCATTACGCTTTGAGTCTCGGTCCAAGTGTACAGTATTTGAGACGAGAAAAGACGGAATAGTTCCTTGGCATCCCGCAGGCCAAGGCTCTGGGAGACAGAGACAATGCATCTTTCAGCGTACCACAGAGACGAAGAAACTTGAGCTGGGGTCTCGAACAAATGATAAATACTTCTGCGCAGCAATGTGTGCCACCGAGAAGCCAGTTGGGAAAGCACAAAAAGGCGGACTGCGATACCTTCGATCCATTCTGGATCACGAGGCAAGCTTTCTAGAACGTCATCAAAGATAGCGTCATGGTCTCTGAGGAGGAAGCGCTCAAACAGCGTTGGGATGAATTTGGCAACGGTGAACTTGACCTGGACGTCTCCCTCCCGCAGGATGGTGAACAGACTTGTTCTGGGGGAGGGAAGAGACTGCTCATTGCCGTATGAAGGGGAAGTGCTCATGACACCCCGGATGAGTTCAGCCAATGCAATGTAGGCTTTTGGAGCAGCTCGTTTGCGGACCAAGAGCACTTCAATGAACCAACTATACAAGTCCATGGCCGAATCCTTCAAGTTCTCATCGGGCCCATTTGTCCAGGAATTGACAAAGCTGGTCATCATGCGAATGCAAAGGCAATGCGAAGCTTCACATCGCTCCATTTCATATGACTGTAAGCATTTTTCACCCAAGTCTTCCAAGATGGACAATAATTCGGAAGGCGCCAAGTTTGAGCAACGGCGATAAATCTCGGGTAGCAAGTTCTGGGCCGACAGGAGATCAGCTTCATCGAGGCTTGTCAGGTAATCAACAAGACCTGTTCCCCGTAGATGACCAGAATTTGGGTCTGCCTCAGCCTTTAAAAACATCGATATTTGGATGGTCACACATAGTTGGAATGTGATGGGATCTAGGAACAACGACGAAGCGTTCCGATTCGTGGAAATGATTGTTTCATGGATTGCCAACTGAGCGTGATCATTTATCAACCGGTCATCCAAATCCATAGGATCGTGACCTTCGGAAGTCTGAGCTTTTGAGTCTTGACGAAGCTGCTCAAGGACTTTGGAAAGTGGAGTAAAAAGCTCCTTGAGACTACCCCGAATAGTAGAAGGAGTACCAGAGCTCAACAAAGGGCCAAGAAGAGGTGACAGCAATTCTAAACATGAATGAATGTACCTTAATTCATGCATTGCCAGGAAATTGCATATGGCATTCCATAGGGCCCGACAATTTTGCTGTAAATCTTGCGATCGAATCTGTACCGACTGGGGGAGGCATGCCATGAAAAGCGAAGTCACAATACAAAAAGACGCCAGGATCTGCAAGTTCTCTGGGGATATAACTGATCTGTCCTCGTTCATGACGCGCCATGCCTGCGAGAATGTCTCACATCTCGCCCGAAGCAAATCCAAGATCACTATATCGTCAGGGTCTTGCCGAGAGGATTGTTCCAAATACCATGATTCATGCGGGACCCAGGGGTTGGCATGATGAGTGGCAGTGGCAGAATCTATATGGAAGGCATATTCCAACAGCTCGGAGTTCTCATGGAAAAAGAACCACTTCCGAGTTATCATGCCCGTTGCACCTCCCGAAAAGCTTCCCGAAAGACCCGTCAATTTGGTTGATTGATGTGGAGAGATAGAGAAAGGTCGGTTAGTGCATGATGAGAAGAGACCCAATAGGTCCAAAGGGCGAGCGTACACAGCTACTCGAGCCGTTTGAATGCGATCAGTCACGGAGCCAACAGTCCAAACGTCTCTTAACCAGCCACAGATCTGCATCGAAGCCTTCTGGGCTGATCCAGGATCTAGTTGTGTCCTCGACTGTGCAATGAACGCCCATAGTCTCAGTGATGAGTCTGATATGGCAGCTGGTCCATTCAAGTTGGCAGAAGACAAGATTGAACGTGTCGTTTCCATTGCATCAGAATACTCCAATAAGCCGGACTGGAGCACCACATTCATCAGACTACATGCAGCTCTTGATGTGACTGGGGAGGAGAATGCGCGCACAGTCAAGTCGACCACTCGTGGCCAATGACTTTGAAGCTCCGGCGACTTTGCAGTCGTCCCGCTTGCAATACTGGTTGTCTCATAATTAGCTTGAAGCGGTGGATCCAGATATGAGAGGAACATACCTTGCCAGAGCAACCATTGTCCAGGCCGATACAGAAGCATGGTCGTCGGTGATGCTTAGCACTAGCTGCTTAAAGAAGGAGACTTTGGTTTCTGCGTCGAGCTTTGGTTCAACGAAAGGCACAAGCTGTAATGCACAGATTCTTCGGGTGCTTGGTGCAGATATGGAGTCACGAAGAACATCCTGAAGCTCAGAGCTGAAGCGCTGCCTTTTGTTTGAATCTCCGCGTGGTGACCCAAGGTTCTTGACACGAGTATTGATATCATCTGAGAGCTTCAATAACTCTGCAATGATCCAGATGAGGGTCCAGTTGAACTCCGATTTAGCATTTCCGAGACGAGGTCCATATATTGGCCGGCTCTGCTCTGCAATCGCATTCGCATTTTGGTAGAAAATTATATCGTCGATCTGTAGGGCCTCTTTTTCGGAACGCTTCACATACTCAGAGTGGAGTGAATTCGCTAACACTTCCACATCATGCGCCAAAGATTCGGACGGATCTCTCCGAGCTGTATCCACCAATATGATAATGGACAGCATTAAAGTGACAAGTAACTCATCTTTGAGGCCCTGTAGCTTGGTGGACGACCATAGACGTCGGATTACTGGAACCAGGCTCAACAAAGATGAGCGGACAAGCTCGGTCTGATCAAACATGACTTGAGTAATGACTGCATTGATGCTACTGAAGGCGAGCTGGTGCGTATTCCCAGCTACGATTGAGGGTGACGTAACAAAATCAACCAGTCCATGAAGGATGCTATTCGCTGTGTTTTGAATAGGAGGGTGGAGGACGGCTGTCAGAAGTTGGATACAAAGCACGAGCCCCTCTTGGACATTTCTGTTGCCGCTGTGACCTTCTCTGCTAGTTGGGGCAGGGGTCATTCGCGAGGGGGTCGAACGGCTGTCGCTAGCATCCGGGTCTTCGTGGGCAGACCGATAACAGCTTCGAATGCTTAGCTGACTTTCGTTTTCCCGAAGACCAATACCAGCAAGGCAAAACCTTATAAGGTTTTCCCAGTCCTCCTCATCAAGATGCTCTGCATGTGGACGGTAGCGTAGAAGCGACGCCAAACACTTGGTGTAGTCCGCACTCAGATGGTCCCATAGGCCTTCCCCAGGGATTGGAATGGTTTCAGTGATGTGGTCAACGATCGCTCGGACCGTTTTGATCCTCACATTCCTCAGAAAGAGGTCAACCGCCATTCGGAGTACAGATGCACATGTTGAGAGCCGCGATGCGGAAGCGCTTTTGGAATTCGGCGCGCGATTGAATGCCGACCTTTCTGTTGCAACGAACCGGAATAGTGACTCGAAAATCTTATGGCAGGCTTTATCGTTGAGGGTCTGACTAGCCAAAGGGATTGTTCGCGTTAGTTACCTCGTCATTCGGGGGATTTTCGGGCGGCATACAGCTTGGAGCTCTTTTTGTTCTGCTGAAGAATGTGTTTCAAATCTATGCGTGGCAAAATATCAGTAGTCGCCCTTCTTTGCATGTGGCTTGCAGAGGGGAGACAAACCTGCTAAGCCATCTGAGCGCGCTTTTTGCTTGTCCGATGACAGCAAGCTGATCGCTTTGTCGAGAAATATCTCCGCCATCGCGTCACAGCAGCAGCAGACAGCTAGTGAATCGGGAGGCCTCTGTGCTTCATTCACCAGATCCAAGAGACATCTCGGATCAATCTGTCATTCTGAGAAATCGAGGTTGATAAGCGCGACTTGTGGAGTACAAGCAGTGCGCCATGACCGCCCACGGAGCCTTCGAGCTTGTTTGTCCGGCAAAATCTCAACAATCAACGTTTTAATGTTAACGTCAAACCACGGATGTTTATCAATCGCCTTTTAAGTTATAGGCTTGCTCTATTAAGGCTGATGTCAGTTTTATTCATCCACATACAATCGCAATAATTTCAGCTGCCCTCTTTACAATTGGAAACAATACACATTTAGCCATCAATCAAATTATTCTTGAGGGCAAGATATCTATCTGTCAATTACTCGTGTAAAAGGCGGTGAGGAACCATGGATAAGCGGTAAGCAAGGCGGTAACTGAATGCCGGTGTTGTCCCTCTGAAAAAGTGGCAGTACTTGCTCGCGTTACCGCCCGAGATTTTGATCGCGCTCCACCTTTCTGCCAGCTTGAGCTGCTCTTTCCACAGCTTCTATTCCACCAGCCGTTATGGAGCCCAAAGACACTGAGGGCATTGGTGGCCTTGGTGGCCTGTACTCGGACCTTTGTGCTATCGAGCATCATCCAAATGTCAATCTCGAACGACTCTGTTTCGAATTAGAGGCGCATCTCCCAGACTTCCAAAAGCTCCTCGACAAAACACCAAAGAACAATGCCAGTCGTCAGACTGTCCTCACAGGTAATTGATCCTTCCAGTCCTCTTTGATTGGGTCACCTCTGTTTGCCACGGCCTCGACGAGACACTAATGTTGTTTGCCGTGTTCTAGGGAAGATCAGCTCTGAAGGCAACGAATACGAAATCAACTCGGATTTCCAGCAAGGCGCACTCCAACTGGCCGACGCCTTGAACATCGACGAAATCCAAGCGGCATTTATGTTTCTAAAAGCCCAGCGTGATGGTCTTCTAATAGGCCGGTCCCCTCTGATCGCCGCGCTAATGACGTTTCATGAACACCGCTCGTATGCCCTTAGCTGCCTACGTCTCATCTTCAAACTATCGTTCGACTATGAACTTTCAAGCCTCCAAACCGTCATGCAAACAGCTCTGACACACGTCCTTGGGATCAAAAACGGCCCTCTGCGGCATGCCTCAGAATTTGCCCGAAAGGCGTTGAAGTCCATGAGTGACATTGAGGAATGGATATCACTTCTTGGGGAGCAGCTCCAAAAGGCCACCACGCTCGACCAAGAACTTGATCCAGATATCATGGAGGCCATTGAATTTCAACAATCCTGCTTGCAAGAACAGCATGAGTCACTTGGGGCGATCGTTTGCTACGTGTTCAAGGGGTCTTTCACAAGCAGCGAAGATGTTCGTTTCCTTGTTCAGCAATTAAAGAAAGAAGACCGCTTTGACGGGCTCCTAATACACTACGTTCCTGCCATAATTGCGTCCTTTTTTCAATATGGTTCTCCAGATGGCCCAGGAGCCGTTGAGAGGGAAGCACGGGATCTGAACCAATTCATCACCGCAACCACTGATCCCCAAGGCTGGAAATTGCCGAACTTCCACGCGGCTGTCACCGCTCTGTGGCTTTCAGTCTACAGTGGATGGTATTTTGACGGTGCCCTGCCTTCGAGTGTCGATCTCAATATCGATGTGGAGAAGGAATCAGAAGAGCGAACGAAGATGTTTAAGTCTTCCCTTGATGACGGAGCACTTGACTTCATGCTTTCCATCTGTGCCGCTGTCAACAATAAAGAGTGGGCCGATCCCGCTCGAAGCGAACTAGTGGCCTTGCTGCTGAAGGAGAGTGTCGTATCATTGCCACAATCTTGTGCTTGCTCTGATTTCATGAAGGAACTTCTTATGGAAAACTTTGAGGTTTTTATCGAATCGTGTGTTGCAAACATGCCTGACGCGGTCCGGCATTTGAAGTCGGAAGAGGACTCCCAAAGATTGGACCAAATCACTGCCCTCAGAGATGGTCTCAGCTCTAGCCTTCACCGTGGCTTAGTAGAGGTGCGGACTTATCTCGAATCTTTCCTCATGATCATTTCATTTGCCTTTGAACGCCGTGCTGAGGCAGCTCAAGAATTCTGGGCTGATCCTGAGAGCAATCTCTATGGCTTCCTTCAATGGGCTTCTAAACGACAGACTGTTCCCCGAGTCAGCGCTTTCTGTGAAATGCTTTGTTCAATCTCAGAAGGGCCGGAAAATGCAGCTGCAGCACACCAGTTCCTTGCAGAGGAAGACAAGTTCCTGTCTTCCAAATTTAAGCGATCCACAACAATGAACTGGTCGCAAATGTTTGCTGAACTACAGCTTTATGCGTCTCGTGTCACCGAAAAACCGAACTCAACTCCTTCGCAAGGCTTCGTCGGGACGTTCTTTTCACGGAAACCGGAGCCGGTGGAAATGAACGAGCCAGAAAGTCCCGTGATGCTAACATGCTACCTTCGGCTCATGGGTCATCTATGTAGTCAGAGTGAGCTTGTTCGAGACTGGATGTTACAAAACCAATCATTCAATGTAGTCAGTACATTGTTGACTCTGTGCAGCGGTCCCATTCCATCGCATCTCCGAGCAACTGCCTTCACGACACTTTCAGCGCTGATGACTGACAAGACCTCCGCCGCTGGCCATCAGATGTGGGTGGCAATCGATGAGTGGTTGTCTGGCGGGTCTATGAGTGCATCAGGCAATGGTAAAGTGCCTTTGGTTTCCAACCTCCCTGTGTGGCATCAACAACAGGCCTTCAAAAAGATTGGAGAGAGCTTCGACCAGACGAATGCGTTTGTCGTTCTTGTCAATGCACTCTTTACTCCTCCCACTGACCAGGTCAACGATGGCATGTCACTCCCTTTTCCGGCGAATCTAGGTGGTTCTTATCGGATGCCTGGTGTCGGCCCCTACATTGATTTTATCTTAGGTCATGCCTTATCAAAAAAGTTCAGGACCTTAACGACCACCAGTCCCGTCTTCTGACCTTCAACTGCCTAGACTTTGTGGTGTCAAGCTTGAAGTCATTCAACGAAAACTTAGTCTTGGCCTTGAGCGAGGCATCTGGGTCCGATCACACGGCGAATGCTTCTTTGGTGTCAACATACGTTGTTGCCCATCCCTTTGCCCGCGTGGTAGAGTGGCTTTTCAATGAAGATGTTCTCAAATCTTTGTTTGCAGCCTCTCACCAAGACACTGCAGAGCTTTGTATGGCGTCACATGATTCTGTCGTCGTCTTGACCTTGCTCCGGAGCTTGGAGGCAATGAATTTGCTTCTGGATCTTCAGTCGACATACTTAAATGTCGTCAAATCGATTGTTACCTCCCAGCTTGCACCACACAGAACAAACGTGGCCAATTCTTCGCTTGCCTCATTTGAAGACAGTGTGTTGAGCAATCTCACTCTCATTCCATTGCTGTGTCTTTATTGTAGTACAGGGCATCTGGACCTTGCGATTACATCTATGCAATTGCTGGAAAGGCTCACCAGCTCCCGCAAACTCAATAAAATGTCATCTCTGGAATCTGCCCAATGGCGATCCTCGAACAAGATTGTCGAGGTGCTTGCATCCGAGCTCGATGTGGACAGTGTATCGAAGCCTTTGGTACTCCAGATGACTCCTGACATCAGAGAATTCGATTATGGCCCCGAGGCAGCCAGCTACGTCCTTCGAGAAAACCTTCTTGCGCTTCTGAGGCGATGCCTGGGAACAATCACAGACCGTCCTACAGTAGCTCATCTTCTCCTTGGCTTCAAGTGTGTGGGATCTACTCTTGAAACGTCAAGTCAAGGACTATTTGCGGAACGGATGTCCCTTTTGCATGCCATTGTGGACTTTTTGAAGGAATATCCCGAGGATCTTGATGGTCTAATTGTGTCGTGGGTTGTGTACCTCAAACGCATGGCCTTCGAAGTGCTGAAGCATTTGTGGTCATCAAAGCTGGCAGGCTTTGAAACCCTTACTGAAATGCGATCTCTGAATTTGCTCCAGGTCATGTTCGCTAAACAACCTATCATTGATTCGAATACGGCCTGGGGTGGCTACAGTGCTGAGATGGATGAATTCTGGATCTCAGACTCGGCAAGGGCCATGACAGAGTTCCTGCTCTATCGTAGCTACTTGTTCGAATATGCGGCCGCAGAAGTACGGTCGACGGCCAAACTGGGATCGCAAGCTCTGCATTCCCAAACAATGGCGATTTTGCTTGGGAACACTGTCATGGAAAACGGTCAACCAATTCAAAGTCAATCCGTGTTTGACCTCTTCGATTTCGCGGATCTTGGCGTTTTGCGTGATTTCCAGAAGCCTACGCTGTCTTTGCTTGACGACATATCTGTTCAAGTGAAGTACAATCCAAAGGATGGTAATATGGACGAATACAACGTGGATGAGTTTCAGGCACTGGTCCAAATGCGGGATTCAGAATTGTCCGCCGGTGGAAACAAACAGCGATTCAGAGCGGAGGTACTTAATTTTGAGCAATTTATGACTGCGAAAAACCATCATGGTCGGATCCAAAACACCCATTATGCAGCTCTCAAGTCTTGGACAGAGCTCATTTCAACTATGATTGCTTGCTCCGACGATGACGAAGGAGTCACCCCTGCTTTCATGCTGCACTGTCTCCAGTTGATACTTCCTCAGCTTGAGGCTGCCACTGATGATGATCTTCCTTGCGCTCTAGAACTGGCAAAATTGGCTGAAACATTGATTTCTCGCAGTGGAGATGTCATTAATGAAAAGCTCTACCACCTTTTCCAGATTTGTATTCAAGGCATCAATTTGGCAACGGGGAATGTCCTGTTGAGGGAGACATTTTACATGATCTGCTCTCACTACGTCACACGCATCACAACATCCGACACCAACAAGGGCCTACGACGTGATAGCCAACGCGCCATTACAACGTGCTGCCCCGCCCTCGTTGAGACCATCTGCGATGATGCCTTAAATGGCCAAGACTCGTGCCGTGCGTCCGCTCTCTTGCTCTTGAACGGCCTGGCCGTTCTAGATAGCCAGACTGATTGTGTTTTGGCAAAGCACATTTCAGAGGCGAACTGTCTGAGTCTCTTCCTAGATTCTTTGCGGGCTCTTCCCATTGAACTCCGCAGAGCCCAGGGAACCGGTAAGATCTTCTTTTCTTTGTTGAATCAGTCGTGACATAACTACTAACTGATATATTCAGATACTCCTGCGCTCATAACTTACTATGTGTCACTGCTTTCTCTACTGCAGCGGTTGTCTCAGACCAAGAAAGGAGCCACATATATACTCGACGCTGGCCTCTTCCAAGCTGTTCGTGCTTCGCAACTTTTCGCTGCTGATCCAGACATTGGCATAGGTAAGTCTACCCCCCACCGCTTCGTGCTGCCTTACTGATCTTCTCAGATATCGACAATCCTGATGCTCTTCAGAAGTACTACGACCTACTTTTGTCAGTCATGCGCGTCATCGTGTCTGCTGTCTTTTCTCGTGGAATACAAAACCAGCAAATCATACAACAGACCCGCATCTTCCTGGCCGAAAACCGAGCTTGCATGGTGGGTGTCTTCAAACGATCTGCAAGGATTGGAAACACATCCAACGAACATCAGGAGACTCTGCGCGATCTGGATAAGTCGTTCATGGCACTTGTCTCAGCAACTGGTTTCACTGAGGTAAGAAAGCATCCCAATAAATGTTTTATCGTAACTAACTTGCTGTAGGCTGAGGACCAAGAAATTCAGCAGACTGCGCAGCCTGCTATGATGTTTTCGTGATTTTTATGGTTACCTGGGGCGAATTGCATGTATCATTATGACAAGGCGCGGAGTGGAGACGGTTTTTCAGGTTGAGCGATTATTACTATGAATTGAATTGCGTCTCACATTTAACCCTGCCATATGTAGAAAGACACCAAAAAAAGGATGCAAAAGGAAATACGAAAGCTGAGGCAAACAAGAAGCAAAAGTGACATATAGACACAGGCAGATGTGCACAGACCACCACCTTAATTTACCTTCTTCCAACTTCCTCTTCATCCTGTTTTCGTCTCCATGCCCCTCAACTTGCGAGAACACATGATGATAAAAAGAGAAGAGAAAAAGAAGAAGTAGGGATACCATCGGGTGCACGAAGAAACAAAAGAAAATTAGCAAGTTCTTGGATTGGACAGCATGAACTTACCCTCGCCAACGAGGCGAGCCAGTAACAGGTCTTGCTGCCCTCCATGTGCTCACAGGCAAATATGTACCCAACATTGGGTTGTTACATTCGATGCATTTATAGCAGGAGGTCAGCCGATTCGAGGTCACGATTTTCGCTAAACAATTGCATTGTGAGCTCATGAAACCAAAATGATTGACAAACTTACCTCAACCTTCGTCCGTACAAGCCACATCCCACTGTCTTCTGCTCGCTCACAGGGGGATGCCATCGATTCGAGAGACCGAGTCGAGGTGTCGATTGGAGAGGCCGGATCGAGATGTTGGTAGACCGAGTCGAGGGACAGATGCCCGCTAACCATTTGCGCTTGTTAGCTCATGACACAAAAATATAGACATACCTCAGTTGTTTGCCGCAAAAGCCGCATCCTACTGCTTTCCGCGAGTTCACAGGAGGATGCCATCGATTCGAGAGACGGAGTGCCGAATGTCGGGTTGAAGCCAAGGGGATATTGAAACCTCCGCGCGCCCACCCCTCCTTCCCCCAAAAGAAAAACAGAAAAAAAAAATAATGGAATGGCGTGGTGACTCGCCATCTCAAAAAAAGACAAAAGAAAAGACAGGATATAATATAAAGAAAAGCAGAGAAAAAAAGCACAAAAGAAAACGCAGGGCAAAAGTCCAAACGCGCAAAAAAAAAAAAAAAAAAAAAAACAGAGAATGCATGTTTTTGGGGTTTTTGGGGGGTTTCGGTGTAAGAGTATAATGAGCGAAGACGAGAGCTCAGGGCCCAGAGGGTGAAAACACAAAAGAAAAAAAGAAAAAAAGAAAACAGAGAAATGCATGTTTTTGTGATTGTTTTTTGTTTTTTGATGTTTTTTTTGGCGTTTTTCGTGGTATCCGAGGTATTCATGTAAAGAGCGTTTAAAGACCGAAATCGATTCTATAAGTATGTGAGAGTTCAGAGTCCAGACATGTTCATCACCCCAGTGCGGAAGACGTTGAACCATCCAGCGATGGAGGAACAAGCCCAAGACATGAGAGAGGCCTCTTGGCGTACTGGTGGAATGGCGATGGCGGGTGTAGGACGGTGAGAAACGAGTGTGACCTCAGGCTGGAGGTTACCAGGGACTGATCTGAAGAATTGATCGCTTGGAAAGTTCAAAGACGATTTGTGGTCAGACGAGACGGTGAGTTCTCCATGCATGTTGCGAGAGGCATGTGTGCCTGTAAGAGCTGAACGAGTGATGACAGAAGGAGGTCTGTTGGTCAGTGTGTTCGAGAAACCGAAAGGAGTGGCGGCTGGTCGAGATTGGTTCATCGATAGAACTGTGCGATAGGTTCTGATAATCCTGGAGGTCCGATTTTCGATATACTTCACGTCGACAAGAGAGCGTCTCCAGGAGAGCGTCTTGCGTGGTTTGGCCGAAAGGAGTGTCTTGTCCGAAGATCGACACGGTGGCAAAAAGGGCACATCGTCTGGTCGAATCTTGAGAATGGATCGAATCGGAATGGGAGACAGAGGGGGGATCCACTGCTCCTTCGGAAGCCAGCGAACGGTCTTCGAAGGTTTAGTCAGGGCCGTCGGAGAAGAAGAAAGTCGAACAAGAGAGATGGGAGAAACAGGGGGAATCCGCCGCGCCGAACCAAGAGAGCAAACTCTCCTGGAAGGGTTGGCCAGGGCCGTCGGAAAGGAAGGAGAAAAATGGGGACGTGAACGAAGATTGTAACGAGGCATGGTAGCTGTGAAACAAGAGAATGGGAATGTTTATGAAGAAGCAGTACTAGTTCAAAAGCCAGTGGCATGAGGAGAAAGAAGAAGAGGAATCAAAACAGAGGGAAATGACAATAAATACAGCAGCCAGGGCACCATGGCAACAATAACAACAACAGAACAAGATGAGGAAGGAACAGCTGGATTGTACTGATGCTATACAACTACGAGAAGGAAGGTGCCAGAGTTGTTGCTAGGCAGCGGACTTAGGGCTATCCATGAATAAGTACTTCCCATTTCACCTCTATTGCCCAGACCACCCAGGTTTGACTTGCCTCGGTTCTATCCTAGGCAAATCTAGTGAGACGGAGAGAATCCAGCTCTTGTAGGGTAGTTCAGAATGATCCAAGGTGGATATTGGTAGAAGGAGATGCATGAATTGGTAGCAATTTACATGAAGTGATTACGAAATAATGAGCATCTGAATGAGCAGCTGACCGAGTATCTGAACGAGTACATAAACAAGACACATAGCCCGAGTAAAGCTTCATTGATTAATATATTGTTTAAACACTCGGTTAAATGCTTGATAAATCTACAAATCAGCTACCGTTCAAAAATACATGGGAATATCATTTGTGCATATTCTAGATTTTCTCAGTCTTCCTAATGTGAAATACTTTGTATACTCAGTTCTGGGCTGTACACTGTCAGAATGAGTAGAGTTCATATCAAATCAAGTGATTACTACCAATAGGAAATAACCAAGCAGAAATTGTCACCATGATATATTTACGCTGCTGCATACAAGCTTCTTGCTCGAGTTCTCTAGTGGTCATTAATCCTTTCACGGGTAGAAATTATTCATTGATTACAGTAGATCAATGACTGCTGTTCATTTTTATAGGCGCTTCAGTTTCTATCTTCCCTTAGCAATATATAACGTTATTGAATACCTGTTCAATAACTGGTTTAGTAGCCTTCCAAAATAAGTAAGATCTGTGGCTCCACTTGTCCGATGATGAAGATACCCATGGATACTTCCTGATGTCACGGGCCACGAAGATACAGAAATACAGAAACCTGACAGTATACAGCACAGACATCTCCCAGACTACAAACCTACAACTACAACCGGCGAGAGACAGATCGAGAATGCACCAAATTGAACAATCATATTAAGCAATGGCTAAAAACTACCCAGAAAGGAGTAATAAGTTACCCTGTAACAAACTCGCGATGCAAGAAAGGACCAGCATAACGCCAACCAATGACGGAGATAAGAAAAGAAGAAGAAAAGAGAAGATACAAACAACACAGCCCCAATGGAAAAGAAGATCCAGTAGATCATTTATGTATAGAAAAAAAAGAGGCAACGCAGAAGGGGAATAGCTGTAAGGAAACAACCCGATAAGCCCGGCCAGCTGAGAACCAAAGTCTATACAAGTCGTGTCGTGTAAACGCGCTGAAGGAGATCCGGAGAGAGATATAGGAGGTGGTACGGACTGTGGTTTGGTGTGCCCAAGGTGAGAGGGTATGTGACGTATGTAACGCCGGGGGTCGAAATAGGTGCACATGTTCATGTTCATGTGGGAGGCGTGAGATGGAAGACGGAGCTAGGTGGACAGGTGGATGATAAATCAACGCTCAATCAAGGATAATAGGCTGTGAGATTAATCGGATTGATGGACCGAAGAACTGGAGATATTGTTGAATGACAATTCTGATGCCAGACCAGGCTATGGCGGGGTCGGGGTCTGGCCGACTTCTGGATGGTCGCGGTACTTGTCGCGGGATCGCATGTACATCGCATCTGAGTTTGGATCACGGGCCGGGTCAATGGGTCTCGGTAGACTCATCTGGTGTTGTTGTTGTTGTTGCGTCACAACCTCACGTGCGTAGAACTCTACGAGCATTGTCCCGTATGCCTCCAGCTCTTCGACGGTTATGGCGAGTCGGAAATCGTTTAGGAGAAGGAACTGCAGTTCCAGGTGGTTGAGCTCAACTAATGGAAGACCACCAACCTACACATTCAACCATGGTTAGCTATCTTTTGATACCTGAGTCAAGGGAGGAGGAGCAACCCACCTTTGCGTAACGTGAATTAGTGTAGAACACGTCAGAGAAGAACTTGCTCGCGCAGGTCACACCTGCGATGACCAGCCGATGGATATTGAAGCTATCCACGACAAAGAAATGTGAAAGGGTCTCGGCGTCAGACTGGGGGAGAGACCCGGCGAAATGGAAGAGTTCGACACCTGCGAATCCTGCGCAGCTAAGCCGGTAGAAGATGGAGGCGTCACCATAGGGGAGTCGTGCATTTGTTGAGATGTAGGCGATGCAGAAGAAGGATCTGAATCCTCTGAAGGGTCCCAGCGACGCTGCAGGTGGTCGAGTTTCCCTCTGTTGACCAGCTCGGTCATACGGTCAAAGTAGACCAACAAGCTCAGGAACACCTCGTATGTTGTGGGGCAATATTTGTGTATACGAGTGAGGTAGCTGAGGATTGTGATGCTGGGGACATTTTTGCCGTGGAATGCGAGGACGCTGGTGGCCTGTGGACTGAGGTTTGAGGTGCCATCCGGTGGCGGGATGTGGCGATGGACATGTTCGTGATGCAAATCGTTCGAGGTAGTGATCTTAGTGAGGAGTCCAGCGACCATCTCGATGATCTCCGTGACCGGCATGGAGCTGATCTCGTACTGTCGCTGCGACCCAGACCCGGAGGTTTGCGCTCCTCGCGACCCCACGAGGTCTTCATTGGCGAGACTTTGGATGTGAGACAAGCTCTGGACTCGAATGCGACTCGGAGAATTGACTTCCGATCCCGGCACAGACTGCATTGATTGGTATGTAGGTTGTAGTCGCGGTGAATCCGGCGCGGTTTGTGGATCGGTTGCCATCGGTTCTGAACCGCGATAGGAGGGAGGGTGTGTCGAGTCGGGAGGGAAGGCATTCGGATGGGACGTCATTGAGGCAGGTCGAGAGGAAAAGGTGGGAGGGTCGGAGGCGCGCGAAGCAGAGTAGTTGATGTAAGCCGGTATATCGTTCTGCGGCCGAGCAGAGGCTACTGACGGCGGGGCAGTAGAAGTGGGGGTCGATGAGGCGCGTGAATATGCACCCATGTCCTGTTCCACGAGAGAGCTCATCTCGAGGCTATTCCTGTTTTTCTTGTTAGGTCGAGACCGGGAAGTCTTGGAGAGGGGTTGCTTACGGAGTTGACAAGGAACAAATCAGGATAATCCCCAGAGAAATAGAGAAGGGAGGATCAGCGACTGTCGATCGAATCCATTGAAGAGTGTGTAGCCTAGAAGTGGTGATGTGGCTTAGGTGGAGATGAAACAAGTCCAGATTACTTCATCTATTTCATATACGGAGTACCTGGAGAGAGTAAGTTATCTGTACTAGTAATGTCTAGTCTCTAGTGTTAGAAGTATAAAAGACGGTGTGTACTTTGGTGGCTTTGTATCGGGCGAATAACAGGACGATCTGAACGCCCGTGGTGCCATTGACGCCGGTGATTCCTGTCTGAGCACCTTTTACCCGTATACAATGGAGACTGGTCTGAATATTTCCCGATATAAAACTGCACATCTCCCTTTCTGGGGAGCATGGCAGGGTGCATATGTGAGATGTGATATGTTCTACTCAACATCTGAGCTGTCAAAGGACTGCTGTAGTACACAACTTGGGATACCTCAACTTCGTCTAATGATGTAATGGACCGGGGTATAGGTGTACACGTTGGTTATCCCCCGGTCCATACCAGTCGGCATTATATCCCAGGAGATCCGCTGACCGAGCTCTTCCGACTTCTCGTTCTGGTCCTCACCTCGGTACATTATATATGCCTACGGGCATGCACTAGTGTCGGGTGGCAGTACCTCCGGCATACCAATATTGCACTTGACTGGGATCATGAAACCATTTCATTCGATTGACGCGATATTAGGACTCTTATTAATTCGTCACGCCCGGCCCAGTGTAGCCGTTGTCCGGCAGGTAAAGATGTCTGACGGCGCCGGCCTTGGTCAGGACCACAAGACGAATGACACCACCAGAGCTGCCGTCCCACTTGATAGCCTCCTGTAGTGCACTCCGCACAAAGTCAATACCCTCTTCCTCTGTCATCTGTTCCCGCCAGTGGGCATCGGTATAACCGTAGATGTAGGTCGAGCCCGAACCACCGATGGCGAACGACTGCTTGTGAAGGGATCCTCCCAGGGGTATCGAGTACACCTGTCCACCGTGTCGTGGATCGTATCCGACAATGATGATACCAGCACTGTGGTCTATTAGCATGGATTCGGAGTCCGTAGAGCCCAGCTACTAACCTCAGCGCATCCTTGTTCTCATAGCACAATTCCTGGAAGAGCGACGCGGCCACCTGTGTGGTGGGAGCCTCGTTGTTCGTTACGCCGTACATGTTGAGGTGGTAGGAGACAATGTCTGCCACAGCCTGGGTGTCTGCGGCCGAACCCGAGCGGCAGCACCAGATGGTGTCGTGCACCTGTGTCAATTTGTCGGTGACTCGGTTGGCAATGTAGGCACCGGTGGTTGTTCGGCTGTCAGCACCTAGGATGACACCGTCTTTGAAGTTGATCGCCATGCTGTTGGTTTGTTAATGGGATGCTTGGAGATGGTAATTCGGGAGCTCCAGCTCAACTCACATCGAGGTTCCGAGGCTAGATGAGGAAGAATACGTTAGAATAGGTCCAGTAGCTCTAAAGCAAAGGAGACATCAAGGGTCCAGCTTACTTGACCTCACCAGACTTGAGGTGGTTCATGTCAACGTGAATGCCATCTGGACATGTTAGCTTGGTTCGGCGGATGACGATAGCTCTGCTCACCTTCACCAAGCATTCCTGATGTTCCGTGAGGGGCGACCATTTTGTGCTGCTATCACAAGGGAATAAATGAAAAGGCTACAATTCAATGAAGATAAAAAGCAAGGAAGAGAGGTACGGAAGACGTAGAGAGGTGATGCTATCATGAACACAGGCAGAAGCTCACGCGGCAGGGCGGTGAGTCCCAGCCCCTGCTGATTGAACTATCACGTTCTCCCCGCGAGACTCCTGGAACTTCAGATCTACTTTCTCCCTGGGCTTGCCCTTATTTCCTGTATTCTTCTCTGGTCGCATTGGCCTCTGCTAGTTGATATTTTCCAATACCACAATCTCAGCTTCATCTAACCGGATTCCCACTCTAAACTCCACCATGGCCGAATCACCTTCGCCTCCTTCGTGGAGCATCAGCAACATGGCGAACAGTGCTGCGCAATTCATGCGACTGCCAGTCCTGGCATCATCTGGTCTGGCAGTCGTGGCAAGCGGGCTCCTCTACTTCAAGCAGAAGTGCGCGATTGGCATCTAGACCATGATCTCCGAAGCTAACACTTTGCCCAGTGAACTGATCTACCCCCGGAACGTCCCTGTGGATGCACGAACAAATGTCCCAAGTCCTCGTCAATTCGGTATCACCGACTTTGAGGATCTCCAGATCCCCACACCCGACGGAGAGTCGCTTCATGCTCTCTTCCTGCGCCAACGACCCGGTCGGTTCTCTCGCAATTTGACTGTCTTGATGTTCCACGGAAATGCGGGCAATATAGGCCATCGTGTTCCTATTGCCAAGGCTGTCCAGGATACTCTCCAATGTAACGTGTTCATGCTGGAATATCGTGGGTATGGAATATCAACTGGCGTGCCGGACGAGGCAGGACTGAAGATCGATGCGCAGACTGGCCTAGACTATCTGCGACACCGCCCAGAGACCAGAGATACAAAGATTATTGTCTACGGGCAAAGTCTTGGTGGTGCCGTGGCTATCAACCTGGTTGCCAGTAACCAGGAGCCCGGTGATATTGGAGGATTGATCCTGGAAAATACCTTCCTGAGTATCCGCAAGCTGATTCCAAAGTAAGCTCGAGAGTATCATTCATCTAGTCCCGCCAATGCTAACTTTGATACAGTGTCTTCCCTCCTGCGCGATATCTCGCGCGTTTCTGCCATCAATATTGGAACAGTGAGCAGATCTTGCCTAAGATTACCCATACACCTATTCTTTTCTTGAGTGGTCTTAAGGATGAGCTTGTTCCGTAAGTATCTCTGCTCTCGATTGTTTTATCATCACTAACATCTCCTAGACCATCGAACATGGCCCAATTATTCGCTGTTTGCAACTCCGAGACCAAGATCTGGCGCACACTCCCGGGCGGTGGTCACAATGATTCCGTCGCCGAGCCTGGATACTTTGATCACATCCATTCCTTCATTACTGAGGAAGTGCTAGCCAACAAGGAGTGAACCCTTGCTTTTACGACTTGCTTCTCTTGGGCACTTTTCACGTCTTACTTTTGACCTCTAATTTAATGATCGGCCGGCGAGAGAACGGCTGATATAAATCTCTGGTTTCGGTCCTCAATACCTAAGAATCAATTGACTGGCACAGTCAATCATGACCATGATACCCCCAACCACGCAACCAAGACACGAATTTCACATTGCATTAATTCAATGATCAGGGTTCTACCCGTTGACCGTCCACTCGCCCTGTAAGAGTGGTTTTTCATTTCTTTGCTGTTCTTTCTTTTCTTTTATTTCGCTTCTTGTTTCTACTGGCGTCAGCTTATTCTCGGTGTTTACACTATCGGTTCGATATATGACGTGGCACATGTATTTTTTTAAACATTGTCTTTACGCGTTGCTTTCGAGCTCTGTTAATTACTTCTTTCTGTGCAAATACTAAACGGCGAAACCTTTAAAATCAGTGTGAATGAGATGAGCTTTTTTCTACCCTCTATGAACCTTTGACAATGAAACCCTAGCAGTGAACATCAAGGGGAGCTGTGCATTAACTGTCTCGCGCGTTCTCAGATGAGGAATAAGATATCGTCTAATTATCGGTCTCGAAGAACTGGATGCTCAGATCATGCATCCAGTGCTTCTGGTCGTCCTGACAGCTGTCAAATCTAGTGTTATGCATTCCTGGTCCTTGTTTTCATCTTTGATCCAGTGGCGGGTTGCTTACGACCCATATCTCGATGTCAAACTATGTTGAGATTCATGGCATCTCCAGACATCTCCAGGCATGAAATGCCTACTTCGCCAAGCATGAAGCTCATGATCAGCATTGACCTACCATGTAGAGTATAGTTCAGGAGAAATGCTTCTCATTAAATAGGATCTCTCTCTCATGAGAGAGAGATCAGACCTAAACCACCTCGTTGGCCTTGACATACATGGTTACGTAGCGTCATTCATCGTGTAATTTCAACAAACTAAGATACCAATCCTAATGGGACACTTTAAATACTCTGTAGTGACTCCAGCACAATTAAGCGATGCTAGGGCTGGGATTTTGATTGACTTGCGAAAAAAAGAAAACTGGATTTCACAAGGGCCTATATCTCGATGTCTACCTATCTTCATATGTATCTTGAAGGTATACTTCTCCGTATCCTGGTGGTGATGTATATATACACGCAGACAGCGTCTCTGGCATGTTTGAACAACAGATATTTCGATTATTCGCCTGCCAATAAAGGCCGAAGCTGCAGGAGGGATGAAACTATTTAGTTGATTCATTCGTAGAGCAACAGAAAAAAAAAACCCCCTGTTCGTGGTTGCAGGTATTTATTGTCTCCCTAGGGGGGAAAATAAACAAAAAAAGAACAGGCCCGAGCCGCGGATTGAACGCGGGACCTCGCGCATATAAGCTTAGGTGTTTGAATACCCTAAGCGCGAATCATACCACTAGACCACCCGGGCTGTCATGTGATAGACGCCTGGACTTATTGCTATACAAGCCAGAACGCAGAGTCGAATCTAGGCTAATTGAGATACTGGTCGAGTATTAAAAATGACCAGAACACATCCTCTAGCCTCGAATGTATGTATAATGACATCAATTCAACTTTCCAATATCTATCCCACCAGCAAACGAGATAGAAAGAAGAATATATAATACAATCCCAAGAAATCAGGAGAGAGAACAATCTACTGAAGTCTCTCGGACTCCTCCAAAAGCTCCTCAATCTTAAAGTTCTCCACATCACCCCGAGTGAACATACGAACAAGCTCGCCCTTCCGGCCACTAGCCTGACCCTCGAAGTCATAGAATCGCTGCAAACAGCTAACAAGGAAAGTAGCCTCAGTAGTGTTAACACCACGATCCGGCACAACCTGACCATGCATAAGAACCAAACCCTTCTCATCCGCCAAATCAAGGTGGTGGGTAACAGTAGTGTGAGGCTGAGCAAAAGAACCATGCATCTTATAAGCACCCAGGTTAGTAAAGATTACAGTCGAGGTGTGAGTGTTGGAAGGCGACGGCGTCGAGCCCTCAGCAGGAGGGTGGAAAGCCCACTGCAGGAAGTGGATCTCTGCAGCAGCTCCAGCTCCCTCGAGGTTCTGCGCTTCGGCTTCCTCCTGGGGGATCTGCGCGCGTGGGAGGGGCAGCACGAATTGCGGGTTCTGGCGCGCTGCTTGGGCAATGCGCTTGTATGTGTCCAGTGTGATGACTGCGGAGATGGAGTGCGAGTTTTCCGCGTGGCGGAGGCGCCAGAGGGCTTCGATTTCCTTTGCTGGGAGCTCGCGGATCTTTTCGACGTCTAGGTATGTGCTGAGAGGCTTGACGGGGCTTGAGTCGCCGCCTGACACGCGGCGTGCGGCCTTTGCCGTGGCTGATTCCTGTCCCGGGGGTGGAGGCGGGTGGAATGCTGGGGGCGTGCCTGGGACTGCGGTGGTGGAGATGGGAGAGCCGGGCTCTGGGGTGGCTGCGGTGGATGCTTTGCGACGGAGATCGGAGATCTTTTCGCTGTAGGCTTCTTTCAATGATTCAACCGAGTCGTGTCCCTCTCTGAACCAAAAATATGAGCATTGAGGTTATAAAGTTTATTCGAATGAACTTACTCCTTGGCCTTCTTGTCCAGCTTGGACCGGTACTTGTCCAGGACATATTTGGGATCGTGGTGAGAGGCGAGGAAGCGGACGTCATGGACCTGAGCCAATCGGCGCTGCTGGTGGCGCAGCAGATGAGTGCTGCCACGGAAAGCAGACTGGAAACTCCTCAGATGGAAAGATGCCATTTTGACCAGTGTGAAGTACAACTTGACTGTCTCCGAATCTCCAAAAGAAATGCCCGAACTATGGGATGACATAATCGCCATCTGACATAAGCAGACTTACGCCGCCCGCTGTTAGGTATACTTCCAGCATTGGAGATGCGTTATCTCATGCAAACTATGCTGCATCTGCTATTTGGAAGAGCAAGGCCTACTTATATACCCCAAGCATCTAGTATATGATCCGGAAAAGCACCCCAGATCGACGTCGGATGGACTCTTACCCATTTGTCAGCACTTCGCCCAAGAGCGAGCCATACGAACTGTAACTTTTAAGCCCCCGACCTCAAACCTAGCCTTAACAACATCTCTCCAGTTAACATCTCTACATCTATCTCATCACACAAAACTAAATGACCACCCCATATCTGGTATCGCAACAAGAAAAACAAACCTCGAAATGCCCTTCAACCAAAAAGAGTTCAGCACCCCACCACCCCATCCACCAGTGGGCACACCCCAAGGCTCCGAATCAGCACTCCCCTGGTACTCAATTGCCCCAGGGGTCTGGGAGTTCCTCTTGAATGGAGACGCAGAACATAAAGCCGCACTGCAATGGTGGGAGCCAAACGCAGTCTCGGCTCAGACCGAGCCCATCACGCATACCTACACTGAAGAGGTTTGCACTTTGCGCGGTGGGCTGGAGGATGTTACTCTAGGGGAGGCGTGGGGTATTGGGGCTTATGCTTATCGGAATCCTGGTATGAAGCACGGTCCGTATCGGGCTGCTGCTGAGGGGTGTTTGCAGTTTGTGAAGGTTGTGCCTCCTGCAAAGTAGATCTATAGATTTGGGGTTTACCTTGGATATGTGACCACAACCTATCACGGTTGAGGATTTTTTGATAATTCTTCTTTTTTTTTGGTTGGTTTTTACTCTCTTCCTTTTCGTTGTGTACAGAAAATATCAAATTCGATGCTCGAATACTTCCGGACTCCGACATGATGTCCGGCGTAAGATATCATGAAAGCTCACAGATAGTGAAGCTTATCGTAATGCATTGATGCGTTGACGCGTGTTATTTTGTTCATCAATGCGAGCAACTAAACAGCCACATCTGTAGCGGATGAAGCTTCCTCAGCTTGGGTGGGGTCATCTTCCTTGGGAGCATCGGATTCGGCCTCGGCCTCAGGTTTGCCCTGAGGGTCCTCATGAGTAACCGTCTCCTGCCCCCGTCCCACCTCCAACTGCTCCTCTTTCTCTTCAGCCGCTTCTTCGGCATCTTCCCAATTATCAACAACCTCCGGAGCAGGCTGCTTCGCACGCAGAGACTTGCCAGCACCAACCCCAGAGCGAAGGACCAAGCGCTCCTTCTTAGCACCTCCATCAGCATCGAGAGCAGAGTAAATAGACTTGCTCACAAATGAGCTCTGGAGAGGTGTGCTGCTCCTCGTGCTAGCACCGCTGCCACCTTTGCTTCTCGAAGCCACTTGAGCCCAGCCATCTCCAGCATTAGCCTGTGCCTTGATAGATTCACGGGCCGCCTTTGCTTCAAGGGCGGCAACTCGTCGAGCCTCTTGCTCCTTGGTGCGCTCCCGCTCGCGGAGCTTGACGCACTCGCGTACACTCATGCCGCCGATACCGATTGTGGAGCTGCTTCCCATGCCGAACATGGGAGGTGTCCAGGCTACTGGCTTGAGGACGAAGACGTGTCGGTGGGGTTCTGGGTCGTGGCTTTCTGTCACGAAGCCCCAATCTGCTGCGAGTGAGTGTGCAAATGCACGGAGAGTGGGTTTGGCAGGCTGGAAGCGGAATGATCGAGTTGATTTGTCGGCTGTTGCCAAGGAGTGAAGGTTTGATTCGTATGTTTGAAGGGTTGCAAGAGGTGCTGAGGAAGCAAGTTTGATGTACTGGTTGAGAGTCTCTTCCGAGTAGGGGAGGTTCTCGGCGGTGATGGTTTGTGCAGTGGTGCTTTGGTTGATATCGATGCCCAGAGCGGAAGCCAAAGAGCGGTTCCGTTCAAGACGCGTGCATTCGTCGTCGCAGGACAAAGGAGTAAGCTCTGGCTGGCGCTGAGGAGACTGTACCTGGCCCTTAGATGTGATAGCCTTTGCGGCGTTACAGCGTCTTTGTTGCCGAAGTCGTCCACAGCCACATGTCACTGTGAGCATGGCCGAGCATGGCGTCTTCTCAGGGCATGCGTACGGCGCGTGGCATGGATCAGTGCAAGGGTGCCCGCAAATGGTCTTGGTCTTACCACATGCCTGAGTGCAAGGCTTCGTTGCATCTTCGCAATCATCCGGACGATGGCAGTCCTTCCGGCAGAGGTGAGAGCCACATTTAAGCGGCTGCTTACAGACCTGACCACAGCGGGCATCTGCCAGCCAGCAAGGAACGTTCTTTAGCACCTGCTTGCCACAGAGACACGCCTTCTCAGTCAAGAATGGACACTTGGGGCAGTTCTCCTCATCGGTGTGGCAAGTATGCGCAGCTTGAGGATGTCCACATGCCTTTGGACGTTCGCAAGGGAAGTCACAAGCAGGCGGCTTCGCGCCACATGGCTGCGGTGGATACAGAACAGATCTTCCGCAGTTACACGCAATCTCTTCAAAGATGGCCTCTCTGCAGGTATTGCATGCGCCCTTGTGGCAGAGCTCTGGACAAGCGTGTCGCCCACATTTCAGCGTGCGACCACAGATGCGAGTGCAGATATGTTCTGCCTCAATGTCCTCTTCGGCAGGACGAAGATGCGGCCTAAGCTTGCGACGTGCCGCTTGACGCTCAAGTGCCTTTTGTTCTCCTGGGCAGCATCTTTCAGTACAGGTATGGCGACCACAGTGTAAAGTCGCCTTGCACTGGCGTGGACACTGGGGAGGCTCAACAGCACCTTGGTGACATATGCTCATGTTATCAGTACGACCGCATTGACACTTGATATTCACACGGAGCAAACAAGCGCGACAGGGTCCGATATGGCAGAGCTGCTGGCAGGCATGACCACACGGCAAGATCTTGCCACATGGTTTTTCGCAATTCAAAATCGGATCTTCGCAAGATATCCGAGGTGTGTATCCTGAAATTTCAGATAGCGGCGTTTTACCGCAAGCGCAACGGTCAACGACATCTGGTGACCGCGGGCAGTGGGCAGGGTGTGAATCTTGTGGGTGGCAGTCTTTCTGACATGAATGTACGCCACAATCGAATGGACGACCGCAAGTATCTCCACAACCAAAGCAGCCGGTCCATTCGTCCTCCGAACCATCTTGCCGAACGATTCGACTGTTTTTTTTATCGTCCTGAGAGCTGCACAACATTTCTGTTTGTAGCTTGCCGCAATAACAACGGCCCTCAATGTGAACTTCACAACGGCTACACAGGCCTTCATGACATGGGAGAGGACATGTATGTTCTCCACATGGAAGTAAGTCACCACAGATCTCACCACAACTCCATCCATTTTCATAATCAGTATCCTGGCATCGCTTTTTCGTTGAATTTAGACCACAGAAACAATCCTGTGTCGGACCCATGGCAGTACAAGGCGCACAAGGACCAGCATGGCATGTCGAATCACAAGGATGAGGACAGCCCTTGCGAGGCCGAGAACACGTCTGACCACACGAGTGTGGAGGCAAACCCGGAAGCGGCCTGGGATCAACCTCTTTCTCACACCAACAGGTGTAATTGGAAGGGAAGTTCTGATGCGAAAGATTGCAACCAGGACAACGCCAAGCACGAGGAGTAGCACTTTCCTGTCCGTCTTCTGGACCAGAAGCCCTCTGGGCAGCTGCGCCCTCATTCTTGGACCATTTCTTGACGCAGGTCAAGTGGAAAACCGTCCAACATAGCTCGCAAGACCAGACCTTGGATCTGCGACCCAGTTCGCTGCAGCAAATAGGACATTCGTACAGATTGTGAGAGATATCTTCGTGGATTCGTGTGGCGAGATCGTCGGCCGTTGACTTGGTAGTGACTTTCGGTGGGGGCGGCGCTCTGGATTTTCCCTTTCCTTTATTTGACTGTCCTGATGGTTGTCCAGCTGATGCTGACGGCATACCCGGTACAAAATCCGGCACATCAGCCCTAAGTGCATGGTCGTTCAAATGCCCCGCACCATCATCCGAGGCCGGACCATGTTGCGATAATTGAGCTTCAAAGCCGCGCGCTCTCATGCCGCGAGTTCTCACAGGTGGCCGTGTCTCTTGACTTTCCTGTCCGCCATTTTGACCCTGTCCTCGTGGAGGCGCATTGCCCCGGTTTCTCCGTCCTCTCCCTTCTCGAATTCCTTTCCGCGAGCGAGACGTATCGTTTTGATAGTTGGGCTGTTGCGATACTGGAGCCGGTTGGGACTGAGGAGGTGGCAGTTGCGTCTGTGTTGTCGCTTGACCCTCAACCCCAGATGTAGGTCGTTGTTGTTGTTGACCTTCACGGTTTGCGGAACCCCGCCCTCTGCGCCTAGATGATCTAGGAGCACGCGGAGGTCGTGGCCCAGCTGGGATTGAAACCTCTGTCTGTGGGACTGACATAGCCAAGGGCGCGTCTGAAACCCGACTGATCACGCCCAACGTGCTCATATGATGCCGGTGTATTTTCGCGATGCGGCTGAGTGGGTTGCAGGAAAGTGGTGTTCGATGGTGTATTCGCTTTATAACGAAGCCCGAAGACCAGAATATGGACAAAATCAAAGAGTAGAATGCCCGAAAGTAACACAAAAGATAAGCAAAAGCCAATAGCCCTCCGAGAGAAATGGTAACAGAACGAATTATCTAGAAGGCGATAAAAGCTCTCATCGGCAGTATAAGGCGGCGTATGCAGGGCGGTGACGTAGTGGCCAATTGCTGTGAGTCAGGAATTATATAAGATGAGTCATTGTGCCTGGGCCCACCTGCGGACCTTGGCGATCTATAAACATTGAGATGTATACAATTGAGTCACAGTAGATACGATCTGAAAATACGCGCCTACTGATGAAAGACCAAACAATCAAGCCAGAGTATACATACAGTAGAATTCGAAAACAGATTACCCCTTCGACAAACACGCTTGCATTGAGTCTGAAAAACTGCTACCTATATATCCCGTGGTCACATCTTGCTGCGCTACAGACAAAATTCCCAGTCAAACTAAACCACCGCCAGCAGATCCAGCAGCAAACAGCAATCTCATCTAGGATCACCCCTGTGACCCTCACGAGGGGCTGCAGTACAACGAGGGGGTGCATTTCCACGATAGGGTATAGTTCCACGAGGGGGCAGGGGTCCAGTCTCACGAGAAGAAACGTCTATACCCGTAGCACCACTTTTAGTACTCTCATTTCCGCGATTTTCTCTACTGCTCCTTTCTATTTCCTGTCTCCGCTGCTTCTTCTCCTTTCTTCTCATCTATCTTCGCCTATTTGAATCTTCATTATCTGGTCGCGGAAGGAAGACTGAGCCGCCGCCAACCCGCCAATAAAGGATGTACCAGGTCCTTTGGCTGCGTACAGCAATATTCGAAATCAGTTATAACCTCCATACTCTCACGAATTCATTCCCGTACCTTAATCGGAATACGCTAGTCCTAATACAATATGATCATCGATCTCCCGCTCCCTAGACCGCTTCCTAGAATAGGATCCGTATTTTACATGACGTGGCTTGGAGCAGAATTACGAAACTACTATACACGCGGTACCTCTGTGCTCCTCCTGGCCCTGCCTAGCGACGAGCCACCGCTTGACACACAACTCCCCCCAACCAATTTAATCGCCATCTCTGCACGGATAATCGTGGCCTAGGTCCTTCACTCTTTTATTTTCAAGGGCACTAACATGGGCACCTCACTATCGCATCTACTGCCCTCGCGATTGAGGAAGATGGAGTATCGAATATTGATGAAGGGACCCGTACGTTCTTTGTCTTAACGCACTCGGAGATGCATACCTGATATATTAATACTGACCACCACACGTTGCATGATCAGTGGTATTCAGGAAAGACCACTATCCTCTACTCGCAACTGATGGTAATATAAAGCACGGGTATTCCGCTTGTTAAACGCTAACCAACGGCCGATTCTAGAAGCTCGGGCCCATTAAAACAGTGGACACATTTGGATTTAACGTGGAGACAGTGGCATATAATAGAGATGTGGATCTCGTCGTTTGGGTATATCGCTTTCTATTTTTCGACTAGAGAGCCTTGCTGATCCACTTACCATTACCATAAGGACTTAGGAGGCCGAGACAAGATGCGTCCAATATGGGCCTCCTACTTTAGCGATCTTGATGCGATCATATTTGTGGTGGATTCTACCGAGATCGACCGGCTGGACGACGCTGCTTTTGAACTGCGGGACTTACTAGATTTTGAGGGCGTACGAGACGTCCGCGCGGCTCCGCTTCTGGTGTTCGCTAACAAACAGGATCTAGAGGGGTCAAAGACGCCAGAGGAGATATCAGAGGCGTTGAAACTAGAGGAATTTCGAGACCGAGCGTGGAAAACTATTGCGTGCTCTGCTGTGGATGGCTCTGGTATTCCTGAGGGCATGGATTGGCTCGTGGTGAGTGATTCTCGCCCTTTCCAGGCGTCTTCGAGAGTCTTTCCCCTGAAGACTAACGTATGATTATTTAGCAATGTCTTAAATCCAAAAAGACATAGATTTCATTCCATGGACCTTATATTAGTAGCCCTAGCGCTGAAAATATACAATATTGTCTTGGTTGTTGACATCGCAAGAGAATTTGTACTATAGCGAGGACAAGGAGGAAGGCGGAAGGGCGATCTGGCTAGATCGTAGGAAAGACCACGTTCGAACTTAAAGCCATAAAAGATCCTGCACGATCCTATGAGGCATTACTGTATTTTATTAAGTCACAGACTCGGCGCCAAAGTGGTTGCTAGCCGTATACATTTTCTTTAGCATCTAGCTAGGCATCTCGATCATTAAGCATCCTTCGTGTGATAGAAGATTTACCTCTCTTATCCCCTTTCCATCTAGTAGATAGAGAAGTGCAATCCTCTACGTAGTTAAAATAAACCCTTAGCGTGAGTCTCTTTCCACGATAGAAATAACTCGACTACATCCGTAACTATCTCTCGATAGGAGCCTAAACAATTTCGGTCTAATTAAAGCGCTTAGTTAGATGTCAGGGCCCCGACCTGCCAGGCGCCAGATGGATGCCTGAGGGTATACAGCGAGCCTTGGTCCTTGCAATGCGAGGACAGCTGATCGCACGCATGGGCCATGACGGCCATGCATGTCGCATAGTACATTAGCTAATCGCACCATGTATTTATTGTGCTCGCTGGTCCTCGCATGGAAGACCAGCAATTAGTCTCTTAATACACCTGCACATACATCTGCCGATAGACTCTATCTCCCGAACTCATACTGCTACTCTAGGACCTCCCAGGGTTCTAACACTTCAACCGTTTAACCGTCGTGCAATCCCACTAAAACCACCGCCCTAAATGATAATAATAAGGAAACGCCAATAACCTAGCTAGAAACTGTCGACGATGCCCTAGTCCCACCATAGTCCTGGACACCCACGCCAGAGAGGCGATCCTAAAGACCACGAAAAACATTAAAACATAACATTTAACATTACATCCTATTGTTTCGAATATTACCCTTAAATGAGGAAAGAGTGAAAGGGCTACTTTTGACTATTACCTACGTGAGCTGCCTATATCTAGTACCAAGCTACTCGTTTATGTCTATGCTTCACGTTATCGACCCTACGCTATAGCCCACCTAAGGCTACCTTTATTAATTCTGTTTTCATTAAATACAGTACAGTAGCTGCAACTGGAACTATCTATCTCTCTATTTAATGTGGACTCCTCGACGTTTAGCACGCCTGTTTCCTTCCTCCACAAGTTGTAGGAAGCCGGTAGAGATTGTCAGTTATAGTCCTAGGGGTACTTGACTCCACTAACCTATCTTCGCTACTAGGCCGAGTAGAGAGTAAAATTAAATAGCCAGGTTACAGTCAAGGACACGGAATATGACCTAGTAGGCACTGACAAGTGCAGCGGGACTACACTAGCAATCGACAGGACCATCGCATTGGTCTCGTTCATCGGTGCCGCAGATGAACTTCCACGGCACTGTACTAGGCGCAAACATCAAGAAACCCATGACTTGCATAAGATATGCGGAAATACCCTATTCTTTTCGATATTTAAAATACAAGTAAAGTGAGCATTCAGTAATTAAGGGTACAGTGATACTTGAAATCAGTTTTACCTTCAAACCTTCTCTCTTTATTTCCTGCGCCCCGCCTTGAATACACTCAATTCGACTGCTTTATTTATAGCGCTTTATTTACTTCTCTTTGTATGTACATATTCCTCCTCATCCCTACCACGCGTCCGGTCTATAAAAGGTCGCTAGCTGTTACCCACAATCCTAACTAGGGGCAGCGAAAGGTCACTAATTTCACTATCATCATCATCATCCTAAGCATCACGTTACGCGTTGCTAACTGGTCACAGTTATGTTACTTGTTCGATTGGCGTCCTCCTGAGCGAAGATGCGCCTTCCAAGCCTGATACGTATAGTATGATCGCTATATTTGCGGCTAAAGCAGTTGCCACTTATGAAGGTGGTTTCTTTAAACATCATGAGGTCGCAAATGGCACGATGCCAAAAGAATGCAAACATGGATCTGAAAGGGGCAAAGTCGACCGGCGCATTGTTGGACCATTTCGAGATTTATTGGTAAACCGTTTTATTTCTAACAACATCATGAAACCTGATTGTGGTGCTCTTGTGGATGATTCCTCTGGAAGTGCCAAGTATGTGAATGGTATGCCACCGCACCTTCTCTTTATTACGCATCCCAGGGCGCCATTTCCTGCGGAATCTTCGCTGCCATCACTCTCTTCATCGCTTCCAGTGCCTCATCTTCTTCCAGTGCCTCTTTACAGAATAGAAGGTAGAGTTACATCAAATGAAGCCGGCAATCTACAGCTGAAGCACAGCAGAAATAAAAGTTCTACTTCAAATTGATCTAATGGACAATACAAAGTCTGAATAACGCATTGTAATTTATAAGATATATTCATAAGATATTTAGAGATGATAGGTTGTAATGTTCACAATTTTAATTATACTTTATCGAAATAAAGATTGATTATTATTCTCATCTTATCTACAACTTTATACTATTAAATTCAACATCTCGAGTGGCCTGAAAGGGTAGGGAGCAGTTATGGAAAAGGCAATGTGTGATTGGGTTCTCTGATGCTCCTTTCTCCACCTTGGAGTAGCATGGTCCCTGGCCACTACATAATATGAACCTGTTGCAATGCATGTATCTCATGGAAAATAGATCACCCGGTCGGGATCAAAACCCAGCTCTATCGACCTCTTTTGCTTATGCAGATTTGTACACGTTCTTCTTCAACAAACAATTCAACAACTATGGACACTACGGCCCGCGTTATCTCAAACCTTGACACATTCAATAGTCCCGTGTGGCCCCGCTTGTCCGCTGAATATGCCAGAGATCTTCAGACCGGCACGGGTAATGACCGAGTCCCATAGAGCACGGGTCCGCTCCTTGCCGCCGACATTCATCATGAGTAAGTCAAGCCATGCAGATTGCGGATTGGGTGGGTTCGTCATGATGTTCTCCACAATCAGCAGCTTGCTATCTCGCGCCATAGCATCACCAATGTTTTTCAGTATGTTGACCGACATGTCGTCACTATAGTCGTGAAGGCAGTGGCGGATGTAGTAGATTAAAGCACCTGGCAAATTGGAATTAGTAATAGTAAGTTTTGTTAAACACAAACTTGTGTATTAAAGCCAGCCGTATGGAGTGACTCACCCTTGACAGGTTGCTCTTGGTGGAAGTCCACCGGCATCAATTGTATTTCACGCAGATCCTCCAGACCAGTGGCTCGGATCTCGTCGAGGACCTCTTCTAGGTCCTGCAGAATGCAGCGTCGCCTTGGAATGCCAGGATTCTCTGTGCAGATGGCCGCTGTTGCGTGGCCTCGGCTACCTCCGATATCGACAAACAAGATGCGGTCTTCGGGGCACTGTTTTGCTCTCTCAACGACCCAGGTAAAGTCGTACTCGCCAGTTACGGGTATAAACCTCTCCAACACCTTCATACCTTCCATAAATTGGCGTACTCTCTCGGGGTCTCTACCCATAATCTCCCATGCTGTCTTCTCCGGCTCCCCTGCGGCAAAGCACCATGGATTGTGCCTCATTGCCCTGGGCTCATTGCGACCGTAGCTGTCGAAGTACTTCATCAACGAAGCAAAGGGAACGAGCCCATTGTCAATCCTAGTCGAGTAACAAGCATTAATCTCCACCGTTCACGGATCGGAAGTTGGCAGTATCGAAAGAAAAGAAAAGAAATATCATCCTCACATTATGATGAAAAGCTTCCCGAATGGGTCATCCTTCAGGTAGATCTTCGACCTAGCTGTGTGCGTCACACGATCCTCCCCAATCTGATCCAGAATGCCGGTTGCTACCAGCACCCAAGCAATACGATCTTTATTGCGGGTAAGCTCTGCTCGCTACCAAAGGTTAAGCACGATCCAGGGTGGATGAAACTTACTGACAAGCAAGACCTCAGCGTCTAGCTTACGGGCGAGATCCTCATACGAAATACTCCCGTCCAGGGGGATAAGGTCGAAAACTCCCCAGTACATGAACAGTCGGACCGCCACAATCTCGCTGAAGTTGGTTGACTGATCCAGCCATCGCTCCTGAGGCAGTGTGGCCTCTTCGACAATAGCTTTGGCTGCTGCGAGAATCCTTTGCCGGTGCTGAGTGTCGCCATACCCACGCTTAGCGCAATCATTTCCATAGTCTCTGATGGCTTTGCTCAATCGTGTTTCGAGGGCCCCCAATGCTCTGTGCAATTCGCGTCCATCGGTAGAGGGATGAGGGTCCATGTTATCGCTGAGACGTCGGGATAGCCGCAGGAAATGGGAATGCCTTTCCGATGGAAATACAAGAACAAAATGGAAGCCAGGTAGGCTAAACGTAGATAGGCGAGATGCTGGAGCACTATTTATGATCGCTGGAAGACTCTCTTACGAAACCAAAATAGTTGCGAATCTTTCGACTTTAGTAGAATTCCATTACACCCAGACCGTCTCGTCTCTTGCGCTGTATCCTTTGTCGACTCGGATGTCTCGGTGGCTTCAGAGGTCCGTAGCCCCCGTAATGGAGCTCGGGGCCCGTGGGCTCGGTTGGCCGAGGTAATATGACCGTTGATGACGCCCAACACCCACCTCGGGTAGGGTAATCTCTAGCTGCAGGGGTGGATTCGGAGCGGCGTTTCTCAGAGACCGATTCATTGCCATCCCGAGTCTGCAATGTGGCTAATAAGGAGCCATTCCACATCCCGCAGTATGAAAGCAGCCGAAGCCGAGCAGTTTGTATCAGTCAGGACGTCTCATGCATTAGGAGTTGCGAAGCAGGCTGGAAAGTCCCCGGTACCAGAGAAGGCGGAATGTGGACGCGGTGAAACACTGGATACTCCTACACCAGTGTAGGAAATCTTCGCCTGGCGTCGTAGATCCCCTTTCAGCTAACTAATTGGGTTCCATGGAATCTCCTGTTCGGGCGTTATTGGAGGTTCCTCCTGGGCGTCGGCCATCTTGGGGAAGAACGCGTCCATCAAAGCCTGGGCTTTGGCTTCGTTGATGGTAAATTCGTCGGTGTCAAGTTTCAAAGTCGGCCCCAGTAATCCCATCGCTTCATGTACGTCGCGGTCTTCGACGATGGCTGGTCTCCAAATGTCACGTCATAATACGTGATGACTAGCATCGAGAGCTCTGCTAACCTGCCACCATGGCAGGCCGCTCGGGGTTGGTGTTGGCTTAGTCCTCGGTATCCCTCACAAGCTCGTCCCCATCATCGTTGATGGACAATACAGCTGCAGCGAAGACTTTTAAGATTTCGGCATGCCGAGTGACATCGCGTTTGGCTTGAGTCCGTTTCAACGGCCTATACTAATCCACGCGCCGAACGCACTCGCGCGCGAGTGGAAAGAGAATCTTAAAACCAAGACCAAGCACCTGTAGACAATGATATAATAAAATGAATGAGTACAAAACAGATTATATCGAGAAACGGTATCGTTGGTCCTAGCCTCCGTCTTTCCTACCTTTTATCGGCTTATTTACGGTCGAAAAAAACCCACAATGGCATCTCTGCTCCCTATAATTCCCCGCTATTTCCTCTGCCTCGTTGAACCCACGCTGTTTATCCTTGCGTTCGTAACAACCTCTATGTTCCTATCATACTACGTGTCCACCCTATCAAAGCTCGCACCACTACATCGTCTGCTACCAACCGAACGGATCCTTACATTCCAATTTAGCAAACTTTTCTTCTTGATCGCCGTCATTGAACTCTATATCTTCTACACAAAGACGGATACTAAGGCAGTGTAAGCATTGATAACAGCCCTTTGGTGGGGCGACCTAGGACACTTAGGAGTCACGACGTGGTGTATGGGCGCTGCGGCACTACGCAATCCACGATCTTGGAGTTTAGTGAGCTGGGGAAATATTGCCATCCCTACGCTTTTGTTTACCATGAGATCACTTCATCTTATCGAATTTTTTCGATAGGGAAACATATATGCAAGCATGGCGAGTGGTCATAAGCACTTGTAAAAAATCCGACAACGAAACATACACAAAGCGTTGGACTCTGTTGTTTCGGTGCGAGGACAAATATTGCATAAAGATGACTAGCTTTGACATACTAATTGACAATTTCGGCTTTCATATCCCCATTGAGATACCACCACGCCTGCGCTACCTCTAAATCCAGATTCGAACTCTTGACTGGCACCATGATGTCTGCGCCCTTTCCGTCTTTGACATATATAACAATATGCTCCTATTTATATGAAAAATTAGCCTCATCACACTCTTGGCAACAATTACAATAGCATAAATAACGTGTTAAGAACTTACCAGGCCTAAGGTTAACTTCAACATGCCGTCAATCGCCTTAGGTTCGTACCGGCGCAGCGTGGTCCCTTTGATCAATGCTAAGATATTCTCACACACAAGCTCAGCCTGTGCCATTGCGCTTCTCCCCATCTTTGGCCCTTCAGTCTCAGCGACATCGCCGAGAGCAAAAGTGTTCGAGTGAGCGTCACCGGCGAGCTGCAGAGTTCGTCGGACGAGTATACGGCCTGTTGTCCTTGAGAAGTTAGATGGGATGAAAGAGGAGAGGAATTCCGTATTCGGTGTTGCGCCAACACATGGAATCTGTTCGCAGTGAGATAGTTAGCAAGGAATGCGTCCGCGACTCGCAGTAATTGACGGAGGGAGATCCTCACAATCAGATCGAACTCTGTTTCGCTACCATCCTGGAAGATCAAAGCCACGTTCTGTTGAATGCCGCCGTATACGGCTCCAGCTCCTCTAGTCATTGACGGTATATGTACTCTTTCTTTCAACATGACTTTGATGCCCATCTCGTCCAACTTCGCCTCCACAAAATCGCTCAATCTTTTTCCAAAACTATTCAGTACCCTTTCTCTCGAATGTATCAGTGCAACCTCTTTTGTAGGAAATGCGCTTTTGATGTCGGCCGCCAGTTGTACTCCTACAGCTCCACCTCCCACGATTGCTATCCTTGCTGCCCGTTGAATCTTCACCCTTAGGCTCCTTAGGTCCGCACAAGCCTCATCTTTATGGGGTGATAACATCTTCGCAGGCAAGGGCTGCTGTAAGCCAGTAGCAATGGCCAAGTAATCGAACGGCAGCTTCTGTCCAGACTGTAGCAGGATCTCTCCGTCAGTAACATGAGTTACCGTATCCCTGAGTAAGACCCAACTGCCCTCAGGTGCGCGCCGGAAGGCATCATTGTAGGGTATGAACGCTTTTCTCTCCTCGCCTACAACCGAGTAGCGGGGAAAATTGAATGTGAAATTAAAATGCGAGTTCTTTTCCACGAGCACTACGCGGAACCCGGAAGGCAACGTTTGGGAGAGCCGTTTGGCGAGCTGCAGGCCGGCGAAAGACCCTCCAATCACTACCACATTGCGGGTATCTGGAGAGGCGTGGTAGGTGAGCCGATGATGTAAGGCGCGGATTTGTTGGGAAGCGATTGTGATGGTGGATTCAAATATCACGGGTGCAAAGTTGGTAAAAATCCTGATGTATTCGGGAGCCATTGAGTTTCAGGCCAATAAATTGCACTGGTAAAGCACGAAAGAGAACTGTGTGTGTGTGTGTGTATGTGTGTGTGTGCGCGCGTGTGTGAAGAATCAACTCGGGTTATCGTGAGGACTCAAATTCAGCTCTCCGAACTTAAGTTGAATACGAGCTCACTGCAATCCCCTTTTCAACCTTGTAGTCCGCCATCCTGAGAGGTAGACAGCGGCGTCGGAGTGAGCGGCCACGCGAAGGCATACCTGACACCAGGACTCGGACTCGGTGTTGCAAGTGTATCCGCATTGTTGCATGACGCAATGATTTTCAGCCTCTTGCTAGGCCGAGACCGAAGCTCCGAATCTGCTCCCTTTCCCGCTTTGGCATCCATCCTATTGGCACAACCAAGGACGGGAAAACTGACGGGTCCCGCTGCCTAGAATTCCCGATCTGAGACACCAAGACCCATGTGGTTTTGGCCGCCGAAGGCAGCCTGCATCTATTCACCTACTGTCGGCGGATCCGGTTCGGAGTTCTTTAGGGTTTGGCTTGAGATGCCGCCATTCGGGGTTACCTATGTCGATACTTTGAATTGTCCGTGAGCGCGGCGAAGAATACACCTGCAATTCTATAGCAAATTTCATCAGGGGCATCACATCTCATTCACCCTTCTCAAATCATTTATTGAAACGCCTCGGCAAGGCCCTGCACGTAATTGCGGCAATCATCCCTCGGGACAGCAAGATTAATCGTCGACTCTCGATCGAATTTCAATATAACGAACTCCCAGGCGCTCGCTATTGGAACAAGGATACTGCAAGGACTGCCAAAACGAAAGCTTTTTCAAGAAACTGATGGGGTCACAAACCTTTCACTCCGGACACTGCTTTTTCGAGCACGGTCCATCGTGTGAATACAATTCAAGACATATTATAGTTACTGGGCCGGGCTGCAGCTTGTACGCCGCTCTTGCTATTTCAGTCTTACCTTTGCAAATTAGGAATCATCATTTGGATAAAGAATATTCATATATTTGGTGTTTGTTTGTGCGGCGTATTCAGCCGTCGTTGTGGATTGAATTAAACTATTTGGCGAGGAGAGAAAGTACTCAGGGTAAAAGGAATAGTGTCCGTGCCATTATCAGCTCGTGTATTCTCAACATTCATTTTGACGTCCGCAGACATAAAAATGTTGTCATATGATCCGGCACGTGACAGATTGTCCGTCACCTAACAGCTCAAATTCCGCTGTTCCTTTTTCTACCGATTTAAGCACTTTTGCCCAACTTTTATGGCTTCGCTACCACTAAGGTATCTAGAAGTTCGCGTCACCTAGCCCACCAAACTCAATTGGACGCACATAATCATGGAGCGACATTTAGAAGCTCATCGCCCCAGCCGAAAACCACTCCAAAATGTCCAGCAGAATTCAACGTCAAGTACGATTCCAGGAGAAGCTATAAACACAGCCGGGACAGGCAATAGTATTGGCTCGCAGAATACTTGGTCTTGCGCTGCGTGCAGGAGAAGAAAGGTTAAATGTAATGTCGTCTATCCCGGTCTTATTTCCTATGCGTTTCTTAAATTCCCTTGGCACAATCTGACATCATCTTGGACCTATAGGCGACAGGATGAATCCTTGCAGTACCTGTGTGCGAGCCAATATTGAGTGCGTGACATATTCTAGCACATCATCCCGAAAGCCCCGTAAACGTCCTGCAGACGACATTCTCGAGCGCCTGACACGACTAGAAGATGTTATATCCTCCTTGAAATTTCCGGAGCGAGGTGAGATCAAAGGAGGCGATTTGCCGTCGTTTTTAAAAGAGAATGACGAATCTGAATTATTCCGCCGGTGGCGGAAGGTGTCAAACGTCTGCAGTTCGAGGTCAACCCCCTTGGGAGGGGATAAACATCATGGACAAGTACTATCAAGCGATGAGTGCGTGAATCCATGGCCAGAGCATGGGCTCGGCAAATTGGTGCCTAGTGAGGGGGAAGTCATTACATCAACAACGGTTTCTGGACAAGTATAGACCAAGAGGTATGTCCTGCGTGAAGCATGATACAAAAACAATCGTAACCGTAATTAACTGCACGAAGGTTGAGGACCTTAAGAGCAGCTTGGTGGAGCTTTCTGACACCGAAGACGACCCGGTTTACCCCTCAGCACTGCAGGACACATCGCTTGGTCAGAGTTTTGTATTTGGCCATCCTTCTAGCAACGTCGAGATGGCGACACTGCATCCCCCTCGTCAGTTAATACCCTCCATGTGGAGCCTATTCAAAACGAATGTCGATCCACTCGTGAAAGTACTTCACATCCCCACGATGGAGCCAAAAATCTCAGAAGCGCAGGACCGCTTAGATAGCCTATCAAGAGGAACTGAGGTTTTGATGTTCGCTATTTATTACAGTACGAAGTTCCCCATCGCATAATTAGCCTTGGCTTTTTCCTACTCCTAACTAATGAGATGTAGGCGTCGTAACTTCTCTCACGTCAAGGGACTGTGTTGGAGAACTCGGTGAAACCAAAGCTGTCCTCTTGGCCCGGTACCGTTTCGCAATTGAACATGCACTTACCCGTGCACACTTCCTCGATACCGCAGACATGACCGTACTGCAAGCTTTCGTCATATTCCTCACTGTACTTAGACGGAACGACGACGCAAAGATGGTATGGGCATTGACAGGGCTACTGGTAAGGATTGCACGAATGATGGGAGTGCACAGAGATGGTGTTCACTTCCGTCTTGCTCCATTTGATGTTGAGATGAGAAGGAGATTATGGTGGCAGGTGTGCCTTTTAGATGCAAGGGCGTCGCAAGTATCCCTTTTCCTTTAGGATTATTAATTCCCAGCTAATAATGAACATCATTTAGGGAAGATCACGGGTGTGATGCCACTATTGTCGAAACCCAGTTTGATACCCAAATGCCTCTGAACGTCAATGACGCCGACCTTGACCTTGACATGCCTGAGCTTCCAGAATCTCGCAAAGGGTTCACTGATATGACCTTTTGCCTCGTTAGCTTCGAGCTCGCAAACGTTTTCAGGCGTATTATTCACGTACCTTCACGTTCCGCACAGCCTAACATTTCGTTCTCAGCGTTGGCTGACGAACAGAAGGAGAAATGGATTGCCCAGTGCAGCCAAAGGATGCAGGAGACATATATCGCAAATGCCAGCCTAAGTTTGCCTCCTGTTTGGGTGGCTGCAACTCTCACACGTCTTATCTTATCGAAAATGTCATTGATGGCATACCGCTCCTTCCAACGGGTCGACGGTAGCGAAAGCTGCTCTCAGCAGATCAAGGATAAGCTCTTCCTTGCCGCTGTTGAGGTCCTCGAATACGCAAACCAACTTAACAACGATCCTCGTGCCCAAAAGTGGAGCTGGCTCTTCGGCACATACGTCCAATGGTACTCGGTTACCTTGCTGCTCTCCGAGTTACGCAAGAGTACTCAAGGTGAGCTTGTCGAGCGTGCCTGGAAGGCCATCGACGTACTGGTGGAGACACAGGTTGGCGACGCACAAACAGACCCCCGGCGTGCATTTTTGTGGCGGCCCGTGAGGGGGCTAATGGTGAAGGCCAGGATGGCAAGGGAGCAGACCCTCATGGCTGAACCATGCCTATCTGTACCAGGTCCTGCCAAGCCCTTTGCAGGCTATCCTGCAATAGATAAGTTGCTAGACTGGGCGAACCTCAGCCGCGCTCTTTCTGGGCAAGTCCAGTCGCCGAATGCAAAAAATACTACGATGTACGATACGTTCGCACATTCTTCTCAGCAGGATGCGAGTGAGCTGTTGGGTATGGGTTGCGACTGGCTTATGACAGACAATATTGATTCGCTGGCACCAGGCGCCTGGGTGGACAACCGAGACAGCCAGCAGCTGGCGCATCTGGACACGACGCAGGTAGTGCCAATTGGCGTGAATCATCAGCATGATCTTCTCAATATGTGGGAGACAAGAAACGAGGACATTTGGACAGACATATTACGGGGCTATGAGGCACACAACGGGGGTCCTTCGTCAACTGTCGAATAGAGACCAGCTTCGATTAGACAGACGTTCCGCGAGGCCCTCGAGGAACTTGCACTGCGCTACCCCTGATCGTGCTTTATCCTGGAATTAAAGAACGATACTGCCCTACGAGGCCAAGATTCTCACAGAAAGTACTGCTCCCTTTACGTTCAGCTTTCCAGACTGCGATCTTTTCACGGCCTCCATTTACTCCAAAATATCATGATTGACAATCTTCGCTTTTCGCCGGACCCAAATCTCGTTGTGAAGATGGAAAGATTGCGCGATCTACACAGGAAAACACTCGCTGCCTGGAATCTTTCAGTCTAGCATGTTTGGCTTCATTTTGAGACATATGTACCTGGTGCTCAATACTGCCACGAATTTTGACTTTTTTTTGGCCACAGTTGCACGCCGATTCAGGGCTTACGGCGTGCATCAGCGCGCGTCCCCTAGTAGAAACATGACCGGATTAACATTAAAGCCTGGCCTAACGATATTAGTGCTAGTGTGTTCTTGACGCTATTTCTAAGAACAAAGTAGATTGCGTATAGTGTCAAGATGATTTAGCCTTCTACTGTACAATTCATCATTGAGCTCTTTAAGCTTTAACTTCTATTGAACCTTTCATTCTAGGACATCAAGGCATCCTTAATATAGGTTTTTTCCCATTCGGTACGGAGCACATTGTGTTTTGTGCGTATATTACCGCTTGCATGTTAGTTCAACCATACCTTGCCCCCTGATACACTAATTGACTTTCTATGCATATAGTTCGACTTTCCTTGCAACCATTGTGCGTTTCGTTTCAGGGCTACGGCGTGCGAAGCGCGCGTCACCAGTACGTTCTATCCCACGATCCTCCTTGGTAGGGGCTGTTTTCATAGTAACCATATATGGCCTAGCGTTGTTATAGGTACGGGCCGAGAAACAAAAGAGTGTTTGTCTGAGGGATAATCTATTTTCGAATTCTGGTGTATGGCCACTGAGCGTTTCGGTAAGTATGGTCTGCCTAATGCCGGAGACTGTAATTACGGTACTTTTGATAAATCTACTAACTTAGAAAAACATTAAGAAAGATAGTGGGACTTTCCTTAACTGAATTAGGCTTAGTGCTATCTGAGTGGGGCGCTGAGAAAGAAAGCCCGTGTCCGAGAAGTAACCTGTTTTCGAATTCTACTGCATCAATGCAATTTAGTCCCAAACCGAATTAATATGAACAGTATGCAACAATAAAGCCTCACACATCAAAAAACCCCAAAAGAAGCATAGCGCTATGCAAAAACCCAGCCTAGTCAGCTCATAACAAAGACCATGACCACCCTTCCAGCTTCACATCCACAATCATCGATCATAGATCATAGATCATTTTCAACGCCTCTCGAGTTCAAACAAACACAACAATCTCACCACGATCATTGCGGCGAAGCCTCAAAGCCCTCCACAAATCCTTCTCATCATCAAATCTCCGATCCCGATCCTCCTCATCATCATACTCGTAAGAAAGATTCCGGTGGAACCGCTTTAAAGTCTTATTAACCGAGCAACCACGCTCACTACCACTCGAAACCAGCGAGAGGAAATGATGCGCCAGCTCACGCTGCAAATCCTCATCGGTACGAGCAGGAGGCCTGGACTGCTTGTAGACAGCCACCTGCCGGCCGTCGGGTGACCGGGAACGACGCTCATCAACCTGCTTCAGACGGCGGGAGGGACGGTCACCGTCAGTGGGGTTGCTGCTCTTGCGCTTGGATTTGCGGCTTTCGCGGCTGTCAGCGTGGCCGTCAGTGCGCGAGCGGTGAGATTTCTTGCTCTTGCGGACTTCGAGCTGGTCATCATTGCTGGAGGCGCTGCCACGGCGGGTGCGGACGACAGCCTTGGAAGTTACTTCGGTGTTACCGCCGTTGGCACTGGAGACGGATGAACCACCGAACATCGAGGAAACGAGGCGCTCGGCGCGGTTTCTCATGGAGATTCCTAGACCTTGATCGCCGTTTCCGTTGGCTTCCTTGCCGTTGCGGCGCGTGCGCTTGATCGGTGAGGACGTGTCTTGGTAGGCGCCACGGCGGGCGTCGGGACTGTCATCTGGTGAGGCGGAGCGCATCATTCGGTTTAGACCACCGGTCAGGCCGGAGTGGGCTAGCATTGGTGTGCCGGCATTGTTGATGATGCTCGAAGGGGCATCCATCATGTCGGTGTCAACTTCGCCGGGGGTGCTGAGGACCTCGGGCTGGCCACGCTTGCGCTTTTTCTCGCTGACAGTGCCGGCCTGCTTCTCCTCCTTGCGCTTCTTCTTCTTATCCTTGGGGGCGGGGGTGACGAACTCGGTTGACACGTTCGGGGGCGAGTTCGATTGCGGGATGCTGCCGGCGCCATATGAAAAGCCGTTCTGCTCGTAGGCGATATCGTAGTTTTTACCCTCATCATCGGTAGTGGGGTTGGCTTCGAATTTGGCCAAGGAATCGCTGGGCTCGAAGACCGACTTGGCGTTCGATACCATCTTCATCTGCTCCTTGGGCGTAAGAGAGACCTTGGACGAGTTCGGGGTCTCGTCGGTAACCAGGTAGTCGAAGACGTTGACAGGCTTATTGCTATCAATCTTGGCAGCCGCAGGAGTCCTTACCTCACCAGCAGGCGGGGGCGTAGGAGCAGGGGGAGGAGGAACGTTCTTGAGACCCTCGCCATCGGAGCCATCCTCAACACGGGGCTGCTGGTGGCGGGCGTTGGGGTTCTGGTTCTGGTTCTTCGCAGTGTTCGGCCCCTTCTTTTGGCCCTTGACTGGCTTTTCTTTGTAGAGAGCTCCCTGGTACTTTTGCGCCTCGCTCATGCAGGACTGTATGAGCCGTTAGCAGATGCACCCCCTTGTTATGGCTCAATCCCAGCCGAGTAGCCTCGAGACTATGCGGCAATACGATCAGGTGCTGACATACCGTGTGCGATCTGTATTCGGTTCCGTAGAAGTGCACCATGCAATCAATGCAGGTGAAGGTAGCGCCGCGACATTGGTTGCGATGAGGGTCGAGCTTCTTCTTAGTGAGGATATCACCGCATGCCTACCACGCATAAGTTAGTAGCCATTCGAAGCCCGGGAAGACTCGTCTGCCTCTCAAGCGCTAGATCGGAATTGTTTGACTTACCTCGCAAGAGAAAGACACCATGTTGACTGAAGATCACCCCACCTAGCAGGTGGTGGCAGAGACGGGCGTTAAGAGAGAAAGACAACCGAACGATAACGTGTCGGAAGACTGAAGTTCAAGATTGAGGCGCAGTATGGAAATGCGCACTCGGTTCTTTGCCGGAGGTGAATGCGACGGCAATGTGCTGTTGCCGATTGTTTTGCGAGGAGGGGGTGTTATCCCTTGAAAGTTCCCCGACAGCAGATAAGCCAACAGCAAGTGTTATGCGCCGAGTTTAACAGATCAAGCGCTTAAGAACAGCCAAACCTTTTGTTGCTTGGTTTTTTGCTTCTTTTTTTGCGCGTCGAAATTTGGCGCGCAAATCGACGCTAGCCGGGATTGGGTTACGCTAGGCTGCTTTGGGTAGTATGGCGGCGCGTCGGATGTTTTGTCTCTTTGAATGTGTTGAAGATGTTGAATGTTGTCTTTTCTTGAATTGAATCATAAGAGGAAAAGCTGTATTGTTCTATTATCAACCTTACGGGGCCATTTCTTATTTTCATGTGGACTGGAGTGGATTAAAAAAGCACCGGCTGATGGCCGATCAGTTCCCCCAGTATGAAAGATCAGCCAGGCCTGTCAGGAGACCCCAAGCGTTCATTTGTCGGGGATGATCCGAAGCAGTGAGACTGGCCCTTAAAACGGCTTCATTCACATCCTTTCCGGCTCTATTTTTGGCCGAAACTCAACCCAGATAGGATCCCTTCCTGTTTTGCAGTTGATGTCCTGCGCTAATGCGCAGCCGTAGACACCAGGATTTGGGCCGTTTGGGGGCCTTTCGTCATGATACCACATGCGACTACCCTACACTAGAGGCTAATTGGTATCACGAGGGTGCAACATGACGATATCGACTTTGCGCTTCCCTGTTTTGAAAGAAAAAGTTTATTCAGTGCTTCTGCTGAGCAATATGAACATGTACGACGGAATGCGCTTTTAGTGTGCTTTGCCAGTCAGGGATATACTGGGCCTGTCGGGTCATGCGCGCTTCCTCCTGATCACCAGATAGGATGATCTTTGCGAGAATGTGAAAGTCTTGCTCTTGTCTTCTTGACCGATAGCATAGTCTGTCTATCTCTTCGTTGCCTTACTCTAGTGCCTATTAATTGTAGATATCCGGGCTATATACGTATAGTTACGAGGTTGAAGCATCCAACCAAGAGTCCTCGGAAATATGCTTCTGTATGAACTTAAACTTTATATCTTTGAAGACCAAAGTCTACATGTACTGATAACTCATACTACGATATGATAGCGCAAGGGATCTACCTCCTCTTCAACCCTCAAAAGCCACATGCAGAACATTAAAGGGTATATTGGTACTTTCGACGATCTATTACTGTACAAGGGAGACCAGCTCCATATGAATAACCAACCTGAGAATTTCGCCTAGGGTAGGTCAAATGCAAGCTAAATAAGACCGGACCCGAATGCGTATAAGAAAAATTCAATCGGTCAACCGCGGGTAGTCCTAAGCAGAAAGTTAGCCACCATCCACACTGTAAGCAGCAATACCAGGAAACAACTAACTCTTCCTTGGAAATTTCCACAGCCGGCCCATCATGCCTCGTGCCATCCTTCCCCGCGTCAGACCGTGAAGTAGCAGATCCTTGCTTGCCCTTCCCACCCTCTTCATCCCCATTACACCCACAATCATAAAATTCACCCAGATTGGCGCAGTCGAACTCGGGCTTATCGAGCATCGCATTGACCTCATTATGGATGAAGCATGCCCAGCCCGCAGCTGCATTGCGCGAGGAAACCTGAGGGGGATATTTGCTGAGATGTTGCTGGAAATGCGATGCACATTCTCCGCTGTTTCAAGTTTCGTCAGCCCCATTCTAGGATGTAGGTTTGGATTCTCGGAACAAACCCAAGGAACAGCAGGGGAAGGGGGGTGGCCGAGGGAGTTTATTACCATGGATATAACCGAGCGAATAGATAGATGTAAGAGCGCAGCGCCTCCTGCTGGTCTTCCGTGGGCGTTTCGGGGTATCGCGCCATTACCGTGTGGAAGTACTTCCATGTCGCACGACCTAATTCAGCCCTGGAGATCGACCAATCCACGGTCAGTCGTTGTCCCCAGTATACCATATGGTTCATGGTTCCGGATTCGCCTTACTTGACAGTCTCGTTGCCCAGCTTGGGCATCACCACCTCGCCCTTCAATGTGCTATCTTGGATGCTTATGCCCGGCGCGGTCACGGGTGCGGAATGGTCGATGTGGCCGGGGGCGCGGATGGCGGGGCTAGGTGGCCCTTGCGGTCGAATGAAGAGGAAGAAGACAAGACATAGTGCGATCGCTGCGCTGCTGATAATGCGCCGTGTGATTTGCCGACTTGCCATATTGGCGGGTTGATGTCGAGGAGCAATGTCGCCAAGCGATCGCGTGAGCACCTGGGACCGAAGGCGGGGTATTCCCGAAGAGCTCGAGAAGAAAGTCTTAAAGATAGTGGTTTTAGCAAAGCTCAGCTTGTTCTTCGTCGAAAAAGGGATTCGTGTCCCCCAGGGTCGCATGCTGCTTAGTCATGTGATCGCCGTGCCCAGGCCCGGTGGAGCGATCCGCAAATGTATACCTCTGTCTCTACTGCATGCCTTAGAGCCAACTCACGACTATATTCCGTTTCATTCTACATGGCGAAGCTCGCACTGGCCTCTAGCTAGTAGATGGGAGTGTAGAAGAAGCATTGATAGAACATTGAACCATCCTTCAATTGCTCGAGCACTGGACTGATCTGATTGGGCCTTTAGAGTCATGGTATTGGTCGAAGATGCAGGAAGCTATTTGCAGTTAATAGGGCATTTTTGCTTCGAGAGCGACAAGGTTAAACCCGATGCGGAGAAATATTGACAGACCGCCAGAAAACATTCTTTGTTATCAGGATACATCATCCCCAATGCATATCACATAAAAACACTGGACTAAAACACGGAACCATTTACATGCCATTCGCGTCAACCCCAGCAAGCGAGTCACTTAAGCTCGGAGGCAAGTCCTCCTTGCGTGTACCCCAGTGGCTCTCCTCGTCCCCAAGCGTCAATTCTAGCGTCATACCCTGCGTGAAAAACTCATGCGGAACCCAGCTCTTAGCGTATGGCTTTCCATTGAGCGTGGCACTCTGGATGTAGATGTTATTATAAGTTTTGTCGAAATTGACATTTCGAATTGTGGCTGTTTTGTTGGTTTCTGGGTGTGTGACTTCAACGGCTTCGAAGAATGGAGGGATGATTAGGTAGACGTTTTGACCGGGGTTCGGGAAGAGTCCCATCATGCTCCATGCGAGGAATGAACCCATGGCTCCTGAGTCATCATTGCCAGGTAGACCATTGTGCGTGGCATTGAATGAGGATGGGATGTAAGCGTGGGCTCGGCTGGCAGATAGACCGGGTCGTCCGGCGTAGTGGTAGTCATAAACCGTCAAGAAGACGGGCTCGTTGCCCATGTCTGCCAAACCAGAGGTGTGGAAGTAGTCTAGCCGTGACACAAAGGATTCTGGGCCGCCAACTAGCTTGATCAATTTTGCCATGTCGTGGGGGACAAAGCTATGAGGGGTCAGCGATTAAATCTGTGAGAGAGTTTATGGGTTGACGTACAATAGATATTCCCAGATACTGGACTCGAAGGTTTCTGAAGGATTCGAGGTGAGAGAGCACCATGATGCCAGAGCACTGCAGGCAATAGGATCCTGATAGCCCCAGGTGCCATTCAGGTACTTGGGTTGGAAGAAGCCAGTAAAGCCAGTGTCTGTTCCATTCTCCAGAAGCGATGTCTGGTTATCTTTATACAAGTTTTGCCAATTGTTAGACCGAGACAAGTATGTGGTGTAGTCTTTCTTTCCCAGGCCTTTGCCTACAACGGCCACGCTGTAGTCATTATAGGCATATTCCAAGGTCCGTGAAATACTCCGTGAATTGGTACCAAAGCCGATATAGTCAAAATCCAGGTATGGGATATAGTCGAGGTGCTTCCAGCTCTGAAGACCGCCTCGTCCTTCATAGGACCACTCAAGTGGCTCGTTCTCCGCATCGTTGACCATCGCTTTGTAGGCAAGCTCCCAGTCAATTCCAGTCAGATTTTTGACATAGGCGTCAGCCAGAACAATGTCGGCGTTAGAACCACCCTGCGTCCAGCCTTTGCAGAGACTCATGCGGCAGTCGGGGAGCCATCCTTCATGCTTGAAGGTATCGAGCAAGCTTCGAACCATTTTTGACTGTGCTTGAGGATCAATAATTGTCAAGAATGGATGCTGCGCGCGGAATGCATCCCACAAACAGTAGAAACTGTCAAAGTAAGGCTCGTCACTCTTCCATAACGGGTTCTCGCCCGTGAGATCTTGAGGTGACAACATGGTCCGATAGATGCCACTCCAGAAGCTGCTCAACATGTCATCGCTGACACCACCTGGCGTGACCTTGATCGGGCTGATTTTCTCCTTCCAAGCGTCCTCTGCATGTTTGCGCAGACCATCAAAATCACTATCCGGATCAGATACCTCACTCACGGCATTTTGGCAAGCCTGATCAGTGCTCACAAAGCTGACACCCACTCTCACAGTGACGACCCCGTCATTTGGCCGATCAAAGGTCATATAGCCTCCAGCTTGGAGGTAGAAATTGTTGAAGCCACGAGTGACAAACAGCTCCTTCACTGATCCGCCTCGGTCATTAACCCAAATCCCACCGTCGATAGCATCGCCACTGAAATCAGCACAGAAGTACAACTGGTACGATCCAGCCCCGAAACTCGGCAGGAAAGTCCCATTGCCCTTAATCCGGCCATTTTCAGCATCGATACTGATGGAAGCATTCTGTCGACTATCCCAAAGATCAGTCAGATCCAGTGAGATCAACGGATTAAGGTCACTTCCATCCGGCAACTTCGATTCAGGGAAAGTAAACCGATACAACGCAGTGCGCCGCGCAGCAGTCATCTCAGCTTGAATACCACCTTCAAGCGTCAAGGCAAAATAACCCGGCTTCGCAACCACCGAGTCATTTTTGTAATGAACAGCGCGTGCAGTCTTTGGAAACTTGCAATTATCCACGAGATTGTCGACGCAATATTGAGGGAACAGCGGGAAATTTCCCATGGACGGATTCCCGCCAGTGCCACTGTCATGCATGTGCGAAAAACCAGTGACATTGCTCCCATCCGTTGAGAAACCTCCTGTATTCTGGCCATCGACGTCCGCAACGGGTTTTGCTAGGCCGTATGGAAGGCTTGCGCCTGCGAAGACGTTGCCGCCATTGGTTGATCCGATCAAGGGGTTGACGTATTTCAGATCATCTTGCGTGGCCACTGTACCCAAAGCGAATTGCAGGAGTACGTTATACAAGAAGGTTTTCGGTACAATCGCCATGCTTGGAATATGCTTGTTTGAGCCACGCGCAGTGACGCGTTGGGTCTGGAGGCTGAGGGATGAGTGCAGAAGGAAAGAACAAATGCCTTGTTCTGCAAGGAGTTGTCCACCTTGTATTGACTGCAACGTCACATTGTTTTTTGCGATTCCTGACCTAATTCGTGTTAGTGTTGGATGTCAGGGGTCGTGCGGGGTTGGTGTATCTTAAAGTCAATGCTCTTGTTGCAGTCGGTGTCTCGGTATATTATTGTTACTTGAAGAGTTGCATGTTTTGTAAGAACTTCGCATGCATCAAGTTTGTTTGTTTCCGAGCAGTCGCTTTGCCAGACATTTCCCCAAATTATCTAAAGGTCCACATTGTTTCTCATTTCGAGTAGAAGTTCAAGCGCCATAAAGGGTATTGATAGAGAGCTGCCCGTGTCAAAACCATGTCTGTTATGGAAGATCTTGATCCGTGCCGACCGAAAAGTAGCCGTAAGGCATTGAAGTATTCTGAGTCAAATGATGCATCGATTATGTCTGCTGTGATGACAACATTCATCTTACTTAACTGCTCCATGGTGTTGACGTCTTTTGCTGATATAAGAAGGGCTTGGGGCCAGACTGGAAAGTCTGGCTTGAGAATTGAAAGAGTTCCAAAGCACCGACATTCTGTGAACGCTTCTCAACCAGACTTTGGTCGAAATGTAAATATTTTCTGGACAATAAGGAGATCCAGAACATCGTGACGATCTTGGTAAAATTGCGTTTCTGCTATCCCATCAACCAGAATTTCGATAGGAAAATGATTGGGAAATTGTTTCAGCAACAGTTACATGGCCTTTTACTACCACATGCTGCTTTGAAAACTCGGTCCGCCGCCTTTATACAAGACTGTTGACATGGGTTCCGTCACCTCGCTTTTTTCAAGATGACAAGCCATAGCAAAGGTCCAAATGTAAGAGGTTACTAAGAACCAAAGAAGAAAAGACCTCAGAGTCTTTTTTTAAAAGTGAAAAAAGTTGATACTCCCTTCGGCCCTGGTTGTCCCCCAACCAAGAGCCGTTGGCTTTCCAAAGCCGTTGGTGCCCGCCCACCTCTCCCCTCCGGCCGAAGGGGAGAGAGGACGGGGAAACACCAACTGGCCAAGCGCGGAAATCCAGGATCGAGGGGAGGTACTCTCACCTGGGTCCGACAGCTAGGCCATAGGGACCTTCGGTGAGATAATAGCCCCAATTTAGGTTGATACCATCCCCCTTTGTCCCAAAGAGGAAATTTGTGCGAGTCAGGGATCGAATCGTCCCTCTCTCTTATTATTTAAATAAGTCTGCCAAAACGCTCACTATAATTATTTTAACCAATACCTCACCTTGTGGAAACCAGCCAAGAGCCACGGATAGTACGTTGTCTTCATCACAATTACCGGCAGCTGATACCAGCACATCTTCTGAAATGACAGCCTCCCCGTCAAACGCAAGCAGATATGTCACCGTAGCTTCTGGGCACCAGAAGTTGCTTGCTGCCGCGTAAAAGAATTCTCCATGATTCTGATGTTCGGCCCTGCATTGCTCACAATAAGTTCAAGTATTTTCGTGTTGTGGGAGCTTGCTGCCTTAACCAAACCTTTCTGTGAGACAATGACGCCGGCCTGTTGCCTTTGTAGAAGCAGGTTCATTATGTCTGCCCCGTAAGTTAGGTTGGATACAAGCGGATATATGACTTTCTCGCTGATAGGAGTATCTGGACTCCATTCCTCAAGCAGTATTTCCATCATTCGAGACTTTTCCTTTGATTTCCTGCTGCTGCAGTCAGAATCGTTTTGCTAAGAGTGACTGAATATGACTTTTAGTTTAAAAGAACACGCAGAATGCCTGAGTAGCGATAATTCATGGATGCCGCTTTGAGCAATTTTGTGGTTTCTGCGCTTGCTTCTCGTATCAATTTTTGGATTTGCGAACAATCAAACTCAATCCCACACCCCCGTGATTCAATCGAAACCTTCCACACACCGGAGTTGTAACAGCATTGCGAGAACATCCCCTGAAACCAGTCCTGGCTACAATAAACATGTCGTCCATGTTCTTACAATGGCCGCTGCAGAATCCTCTGGCCACAGTTATCATTCTACATTGCAGCATTCATAAACAATCATCAGGCGTCAGGTACCAGATGCTGGAAATGTTGCTGCCATGGTCAATCCGCACCCAGTTGAAGTAGGTAGTGGAATGATAAAACAACTGTCAATCCTTTTATGTAGCTCTGAAGAGTGGGTCTCTTTTCTCTCTAGCTCGCTCAAATACTTCTGCCGTGGTTCGTACTTCTTCGTTGTTTTCTACTGTGATTTAGTTCTCAACTTCAAAGAATTTCTGATCTTTTGGGTGGACTCAACCTCTCTTTTGGAAGAATCCAGAGATTTCGATCTTCGGGCTTGCTGTCTATCTACTTGCGGTTCCAAAGATGAGAAGGTGATGCAGGCTCAGGAATCAAAGAAGAATTGGGCGACGACCCATGCCTTTCGTCATGAGCTAGCGGCTCTGCCATATTACCCCCCTCTTTTTGACTTCTCCATTCAGATTGACAGGTTGGGAACGGGGGCCATCATTATCATCCCGAACGCCGTGATCCTTACCACGGCCGAGACAATCAAGTAGTTTCTAGACTATTTTTTATGTATTTGAATGGCAGTCAGCTCCACCTCGGGTAGCGAAAACAGATCTGGAAGGCGTGAAGAGAATTGGAAAGGGGTTTCGTCCTATGTGATCTGTTAGGTATACATACATGACAGTAATGCGAACTTAAGTATACACCGGGTTCTTCTTGGGGACCTGTATATCTTATTAAAATCATCAATGTGTATATATACATGTACAAATCAAAAACAAACCAAAGAAAAGGGTTAGACAGCTATGTATGTGGAGCGGGTCATGTTTGGGTTTAGCGCCACTGCTTCTAGATGTATGGCGCCAAGTGAAGTAGCTTACAGTGGGGTTGATGACGCCCCACTTACGAATCTTCGGAGTTAAGCATCAAACACCAACACAAAGTAACACTTACTTTTAGTTAGAACTGAGCAAGGGGTAATCATGATCAGGAAACTACACGGTATGATAGAAAGGGGTAGGAGTGATTTTTCGTCGTTGTCCACTTAATCTTTATACTCACACTTTACAAACTACACAAAAACACGGAAAATGACAGAAGCACATGTGCTCGTCTTTGGGGGAAATGGCAGAATTGCTCGATATATGACTAGCTTAATGCTTGCCCGGTCATGGAAAGTCACCAGTGTTATTCGAAGCCTCCATCAGAAGAAAAGTCTGTTAGAACTAGGCAAGAGTCAGCCTGGGACGATTGACACACTGGAGATGGACTTGAAAGATATCAAGACACCCAACGACGCGAGCAGAATCCTTGAGAGTGTTAAACCGACATGCGTTGTGTTCGCAGCAGGTATAACCCTCCTTTTACAGTTTCAGGTTCTCGCAATCTCTAACCGTTTCAACTAGGGTCATTTGGAGACGTCTACGCCATAGACCGAGACGCAGCCCAGCATATAATCAAAGCCTCCACCGAAGCTCCATACATCACCAAGTTCCTGATGATATCGTTTCCTGCGGCACGCAGAGCAGCAGCACCTTGGTGGGGAAAACGCGACATACAAAACTGGCAGCAGGAAACGAACTCGTATCCCGATATCGCCGAGGCCAAAATTCAAGCGGATGAGTATCTCGTTGCAATGAACAAAGAGCGGGAGGCTCGTGGTGGTCCGCCTTTTCAAGCAATCAGCTTGCGGCCAAGTTGGCTTCTTACGGGGCCAGCTACGGGGAGGGTGAAACTAGGGAAGACTCCCTCATTGGGCCAGGTGAAGATTGCAGATGTTGCGGCTGTAGGTGTGAGTTTGCTGGCGCGCAATGATACGAATGGTTGGTATGATTTAGTTGAAGGGTCCGATAGTGTGGACAAGGCGGTTGATATGTGTGTTGAAGATGGGGTCAATTGTTTTGAAGGGGAGGATATTGAACGTATTATAAAGTCATATAGTTAAATCATGATGAATAAAATCACACTGTTTCTATACCTCAACCCCATTTTCTTTCTATAGATCACATTGACGCAATCTTCGCCTTGCAAGGTTGCCACCCCGCAAACCACCGGAGTTAAGCAACAACGGGAAATAAGAATGGACCCACCAGGTGTAATCGACTATTTTTAATTCCGGTCACAATAGCATTGAGACATATAAATTGAGGACTTCTGCGACTTCTTGTCAATCATCGCAATTAATTATTCACAACGAATCACCAATACCTTCCGTCAACAATCAAAATGGTCAAGACAATTCCCTTCGGCAGCATCCAGGTCCCAACACCGGGTTTCGGTGCAATGGGTCTGAGCTTCGGCCTGGGCTCCAACCTGAGCCTTGAGGAAGCCGAGCCAGTCCTCCTAAAGGCCATTGAGCTTGGTTGCACATTCTGGGATACCGCCGTAAGTTAAAATTTCATTGCCACAAGGAATAATCCCAGAATCTAACATCAAGGCGCGCAGGTTGTCTACCAAGCCGGTGTAAACGAGAAGCTTCTTGGAGACTTCATCCGCAAGCACAATGTTCGCGATAAGGTTTTCAGTACGTGGTTGTACAATCTCACATTGAAGCCAATAACTAACTGTTGTTGATAGTTGCCTCGAAGTGTGGTTTTGATGTGTTTGGTGGTGGCTCAGTCACCAACTCCGCTTCGCATATTAAGGAGTATATTGAGGGCACTATTGAGAGACTCGGCTTTACTCCTGATTTGTACTACCTGCACCGCATTGATCCTAGTATGTCTTATTATCCACCGTTGTGGTTTCAATTGCTGATTATCGACAGACACACCTCTTACCGAGTCTATCCCTGCTCTTGATGAGATCCGCAAGGCTGGAAAGACCAAGTACATTGGGCTTTCCGAGTGCTCTGCTGCGACTCTGCGCAAGGCCAACTCTAGTGAGTTTGAATCCTTGATACCTTTGGAATATTGGATGCTAATTGTGAATAGTTGCCAAGATTGACGCTATCCAAGCCGAATACTCCGCTTTCGAGACGGTGCATGAGACAGACGGTCTGATCGATACAGCTAAAGAACTGGGTATCGCGTATGTCGCCTATAGCCCTCTAGGACATGGCTGGCTGGTCGATGACTTTAAGTTCAAAACCCCTGACGACTTTGCTCCCGATGACTTCCGCCGTAACTGTGAGTATAATTCCATCGTTCCTTGCTTTTGTTCTAGGACCGAATTTGCTAACCTAGTCATCGTTGATAGCTCCTAAATTCCAAGGCGACAACTTCTACAAGAACCGAGCAATCGTCGAGGAAATCAAGAAGCTCGCTGCTAAGAAGGGCTGTAACATTAGCCAGATTGCTCTCGCTTGGGTTGCTGCCCAGGGCATGATCCCCATTCCTGGAACGACTAAGGCTACTCGTCTTGAGAATAACTGGGCTTCTCGGGATGTTGAATTCTCTGAAGAGGAAAAGAAAGAGATGCGCAAGATTATTGATGCTGCCAAGCCCCACGGAAACAGGTATGGTCCCGTGCACCAGGCTATGGTTGGCCACTAGAATATGGAAGACTAGATATTAGAGGTCATGATATGGAATATTTAAATGAGATTGAAGTTTTAAAACTTGAAGTACAGTATGTTGAAAGTTGTCTATCGTTTGGAGTAGGTCATTTGTGCGACTCGAGTTGTCTATTCACCGTAGTAGGGACGTCCTGCAAGGAAGTTCGGTTGCACAAAGCTGACTGACGGTTCATAGCTGTCATAAATGGTACTGTTATATTGGAAAACAGATTCCCCAAGTACACTTAAATTATGTCCCGAGCCCTGTGCTGAAACGCCCTAATCTATGTTTGGGTTCGTTGAGAATCTTGTTCTTCTATAAGTAGAAGCATATTTTTATAGGACCGAAAGAATGACTTAAAATATTGTGCTTTACGTTAAACTCATCAAACATGTGCAACATTCATATTTCAACCTTTCCTCTGCCTTGGTCGTAGGACTTTAGCCATCGCCTTGAGCGCCGAGTAAAGTGCTTCGCACAATATGGCATCAAGACTATCCACTTCAAAGCGTTCCAGCTGTTGAACAGCCACCCTCATCTGATGGTATGTGGGTATATTGGCACTGGGGGCCTGTCGTTGCAGGGCGCCATGGGCCGAACTTATAGTGCCTAGGCAGAGCGTAATGCTGAGAATATTTCGTTTCCACTAAATATGTTTTGGTATTCCAACCGGTTGAACTTTGTCGTAAGGCTGATTGTCTTCAATAACAATAGAACTTCTAAATTATTGTAGGATACTGCCCACGCCGTCTTGCTAAATAACCCAAAAGGGGTGGGTAGCTTTGCGAAGTGCCTTCTTCTATATCTTAAGGCACATGGCCAAAAGGAAAGTAGGGACATGCTTCACTTTCACAAGGTAAACTGTGATCGATTAGATCGGAAACCGAGTGTTATAGTGACTCGAGCCTACAACCATCTGGTTATGCGTTCGACAGGAGCGTAGCCTGATGACCTCATGAACCTTTATATTCACGTTTGATCCTCAACTGTGGTCATGCCCTGAAAACGGCCTACTCCACTAATGGCGGGATCTAGATCCTTACTTGAAGAATACATGACTGTGATCTGTGACGTCACAACCTTCTTACTTCACTGTGCCAAATCAAAATTCGGATACTTAAGAGCCGAGGTGCTCTTCCGTATTTAAAAGTGGAATCTTCGCCGGAATATCTTTTACGTGTCTACCTACCTAGGCTGCCATACGAAAACCCGAGTTACGGATACTTCTGTATTATTTTGCCCATATACCGCACGGGAAAATGTATTTTCTACTACCACTCCTCTTCAGCAGCATACTTTATCAATCTGCAGCAGCAGATCAAGTACCACTCGTTGAAGTTGTTGATGGAAATGATGCTGATTATAACAACACATGTCAGTGAATGCTGGTAAAAGGGGTTCCTGGAAATCTATTACTAATTTTAATGGTCCAACAGCTTTCCTCGACTGTACATCTGAAGCATCACGCGAAACTTTAAGTAATTGGCTCTTATTCAATGCTTCCATGCATGAATTCCAGGCAAGAAAATCTGCCTGCTGGTGTCATGAGCTTCTGGATTGGTCAGACGATGGATGCTCTCATGCCGACGACTATCCTGACGGAAATAACTTCCTTCCTAGCTGCCAAAGACATGACTTCGGCTATCGCAACTATGGGAGGCAGTCTCGCTGCAGCCGTGAAAACAGAGTGATGATCGATAAGAATTTCAAGTCGGACTTGTATCACGAATGTGATGGAGATGATGAATGCAAGAGTTGGGCTCGGATATATTACTGGGCTGTACGCGTATTTGGACACTCTCATTGTGAAAACGGCCATATTCCTTGTGGACGCCTCGGAAAACCCGACTGCCGTGATGGGAATCATCCCAAACTTTGTCCTAGTCCTCAAGACTAATTCCTCACCTTTTTTGTTCTTCTATAACAACGGCTGTGATTAGTTTACTTTGTAAATGGGATCTGTGTGATATTTGGAGCAAAGCTTACCCTACAGTACGCGCTGTATTGCCGCTCGAGGAAACTTTCCATTTTCCGAATTAGGTCTAATCGGGATTGTGAATGTTACGCATATAAACTTCCCTTCCATTCAGAAGTTGTTCCAACTCCATCCCCGACAATTCTGTTACAAAACCTGCAGTTGCCAGCTAGCTGAGGGGCCGCAAACTAATGATGGGCCACCCGGAACCAACCATCCCTCCGAGAGCAATGCCTTAGCGTGATAACGTGTAACTCCCAATACCCAAGCACGCCCCAAGGCTGAAGAACCAAAACACTTCGGAAAGGGCGCTAGAAGCAGCCTCCATCTCGCCGTACCTCTGAATACCACCAATGTCAGGCACGAATTGCGCTAGTGAAGACAAAGCTCACATGAACAGTTCTTGATCGAGATCCTGAACGTTTGCACTGAAACTAGTGGAGAAGCTGGAGGTGATGACATTCGTGGTGGTAACGGTGGAGCTGGATGAGTCGTTTTTGACTTACCACCATAACTGAGATCAACCAGCCCAAGCTTCTATCGCCACTCCCACGTGTAGAAAATGGCAACTAGCGCTCCCTGTTTTGCCACCAACCACCCTGATACGCCATTCAAGGAAAAGTCGGATCTTTGACTGGGCTCGTCTTTATAGTAGCTCCAGGTACGTTTGATAAAGCCCTTAAGCTCAGCGAAAATCTCTTCAATCGGATTAAGGTCTGGCGAGTATGGAGGTAGATAAACAATTCCACTCCCGTATCAACACACATCTGCGAAATATTCTGAAAATGATGAAAGGAGGCGTTGTCCCTGACAATAACAGATCTGAGCTCTGGCCACCTTCCGCCGTGCTGCAGAAGCTTAGCGATGAAATCCTCGAATACGGTGGCACCAGTTGAGCCGCGGAATACACGAGAGAGAACAGTTCCGTCCTAGGCATATACCGGCAGTATCTGATATCGCTGGTCGCGGTGAAAATGTGATGCTTGCACGGGAGCGTGGCCAAGTGGTGACCACCTGGTCCGTCTAAAGCCTACCCGTTTATCACACCCTGATTCACCAACGTATACTAGGTGATAGGGCTGGAAGTCTGATATATTGTGTTAAAAAAAACCCCGTAAGTCCGCGTTGTGTTCCTTAGCATTCTGACGGGCTACCTTTTCAGACTAACCCTTCGAGACGAGAGCCCTCCTGGTGCTTTTGAGGTTGTTATTTGTGTCTCGAAATCGTCCCAGAAGAAAAGGGCCTTCTCATCCAGATAGAGACTTGGGTTTTCCAACAGGGGATCGCACAATGCTTCTAATGTCGATGGGGTTATGGTTCGTCTTCGACCGATTCGATTTGGAGGGGCATGGACATTTCCAAGTAAGTTTCTGCGGATATTTTTGATCGTTCGCTGCATCCAGCTTCTCCGGCCATCTGAAACGTAGTTAGCGACTGGCTCCGTAACAAGTCCTCATTAAATTGTAGCTTCGAAAGGGGTAGCCTCGGTGCCATGTCGCATATACCAGCTCGGGCAACAAAAAGGATGGTGGGTAAGTGAATGCCTACAAAAGACGGGCAGACTTTGGGGGAGGGGGTGCATGTCGGTCGCAATCGTACTGGGAGTTCCTGCAAAATACAGGCGTCTATTCTTGAAAAAGGGACATGCACAGCTAACCACCCTGCAGACCAGGGTTTGGAAACTATGTGTAAGTGTACGCGGATGAATTTGTTTTCGAATACAGCAGTACACAAGACCTACAGGCTATGTAAAGGGACAGGATGGACAACTTCTTCTCCAAGCGGTCGGGCAAGCCGACACAGTTGATGAAAAAGGATTCGCGTCGATCGAGGGTAGTGTAAGCCCGATGACACAGTGCAACGAGGCATGCGCAAGCACAGAGGCCAAGTTGCGGGATCCAAAAATGAGAATAATCAAAGTGTTCCCAATAGGAAACTTTCAGAGATTAAACTGAAAAGAACAGATACTACACTTGATCTAAGCCAATAGGCAAAGAGAGCTAAAGAAGAAAGAAAAGAGAAGGAAGTTTGGAGGGAGAAGAGGGTTTATATACGACACATTTAGTGCAAACAGTGCAAACAGTCACGTCTCGCTGATTCTCTTCTACATGCACTTTTGCCATCTGGGAGTTCCCCCGCCTCGCTAGTCTAATGTTTCTGCTGCGTTAGGTTCCAAAATCCATCACGGCTCTTAACGCCATGGGAAGTGAGGATCCCAAGGAAAGATGTAATCAAAACCCTATTGTATTTGTACGCTTAGGAAAACGTAAAGCTTCATCGGTATGTCCCACAGAGTGGCAAAGGATATTAGTGATACGTGTATTCCAACTTGAGCAGCATCATCGCCGGCCGTCTTCGGGATCTCCGTTAGATTTGTGACAAAGGATCTGATTAGATGAGATGAGATGACAGATTGATACTCCGAGGCTGCGTGATTTTTCGGTCCGTCCAGTCCCGGGCGATTCCGATAGCCATACGCAAAGTTTTCCCGCCTGCAGCAAGAACCGCAGAAGATCTTCCGATAGTCAACGATTCACACGACTTGAAGCCAATAGAAATTAGAAATCGATCGCAAAGCCGAGAAGTGTCTGCAGGAAGGATCAAAGCAACCTTGGCATGGAAAGTTAGTGACCGGGCGAAGCGCCTCAAGCGCCGCCAAAACAATCCGAAGGGGCCCCACCTGGGTTGGGCCACAATTGGTACCCCAGTCTGTGCGTCCCACAGACTTCTCAGCGGGAGAGGCTTGACTAGCCAGCCCATGAGCATGCCAAGGTCGAAGCTTGATTCACGGGGTCATCAGTGGTACTTTTCTGGTTGATGGTTATCTGATTTGGATCAGATAACAGGATTGTAAAGTCAAAATTGCGTACGGAGCCGCCGAAGGTTGCCGACTTGTTCCCCCACTGCGTAGTCAATTAGGTTGAAAGACGGCCGGGAATCGAAATCATGACGCTATGATTGCTTGGCTGAAAAGGATCTATGTTATCTCTGCTTTTTTGTTCCCTTGCACGGGTGTCGCGTGGAGACGTAAGGGGTAGGTTCTAGCCCCGCGCCCAGGTGGTAAGTGGGAAATAGAGTGAGACAGATGATGCCACCATGACTTGCAAGTAGAAGAACACACTGTGATATTGAGGTTGACGCAAACGGGCCAGGGTCACAAAGGGAAACTGCAACTCTGGGATGGGTGGGTCCGCTATACCTGTTCTGGAAAAAACTTCAACAGTGACCAATCAGTGTTGCGGACTGGGTCCGACAAACAGACGAATGAGCGATCACTTCCTGTCACAACAGCCTCTGATTGGTTTGTGGTCCAATTATGGGTTTTCTTCCCTGAGATTATCTGATCTTTCGGAGCCTCCGTTTCGAGGAAAAAAATTGGGGTTGCGCTGCGGGAATTTCTGTGAGCTCCCGGGCCTCCAGATCATAGGGACCCCTCAATGCTTCCTTCTTCTTCTTCTTCTTCTTCTTCTTCTTCTTCTTCTTCTTCTTCTTCCTCCATCCCACTATATCCTCCAACCTCACACAGCATCCGGGACTGAGGATCGCATTCGGTCTGAGCATCTAGTGCTCGATTCACGGGATTGCAGAAGAATGGGCGTCCTCGAGACAGTTCGAGGTCGCGATGAAGGCGGTGCCATCGCCAGGACGATAGTCGGAGACGAATCGTATCGATCACAGGAGAAATCAGGCCTCGATGCCGGCCAAGAAGCGTCGCAATCCGATACCGAATCACCACCCAACACCGGCGGCTTCCACACAGGCGATGTGAACGACGATGAAAAGGAGCTGGTACGTCACCCCGATCAGGTCACAGAGGGGGCGGAGTTGGGTCAGCAGAAGGCTGAGGCGGCGGCTCTCGTCTGGAGCTGGTCGGCGTTGGTCGGCATCTATGCTTGGTGAGTTGGATCATGTCTGCGTGGCATACCGACGATATCTGACGATGATCAATTTCCAGGATCTGGATCTGCTTTTTCATGTTGGCGTTCCACTCGGCGATAAGCACCTACTTGATTAACTATGTTATGGGAAGCTTCAAATCCGCACCGCAGGTTTCAACAGCATACATCCTGGCGAATATCGTCGGTGGCATTCTCAAGCTGCCGATGGGTAAGACTCTAAATCTGTGGGGTCGTGCCGAGGCTCTGGTCGTGTCAACGGGTATCTATCTTCTCGGCATGATTGTGTTAACCGCCTGCAATGGCCCCAATGGATATGCAGCGGGCTATGTGCTTTACTGGATTGGGTACTACTGCATCTACCTGATCCTGGATATCTTTATTGCGGATACCTCCGGTCTGAGGAACCGAGCTTTCGCTTTCGGCTTCATCCAGACGCCTTTCATCGTTACTGCGTTCACTGGTTCACTAGCGGCAAACTCGATCTACCTCAAGTACGGATGGCGGTGGGGATATGGTATTTTCTGCATTGTGATGCCATTCGTGTTCTTGCCTCTGGCTGTGGTGTTCAAGTTCTATGAAAAGAAAGCAAGGAAGCAAGGCATCTTCCGTCGCCAGCCCAGTGGGCGCACTACCATACAGTCCGTCCTGCATTACTTCCATGAGTTTGATGGTATGGGCCCTTGCAACACATTCCGATTATCGATGCTGACGTTTAATCTATAGTCGTTGGTGCTTTCCTACTGATGATTTCCTGGGTCTTGTTCCTCCTGCCATTCAGTCTGGCACAGTACGGACGCTCCCAGTATTCAAGCGCGAGCTTCATCGCTCTCATCGTGATTGGTTTCTGCATGTTCTTTGTCTTCGCTGCATGGGAGAAATGGGGCGCACGAACACACTTCATCCGCTATGAGTTGATCAAGCGACCAACAATTCTCGGCGCATGCCTTCTATCCGCCGTGCTCTTTTTCAGCTTCGAACTCTGGGATCAGTACTTCTACAACTTTATCCTGATGTCCTATAATATCCCAGCAGTCCAAGCAGGATATATGCTCCAGATCTACAATGTCGGCTCCTGCTTCTTCTCCCCCATCATCGGAGCTATCATCTGGGCGACTGCTCGTTTCAAGTACATCTGCCTGTTCTTTGGTGCACCCCTCATGATCCTCGGATCTGGTCTGATGATCTACTTCCGAGGCTCAGAGCACGGTATCGGCTACGTCGTCATGTGTCAGATCTTTATTGCCTTCGCCGGAGGTACCCTGGTGATTGGCGAAGACATGGCTGTCATGGTGGCAGGTGGTCGTGAGGGCACCCCGATGATGCTGGCCATGATCGGACTATTCTCCAACATTGGCGGTGCGATCGGTTTGGCCGTCGGTGCTGCCATCTATAACAACGTCTTTGTCGAGACTCTCGCTTCCCAATTGCCTGACAACTTGAAGGGCAACGCCACTCAAATCTACTTCGACGGTATCGATGTTCAGACAACCTACCCCTGGGGCTCAACCCTCCATACTGCCGTTGCGTATACATGGGGCTATGCCCAGCGCATGAACTGTATTGCATCGACTTGCATTCTGGTTCTAGCCTTCCCTTGCATCATGGTTTGGAAGAACTACAATGTCAACGTGAAGCAAAACAAGGGTCGAATGATTTTTTAGGCGGGCTTTCCATTGCACAGTATACCCGCGTGGGTCGGAAAGTCATGTCTCTTTATTTTCTTTAGAGTATGGTTCGTTCTCTGCCGTATAGAGAAATGTCCACCTTTGACTACCTCTGTTGTAACTATTTCATTGAGCGTGGATGATACCATGGTATATATTCAAAATTGGATCTTATTAGTTTAAGATACTTGAAGCAATGACCGTTTCTCACTCACAAGCAGAGTAAGCCTTTATGAATAGGTATATCTCTTCTCACTCCAATCTGAATACATCCGATTGGCCGGTCCTCGCCACGAGGCGACGGCAAGAAGACCGTGGTGGGGCCGAACTAAACCCGCCATTGGCTTTGGACTCGTACCTCAAGGTCGATTTTGCCTCTGTCCTGCTTCTACCTCTGATTGCATCTTCTGTTGAATTGCATCAATCATGCAACCCTCCGCAGCAATGGATCTGCGCGACTCATTTGGGGACCGGAAGATTCCTGACATCTCGCGAAAGATCACGGCATGTGTTCTGTGCCGCAAGCTGAAGGTGAGAACCATTCAATTATTGCAATATGCAGAGTCGTTGGCTAACTATCTCAGATAAAATGTCACATGAATAACGATAAACCCCCTTGCAATCGCTGCAAATCTCGTGGGCTGTCATGTACTGTCAATAAGAGTCTCCAGATGCTACTGGAAAATGATGTTTTGTATGTGCTCCAGATATCCACCTTATATCTGGAGATTCTAATGGAGGCTATTAGATGGAAGGAGAAAATGGAAGGCCGGATGAGCAGACTCGAGCAGTCCATCATTCAAAGCACGAACCAGCCTCCTAGAATTACTGCCGGGAATGCCGCTCCATGGCAGCAGCCGTTAAGCATCGATAATGCCGAAACAGAGAGAGTCAACATCCAAACTAATCCACAAAACAACAATATCTCTGGCACGATTACATTGAATCTGTCATGCAGTCTTGGAGCATTCCCAGCATCATCAATGGTCAGCCTAACACCAAGCGACATGACGAATTCAGGTCAAACCCCGGATCCAATATCCCGCGAAATCATATCACAAGAAACAGCAGAGAATATGTTCGCGTACTATAAAAGGACCCTTGATCCCTGTATACACCATATCCTCGACGAGAATGAGACCTTGACTGTGATCCGCACTCGCTCTCCTCTCCTTACAACTGCAGTCACCACCGTGGCCGCCTTCTGCAATGGCTCCAAGAACTACAACGCTCTTCTTGAGTTATTCAAAAACCAAGTGTCCGCAAAAATGTTCTCAAATAATCGTTCATTCGACGATGTCCGCGCTCTATGCATTGGAGCTCTATGGCTCAACGAAGTATCCACCGCGCTGAATAGTCTAGGTGAGTACCCCACAATCCCAGATACCGATGTCTACATCTAATGCGCATACACAAAAAGCCGTCCGCATAGCTGCAGAACTAGATCTACACAGATGCATCACCAAAATGCCACATACAAAAAGAGCCTGCTACGACCGCACCAGACTCTACTGGCTCGTCTATATATGCGACCATCACTGCTCCCTCATCCACGGTCGACCGCCCCTAACACGAGATTTCCAATCACTACGAAGACCACGCGATTTCCTACAGAGCTACTTCACCACCCCGTCTGACCTGACGATGATCAGCCAGGTGGAGTTGTGGTCCATCAGCAGCCGTGTCTTCGACATGTTCGGCGCGGATATCGAATGTCACGTTGCTGCACAACGACCGGATGAGCTCGCTCGGTTGAGTATTGCCTATAATCGATGGCGCGAGGAGTGGCTCGGTATGCTTTCCTTCACGAATTCGCCGGCAGGGTTCTCACGTCGCGTCTTCGATCTTCATTATTATTCTGCGACATTATACCTCTTTTCGCATGTTTTCCGAGGATCGCAGTCACAATCACAGTCGCACGCCACCAAACTTCCTACTGGATCTGATACAAACGCGAATACCTTCGTCAACGGCGCGATACGAAGCGCTTTTGCAATAATCCGCTGTATAGTGGACGTGGACGACAACAACAAAAGTCTATGGCTAGAGATGCTCCCACCATACATTGGAACGATGGTCGCATTTGCTTGCGTCTGCTTGGTGAGGGTGTCACGTCAGCAGACACCCCTGGCGTGTGATATGCACGACGAAGATATCCCCGGTTATCTCCATCGACTGGTCCAGGTACTCCGTTTATCACCGGTGATGGATCAACCTGCTCATCCTTTGGTGAGTATTACTCGGAGCTTGGAGACTGCGACTACCACAGCTGGACAGGAGTTTAGTCATGATCCATCGACGTGGAATGAGATCCGGGACTTGGACTTGGACTTGGATTTGGGTGTTTTCGACATCTTTACGAGTGATTCGTTTAATGGTTGTATTGATAATCACGGCGCTTCTTTTTCGGGGTTGTAATGGTATATGAGTTGTCGTCTGATTATCGCATCATACAACATTCTAAAACAACGCCGAAAAGTTCGGAGATCGAGTTTGGAATAGTAGCTCCAAGCCTGTAATCCTGGCTCAAGGCACCAGCAAAACACCGACTCGGCATTTCTGTGCCGAGATCAAACCACCCAACCAATCACACGGAAATAAGAAATTTTGAGGCTTGAAATTGTGGCATTGGCTGTCTTAGCTGCAGGGCCAAGAGGTAACTGGGTAGCCACGAGGTTTGGACGTCATTATTGTTATGCAGCTTGCTTACTCTCGTACCGGAACCTGCCGTTAGCCGAATGCCGGTTGCGGGGATAAGGACTACCTTAACTCTCTCCACATTTATGGAGAAATATGGAGACAAGAAAAGACATCTGTACATGTCAAAAGGGTTATCTCTGAGTCGTTTGACGATATCATCAAAAACAATGTATCTCACGGCATTAAAATTGTGCGAGGCTCGGGCCTCTGAGAACGAGCCCCTAACCGGGATCGATCATGTTGTTCTCCCCCACCCCTTTATGTGTACAGGTAGAAAACTGGTGGTCTCGTATTGATTGCATGTTGTTTATTGGATGATGTGAGGCTGTAGCCTACCTACAATATCCTTGTCTATCCTCCAAATGCACTTCAAGAGCAAAGAGACCTAGTGGACACCCCGTTAGGCTGAAAATCATAGATCCCGTGCAAAATTATCCCAGGAATACTCCGGAATTATGCATGCACCGGCGTTCGGGCTAAACTCCGAAGCTAACGCAGTTCACTTTGAGGATTCCTTTGCTTTCGATTTCTAAACCCCCTCTTCTTATATAATTCTCCGCCTTCCTTTTCTTCTGTTATGTGACGATTCAACATCTCCCTGTCTGCTAGACTAGATCTAAGCATATGTTAAGTGCCCGACCCCAAAAGCAGACCAAGTGAAGCAGGAGAACAGTTTGTAAAGCGTCGATCGAATTCAATTATCGTGACAGCGACGCTTCCTACGTCATGAGCGGGGCGAGTAAGTCTTTCTTCCAAAATATCAAACATCCGTGTCTGGGCACATGGATCTGCGCGAAAGCAAACAAAGGCAAAATCTAAATATGTCATGCAGACACCCCCTCCGTCGAAGGATCGACGCCAAGAGCGAGTTCTCAGGAAATTCACCGAACAGACGATGAAAAGGATATCGTACTCGACCAAACGAAACGAGACTCCGATCTCGAGAGTGGTCCCGCACAAGCCGACGACGAAGAGAAGGCAGATGTCGACCCAAACATTGTCACCTGGGATGGACCAGACGATCCCGAGAACCCACTCAACTGGACATCAAAAAGGAAACTCGGAACAACATGTTCAATTGCCCTGATCACCCTACTCACGTACGTTACCCTCCAATTCAGATCATATATACCCGCTAACCATATCCCCAATAGACCCCTCGGCTCCTCAATGTTCGCACCCGGCGTCCCACGTCTAGTCAAAGACTTCGGAGTAACCAGCACCGAACTCTCATCCTTCGTTGTTTCCGTATACCTACTGGGATATTGTTTCGGGCCTCTGCTACTGGCACCTTTGTCAGAGATGTACGGCCGACAATACCTCTATCATGGCTGCAATATTCTCTATGTCATTTGGACGATTGCTTGCGCCGTTGCGCCGGAGATTGGCAGCCTTATTGTGTTCCGGTTCTTTGCTGGCTTTGCTGGTAGTTGTCCGCTGACTATTGGTGCTGGATCTATTGCCGATATGTTTCCGCAGGAGAAAAGGGGTGGTGCTATGGCGGCTTGGGCTATTGGGCCTTTGATTGGGCCTGTTATAGGACCTATTGGTATGTTGATTTCTCTACTAAGAGGTGTAGCCCTATTGGGAATAGGTTGCTAACATCATGAAGCTGGAGCATTCTTGTCGCAGGCTAAGGGTTGGAGGTGGACTTTCTGGGTTTTGGCTATGGCTGTAAGTTGAGACAGCGCTAATTGACACGAAAGAAACAGGGGATAGTTGATACTGACTTCAACTCTAGAGCGGCGCCATCTCATTCACCTCAATATTCACCATCCGCGAGTCTTATGCACCAACGCTCCTAGCCCGAAAAACAAAGAAACTCCAGAAAGAAACAGGGAACATGAATCTACGCTCAGCCCTCGATAGCGGCCGCACACCACGAGACCTATTCCTCTTCTCAATCGTCCGCCCAACCAAAATGCTCTTCCTCTCACCAATCGTATTTCTCCTCTCTCTCTACGTCGGCGTGGTCTACGGATATCTATATCTGCTATTCACAACTATCACTCCAGTCTTCGAAGAGACCTACGGCTTTTCCCAGGGAATAGTCGGCCTCTCATACCTCGGTATTGGCATTGGGTCAATCTTGGGACTTGTGATCCTAGGAGCCACCTCTGACCGTCTACTAAATTACCTATCTGCCAAGAACGGAGTCAGGAAACCGGAATACCGTCTTCCACCAATGATCCCCGGATCCTTGTTTGTCCCGGCTTCGCTGTTCATGTATGGCTGGTCGGCGTATTATCATACTCACTGGATTGTGCCCATTATTGGGACTTCGTTGCTTGGTGTTGGCATGCTGGTTTCCTTTGTATGTTTCTTCACTCCAGAGGGTTCTTTTTTGCTGTGTCGCTGACTGATAATCTTGCTTCCAGATGACTGTCAGTACCTACTTGGTAGACGCATTCACGATCTACGCTGCCTCCGCCATGGCTGCTAACACGGTTTTCCGCTCACTGGCCGGCGCAATGCTCCCCCTCGCCGGTCCTAAAATGTACCAGGCACTTGGACTTGGGTGGGGAAACTCGCTACTTGGATTCATTGCATTGGCGCTTTGTGTGCTACCTGTCATTTTTTGGCTGTATGGTGAGCGCATAAGAACTAGTAAGCGGTTCCAGGTGGAGTTTTGATTGGGGGAAGAGCATGGATTTGGCGTTTTGATTTGCAGTAAATAGTTAGTCTCTTTCCAGATTTACATAAAAGGCAGCGTATTAGTTACGTTTAACTTAATTGAATAATTTCGATAGCCCTTTCAAATATCCTGGTAGTTTTCACGTAGGGCTTGGGAATAGAAATAATTCATCTCATTCGTCTGGATCTGGGGCATTGTGCTACATTGGTCCCTATGGAAGGTATAGTTCCCTTTTAATATACAAGGCTATTCAGAAATGCCGGCCGGATTTCCGTCCTTTTTGGTACTTTTCGCGCCTATTTTTGCGTGGTATTGATTATGCATTTATGGTTTTTGCTCTATAAATCCATGGAACCATTCCCTTTCCCAAAACGAAAAAGAAAAGATATACGGCTCCTAAATCTGCGTCAAAACCGCCTTTACAGTTTGATCTACATCCTCAAACAGATGCCAATGCCCAACCTTCCTGAGCACCTCAACATGTCCACCTCCCGTAGCCTCTGAGTACTTTTGACAGAGAGCCGGCGAGCTGACTTTGTCCTCTTCGCCAGTAACAAAGGAAACAGGAATACGGAGGCTCTTGACGTCCAACGTCTCACTGGCAGATCCAGCAAGTGCCGCGCAAGCCTTCGCATATCCTTCAGCATCCTGACTCAAAAGTGAAATACGCACCGCAGCGACAGCCAAGGTGTTAGTCTGCTGAACGTAGGTTGAGAGTCCGGCTTGAATGATGGCATCCACAACCCCCAACATACCCTGCTTTCGGACCAAAGCAGCCCGAGCGTAGGAGGCTTGACTTCCTGCCTCCGGAAGGGGACTTGGGGGAGGGCCCATCAGGATAAGCTTGGACACAAGTTCTGGATATTCCAGAGCAAGTTTGAGTGCCACGAGAGAGCCCATTGAATGGGCGATTACGGTAACGCCTTGGTTGACTCCAGCAACTTGTGACATGTGGTAGAAATCCTGCGCAAAGGAGGCTATGGAGATGGTACTGAGGGCTGATGTTGGGGAGAGGCCATGTCCTTCCAGATCTAGAAGATGCAAGGAATGAGTCGGCTGCAGCTTTGCAACAAGAGGATAAAAGTAACTGGTGGATCCGCCCAGTCCATGGATGAAGAAGACCGGAGGACCATCTGCAACACCTAGCCGTTGGTAGAAAAGGTTCTTGCCGTTGATGTTGGTCAATCCCGAGTTGGCGAGTGCCTTCTGGTTAGCAACGGGGATGTGAGATTCAGCGCGCTCGGAGGTGGTGTTGACCGCATCAGAAGCAGCAATCGTATTCTTCAAGGTTCCCAGACCTGTCACAGATATGCTGATCTCATCTCCGGTTTGCAGGAACTTCATGGGTCTAAAACCGAAGCCAACGCCCGCAGGAGTACCAGTGGCGATAACGTCGCCGACTTGTAATGTCTGGCCGGCGCTGATGGTAGCAATAAGCTTAGGTATGCTGAAGATCAATTCACCGAGAGTGGCCTCTTGACGCTTTTCTTGGTTGACAAAGGTCTGTATTGTCAGGTTCTCTGGAAGGCTTTCCTTAGGCACAGCGACAGGGCCCATCGGGCAGAAAGTATCGGGTGATTTGCCGAGGAAAAATTGCTTGTGGTCACGCTGTCGCTCTCGTGCAGTCATGTCATTCACAATAGTATAACCCCAAACGTGGTCCAACGCGTTCTGCTCCGAAATCTGGAAGCCCGACTTGCCAACGATGACGCCGATCTCCCCCTCATAGTCGACTGTACTGGTGAAATTTGAATGGAGCAAAATAGGGTCTCCGGGACCAATGATAGAGGTCGCACGCTTAGTGAAAATTACGGGGTGTGTCGGCTGGTCAATCTTGTCGCTGGCATCGTAGCCAGAGGAGTTAAACTCGCGCGCATGTTCCACGTAGTTCTTCCCAACAGCGAGGATGTCCCGCCCTGAAATTGGAGGCAGATGCTTCACACTCGAAAGAGGCAAAGCTTGCGATCCGGAGGCCGTGATTCCCTTTTCACCAGCTGTGATGACTTGATAGAGATTGGTCAATAGTGTGCCTGATTTGAAGGACAGCGGCGTGATGATCGAGGTTCCAAAGTCGAGGTGGCCGATGCGGGGGCCACTAGACTCCAAATAGGCGATATAGTTGGTAAACATGCTGGGTACTCCGGCCATTTTGAACAGCAAACGCTTGATACAGATGAAACAAACTGGACTATGCCGTTTTGTTTTATAAGTGGCAGGTTCGGTCTCCCCACTATGATTCCCCGCTATTCGTGCTCATCTCCGCGCTTCTCCGACCCGACTCTGATGTCTGGACCGAATTATTTTCATATTTTCGGGGCAAATGCCGGAGAAATGAGGTCTACTCTTGTGCCCAGATGCGCAGCTGCAGCGGAGCCCATTTTGGACTGGCTCCTAGGATATATGTGAGGAAATCACCGACGGAAATGGCAACAAGAAAGCCCAAGAATACCCAGTGCAAGATCCGCAATGTAGCAGGCGCGCGTTTGCTTTTCCCATCGGCGCCAAGTTTCAAGTTGAGATGAGTGAGGTCATACAATACGCAAAAAAGAAAGAAAAACGAGATCGCAGGCAATTTTTCCGAAAACCACAGCGACCGCGTAACATGCTGTCCCAAAGCGGACGTATTTAGCTCCAAATCCACTTACAGCAGTTGCTCGAGTCGCTGCAGATTGTGCCATGAAAAATATGTAATACCTATCGGAGGCACCAGAGAAATCAGCGTTGAGACTTTTGCCCAGGTGTGGGTTGGACAATAAGTGCAATTGCGATCCCTTGGGCTGTCATGTTAGCCCATGTTTCTAATACTTGTGGCATATCATTTAGGCATCAGATGAAAAAAGGGGAAATGACCGGCGCTAGGAGGTAGGAGTGCACGTTTTAATCGGCTAGCTATGCATGTTAAATGCTTCACGCAGACGAGCGGGCACATTTCGCATCCTAATTTGCCGGGCATCTTTATTAACGGAGATTACAACAGCTATGCTAAGTCGCTTTTGATAGATCTCAAATTTTATGGACTAACAGGCTCAAACTTCAGGTAGCAATTATAGTTCGTAATGCTGACCGAAAATTCAGCTATTTTCCGAACAACCCATCCAATTCTTAACCGTGGTTCATCAGTACTGTCTAATAGTCTTCTTCTATTGGTTCAATCGGATATAACAGATTGCCTTTATGGCCGAGCTTGTCTGTAGTCGTCGGAATTAAGCTTGGTCAGAAGATTGGAACCAACGGTTTCCCCACAGATTAAGGCAAAAATTCCAACCAAACTACTTAGTTTCGACTATAAGCTAGCATACAGACCCAATATTTCTTTATATAAGAGAAAAATTGGGTCTTTGCAAGTAACTCCAAAATTGGGGGTTTGAGTGTCGAACATGGGATGACGGAATATGGACCGGCGATCTGGTTTCCAGTAAGCAGCCTTCTTCAATCTGGAGACAATCTGATAATTAGCGCCAGCTCAGATCCAATGAAGACCTTCCCCCAGGCAGTCTCTCCCGCCATTTCCCTCTGTGTTATTCTTTGCTCTTTTGGTATTTTCCAGATTGGGTTAGTCCACTTGTTATATAAGCGTCGAGGCTCTCCGCGCCAATCACACGAGATCATATGTAGGCAGATCCCCCAGAGAAAAGGGCCGAGGTCGGCAGTGTGGGTTTGGCCTGGCTTTTCTTCATCTGTTCGATATTCGGATTACCTTTGGCCCTCTGAATGGCAGCCATCAATGCCATTGCGTCGGAGTCACACAAAATCCAGGAAGGGGTGCTTGGAATGTAAAAGGAGGCATGTTAAGGTCGGTTCCAGCAATGGACTTGCTCTCCTATATCAACTAGTCCCACAACTGCCCGCTATAACGCAACTGTATCCTTTGATATCTGGCCCTGTTGTCTATCAACTGAGTCTCAAGTCTGACATCATCTGCAGTGCGATGAACGCGTTCCAAAATGTACTTTGTGCAGAAAGCGCAAACTGGAGTGCAGCTATCCCCCGTCCAGCAGTGACGGGGACAGTCCCCAACCATCCGTTGCCCCAGACGGAACAGAGAGCTATGTTACAAGGCCGGCGGTAGATCGCCCGTTGCCAACACGTATGCTAGAGACAAGACTGTTTCATCAATATCTCACGTCGACATATCACACTCTATCTCAGGATGGTCTCTCCGCTTACCACCTGTCAATGAGCATCCCTCGCATGGCATCTTCATTCCCATACCTCCTCGACAGCCTTCTTGCACTCTCGGCTTTACATCTTGCTTCTGTGGAGGATGAGAACCGAGCTTCATGGCTGGATACTGCCTTGAACTACCAGGGCCAAGCATGCTCTGGGTTGGGTAAAGTTATTTCAGACCTCTCTCCGCCAGATTATGAGCCAGCATTTGTGGCTTTCATCTTTATTCTTATCCTCGCCATGGGACTCAAAGCTATATCCATCCACAGTCAACCACCGGACCCTGTCTCGGTGGTGCTCGAAGTTCGAAACTTGATATCTGGGCCAGCTATGATTTCCTCCCGAATCCACGAAGCTGGAGGTGGTAGCCAGCTAGAAGGGTGGTTGTGTGCACCTGAAACACAGGAAAGTCTGGAGGCCGGAGAACATTCCCAGTATGAGGTTCTTTTTCATGAGTTCGCTCGGTGAATCATTCCAAACTAACGCAACACAGTGGCAGTGCCCCTGAAGAAGATAACAAGAAACTCTTCCGTCTTCATGGGTATGATTCAAGCGTACGCAGCGTGTGGGGAGTAAGTAGCTGACACTCATACCAGAAACATTGTCGCATCACTCAACCAACTACTATCCACCATTGATACGAAAGAAGACTCGAAGAAAGATACCTATCGAGGCACATGGCAGCTTCTGTATCAGGCCATCGAGCCATGGCCAAAAATTGGAGCGCAGGGAGGTGTTATTGCATGGCCCCTGTTCCTCAGCGACGAGTTTTGCTCACTTCTTCAAAACGGCGAGTGGATGGCTCGCATTTTATTTCTTCATTATGGTCTTGCTATGCGTCTTATGTGTAATCGTTGGTACGTGCGTGACTGGGGTCGTCGGCTGGTCATGGCCACTTTGGAACCGCTGGTCGAGATTCCTCAGGAGTGGAATGATACTATCGCGTGGATTGGAAAGGCGGCCCAGGGCGATGATTAATAATTTTACCAATGTAACTTCTTCCCTATCTGTCTCGAGGATTACGGGGAATGTTCCATTCCGCTAGTTAGTAAAGGTGAAAACAGACAAAAAAGTCCTCGGAGTAGCCGATTATATTTCCATATGACGGAAGCAAACGCCGAGTTGAACATCTGAGGCTCTGGCGCCCCTTATCAGCGGGGTCACGTTGAGTAGATATCGCCCCTTGACCGCGAAACTTTACAGAAGGTCGTGCCGATTTAATCAAAGTTCACTCCTTTGAATCTGTAGCTCCTGTATTAGACGCTTAATTTGGAAATCGCCGCCGAACCAACAAGAAATCCGAACAAATCAGGGGTATCCTCCGAGACTGACATGCAACCCCCCTGCGAGATCAGCGGGCAAGATGTGGAGAAGCAGGTAAATAACTCTCTTTTCCCCTATCGAAGCTGCGTTTCCCCTCACTCTCTAAGGAACTTATATATTTATGATATGTCGTCGTAGCCTTGGCTGGTCTCGCCAGCCACTTCTGCAAGAATAAATATTGCGCAGCATCCCTTGCAGCGGAGAAATCGGTCGAAGATCCTTGAGACCATGCTGCAGCCGATGAGACTCGGCCTTTTGGCGATTCTGTCGCTGCTTTTGGTTGTGACGCATTTACCTAGAGTATCCACATCTCCATTGGAGTTTTCCGAACAAGATCATGGATCCCACGGCCATATCGCTCCTGGGAAGCTGGGAGCTGTTGCTAGCGAGAGTTCGATATGTTCGAAGCATGGAACTGATATTCTGAAGATGGGAGGAAATGCTGCTGATGCTGTGGGTGTATTCGGGCCGAGAGCCAATGTGGACTTGGTGGACTATTGCTGATAAATTGGGCAGTTGGTTGCAACTGAATTCTGTATCGGCGTTATTGGTGAGTCAGGACAGCCAAATAGCCGTCCGCAGAAAGGCATAGCTAACGGCTGCAGGAATGTACCATAGTGGAATTGGCGGAGGTGGTTTCATGCTCGTGAAGTCACCAAATGGCACCTATGAGTTTATCGATTTCCGAGAGACAGCTCCTGCGGCAGCTTTTGAGGACATGTATAAAAATAATGAGGACGCGTCTATCTATGGCGGACTAGCCAGGTAAGAACACAAGTCTGAGCATGGAAATGGGTGACGCTAACAGCTCTATTAGTGGAGTGCCAGGTGAAGTCCGAGGCCTCGAGTACCTCCACAAGAATTACGGTTCCCTTCCGTGGTCTACAGTCCTACAACCCGCTATCCGCACTGCACGCGAAGGCTTCCCCGTTACAGCAGACCTGGTCAAATATATGAAGTCCGCCGTCGGCGATGGAGAAGACTTCTTATCCAAAAAACCGACATGGGCAATTGACTTCGCTCCGAATGGAACCAGACTCGGACTCGGTGATACAATTACTCGTCGCCGGTATGCGGATACTCTCGAGGCCATTGCAGAGCGTGGTCCGGATGCATTTTACACAGGATCTATTGCCGAGACTATGATCAATGCGCTGCAGAATGAGAATGGGACAATGACGCTGGATGATTTGAGCAATTATACTGTTGCTATTCGCAATATCTCACAGATTGACTACCGTGGGTATAAGGTTACCAGTACCTCTGCCCCGTCTAGTGGTAATGTCGCTATGAGTATCCTGAAGATTCTGGGGACATATAAGGATTTCTTCGCGACTGAAGAGGATGTTCACTTGAGCACTCATCGGATGGATGAGGCGATGCGATTTGGATACGGAGAGGTAGGCTGTCTTGTTCTCCTCTCTTGAGCGGTTGAATATCACTAACAAAAAATGCAGAGATCTAAATTGGGCGATCCCTTGTTTGTTGATGGTATGGCCGAATACGAAACGGAGATGCTTGACCAGTCTACGATCGACGATATTAGGTCAAGAATCTCGGATGTTCGAACCCAGAATGTGTCTGCTTATGATCCGGCTGGAATTGAAAGCCTGGATACGTACGTTCCACACTTCGCATATGATGCTCTGACTGTTGACTAACATCACACTTCAGACCTGGAACTTCTCACATCGTCGCCGCAGACCACACCGGTCTCGCAATCTCAGTCATTACAACAATCAACCTCTTGTTCGGCAGTCATGTCATGGTTCCAGAAACTGGTATTATAATGAACGACGAGATGAACGGTAACTCAAAAGCCAACGGTTACAAAAAAGGAACTCGGCTAATCCTCTATAGACTTTTCCATCCCCGGCTCATCAAACCAGTTTGGATATATCCCATCTGTCGCAAACTATGTCCGACCCGGGAAACGCCCCCTTTCTTCCATCACACCGGCGATAGTCACTCGCCCTGATGGCACTCTCTTTTTGATTGCCGGATCCGCAGGAGGCAGCCGCATCATCACTGCCACCGTGCAGAGCATCATCCACTCCATCGATCAAGGCCTCTCGGCTGCCCAATCTTTGGCCAAGCCTCGCTTGCATGATCAACTGGTGCCCAACCAGGTCAGCTTTGAGTACACTTATAACAACGATACGGTGGCCTTCATGAAGGCCCGAGGACACAATGTCACTTGGGTTGCTCCCGGTCAGAGCACTGCTCAACTCATCCGCGTCTTGCCTAATGGTACATTTGATGCGGCTGGTGAGCCGAGACAGCTTAATTCGGCTGGATACTCTGTTTAGACGGTTGTCTGCTGTACATGTTGGTTATAGATTGCCATGTATATACCATGTGAAGTGCACGTATTCATTGTGATAAGCACGAGAAATAGAAACAAGCGGTAAATATTATCCATCAAGATCCATCAACTTCATAATAGAAAAAATGCAGTGTGGAATGTCTCCAGCATCAACTTATAGATTTGTTGATCGGGTGGCCTGTGCTCTCAGTAGCTTGCCTTTCTTTAACCATACATCTACAATTTCTCATTATTCCCTCCTTTCTCTTTTTTGTTGAATGCTACGCGAGCTACTTCTGGTCCGTATCTGTCCCTCATTTATGTTTATCTCAGTATCAATCTGTCTCCCAGCAGCTCACGTCGCGTCCCTACCTAAACTCAATCCCCGCGTCTCCGCATTTGACAAACAGCTTCCGACATTTCAAAAAAATAAGAAAAGAAAAAGCAGCGCATTTGGTCTCAAGTGCCTTGCAGGTTGCTGAAACTCTTCTCCTGCCCACCAAAACTTCCATTGACCGGTTTGATTGCACAATTCCAACAAATAAACCGCTACCGCAGCGACATATCTCCAAACCTCGACAGCTTCCCATCTTAGACAAATATCTCGAATCTGGGCTCGCCATTCTTCTTATCCCAGAATGGGGAGGTCGAGCAATATTTCTGTCGTTGTTCCCTCTCCCTCGCCTCATATCACCCCTTTCAAGTCCTTCAACGACGACCTCTTCGACCGAACCATCGATACCATCCTCTCCGCAGAAGCAAGCCTCGAAGGTTCCCGTGCGGAAGGCGAAGCTATGGATGCTTCCACTACGCCTAGTCTTTTTGGGAAAGGCAGCTTGCACGACTCGCTGGCACTTTCTCCTCGCCGTGCTCGAAGCACCGAAACCAAGTCTTCGCATTTTCCTACTCCCTCACTGACACCTGTCACTGCCACTACCTCCATCTCCGAGGTTAAGTCAAAGGACTCCCCGAAAATAAAAAGCGCTCTGGCAACGATGGACTTCGGTAAAGATGCCAAGAAAGAGTCCAAGAAAGCCACTCGCAAACATTCCAGCAAAGTCCCCAACGAAGACTCTACAGATGGCATGGGCCTAGACAAAACCATACAGGGGCCTGAACAAGCCCTCGATCTGACTCTTGCTGAAGAAACCGAGGAGTCGCCCGAAGAGAAGATCTTCGCCTTGGTGAGTCCAGACAAGCAGATGTCGGTGCTTCAATTCATTGCTTCCCACGCTTTTATGACTACGGAGGTTCAGCCTATCCTACGTTCAGCCAGGCGCCAATTCACCGACCAGGTACGAAATGTGGCTTTCGCAGCCACAATGAACAATGGATCTGTCGATGCCTTGCTGGAGTTCGTGCGAAAGACTTATCTTGAAGAGCGTAATATCGTGGCGGCAGATGATGCTGGTTCTGCCTTTGGCGATGAAATCGATGATGAAGAGAAACAACCTCCGAAACCTTCACACAAGAAGCGATCAAGCCTCAGCCGTCAGACCGTGAGAGCAACGGCACTCTTGAAAATCTCTGAGCAAAAGGATGATACCCTGGATCCGAAGAAACACAAGAGGCGTCACTCCTCAGAACGTGCAACGCGCCACGGTCATAGTAAGGCCGCGAGCATCTTGGATCTCTCTGGCGCCAAAGGTGGCGCTGGGTTTACTGGGCTTAAGAAGCGCAAGAGGCGCCACTCTGAAAGCGCAACACAGCATGCTCACGATGAGGCTGGGATCAAGAAGGTCCGACACTCGGAGACTGCCAGGACTATTCCTGACGCTGCGATGGCGATGGACTGCGTGGATATTTCTGGCACTGAAGAAGTTCCTAAAGGAATGGAGCCGAAGACGCACAAGAAGCGAGACTCTGTCAGTGCACGACAGCATAGCCATAAGGGCGGAGTCAAATCCGACGGGAGCGGTGAGGTACCTTCTCATGAAATTTCGCCAGGTGCATTCAAGCATTCTGTTTCCATACCTCCTCCTTCTGAACCTGCCAAATCGAAGAAATCGAACAGAGAGAAAAACAGAAAGAAGTACGTTCGGAGAAAACAGCGTAGGCTTGAAAACCGCCTCCGTTTGAGTGGACACCAACCGGATATCTCCGCTGAACACCCAGTCCAGCAAATGACTTCGCCCATCCGGCAATCAAGCTCTCGCCAGAATCCCAGCGAAGGACAGAGCCCTGCTCATCCTCCACTACCCACTGACCCAAATCTGTGGGACTTGGATTTTTGAAGACCAATGATTTGCCAGGCGTGACTGCTGGCGATGAGGTTAAGTCCAAGTATTTCTTACAGGCCACAACTCCTGAAAGCGAACTGGAAACTCCCACTTCGCTGTACAATATGTCTGTTCCCCCTGAAGCCTGGCAACTTCTCGTGGAGTTCAACTTGTCTCCAGATTTCTTGTCAGATTCTTCTTTGAGTGATGCTCCAAGTGACTTTGATTGGGATGAGCCTGATCTAACACCACTACTTCCTGTCATATCATTTCCCCCGAAGAGCCCCCCTTGTATCCCACTGTCCACGAACGAGAATCCCCAAACTCCTGTGAAAGGTACATCCTTACACATCCCAGAGCCGAACAAAGCACCCCGAATCAAATCCCCAAAGCTGTCTCCTTATTTTCCAAAGGTATTGGCCGATGCGGAATCCTGTCTGCCATTCCCGCCAATCGATGTCCCATCTTTCGGGCTCATTCAAGAACAGCTTGCACACGACCCTTTCCGATTACTCATTGCAACCATTTTTCTGAATCGCACACGGGGCGGAGTTGCCTTACCAGTGCTGTTCAAGGTCTTTGACCACTACCCAACAATTGAGGCCATAGCAGCAGCAGACGAGTCAGAATTTGTGTCGATGATCCGTTGTTTAGGCTTCCAAAACCAGCGCGCAAGGAAGTGCATTGCACTCGCAGAAACATGGCTCACGAACCCCCCACATAAAAACAAAAGATATCGCAAACTTCACTATCCGCGCAAACTGGACGGCCGGGATGTTGGCCGCGACGAATGCATCAACGAAGAAGACCTCCGAGTTGCCTGGGAAATTGCGCATTTACCTGGAGTTGGAGCCTATTCCCTTGACAGCTGGCGCATTTTCTGCCGCGATGAATTGCGCGACAAGGCCTCTGACTGGCGGGGAACCGGTGCAACGGAGGTAGGATTTGTGGCTGAGTGGAAATGTGTTTTGCCGCAAGATAAAGAGCTACGTGCGTATCTGTCATGGATGTGGCTCAAGGAAGGTTGGATCTGGGATCACAATACGGGCGATTTGACGCCTGCCAGTGACAAGATGATGAGGGCTGCTCATAGTGGAGGAGTTGCTCATGAGGAAGATGGCAATTGGGTGCTTGAGACCTCCCCCGTCAAGGCTGTGAATGGATTGCATGGATCAGAATAATCCCTTTTGTACAAGATACCCCGAATAAAGTACCATATTGACCTGTGAGCACTATATACATCCTTGTAGACATCAACTAGGTGCTGTGTTCCCCGAGGTTCAGCTGGCTATATCAGGCTTCCATGCAGTTCAACCACGTCAGTTGAGCGGGGGCCGAGATTGTCGGTCTGTTCACCGCATCGCTTTTTTCCCCATCTCGTACATCTTGTACCTGCGCGAGCTTATTCTTCTCCAAAATGCCCGAAATCCGAAACGGTCACATACGTTGATCATAAGACTCTAAACCAGTCAGAGCCGCAGGGTTTAAGCGCGTTGACAAAAATAGCCAAATTCCCTGCCAAGGGAGAGGTAAACGACCTCGAACTAGCGGGACGAAGGATCCACTACACAATTTCGAGTCCGCCATGTTTCCTGTTAGACTAAACCGCGACGATAGGAAGAAGACGACGACAACAAAGAAAGGCCTGACCCGCCCATCAACCAAGGGTCGTGACTCCGATACGGCCCGTTCCTCCCAACGCCGGTCCTCCATGCCAGGCCTCGATAGTCGGTCGGGCACTGCCTCGTTCCTCGAATCGAGGTCGAGTCTGCCATATCCCAACTTCTCCAAGGCCCACAGCAAAGAAGATGTCCGCAAGGCCAATATCCCCACGCCAGACCCAACCGATTTGACCGAACGCGATAACGAGAAGACAAACCACCGCACCGAGAACCACCATGCGCCCCCCAGTCCACCGCTGACCGGACTCGACCAGGAATCCTCGCGGAAGGGGAGTGTGGTTAACGACGACGAGAAGGAGACGGAGAAGGCCAAGGCGAAGAAAACAAATATCAAAATCCGGACGGAGGTCAACAGATCCTCGTCAAGTCTGCGGTCGAAGAAGGATGACACCGTCAGGTCCAAGTCGAGCAAGACGTCCCGAACAGAGACACCTTCGAAACCCAGAACGTCGACGTCCAAGGATGAAAAGGAATCTCCGCCTCGGTCGTCGAGTCACAAGTCCAAGACGAAAAGCTCCGATGAGAAGAAGCTGCCCAAGCGCTCCAGTCGCTCAACGATGTCAGCCTCGCAGTCCAACCTGACAGTCCGTGATATCGACGCCGAGTCGATCTCTGATGCGACCTCCATTGCTCCCAACCAGCAGTACTCAGCCCCGCGAAAGCCCTCGACCCCACCGACGAAGCCGCCCTCTCGCACGCAGAACCGATCGGCCATGTCCCACCGCCATACCCCCAGCGACGAGTCGATTGATTACGTGAAACCAATGAACCCAGGCGCATTCGGCGGGCCCCCGCCGCCCCCACCTCCGCCGCAAATGCCGGTCTCGATCCCTCGAGTCGATTACCTGCTGAAGAATGGTGGACTGGAACACAAAGTGTCGAGAGCGCTGCTTGCTGGTCTCGGCCAGTCTGATCCGTTCTCGCATGGTCAGAGTCACTCCCAGCTGGTGGCTGGCAAAATCTTCGACCCCTACAACCGTTTACTGGATGATTACCAAAAGGTAATGAGCAAGAATGGGTCTCTTGCCGTGGCTACAGGTTATCGATCCGTTGCCCGGCGGTTGCTGGATCGGCTGGAAGCTGTTTTCGCGCGCGATATCTCGTCGGAGCCGTGCAACTGCCAAATCTGCGAGAATGAGGGTACCGAGAATCGACCTGATGGCGTAAGCTGGGGAGAGGTTCTTGAACTTGTGTCTGGCCGCAGAGAGCTTCCCATGTGGCCCCCATTTATGATGGCACCTGCAGCCGTGGAGACTGCGCCAGGCGACGAGCACATCCCAATGCAGAAGCTGGATGTGGATGTCCCCGAGGAGTACCGCGAACACTTCATGCGACAATCTCGAAAGACCAAAGTCGCCGTCGACAAGTGGTTGTCTGAACAGACTGACTCCGTGACAAGTGCGCCACAGGAGGTCGACGACGAGACCTTGACCTTTGCCATGCTCACACATCTCGAATCTCACCAGCGCTCCTTGTTCTGTTCATTGCTCGGCATTAATTCAGCTACACCTGTACCCCGATCCGACGACGAAAAGCCGCGTCCAAAACCCTCGGCGCTTGTCTCGTCGGCGTCTGCCATTCAGCGCCTGTACAGACTGGCTTCTCTCCCCCGCGACCCAGAAACCGCCATGTATATGTTAAATAACCCCAGCATCCACCACGTTCTCGCCACCCTATCCGCAATCAGTGACGATGAATGGGAAATCCTCATTTCGGGCCGATTCGACGGGTTCCTCCGTAGCGGCGCAGAAGATACCTCCGCCAACGCCACAGGCTCTCGCTGGAGCGGCAGCCGCTCCAACACACCCCTAAACGGCGGTGGAATCTCCCGAGGGCCAACACCAAACTACATGGACGGCAGCTTCCGACCTTCCAGCCAACCCAACGGAGCCCCCACATCTCCAGCCTCATTCGGCGGCCCCATCGCCCTAGACGAGGAAACCGAAATCGCAGCCCTAGCCGAAGTCGAGCGCGACATCTTCCTCGGCATGGAAGCGCTAGAAGACGCCTTTGAGGCCCTCCACTGCAAAGCCGAAGTCGTGCGTCGCGCCCTCCGCGAACGAGGCGCCGGCCTCTCAGTTGCCAACCAAAGTCGCCGCGGCTCCTACGTCGAAGCACGCATGGGAACACCCTTCTCCGGCGTCGGCACGTGGGAAAGCGGCGGTGAAGATGACTTCCTCGATGACGACCGCTCTCTCGCGCCAGACGACTCGGCTAGTAACATCAGCTCGAACCGTCGCCGTCGACCGAAGAGACGCACCGAGCGACGTACGCCTGCGCCTGTGGAGGAAGAGGATGAGGAAGATGATATGGTCGGTCGTCGGGATACGCGCAACTCGCGCCGGAGGTAGAGGGGCACTGATTTCATTTTATGTGCCCTTTGCTCTACTCTACTCTCTGGTCTGATCTGCTCTGGTCTGCTCTGCTTTACATACAGCATCAAAATCTTTGACGGGCTCCTTTTAAGATAGCATGGGGAATGGATATGTTCTTGTCGTCGCGTGCAATGGCTTGACGAACTCACGATACCCACCTTGTCATCTTGGATCTTTACCTAGGGTTTGTTTCTTCTTCTTTCACTTGTGTTTCTGCATTTGCATCCTTCTATTTCCTTTCTTTTCCGTTCTTTTCTTTCACTTCGGACTTACCAGTCCCCTTTTCTATTTTTGATTGGTTACGATTGATGAGTGCTATGAAGCTTCCCGGCCTCTGATGGCGTGGGCTATGATACAAGACTGATTTAGCATCATGCAGCGGTTTTATTTTATATCTTGTTTGATATGTTGTACTGTACTATGGAATACAAATGGTCAATGACAATGTGATTGATTGTCATTGGAATCTTCCTTCTCACGTTGTGTTTTTTCCCTCTTCGATATTTTTATAAGTCAAGTCTGTCTCCAGCCCCATGACTCGGGGTACAGGAACGACACTGTCATCCCCAGACGAGCCTCCTCGTCGGGGAGATTGAGATTGAAGGGCCATTGTGGAGTGGGCTTCAATTTGCCCTTGAAATTCACACATCCACTGCATTTTCCACTAAATAGTCCTAAATGGGGCGGTGTCTTCTCGCTAGGCCCGTTCAGAGACAAGTTTCTCATTTAGTTAGCACTGGGCTTGATGTCATGTTGTTCGGCCGATAGGTATGATTCACTTACGCTCGCGAAACATCTGGTAAAATTGCCATGGATGGAGGTGAAAGCGTTTAGTGTTGAGGATTGCGAACGCAGCGGACCAACTTGGAGTATATTGAAGACCCATCACATAACTTCAGCTTTCGTTTACAGTAGCGACTAGGATAGAATCTCATACTGGATACATGTGTGTTTCTATATAACTTACATGTATCAAGACAGTGGACTGTAAACTAGAATGCTGTCCTTTCAACCCCTGATTCAGTCCTGCTGGAGGTGGAATATGGCGAGTCATGTTGTGGAACTAAGAAGAAGCACGAACCAGGCCGTCCAATGCCCTCAAATCCAGTTCCAGCTCTTAACATGCCTCTACTTGAGTCAGGAACTGTTCAACCTACAATGCAGTCCCTTCTGCCATAGACAGCCGAGACCATCAACTGGCGTCTACGCGTCTACATACATGTACATATGCACTCTTGACATGAACCTGCATATCCGACCCACAAAAACTACATACACTCGGCAAAATTAGCCACCGACAATGTACTATACCTGCAGAGATTTACAGTGCTGACATGGTGGCCAAGCTAGAGATTTTGATAATCCATCCCAGCCGTTCAATGGTGGGCTTATAGATATTGCTTTTTTCTCACGAACGTCATACAGCAATAGAACATTCTACTTCGGAAAACATGTGCTTCTTCTCCTATTCTGATACAGTATCAAAATAGAAATCACATGCCAGGCACAGTCCAATGCATTACCTTAACCCAAGTAAGAAGTTCCACTGTAGCTGATCCTATCCACATACCCACAACGGCGTTCGCGCGGAAGTGTCATCAGTAAATCCGACAGTATCTGTTCAGGATCAACAAACTACACGTATTCACATGCTCGTCAAGTGGGTACATGTACATGTGCATGTTCGTGACGACGTTCATTATCAGTGCTCAGCTGCCAAGGGTGAAAGATCTACGGACGTACCAGATGCCTGGGCCATGAGCCATCCAATATCCAGGAACTTGTATCCAGGGGCAAAGTACGGAGAGCGTACGGACCCAACAATCTCTATTTATGTATTTTATTTTTTTTAATTTACTGCCAGTACGCTACTGTACATCCATGCCATGACAAGTGGGTATTCAGCCTAAAATGGCATATGTACATGTACATGTACCCCGGAGTACATCTGGATTCCAAATTGTATCGCAATAATGCAATGAAGAAACGTAAATAACGCGACTATTGGCGATCACATGGGACACGGGCCAGAATGAGAAGCACAGTTGCATCGACCGTATCGCTTAATCCAATAGTCGCTGCGTGCCGTTACCGCTCCGATGGCAAATCTCCGTGCCGGCTCGCAGATCATCGTTTATTGCGGGCTGAGGAGGTGTGGCTTGTGCATGTGCTCGTGCTTGTGAGAACAAACTCATAGGCTATTGATTATTGAAGTCACAGGGTGTGATTTTAGGTAACATGATATTCAAACTAACGATTTGAAGGTGTGATGATACGTTCATTAGGCAAATGCGGAGATCTTGTTGGTTTTATTATACATATTTCGCAACTCTAGAGCACATTAGATCCAGATCGTCACGTCTCCCCCTATCGTAACCAGATCGATCCTCAATTATGAGGGGATATGTGCGTGCGCGCGGCTGGTAAAGCAGACTAAGGGAGCTTGGACTATCCAGCGTAGTGGGTGAGTGGTGGGTGGACATTCCGCGGAGTGGTTGCTTGGTACACTATGTACACGGATTACTTGGCGAGTCTGGCGAGTCTGGCGATTCTCGCGGTCAGTGGCGATTAAGTTGACATTTGAGGATGATTCTGGGATAGACATCGGGGATTGAAAACAGGAAGGCTCAAGAAGAGGCTTAAAATAACTTTATCGGATGTCTCAAAATTGCACAGCATTGCCTTATACAGTACGGACTACATGTAGAATTTGTCAGATGCCTAGACAAATCTTGAGTGGGACTGGCAAATCGACCGGTTCGTTACCCGGTGCAGTCCCGTCGGGGGAAGGTTCAGGCTAAATGTAGGTTTGAATGCAAATGTTTGCAAGAATAGAATATGTTGAACATGTCGAATTTCCCTAATGCCTGACAAGGTCTCGGCGAGACTCCAAGCTTTACCATGCCTTGCCATGCAAGTGCTTAAAAACTTGGAGCCTTGGCCTATGTTAGACACTTCCCTCTACTAAAGGAAATTGCCAGTGGATCATGACGAGCGGGGCAAACAGAATGAGGCAGGTGAGGGAGATCTAAAGACGGCTTGCGCTGCAAGACACGGCCGTAAGGTTTCACATGTATATGGTTTTAACGCCGTCCATAGTCGCGCATACATGTACATGTACTTGTACATACTTGATCTGGAGATCAGAATCATATTTCAGATGGCATGCAATAGTCAAGTCGGATCCTTCCGGTATACCCCTGAGATCGAGTATCCGAGACATCAATATCTACGCGGTACAGACAGTCCCGCTCGGGCGTAAATCCCTTCTCAGCGGCTGTCCGAGTCCCCCACGATCGCTGCTAGCGGCTCTAAAACAGACGGTGTGTGGTGCGCGTATTCATTGAATCCATTGTCTCCTTGCCGATCGTCACCCGGTTGGTAAGCAAACTCCACTGCACGCTAGTCAGAATTTTTGAACATTGGCCTCCTTCCCAGATCTCAGACATCAAGAAAGGGGTAACAAAGAACTGCAGTCCCCACCAACCTGCAGCTTCCACATGGCTGCACCTTTGTTCCCTGGTACAGTTGTTTTCTTTAGGGCATTGCCCACACATGGAACCCCTGCGCGGGCCTGTTTCAAAGGGAAAACCTGTGTGTGTTCGGTCGGCTCCCGTTTGACTCCATGCTGTGGGGTTTCGGAAATAATACAGCGGCGTGGTTGGAAAGTCTCTAGTGGATCGAAGCTTATACTGGCCCAATCGCACGGCTACCAGGCTACTGTAACTCCCGCTATTGCTAAATAATCCTCTTGTTCCATGATCGACACTGGGGAGACATCAGCATGGTACTTCGAAGGTTTTCTAGGCTTTTTACTTTGCCGGTAACCGGATATGGAGGATTCGTGCGGGGTGAATGCTTCTCCAACCAGGCCCCCTTGTTGCCAGCTGCGTTCTATTAACTGTTTGAATGATAATACTCGAACTAGCCCGGCTGGAAGTCTTCCTACGAACGCCATGGAGCTTTCCAGGAAAGAGCCCGTGGGCTTAGACCCAGCCTCGTGTAGATGCAACCAAGGTTATACATTGAACACAACGAATGCATTGGTCTTTCCTTCCCGCTAGTGTTCCAGAAGCATTCCCCTGCAGCGGAAAAACTGTACGGCGGTCCGAGTTTTAAACCCCCCCCTGTCAATGAACTCACGCTAAGACCTTTTGTATGGCGGAGGACACGGAGAACGTGGTGTACAAGGATGGATTTTTGCGCCACTGTCCTCAAAAATGGGGAAACTCATCCTTCTACTGTATGCAACGCGGTTAACAGTCAGCCTATCCCCTTAGTACCTTTGTAGGCTGCACAATAGTATGTCTTGGCCGTTCGGGTGGGTAAATACATGTACAGCCATCTAAGCTAAAAACCTTGACGTCCTTTGATTCGGCTGCTCGTGGCAAAGTTGTAACCCCTTACCCACTTCGCCCGATACTCTGGGAGGGGCAAAGGTGGCCTAGAGTGGAGTCATTTCAATGATATGACTATGGGCCGTGAAGAAGTACTATGGAGATCACTGGCTCTCTCGGGTCGTCCCCATTTTTCACCGGAGATGATCCCAAAAGATAGTCAAACCTGGAACTTATCATCGTGGAGAATTCAGCCGTTTACAGAAAAAAAGGCCTGATTGATTTCTTCCTCATTCTTCTGTCCTGGCCTATCAATTTTAGAGTTCGATCAGCTGGCAGTAGTGTGGCTGCTGCTTCTATTATCCCCTTGGCCCTCGATCCTTTAATACTTCCGTCTGTGGTTTCTGCACCCCGGTTTTCGTCCTTGTCCTTCCTTCTTTGCTGCTGCCACATGTGGGAGCTATAGCGTTTCATCTCGATTTTTCCGATCAGTCCGAATCGGTGCACGCCTTGTATACCCTCCTTTTTGTTCAAACTTGGCCTTTATTCGACAAAGCGCGCCCCCTCGACGAAGCCATCATTGCATAAAATTTGGCTCAGTTAATTAGGTGACGATAACCGATTTGACGAACAACAAAGCATCCAAAGATGCCTTCGCTCATCCTCGCGGGCCTGATGCCCAGAGGCAACTCCGGGGACTTGGTGGCTCGATTGAACAACTCGGCGGAACTTGATATTGATCCTCTCCCGTTAATTCAGCGAGAAGGTCTAATAGCAATCTCGATCATGGCTTTCTTGTCGCTCATTGCAACTGCCACTCTCCTCGCTTTCATCACCTTTCGACTCATTTTCTGGCGTTCAAGCTACCAACGATACATCGGTTACAACCAATACGTCATTCTCATCTATAACCTGATCTTGGCCGATTTCCAACAAGCACTCGCTTTCATTATCAATCTACGATGGATCCTCACGGACAAAATCGAGTCCGGTACGCCTGCTTGTTTCTTACAGGGATTCTGGCTGCAGGTTGGAGACCCCGGCTCCGGTCTTTTCGTGCTCGCCATTGCCTTCCACACTTTCCTTTTGGTCGTATGGGGAAAGAAGATGTCCCACAAAGCCTTTGTCTCATTCGTTGTCGGTATCTGGATCTTCATCGCCTTGATTGTCATCATTCCACTGGGTATGTATGGCGCCGACGTGTTCGTGCCTTCGGGTGCGTGGTGCTGGATTAACGAGGAGTATGAGACGACCCGTCTGTGGACTCACTATATCTGGATTTTCCTGGCTGAGTTCGGCTCCGTCGCCCTCTACGCCGTCATGTTCTTCCAGCTGCGCCGACAGATCAAGGCCTCCGCCATTCTGGGTAACAGCCAGCTGGAGAGTTTCAAGCGTCTGCGTCGTGTGGTCGGATACATGACCATCTACCCCATCGTTTACATCGTTTTGTCTCTTCCTCTCGCAGCTGGTCGTATGGCCACTGCTAATGGAAATCCACCAAACGTCACCTTCTTCTGTTGTGCTGGTGCCATCATCACCAGCTCTGGTCTGGTCGATGTGGTCCTGTACACTCTGACCCGTCGCAACCTGATTATCGACTCCGAGCCGAGTCACGACCGCTCCTACAACAAGTTTGCCAGCAGCAAGGGTCGCAAGGGTGACACCCACCTTACCACCATCACTGCCGAGCCTTCCAAACGTAAGATGGGCGGCACCATCAACGACGACATGGACCAACGTGACGGCTCAACAGACAACATCGTTCAGCCCGGCAACCACGAAATGGCTCCCATCGGAAAGGTGTACCAAGAAACCACCATCGAGATCACCCACGAGCCAGCCTACCCCGACGAGGGCGAAAGCTCTCGCTCCAGCAAGGACGGCTTCGGTGAAGTGTCGGCTCACGGCTGGCGGCGATGAACATCTTTTCATGACACATGAGGCATTTGAATTCCTGCCACCACTTATATTTTCCGGTGGCATCCTACCTCGATACTTTCCTTTCGAAATTCCCTATTATACCTATATTTCTTTCTAGTCACGACTCTGCCACTCCCTATTTATGTCCCCTTTACTCTTTTCATCCGATATCTCATTCTTCTATGTCTCCGACCTTACTCTTGATATTCTCTTCATGACGGAACTTTGTATATATTCTTGAAAGAACAGACCTCCCTTACTAGAAGGTCGCTGTGATTCCCATGAGCAGTTAGTGCTTTTGAATTTGAAGATCTATGAATACTTCTCAACAGATTCTAACTACGTGATTTAAAGTTAAACCTCGCGGCTAGTTCTCAGTGCAGTCGGAATCTGAATGTGATGTCTTCGATGCAAGCTTCGTGACGGAGGTGGCGCTTGAAGGATGACTATTACTTAATACGACAATCACGGCGACGCCGAGACTGCACGACGCAGCAATTTTGGCAATACCTTACTCGGCATCCCTGAGGATACTGTTAATGTTGTCACCTATCGAACCAGCATACTCCTACGGATATAAGCGCCAGCACCCAGAGCTGAAGAACCCATTTAGCCCAGAGACTTCCCTCACAGCTCGAAAATTCGACCCGTGGCTACAGTACCAGGCGATCATGTAGTTGACGATCAGATGGAAGATTTCTTCTCGGGCATGTTTTGGCATCCACCACCCCTGAATAGAGCTGAGACCGGCGGCAACTTGGTTCCGTATGCATTGCTGAGGTGTACGACTAGCGCCAAGCACGATACATGTAGATGAATCTACAAAAGCAGATTCAGTAATGTTCCTCGACGCCCTAAGAATGGAGTTCTTGCCGTGTGTGAAGAGGGTCCTGGCTATATACCAAATTCAGTAATGTGGAGATAAATTTGCCTTCTATTGAAACTATTCCATGGGTCAGGGGATGGGCAATTAATATCGATCTACAAAATCCTCAGTGGAGGTCATGAAAAATGGGAACAAGGTTCCCTGTTTGGCAATAGTTCGGGTCGCTCCGGATCTGCAACAGGTCCTTGCGCATAGAACTACTATTCCTTACAAGAGTTTAGGCTCATATTTTTATACTATTTGAATGCCAGCTGAACATATTCGGTACTACTTTATGGGGTCCTCCCTGGTCTCACTTTTGCAAACATATCTTTTCTCCTTATCGCTTGGCAGTTCAACGTGGAGCCTGCTCCACGGAGCTTTCTCCCCGAGGCCTCTGAGACGTGGAGAACAATAAGGTTATTATTTCAAATTTTCACCAGCATCTAAATCAAGATTGAGGCTAAACGGAAAACCGGCGCTCAGGTTCGGCGTACTTCCGTGAAGCGTCGGTATCCCGAACCGGCGTGGTGGCGCCTCATAAATGGTTACGTCTGACGGTTGGTCTTCGATGTCCTCGAGGTCCTATTGGCAATCTTCCTTCCCTAGATTTGAGATTATCGGACGGCTCGGCTCAATGTTCCTCAAAATTCAGGATAGTGAAAAATCTTAGTATAGGTTCAATTGAAATGTCTAGATGCATACGTGGTGGGTGAGCCTAAAGTGGTGCAATTAAAAGCCAATGGAAATCAAGTTTCAGTTCTCTCGATGCCTCATCGCAAAAATACATTCTTCCTCTGTTGGTTAGGGCGTACCAAACATAGAGTCCTATGTAAAGGGGTATCTCAACAGGGGCTGATCACGGTCCACGAATGGGTCTCGATTGTATTGATCCAATTATAGGATGACAACCGCGTGTTTACATTAGTGAGTATACAAACAAAAATGAGTTTCACTCACGTTCAATTATCTCAGCTCCATTTATATGGCTTTACGCTTATTTTTTTCTGAATTCCTACATAAGAGATATCATTATCGGATACTACAGCTGTCATTTAAGACGCTTATGTGACTACTATAGCTCTCTGTCATCGCTGTAAAACCTGCCTTCAAATAGTTTAGTATAAAATCAGAAGGTCTGTATATATATCTTTCTAAACTTATGTTTTACAAAGCAAGGTGTCACTTCCACAGGTTAAGTATGGTTGATCCCTACATGCAGCCGAGTTATACGGCTTTTAGGTGCTGAAATATCCACAAGTGTACCACAACGATTCAGCCTACGCAATACAAATAGTTAGTACCGATTCATTTATTTTCTATATTGCAGGTACTGTTTTGGAGAGTATTTTAAATTTTCAAAATATAAAATATAAAAAAAAAAATTGGCGGGGGAAAAAGAAACGACACCTGTGTGATTCGAACACACGCGGGCGAACCCACACGCTTAGCAGGCGTGCGCCTTAACCACTCGGCCAAAGTGTCGAATGCTTGAAAATACGACCCTTAATGATATACTTATGCGACTAACTCATCGTACATCCGTGAGCACCACTAACATCATCCATCTCTTAAGAAGTTCTGCTGTGCATTGGGACAGAAGAGTCTGTGCCACTCAAGTAATGGTCTGGATTGATTCTTATTGTGCCACAGTCAAAAAAGATAAATTCTCACGTTATTATTCCCATACCTAGAAAGCTACTTTCAAAGACTCTTGCGGAAATATATACGTTCGAACCCATCCTCCATTTTTCTTTCGGTTTCGATAAAACCCAGTTTCCCATAGAACCGAACGTTTTCAATCATATTTACATTCGTAAAGAGAGTGATACTCGATAGTCCACGCTCCCGTCCCTCAATCTCCGCGTGTTTCATCATCCAATATCCATAACCTCGACCCTGTGAGCCCACGTCCACAACCACGTTGTTGATCTTGAGAGAGTTTGTTTGGTCATCCACATGGAAGTCGATAGAGCCAACAGTTTGATCGTTGTCTTTGAGCATCATGACCTCATGTGTTTCCATCTCTTGCTCCCAGTCTTCGGTCATGGGAGCTGGGGGCTTTCCGATACGCTCGATGTATTTTGAGTAGGCGGAGTTGACCATTGATTTGATGGCTTGTATGTCCTCTATGGTGGCTTTGTATAGATAGGGAGAATTGCTTGATAGCGAACCGGAGTTTTGGGCCATTGTAGACGATAGGCTTTATTCGGGCGCTCTTAAAGCGAGAGAGCAAGAAAGACCGAGGGCTGACAGGGCTTGAAAGGACCTGCCGACAAAAGAAATTAAAAATTACAGAGAAGTTGTAGAGAGCCCTGGAGGTTGAAGAAGTTTGTGGTTGAGTCACAGTTACCCCGCCCTTAGGATATGAGATTCTCCATAGATATAAACTTGCTTGATGTCAACCTCGCCATCAGAAGAGCTCAAACCATTCATTTTGTGATATTAAAGCGAGCCATAATCTCAAATTGGACACGTCTGCTTCGGAATCCGCTGATGTCGCAATCATAATTTCCCAAGAATCAAGCAGGAGGGAGAGCCCTCTCTCCCGACTTCCAAGTTCCGTGAGTCCACGCAAACTCAGAGATGGCAGAGACCTCATGACCAGCCTGCAGGTAGATACGAATCTCAGGGCGGGAGCCACTAACCCAACTGATACATGCTACCTCTGTACCAGGAATGCAGTCGGCATGAAACTGTCCCTCGCGCCACGACTTGCCATCGTAGACCATCTCGAGGACCATATCGGCAGAAGTATAGAAGAAATGGATTCCCATGATATCCGAGCCAGAACCATAGCTGGTGCAAGCAATGGATGTTCGGGGTTGCATCTTGGGGAACTTCATCCATCCGTCATACCAGCCGCGGGGGCCGTCATGGCACTTCTCTATGAGACCATACTCCATGTGCTGGAAGTAGACCCTAAAAAACGTTCAGATTTTGGTATATTTGATCAAGTATCATTGACACGTACCGAATGCCTACGTGCGGAGACTTAAACGCGGTGCAGGCGATTTCGGTGCCGGGCATGGCAGGTCCGAGATTTGACATCTTCTGCCAACCCCAGCTCTCATCTGTATTAAAATATAAGAGATGTACCGGGTGTATTGGGTCAATATCTCACCCTTAATGCCGAATTCCTGAATGGTGTTATCCGTCAGTTGGCAATAAACGCGCATCTCCATGTCCGAACCCTTCATCAAGTAGCAGACTGCAAGGCTCGAATAAGGGGCGGTAATGTAGCGTTTCTTGCCAATGCTACCTTCAAACCAACCCTCGGACTTATCGTAAGCAATTTCTTTGACGGTGTTCTCGCTAGAAAGATAGAACACTCGGATCTAGAAAAACACTGTTAGCAAACTTCCGAAAACCATGCGTTGATGACAAGCTTGCCTTTTCAAGTTCCTTTGAAGTACAGGCTAGGGGCGATAAGAGCTTGGCAGAGGCAATGACTTTTTTCTCTGTGCCATTGCTCCAACCGTTTTCGTATACAGTTTCGCGGATTTTGCCCTGGACATCTTGCATGTAAACGCGGAGGTGGTCGCCTGAGTTGCAGGCCGCAATGGAGGTCCCTGTGTAATAATGATGTTAGCTTCAGTCAATAGTCAAGGTGGATGTGAGTGATTGTTTTGCATACTGAAGACAATCTCGTGAGCGTTCGAAGGCATGCTGGGCTGAAAGGAAGTTGAACTTTGTTTAGTTGCAAGAAAACCACTCATGGTATTTTGAAAGTTGGAGAGCTTGCTGGACTGGCTTTATATTCCCAAGCTACTATCTTGAGCAACAAAGTAACAATGTTGGCAGTCAGGCAAACAAATTGCCTGAGCACAAGCCCTGGATCATCGGAGGAGCTGTGATTGTATGAAACAATGAACTTATTCTATTAATCAGCCCATGATTGGTTTACCAAACACAACTACATACAAGAGCCTCTTACTTTGTCAAGCGAAATGACACAACGGAGGTGCCATCAGGCAAACAAAAAATTCCTATTGATTCCGGTGGTTGGGTTCTCAACAGCGTATACAGGTACCAAACAGCGTAGCCTATTGAATTCTTGACACGGGGTATAGACACAATCTAGCTACTTAGGTGTCTATAATTACAGATATGGGAGATTTCTTAAAACGCACATTAATTCCTCGTTTATCACGAGTCTCATTCACCGAAATATTGCAACTATATCATCTGTAGGTGTATTGAACATGCGTGGCGACATGAAGAAAATGCTAGGAGTAAAGAGTGCTATCTCAAAGAGATCAAGCTTAAGTTGAGGCTACACACATGATTCGTGGCATGGCGCTCGACCAAGTCTACTTTACAAAGGATTCGCAAACCGAGCAAATGGGGCACCTGCTGTACTACAATCAATTCAACGCTCAAGTCAAATTCATTCCTGCGTTATGGCTCAAGATCTAAGATTCACAGTAAGAGGCTTCTAGTGACACAAATGGATTGTCGAAACCCAGTAAACTAGCGATGATTAGACGAGGACTCACACACTACGGCCTACTGCCCGGGGCTTTCATGCCCAGTCACTACCAATCCGGAAATCCCAGAGTATCCAGCCCCCAATTTGCCCTCTCCGATGCCACATTCTTCTTCCAGGCGTGAGCTTTCTCAACATTTATGCAGATTGCTCAGACATAAACACGTTTCTCCAAAGGTGGGACATGAGTCTTGCGCTCGTTTGCTAATTTTGCTAATGCGCCAGCTTGCATGTGATTCTCTTAGCTAAGTTGATATTAGTACAAAGCACACCTCTGATTCCCCAGTGAGACAACCTTAGATTTTTCCTCAAAGTAGGGAAAAAAGGGATGCCGAGTTCCTTGGCCGACTTGGCTACCTATTCTCTTCCAAGCGGTGACTGTCTCTATATGCTCTCATCATGCATTGAGATGCGATAAGAATATGCCGAGTGATGTGATTGAGAATGACCGAAAAGTTAATTTAGCTTTCGCGATATGCTGTTTCATGGACTTGAGCGAACAGTGCTGTCGGATGTATGTTCATAAACTTTATCATTCCCCTGCCAACTGCTGTCTCGAACGAGTGGGACCAATTATGCATAGGATTGAATTCTCCCTTTGACAGACCAGTAACTTGCATGCACATGGAGGATGAACCGAGACACCTGGCTTCCACGGGGGCTACGATGAATTTGCTGCTTGCTGACGTCAGTCAAGCAATAGTCCGATTCCAATGTTGCGCATCTTAGACAATGTGTGTCTCATATACCTAGTCAGTGCCTTGGGGAGATGTCTAGGCGAAATGCACCCGAGCGCATGGAGGGCAGTGTGGTGAAATTGCTGATGTCAAGTGCATTTGCATACAAGTTTGACTAATAACTTATCGGTCAGGTCGACTGATGAGACCTCAATTATTTCCGAGACGATCAGTGACAACTGGCCAATGACATTAAACAGCCTATATCGCTTAAATCCTGGTCCATCCAGCTTCTCCAGTGGACTTATTCGGACCATAGGGCCACCGAACCGCGGCGATGAACGGACAGCGGACCCCAGATGGCCCCGAAATCATGCTCAATAGATGCGGAGTTTTCCTGTTCGACTCCTTAGGGACGCATACAAATAGCGGGGCCATAAGCTTGCAAGGGGTGGAGGCGCTAACGATTGCGCCTATACACCACGCAGAGCACGGCAGCGCAGCCCCCTTGAATGCATCTCATTTTGCAAATTGATCGGGATCCGGGTTGTCCTGCAAGGCTGGTTCCTTGGAAGACCGACTGCCCTACAGTTTCACAGCGTAAAGACGATCATTGCAGATCAGGGGTGAGCGATCTGCCATAGTGGACCATGCAGCCGGTCGCCAATCAAGGCACCCTAAAACGCAGGAATGCACAATTGTTTTGGGTATGCAATGATGCGTCTAGGAACCTGACTTGAATATTGGTGTCTTATTTAAAGCCAACATGTGCTGCTGGCCGGGGATCCTCGACAGGGTCGAGTTTACTGCGTTGAAATCTTGAAACAATGCTGTTCTCTCGCAACGCTCTTGCAGCTCCCGCACTGGCCTCGCTGCTTCTGACAGGATCTGCCGCTGCTGATGACGCACGGTCAAGAGCCCAGGATGCTTTGAAGACCCTCCAGACCTGGTATAACCCCCAAAGTGGCATTTGGGATACTTGTGGTTGGTGGGATGGCGCTAGTTGTATGACTACCGTCGCAGATTTGGCTGCTTTGGACCCCTCTGTTATGGATACAGCGACTTATGTCTTCAACAACACATTCCACGTGGGTCCAGTGTCGAACCCGCAACCCGGTCCCGAGAAGAAGACAGTCTTTACTCGCGACAACCAGGGATCTAACTCTGCCAATGCCTCGCAATGGCTCGACCAAGCATACGATGATGATGGATGGTGGGCCCTGGCATGGATTGCCGCATATGATGTTACTAGGGAGCAGACATACCTGGAGCTAGCTGAGGGGATCTTCGAGAGCCTGGTATGTCTCATCTTATCTCTTGATTTGGCCTCACACTGATTGTTTATAGGCCGCAGCTTGGGGTACCAACTGTGGTGGTGGCGGCATCCCATGGAACCCTACGAGCACCTACGTCAACTCGATTACGAATGAAGTATTCCTCTCCGTTGCAGCACACCTGGCCAATCGAGTCCCAGACCGCAAAGAATATTATGTCCGCTGGGCACAAAAGGAATGGGACTGGTTCACATCCCAGGGTTTCATTGGCGAGAACGGTACCATCAACGATGGGCTATTGGAGAACTGCCAGAACAACGGAGCGACTGTGTATGTGGTATAATCCCAACTGTGCTTGCATTCTGACTAACCTTTCTCCAGCTGGTCCTACAACCAGGGTGTTGTCCTCGGCGGTCTGGTTGAGTTGAACAGAGCAGCACCCAACGACACTCTGTTGCCCTCCGCCAACAAGATTGCCAAAGCAGCCATTAAGACGCTGACCGACTCTAACATGGTCATTCACGAATTCTGTGAGCCGCAGTGTCTCCCAGATGGAACCCAGTTCAAGGGGATCTTCATTCGTAACTTGCAAATGCTGCAAAGAGCATCTCCGGATGAGACCTACAGGGAAGTGATCATCAACAGTGCGAACAGCATCTGGAAGAACGACCGCGACGAGAAAGGTGGACTGGGCGTCAACTGGGCTGGTCCTATTCAAGCCACGGTAGATGCGTCAACGCATAGCTCAGCACTTGACGCGTTGGTCGCCGCAGTCGCTCTTAGTATTCTTTAGTGGCGGTAGCCGTTTCGTTTTGTTTTTTCTTTCCCCGTCCTTTTTTCGGTCTAAAAGTCCCGGGGTTTCAATGGATGCGATGTATATAGATTCTTGGATCCGCATATATACTAATCTTGATTTCAAATCTTCAAAATCAATATCTATCCTAGTAGGCACCTGTTCGCCGTACCCAAGTTGGTTGTGGTGCGGGCTGAGGTCTGCTGTAGCCAGATTTTATGGCTGATGTGGGCATCAAATCCAATCCTCCAAGAGTTGCCCCTAGCTTATCCTGTGCCCAAACGGTCAAAGCTATAAAATTATCACCCTCATGGTTCAGTATTCCTTCAGGAACAGGGAATGCATTTTGAGGACCGAGTCTGTTTACTGAGAAATTAACGTTAAAGGTTAGCGGGTTGGGTATTCGGAACCATGGAACCGTAACCAGATGCGGACTTACTATACTTTCCAAACTGGTATCCATTGATAAACAGCTGACACCTGTAGTTGTCTCGTCCATTGCCAGAATTAATCTGCGAAGAGTTGCCGAACACAACACTCATCGGAACATCCCACCCACTCGGGATATTGAGTCGGAAAGATGCTGTATAGAAGCCAACACCTGCATGCGACAAGCCGTCTTTCACTGGATTTGACTTCTTCCACTCTGAATCCGGTGGACTAGGATAGTGGTAGCCTTGTCTCTCGGCATACATGCTGCCTTCATTTAGAGGACCTCGGACTATATCCTGGTACTGCTCTCCGCCAAGATTACCTGTCAGCTTCCACGAGACATCGGATTGGTCATGACCCGAGATTCCATAGTTCAGAATACCTCTCGGAAACTTGATTGCATCTGTACCAGGAGCCTCCTCATCCTGACCCATGTGATCAATCAAAATGGATAGCACATACGCGCTGCCTTGTGTCAAGCCTGATGGCAGTGACACGTTATGAACAATTGTGGAGTTGGCACTAGACCCAACCCATGAGCCGATGAATTTGTTGTTCAACCAAACAGAATGTCCAAAGCCTATGCCACCAGATACATTCAGCCAGACATTGGATTCTTGGCCACTGGCATTGAAATAACCTCGATAAAACAGGGACCCAGTGTGATATCCATAGTCCATAGAGTATAGACTAGTCGGGGTGTTCAATGGCCGCGGATTGTGAGTCGACTTCAATGTACACCTTGTCCAAGCTGAGTCGTCGTACGACGTCATAATCTCAGGGAGAGAATCAAGGAACTTCCAGTCCAGGTTGGACAGATCGGGGATGTCATACTTAGGAGGGTCGTATCTAACAGTCCCGGAGATCTTCCTATTAGTTGATTTAGAAGTTTTCAATGCTTCTCCATTGAACGTGATGCCTTGAAGGTGCTTAACTGGGCTAGAGATAATCTCGATTTCTGTAGTCGCATTCACATCGCCGGTCAAATGAAGACGCGTTTCTATCAGATCCGCCGTACGAATAAGATATCCAGCTTTGAGGATCACCACGTTTTTGGATGGCGATGAATAATTTCCAATCGTGCCCGAAGCAGGCAGTTCCATTACCCAGTAGTTGTATACCTCATTCCGCCAGAGCAAGTATATTTCCAGGTCTGCTACTCGGACGATGCGTCGGCCCGGTGTAACATGCCACTGTATGACCCAAGTAGCCCCGTGTCGCTGAACAGTGATGCCTGTCCCTTCAGCGACAGTCGGCTTTTCAAGATGGCTAGACAGAGCGAACTCGTGTAATTCTCCGACACCCCCGTAGAGGATCAGTACACGTGCCGACTCGGCCCCTCGCGCCCATGTAAATATTTCTGCGGAGGAGTAGATCAAGTTGATGCCGCCGACATCGTAATCTGTGACGTGGAATTTGGAATCGCGACCGTCGAGTGTCAGGTGGCCTCCTAGCTGAGGAACAGTGATATTGCCAACGCTCGTCGCGAGAGTTAATGTGTACTGGGTTTTGTCGATGGAGGTGAAATCAGCGTGTCTAATAACGTAGAAGTTTGTCTGTGTTCCATTGCCAATGAGAGGAGTCACAGCGATCGTAGCCGGTGCGCCGTAAGACCCATTAACTCCGAGATGAGAAGTTGCTGTCAGATAAGCAGGTGACACTTTGAGAAAGTTGGCTTCAAGCTTCTGTTCGCTGTACTTCTCGCGCGAAATTGTCCGGTCTTCAGCGATGGCGGCTCCATAGTCGTATGATGTATCTCCGCCCATGTATCCCAGGTTACCCCAGTTGGTGCCACCGAAGGTCTGTATTGGAGTTAAAGTCGCAAACAGTAGACCAGGGCCTGTGTGGACACACCATATAAATATTGAAGATCTTCACACCGAAGCTGTAGTTGTTCTTGTATACTATCCGAACTGCTTCCTCGTTCACTAACTGGCCACACATATCTTGGTCCACACCTCCCCTAGAATCGGATTAGTTTATTTTATACTTTATATTCCGAAGAGTATACTTTAATCATACCATCCCTCCCCAGAGCCCCCTTGGAATTCAGCGATAGCGAAAGGCGTTGTTGGACTCTCTTGGTCGTGTAAAACTTGCCAGTTGTATGGGAACCTATAGGTCGGCCAGACGGTAGGATGCGCACCTGTATCAAATATCAGTATCCACCAATAATAGTCCATGCTACTAAATATATACTCACAATCATAACGCATTGGGTAAGAGTCAATGCCATAGATATCCACCTCTCCAACGCCCGATCCCGGCGCGAAGTACCCCAGATTCAGGTTATCATTGACAATCAAAGGAACAGTAATCCCTATATCGAGAAGTTGCTTCTCAACATAGGCCATGTACTCTCTATTCATCTCGCTCGGGAAATCAGTCACATCTGGCCAAGTAGAGTACTCATTCTCCGGCTGAACCATGATAACCGGACCACCATGGGTTATCTGAGCGCGTTCAATGATTTGACCCAGAGTTGAAATATATTGTTCTGTCGCATTGAGGTACTCTGGGTTATCAGATCGAATAATAGCCTGGTGGCGTAGGACCCACCCAGGTATTCCACCACCAGAGGTTTCTGCGTTGATATAAGGTCCCGGTCGAGCGATGAGATATATACCAGCTTGTGTTGCAGCATTGAAGAACTCATCCAAATTCCATATCCCGTCTGTGATAACGTTTCCTGGGTTCCCTTCGAGTAAGCCCCAGTCCGTGTAGAATGAGACTCCTGTGAAGCCCATGCTTTTTATTTTCTGGAACACGTCGAGCCATAGGCCTGGTACTGGGAGGCGGAATGGATGGAATTCCCCGGAGAAAATCATGAGACGCTCTCCTCGAACTATGATTGAGTGTTGGTCCCATGTTACCTATTATGCGCGACTTAGATTGTGGAAGGATGTTGGGTGGCAGATCAACTCACTAGATCTTGTAGTCCATTGCTTTCAGCAGGAATTTTACTGCTAATGGAGCCAGGAACCAGAGACGCAGCTACTGACCACAGGGTGAGAAATGTTGCTTTGTCGAGTAACATCTTCAATTGCAACTGTCACTCTTTTTATTCAATTAAGAATGTACACCAGTAATAAATAATCTCAACACTGGGAAAAGGCTACTTCAAGACCTCTGAGAAGAAATTATTCTTCTTCTCTTTTCTATTGATCGAAACACTCATCACCCCGCATCGCCTGCTCAACACAGCGGGACTAAGCTGCGATCTCATTGAAGGAATATTTAGCTGTTTAACCGGCACCCCGGCAAAATGCAGCCCTGCAAATTTTCTCAGAACAACATACAAGACCTAATAGATATGTACTATATGCGCCAAGCATCAGCCAGGCTAAATAAGCTCACTCGATTACCCCAGGTTTCTCCGACAAACTTACATCATTGTTGCTTCATTTGCCACCCCACCCGAGAGCCACTCAAGGCGTTCTGCTTGATCTTTCACAAGATGGAACTAGCAACTACGAAACTCAGATCTCGAAATGGCTGCTCACGTTAAGCCCGTTATCTTGCACGCTCACAGCTCAAGCCCAAATCCGATCAAGGTAGCGATCACCCTCGAAGCACTCCACATCCCGTATGAAGTGAAGAAATGGGATTTCGGAGATGACGCCGAGAAGGGTGTGAAGGGTGCGGCATTTCTCAAAATCAACGAGAATGGACGCGTTCCTGCTATCGAGGATCCAAACACCGGTGTTGTCGCGTGGGAATCTGGAGCTTGCATGAACTATATCCGGCGTGTGTATGACAAGGGTAATTTGATTGGACCTTCCGGGGAGTTGGCCCAAGACCTAGTGGACTTTGAAAAGTGGGAGTATTTCTTGTTGACGACACTGGGTCCGATGACTGGCCAGGCGATTTGGTTTAGGTCAGTTAGTTGGAATGCTTTGTTGTCAGTCCTATGTATTAACATTTCATAGGAGATACAACGCCGAAAAGAATGAGAATGCTCTGGAGAGATACACGGCTCAGACCTATCGTTGCTATGATGTCCTCGAAGGCCAGTTGAAGAAAACTGGCGCAGAAAGCGTTCTCAATGGACGCGTCTCTGCCGTCGATTATCATTTCGAGCCTTGGCTGCATAATTACCCCCTTGCTGGTCTTTCTCTTGACAAGTATCCTTTGATCAAGAAGTGGCTTGGTCTCATGCAGACTCGCGAAGAGGTAAGGGAAGCCTACTTCAGGATCACAGGCGAGAAATCGGTTTAGAGGCTACAGTACACAGGGGAAAGGAAGGAAGATTGAAAAAGAAGCCTCGGTTGGCCACTTAGGGTTACCTAAGATGTAGTATGCGCACAAATATAACAAGATTAGGATCTTGGCCAAAGAAGCTGTAAAGATTTCGATACTTTCTATTCACAAGCTTAAAGAGCATACGTGTCGGCTCAGCAATGCATGGAAAGATCCCAATGTGGGCCATCTTTCTTCATCCCCGGAACGAATCCCGGTTTGTAAACTTCAGTGGCAATCCACTGATATTTCAAACAGTAATGGCAGGTTGATAATTTGCTAAGTTTCCAGTTAGCCGGTCAACAGAACCCCAAGGACATCGAGAGCATATAGCATGAAAGCTTTCCCATCACGACCTGCTCGGCATCTTTCCCCCACGAATATTAATCTGCAATGTCTGATGCACAAGTCTAGGCCTACCAAGACCCTTATCCGGCTTATTTCTCCACTTGACAGACGCCTCCTCAAACGAGTCATCTTCAAGGTACTTATTTTTCTCTTTCTCTTCAGCCACAGTGCTATAAGGCAAAGGATTACGGGCCGGATGCTGGTTCGTAGGCGTAGGCGGGTAATCGTGTCCCGTATATAATTTCGTCTCTGGCGGGAACGATAGAAGGCGTTGCATGGATTGAAACTGGGACTGTGCATCGCCACCGGGAAAGTCGCAGCGCCCGCGGCCAACGTCCGCGTTGAGCATGCAGTCTCCCGTGAACACATTATCTCCAAGTTTGTATCCCCCGTGATCAGCTGTGTGAACTGGCAGGTGAAGGGCTATGCCGGTCATCTGGCCGAGGTGGAATTTTCGTCGGGTTTGAAGGATTGATCAAAGGCTGTCTCGATTTCGTCTCTTGGGAGTCGGTACTTGTGTGCGTAGTAGGCTTGGACAATTTTGATGTTCTCTTGGATGCAAATTTGGGTGTGTGGTTGGCCGTGGGCCCTGAGGGTTTTTTTGGATATAGTAGGAGGCTGAGAGGTGGTCGCCGTGGGCATGTGTCTAGTAACATAGTGACTATAAAACCATTTTTCAAAACGCAATCAATGAGTGCATCTGCAGCCTGGGAGTAATGATGAATATTGTGGGCTCGAAGGTTAGAACGGGGTCGATAATTGCCGCTTCTTTGGTTTCTGGACAGACTACTATATATTGCCATGAACAAGTAGTAGGCTCGAAGACTGGGTGAATGGTAGGTTGCATTCCGTCAGTGAATTTGGCGAATTTGTTATTGTGCAAGTATGTCAATGGAGGGAGTTATTATTACAGCTTATTGTGGCTTTTGGTAGACATTACGTATGTATAGATCATCGGTGCTCAGCCCTACCTTAGGTTTATAACAGCACCACACGAGGAAACGCGCAATACCTCTAGAAATATGCCTCAGATAAAATTGGACCTATAATCGTCTTCGTGGGGTGTCAAGGCTTCTATATCCGAAGAAAGATTGTGACCTATGCTCAGTCATTAGAGATTGTTCAATTGGACATGCGCATTGCGCAGAAGAAATACCCTACGGTTACTAGTTTTCATTGCATACTACTTGTGAGTATAGTAATTCAAGCCAAGCCGTTCTAATTGATTGAGTAAATGGACAGTAAATGATTGAAAGGACAGTGTTAGGACGCTTTTCTGTTGTTTACCGTTGAGATTACCACCACCTACACGGTGAAGGTAATGAAAATAGACCAGGTAACGAATAATGTTGGCCAAGAAGACCCTAGATAGCCTTCAAACCTGAAAGATTGATGATTCTGACCCGTTTCTATCCCTTTGCAATAACCTTTTTAGATGCGTCCTTGGTTTAGCGCCAAACATCCACTCGTTGTCGTAGTAATCCGACATTTCTCACACATACGGAGACATCCCGGGTAAGAGGGACTAGTTGTCAGTAGGCGAGGATAAGGAAAAAAAAGGTTCGTTCCTTTGGGGAAGACTTGATCGTGACTCTAAGCGGCGAAGAAAGATCTTGGGGAAGGCGCTCGGGGAGAGTCATCGCTGATGGACCATTGGTCGATTTCACTCTGATCGGATGGCACATCCCATCGAGCGACCTTAAGATCAAGAGTGTGTGCAGCCTGGTTGAAGCGGCATTGCCAGCTCTTGACGGCCTTGCACCCGGGCTTCTGGCATAGATGACCCATGTAGCATTTGATGGATCGGCACGCGCCGGCTCGAGAGCAGGGGTGCTGGAGGAGCATAAATCGCAGAACCTCAATGATCGTGTCAGACACATCGCTGTGGTCATACGGGCAGCTCATATCCCCACATTCCCCCGACAGGTGATAGCTGTTGCAGACCTTGGCTTCTTTTGCTCGAGAGTGGTATTCATCGAAGGCCGCTCCTGACGGGGAAGGGATGTATGGGTCGATTCGGTGCCCATCCTTAGTGACGGGGATAAATTCCTCGGTTTTGATGCTTGGCAGGGGTAGCGCGGTTCTAAAGAATTCCTCGGTGCGGCCAACTGTAGGGGAGGACCATAGGTGTTTTGGTGAATCGTGTTCAGGTGAATCACCAGAGTATTTAGACGAGGGTGGTTTAGGCGTGTGATTCAACGACTGGTTTGGCATGACGTGTTGCTTGTTGCAACTATTGCCGAACTTGCAGATACCCTGATTCCGTGTCAGCGGCCTGTCTAGTTAAAATAACCTCTCTAGCACAAATACACACCCTTTGAAAGTGTTTGCAGACTGTTTTAATTCCATTTGTGCCGTGTGTACCATTTGAGCTATTCGTACCATTGGAAGTGTGGGTTCCGCTGATGGCCTTGCTAGCGGCCGGGCCTGTTGGCGGCTTGCTGTTAAGTAGGGGAGTGTTCATGAATACGGTAGGAAGTTCCTTGATAGGCAGGTCCAGGGCTTCGAATTCCCGATGGAAACCGGCGGCTTTGATGAGAGTGATACGGTCACTTCTACCTCTATAGGGAGTCAGCAGCGAACCGTATCCAGTGTCGTGGCAGCCAGCAAAATAGATGTGGCGGCATTGATTCAGCTCCGCAAATAGACGGAACATTTCTTAATTTTAGGGCACGAATTAGTCCATGAACAACAATGTTACAGGGTGCAAACTGCTCAATACCTCTGATTTTGTAATCGCTGCCCTCCTTCTTCTCTGCAGCATCGACAAAATCGAACAACGCCTGTGCACGTGTAAATGTCGAAGTAAAGGGTGACAAGGACCGAGCCTCGTGGCCCACAAGACCAGCTCTGGCTAGAGCTTTCGATAATCCGAGGACGTTTGCATAGACACGAACCATGATTTGACATTGCTCGGCTTGCACCCCCATTGTCGAATGCATAAGCTCCCTAACGGAATCGTTAAGCTCACGGGCTGCGTTGATGCCTCCTTCGCTACCGTTCTTTAAGAAGTGGTCCTTGAACTAAAAGGTAATTTGTTAGTCGATACCCAACGCCGACTTGCAATAGGCAGACTCACGAGATATCCATCACCGTCTACAAGGACAAGCACAAAAGGGTTGCGCTCCTAGTGGACCGTTAGTCTTTGACTCTTGCTTTCTGCGCGTTTATCAATTCGTACCTGGCCTCGCGCTTGTCTTTTGTATTTTTCTCGGCCTTCTTTCACCTCCTCGTAGTCGCTTTTCAGTGAGCTGTAGTCATCTAGCAAGCTCTTGAACTGTCCCAACAGGCCCTGGAGACTGTCATGTTGCTTCTGCTGCTCTGTTGATAACGATGATAGATGGTGGTTCAACAATTCTATATCCGAATCCCTTAGCATCTTGTCAGAGGTCCCGGGACGGCATGTGCCTGTCCCACAAGCCAAGTAGATTGGTTACAAACTACCACCATTCAATCGAAAAATGAATGAAGAAGAAGATGGAGCGCTTTAATGAAATGAGATGGGGTGCCTGGATATGGTGGGGAAAGTATTTATTTGTCAAAACCAAGTTGGGCGGTCAGGCTATCCTATCAGGTGACGTGCCACCTCCTGTTTGGTGCTTATTTCTGTTCTTCACTTCTCCACTGTTTCATGGTTAGCTGCATTGCATATGCTAACTATGATATCCTAGCGTACATCCTCAGAGAGGTGGGATCATCCCTAGTTCCACACACTCCTCCACAATGCGCAAGATTGATTCGGTTTTGTCAACAAACCCGAAATACCCCATTTTCTTGGCCTTGGACGTGCTGTTTTACCACTATGCTTAGCTCTATGATGCTACAGGAATCAATTACAAGACAATTACTCACCCCAAAGACCAATTCCTCATTTCAAAGAAATCGAATACGTCAACGCCAAGAGAAGGTCGGCGAAACCAAAGACGCGGTCAATATCCCGCAACTTCTTCTCCGGCAATCCATGCTTCTCAGCAATATTCACCCACGCCTTCTGAACCTCTGGTGTCTTCGCCTAATTCGCCGAAGTGCATCGGAACCGAACCACGCCGGGAGGACCATAACCGCGGGTGGATCAGTAAGAAATGTGATTGTCGCATAGGGAGCTTATCGCTTGTATCAGGACCGGTCCACGGCATCTGAAAGTTTCAGCCAACTTTGGCCAGAGCTTGCTCCACGTGAAGAGGCATTCATTCATTGAATCGAATATCTCGCTGGTGGTCTGTTCGGTCAGGACGGCCCACTCCTCGAGATACCCATGCGCTTGTGCGCTTGAAATCGATACGTTTGTTTCCCAGGCCTCGAGGCCACTGGAGTATCTCAGAGGCTTGTTGAGGTATTTTTGGACTGTGGTGTAAACTGTCAGAGGATACCACAAGTTAATTGCGGCGTCCGGCGATGTGGGATGTTCGGGTGGTGTTCAAGCCGATCTAGTGCTTTTAGCGAAGGCTTTCAGGTAGTCTTCCTGGTTGTAGGAAAAGCTTGGCCCGATTAGGACGCGATGATCTAACTTCTCTTGTTGACAGCTTGCGGGACCATGTGTAGACCGTAATACTTGGCTCCGTGCTGCAACGACTCTCGCTTGGGAATTGTGTTGTTCAAATCTAGCCCCTCGAGGAAGTTCATAAGCAGCTTCTGTATATAACATTCTGCTAGTCTATTCAATATGGCTATATCCTAAGGTTGATCACTTGCGAGTTAGTGTCACCGTTTCCTCCGCACTCGGAGCCCTTCTCCCTCTGTGGGAGTCGACTGGATATACGCAAAACAGAAGACATAGTCCGCGCGAACACCTCTCGCAGTCAATTCTGCCGCAGTAGTCTCAGGCGATTGCAGGAGACCAATCGGCACATGCTCGACATGATCAGGCCATGAACCATTAGCTATTCAAGAGCCCTACTTGGCTAGAAGATTTGGTTTTCTTATAATTTAAAGAGCGTCTAGCATATATCGTATCCTAAGAGTTTGACTCACACGAAGGATACAGATTCTATACCTAATTTCTTATTGAAGGAAGACCTTGGAAGTCGGAGATAGTTATGCGTAAGGGTGAATAAGAATAGATGGTCGTCGAGCATGAGGAATTATACACCTGTGCTATTCTACGGAAGGTTACATGACCTGCAGTTTTCCTCCCAACAAAATTGGCGTAACGGACAAATTCGGGTTCAAATAGCGTGGAAGAAGTGCAGAATCAATATTCATAAAATTGTAGCATGTAACTATTCAAGAAGCTCTCTCAGCTAGAGTTTTTAGTCTTCCTGCATTGGAAGAAGAGTCCAGCAGGTGCCTTGTCCGAGGGTCTAAGAATCCCATGAGAAACATCCATATTGCTTCTTGAAATCTTCATCGAATCCATGCTTGTCATCGTAAAACTCCGTGTGACTAGCCGATTCAGGTCCAACGTGGAATCCTAGATTCTTGACATGTAACTTGAGTCAGCTAACTTGCGGGGACTGTTGTTCAACGGAAAATACATACCTCGATAGTTATATGACTTTGACCATGGCTTTTGGCCACGGCATCCCACACCTCTCGGACCTCAGGTGCGACGTGAAACTCCGAGGTGCAAACCCAAGTCGCTCTAGCCGAGCTTGAGGTGTATTGAAACCAGTGCTCGGGGTTTGCATTGATTACCTCTTCGAGTCCATCCCCCGAACATCCTATGTTAGCCCAGAGTACCATAGTTCGTAACCTAGGCATCTGCTGAGCGGCACGTCCGGCAGCAAGATAAAGCTCGTTGAGCTCCCTATTAGGCATCGTGCGAAATTGATTGATATTCTTTTCACCTGGAGGATCCCCTTCGTTCCAGGTGGGCGTATGGTAGCGACCAGGTGACACATCCCTCCATCTTGGATCCCTCTCAAAGAGCCATGTGCCGGAAGGGGTGGCAGATGCATATCGCACATTAATTTTGGTAAGGTTTGGCCAGTATGGAATATTTTTGTTGGCACTTGCTGGCCAAAAGAGCTCAGGACCGATCATGATTGGTGTCAAGTCGACAATCTCGAGCTGTTGCGTTAGGCGATGAAGTGCAAGGCACAATGGATCCGTGCCTGGATTCGTTCTTTTCCTTAAGGGAAAGCTTTCATCCCATGCAGGGTCTCCTTGATAATTCAACCACAAAGTTCTGAGAGAGGGAGGCCAGTTGGCGACGCCTTGTGAGAACTCTGTTCAAATCCTATTAAGGCTGTTCAATTACAAGGAAAAATTGACATACCATTGCGAAGATGATCTCGCATCGTGGGGTTCCTTCGCTCGTTGTCGCTAAGATTGGCGGACAATACCCGCAGTCGTGGGAGCCGGCATACGATCTCGGATACACTTCGTGGCGAGAATCCCCGGTAGGGAAAAGAACCACGTACTTGGAGCTCAACGACGCATTTGGCACTCGACAAATGTGCCTCCTCGGTCAGCTGCAGATATGAAGATCCATAGCGGGCCCATAACAGGTCTTCGTCTGGAAAAGCTTGGTTCTTCTGCATTCGGATTTTCCGTTTAGCCCAGTCGGGCTCAGATTCAACATCACCTGGCGAGCGGGCGTAAATCACAAGTTCAAGTTTACATCGGTCGTCGTCGGACCATGAGCTTAAGACCTTGAAAAGCGATGTGACGGCTTGCGTAAACGCCTTGTCGTTTGAACTGCGATCGTTCTCATCCTCAAAGCGACCCCGGGCTTGGACGCCGTACGCCGGTAAGATACACTTGAAATCTAGCTTCCGAACGAAAAAGGGTCGCCATGGAGTGCTGGTGCGTCCGACAATGCGACGGAGATCTTCAAGGTTCGAGGAGTTGGCGAGCAGAGTAGAGAAGGTGGTTCTCTCAGCGGCTACTTGCCACTCTCGACAGACGACAGCGCAAGAGACTAGGTCATCTGTGAGAAAAGAAAAGATATGCAGGAGGGCCTCGAGAGGCAGTGAGCGAGCCATGGTGGAAGTCGCCAAGAGCGAAGCGGCGGAGGGACCCTGGCTAAACCTATTCGGGTATGCAAGATGTCAAGGAGATTTCCCCACATTCAACAGTCGACCACCTGGGCACATGTGTTGACGATCAACGACTGGCCTCGGTCTCACACGCATCAGTCACGGGACCCATATAAGATGATTCGTAGCTCCCCGGATTCCAGTGGACTCTGACCATCCTCACTCTCACTATGAGATACGTACTATTCTCCCTAAGCGCATTCGTGTTCTACGCGATCTTCTACTTTTCCTATATCAATGGCCTCGATGAATTGGGAAAGAAAGTCGTGGAATCTGGCACGCTTCCTACTATAAATGAGCCCCTGCGCTCAGTATACACTGGCGTTGAGCCAGTCGACAAGCTCCTAACGCTATTGACTACATTTTTCTACCCATCACTCGATGGCTCAAACCCCGGTCTTTTGCTTCACAGCATTGGCTTCTCGGGTACCTTCGGAGCAGCATGGACTCTAGTTGTCCTGGAGTCCTGGAGAAAGGGTAACACCGGAACAATTGCCGCTTAGTATGTTATCCAACCCATTAGCATAATAAATAGATTGCTAACCCACTGCTTCAGTCCAATGATCTTCGGCCTCGCAGCCCAGGTCCTGACTTTTGCTTTTGCAACTCCCTTAATTTGCGCTCTCCAGCTCGGCTGCTCAATCACCGCGCGTCGTCCTCATGCAGACAACATCCGCGTGCCGCGCGCGGTGCTCGCAGCCCTCCCATTGATCTTCGTAGTTGGGTTCATGGTCCCGACTAACATCATGGTCCTACCCGCTCCCGCTGTTATTCCAGTGGATGTGAAGCAAATCGCCATTGCGATGTGGCACCCTTGGCCTGGCTACGTGTCGATTCTGACTACTGTCGCGTACTTCATTTTATCGCCTTTCTTCTCGGAGAACCAGCGTGCGTCTATGTCTAGCTTGCGCTGGGTCTACGCATTTGCATTTATCAATGCTTCTCTTTCACACCTTGTTTCTTGGATTGTGTCTTTGGCTACGGTTATCGTTCCAAGTCTGTTCGCGGATCATGTCCTGAAAACACTTCATCCAGCCAATGTTTTTGCCATTCCTCTTCCTTGGTCTGGACTGACTGTTGACAATGTCGGTGATGGTGTGCACGTTTTCCTGCGTTGGGATTATTTGATTGGCTCGGCTGGTATCTTGCTTTGGGCGATCCAGTTATATACTGTTGCTCACAAGCAACTTGGTGTTGTATCTTGGGTCAGTTTCTTGTTCAAGGTTACTCTCTTGACAGCTCTTGTTGGTCCTGCGGGTACTGCGGTTGAACTGGTCTGGGAGCGGGATGAGCTGGTTTTCTCCGAGACTGGTGGTAGCAGGCAGCAGGTTTCCAAGGCCAAGAAGTCCACCTGAATATTCTTGGCGAGGTGACGGTCACATTGGGAGGTCCACGCCGTGGATTCGGATTGAAGAAGTATTTGTAGAGGTCAATAACCCGTCAGTTTCTGGACATGTGGATTTGTTAGTCTGTCAGAGACGGTATTTGACTTTCATTGCATAATTATTGAAGTGTTGCAATCTAGAATACATCATGAAGAAGACTGAGAATTCACGATCTCATAAACCGCTTTGAAATAAGCCTTGGTATTATCATTGCCGAGGGTACCCGATGACATCTTGTTCATGGCATAAGCAAGGGTCATCCGGCGACCCAAGTCCATAACAATCATAGAACCACCCCAACCACTCCAGAAGCAGACAGTACTCTCGGGAACAAAAGGAAGCGGCTCCGCGGGTGTCAAAGCAACACCGAGAGCAAACCGAAGATTCAAACCGATTACAAGGTCCGGGCCACGCACACGTTCTTGGATCATCTGGTCAACAGTCTTAGGCGAAAGATACTGTTTCCCATCAACAGTCCCCTTCAAAGAGACCATGGATCCAATCCGCGCTAGAGCACGCGCGTTACCAAACCCATTCGTTGCGCCAAGCTCAGCCTTCCTGAACCCAGGAGTCATCGACGTCTCTGCAACAGGGGGAACATGGGTCATAGCCTTGAAAGCGATGCTTTCTCGGTCCAACAGGTCCAAACCAGGCGGGGGCGGGGGAGGTGTGATATCAGCAGTCCTCGCCCAATCTTCTTCAGGAACACCGAGTCTGAAATCCGCGCCTAGCGGTCCTGCAATCTCCTCGTCGATAAACTGCTTCAGTCCCTTGCCGCTGATACGTCGTACCAGCTCGCCGATCAGGTGCCCATGCGTCATCATATGGTACCCATGGCTCTCACCAGGCGTCCACCAAGGCGCCTCCTGTGCGAGCTTCTCAGTCGAAGCCTTGGTATCGTAGACGAATTCCATTGTAACCGGGTCCTCCCATGAGGGCAGGCCGGAGGAGTGGCTAAGGATTTGCCAGACTTTTACTTCTTCCTTGCCATTGACGGCGAACTCGGGCCAGTATGTTGAGACGCGCTCTTCCACGTCTAGCTGGCCGCGGTCGACCAGTGTGAGGGCCGCCAGGGCCGAGACTATCTTGCTGCATGACCAGACTACTGTCAGGGTGTCCTCCTCCCAGGGGCGTGTCTTGGCGGCATCTGCATATCCGCCCCAGATGTCGAGGACGTTCTTTCCGTCGATATTTACGCAGAGGGATGCGCCGAGTTCGTCGCCTGAGGTTAGTCTCTCTTGGAGAAGATCGCGGATTCGGTTAAAGGCAGGGTCGCAGGAGCCGTGTGTATCCGCCATGGTGGAGTTCTTCGAGGTATGTCTTGTATACTCCGTAGAGAATAGGGAGGAGATGAAGGTTAGCTATTGCAAGAGGGGTACAGGGATTGAGGGTGAATCGAGATCGAAACAGAGAGCTATGGCGATCTTTGCAATGCTTTAACGTTAGTGCTGCTGCGGGGACTAGGCGGAACACCGCGTATATATGTTTATGCCGAGACAAATGAGCAGTGATTCATCAATTGGACGAAACTCTATCCTAACTAGGAGAGTTCGTGCCAACAAGTTCTCTGCGGTGAGGCAGCTGAGTATTGGACTTCTTTTACTCCTTTGCAGTTTGCTCAAAAAGTAAGCATGTCGATTGTCACCTGATTGGGCGTTTCGAGTTATGCACGATCTTCGTAACTTTATCCACTTTGGATATTCAGCCTGTGACGTCATTAAAAACATGTGAAGTACGAAGTGCAAACTGCAAACTACAGACTGCCTCATATATGCCATTGACAAGTGCCGATGGCCATGCATTTGCATCGGATATAACTTATATACTATTTTAACTTTCACAGGTTCCACACGGAGCGTATTTCCCAATCAGACTATAGAACGGCACACCCGGGGAAATCAGTCGATGACGCCCTCGACCAGTAAATCACGAAGAAAATGGCACCTCAACAGGAACCGAGTCATTTACCGTATATATGTCCAATATATATGCACCGTGCTATCCAACCATCGGAGCTCTAGAGTTTCAGCACTAGTCCAGCAATATGGATCCTCCTCGCGCATCTTCTCACAGCCCGCGGGATACTAGCCCTAGTGGAAGCGATGACCTCAGTACTGTTATGACGAGCCCAGACCGCCGCTTATCAGAACAACGAAGCCTCCAGCCGGAGCTCGAGCGTCTTCAAACCAATCTCGACGACGTCGAACTAGCGCGTATCGAAACCTACCGACTCCAACACCGCTCGACAGTAGGCTCAGGCACTGGCATCACACCTCGTGAACAATGGCTTCCCCTCGGAGCTGGGAAGCCCTACCCACCTTCTCTCCCGGATCCAGAACAATATGTCGTGGAATTCACGGATGCCAATGATCCTCTCCATCCCCAGAACTGGCCATTCTCTAAGAAAATTGGTATCTCGGTGACTCTAGCCTATACAACATTCGTGTCCTCCTTCGCTAGTGCCATTTTCTCCTCCGCAGTCGGCGAGATCGCTCCCCATTTCCATATCAGCACGGAGGTTGCCATTCTCGGTGTTACCTTGTATGTCCTGGGTTTCGCGTCTGGACCAACAGTCTGGGCACCGGCCAGTGAGCTTATAGGCAGAAGATGGCCAATCTGTATTGGCATGTTCGGCTACTCTATATTTACTATTGCGACAGCGACAAGTAAAGATGTCCAAACATTGATGCTAACCCGGTTCTTTGCTGGGTTCTTCTCTGCCAGCCCCATCGCCATCGTGCCTGCCGTCTTTGCCGATATATACAACAACCAGACAAGAGGTGTGGCTATTGCCATGTTTGCCATGGCTGTGTTTGTGGGACCGTTCGCCTCGCCATTCGTCGGTGGCTTCATTACATCCAGTTATCTTGGCTGGCGATGGACTATGTACATTGCCTCCATCATGGGTTGGCTGGCTACTGGACTTTGTCTTCTACTTTTGAAGGAAACGTATGCACCCGCTGTGCTGGTGGAGAAAGCGTCTACTCTCCGACGACAGACCCACAATTGGGGTATTCGCGCTAGACAGGAGGAGATTGAGCTCGACTGGGGTGAACTCATCACGAACAACTTCAGTCGACCATTCCGTATGCTCTTCACAGAACCAATTGTCTTCTTGGTATGTTGTGCTTCAATAAAAGGTATAATTGGCACTAACTTCAACAGATTTCCTTGTGGATGAGTTTCGTCTATGGACTGATGTATGCACTTCTCGGCGCCTATCCGGTCGTGTTCCAAGGCATCCACGGAATGAGTCTGGGCGTTGGCAGTCTGCCCTTCATCGCACTGATTATTGGTGAGGCTCTAGCCGGCTCCTATATCCTCTGGGACCAGAAGGCATACAGCAAAAAGTTGGCTGCCAACAACAACATTCCCATCCCGGAGTGGCGACTCCCCCAGCCATCGTGGGTGGTATCTGCTTCTGTATCGGTCTTTTCTGGTTCGGTTGGACTGGCTGGACAAAGTCAATCCATTGGATGGCTCCTACTGCCAGTGGAATAATGACTGGATTTGGGATCTACGTCATCTTCTTGGAGTGTTTCAATTATCTGATTGATTCGTACTTAACCTTGTAAGTTTTATTTTTCCCCTGGGACTGCAGTGCCTTATGCTGACGTCAAGCTTAGTGCTGCATCCGTCTTCGCTGCGAATACAATTATCCGATCAGCCGTCGGTGCCGCTTTCCCGTTGTTCTCTAAGCAGATGTTCAATAATCTGGGTGTGCAGTGGGCTGGTACTCTTCTTGGATGCCTTGCCCTCATCATGGTTCCTATTCCTCTGGCATTTATCAAATGGGGACCTTCGTTGCGGAAGAGATCGAAATTCGCCCCGATCTTTGAACCGAAACCTACGACTCAAGTTGAAAAGCATGGATCTCAAGCTGTTTAGAAACTAATTTGAAAGTATGGTGTTTGGAATGTATTAGATTGGCATTATCATTAATCACATATTTGTCGTTGGGGAATTGGAGCACCAGTCTCTTTACCAGAGTTAGCATCCAAATGCTTAATGTGGTGTGCACGAACGTGACCACCTCTCCGTATAGATAGCTTCGGCGCTCTAACCTCAAACCACTATCATCTCCGACAGATACTGTACAGAGCTTCACAATCAGCAGACTACAAGCGGCAGAACTCCTTCAAGTCAGCCGCTCTCGTGCCAGTCCGTTATCTCTAGATCGCAGTCAAGCTTTGTGATAACACCACCGGAATCGACCGATCGATCCATAATACCCCGGAGCCCCAGAGCCACGAGGCAAGGACTGGGGAAACAATGGACGCAAAGTAGTTCATGTGCATTCGGCTTCCTCCGTCTTATCGACATGGTCCCTACATATCATCTCCACGACTAATATGGAATGATAAGATAAAAGCCCAAGAGGGCTGAGCGCCGCACTGGCGTCTTGGCGTTTCAGGCATGTATGGCATTATGAAGCCAAACAATCGAAAAATCATACGAAGACATCCTGATTTTTATAGCTAATTCGGGAGTCGAAGAACGTTCGCCTGTCCCCTTTTTTTCCCTTTCCGGGCCCATCGGGTTGCCGAGCCTCGACCCATAGACACAACGCTGTCGGCAAGCTCACAGCCAATTAGGACTTGAGTTCGGCATCTCGCGGGCGAAAGCGACTCCGCCAAGCCGCCAAGGCCCATGGGAGGCGGAGATAGCTGGGACTGGACCCAAATGAGATTTTTTTTTAACCTGGCTTATCAGCATGGTGTGGTTGGCTGGTTATTCTTCTTTTTTTTCGCTTCGATGTGACATTCTCTTCTTCTTCTGCTTCTGCAGGAACATCTTTAAATACTGCGTCTTAACGACGGGTTCTGTCCTATATCTAGTAAAGGACGTGATACTTCGCCTCTCACGCATCCCACGATGATCAAGAGTTGGATTCACAATACCAATTTGCGGGTTGCCCGCAGTCCCGTGGGGAAATGGTTCCGTCTAGAGGGCTCTGGTCATGTAAGGATTCCTATACATATGCTCTATCCTCCATTCTCTATATCCTGCGAGACGTGTGATAGCGGAGGCAAGCGTGCGATGGGAGCTGACACCGTGATAGCCCAGAGAGAGGAAGGGAAGCTACTTCTTCACTGAAATTCGCGCCGGCCTCGCCACGTTCTTCGCCATGGCATATATTATCTCTGTCAACAGCACCATCACCTCCGCTACCGGTGGAACCTGCGTCTGTCCCGAAGAGAGTATGTCAGATAACTGCGCCACCAACGCCGAATACGCATTGTGCACGCAGGAAGTCAACCGAGACCTCGTCACCGCTACCGCAGCTATCGCCGCGCTGTCTACATTCTGTATGGGTCTATTTGCAAACCTGCCTATCGCCCTAGCCCCCGGCATGGGTCTGAACGCCTACTTTGCCTACACTGTAGTTGGTGTGCGCGGTACCGGCTTGGTTTCCTACTCCACAGCTCTCACCGCGGTCTTCGTTGAAGGCTGGGTATTCCTTGGGTTGACCCTCATCGGTATGCGACAGTGGCTAGCGCGTGCGCTCCCATCTTCAATTAAACTTGCCACCGGCTGCGGTATCGGTCTATATCTCGCCTTGATTGGTTTGACATATGACGCCGGTATTGGACTGGTTCAAGGTGCTTCGTCCACACCAATTGAATTGGCTGGATGTGCGTCTCAATACTTCGACCCCGAGACCGGATTGTGTATGAGCAGCGAGAAAATGCGCAACCCCACTATGTGGATTGGTATCTTCTGTGGTGGAATTCTGACTGCTTTGTTGATGATGTACCGCATCAAAGGTGCTGTTATTATCGGTATTCTGTTGGTGTCGATTATCTCGTGGCCTCGCACTACTCCCGTCACTTATTTCCCCTACACGGAGTTGGGCACGAGCAAGTTCGACTTCTTCAAAAAGGTGGTGACATTCCATCCTATTAAGCACATTCTCGTTGCTCAGGATTGGGATCTCTCCGGCAAGGGTGGCCAATTTGGATTGGCTTTCATTACATTCTTGGTATGTGACAGACACTTCTACCCAAGAGCTCGGCACTAACAGATTACAGTATGTTGATATTTTGGATACTACTGGTACCATGTACTCAATGGCCCGATTCGCCGGCACCATTGATGAAAAGACCCAAGATTTCGAGGGCAGCGCCATCGCCTATATGGTCGACGCAATCTCTATCTCCATTGGATCCCTGCTTGGCAGCCCTCCTGTGACAGCATTCGTCGAGTCTGGCGCGGGTATTTCTGAAGGTGGCAAGACAGGTCTGACATCGTGCACGACCGGCATTGCATTCTTCATCTCCGTGTTCTTCGCACCAATATTCGCCTCTATTCCACCCTGGGCAACGGGTTGCACGCTCGTGATCGTTGGTGCATTGATGGCCAAGGCTGCCGCTGAGATCAACTGGCGCTACTACGGTGATGCCATCCCCGCATTCCTCACCATCGCCATCATGCCTTTCACCTATAGTATTGCCTACGGTCTGATTGCAGGTATCACCAGCTACATCACTCTCAACGGTATTGCCTGGATCATCGAGAAGGTCAGTGGTGGTCGTATCGTCCCGCCTAACAAGGACGAGTCCGATCCTTGGTCCTGGAAGATCAAGGGTGGTTTCTTGCCACCCTGGGTTAACCGTGCTGCTCACGGGAAGAAGGATTTCTGGCGCCCCGATGAGGAGTATGCTGAGCAGCGTGTTGATGGTGAGTCTGGATCTCTTGCCTCGTCGGGCGAGCGTGTAGCTCTTGAGAAGGGTCAGGAGCCCAGTGATGCTCGCCCTGTAAAGTCCTTGTAAATATGATCAGGGGATGAAGGGAGTTTGGATATGGTTTTCTTTGCATGGCATTCTAGCGACATGTTAATTCTTTAATGGTAATGTATTTACTCATGCTTCCTAGCCTGCTAGATGGGTCGGGCACGCCATTACTGTATATGAACATATTTTTACACACATTTTCAGTCCGTATAAAAACATTCTACATGCAATTCAAAAACGACAATACTATCCAATATTCATTAAAATATCACGTTAATCAAGCAAACAATTGAACCTTAAAACCCCTCCGCGCTATCAAGACAAGAAGTAGACCAAGCAACTGATCTTGGAGACCAGAACCGCTTAACATGAGCCTCGTTACATTGCTTATTCAGACCCGATACGATGGCTTAGTCGCCGAATGACCATCCATCTCACTGAGCGGACTGTTAGGCAGCTCAAAAGTCCCCGCATCACCAGCAAGCTCAACAAGCTTCGAACCAGGCGCAGGACGGAACGACCCTCCCCCCGAAGAACCTGGCGGCTTCTCTGTAGCACCACTCAGAGAAGAAACGGTAGCCTCAGCTTCATGATGCCCAAAGCTACCGGGTTGGACGCTAGCTGGAGCATTTTTCTTGCGATTTCTCCGCATAAAGAAGAAGATAAGTCCAGCGAGGACAGCAAGACCTGCTACAACACCAATCACGATACCTGCAATTGCTCCACCGGAGAGACCAGAGGAAGTGTCACTCGTGGCAGCGTCACTGGGCGTTGGGGTCGAGGTTGGCGTGCTCGTCGCAGACTCGGAAACGGATGCGGATGTGGACGTGGAAGTAGATGCAGAAGTAGATGCAGCTGTGGAGGAAGAGGGCAGCGCAGTGGTGCTAGTAGAAACGGCCGGTCTCTCAGGAGCGATGTCGACACCGAAGAAGGAAGCACTAGCATTCTTCCTCCAGGACGTACACGAGTATCCTGCTCGGGAACTACATTGGTCGTCGTAATATATCGAAACGCAGAGGTCAGATCCCTCGGGGTCAAATGTGAACAGTTTGTCCTTGGCGAGGCTTATAGCCGTGCAATTCTGGTCATCGCTGCCGCGTAGGATCAGCGTGCTATCTGTTTTGTTGGTGTAGAGGAATGTCCATGCGGTCGCCAGTGGGAGGAGAGAGAGGGCGTATAGTGGCAGCATCAACATGGTGACTTGATCACTTGAGTCCTGTGGACCAAGATCAAAAAAAATGGGGGGGAGTATTAAAAATGAAAATTAGACTTTGGGAAGATGTGCGGAAGGGGGTGTTTGTAATATAACGTTATGGAGTGCAGACACCCTCGCCTGTTCTGGGGCCTGGGGCCTGGGGAGAATTAGAATTAGCCTCGTATTCATATGAGCCTCGTCTCCATCGGAGTACTTTTCAGCCCATGCTTTGAGCCATTCAGGACCCTTCATTGTGGACCCTTGTAGTAACCGCAGCTGATGATCTATACCGGGTGAGGCAGTAGATCGACGGACTATTTGAGCTGCAGATTGAAACCATTCCTAGCGTGCTTTTAAGGCTCGGAGGTGGCTCCTGTGTGAAAGGGTGTAGGTTTGAAGGGGTGTCAAACTCGATGGATAGGGTGGCCTTTGAAACAAGCCACATGAACTCGGATGAGGTTGAAGTATAACCACAAGTTCAGAAATAGTGGATACAATTTTGACAGTCATTTAGCCCCTGGTGCCTGGATCATTGGTGGAACGCAGGGTACAGTAGCCCTGTGTTGTATCTCGTACATCCTTGTCTGAATCATAACCTAAAACAGAAATAACTAGCCGTTTGTGTCCCCATGACCCGAAATTCAGATCTCGGTTACAGCCATTGTGCCCGTTCAGGACGGTGATTGGCGCCCCATGGGCCGAATACGAAGCGACGGGCCCTTTGGAATTTTAAGAAATAAAGTATTCTCCGCCTCCTTTTAGAGGGTTTGGACAAACCAAAGCAAGCCATTGTATCAATATGGCTTGCAGAGTTTTCTTCTATCTTGCTTCCTTGCTTCGATTTTGTTCATTCATCGCTCGAGGCACCATTTACCATTGTGTAGCAAACAAAGGAGAGATCGCCAAGAACCTCGGCATGTGAATGCTTGGCAACAGGTAGAACATGAACGGGCGACAGGAGTTCAGTTCGTATTTTTGCTGGAGTTTTCCTCGGAGTCAGGGCTGTGATCCATCAATAAATATTAAGCAGCGGCCAGTCCCGCAAAGGAACCTTGGCCCACTGGGCGATCATTCTTGGGCCAGTCTGGGACAGCACAAATTTCTGAAAGAGAGTGGCCGAGAGAGGTAAAAATATAGGGGTTAGAGCAGGTAGCAAATGAATTTTGTTCTGTCATATCTGCGGGTGAAGTGTGTTCGGTTACCTCTTTGGTCAAGATCCAGGATCCAGTGACCTACGACATCCTAATCCTGATAGATGACAGTGGTTGATCTTTTCCCGGCGTTTTCTCGAAGGGTTCAAATTTCAAATGACATGGATTGAGATGACAGTAAGGCAGCCTATATGCTGCCGATGTGGGCAAGTCATTTATTGTTTGCCTTTGACCGAAGGACATGACGTCAAAAATATTTCACGTTGATGATGCGCACAAGACATCGTGACAATATCTATTGCTTCATAATTTCATCTGTGGGAGGAAAAGTGTTGAAGAAATGAGCTGCGTCGGCTTTTTATCGGCTTCGGCCTTTCTACGAGTATGTCTCTACACTAGAAGTTGTCATCCCAGATCCAATCATATCAAATCGGCTGATCGTAGCATCCAGCAAGCCGAACTGAAGGCATGATTGCATGATGATGTATCGGCATCGGGCGAGGATCTAGAATTCTTTGTTGTCTCATTGGTTTCCTAATGTGACCATTTGGGCAATTGGTATGTCGTGTTCGACGTGGGTTCCAGTGTAGATCATCATTGACCAAAGATCATTGACCTTTATCTTAGTCCGAGTCCAGCTCCGCGAGGTGAGATATTGCAGTGTACAGCGGAGCCCTGCGGATGGTTTTGTTGGCGACCATTACTCTATGATCGCTCTTGACGGTCAGCCATGGTCGAGTATCACCTGAAGCCAATCAAACATGTTTCCCCTGTAGCAAAAGGTAAATAAACACCATGCAGGGTCACCATTCAGTCAGCATTATTGACTGACCTGAGCCGTTGCGTGCCGGGTCTTCCTCTGATGGATTCATTTTCATCGTTCAAGCCTGTTTATTGTATCCAATTCTACTCTGAGAAGGCGATTACTGTCTGCTGGAAGGACTAGTGACCCTGCATCACAATCTGACTACCTATATCTCTCTGTGTCCTTGCTTACTAGCAGCTGTCCTGCAGGTGTGTTGAGGTATGTATGGCTTCCTAAACTTTGCACAACTTTCACTCTTTCTGTTGACTTTTAACGAGAGGTGTTTCTTTAAGGGGTGGCAGTTCTTCTGCTTTTGTTAATCTCAAATTTCAAGTTCGATACGCGTACTGACGCATCATTGGTACAGTCAGCCCCTCAACTGATATCCTAAAACCGGATAGCGAGCTGAGCCCTACATCCGGTAAGAAGCCCCTACGATGTAGCAAGGCTCGAAGATACCGATCGACCAGCCTGATTGGTGAGCTCAAAGCAACATAATGATCTGACCTTTGCAACAGTTATTTCCTGACTTGCTATCGGCTCAACAAGATGGCTGCCATCAAATTGATTCCTCACACGAAGTCTCCCTCTCCGTCTCCGTTTCCATCCCTGAGCCTCCTCGCTGCGCGAGATAACTGGGCAGACGAGAACCGCGGTGTAATTCTTGTCTTTTTCATCGTCTTTCTTGTGGTAGTGGGAATTATTGCGTTATTTGCGTACCGTCGGTGGTTGAAGCGACAAGCTGAAAAGGAGACTTATGAGACGACCGAGTGATCAGTTCATTCTTTATCCTCAGTGCTGCCATCTGTCAGTCTCGAAGGTAATTGAAATTGCCGTGGCATGGAACTGGGCTCGCGTTTACTGGCTGGGATTGCGCTATGGTTCTGGATATTCTTGTAGCCAACTAGAAAATAACACAAGGTTTTCCATTTGACTGTATTCGTGTAGCGCTTTGAGGTTTTAGGCAGATGCTTTATTGTAATCTTCTTTACATAACATCTATGAGTGAAATTTGTTCTTCCACCACCCTGACAACAATTCTTCCGAGGCCTCACGACCAAGTCACTAGTGGAAAACATTTAGCCAATCTAACTTCTGAAATTGAGGAAGAAGGAGATATAAAAGTGGAGCTCGATCCAAGAGGCGCGAGAAAAAAAAAGCGACGCTGCAAGTGTCTCAATCACTGTGTTAAAGTGTACCACAAGACAACTTGAATAATCGAATCCCGGCCAGTTTGTTTTGGTCAATATTGAAGTCGTTGTGCCTCACAAATGCCCTTGACTACCGCGGCTCGACATTGTTTCAAGAGCCTTGAGCCCTTCCTCGTGCGCCAATTGTTTGGCTACTCCAATCCCTGCCAGAGTTCCTAGAAATGATGATTGGATTAGCGTCTCATAAAATAATGACCGGCAGTTCTTTGGGAAGAACCTTACCAGACGACATGGCAATGTGAACTATCTTCGCCGCCGTGGATGTGTCACCGGCTACAAAACAGCCGGGCAGACTAGACTCTCCCATCATACTCTTTGATACCACATGGCCGTCGGAGCCTGGGAGAGTCTCGAGACCCAGACTGGAAATCAAATCGGCTGCACGATTGACCGAGGGTGGAGCGCTCATAAGCATCCGTATAGATTCATTTGAATCATCCTGGAAATTCAGTTGAATCCCCACTCCATGAGGATTCTGGGAGATTGATTTGAGTGGTCGGTGGTCAAATTTGACTCCTAGCGCAGTTGCAATTTCGAAACACATTTGTCCTGCTTCATCGGTAGCGACACCTTCCCCGTTTGTGAAAACTGTGACCTTATCTTGGGTGAGCCGCAATGCCATCAACATGGGGTCTAGGTCCTGGGACTGGAGACCTAAGAGTCCGATGTGGCCTCCACGATTTTCATAGGCATCGCAAAACAAACAGTGAACGCTGGATTCAAAAAGGGATTAGCGGACAGGGTATCCGTAGATATTTCTTGCCAAAAAAACTCACATTCCTCGACCCCAATGTTCCTTGTACCCAGTAATCGAAGGCAGAACGTCTTTTGTGCCGGACGCGAAGATCAGCTTACGACCCAGCCATACCAGACCTTTTTGATTGGTGAGCTCAAAGAGGCGACAGGAACCGTTAAAAACCAGGCGAGTCCTGATGATCTGTGTGTCGATGAAAGTGACGGTGTCATATTTATCCATAATTTCCCTGACTGCTGTGGCGCGAAAATGTTCGGGCTTTTGACCATCATGGCAAAGAACGTTGTGCATCATCGTCGCCGACTCGTTGCGATATTCCTGGGAATCAAAGAGGGCCACGGATCGACAAGCTCTTCCTAGGGCCATCGCAGCGGCCAATCCTGCAGGACCACCGCCGATGATGAGTGCATCGAAAAGCTGTGTGTGTGACATGGTTAATGATATAGTGATGAGACTTGGGCAACGTCTTGTTCAGAGGGGTTGGGAAGAAATATATGTACCCGGGATGCCCAGCCATATGATCAAAAGTCATTTACCACTCCGCACGTAAGGCCTCTGTAATCCCTATTAGGATTAGCTGGAAGGCATCAAAATACCGCGAATTGCTCTATAGAAAACTCTCCGAAAAAGATACGTCCCCAAAGTCTCCGAAGGCCAATAAGGGGTATCTACCGGCTCCACGTCGACGCCAAGAGAAAGGTTGGCACAACCGGAGACTTCCTTAACTTCGGGGACATCTTCTCTTCACCCAACAACCAACCTAGCAATGTCGAGTTCAGTACCCACCAGACGTGGCCAGCGTCTCATCCGAGAGTCGTGTGACCCTTGCCGTAACTTTGCCCTACCCAACCGCCGCAATGGCCCAAGACAACGCAAGCTGATATCTGTCCAGGGACCAAAAAGATGAGATGCACTGGGGAGCATCCAGCTTGTTCTCGATGTCTCTCCACAAACAAGAAGTGCACTTATTCTACACAGTCTCGTATGGGCAGACCGAAGATTGCAAAAGCTCATCGTTTGCCCTCCAATAACCTGGCGACACCCGCATCCACAAACTCACATCAATTAATACCTGCGATTGTGACCCCAACCCCGTCCGACAATTTGGAAATTGGGACTCTCCATCAGCCCCAGGCCCCGCCATCACCTCATGTCCAATACAACCATACTGCGACAGTTATAGCCCCTTACCATCTAGACTTCGAAGATGTTCACCGGTAAGGGCATGGATCACAAGACTTTGCTTACACGCTAATCCTGAACCGATTTATTGTTCCCTCAGTGCCGGTGCGCAAAGCAACTACCCAGTTACCCTAGGTGGTCACGCCACGCCCAAGGCCTGCGCATGCCTTTCAGTTCAATACCTCCTACTCGAACAGTTAGGAACCAAGGATCGGTTTGTAGCACCGGACGATCTGACGATACTACGTGACAGCATCCAGGCTGCCAAGCAAATCCTTCAATGTGATCAATGCCCCACTCGCTACCTTTTTGTCATACAAAATGGTGGCATTCTGGGGATATTGTGTCTTTGCATGGCAGAATGCTATGCCAAACTCCTTGGTGATATTAAACAAGAGAGAACCCGGGCTACTAATTCTGATGAACAAAAGCGACTAAGTTTCTCGAGCTTTGGGCATGACTCTCTGCGACGTGCCTCTCAATGCGAGCCCGTAATTGCTCCAGTTGTACTCGACGTAAGCCCTTCGGAATGGGAAGATTTCATGCGCAAGGCTGTGAAATCAGACATATTCGGGGTCGACGGATACAGAGAAAGATGCTTCATGTCCCTACTCAATGGATTAGAAGAGCGTCAGAGGCGTTGGCACCAGACACCCCCTGCAAAGGACTGTCCCCCCATGTATCGGTCTGCATGTGGCCCGGCAGATCGCATGCCCACATGCTTGATGATGGTTCAAGACGCTCGAAGTCTCATTGACTCTTTAGATTTGTAGGTTCGATATATGTCTTGTCAGTCTTTGAATGGTCCTGCAAAGCTACGTCTTTATCACCAGCTTTGCAAATTACTTCCGGCGAGATAAATCTCCTTGCTTAGGCTATCAACTTTAGGCTATCAACATTTAGATTGGATGATCGTGGCTTGGTTTATCACAACCTTCACCAACTTCACAGAGATTGAGCCAACCTGTCCCCATGGAGTGAATTCCATCACACATTTGCCTTCGAGCACTAATACAAGCTACACACACATCGAGGAGCTTTTTATATAGCACTCGTGCGCCTATAGGAAGGCCCGTTGAATCCACTAACTGTCATGCATCCAATCGGTAAAGGTCTCCGACCAAAAATGTCTCCGACTGAGTAATGTTTCCGACTAAGTGATCATGTCTATCAGAGGGTTGCGGACATTCTTAGAAGGATACGACAATGGTTGATCTTTGTCATACTTCGGTCTGGACCTGACGATGTGCCGAAGTGGCGCATATCTCCCGACGTTCGGTTATAAAAACTGTTCACTGGCGCAGCCAAGCTTTGGCGTAATAATACTTCATCATGGGCACCAGATTATTGCAGAAACCCTCGACTTCCGAGATGATTATCCAAGAGGCAGAGAGTCCTCCAGGTCGCTCTCTACGTGGCGATCTCGATCCACCTCCTGATGGCGGATTCCATGCTTGGCTCCAAGTTGCTTTATGCCATCTGGCTGTTTTCAACACCTGGGGCTACATCAATAGCTTTGGGCTTTTTCAGACATACTATACGACTTTCATGTCACGATCTGCTTCCGACATATCCTGGATTGGGAGTATACAAATCTTCTGTCTCTTCGGAGGAGGAATGATTTCCGGACGCTTAACGGATGCTGGCCACTTCAAGCCTCTATTCGCACTGGGAACATTATTCCAACTTGTCGGTATCTTTACCGCTTCTTTCGCCACCCAATATTATCAAATACTTTTGTCTCAAGGCCTTTGCATTGGTATCGGCAATGGTTTCATTTTTTGTCCTGCCCTCACCGTGGTGTCTTCATATTTCAAGACTCGCCGAGGACTTGCCATCGGAGTTGCCGTCAGCGGATCAGGAACAGGAGGGATCATATTCCCCGCGATTGCCAATGCAACCCTCAGCTCAATGGGATTTGGATGGACTCTTCGTATACTTGGATTCATCACCTTAGCGACGCACATTCCATGTCTGCTATTCTTCCGCACTCGACTGCCTCCTCGAGCTTCTGGGCCCTTGATTGCACTGTCAATGTTCAAAGATGTCCCATATGCATTCTTTAACATCTCTATGTTCTTCAATTTCCTGGGACTATACTTTACCTTTTTCTATCTCGGAAATTTCGCACGCAACATCATCCATACATCCACATCCATCTCAACAAACTTGTTGATGATCCTTAACGGGGTTGGAATTTTGGGCCGGCTTCTTCCCAGCTTTGTGGCCGACAAGTACGTGGGGCTTTTGAACAGCATCATCCCAGTCAATATGCTCACATGCGTGTTGATGTATTCCTGGGCCGGCGTTCATTCTGTTGGGGGACTGTATGCTTTCGTAGTCATCTATGGCTTTTTCGCCGCTGGTGTGCAGTCAATGTTCCCTGCGGTTCTCAGCACTCTGACAACAGATCCAACCACGATTGGGACTCGAATGGGGATGACCTTTGCCGTTGTTGGCATATCCTGCCTGATCGGACTGCCACTGTCGGGGCAAATGATCGCAGCAAACTCAAAGGGGCAATTTTTGTATGCCCAAATGGCGGCTGGCACTTTCTTGCTGACTGGGACCGCCTTCATGATTGCTGCACGTGTATCTATAACTGGCGTGAAATGGAAGGTGAAAGTCTAGGCTGTAAATAAAACAATACACTAGGTCTAGAAATTCGAGTCATATTATCATCAGCGCTTTGTGTCATGATTTGTCTTATTATTATGTATTAGAGATCGAAGTCTCCGTGATCACCAGGGAAGGAGCCAACCTACTTTTGTATTCCTATAATAATCGTCGGTAGTTACTAAAGTGCAATATACTTTAAGACGAGACGCCAAAAGTTGACTGACCTAGAAGAAAAAGAAACTCTCCGAACACCGCAAATACTCAAAGAGATAAGTCTCCGGCAGGACCTGCACCGGGCTATCCGTCTCTTTCAATCGCTTGGGATTCACGAAGCGCAATCTACGTATCTGCAGAGTTACTAGTGGTTATTGAATAACTGATATTGAAATTAAAGTATATCATCTGTACTAAAACCCCTCAAAGACAATCAGATGACCAGCCTTCTCTTGCTCATGACATTCTTCCAGCAGTCCTTTGAGAAAGTCGATTTGCTCTCGGAGTGCCATGTTCTCTTCTTCTTTCCCTTCGAGTTGCGACAACATGAGCGACTGGAGCCTATTGAGCACCTCACACATCACGTCTAACCAAGCCAACTCCATTTTCATAATCTCTGGTCCCAGCTCGGTGTCTTCCTCGTGGATTGAGGCATCCCCTAATGAGCTGGACTTTAGTATCGCACAAATGAAGGACAAGCGACGTTTAGACGTCTAAGCCACCCACATACCTTGATTGAGGTGGTCACTTATCATGACTAGTTATCAAAAGTTTCAGTGTCGGAGAGAAAAAGTGACAAATCGAATTTTACAATTTGTCTGGTAATAACGATTCTGATTCTATTATCAAGCTTTATATGACAGCAGGCGAATGTGATTAGACAATCATGTAGATCGAGACTCATCGATGAGTAAAATGCAGTTCACCCTGACGTAGACGTGGGGTATTTAAGCTCACTTCGGAGACTTTCATATCAGCCTGGACCTTGCGCCATCCGGTGTGAATATCTCCATAAGCTGTTGGACTGCCGCATTTATGCGTAGTGTCCTACTTGAGTTCCTTTATATCTGAAGTTTCGGCTCACAACTGATGTTACCCGCCTGAATTCGTCGTATCTCGACTCGGATTGAAGTTCAATCTTGTTTCAGCATCTGCGAGAGCATGCGACATGTTATGGACACAAAAATCTAATTTTGGAGAAGAACTTCCTCCATGACAAAGTAAATTTGGAGACGCATGAACACGAAATGCGGAGGGTACATTTAGGGAGAGCCATTTCATTGCCCTGGGATTGGAGCTGACGTGAAGCTGCGACGCCTTGCTCTTTTCTTTACATTTCTTTTATGGTTATCCACTTCTAGTGAGATATATTGAAGCCGGAAAGCCACGGCACTTCATTTTATGTTTGAGGGGTCCTAAGCCATCAGATCCTTGCTATCCATTAGGGAGATAAAATTGGTAGTAATCTGTACTCCGCTGTCGCTATGTGGGATGTACATAGTACTAGCTAATAATATGATCTGTTTATCTTATAGTACGATAAATAAAGATTTGACTAGCTCACTTTCCTGTGATATCCAGGCATTGAGTTTTGCCAAAATCCCGAGATGCTCGGGATTCAAGTCTAAAGTTGTGCAAGTTTCACACCGGGGAGGTACTTAGCGCATTCATTCTCTCCTGGGATCAGTGCCGGCATATTGTCAATCCCACGCCCACTCCGACCCCGAAGTGATGAGAATGGAATTGGTCATATATCCGATGGTGCAAGCACAAAGCACAAGGTTGGTAAAATTATATTTGTTCGCCGATAGAGCCGTCTTCGAACAAGAATTACGATTGGAATTGATAGTCAAATTCTCTGTTTGTGGTTTATGTACTGTAAATCTGCAATTCAATGACACCCTACCGGCATCGGCAATTGAAAGCAATCGCCGGCGGCAATTGAGCAAGAAAGAAGGCAGCTTGTCCAACTGACGCTGGCTCGACATTATATAAAGAATGACGACAATGAAATAATTGTGATCATCATAGTAGAACTAAGCAGTATATTCCCATATATCATGCCATAACCCCAGATTTTATAGAGTGTCAGTGGAGATCACGGACAGACAGGGGTATAATTCTTCCATCAATCAGCGGGCTCAGACATTATCACCACCACAGCGTCTCCACCAAGCCATGCCGTCTACACCAACGCCAATAGCCATTCCCCGCGGCAAGGCGTAGAGCCATGTACCATAAACCAAAGCCATCCCTCAATGGATGGAGAAACTGTCGCCTTGATCCCAGACTGCGGGGCCCCCCGCCAAAATTTCCCCAATTCGTTCCCTAACCTCCACATCCGCAACCCCGGACCCTTTAGCTCGAGGCTTTCGGCATGGACCTACTAGCAATGAAGCCACTTGATTGCTTGTCTTGCTTGGTGTATCGCATGGCGTTGCATTGGTCCGTTATCTGCCCGAACTAAGTATAAAGCACGATGTGACCCAATCCCGACGGCTCCTCTTTTTCTTCTTCCTTTGGCGGACTTTTCCTGGGTCATTCTTTTCCCATTCTTTTGTTTCTGTGACATTTTGGCACGGGATACCATCCGTACACCTTCAAGATGGGTTTCGTCGATTTTAAGAATTACCGGGTCTATATCCTGACCTCGGTGGCCTATATGGGCTCACTGCTGTTCGGTGAGTAATTCACGCTCTCTATAAAATGCAGGGCTAATATATGACTCCTCAGGTTATGACACGGGTGTTATGGGCTCTGTCCTGGCTCTTTCGAGTTTCAAAAAGGACTTCGGCCTCCCCGTTGATTCATCCGGGTTCAGCGACGACAAGAATGCCCAGATCTCCTCCAATGTGGTATCGCTACTCACAGCTGGCTGTTTCTTTGGCTCCATATTCGCTGCTTATATCAATGACCGACTGGGCCGTCGATACTCGCTGATGATTTTCTGCATGGTCTTCCTGGTCGGAGCGGCGATCCAGGTCGGCGCCCATCATGAGATTGGCATGATCTACGGCGGTCGTGTCATTGCCGGTCTGGGAATCGGTGGCATGTCGAGTATCACTCCGGTTTTTGTCAGTGAGAACTGTCCCCCGGCTATCCGTGGTCGTGTGGCGGGTCTTTTCCAGGAGTTCCTGGTCATCGGTAGTACCTTCGCCTACTGGCTGGACTATGGTGTTTCTCTTCATGTTCCTGAGGGTACAAGCCAATGGCGCATTCCTGTGGCCATTCAGCTTGTCCCTGGTGGTCTGATGTTCATTGGGTTGTTCTTCCTCAAGGAGTCTCCCCGTTGGCTGATGAAGAAGGGCCGCAGTGAGGAGGCACTTAACTCCCTCGCTTATATTCGAAATGAATCTGAGACCAGCGAGGAGGTTGTCAAGGAGTTTGCTGAAATCACCGCTGCTATCCAGGAGGAAAATGTTGCTACTGAGGGCATGACCTGGAAGGAATGCCTAAAGCCGACCAACCGATACCGTTTCTTCCTGGCCTTTGTTCTTATGTTCTGGCAGCAGTTCTCTGGAACCAACAGTATTGGTTACTACGCCCCTCAAATCTTTGCCAGTGTTGGACTGAGCAAGACCAACTCCTCCCTGTTCGCCACCGGTATCTATGGAACAGTCAAGGTGGTCGCAACGGCTATCTTCCTGATCATCGGTATCGATCGCTGGGGCCGAAAGAAGAGTTTGATCGGTGGTGCTGCTTGGATGTCCAGCATGATGTTCATCATTGGTGCTGTCCTGGCCACTCACCCCCTAATGCGAAGGCTACTTCAGTCTCATCCGCGTCCATTGCTATGGTTACCATGATCTATCTATATGTAATTGGATACTCAGCATCTTGGGGCCCAACTCCTTGGGTGTATCTTGGAGAGGTAAGCTTTCTCTGTCATTGATACTTCAAGTCACATTCAACTAACTTTCTAGATCTTCCCAACTCGTCTCCGTGCCTATGGTGTCGGCTTCGGTGCAGCCACCCAATGGCTGTTCAACTTCGTCATTACCGAGGTGACTCCTCGCGCCATCAACAAGATTGGCTGGAGAACTTTCCTCATGTTCGGCATCTTCTGTTTCGCCATGGGCATCTTTGTGATTGTATTCTTCAAAGAGACCAAGGGCCGCACCCTCGAGGAGATGGATCTCATCTTCGGTGCTGTTGATGAGCAGCAAAGACGTGCTGATGTCGAACACACTTTGCAGAAGACTCAGATCATGCACGAAGAGAACGCAGAGGCTAGGACTACTACGGAACGCAGGGATTGAACTGAATGACTATAACTAGATGACAACTTGGGATATACATGGGTCAAGGCATGATAGAACATATACGTACACTTGGCAGATATACATAGGAATAAATTTGAATGACTGTACCTCATGTTTCAACCTTATTAGCATATCTATAGATGTTCACCTGTGAGTATGCGGAATACTTCGTCGGGACCCACATAAAAGCCGCGGGGAACTTACCGATTTCCCCTCGCGTCAAATTCCTCTTCGCGCAACATTCTCGATGGGATCCCTCGAAGAAACGTGCGCATCTCTGCGCGCCCAAATCACCGCCACAGAGGAACAGCTTGCTGGACTGAGACGCGATCTCGCGAACGCCGAGCAAGCGCAATCGGAGAGCGCAACCACAACCACCGCGGGAAACGAACACAATGACCGGAATGGCCAAGCAAGACGGTGGCCGCTGCTGCAGGAGGAATATAAACGATATGGACGACAGATGATTGTCTCTCAAGTCGGACTTAAGGGTGAGCGACAACTCCTTGATGGGCGTTGATGGTACCACTCGAACAATTGGGCTGACTGCGAGCTTCTAAATTACAGGTCAGCTGAAGCTTCGATCGGCCAAGGTTCTGCTCGTGGGAGCTGGAGGACTGGGATGTCCAGCTGCGCAATATCTCGCCGGTGCTGGTGTTGGCACAATTGGTTTGATTGATGGGGATACGGTCGAGGTGTCGAACCTGCATCGCCAGGTGCTGCACCGAACAAAGAACGTGGGGAAGTACAAGGTAGACAGTGCAATTGAGTCGCTACGAGAGTGAGTTCTATCTTTGGGTTGTAGATCTGAGCTTCGTGCTAACAATATTCTGCGATTGACCAGGCTTAACCCACATCCCACCTACATTGCGCACCGAACACACCTCACGCCCGACGAGGCGCCCGCGATCTTCCAGAACTATGATCTGATTCTCGATTGCACAGACAATCCGGCAACACGTTATTTGATTTCGGATACCGCGGTGCTTACCGGCAAACCATTGGTTTCTGCGTCCGCTTTACGGACCGAGGGACAGCTTATGGTGTTGAACAACCCACCCCGAGCTCCGGGTGATAAGACTGGAGGACCGTGCTATCGCTGTGTGTTCCCCAAACCGCCACCGGCTGATAGTGTGGTCAGTTGTGCCGATGGTGGTATCCTGGGGCCGGTGGTCGGGACCATGGGTGTCTTGCAGGCCCTCGAGGCGATTAAGGTCATTACTGCGCCTGATGCTGATGTGGCAGATGATGCTGCGAGTGTCCCCCGCGACCCTCCAGCTCTGCATGTCTTCTCTGCATACTCTAGTCCCTTGGTCCGCACAATCCGTCTTCGTTCGCGCCGAGCAAACTGTGCAGTGTGCTCTGCCGAGGCGACAGTCACGGTGGATACGATCAAGTCAGGATCGACGGACTATGTATTCTTCTGTGGCTCTGCAAGCCTTCCATCTTTGCTTGGCCCCGAGGAACGTATCTCTGCGCAGGAGTACCATGAGAAGTACCCTAGTGTATCCCAGGCGTCGCCACACACCGTACTTGATGTGCGAGATAAGGGGCAGTTCGAAATCTGCAGTTTGGAAAATAGCATCAACATCCCTATTTCGGATATCCTTGCCTCAGGATATTCAAAGCCACAGGCGGCCGACACTGAGCAGCAAGCTCCGCAATTGCCTTCTTGGTTACCGTCTGAACTCGGCTCCGAGTCCAACCCGATCTACGTTGTCTGCCGTCTAGGAAATGACTCGCAGATTGTCGTGAAGAAAATGAAAGAGCTAGGACTAGATCAGAATGGGCAGAGGTTTATTGGTGACATCCGCGGCGGCCTACGATCGTGGAAAGAACAGGTAGATCCAGAGTGGCCTGAATACTGACGTTTCATGCCTCTCGACATTCAATTCAAAGCAATACTCAAGATTTCCTGCAAAAGCAACCCCTGAACATATTCTCTTTGTTGCTTATTTCCTTTCCCATCTCCAAGTTTCAACAGGCCATAAGTGGTTTGATCATGTCAGCTCGGGGCTGCCATAATCAAGACTGTGGAAGGGAGAAAAACCCTAGGCGGGCCTAGTTCCACCACCAAACAACATCCATACGGCCTCGGTCAAGGTTACCAAACTGCTGAAATAGAGAAGGAGTAACATCGATATCGTTCTCCTTGCACCCCTCGCAGCGATCAACGACAGTTGCCTCGACGGTACGGCATCCACGTTGGATATGGATTTTCTGGCCACAGAGCGCGTTGTTATTAGGGTTCGTGCCACGCGCCTCACGGTCAAACACAATATGGGAGACGGCGGCGATGTAGTCCGTGTCGACGTTCCACTGGCCACAAGCTCCGAGGCCGGTATCGAACCAGGTGAGGTCGCCAGAATAGGGACCGCCGCTAATTTCGCTAATGAGCTTGCCGTCGGTGTTGGGTCTACGTTTGGGGTCAGCTCGGTTCATTCAAGTCTGCCCATCTTTGATAGGCCGAGGTGATATGCAAGCTTGCGCCATGTCTTCGACTTACTTGCTCTCGTCCAGAGCGGTGGGAGCCGCGGTGGTTCCTCCGATGAGGAGGAAAGCCGTCATGGTCATCAACATGGTGTTGAGCTTAAAAGGCATTGTGAAATCCTTCCTTGGTGAAGGATGGATTGACTGAAAGATGAAGGATGTTCAAAAGAAGGTGAGGAAGTCCGTTTGGATTCGAGTTGTCTGTCCACTCCAGATATCCTGGCCCGAGGTCCTAGATATAGCAGAGATCGGAGTATCAAAAGCCAAGTGCAGGATCAAAGAGACATCGGATATTACACCCCAGCGGAGTAATAGAAAGGAACGGAGAGAATGAAAGATGCAGTGGGAAAGTCTATGGATGTTTATGGGTTTCATCGAGGGCATCGAGGGCATTAACGTTATTGATAGCATCACAATGAGCGAACATCTCTACAATGCTAATAAATTGAACAATAAGGCGAATACCTTTTACTTCCATTCTATTACTTCCCTCGGCGCCATTCAAGACTTTTAGCAATAGTACAGGACCTTTGTCGGAATCGAAGTACGATCGAGATAAGAGGGAGCTAAGATACAAGAACAAAAGTACAATATAACGGCAGTTCGTACAACCACCATCCGTGCCTGAATGCATACTACGCAACAGATATACACCGATCTACAAACCGTTGCAGACGTGAACTGTTAGCCTCGGGTTGCTCCACAACGGCAAATGATCACCAATAACATCACGCGGTCCGCAGTCCACATCCGTAGACTCGAAGGCGGGACGTCGCCCCGACGTTCCTTCAGAGCTCTTTAAGGGCAACGTTGTACAGCGCTTTCGACTGGCATTTATACCATTGCTGTCTGCGCGACTAGATCACGTGTTCATGGCACCTCCTTCCTGAAGATCTGAGCCAAGACCTGCTGGGCGTCAAACTTGCGTAAAAATGGCGTCGCGAACGACTTCGCGCCAGTCGGCGTCTTCGTTTGACTCGCCAGAGGCGCAGGATGACCCTCCCAAGGAAAAACAGACTTTTGTTGGATTTGTCAAGAAGATTTGGGGGAAGACGGGGTTGGATCGGCCGACTGTCTTGTTGATGATGAAGTATGTCTCCATGTACCCCTGACAGCTGGGAAGGTATCTTGTTATAGAGAACGAATCGCTAACTATTATATTAGGGGCGGGCTTGCACCAACTATCGCCGTGGCCATGTGAGTGATTAACCCGATAATCTCCCAGACCGTGAGTCTATCTAACCGCGATCACAGTTACCAAGCCATGCCAGTGGCCGACCAGTTCACTACTCTGGGCTATCTAATGGCCATCATCTCTATTCTGGGCTTTGCGATCATGCCCCGCGCAAAGTTCATCCAGATGATGATTTTTGACATTCTTGCTGTCTGCATAGCAGCCTGTTTTGCGCTCTTAACCATGTTTTCAAGCGTCAAGGCCCGACAAAATACCGCCACTCCCTCCAGTGGCACGTACAACTCGTCAGCATCTGCGGTCAGTGGTGTCTGGCTCTTCTTCCAGATCTGGATGGTTCATACCTTCCGTGCCAAATACCCGCAGCTGCAATTTCCGGTCATTATATACGCCATGTTTGCAAATATCGCTTCTGTTTACTCTCCACAGATGCAGAATATGACTGCCGCCATTGATATGGTGAAACGACTGCTGGAGTCTTGTCTCACTGGTCTCGCTATCTCGACCGTCACGTCTCTGTTCATCCTTCCCATGACGTCGCGTCAGGCTGTCTTCAAGCAAATGGCCGGGTACATTAGTGGGCTTCGTTCCGCTTTGAATGCCCATGCATTGTACTTCGAAAGTCTAGAAAGAGACGACATGTTCGGCCGCACCGAGACGTTTGATGATGCTCGTGAGAAATTTAGCAAAAAGGGAAAGGTCTATAGCCCGGAGGCGGAGGCCATCCGCGCTGCGATCCGACAGATCACAGATCTTCATGCTAAGCTTCATGGTGATCTCACCTTTGCGAAGCGTGAAATCGCAATAGGGAAACTGGGACCGGATGATCTTCAAACGATTTTCCGTCATCTTCGCCAGATCATGATTCCGGTTGTTGGGCTGAGCTTCGTCGTTGATATCTTCCAGCGATTGTCGGATTATAACAGATGGAATCAACCCATCGATGCCAACCTGGATGCAGTTCCGGAGTCCGTGCGAGAGCGTGTCGTGCATGAGTGGAATGATATCATGAGAGCAGTGCACGATCCTTTTGCCATGATGATTCAGACGATTGATGAGGGACTTCTGCATACATCTTATGTATTCCTGTTGACGAAGCCACCAAAGCGCACGGCTACGGCGAAGACCTCGGACAATAGTCCGACCGAGGGGGGCGAGGACGTGGAAGCAACAGCTCAGGATACCGCCCCTGGCGAGAAAGCGTTCACGGAGCATTTTGAAAAAAAGCTTGGAGAGTTTCGAAATGCAAAGCGTATTGCCCTGCAAACTTGGGCAGAAGAGAAAGGTATCAAACTACCACCGGACTTCTTTGATCACCCTACCAACCCCGAAATTCTGGAGTCCAACTTTTTGGATAATTCGGCCACGCAGAAAGAGCGTAGTCGACGACAGCTGTATCTGTTCCTCTATGTAAGACTGTCCCTAGTTGAAATTTTCTGCTATTCAAACTAATTGAAGATTTAGATGGAGCAATTGCTGTACTCGACTGGTCAAACCGTGCTGGACTTTGTTCGCTATGCTGATCATGTTGCCGCCAAAGGAAAATTGTCAAAGAATAGGCTGATCATTCCCGGTGGTAAGAGATTGTGGAAATGGGCCAAATCCGTCTTGAGTGCAGAGGACTCCCACGATGATGATAACATGGGTGACATTCATACCCAAAACAACATCCTTCAACTTGGCGAGGCGTATCGGCTTCGCAAGGATCCCGAGCATCTTCCACCTAATACCATGTTCCAGAAGTTTGGAGACAAAATTCGGGTTTTCCCCTGGTTTCTCCGCTCTTTCGAGTCGACATACGGCTTCCGCGTTGCCTGTGCCACTATGACCATTGCAATCATCGCCTTCTTACATGACACCCAGACCTTCTTTACTCAACAGCGATTGGTATGGGCCATGATCATGGTAAATCTCAGCATGTCCCCGACTTCGGGACAGAGCATTTTCAGCTTCGTGCTCCGAATCCTAGGCACAACGATTGCAATGGTGGCAAGTCTTCTGATCTGGTACATTCCGGGCCAAAAGACACCAGGTGTGATCGTGTTCCTGTTTATCTTTGTATCCATGGCATTCTACATCCCCATCAAAATGTTCCGTTTCAGGGTCGTGGGCATTATCAGCATCGTCACAACAACATTGATCATCGGCTACGAACTCCAAGTTCGCAAAGTGGGAGAGGCAGTCGCAACTTCCAACGGACAGCTCTTCTACCCCATCTATCTGCTAGCACCGTATCGGCTCGCTACTGTGTCGGGTGGTATTGCTGTCGCGTTCATTTGGACATTCTTCCCATATCCGATTTCAGAGCACTCAGTACTTCGACAGAGTCTGGGCGCTTCATTGTATCTCCTAGCCAACTATTATTCCATCATCCATGAGACTATCTCCGGTCGCATGCGTGGTGACGAAGGCGATTACCTTCTCAAGAGTTCTGCGGGTCGAAAACTCGAGAAAGCCCGACACAAGGTGTTCTCGAAGCAGATGCTTATGCTCGCTGGTCTTCGGACGTACTCCGAGTTCCTGCGGTGGGAGGTACCCATTGGTGGTCAGTTTCCTAAGAAGCAGTATGACTCGATCATTCTCTGCGTTGAGAAGTATGTAAACATCATCTGTTACTTTGATTTTTGGTGCTGACCTGGTCTCTCTTTCTTCTAGCATTGTGAACTACCTCAGTTTGCTAGGTTATGCGTCTGATACATTGATGCATCTCGGTGACGGGAATGATGTTACAGATACCTCCTGGATGCTCGATTTCCGACGTCTGGTCGGTACAGCGAAGGTCACCACTCACGAAGTCACATCATTGTTATGTCTCCTGTCTGCTAGTATCACCAACCGACAGCCTCTACCACCATACCTTAAGGCTCCCCGGCCTTATAGCTTCACGAAGCGCTTGGAAGCACTTGATAAGGACATCCTGAGCATCAGGCACATCGCCGAGCCTGGTTTCGCTGCATTTGCAGTTTTGCAAATTTCAACGAGGTGTATCGTTGGTGATGTCGACAGACTGCTCCGGTATGTGTTCATGGGATTAACGCTCATCCAAACCTGATTTGCTGACTGCTTCATTCTCTAGACACGTCAAAGATTTAGTCGGCGAGTTAGACTTCTCCTTCCACGCCGTCAGCACGACCGAGTCAATGGCCCCATCTCGCATGACTTCGCGGGTAGGGTCGAGAGTAGACTTGAGTGAGATGTCAGGATCGAAACTGAATGACCGAGATAAAACTGATTGAATTACCCTTTATTGTGGTGATTGAGAGGCAGATTCAAGTACATATTTTTACCTAGCTTGTACATACTGGCAGTGCGTGCATTGCTTCATCTTATCATTACGTCCAGCTTCGAGTACATACATGAACTGCACGAATAACCGCGGTAAATATCGCAATCAATACCCCGCATCCTCCACCTCCATAGATGTATAAAAGCAGCCCTACACCCCATTTCGGCCTTCTTCCGGAAAGAAACCACCCCAAGACCTACCCTACCCATCACTCCCAAGCAAAAATGACCCAAGTCGAACTCAACCAGTCCCTCTTCGCCGAGGCAAAAGACAAAACAGTCCTAATAACCGGCGCAGCACGCGGCATCGGTGCGGCAACAGCAACGCTCTTCAACGCAAAAGGTGCAAACGTCGTCTTAGCAGATCTATCCCAATTCCGCACAGAAGCAGAAGAAGTAATCAGAACACAACTGGCCCGCCCAGACCGAGCGGCCTTTCTTCCTGCTAATATCGTTGACTGGACTGAATTGACGGAATGTTTCGAGAAGACAATTGCCCGCTTTGGCGAGCTTGATATTGTCGTTGCTAATGCTGGAATTATGGAATCTAGACCTGTTCTAGATTTGGACGCTGTTGATGGGAATGGAAGGCTTCTCGAGAGTGAGGAGGCTGGGAGGGTTATTGATATTAATCTGAAGGGGACTTTGAATAGTATATCTTGCCCATTTCTCCTTCTGGTGCTATTGATTTTAAGCTTATTACAGCCTCCATTCGTGGCTAACAAGATAACCCATTTTTAAACTTATAGCACTTCGACTGGGACTACACTATATGAAAGCACCCACGCCTACAGATACTGCGGCTGAGCCATCACCCCAACCCCGAAAATCAATCCTCCTCGTCGCATCAACGTCAAGCTACTTCGGCGGGACAGGAGTAACAGCCTACATAGCCTCCAAACATGGCGTTCTAGGTCTTCTACGCGCATGTCAACCAACAGCACAGAGGTACGGAGTACGAGTCAATGCAATCGCGCCATTCTTTACGCCGACCTATATCACTGCCGGTTTTGCGCAGAGATGGGATGAGGTGGGCTTGGAGAAGAATACTCCTGATCGAGTTGCTGAGGCTATTGCGCTTGTTGCGTTGGATGGGGAGAGGTGGGGGGATTGTGTTATGGTATGATGGAGTTTCGATTATTGAAATATTGCGTGTGGATGTGGGTGCTAATTGATGTGCTTTTTAGGTCGCTGGTAGGTATTTGCGAGAGCTCGAAGGCGCAAGGACGAAGTTATTTCCTAAATGGCTTGGGGAAGATGTTGCTGAGTTTTTGGGTCGGGCTATGCGGTTTTTCGTGAGTATTGGGGGCTATGTCTTGCCCTCAAAGTATTAGCGTGATAGATTTTATCTCAGACAGGAAGATAACTCAGGACTTGAGGGCTGGGAACTAGTTGCATTGACAAGTGGTGGGAAAAGTTAAAGCTGCCTTGACATCAAAGCACTGCATCTACATCTACATTGCAGCTCACATCAAACCTTCTGTGTTCCATGCACACCCATGAGTCACACGCTATCCCATAATCCAATGATGCCATAAATTTAAAGTGGAGTGATGTCACGCAGAAGAATTCCTTGCATTATTAACGGAATGTTCGGCGTGGTACATGGACCTCAGATTCAACAAGGGGTGAGGGAGGCTGGAATGCCACTTCTAGGGCACACCAAACCCTGTAACCCATCATTCTCAGGAGCTCGGGGTCTTTATTCCCCACAAGAGCAGGGAGTTTAATTCTCCTTCCTCCCAAGCAAGATCAGATCTCTGCCCAATCGCCGCGCGGGCATTGAATATCCCTTGTTATGCGGAATCCAACCCACCGCTCCTTTCCAGGTTTCCGCGCTTCCCAAGGGGTAGAGGGGAAGCTTGCCCTTATCCCGACGTACTAGCTGCAGCTGCTCTCCTGGGCCCACGTCGGTGTGTGGGTAACTTGTGATTTATGCTAAGCTGTGCTATGAGTTTCTCGCCGAGATTTCGCTTTTTGATCTAGTTACTGTGAATATCACCAACTCGAACATACATTATCAAGAAATTACTTGAAGGTCGCGCATCAAATGGGACGGCATTCAATAGCATCTGAAATATTCGACAATGAGTCTAAAATCGACTTCGGGGTGCGGGATAGCGTCCTATCCATCGACGAGGTGACACCCTATCCACCACTGGGGAGTTCAATCCAGTTATTCGAGAGCGAGCCTTCACCCGAAGAACAGGAATGGCGCTTTGGCGTGCGGGAATGGCTGGTATTTGTATGCATCGTCATTCTGTCGATGATGGATTCATTCAATGCGACCAGCTTGATCCCAGCATTACCAGTATGTCAAAAAGAAACCGTGTTCCAATACACCTCCAAAGCCAGAACGGGTGCTAATAAATATATCAGGAACTCGCAAACACATTCGGAAAACCTCTCGCGAGCACACTATGGGTCAACACCGTCTACCTCATCTTCAGCGCAGCCAGCCAACTATACTTCACAATGACAAGCGAAGTCTTTAGCCTCGGCCCAGTCTGGATCATAGCAGTCGTATTCGCAACGATCGGCACAGGAATCTGCTGCGGATCCATGAGTCTCATCGAACTTATAATCGGCCGTATGATACAGGGAGTCGGCGGCGGCGGCGCAATGAGCCTCTGCTTCCTGATAATGGCCGAGTCAACGCCCCCATCAATCCATTCCCGGTATTCGTGCTATATCCTGCTAACGCGGATGTGCGGTGCTATTCTGGGTTCTGTTACCTCCGGTGTGTTTGTTGATAATACCAGCTGGACTTGGGCGTTTTATTTCAATTTCATCTTTTGCGCACTGGGTTTGTTGACGATTCCGTTTGCTGTTGACCTGCGCTTGTCGAAGAATATTCCGCTTCGCAAGTTACGGATTTTGGATTGGTCCGGTGCTACTATGGCCTTTTTGGGTCCTGGGGCTATTCTTGTTGGATTGACTTGGGGCGGGAGTTTGTATCGTTGGTCGGAGTGGCAGACCATTGTGCCGATTGCGATTGGTGTTGCTGTTTTCCTTGCGCTTGTTTTTTATGAGTCCAAGTGGGCTCTTCACCCGCTGTTTGGGAGGAGGGTGTTTCGCTCTAGGATGATGGTTATGACTTATCTCGGTTGCTTTTTGCATGGGCTTATGGTGAGTTTTCATTTTTAGATCCCTTGTTCTGGTTTCGATGTCCTCACACATTGCGGTTTATAGGTCTTTGCTCACTTGCAATTCTTCCCGCTGTACTTCATGACAACCCACTATATGTCTGCCACGTTGTCCGCCGTGACCTTACTAGCCATGATCGGGGTGGCAATTGCTCCGGCCGCGATTGTTGGCGTGATCCTTGCCAGAGAGTCGAGATGTACGCAGTGGATCATCTCGGGCGGTTGGATTTTGATTATCCTTTCAGGGGCGTGCTCTATTCTTTTGGATAGCACGACGCCGGCGGTGGGATGGGTGTTCTTGTTGTTCACAGCTGGCTTGGGTCACGGTCTTCTGCTCTCGAGCTATAACGTTAGAGTCCAGAATGTGCCCAAGGACGAAGACCCTTCTCTGTCGACTCAGCCAACTACCATCTCCAATTATATGAGGGCCATGGGTATGGCATTTGCCGTTCCTGTCGGGGGTGCTGTGTTGTTGAACATGTTCAGTCATGAGTTGACAGGAATTGGATTGGACCGAAATTTGGTCAATACGGCGAATGGATATCTGATCTTGACGGACCAGGTTAGGATGTCAAGTGAACATAGAGAAGCCGTCAAACTTGCTTCGGTCGCGGCGTTCCGAGTGGTGTGGGAAGTCCTCACGGGCCTTGCTTTCGTTGGGGGACTTTCGTCTGTTTTCCTGTGGCGGAGGCACACGTCAGCATAGTCAATATCTAGAATGAAACATGCTGTCATGAAACAATACGAGATGCGCTAACCCGTTCGAGTCAAAAGAGTGACAGGTAACAATAAGATTGATTCAGGCTAAACACTAATTTGTAAAGGCATAAAGGTCATTTCGGCTAAACAAAATACAAGAATCAGGCTGACATTGCTTGTCCAGAGTGCCGGTAGCTCACTTCAGCCTCTCGGGAGTAACAAACTCTCTCTGGCCTTTGATCTTCCAACCCGCTAGTCTCTCTTTGCCCAATAGTGACAGCGTTTTCTTTTCAACAAGACTATACTTGGAGGGATCATTGCGGTCAAATTTGAATGGCTGTTTCAATTGAGCCGGCGGATTGGTGATGACACGGGGATGTCTCAGACTGTTGACAGAAACCGAGTGGACCATCAAAGGGTGAAGAAGAATCACATCGCCGACCTTGCCAATCATTTGATGGAACTCAGAACACTGCTTCACAATGTCCGAGTAGAAAGACGTCTCCATAGGATTCCCGTCAGGCTGCTGGCCACGTGGGAGCATATAGGGAGTCACACCTTCGGGGTGATTATACTAAATACAGGGAATTAGAAAAGACGCCAAGTAGAACAGGAGGCTCAACCACATACTAGGTGCTGGGCAATGAACTTGAGCGCATCCGGACAGACCATAGTGCCACCTGCACGATCCTGGATATCGGAGAACAGGGGTATGACCAGCAGAGCCTGCTCAGGCGAATCAAGAAAATGCGTGAAAAAGTCGCCATCCACATGCCACCCCGGCAGATCAGTAGGATTGGGCCATTTTCCCTCGGACTCGGGCGAGCCGAGATTAACGATCAAGGCATCGTTCCAGGTAGCCGATTCGGGTGCCACGCGGTCTTCGCCGCCGAGAAGTTCGCAGATGGCGGCCCATGCCTTGGGGGCAAATGTTTTGACGGCTTCTTCTTTGGTGTCACCCATCCAAGTCATTTCATTCGCCCAGGTTGACTTGTCTGTTGGTGAATAGCCGAGTCTCGACCACACATCGCCTGCCCATTCGTTTGCTTTGGCCTTTGAGAAGCAGTCTGGTACTCGCACGTACCCAAAACGCATGAAGTGGTCGATTTGCTCTTGTGAGAGTTTGTAGGAATTGGCCATGTTGGGCTTTTGGGGCAAACTGCAGCATTTGCCCAAGTTAATAAAATTAATGGCAACAATGGAAGTTACTACTTCGGGAAGGTGGCCTATATGTTATTCTGCCACCCTTCCGACCACCCACAGGCCGTGATTCACGCGTAAATGAGGGCGGTCAGTGTCTTTCGTCTACGTGTTTACTCTCTTCTTCTACCGGCATTTTGCTTGAAGTTTAAGATCTATCCCGTCCCAGTGAACTATTCAATGGCGTTGCCAAGAAAGGCTACCGGCTAAATAGCAATGAGCTGTCAGGCGAGTGTCTGGAGGTGGCGCACCCCGCAAATGAACTGCGCTCCAAGGGCTTCTTGGCACTCCCATTAGCCTCCGGGCTAGGCTGGTTGCTTATTTGGGCACGGAGCGAGTGAGACCCTGAACGTGTTCGGCAGAACACAAAGGCCAGATATTCAAACCTTGAACAACAACAGGTCCATCTTTATACTCAAATCGAATGTAATTCCCCCAAACCTACCCCAGGTTGATCGCCTTGTGGGCCTCGGCCCGTCAAACCGGGGAGAGACCAAAGAGCAGGCCTTGCCCTAAGCGAGGGTAAATCTCACGCGACTTTGCTATGGCGTTATTTGCACCAATCATATCCCCGGTCACATCCTAAGCACAATTAGCCTAGGCCCTAAGACAGTCAAGCCGGGGATGATACTATACTCGGAAGTATTCGTGGGCCCTGACAGGCCACTCACTGGGCAAATAGCCATCTCAAATGCCAGCCCTGCAAGAGATCTGTGCCGCATGTTGAATTCCTCGCCTATTTTATTTGATTTTAATTTTCCAACGTCCCTTGACTCCTAATATGGAGAGAGCTATGAACCCATGCAAATCCAGCCAAGCCCGCCACTTCTCACTAACCGGATAATATCATCGTTAAATATCCTAAGCTGGCAAATTCGAACCGCTTAAAACCTCTGGGATTCCCTCCCCCGGGCTTCTTATGCATTGTTGTGTCACAAGCTTGGTGGACATTCCAATCCCTATTATCTACCCTGCGCTCGTCTAAGCAGACATCAAAGACATCATGCCTATCGCAGTTGGAGCGTCGACGCTCAAGTCTGAGCTGAAGGCCGCTCAGGATGAGAAGCCTGAGCTGGAGAAGGTCACCTGGTGGCAGGAACCAGGCCTGCGCAAGCTTTATTGCTGGGCAGCGGTGCTGTGTATTGCCTCTGCGACTACTGGATACGATGGGTAAGTATTCTGGCTTGATACTCATCTTACAAGGCTGACGAAAATTGCACAGAATGATGCTCAATACCTCCCAGAATATAGATGCTTGGCAGGCCTACTTTCACACTCCGAGTGGCTCCAAGTTGGGATTGATGAATGCAACCTACCAGATCGGTAGTCTTGTCAGTTTCCCATTTGTGTAAGTCACTCTACAATTCTCGGTGCGGGAAAATATTGACCTTGACAGTCCTTTTATTGCCGATCGATGGGGCCGTAAACTCCCAATTGTCATGGGATGTGTCTTGATGATTTTCGGTGGCTTGCTCGGTGCATTCTGCAAGAATTACGGCAGTATGTTGACATATATACTTTGAGTTATATTGTGTGCTAATACTGTTCAGTGTATGTTACTGGTAGATTGGTCCTCGGCTTTGGCAGCAGTCTGGCCCAGATGGCTTCCCCCGTCCTCCTTACCGAGATCTGCCACCCTCAACACCGAGGAATTGTTACGACTATTTACAACTGTCTATGGAACTTGGGTGCATTGAGTAGGGTCTCCTCATTCTAATTCTGGGGACAAATTTTAACGGTGTATAGTCGTCGCATGGCTTGCGTGGGGAACTATGCATATTCCCAACGACTGGTCTTGGCGTTCCTTGACTCTCCTTCAGATTTTCCCAGCCCTGATTCAGATCGCCTTTATCTGGTGTACGTATTTGACCATTTCGACACCGTCCAATTGACTGACCATCATTAGGGGTCCCTGAATCTCCCCGTTGGCTCATCTCCAAAGAGCGCTACGAGGAAGCCTTGGATATACTGTCCTACTACCACGGAAACGGAGACAAGAATAATACAACCGTCCAGTTCGAATATCGGGAGATCAAGGAGACTATCAGTATGGAGATGCAGTTCCAAAAGAACAGCAGCTACCTCGACTTTATGCGGACGAAGGGTAACCGTTATCGTCTGGCAATTTTGGTCTCGCTGGGAATTATCTCCCAATATAGTGGCAATGCGTTGTTCAGTAACTATACCAACTTGATCTACAACAGCATGGGTATTACGGAACAGAACAAGAAGATTCCGGTTCGTTTTTTACCCCTGGTTACTGAACGACATACTAATTTTCTATAGCTCGACGGTGGTAAGACTCTACTTAGTTTGATTGTCGCTGTGGTCAGCGCCTTCTTCGTTGATCGGTTCGGAAGACGGCCTCTTTTCCTGGTCTCCACAATTGGTGCGTATTGACATCTATTCTTTTTTTGCAAAAGTCAAAGTCAATGCTAACATTCCTTCCAGGCATGGTTCTCATGTTCCTTGCTTGGACCGTTGTATCCTCCGTCTACGAGCGAACCCAAGATGTAAAGAGCGCAGGCTACCCACAAGTCGTCTTCGTCTGGCTCCATGCTGTCGTCTACTCCATCGCCTGGTCAGGTCTGCTTGTTGCGTACTCCCTTGAAATTCTGCCTTATCGCCTGCGCGCCAAGGGTATGATGATCATGAACTTGACTGTGCAGGCTGCTTTAGTTCTTGGAAAGTAAGTAAATTAAATTACCTCCGGTTGATATTGTAACACTGACATTCTTATTTAGCTATACTAACCCCATTGCTTGGGAGGACCTGCCTCACCACTGGAACTTGTCACTCATCTACACTATCTGGATCTTTGTTGAACTCCTCTTTGTTTACTTCTTCTACGTCGAGACTCGGGGCCCTACTCTCGAGGAGCTGGCTAGGATCTTTGATGGTGAAGATGCTGTTGTCGCGCATGTTGATCTGCATCAGGTTGAGAAGGAGATTCATGTTAGTGAGAAGGAGACGACATCCTATGTGGAACGTGCTTAGTTGTCGAGGGATGAGTTAATATTGATGAATAAGAATATACCTGTTTAATTCAGTAATCTGCAAGATCATCTCAAAAGCGCCAATTTATAATGTGAGACTTTTTGTGTCGCTCGTGGACTCGATGTTGACCTTAGGCGCGCCTTCCATCACGCAGTCCCTTCCATCTATACGAATCCAACTTCCTCTCTTCCTCTCTTCACATCTCTCATATCTCCGCATACATACAATTTCTCAGCTCACCTCTACATTTTAACTCTCTATACTTGTCATGCATTTTCATATCCTCCCCGTCCTTTTGGGCGTCTCATACATCCTTGCAGCTCCGCTGAATTTGACTGGTCACAAGACCCTGCCAAACGGACTGATTACTCCCAGTGCCAGCGAGCTGGAGACTATCGAAGAGGATGCGCATGGCACTCTTCCCAATGGGCCTCCGCCCCTCGGAATAAGCGAAGGAGGCATCGTCAACCTCAAAATGGTCGCAATGAACGCCATGCTCGAAGTTTCTTTCTTTGATGCTTTGATTAAAAACATCACCGAAGAGGTTCCTGGCTATCGCTTCGTGACTGAAGACGACAAGGACTTTATTCTGAGTGGTTTGCGAGTCATTCTAGCTGTATGAACCCTCCCATCCAACATTCGCAAGTGGCAGTGACTAACCTGCCCTTTAGCAAGAGGAGCTCCAAGTCCTGGATTCCAACAATCACCTGGCCCATTTCGGCATCGAGCCCATGCTTCCCTGCCAGTACTCGATTCCCGTCGACAACTTTGACGAAGCCATTGAGATTGCCGTTAAGTTCACAGATGTGGCACTCGGAGTCCTGCAGGACGTTGTCGAACGATACGCCTTGGGCAGTGACTTTACCTTGGCACGCCAAATCTCTTCCCTGATCGGTGAGAAGGGCGAGCAACAAGGCTGGTTCCGCATCATGCAGGGCAAGATTCCCAGCGAACTGCCGTACCCGACCACTGGCGATGTCCACTTCGCCTTTAGTGCGGTTCAGAGCTTCACCGTTCCAGGCAGTTGCCCCAACATTCTCTCCTTCCCGCTCGAGCCTTTCGAGCCTTTGCACGTCATCCAAACTCCCGGCGCGAGAACTGGGGATATTACTGTTTCTTTTGTTGATCACCAAAATATCAGTGACAGCTCCCTGTGGGTGACTTATATCAATCAACAGAACCTGCCAATCGTGGAGCCGTTGAAGGTCATCGCTCGGACAGGCAACGAGGTAACAGGGGAGGCTTTGTTCCCCTATGAAGCACATGGGATGAATGGCTTGACCATTGCCGCTGTCACCACAACCGACGGACCGTTTTCAAATTCCTACGAGGTGACCAAGGTGACTCTCGCTGCGCCTGGCCTTTTTGTTATTAACTGATCGGACCCTTATTGGAGACTGCACTGAAATGCTTAAGGTGGATTTTGACTAAACTGTGCACTTTCTGTTATTATTATGAACTCATGATTGAGCACAACTACATACCATCAAAGACGGGCAAACTCCAGAGATTTATTCTTTTTACCAAACAATCAAACTAGGTAACGTACTCGAAACAGAAAATAAAATAAAACGTATAACGTATTGTAATTAATGATAGACAAAGAATAGAATAGAATAGAATAATACACACAACATATCAATTATATTCCCTTTTCGACCCTCACAGCCCCCTCATCCCCAAATCCCAAGTAGAGTAGCACATAAACCCAATCAACAGGCATACACACCACCCCTCGGAATCAGATCAAACCAAAGTCAATTTCAATCGAAATAAATTTACAGGTTACCCTGTCCAGCATTGGCAGTAACGCTAGAAACAACAGTACCATAAGCAGCAGCAGAAGCAATGTTCTTGCCAGAGAAGTTGCTAAGGAATCCGGTATCAGCCTGGCTGAAAGAACCAGAAGATCCGAATCCGTTGACCTGGCACGAACGACCGAGGTAGCTGCTGCACTTGGCGTTGGTGGTGGTGTCGGGCGAGGTGAACAGCTGGCCGGAGATTGGGGACTCGACGACGGTGGGAATGTTCTGGAAGACGTTGCCTTCGGCTAGGACGTAGCCGCCGGAGCCGATCTCGAAGGCGTGACCGGAGTTGGAGTACCAGTAGTTGTTGACCTGTATTTCGTATTAGTATTAGTATTGTTTTGTTTGATGGTGGGAATTGGCGCTGGCGACGGTGTAACTTACAGCGTGCAGAAGAGTGTTACCCTGGACCTTAGGGGAACGGCCCGAGGTCTTGTAGATGTAGTTACCCTTCATGGTGACGAGGTCGCTAGAGCCGTCAAGGTAGATACCCCAGTAGTGGTAGCCGTCACAGGTGGCGGAGTAGTCGCTGGCGCCGTTGATGAAGCTGTTGGAGATGGTCACGCGCTTGGAGGCGTCGGTGCCGAGGACGATGTGCTGGCGACCAATGCGGGCGGTGGTGACGTGATCAATCCAGACCATGTCGGCGTTGTCGATGGTGATGGCGTCTCCACCCCAGACGTACTTGGGGTTGATGTCGGTGACGGCGACGTTCCTATGTGTTTGTTAGTTATATGGAGTCGATATCTGGGTGTTTGGAGCTTGCTCACTGGATGATAATGTTGCTGGCACCGCTGACGATACGGAGACCCTTGCCCTTGATTATGCCGGCGGAACCGGAGCCCAGCAGGGTCTTGTCGGAGGCAATAGTGATACCGAGGGAACCGGCATTGTCGCTGGAGTTTGGTTAGTGGTGATCTACTTGGATTAGGATGAGAAGGGGGTTTCTTACTAGCTCACGGAGACGGAGGGAGCAGACGACTGGTAGTTCGTGCACCAGTTGTCCTTGTTGATAGCAACCTGGCAAGCAGAAGCAGTGCCCCAGGGAGCGCAGCCGGTACCGGTAGTAGTACCCTCAGTGTTGCGGAAGTCGAAAGTCTTGGTGAGGACAATGACACGAGGGGAAGAGTCACCAAGGTACGAGACCAGCTCGGCGGTGGTGCTGGGGTAGACGGGAGTAGCAGAGCCACCACCAGTAACACCCTTGGCGAAACCCTCCGCAGCGCCGGAGACGGAGATAGCAGCAGCCTGGGCAGCGAGAGCTGCGATGATGGCAGTGAACTTCATATTGAGGTCTGGCACTGTCAGGGAATTGAATTGGAGGTGATGAAGAAAAAGGCGACAGGCCTGTCGGGCATGAATCTTATATAGTCGGCTGATGCACACTAAGATACCAAGTCTTGCACTTGTTCCAGGCTAGCAAACTTGCATGAAGAAGCTCGAGCTCTTGACCCCCACACCGGTCAATCCCCTGGTTCATTTCTTGTCTGAGAAATAGTGAGGCCTCGTGGACCGGCGAATGGCGACCGAAGCCCTAAGGCGTAGTCGATGGGACCATGGGACCACATTTTTGCGGAGAAAGGTTCCATAATGCATCATATCATTCAGGGGAGTCGTCGTGGACGACTCGGAACGGTGGAAGAAATTAGAGAGAGACGCGTTCTAAGTTGTGTGGATGGTGAGATTGATCGCCAATTGGATGTGTCAAACGGTCAAATGGGTAATTTCAGCCACGGCTATATTGTGCAGCGGTAAAAGTAGTAATTTCCAGGAATTAAAGTAGAGTGTTCAAGGCTAGGATGCCGTAAATCAAGCCAGCGTTAGAGGATCAGCGCCGGTGCGTGAGGTTGTTTCACGCTTATGGCTGAAGTCTCCACAATGCAACTGGATGGAGTAAGCTTGCTCCATGTCTGGTGTCGGCGGTTTGCTAGGTTCAGCTTGGTCTCCGGGGGGTTAAATTGGCGTGAGGCCTTGCGAGTTATCTGGTGGAGGTATGTCGTTGGCACTGAGGGGAATGAGCGTTTGGTGAGAATATTTCCGAGAAGGATTCTCCGTCTTGGCAAAATTCTGGGAGTGTAGATTTCCCCTACTCCGTGCAAAGTGTCGATCAGAGGGTTCCTGATTTCGCATCAATGGGATCAAGAACTGCGATGATCACGTCCTGTTCCTGCGGGTCGACCCGGCACCTGATCATGACTGAACCTTGACCATCACCGCCTTATGAGACCCACTGGATGTGTTCAGCAGTAATTTCGGAGAATTGAAGTGGACAGTGTGGACTCATAAATTAACTGCTGTCAACGGCCAATTTCCCCAATAAGGAAAGATTCCATTGTTCTAGAAGAACTTCATATGAAAGTCGGATGATTTCCGAAGTATCCAAACTAAACCATTAGACTTACTCAATTCAAATGAATTCATCTATCCATTAATATATTTTATATCACCAATGATGCGTAGTATACAACATAGACACGAGAAGCCTCACACCGCTATTATAGTCCCCATTTATTTACATGATGACAGGCAAGTTGCGCTGGAGGTATCCGCGCCATTCCGGCAGAGAGCGTTGCCACTTAGTGCCAGAAGACTTCTGCAAATCCTCGATAGCACTGGCGTACTTAATCAAAATCGACTCGGAGAAAGCAGTGTTCATAATGGCAAGGCCGTACGGCATACCGGAGACATCGCTGGTGCCGGCCGGCACGGTGATAACGGGGTAACCGGCCTGGGCGGCGATCTGGATACTCTGAGCGACATCAGGGGGAACCAGAAGACCGTCCAGAGTACGGTTGCCGTGCTTCAGGGCAGCGTCGATACCCTCCTCGCGGGTGGTGCGCTGGCAGAACTCCAGAGCCTGGAAGTAGGTCTCGTTCATGATACCCTTGCTCTCGAGGGAAGCGATGAGACCGTCCTGACCGGAGCCGAAGGCTGGATGGATGCCGGGAGACCACCCTCCGAGCCGTAGTTGTCGATGTTGTACTGGACCAGGTCCTCGACGGTGCGGACGTTGGTGTTGTTGACCTCGGAGAGGTAGTCGCGCAGGTTGTTGTAGAAGTCGACCTTGATGTAAGAGTACTCGGACTCGTTGGCGAAGCCACGGGTGGAACCGTAGTCCCAGTTCCAGCCGTCAGGCGAAACAATCTGCTTGTAGTGAGGCAGCTCGGTGCCGTTGATGACGGTCGCGCCGGCGGACTTGATCAGTTCGACCAGCTCGAGGAGCTGGGAGATCTGGTCAGCGTCGCCGAGAGCCCAGAATGACTCCCAAGGGATACCAAAGACAGCGCCCTTGAGGGCATCCTTCTTGCTCAGGAACTGGGTGTAGCCGCCCTTGGGGGTCAGACCCTTCTGGGCGAGAGTGTAGTTGTCACGAGTGTCAATACCGTAGATGGCATCGAGGGCGTAGACGGCATCACGGACAGTCTTACCAAAGGTACCCACGGTGTCCTGGTGCAGAGACTCCGGGATGACACCGGCGCGAGAGGTCAGACCAACAGTGGGCTTGATGCCAACGATGGCGTTTCTCTGAGCGGGGTTGATGACACTGCCATCAGTCTCGGTTCCAAGGGCGATGGGAACCAGGTTGGCTCCGACAGCAACACCGGGGCCAGTGCTGCTACCACCTGGGTTGACGGTGAAGTTGTAGGCACTACGGCACTGACCACCGCGGGCACTGAAGCCCTCGGAATAGTTGTTCGAGCGCATATCAGCCCACTCGCTTAGAGCACCCTTTCCAAGAAGCAAAGCACCGGCCTTGCGGAGGCCGTTGACGACGTAAGAGTCACGGGGAACAACGCTGCCGAGCAGAGCCCAGCTACCAGCAGTGGTCTCCATGCGGTCCTTACTGGCAATGTTGTCCTTGACAATGAAGGGGATACCGTGGAGAGGACCACGAACCTTGCCCGTAGCACGCTCGGCATCGAGCTTCTGGGCAATGGAGAAAGCATCCGGGTTCAATTGCAGGATAGCACTGGAATACGGTTAGATATTCCATATTCACAAAGGACTCCATGTGTCACATACTTCAAATAAGGCTGCGTCTGGTGAATACGATCCAGGTAGCAAGCCAACAGCTCAACGCTGGTGAAAGTACCATTCGTCAGACGCTCCTGGATCTCATCCACCGTAGCCTCCTCCAGCTTGAAGCCGTGGCAACGGCGCATAGCGAAGAGCTTGGCCCCAGGGGCACCCAGACGAGGGAAGTCATAGGTATAGGGGTTGGTCAGAATCTGAGACGCGACCAAGGTATCTGTCTCCTCATGCTGCTTTTGAGGAACAGCAATGACAGAGCCTGCCAAGGCGAGGCCGCTCACCAGAGTCTGGAGAAAAGGTACCATAATGAGGATGATCAAACTCCACCAAAAACCATGTGGAAGTGTTGATCTTGGGGAGTTCGCCGTGATATACTCCAACTGCAACACAAACTGCTGTGGATCCCTGCCATGACTAATCCCCTTCGGCAACTTTCCCCATTTAGGCGTGTTCTCTTCGCATTTTTTTTGGTTCTTCTGTTCCACAGCATCTATCCAAATGAAACTATTGATTCTTATCTTCCAAACAGAAGAGTCGGTCCCAAACGTGGCGTTTATCCAACCAAGGCCAAGCTTTGTTCTTCCATTAGCGTCAAGATTGTGCGCGATATACGAGAATCAATCTAAACTAGCGCGACTAATAGCTTCCCACCTGCCTAATCAAGTGAATACCTTGTACTATGAAGAGCCTGCAGACCCACTCTGCAACGTCGGAAACAACTTTTGTTCCGAGAGATCGCACGATCTAAGTCCACTATGTCGCTGCTCATTGGTCAGACTTGGTATGCTTCCGACGACTGCCGCGCTCAACTTCAGCGCTACATGGAATTGAGTAGTTTTCGAGGCTCTACGATGACTATTACCACCGAACATATATAGACACATTATGTATAAGAATTGCGAGGTCGTCACTTTTTATTAACATTCTTCAGCAAACCTGGTTCCGCCACTTACGGGACTACGATAATGCCCCACTAGACGCATAGAGTTTGAATTGGCAGGCTTTTCAAGCGATGACCTATGAATGCTATCTTGTCTTGCAAACTGGCCTTGAATTTGCGGAAAAGATCTCCATATATTACACTTCTGCTACGAAGTCAAACATATTGAACTCAATGGTAATTAAAGTCTCGTTTATCTTGGGAGGAATTTCTGATTTGACCAAAGCCTCGGAAGTTTTAAAACCACACTCCATAGATTGATATCCAACGCTCGGCGTTTACCGGAAACAGCACTTCGTTGGTTCCTCAGATCGAGTTCACATTATTGAAAACCAGACCCGCTCCCGCGTCCACTTTCCTCAAGCATTCACACTCAAGAGATCCTTTCATTTTTTGTATAGACAATTTTTTATCTTCATCTGAACCCATACGATGCTTCGCTGATGTACATTCTGATAATGTCACTTGCTTGAATCCTCAGCATGACCATCCCCGCCGATATCCTTGCTGCGTCTGCAGCAGGGAGAATCCCCAGCAATGTCTCGCTGGAATACCTTGCCCAGTCCCGCGATCGCTCCGCCATCGTGGGAATCATTTTCATGGTCTGTCTCACGGGCCTGTTAATGATCTTACGTCTGTACGCCCGAGCCTATATCGTCAAGAAAATCGGTTTGGATGATGCATTGGCCATCTTGACATTTGTGCGTCCTCCACTATTCACCCCAGATCTGCACGGCAACTCAGCCCTACAAATAGCCCCAAGATGGAATGAATATTTGATAACCTAACGTTCCCCCGATTACAGGTATTCTACATACCCATCGTCGTCCTCTGCATCGTCCTCATCAACCTAGGTAGCGGCCGACACATCGAATACATCCAGTATGTCCTCTCCATGCCCACAGTGCGCCAAACCGAAGTCCTCGACTTCGTCGCCCACGTCCTCTACACAACAACCCTTTTCCTATGTCGCCTCTCCGGTCTAGCATTTTACTACCGACTCACTGCACGCTCAACAAAATTACACATGAGCATCCTCGTCGCAGCTCCCCTCCTCTTCGCCGCCTACCTCCCTCAACTCTTCCTCCTGATCTTCCACTGCAGACCAGTAACTGGTCTCTGGCCCTACGAATGGCAAATAGAACCTAGAACCTACAATTGCCTCACCTGGGGCTTGGTCTACTCCGTCAACTCAGGTGTCTCCCTCGCATGCGACATCCTCATGTTCACCATCCCAGCAATTCTCATCAAAGAACTGCATGTTTCAACAAAGAAGAAGGTCAAACTTTCCATCGTTATGTTCCCGGGTGTCTTGTAAGTCCCACCAACCCCCACAATCCCCATCCCAATCTAACTAACAACCCCCAGCGTAATCGTCATATCAGCAATCCGCGTCTGGCTAGTGGCAATAGGCCAATGGGACCCAGACGGCAGCTGGGCCTATAACCCAATGCTATGCATCGAGAACGCCGAAATAGCAGGCACATTAATCGCGCTCTCGGTGCCAGCCCTTAAGCCAGTCTTCGGCAACGTCTTTGCCCACCTCACTGAATACACATCCAGCCACACGCGCTCCCGATCCCGGTCGACGAAGCTGCGCAGCCTTTCCAAGCCGCTTAGTGGTGTTGCGTCTAGTAATCGCGATAACAAGCGGTTGATTAATTGGTCGAAGCTTGGTGGTGATGATTATGAGATGATGCCTAGTGAGGTTTCTGTTGGGACGAGGGATGGAAACCATGGACAGGGGGATGGGGCTAGTGCCAGGGGTGTGAATTTGAAGGGGCCTGGTATTCACGTTACTAATGTTGTTGATGTTACTAGGGTTGAGAGTCCTGAGGGAACTAGGGGGGTTCTGGGTTGGTTTAACAAACTATATGTAATTTATATAATTTAGAATTTTGGGTTCTTTGTTTCTTGATTCGGGGCTGTATGCTGTTTAAATCTTGTCTGTGGTAAGTTAGCTTTGTGGGGATATATGTAGTTTTTCGTCGCTATATATCAGGCCACGTCACGGCTTCGGACAGAACAACAGCGAGGCTCCGACATGGATTTATGATATCTCGTAAGAAGCATTCTTTCAAGGCTTTTCATTCGCAGAGACGTATGTATGGTCTTACCTTCTTTTGGAATAGTTGAAACAGCGTCCATTGGCTGATTATCAATCACGCATGCTTACCAACATTCAGGACACTTAAACCTCAAGGTTATGACGCAAAGCTATCATTTCTCCTTCATTTAATGAAAAGAGCAATATATAAAAGGCCATACGACGTATTGAAAACTAATATCTATTCAATATACTACAATTGGCTTGTTGTGGTGGTTGGCTAGAAAAACGATCGTTCTACTCCCAACATGACTCTCAAGTATCTAGTCACAGGAGCAACCGGTGGCCTTGGCTCACAGGTACTCTCTCACCTTATTGCAAATGTCCCCAGATCAGAAGTCGCAGCAGCATCCTCGAAAGAGGCAAACCGCAAACAATTCGAAGACCGAGGGATCGCCTTTCGGGTGGTCAACTACGAGGACCCTCAAACGCTGGAGTCCGCATTCGAAGGCGTGGAGAATCTGCTTTTTGTGAGCACCAATACCTTCGACGTCGAGAAACGCCGCAAGCAACACCAGAGCTTTGTGGATGCAGCGAAGAAGATGAATGTCAAACATGTGAGTCGATCGATCTCTCGATCAAATAGCCCAACTGATGTTTGTCGCAGGTGTGGTATACATCTCTCGCGTTCGGTGGATACGGTTCGGATTCCAAGGCGAATGTCCAACAAGCCCATCTATTGACAGAGGAAATGATGAGACAGTATGTCTAGGCCCGACCGTGAGCTCCGTCAGCACCGCTAACCCCAGCCAGGGCTGATATCAACTTCACATCTATCCGGGAGGGCTTATACACCGACGCCTTCCCAGTGTTTATGGGGTGGTATCCCAGCACATCAACCATCTACCTCCCATCTGACGGCCCGGTAGCATTCACCCTGCGAGCAGAGTTAGGTGAAGCCACAGCGCGATTGATGATGCGTGGAGGACATGACAGGGAGATCGTACTCCTCACTGCGCAACAAACCATCACGTTCTCGGGCATTGTGGATGTAATCAACGAGACAACCGGGCGACAGGTTCAGTTCAAGCTTGTTTCTCCGGAGGAATTCGCCACGTTAAAAGCAGCAAATGACGAGGGAGGAAAGTCGGAAGGGTTCTTCCAGGCCTTGATATCTTGGTATGATGCGATTTCGAAGGGGGAGACGAGCACAATCGATCCTCTTATGGCGGACTTGTTAGGACGGGATCCCGTGTCGCCGCGGGATGCCATTCGGGATCTGCTGACGAGGGATCGGGACTATGAGTGGCATCAGAACTATGTCAATCGGGGTTAGTGGTCCAAATGTATATATGAAAGATGAAGCCAATGCGAATGACAATGGCAATGACACGTGAGACTGTATGACGATTCCGAGGCAGGGCGGAGTAGCAGTTATCCTTTCGGCAACCAGAGCCGGAGTGGCCTGGCAGCCTGAGGCAGCAATTTTGTGGATTTGGGGGATCCAGGATCAATGGGGGAGATAGAAACAGTTCAGGTAACAGAGCAGGCAGTCATCTTCCATCCCATCATGTTTCCCAGATCGATTGAGACCAACTCCCAGTAGCAGTCGGAAGTGTTGTCGGCAGTAGACAATTCCCTTCGAGGAACGACGCCGTGTCCGCCCGACGCTTGCAATTACCCTAGCTGTGATTGGCGGAAAGTGAATGAGTCAGCAAGTAGCCGACTCTCAAACCCGAGGTTAGTGTAGAGACTCCTTTGGACTTCATTTTGTCATTGATTATTTGGTTTCTGGAAACTGAGATCCCTAGAGATCCTGTTTGACTACTGATTACTTGATCATCTCCCCTCTTTCACTCTAATCAACCTCTATTCAGCTCATTGCTGTCCTTTCTCTCCATCTCTTCCTCTCCAGGTGTTTTTTCACCTTCCGATCGCCCGCCATGGCCTCCTCCGCACCACCTCGCGCCTCTTCGCGGCGTCGCGGCCGATGTTCCGCCCTGCCTTCGCCCGCACCTATGCGACTGTTGAGCCTACTCCCAGCGAGCAGCCCAAGATGAAGACCTTCAAGGTCTACCGCTGGAACCCGGACCAGCCCAGCGAGAAGCCCCAGATGCAGTCCTACGACCTCGACCTCAACAAGACCGGACCCATGATGCTCGATGCTCTCATCCGGATAAAGAACGAACTCGACCCTACCCTGACTTTCCGTCGATCTTGCCGTGAGGGTATTTGTGGTTCCTGCGCGATGAACATTGACGGTGTCAACACCCTCGCCTGCTTGTGTATGCATTCCCCACTCGATCAGCGTCCCGTAGTCTTGAACCGAGCTAATCGTACCTCTGTGTAGGCCGCATTCCCACGGATACCAAGTCCGAGTCTCGCATCTACCCTCTGCCTCACACCTACGTCGTCAAGGACCTTGTCCCTGATCTGACCCACTTCTACAAGCAATACAAGTCTATCAAGCCATATCTCCAGCGCGACACCCCTACTGAAGACGTAAGTCATTGACTCACGCGTATTGCCAACCACAGCTAACATCTGCCAGGGTCTCGAATTCCGCCAAAGCCCCGAGGACCGCAAGAAGCTCGACGGTCTTTACGAATGTATTCTTTGCGCCTGCTGCTCAACCTCCTGCCCATCCTACTGGTGGAACAGCGAGGAGTACCTCGGACCCGCCATTTTGCTCCAGTCCTTCCGCTGGCTGGCCGATTCCCGTGATGAGAAGACCGCTGAGCGCAAGGCTGCTCTCGACAACAGCATGAGTGTCTACCGTTGCCACACCATTCTCAACTGCACACGGACTTGCCCCAAGGGTCTGAACCCCGGCCGCGCCATTGCCGAGGTCAAAAAGATGTTGGCTGTCTAGATTCGGATCTAAAACGGAGTACGGAATTTCCTTTTCTGTCCAATGTGTTTCCAGCTGTTTTTCCTATGTTTCTCTTCTATACTTGTTCTATTTTTGTTCCGCTTTTACGGATGTTTTCATAGGTGTAAATTGTGGACTTTTGTTTCTTACAGGAACGCACTGGTAGTCCATTCGGCATTATAGCGCAAAACTTGTATTGTATTCATTCTTTTCGTTGTAAGTCTACTCTATCAGTATCAGTTTAAAATGAATGTCTATACCCCGTACCCTACAAACAATGCTAAGCGAACCCCAGAGCATTTACCCCGGCGGCTATATGTTCTACCCCAAAGCAGTCAACAGCGTATGACTTCACAAGTCGTAATAAGGGAAAACGTGATTACCAATCTGGGCTGTTAGCACAGTTGGTAGTGCGCCCGCTTCGCATCCGCGAGCGTGCGGGAGGTCCTGGTTTCGATTACCAGATAGTCCACATTATTTATGTCTTTTTTCGCTCTCGCTCTTTTTATTTTTTTATTTTTAATAAATTGCTTTTTCCACTATTCTCATTTTCTATCGCGCTGCAGCTAATACCAGCCTAGTTCACTCCGACTCCATCCCCAAATTTCTAATTGGACCGTTCGAATCCTGGCTCGCACGAGGTGGATTGTATATACCATGCATGCTGTACCTCAGCGCCCATGTCACATTGGCTCAGCAGACATACTAGTACACTATCCATTGTTACCAGGGTCGCCGGCAGGTGTATTGTTTTCGCGCCGGTCCTAGCGCGAGATGCGCCTGCATGGGGCGAGATCGGATGATTTGCTCAACGAATCGCCGCGCCGAATATGTATACTTAGTAGGGGGCATGAGCTGTCTCTGCTCCGGTCTTCCTATCAGGATTAGGTAGTAATGCATTGATCGTATGGAGGCTCTAAATTATCTATTATGAAATATGGAGTTCAAAGCATTATCTTATATTAATTACCCTGCAGGTCCCTGTAGGTTCTTTTTCTTCTTCTTTCGCTCTTGTCCCTCTTATTTTTCCTTCCGATACTGTAATCTGTGCTCTTGAGCCTCACCCCTTCCTGCTACTTTTTGTATCACCATGATGGATTACACCGGAGTCTTGGCGACATCGATTTTCGGGTTTTTGGCGCTGCGAACTGTTTACCATTTGTATTTTCATCCGTTGTCCAAATTCCCAGGTCCGAAGATTGCTGCTGCTACTTTCCTTTATGAGTTCTACTACGATATTATCAAGAGTGGCATGTACATTTGGGAAATCGAGCGCATGCACGAGAAATACGGTAGGTATATAACTTACTTCATGTCGGAAGTATATAACGAGATATCACCAACTAACATCAATCAGGCCCAATTGTGCGCATCAACCCACGAGAGATACACATAAAAGACCCCTACTACTACGACGAAATCCACGCCGGCAGCGCGCGCAAAAGATCAAAGGACCCCAAATACGCCGTGGCTTTCGGCGCACCCTCTTCCCTAGTAGGAACAATAGGCCACGACCACCACCGCTTTCGCCGCAACATCCTAAGCAACTACTTCTCCAAACGCTCCGTGCAAAGCCTGAGCCCGTTAATCCACGAGAAAGTCGACAAACTCATCAGCAACTTCGAAAAAGCATACAAAGCAGGCACCGTCCTCCGTCTCCATTTGGACTTCGCGGCCCTAACCGCCGATGTCATCACCCACTATTCTTACGGCTGGAGCCACGGCTACCTAGACGATAGCGCCGGCTCGCGCAGCAATGATCTCGCCGACGCTGTTAATGGGTTGATGGTCATGTTTCATATTAACCGGTTCTTCCCGTTCCTGATTACGGTTTTTAGGGCTGCGCCGCCGGCTCTGTTGCGTTGGTCGCAGCCTTGTATGGCTGATTTGTTTGATTTGAAGAGTCGATTGCGGAGACAGGCTAGTGAGACTGTGAAGAAACAGCAGGAGACGAATGGTACAGACGGGGAGGGGCGGTCGACTATTTTTCATGCGTTGACTAGTTTGGATGTGCCGGCGAATGAAAGGGGCCTTGATCGCTTGGAGGATGAGTCCGCTTTGCTTCTTGGCGCTGGTACCGAGACTACTGCGAGGGCGATTGCTGTTTCGGTGTTTTATCTTGCGCGGGATAAGGATCTTCTTGATAAGTTGCGTGTTGAGTTGAAGACTGTTCTTGAGACGCCGTCGTCTAGGGCCTCTTGGACAGACTTGGAGAAGTTGCCTTATTTGGTGGGTTACTATCTTTCCTCTGGGAGTAATTTGAAGAATTGCTGACTTGTTATTCTTTTGTTAGACGGGCGTTGTGAACGAAGGTCTTCGTCTTAGCCATGGCATGACAACTCGCCTAGCTCGGGTTTCGCCGACCGAGCCTATGTTCTATAACGACTGGGTAATCCCCGCCGGAGTAAGTATACAATACTCTTTCTTCGTTTACAATATTCTGAGCGCCGATAATCTAGACCCCTGTCAGCCAATCAAACTACTTCGTCCACATGGACTCAACCCTCTTCCCAGAGCCCGAAAAATTCGACCCGGAGCGCTGGATTCGCGCCGCAGAGAAAGGCGAATACCTAAATCGATTCATCGTCTCGTTTACAAAGGGAAGCAGACAGTGTCTCGGAATGAAGTGAGTTCCACTTCATCCCATCCCTCCCCGCCCCTAGCATGAATTGACTCCACATTCTTGCGGTGTACATGTACTAACAGAAAACAGTCTTGCCTATGCCGAGATTTACCTAGCTCTGGCTCATATTGCGCGTCGTATTGATTTCGCACTTTACGAGACTACCGTTGATAATATCGCTGTTTATCGCGATTTGGGTATTGGATGTCCTAAGGTTGGTTTCTTGGGTGTTAGGGCTATTGTGACGGGAATTGTGGAGGTGTGAGATTGACAGAAAGTATATTGTAATTTTCTGATGTTTATATTAATTTGAGTCAATTGGTTTGTGATTAGGTCTGTGACGCAGCTTTTGTAGTACTTTTACATGTATTCTGGGATTATGAATTATGTGCTGGGCGTGTTTAGAATTTTCTTAGTTTACTGTTGTACTTAATCCTACGTGTTCTTAAGTTACGGTTGGCAGCTGGGCTGATTTAAATTGGGACTGACATGCAGACAGGGGTCTTAGTCTGGAAGTGTCCTTCCTGTTTCGGTGCATACATATATTAGTTTCTATTCGTTGCGAGAATTTAGCATTACGCACATGCACGCATCAATTATTTGCGGTTTTAATATCCAGGGTCTCGGGTCCGCCGGTAGTCTCATGCCTAATTGGGTTAGTTGTTTATGTACGTCGCATGGCTGGATATCTGATGGCAGAACTTATGGATTAGCTTGTATTTGCTTTTTTCTTCCTGTTGTTGACGTGTTGTATCCTGGTTCTTGCAAACAGGAATTTAAATTGGGTTAATGCAAGGCGAATATTTATTCTGGGCAATACACTGACAGACACAATATATTTGCTAGGCGTTCACAACTAATGCTTTGCAGACAGTCTAGCCGTATGAATTGCACGTTGTACTTCATTCTTTTGCTTCCGTCGTGCGATATATATGTCTCACCAGATTTCATAAGATTCTTCGGCATACCCCTTCATCTCCTATCTCGCTTCGCTTGCCATTTAAGAGCGAAGAAGATAGTAATAAAGAGCACAGAAGCCAAGACAGAAAGACCGAGATAGAGCTTCGCACCAATTTTCCAATGTGGTGCCTCAGCAGCGGGGAAGGCAGCGATAGGCAAGAAAGCACTGAAAAGGTACGAAAAGAGAGTCCCAGTTGCAAAGAGAACCGTTCTCACTTGAGGTTCTTTTTCAAGATGTGCAGCTGCCCAAGCACAGAGGAGCATAGTTGAAACCCTGTCATTGTTAGTAAGAATGATCATGCTAAGTGAATTGCGATACTCACGCTCCAACATAATTCATATACCAACCGACCATATAAGCACTCTCACTTGCAGGTCGTATGACTAGGATGATTAGTGATGTGATATTGATCGTCTATTATTTAAATTAGTATCCCTTGTTTTATTTTGCTTGATAAATGCTTACTGAGTGGAGAAGCAAAAATGGCAGCCGAGTACCAAGATAATCACTAAATCCGCTGAACAGGAGCTCGGCAACTAGTTGAATAGCCTGACCCGCAATTGGCAAGTAGTTGAGCATTGCAACCGAGCTACATACTGATTAGGTTTTGTCTTTGATGGAAGAGGTAGTTCTTACTATTTCCGGGTTCCATCGGGGTTTTTCAGCGACTTGAGCCAGAGGTTGAAATAGTTCGAAGGTGTCTGGTTTGTTCCAATAGACCAAGCAACTATTGAGTGTGATCAAAATGATGAAGCTATAATACGAACATAAGGACCAATTGACTTACTCGCAAACAGCCAGATATGCCAGAATTTAAAGCATCGTAGGAAGGTCTTGATGGTAATTCCTACCTGGGGATCGCGGCCAATTCGGCGAGTCCGTTCTTGCGCAACCACTTCATCATAACTTTAGTGAGCTTGTTCAAAAATTTCGCGTATTTAGATGCACATACCGAGATCTTGAGGCCTTAAGTAGAATTTGGCAAGCGGATTCGGACGATCGGGCTAAATAGTCAGCGTGCACCAACAAGTTGCAAGAACTCAGTACTTACAAAACCAGGTAGAAGAATGAACGCAATCAAAGCCACAAATATAGTGCAGACACCCTAAAAGATCAAAACGTATTCTAAATTTTCGGAAAAATTGGAAGGCCGCTCACATTAATGATGAATGCCCATCGCCAGCCGGTTCGACCCAGAACACCCTCAAGATTAGTTGAAAGAGCACCCTGCATCGCGCCAGATAACATAGCTCCGACCGGTTGGGCAATGTTATAGAGACTCATCCGAAGAGCCATTTCATGCGGTAGGTACCATTGACTAAAGTGCAGAGTCAATACGTGCTTTGTTGAAGAAAAGCAAAGTGCTCACCTAATGATGGTGAAATACCCTGGCCATGTTGCGCCTTCAAAGAAGCCGATCAGAAAACGAAGACCATAGACCTACACCTGAAATTAGAAAAGGTTCAATGAATGGCGTGTTCATATTTACCTGCTTTGCGCTGGTGACCGTAGATAGACAGCAAGTCAACACGCCCCAAATTACCTGGTAAGGCTGTTAGAAAATTCAACCTAGATATAGCAGCGTGCATTTCAGTTACCTCGCATGCGGGCAGCCAGATTGATGGACCAATGTGAGATATTATGATGCATGATGGATATAACATAATCATATACCCGATGCTATTCGTGTCAGTGAGAACAGTATAATGAACAATGGTCTGCGTACTTGAAGAAAGTCGTAAAGTAGTTAAGCTCATTTCCATACAGCTTTAGATCTGTCTCCATTCCGGAGACATAGGCATTGCTCTTTGAGCTAGTCAGATTGATATTTCTTCGAGGGTCACAGATAAACCCACAATATTGGTTTGGTCTAGGTATTTGAAGGCATAGCCTAGGAAGCCAATCGTTAAGAAAAATAAATCTAGACGCCGTACCTATAGAAAAACATCAGTATCGAAGAAAATGCTTACTGATTTGAGATATTTGGCCATAATTACTAGAGCTCTCTCTTGTTTTGGGTCGGTTTCGACGACGGAAGAGACCGTGCTCGTAGCATTTTTCGTATTGGAGAGTATCCGTGAGATCATGATGTCGCCTTAGAAAGATTTTACCATATTAAAATGACATTTACGGACTAACTGCCTACTTTTAAGCTGGAAAGAAATAGTGCAATCGCTGGGATGGAATGGCATCATCAGACTAAGAGAAGACGTATTTGTTGCCATAACGCCGCTAATTAAGCTAAGTGTGTTTTGACGCTTATATAGAGGAAACACAAGGATTCCTCCAGCTGTTATTCTTTGAAGCGTAACTATCATCCTACTTTTCGATGCAAAATTGTGCCGTAAGTCACGATTGCTGATGGAGGAGAGACAGATCACACCATTACAGCTACAATGGCAGTATCATAGATAGCCGATAGCCTAGCGCCTCTCTTTCAATGCAGCAGCAATTTGGCCCCGATATTGTGCCATTTTTATCTTCTTTCATAGCGATGGAGAGGGACCGAGTAATGAGCAGCCTACTTCATTTTGAACTACCTCTTTGCGATAATTGCTCTCAGCCGGGATCGGGCCACGCCCGACTATAGCAGTGAATATAGAGTAATAATACTGCACGGAGGACCCGAAAGGCTGTTGTTTGCTTTTTCTCGAAAAGCCGATCGTAACCCGAAGTGGTATTATCACCGTCAACACCATTAGCATTGGATGCTTATGATATTCGTACAACTGGCCTACAGTTCAATTGTTTTGGCATATTGTTTCTGCAACATTCGAAAAGAGCTCACAATTTGAATATTTTAATAAAAAAACCAATAGCATAATGCTTGAGAGCTTTTGATTGAATTAATTCAATACAGGACGTTTGACCTATCGAACTAGGCCTATTAATCGAGGGGCGGGATCATGCTCGATGCAACCCAACTAAACCAGAGTCATAGCGCTGGGACAGCGATACTAACTCACACAATATCCAGAGTATGTGAGTAAAAGAAGGAATAACACCAACCAGCCCTATTTCTGTGCAAATAAGGCTGGTACAATGTTGTCATCAGGGTTGTGCTGCAAGGGGTGGACAGGGTTGCCAGGGGAATACCTCTCGCGTGCCGGACGCCCCTACACGCTCTTCGTTAGTCCCTGTCAACAATCCTTTGTAAAATTACGGTGTTTTGATTAGGCTGGAGAGGGTCCCTTGGCTAAAGTCTCTAGAGTCAATCCCAACTGGCAGAGACAGTAGATGAGGAAGTTAACAGCGATCATATATCCATTGGAAAATTAGATGCAAGTTCTCTGTTTATTGAAATTTACTCCACACGATTGGTCTGACACTAAAACCAGGAGCCTCAAGTGCGCCACCATGTCAACCTTAGTAATTCTGGCATCATGCAGGTACAACTCAAGTTGCGCGCCTTGATTATGTTGCAAAACGATGATCGACAGTTACTTCCTCTTGAACAAGCTCTGAACAACCTCTAACAAGCTTCCCTGGGCAGGTCCTCGGCCGATCATTCCACAGATCAAACATAACTCGGGGCTTGGCTCCATGTCCCTAAGCCAGCCCTTCCTCCAGCCCTCCCATGCCCATAGGACACAATGCACCCTTCTGCTATGCTACAGTCGTCACCCCACCAGCCCAGCGATGCTGATCCTTATCAATATAGGCGCGAGGCATGGACGACGCGGCAGATCACAAACCATAATAGACAGATACAGCGTGTTATACTTCTCTACATAAAAGCCATTATATCCCTTTGTCCCGGTCGCGCAAGTCTTTCATTTTCTTTGACCCTTTATTCATTCATTCATTCGCCTCAAATAGGCCTCTGACCAACTACACATAATGCACTACTCATACATCTCCTTGGCGCTCCTCGCCGTCGGCGCTATCGCGGCTCCCGCTGCCCCTCGCGCTGGCTCCGATGCTTTCGGCGACTTGAGCGAAATGACCTCTGGCTTCCCCTTTGGTCCATCGGGCTCGTCTACCGTTACAGATGAAGATAACGATGAAGGATTTGGCGACTTCGGCGATGGCCTTTCCGGGGCCATGGATGCTTACCAGCAGGCCCAGGCTGCCAAAATGTCCGCCCAAAACCCTAGCAGCCCCCCTAGCCCTACCAACGCTGTGATGGCTACCCCCGACGCGCCCGAGCCTGATGCGCCGGCAGCCGAGCCCATGGCTGATATTCCTCCCAAGCCAGAGGCCCACGAAACACCAGTCAAGCCGCTGGTGCCAGCCGTTCCGGCCGTTCCTTCTGTCAACGCCGAGCCTAGCCACATTACGCCTACTCACTCTGTTAAGGCCGAGCCTACTCACGCCATGAAGGCTGAGCCAACCCACTCTATCCAGAACTTCCAGGATGCCATGCAATCGCAGGCCTCCGCTCCTGTCCCTGTTGTGACTGAGGCTCCTATGGTCTCCAAAGCACCCATGGTTTCTCAGGCTCCCGTGGCTACCCCAACCTCTACCCACGCTCTAATCCACTCCCATGCCAAGAGCAGTTCCGTTGCCGCTTCGTCTTCCAGTGCTACTCCCTCTCCCAGCGCAACTGCTGCTCCTGGTCCTCTTGGCAGCCTTGTCGGGGGTCTTCCCGTTGTTGGAGGACTTGTTAAGGGTCCCCTTGCTGGCCTTGGTCTCCGCCGTTAAATTCAGTATCGAAGTGATAATATGCTGTGTACGATGTGGGATACCCTTTGTATCAAATAGTTATGTTGGTCACTTCCGCTCTTTTTTGTACTTGAATACCTTGGCAATCGGTTGGTGACATGTCTTTTTCTCCGGGAAGCTTTTATATACCAAGAAATTTAATTCATAGAATTCGGTAGCGGAGTTTGCTATCTGGATACTTTTCGTCTTTTATGAATGTCATATTGTCAAGTTCGCTCAACTCTATCTAATTAGACGGGTATCTCCCCCCAGATCCCAACCGATCAATACACCCCTCAACAGCCTTCTGCATCGCATTTGTCGCCTCCTCAAGCAAAGTAGTCAAAGGTACTTTCCCAGCCATCTCCGACTGCACCCGAACATACTCATTATTCAAGACCTTATTAATATTGATTTTGGACACGCCACAATCAATACACTTTTGAAAGATCTCCTCAGTGAACGGATCAGCCCCATGCAAAACAAGCCTAACCTCACCCCCAACAGCCTGATTAATAGACTGCAACCGCTCATACTCCAACTGAATCCCCCGCGGCCCATACTCGCCATGCACATTCCCAAAAGCAGGCGCTAACCAATCAATGCCCGTATCGACAAACTCCCGACTCTCCTCAGGAGTCGTCAAAAGACCCTCCAAATCCGCCGTATCCGCAACCCCATCTTCACCACCCTCAATCCGACCAGGTTCCGCCTCCGTCGCGATCCCCCGCGCGTGGCAGTACTCCACCAGCTCGCGGGTTAGCGCGAGGTTCTCCGCTTTCTCGTAGTGTGACATGTCGACCATGATGCTGTCGAAACCGCCCAGGTCGGCTGCGTACCGGATTATCTCGGGGGTTTGGGCGTGGTCCATGTGCACGGTAATTGGGACACTGGCTTTGCGGGCTGCTTCGGCGGCAGCGTGTACGAGGATTCCGTCCGCGTAGTGTATTGCCCAGGGGAAGAGGAGAATCATTGCTGCGGAGCGTTTGGCTTCGGCTGCGCGTACTGTTGCTAGGATGCCTTCCACATTGTAGCAACACATTGCGGGGATACCGTAGTGGTTTGTAGCGGCATGGTCGAGGATGCGCAGGGCGCGGTTCTCTTTGAGGGACATTGTGTGATGTGTGAGGGGCTATAGTAGAGGCAAGAGAGAAATATGCACCAATAAATCTAGTCTCAATGCTAAGTTGAAGGTTATATAGTCGGGTTGGGGTGAGGTTGGTCGCATGTTGTCCGACCCTCGGAGTTAGGCCGAATTGCCCGCTACGTCACTTGGGATGTGGGGGAAACACATAGGAGACTCGGAGCGATTCGGATAGTTTTTAATATGATTTTAGGGTCAAATTAGATGCAGTTAGGTGTACTTGGAGCTTGCATGTCTTTACATTTCTTTACGCTGACCACGAGTCTAGTTTTAGGACCTCCCAAGAGAGTTGCTGATGTCTTGAGACGTTACCTGTGCCTTGGTGAAGTTCAGATTAGTTTACCTTGTGCTATTTCATGACATTCGGGCGTATTGAATCGCATGTTTTCCGAGTCGTCAGTCCCCAAGCCGCGTGCCCTCAATTCGCGTGGAAGCTATAGATCGCGACTCTTAGGGACGAACTATGCAATATTCTTTAGTTTTTTTATAGATATAGTACTATCCATAGATTTCCTTTCGAAAATATAAGTAAGTCACTAATAGCTATCCCTTTTCCGTAGTGTTATATCTAGATAAGTATAGTGAAGCATAGTCGTGGACAGGTGTTCGGTGAACTCTCCGAACCTATGCAAAACATTAGCAACCCTGAAATACTCTGACATGGACCCTTAACTTCTCGATTATCCAATCGGCAACACGGAAAGTCGGATAACCCCAGGATATCCAAATTCGGCTCGGTTTAGGCTAAAGCCAAGGGATCTATGCGGTACTCGGACTTCGCCCGAATCATCCCACCGGGGCCCTCATTTCCCCAGACAAGTTCCCCTCACATAAAACCCCCACGCGGGCATCGATTCATCTTTAATATTCAGCACATCCACTCCCTGGAGGTTGTAAATATCCTCTGCCTTTGTCTATATACCCACTTTTTTCATATATCACCATGTCTAAACCGTCCATTGGCTTCGTCGGCCTAGGAGCCATGGGCTTCGGCATGGCCACCCACCTCGTCAAAGAAGGATACCCAGTCCACGGCTACGACGTGTTCCCCGCATCAGTGGAGCGCTTCAATGCCGCAGGCGGAATCCCAGCATCCTCGCTGCTCGAGTCCGCCCAAGATAAGCAGTTCTATGTTTGTATGGTGGCGTCAGCGCCGCAAGCACAGAGCGTGCTTTTCGGCGAGGGTGGTATTGTCAAAGGTAAGCTGAATACATATTCAATGGATATTAAAAGGGGCAAGTTACTTAAATTCTCCAACTAGCCCTCTCCCCAAACGCAACTCTCCTCCTTTGTTCCACTGTCCCGGCTACCTACGCCCAATCTGTCGCGGCAGAGCTTCAATCCTGCGGCCGCGGCGACATCCTCTTCATTGATGCGCCTGTTTCAGGTGGAGCCAAGCGCGCTGCTGACGGTACACTTTCTATCATGGCCGGCGCATCGGATGCCGCGCTGGAGAGCGGGCGGTTCCTGTTGCAGGCTATGTCCGACTCGAACAAGCTGTACCTTGTGCCTGGTGGTATTGGCGCGGGTAGCAACATGAAGATGGTCCACCAGGTTCTGGCGGGAATTCATATTCTTGGTGCTAGTGAGGCTATGGGCTTTGCGGCGCAGTTGGGTCTTGATGCGATCAAGACTGCTGATGCTATTAAGTCTTCTGATTCTTGGACATGGATGCATGAGAATCGCTTGCAGCGTATGCTGGAGGAGGATTGGCATCCTGGTGCTAGTGCTCTGACTATTATTCTTAAGGACGTGGTAATTACCTCCTGTTCTTCCGGCTTGGGTTGGGTTATGCGCAACCGCTAATTGACATGTTCGTTGTTTTTAGGGCATTATCACCACGTCTGCTCGCCAAAGCCATTTCCCGACTCCTCTTTGTTCGGCCGCTGAGCAGGTTTATCTCTCTGCTTTATTGCAGGGATATGGAGCTGTGGATGACTCTTCCATGGTGCGCCAGTACTTCGCGGAGCCAATTATGAAGGTCTCCAGCACTAAGTCCGCTGAGGAAACTGCCGAGTCACTTCGGCTCGTCCTCGATTTGATGGAGGTGACCAATCTTGTTGCAGCAGCCGAAGCTATTGCATTTGCACGCTACCTCAATGTCGATCTCAAGCAGTTCTTTACCCTTGTCAGTGATGCTGCCGGAGCCAGTCGGCAGTTCATGACGAAGGGATTAGAGATGATTGAGGGACGTATTGGAGAGGGCGCTGGGTCCGAGACCATTGATGCTGCTATTTCTCGTCTGGAGAAGGCTTCGCAAAAGGCGCGGGACCTTCACTGTCCGTTGAATCTGGGTAATGCTGCTTTGAGTGTGCTGTACATTTCCAAGAGGTCGGGGCTGGGTGCTGAAGGGAGCACTAGTGTGATGAAAACTTTTGGCAACTAATTTAGATATACCAATATTTGTTTGCAAGTTTGATCAATTCTGTTTCTTTGAATTCAATATTTCATGTATTCTTTTCGGTCTATCCGCAACTGCATGCACTTTTCTCACCTCTTTTCTCACCCATTTTCGAGTGTCTCCGGTTGTAGGATATCTTCATCTGCATTCGTTCTTGCATTACAATGCTGGCATGACATGGTTGCCTTAGTCCATAGGACTATTTAGTCTGCTGCTCCATAGAAAATTTGGATCCTGAGCTGCTTTAAATGCACGTCATCTCCAACTTTGCCAGTTTTGAGCACCTCGCTGCCAGCTGAGTCCAAGCGCGCAAAGATGGCGCAGGGTTGAGGATGTTTCGTCTTCATGTGATGAATCAGCGGCTCCATACCCTCCTCAGAGCAATTCCGGTCCTCCCTAGTCATTGTTTCAGCCTTAATTCTCAGAATGCCGTGACAATAAGAACCAGCTGCTATTGTAGTTGTGACGAAGGCTTTCAGAGCAATGCATCTACAGAAAGCATGTTGAAAGCACATATAATCCTCGTTATTAATGTTTGTTTCGTCATTCTTTACTAATCATGAATCGTTATTCTAGACGCAGTTACGGTCACTTAGCCAGGCCGAGTACTAAGTAGTAACTGTGTATCTAGGCCATTCTCTTGATCACTTCAAGAAAGGGAGAGATTCCACGAGCTTCTGGTCGAGGGGCTTTGGTCCACGTCACCATTTTCTAAATAGTCACACGTGACGGGGGTAGGGACTATATCAGCAAGGATGGAGTAGCCCAAGCGTAAATCGCACAAATAACTCTCACTTCAAACACGTCCACTATCATGGCCGGTAACACTACTCCCAACCTTGCAGTTCTCATTGACGCGGACAACGCCATGCCATCTAGAACTAAGTCCTTACTTGCAGAGGTCGCAAAATATGGCACAGCTCATGTGAAGCGGGCTTATGGGGATTGGACTAGCACCAACTTGAATGGCTGGAAGGAAGAGCTTCTCATACGGGCGATCCAGCCGATGCAGCAGTTTGCGTACACTAAGGGCAAGAATGCGACTGACTCAGCTATGATCATCGACGCAATGGACCTTCAGTACCAGAAGCACCTTGACGGTTTCTGTCTCGTCTCTAGTGACAGTGACTTTACTAGGTTGGCCGCTCGTATTCGCGAATCTGGACTAACTGTGTACGGATTCGGGGAGCAGAAGACGCCTAAGCCCTTCGTCGCTGCCTGCGATAAATTTATCTATACCGAAAACCTTGTGTACCATGAGGAACTTATGCCACATCCCGATAGGGTTATTGTACCCAAAAATCGTGTTCCAGTACGGCAGGCCCGGGCAGATGACCACTTAATAAGTCTGCTACATACGACGGTGGAGACGGTCTCCGATGACGATGGATGGGCTGAGCTCGGTCGTATCGGTATTATTCTCACCAAAAAACACCCTGACTTCGACTCTCGTACCTACGGATACTCTAAGCTTAGCGATCTAATCTCTACCTTGCCTCTGTTTGATGTTATCCGGCACCCTCCTCGAGAGGGTAAACCTGAAGGGATCTACGTGCGCGATAAGCAGCGGAAGGACAAGAATCGTGCTAAATGATAAACAAAAATGGTCATCGTTCTCGACGTACAAAAAGCGGCGTATCTCCACTGTCTTCCAATTCATCACTCTCCCCCTTCGCATGCCCCGTTCATCTTCCTTGGTACGTTTGGCGTAAAGAACCTACGTAAGCTGTCGGTCTTTTCTAATCTGACCGATCGTCTGTCCGAGGATGCCACTTTCAATCCATCAAATCTGTTGGGCATCCCAAGTCAATATAGCTATTCATTAACTGAATCATGTCTTTTAACAGCCTGTTTTCTACCCAAGATTCTAGTCATTACATATTGAACTTGTAGACCAAATTAAATCCATTGGCGATCCAAGCTGCCCAAATACAAATACGAGAAAATGGTTCATTACTGAAACACGCGTGTTTTGAATTTTACCTTAACTGAAGAGAAATTTCTACAAGAAATAAGGAATATAAAAGGGGAAAAAAACACAACAATATCACTCCTCAAAATCCGGCGTCAAAGCAACATCAGAATCCCACATAACCCGTAACGGCTCAAACATGCCCGTCTGCCTAGCCTCATCCGCTGAAAACGCAAAAACAACCCCAGAAAACTTATCAGAAAATCCAGGAAGAAGAAGCGGATCCTTCAGTCCTTTCTGCATAACCGCCTCCTCAGAAGGCCCAAACATATACCCGTAGTACAAGTGCTGGATCCTCTCCAGAAGAGGAAGCTGAGCCAGACTACAGCACTCCTGTGCATGCTGAATATTCTTAGGCCCCATTCCCTCGGCCTCCTCCAAAGAATACGTCTCAACAAACCCATAAGATTCGCCATCTTTGTCGGGTATTGGCCGAGATCCATACATACCCGTACTCACAGCTTCCTCTGTGGAAGCTGCGCTCATCGTGCCGTAGTAGACATGAGGAACACGGGGTGGGACAGAGTGAAATGCATCGATACAGCAGCCGCGAGGATGCTGGGGATTTATTAGGTCCAGCTTGGCAGCTTCCTCCTTAGAATTTGCCTTAATAATACCATAGTACTTGCCACGCCGCTCGGGGGCAGGCTGGATATCCTCAAGGCCCTTTCTCCTTACTGCCTCCTTGGAAGCTGCATACACTGCACCGTAGTATAGGTGACATGGGGCGGGGACTGCATTGCAGCAGCCGCGGACATGCTGGGGGAATTGTAGTCCCATATCTTGCACATCTGCCGCGGAGAGACCTTCCATAAAACCCTCATACATACCGCTCGTGTTGACGATAGGCGCAAAGGCAAACAGGCCCTGCTTCTCAGCTTCCTGGTCGGAGTCTGCAGAGAAAGGGCTATCGTAGATATGCATGAGGGGGACTTTGGCTTTGGAACTTATCTTTTCCTTGTCATGGTGGTCAGTTTTAGGGCCGAGGACGGGGAAGCTGCTACTAGCAATTTGCTCTGCGAGTTGAGACTCTGTATCCCAGAGGTAAGGATCCTCCTCAATGCCTAGCTCGGCGTTTTGCTCGCGCTTGTCGGCCTGGTCCTTCCAGAAAAGTGCTTTATCAAGAAGGCTGGAAATGATAGCTTGCCGGCGGTACCTTTCGTAGTCCTCTTCGATTCTCTTCGCGACCGTTGCCTCAACTCGTGCTGCGTTGCGTTCCAGGTTAACGATCCACTCATAGGGAGAACGGTCCTCCAATTCACTGACGGCACCAGCATATTCATCCTCATTGGATGCAATTTCAGAAGTGGCATCAACAAAAGTAAAGTCACTCTCATCATCAGACTCGGAGGTATTGGGCAGTTCTGTATGCTCAAACTCCAGCAGATCATCCGCGGAATCAGTCAGATCAGGGACACAGCTCTCCTCTGGGACAGCGTCGCTGGAAGTACGGGGCTTGATAATACCCGCATCAGTAAGAGCAGACCGCCAAGTCAAGTGCTCTTCAAAGTTAGCCTGTATCGCCTCACTGAGAGTCATCTCAAGAACATCACTGCCCTCACTAGAGCTCTCATAGTCAGAGCTATCATAACTAGAACTGAAGTATTCAGAGGTAGAAAGCGATGAGATGAAAGAGTCGACAAGGGCAGGTGGCAGATCCAAAGAGCTTGCATCTGTTTCTGTACGTTTCTGATGCAACAGTGCTGAGCTCGAGTCGGTAGATTCGTGGCTAGCAAAGGTGTCAGTTTTGTGCACTTGACTGGATGAATCACCCAAGAGGTCGTAGAAGGGATCTAGGAGAACACCGCCCTGTTCGTCATCGTCAGTGCTAATAATCGACCCAATATCATCAAGGGTTACCTCTTCAAAATTGAAAGCTAGATCGCACACCATTCGGGCTTTAATCTCAACTAGTGGCCCCTCTACATCCAGGCCATCGACAAGCGCCTTGCATGTTTGAGCCTGGTAGTTGCCGTGAGATATCATATTGGCCCATTCGCGCTCGCACTGTACGCACATGTTAGGCTGTGTAGACTCTGCCATATCATGAGTGATCTGAATCTCTTTGCAGGAACAACTGTGAGCTGGATCTGTGAGGCGGATTCGGTTAGTAAATTCCTGGCAGCTGCGCACAGTCCAGCTAGAGATATGACCACAGTTGGGGTAGTGGTGGTAGGTGTGATGACACATAGTAAGGGGAGTACCTATTGAAGTATAAGAAGATGCCGCGGAGGAAGGTGAAGATGGTGCATGATAAATTCGGGGGCACAAGCTTAGGCTTATATGCCTTCGGCGCACGGAATGTACCCCATGGTAAAGCACTTGCAGGGCGAGTTTACAAAGGAGTTTGATGAAGGTTAAAACAAAAGAGTTGGTAGAACTCCGATGACGAGGTCAAGGGCCTTGTCTGGCTTGTTTTCTTTGTCGGTCATTTGTTATGTTTCATTCATAGCGAACACCGGTCAAGAACCAAGCCAGCTAGTCTCAAAGACATAGTTGAGACTAAATTCCCCCATAATCCCATTGTCCCAACTCCGAACAAAGAGCAAGCTATAGCAACAAAGAAAGCCTCAGTTTGAAACGCTAAGTTTCCAGGTCCATCAGATAGCGCACTCCAGAGTCAATCAACCACATCGCCGCAGTCTCATGCATCCATCTCAAAACCGGTCTCTCCAACGGCATCCTGCGACTTTCGTCTGCTTTCCTCCACATAACCGTCTCACTCGTAAACATGATCATATCTCCTTTCTCCTGACAGCTAATTGCCAGTCGACCGTTGACAAAGTCCATTGTCTTCAGTTGAATCTCAAACTCCACTTTATTCTCTTGGCGCACTTTGACTCGGTAAACACCGCAAACAAGGTCACCCTCTTTAAAATCTAGAGAAGCGATGTGCGACCTCTTAAAACTGTCTCGTTCTTCTTGGGTCTTGGAGGCCATCTTCAACATGAGAGCCTGCGGGAACCGGGAAAATGCCGTCATGTTGCGGCGCACTAGCCTTTTGAAAAGCAGTTCTGTTGACTCATTTCCGGGGAGAGAGCATCTCGGGATAGACTTGGATGAACTATCCGAGAGTGTGACATACTGGTCTGTGAAGACCGAATCGGGAACTGATTCTATTCCTGTTGGTTTGGTTGAGGCTGAAAGGGTTCCTCTGTAGGCTTTGTGCTGGACCGTGGATGCCAGGCGCTGATGGAAGACATAGAAGTAGACTACCGACGAGCCGGTTATTACGGCTGTCGCAGTAACTATGAGGCGCATCATCTTCAGGAGGGGTGAAAATCTTGATTTCAGGAGCGACGAAAATATTGATTGTTCTTCAATTTGATGTCTCAGTCGAGATAAGAGTTGGGTCAAGTGACCTCATCGAATACGAGCTTGGCTTGGCAGTCAGGCGCATACTTTTCCACATCTCATCTGATACATTTATTACTTGGAAGATGATCATTGGATCTCTCGTTCAAAATCAGTAGATAAAACATAACAGTCAAGAGGACATGCTCATCTCAATATCAATGACGTCAAACATAGTGGTATCATTCCTTTCTTCCTTTTAATAAAAAAAAAAAAGAGCTTGAAAAGACTGGCATAAATCGAGAACCAAGAAGAACAAATACAGACAATTGCAAATTATCTATTTCCTCTTCCCGTTTTGCAGAACCTGGACACGCCCACTGTTATGCCAAACAGCGAGCTTGGCATTACACTTCCCACAAGAATGCTCAACATCCTTAAGCGAAGACATCAAGTAAGGGATACACCCAAGACAGCAGCAGAAGCAAAGAACAGCCGCCCACCCACTATAAAAGAGTTAAGATTCGTAACTACGATCGGAAACCCATTAAGAGCAAGAAAAACTTACTGTGTAGTCCCCCCAGAAATCGACTCAATACGAGTCATCTCCCGCTCCCCGCAAACAGGACAATCAACCGGACAAGGCGCAGACTGAACACCATGCAGCGGAACGGCAGTCGCATACCCACTGGGATGGCCGTAGGGCGTGTAGTACTGGTTCGGCTGAGGCGGGCCCTGCTGGGGCAAGGGTTGCCCAGCGTATGCCTTTTCGTGGGAACCCGTTACGGTGTTATAGTCGGGAGCTTGGCCGATGGAGTCGGGCTGGTGTGGGTATTGTTTCTCTGAAGGACCATTGATTGGAGTTGGGCCATGCAGAGTGTCTGGGATCGAGTGGCTCTGGCTTTGGCTCTGACTCTGGCTTTGGTACGTGTTTGTCTCTGAGGATGGGCTTACTGGGGCTCCGGTATGCATAGCGTGGATTGGGGCTGGGTGTACGATAGGTGTTTGGTAGACTGGTTCGGGATCTTCGCTGTACATAGGTGCTGGTGCTGAGGGTTCGGTCAGTTATTGGATATAGTTGCATTGAGGGTTTTGGACGTACTTTGGTGGCGGGGTTCAGTCATTTTGAAGGGAAGTTTTTGTTTGGACTTGAACTTAATTTTGATAGACAGTGATGTAAGGGGAGTTAAATGTGGCACAGAAATAAAATTTCCGCCAAAAGGGAAGGGATGGAGCTTTAAGTCTTCCAGAACGATAAAAATAGAGTCAATGCGATCGTCCAGGCTATGAGAACAGGCTGCGATTCAGGGTTTGAGGTGGATACTATGACTGCTACCTGCTAACTGCACTGCCCGGTCATTTTTTGCGGGGAGGCAGAAGCCAAGAAATAGCGAAGGGTCGGACGGATATTTGGAGAAGACTACTTCAAGAACAGAAACAGGAACAGGAACAGTTTTTATTCAAAAGGTCGTGCAATGCTACACATTGTCCCATATGAAATGATAATGCTCAGAACTGCGGTTTATTTTGCAATCTCCAGTACTTTGGCGTAAAGTACGTTAGACGTGAAATACATAAGACGAACGTCCCATTATGCGCCTTGGCTCATTCACCAAAACCTTGGATCGACCTGTGTAATACTTGGTGTACAGGCCCCTGCATCTTGGCTTTGGGGCGGTTTAGGAATCTTACGCCCCCAAACAAGCGTTAATCCTTAGCGCTAACTCAATCTGCGTCGCAGTGAGGCTCCGCAGGCTGATCAACTCTCCTTCAAGTAAAGCCCTGCGAGCCTTGAACAAGGCTGAGTCGTCGAGTCTGAGCTTACTGTAGATCTGTAGAAATTTAACGTTTTGAGGGTGCGGCTTATTTGGCCCCCACTATTTTGGATTCGTCATCCAAGGCTCGTTAATCTTATAATATGAGGTTAACGTTGGTAGGCATAAACAATTACGGTGAGCAGCCAAGACGGGCGCCAGTTTCGGCTACCCTTTTGCCGATCAAGTCAAGATTACACCACAACGCTAATTAACGGTAAACCAAACACGTGACCGTGTCGACTCCAGAAGTATACGTAGGAATAGACGGGTGAACTCCAAGATATACCACAGGGGTAGATCTAGGAGTAGCAGCAAAGGATATATAAGGATATTCCCTCATATACTTAGTTTAGTTCTTTATGATCAATCGCACAGTGTTACGTATGTTTACACTTCGGAACTTCGGTGACTCTTTACTTAGTTATAACTTAACAACACTCACGAATAGTCCAATACCTCGGTATAGAACTATCCGGCGCTCTACCTAACATTGTACTCGATACCTCAATAGGATGCAAGCCCACCTAAGGTCTTACACGGATGTAGTACGATTGCGAGTACAGATCGTTAACGGAGGGCCGAAACCAGTCGCCTTAGCACATATTAGGTATTCTACGTGATAACAACAAGGAATTATCACCTCAGTCGTCTCTCCCTAACAGTGACCAGTTAGCAACGCGTAACACGCGTGCTTTGTAACTCCACTATATCCTAGTCAATGGTTTGCTTAGCCCGCGCGTAATAGCGGCTCCTAGGTGTGTCATCGATTACGGGGATAGTTAAGGAGAGGAGAAAGATAACTAAGAGCTACGTAGTTACGACTAAAGGGTGTAGATGATATCTAAGAAGAGTAAAAAGATAACCGAAAGAAAGAAGTAGAAAGAGTCAAATAGGTGTACGTGACATTAGAGTAGTCTGTGGGTTATTTTCCGTGTACCTGTAACTATACTAGGCTAATTTGGTTTTATATGGACTCCAGGAACCAGTAAACATACAGAAGGGGTGGCAACGCGAACCCACCTGAGCAACAAAAAAATGAGGCGGAAAAAGAGAAGCTGAGCCAGGGCAATGCATGAAACGGTATATTTGCTTCTCTGCTGGATTTCGTGTAGAGGCGGTCCAATCCTTCATCAGTGTTACTGTATATTCGACACATTTATGTCCCTTAATGTATGTGACGGTTTAAACATAGTTGCACAGTATATGCTCTCGTTTGTTTAAGTCTGCCATAACAAGGAATCGTATACTAGTTAGGCTCCAACAGGTTAATAGAACTTTGATTGATTGATTGATAACAAGGAATCGTGGATCATTATGCTTATTGGTAGTTGAAGACCTAACTCATACCAATGCAACTATTACTGATATTACAACTATTAACCCCACCAGATAGATATATAAGAATTAAAAAAAAGACCATAAAAACAAAGAAAATAACGCCCGCCAAGCAATACCACCCATCATATACAAACACAGGCATCAATAGTACTGAACAGGACCCCCTTCATGCCCATACCTCCTAAAAATTCCCAAAACCTGAACCCGATTCAACCTTGCAGCATAAGACAAAGCAGTTTCAGACCTCTGGAACCCTCCAACAAGTCTCGGATTTGCCCCTCGCTCCATCAAAAGTACCACCATCTCCGTAAAATTCTGCTTAATAGCCTTAAGCAAAGGCGACTCCCAAGGATATTCCATCCGATCAACATCCGCCCCCCGATCCAACAAAACCCGCGCAACTCTCATATTCCCATTCAACGCCGCAAGGGCCAACGCCGTCTCGCCCGTGCTGTTCAGCGCATCAATATCTGCACCGCAGTCAAGAAGAAGTCTCACAATACGGTCCTGGCCGTATGACGCTGCTTGTGATAATGCTGTTTTGCCGGTTCCACTTCCTGCGTTGACGTTCGCCCCGCTGGCGATGAGGACTCGTATTATTCGTGCGAAGCCGCGTGCTGCGGCTGTTCCTAGGGCTGTCTCGCCATTCATGGCTTGGGTGTCCATGTCGGCGCCATATTCTATCAGGATGCGAACTATGTTTTCGTGGCCATAGGAGGCGGCGACCATTAGGGGGTTTGGCCTTCGTTGTTTGTGGCGTTAGCGTCGGCGCCCTTTGCGAGGAGAGTTGTCACGGTTTGGAGGTCGCCTTTTTGGATTGGGGTTATGAGTTTTTGTTTAGAGTTTGTCATTTGGAAGAGCATCCGGCTCATTATGTTTGTCTTTTTGTTTCGCGTCACTTTTAAGGCGAGGACGGTTTGGTCGAGGGTTGTTGGGTTGGTTTCGTGGGCTATGCGGATTGAGGGATTAGTTTGGCTGCTGTGGTCTGTTGATGAGATCACGCTTTCTGTTGTTGATTCTGTCCAGACTGGTATGGGGAAATCTTCGCGTGGCAGAGATTGGTTTCTAATAATGGTAGAGTCCTGGATCTCAAAGGCCACGGGGATTGGGAGGTTTTCTTCTATCACGGCTGGTGTTTTTGAATGGCGATGGTGTAATCGTACCGGGTCATTTCTTGATAGGCAAGTTTCTCTTGGGGAAAGAGGGAGAGATGGAAGACCTTTGGGTTCGTTTGGTAGCCAGTCATCGCTATCGTCCAGACTTGTCTTATCATCCGAAGGTAGTGCCTTAGAATTAGGCCCTGGGATATCTCCTGGAGCTGCTGCGGCCTTGATGGAAATTTGTCTCTCGCTTCCCATCATATCTTGAAGTGCCGAGATGATAAAGTCATGGTTCTGAGTAGACAATTCAGGACTGATACCGACAGCATCCAAATCTTGTTGGAGTTGCGCCCATGCCTGATCAGTCTCGGCTTCTGAGGTTTTGCTGATCAGAGCATCAGATACAACTAATAGCTCCTGTTTCTCGGTGCCAACATTGTCAATCAGGCTCCTCAAGGCTTTTTCAACATTCTTTTGCAACGATCTGTGGCATAGTTAAACCTCAATTCAGATACTTTAATTGATAGGGATTCACAAACACCATCAAATTCGTATTAATCTCACTCAGTCCAAAAATAAGAGACGAGAGGCTCGCCCGGATCTCACTAATCTGGCTTTGCGCACCGAGGGCATCAGGATGAAGCTGCAGCTTTTGCAAATCCACCAAAAGAACATGACAACTCTGTAACCTTTTGGTTAAGACGGAAAAATGTGGACAATCCTTCCCAAATGAAGATGAATACGTCTCGGTCGCGTCCAGAACTGTCAGGAGTAAAGCAAGCTCATTCTGAACCTGGTTCGTTAGCGCGGTGGTGCCGCGAGTTGCCTCATAGAGGGATCCGGCTAATAGCCGGAGTGCGGTAATTTGGTGAGACTGCGGCCAGCTCTGTGTTTGGGGCATTGTGAGTGTCAGCCAAGTTGGTTATACGCAATTTGCCTGTTCTAATATTTGCGGCTGAGGCTGTGTGGGGCGGCCCCCGATTTTAGCCCCTGTTCACTACCTGCAAGTGGTTAGTTCGTTTTGCTTACGCGATGATTATACGAGAGGCTAGTCTCAAAGACTGAAATATATGTAAGATATTTAACTTAGACGCGGTAAAGGTGTTAAATGGTGGAAATATGAAAAGTAATCATGGCATGAAGACGACAAGCTCGCTATGGATCATCTTACCTAGGACACTACACGTACTACATCCTTCTAAATTAGCTGCGCTTTGATAAGGGCTCGTAAAGAGTGCTCGGTGATTCTGACGGGCTGCTATGATTGTAGGAATGCAGGCAGAGCTCATTGAATTGATTGTCCAAAGGCTTTATAAAAATCCCTCTCTGCTGTCCACTTTCATCGATCTTCACCATGGCACATACAAGGCTGTGACTGTCCCAGAGGTAGATGGCATACCTATCGTGGATACGTATGTGTCTCTCCTAATCTTATAAGCTTATAGCTAACACTATATAGCTTTCTCGTCCAAAGGATAATCCAACTGAACCATTTCGGGTGCCCTCTTTCCTCTCGCGAGAGTCATATAAGCGATATGGAAAGTGATAAGACAGCTAATAAGTCCAATGAGCAGTTCCACTCTTGTGGAGCTTGGCGTCTGGTATCATACATCAATCATTCTTGGCTCAGTAATGCCAGTCGCTCATTCATTGTAGATATGATGGTTGTTCGTGCCACAAAAAATCCTCGCCCCAAACACTGAAGTTACCTTCTGGTACAAGTCCCCTTTTACACGTGAGGCTGGAGGAGATCCATTAGACTTGGGGCACTGGGGATTTGTTTAAATGTGATTGCGCCATGTGTCAAGAAGTCCACGAAACCGACAAGACCGTCATGTCAAAGCGAACGAGACTTCTGGCCGATCTGGAGAGGCTACTCAAGTCGTCGCGTAAGACAACTTCATCGCGGATCGATTAAATAATTCCGGGCTCGCAGAAATATACACTAAGTCAGCCTCCATGGTTCTTAGTCTTGTAGTCTGGACATCATGCCTCAGTCTTGCGGCAGTTTATGCTGCATCTTATCGGCATCAAAAAGCTGTGTAGTTCGGACTGAAAGCTCTAGAGTCATTGGGCTTTGTGATTCAGGGTGGTAATTTACCCCATGATGCAGACAAATCACTGAGTGTCAAGAAATGGGGATTGATGACCGACGATGTCGTCGGGTGTTGGATGATTCCTCTGGTTCTTACCAAACTCTGGCGCCTGGCCTTGAGGCTCAGGCGGAGCAATATGCCAGAATCTCCTATAGGAACTGCGTTGGTGAAGAGCAAAGCTTCGATGAAACATATGGAAAGCTCTCGATGCGACCTGATGGCTTACTTGCCACCGCCAAATGAGGTATAATGATTGTAATCGATTTGTGGAACTGCGAGAAAGGTTGCATTAACGTGAAGATGAGCTTGTGCTCTGTGTTTCTATCCATTATGCTTAGTTATTTGGATAGTCAATTGCTTTCTTTTAGTCATTGATGTTGCTTTTGCTACCTACATCTCTCTATCTAAAACTATCCATAAAAACTTGTATGAATATCATAAGCTTAAGATCATATCCGCCGTGAACTTGGTACGACCTTATTTCAATATGTTGTCGACTGAGAAAACCATGGTAGCATCGATCATATTAGCAGGAGGAATAAGACCAGTTATCAGCCAAGAGCAAATGTTGCGCAGGCTTGCAATAAACCCCTCGCATTCAACTTGCGGGATGCAAGTGGTTCCAAGGGTTAGTGCCCTTTGTTTATGTGGTGGTTCATACGATAGACTAGTCTCGAAGACCGAAGGCAGACGAGTGATCCGGCATGCTTGCCGCTTAAAGGAACACGCCGGGTCCGATTGCCAGGAGTATGACGAATATTGAAAGCAGAACGGCAGTCCAGTTCCCATCCGATGATATGCTGTCCATCATAGCCAGATGGCTGGATCAATGGCTCACGGAGCCTTTTAGGAAATGTGGTTATCCAGAAATTGTTATTGTGATATCCTGGTTACAGAAGGCGCGGTAATGAAATATCGGCGAATTCGATGTTTTCCATCGGAACTGGCTTATAGGTGTACCGTACCGTCTTGCCTTAACTTAATCGCTTTTCCTCGCACATAAAACTAATAGAAGCTCTTGGAAGAGAAGAAAGTCGCATTATGACTACAGCAATATCTAGCAGGAAGATCTTCCGTTGCCCATGCCTCATGTACGACAGAGTATACAATGAACATTCTACGTTTACAATTTTTACTAACTATGAATCTACAATCTAGTTTTATAACAATTGCGGGGAAAGATTTTGAGAAAGGAAAAACACCATATTATTCATGAGTAAAATAACTGAGGTAATCTATCTAGTATCTAGAAAGGCAGGGAGCCGAGGAGACCATACAGGGCATCAATCATGCCCGCAGGAGTAATAACGCCAGTAATGAGCCAAGAGCGAACGTTTCTCAGGCTCTCAACAACCTCGTCAACTTCAACTAGGAAGTCACCAGCAAGGTATTCAACGCCGAATTCGCGAGCTAGGTCGCTGTTCGGCTCGCCACACTTAGTTACGAATGCAAGGCACTTGATATGCTCAAACATAGGGAAAATCTCATTTAGAGCTGCCAGCATGATGTTTGTCATCACTTCTCGCTCGGTGATGGCCTCACGCGAGCGGGAAAGGTCAATCAGTCTGTAAAGAATGTCCTTGATGACCGCGCTCGTTCGGTTCAAGACAGTCTCGTAGCTGTCCTGGCGGCTTGAGCTAGGCATGGCTAGTAGCGGTGGCTAGATAAAATCCGGTGTGTTGGAGAGATAATTTTGGGTCTGGGACTTACCGAGACCTAGGAGTAGATGTGGTGTTGGGTTGATAATTGGATTGATTGATCAGTTGATCGATTGATGTCAGATGGTGACTCGTGTAACAAGTCAGTCGGATGAGTAGAATAGTAGAGTGGTTTGTGATGATGAGTTGAGAATGCTGGTGATTTCCGGCTTATTTATGTCTTGTCGGAATTCTACGGGCCGGAATATCAGACAAAGACATTTTCAAGTAACAAAGAAAAGAAAGAAGTCAAGTACTGGTAAAGAAGATAAAGACAATAAAAATTATTGGGGTTACAAGGAACACAAAGATATTCTGAGCTTCTTTGTCGAGTCTTCTTGGGACGGTCAGGGCTGGTCAAGGACACTAATGAGACAAAGTATGCAGGTACATTGTCAATGACATAGAATCAAAATCATAGATTTCTATCAACTTTGGCATAGAGTAGATACAATGTAGATAATACTACAGCTTTGTGTGTCCAATTATAGCAACACTTATCAAATCTCTTCTCGTAATCGCTCGGACCTATCTCGAGCTGCGCCTAGGCTAAATGAAGAAGTGAATACACAGCATACCTAGATAGTCTCAATTACTCACACAATTGAAGCAGCAGTTGTAATTTCAACCATCCTTGCTGGGGCTCTAGGGGGCTTGGTAAATCTATCTGGTAGTATGTTTGGCGTCAGGGCACCAAGTCCTGGGCTAATAATAACAAATATATTATCTACGGTGACAACTCCTTCAAAGCGCAAAGATCGAAAGACAACAAGTAGGATCAAGTGGCGTAAAATGGCTATGTAACCTAATTTAGTCATCCAAATTCGATTTACGACTAAATACAGTCAATTGGACTGGGAAGCTACTAGTTGTCCGTATTGTCGTAACAGTGGGTACCTGCATGGTCAGTACTTGGAATGGGTGCATTATAGTACAAAACTGTGTAAAGTGAAATCCAAATACATTATCTCTTCAGACATTAATGAGTAACTTCAAAATATGTGCTCCAACAACCATTATTCTGGATTTAGTCTATAGCGCATTCTTACAGGTCGTTTTAGTCTCTTAGGGCTTGAAAGGGATTACCCACGCCTGAAGGTTGAGTGGTTGTAGGAATCATACCAAGAATGGAACATTTATTCTAGATCTCTTAACAGGAGGAACAAAAAATAAAAAATAGCAGGCAAAATTCGAAAATTGTAACCCCAAAGCCCTCCTGGCTGGAAACAGGACCTGACAGCGGAGCCGTTCCCGGTACCTAAGCTCTCCACATCCCCACCGGAGCTCAATGCAGTACTCATGCTATCACTTAAGCTATCTTTCTGCAGATAGTAAAGAGAAAAGTTGTAGGGTAACTAAAATCCGAAACAAAAAAAAATCCTACTAAAAAAAGTTGAGAGGACAAAGCGTTGAGGGGTTGATGTCACATGTTGAGAACCCCCGCAGGATTTCCTTGATCTCGACCTCCCTCCATCTTCTCTCCACCTCTCCAGTTTCGCCCCCAGCTATGTCTTCTACCATTGAGAGCTCGAATTACCCCATGGATGGGACAGGTAAGCTTGCAATGAGCTTGGCTTTCAGGGGATTTTATTCTAATTGCTTTCCAGGTGTTATCCAGTTGGATCCTTGGCTGGAACCTCATCGCGATGTCTTGAAGCACAGATTCCAGGTCGTCGAGACATGGGCCAAAACTATCAATGAGACTGAGGGTGGATTGGACAAGTTCAGCAAGGTGAATTGATCCTCGCTTATTGCTCTTTTCCATATTAATGCATACTAGGGTTACGAAACCTTCGGTCTGCATGCGCAACCTAATGGAGAGATCACATACAAGGAATGGGCACCCAATGCCAAGGAGGCCTCTCTGGTCGGAGATTTTAGTACGTTTGGAGATGAAGCTATCTGAGGTACTTGGCTAAGACTAGCAGACAACTGGGACCCCAGTGCCAACCCCATGACGAGAAACAGCTTTGGTATCTGGGACGTTACAGTTCCAGCGAAAGATGGTGCCCCCGCGATTCCCCATGACAGCAAGATCAAGGTCCGTCCTATACGCCAAAGCTTACAGTCATATGGCCGCTAATGTTTGACAGATCACTATGGTCCTCCCCAGTGGAGAGCGCATCTATCGAGTCCCCGCTTGGATCAAGCGCGTTGTCCAAGACCTGAGCGTGTCACCTGCATACGACGCTGTCTTCTGGAACCCGCCCGCGAACGAGCTATACAAGTTCCAGCACCCACGGCCCAAGAAGCCTGCGAGCCTGCGAATCTATGAAGCGCACGTCGGCATCTCATCCCCGGAGACCAGAGTCGCTACCTACAAGGAGTTCACCAAGAACATGCTGCCCCGCATTAAGTATTTGGGATACAATGCCATCCAGTTGATGGCCATCATGGAGCATGCCTACTATGCCAGTTTCGGCTACCAGGTCAACAACTTCTTTGCTGCCAGCAGTCGCTATGGAAACCCCGAGGATCTGAAGGAGCTTGTTGATACCGCCCACAGCATGGGTTTGGTGGTTCTTCTTGACGTTGTTCACAGCCATGCGTCCAAGAATGTCATCGATGGTATCAACGAGTTTGATGGCACTGATCACCTCTACTTCCATGAGGGTGCCAAGGGCCGTCACGAGCTGTGGGACAGCCGCCTGTTCAACTACGGTAACCACGAGGTCCTGCGTTTCCTGTTGAGTAACCTCCGCTTCTGGATGGAAGAGTACGGGTTCGATGGATACCGTTTCGATGGTGTTACCAGCATGCTCTACACGCACCACGGCATTGGAACGTACGTACAGCCTACTACTATCATTTACACATCCGCTAACTCATTAATAGAGGCTTCTCTGGTGGCTATCACGAGTACTTCGGCCCTGCTGTCGATGAGGAAGGCGTTACATACCTCACCCTCGCAAACGAGATGCTGCACGAGCTCTACCCGGAATGTATCACAGTGGCCGAAGATGTCTCCGGCATGCCAGCCCTGTGTCTCCCCCACAAGCTAGGAGGTGTCGGCTTCGACTACCGCCTCGCGATGGCAATCCCCGACATGTACATCAAGCTCCTGAAGGAATCTTCCGATGACGAATGGGACATCGGCAACCTCTCCTTCACCCTAACTAACCGCCGTCACGGCGAGAAGACCATCGCCTACGCCGAGAGCCACGATCAAGCGTAAGTCACCCACTCTAATCCCAATCTCAAATCTATATAGACATCCACTAACCCAACCCCATGTGCAGTCTCGTCGGCGACAAGACCCTAATGATGTGGCTCTGCGACAAAGAAATGTACACACACATGTCCACCCTAACAGAGTTCACACCAGTAATCGAACGCGGTATGGCCCTGCACAAAATGATCCGCCTAGTAACCCACGGGCTAGGCGGCGAAGGCTACCTAAACTTCGAAGGCAACGAATTCGGCCACCCAGAATGGCTCGATTTCCCCCGAGCAGGCAACAACAACTCATTCTGGTACGCGCGCCGCCAGCTCAACCTAACAGAAGACAACCTGCTGCGCTACAAATTCCTCAACGAGTTCGACCGCGGCATGCAGCTGACCGAGCAGAAATACGGCTGGCTCGCTGCGCCGCAGGCGTATATCAGTCTGAAGAACGAGGCTGATAAGGTTCTTGTCTTTGAACGTGCGGGTTTGCTGTGGATTTTCAATTTCAATCCTACGCAGAGCTTTACGGATTATCGCGTTGGCGTTGATGTTGCTGGTACTTATCGTATTGTGCTTGATTCCGATGATGCCGCTTTTGGGGGTCTTGGGCGCAATGTCAAGGAGACGCGCTTCTTCACTACTGATATGAGCTGGAATGGAAGGGCCAACTTCGTCCAGGTTTATATTCCTACGAGGACTGCTTTGGTATGTTTCTTTTCCTCTTTTCCCTGTCACTGCTTGTCATGGATGATTGTTCTGAGTGCTGACGTTGCTTTTCTCGCGATACAGGTCCTTGCTCTGGAAAGCACTCTGTAATGAATGTGACCTGAACGTTCAAGTCCAAGTCCATTTGACCTTTGACCTTTCCGCCTTGCTGTCTCCATGTATGCGGTCGGACTGTCGAATCATAACCTGGTTGTTCTGGCATAGATGGCATTCCCTAGCTACAGCTTTATCTTTCTTACGTTTCTTTCTATGGTTTGTTTTGCATTTTGTTCCTAATCAGATCTGTCTCTATCTATATCTAGTCTGTCAGGATATTATATATACTTTTGCGTGCATGATTGATAATACTCAGGGTAGATGAGTAGATACACTCGAGTAAGAGGCGTCGTTGTCGTTCCCTCTCGAGGCCATGAGATCACGGCTTCCATTGTTTTCGAAAGAGGATGGAATAGACCATTCAGATTGTTATCATCCTACCAGCACACAACAATAGACTCGACGAAGCCCAACACTTATCCATTCCCACAAGAGACATACATACTACCACTACGTTAAAGAGGAGAAAGACCACAATCACAAAGGAAAAGAGATCGAGAATCATGGTTTTGAACTCTAAATACACAAAATAATGAAACACGCCGGCCGAGGGGGTTTGTGTGTTTGGTATCCAATCCACAGACCGGCTTAAGGAAATCCCATCAACTCGCTAAGATAGACACAGACCACAAATCACGAACCACCCATGAACTCAACAAAAGCAAACACTCCATTCTCCATTGATCCTCCCCGACTTCCAAGTCACGCAAAATTCTTCTGCTCCGGTCTCGCCGGTCGGGATATTCATAGCCCGGTTTGAAAGACGGGTTTCCTTGCTCAGGACGAGTCTAGAAAGAACACAAACAATTGTCGCATGATGAAACGTGAAACACCACCGCAATAGATGCGACAAGCAACGGAAATGGAATGAGTGATCAAGTCCCTTTCCGTTGGATTGTTTTCTCACTTTTAGATCGGTACTATACACGTCTCTCAAAGGGGAAATTGGTGTCGCGTACAAACAGGACAGAAGTTTGTGTTCTGACAAAGGAAATTAAATGGACAAATAACCAGGAGACCAGAGAGAAAAATCAAGGGACAAGGGGGGAGAGGAGCATAGAAGAAAGAGGCTTGAAGATGTAGAGGGGAAGTTGTAAGACGGCGCGCTAGCTAGCAAATAGACAAAATTACATCTAGGCGCTGCCCTCGAGCTCAGCCAGAATCTTCTCACCCTTGGCGCGGGCGGACTGGAAGTCGCCAACCATGTAGAAGGCGTTCTCGGGAAGGTCGTCACCCTCACCAGCAATGATGGCCTTGAAGGAGCTGATGGTGTCCTTCAGGTCAACGAGGGTACCCTCGATACCAGTGAAGACCTGGGCGACGGCGAAGGGCTGGGACAGGAAACGCTGGAGCTTACGGGCACGCTCGACGGTGAGCTTGTCAGCCTCAGACAACTCATCCATACCGAGAATGGCAATGATATCCTGGAGGGACTTGTACTCCTGGAGCATCTGCTGGACACGGGTGGCGGTGTTGTAGTGCTCGTCACCGATGATACGGGGGTCGAGCATACGGGACTTGGAGTCGAGAGGGTCGACAGCGGGGTAGATACCCAACTCGGAGATACCACGGGACAGGACAGTGGTGGCGTCCAAGTGAGCGAAGGTGGTGGCAGGGGCAGGGTCAGTCAAATCGTCAGCGGGCACGTAGACGGCCTGGACGGAGGTGATAGAACCCTTCTGGGTGGTAGTGATACGCTCCTGCATGACACCCATGTCAACAGCCAGGGTGGGCTGGTAACCGACGGCAGAGGGGATACGACCCAGAAGGGCAGACACCTCGGAACCGGCCTGGGTGAAACGGAAAATGTTGTCAATGAAGAGCAGCACATCCTGACCCTCCTCGTCACGGAAGTACTCGGCGATGGTGAGACCAGTCAGGGCAACACGGGCACGGGCACCTGGGGGCTCGTTCATCTGACCGAAGACCAGAGCGACCTTGGAGTCACCATCAAGCTGGATGACACCGGTCTCCTGCATCTCGTGGTACAGATCGTTACCCTCACGGGTACGCTCACCGACACCACAGAAAACGGAGTAACCACCGTGGGCCTTGGCAATGTTGTTCTACACAACGTTAGTTCACCCATCTTTCACTTCGTTCGGCTTGGAATATCTTACAATCAGCTCCTGAATGAACACGGTCTTACCGACACCGGCACCACCGAACAGACCAATCTTACCACCACGGGCGTAGGGGGCGAGAAGGTCGACAACCTTGATACCGGTGACGAGAATCTCAGCCTCGGTGGACTGGTCGACGAATGGGGGAGGATCGGCGTGGATGGGAGCGAACTTGGTGGCCTTGACGGGACCACGCTCGTCAATGGGGTCACCAGTGACGTTGATAATACGGCCCAGGGTGGCGGGACCGACGGGGATGGTGATGGGGGCACCAGTGTCGGTGGCAACGACACCACGGGATAGACCCTCGGTACCTTGAAGGAAAGTCAGTCGAAGCTCTTGCTATTGCGTAGGGGCGCACTCGGTGGGTCCCTCCACCGCTTTGGGTAAGAGAACGACACCGTGGCCAGGAAAGGGGTGAAGGGGAGAGGTAGCTTACCGTCCATGGCAATAGTACGGACGACATTCTCACCAAGATGTTGCTGTGAGAGTGTGTTAGCTTGGATGCGAATCAAGGTTCAGCCAATCAGATTACGTACAGCAACCTCAAGGACGAGCTTCTGGCCGTTGTTTGTGGTCTCAATGGCGTTGTAGATGGCAGGGAGCTTCTCGCCGGAGAACTTCACTGTAAAATGGCGAGTAGCATGTCAGCCTCGGATTTGTTGATGGATTTGGGGTTGGTTGCGATGGATTTGGTGATGGATTGGGTCCAGGGAAAAGATTTTCGCGAGGTCCCCGTTCCGTCAGGAGTCGACAACACGTACCGTCAACGACGGCACCAATGACCTGGTGGACCTTGCCAGACTGAGCAGCATCGGAGCTGGCGAAGCGGGCAGAGAGAGCCGGCAGGGCAGAGGAGCGGAGAGGCTGGAAGGCGCGGGCGATGGGAGCCGGACGGGCAACCCTCCCGAAGGACCGGGCAAGACCGCTAGAAGAGGAAGAAAATTAGTAAAGAGAAGAAAAATTGAAGAAATCTACTGTGGAGTATCATACCTCTTGAACATGATGGAGGTGTTGAAGAGCGTGATGTGATGGAAAGGGAGAGGTGAGGTTGGAACGGGAAAAGAGGGAAGAAGAGGGAGCGAAGAGGTTGGTGGACGGGGACTGGTCGCCCTTAGCCTTTCCGGGGCGGTTTTGCCGACGATCCCGTGATGAACCGAGAACTACGTTTGGTTTGCGACAACGAGAGAAGCTCTTTACAGGCTATTGTCTGTATATATATGATTCTTGTTTTTTCTTCTTTTTTTTAACTCCCATATGTCTATAACCTTTGGCACTAGCGTGGTGGTTGAGGGAGCTCATCCCGTTGCCCTGGAATTCACGCACACACACCGAGGCTTGGCACCCGGAAGCAGGGAGCCACAGTGTTGCTATATGAATTCGGACTAATTGTTCCCCATATCAGCTAAATATTGTTCATAAATTAAGTAACTAAAAGCTAGAGATATAGGCGTTGGAACGGACCGCGTCAGAGGGGTCAATGGCCCGTTAGTCCGAGCACAGAAGCTGACAAGCTCGGGAAATCTCTGACGTGTTGGGGTCAACCACGGAATAACCTTATAGTCGAGTATAAAGATATAAAGATTGATGATTATATTAGCTTTAGTTACATGAGTTACTGACTGTACTGTATGTGTATATACACTGAAATATCCCCCAATTGCCAGGAATTTAACCGTACCTTGTTGCTACAGGGATTCTCCGCACTTACGTCTGTTCCGAATCACTCCGTAGACACACCACGCCATTCGGATTCCAACAGGGGGACCACAACACCAACATAACACAAGATATAGAGACACAAAAATAGATGAAAACATATTCTCTATGGCTACAAAAGAGATACATTGATGATAGCACAGTACGGGATACACGCATTTTCGGATGCTTGCCAAAGGGGACAGAAATAGGGAATTATCGAGTGCCGCGCGAACGGGCGAGGGCCCATCCTCCGGTAAATAGACATGGTGAACATGGCCAGAAGAGCTTATGAGAAAATCGACATCGATGTCATATGGGTGCCGTCGTCCGTCCTGCTCAGATATCGCTTCATTCCCGATCGAACCGGTACATCTATGACTTCTCGGCAGGGGGCTCTGGACGAAGCCCTTGCCTTCGTAACCCTCTTTGCTGATGCCGTGGATGGGGTTGATCTTCTCTTTCTGTTGGGGAGGTTAGCACTTGATACAGCGGATATAGTTTCCAGGGGAGGTCTCGCGACGGTCGGAAAGGGGGGATGGATGGGGGATATTACCAGGGCATATTCGTTGGAGGCCTCCTGCCACTCCTTGGACATGGTAGCGGGCTGCTTGCCAGCGAAGGCGTGGACGGCGTAGAAGATGGCAACGGAGGCAACAGTCAGCTGCACAACCTTGCTCAGGACACGCCAGCCTTCGCCCTTGGGGGCCTGGGCGCGGGGGCCGTGGGCACCGAAGGCAATGTAGTAAGCTATAGCAAAGAATTAGGTTAGTTATATGTTATAATGGGAGATCGATTGTGGAGTCATGGTTCGGGGATTCCGAGTATAACCTCGGAAGCGACGGGGTAGACGAAGCGAAAGGCTGTCTCGTCCAAACCCACTCATCTGGAGACAGCACGTACCGGCCTTCTTCTCTTGCTGGGTCAACTGGTGCCAGTCAACCTTCATGCGGTCACGGAGCTGCATCCAGAGCTCGGCCTGCTCCTGAGGAGGCATACCCTCCCAGCGCTTCTCGATGCTGGCGAGAGTGGGGTTGGCGATGGCATGGTCAGAGGCAGCGCGGGTCTGGATGGCGTTCACAGAGGCAGGGGCGACACGGATGGCCGCGGTGCTGCGAGGAACAGCGCGAGAGACGGTGCGAAGAAACATTGTGCGGCAGGCGGGAGGTGGGAGCACCACGTCGAAATCGGGTTCAATTGAGGAGATTAATGGAGGGCCGAGACGGAGTAAGCCAGAGGGTACGCCAGGGCACGGCTATGGAGAGAGTGGAGGGGGTGATGGGTGACTTGAAGACGTTTCTTGTGGTTTGAGGTGGAAAGGCGAGGATCCGGTCGGGACTAGCGCGGTTTGGGTTTGGCTGACTGCTGATTGGCTCACCGAACCCGGCCATCTCAATTCTGCCAGTGAGGAGCATCATCATTCTCAGCATATGGCATGACGTTCTTTTTCTGTGATGATATGGCGGTGTTGTGCTTATTTGTTGCTGATTATCATGTTCCTGGATGATAACCCAAGTGCTCCCTCTTCCCTTTTCACCCAGGGCTTTCGCCTCGGAATATTTACCCGCCTACACTCTAGCCAGTTGTCAACCACAAGACTCATGCCTAACTAATCTACACAATGCCAGCACTCTCCGGGACTATCATATGCACTCCATTAGAAGCAGGAAAACCACCCAATTCTGACAATTGAGATTCGAAATTCGAGTTTCAAGCATGTTTCGAGGTTCAAAAAGAAAAGAGATTTTGAGATTGGATTGAAATCCGCAAACTGCATGGTCTGAAGGCCTCGAAATGAACAGAAACAGGCCAAGTCGTAACGGTCTTGCATTGCAACTAAGAAGAAAATGGGAGAACGGAGTGAGGAAATGAATTGATCGTTCCGCAGCGCCGTCGAGGGCGCACCCCTATCCGTCGCGCAGCCCGGATCCAGCCGGCGCCATCATCTATGCCTTGCCACCGCTGGCCTCCTTCAGCACTGTCTTCCACTCGATATCGGCCTTGTCGTCGGCGTGGATGGAAGTAACAACGTTGAGAGCGTTCTTGAGGACCTCACGGGTGCTGGCGTAGATCATGGACCACTAGCGGGGGAGCCGTTAGCCATTGATTCTGGGTTTTGATCTGCTGTAGCAGGGGAGGGACACTTACGAGAGTGGGGGTGTCGCTGGGAACCCAGGAGATGAAGATGATCTTGCTTCTGTGGGGGTAATCTGGTTAGCGACAGGTCATACGTTGGCTGTGGTTGTGTGCGCACCTCTTGCCCTCGCCGGGCAGCTCGTACTCGACATCGTAGACTGCGTAGCGGGGAGCGGGGCGACCCAGGCTGTCCTTGGCGTCGGCGAGCTCGTTGCGGAAGACCTCGTAGTCCTGGTCCTTGCCGACTGAGTCTACGACGACCTCCTTCTTGTTGTCGGCGATCTTGTAGATGATGTACTTGGTCTTTCCGTGGCTGCGGCTGAAGTCTTGGAAGGAGGTAATGCAGTCATCCTGGACCTGGACACTGTAGGGAGTGTCAATATCGGAGGGAATGAGGGGAAATCGGTGTGGCGGGAGAATGTGAGCGACTTACCCCGATGCGAGCTGCGCGATATACAAGTCAGTATTGGAGTACATTTGGCATGACATTGAGGGAGGTAATACTAACCGACATGATTGCTTATGTAGATGAGTGAACGAAAAGGGACGGGTTGACTGGCACGCGATGTCAGCTGAAATTCCCTCAAGTCTCTCAGGCTGTCTCAGGCTGGTCAAGACCAAGAGTGCAAGTCTGAATATCACTTACAGGGATGGGCGGAGGTCAAGAAACGGAATCGGATGGGGGAAGATGGAGTTTGAGGGGTGAATTGTAGGTGTTGCCTTGGTGGGGTGGCTGCACGTGATATCGTCGGAACACCTATAAACAAAGTACCCGGTACCTGTTTCAGCCAGGAGTGGCGTAGGCTTGCATGGTGTAATTGGGGCTGTATCCTGGTCATTAAAAGGTGTAGTGGGTTTGCCATGTGGTAGGAAACATTCCAGGCAATTACTGCTGCCATTGGACCAATGTCTACAGACGTACATGTGTTTCCGATCTTGAAAATATCCACTAACTTGTGTCTTGGAAGTACCAAGTACCAGGATAATCACACCACTTAACCTGCATAACATACTGTAGAGTACATATACTCCATTCTCTCCCCATTCTCTCTCCATTCTCTATGGGTAAGTTACAAAGAGGCGCTACATATGCCACTGACGTACTCTAAAAAAGTCCCCAGTCACTCAACCATGGGACATCTTTGTCTATTTTTATGATTCCCGGCCCACCAGTAATAAAGCATGCATGCAACAATATCAACATATTCATATTCATATTCATGAAGTTACCTCTATCTAAACCTTGGGCGCAAACTTAGCCCTCATCTTATCAGCAACAGCCTTCTCCTCCCAGATAAAATTAACACTCTCATGAGCCACAGTAGCCTCAGCCCACCGCTTAAAGCGCGGCGCCCGCTCCAACAAAGCAGGCAACTTGGCACTAACAAGGCCATGTTCAGGTTTCGCAAAGCCAAGAATGCGAAGCAGGAATGATCCCGATTGAACCTGTCACATAAAGAACACACTCGTTAGCCAACGAACATACTCAAGCAATCCCCACCTAGATATCACATCTCTACAGCTGGGAAAATGCATACCTCAGCAAGCGTCAACCTCTCGCTCCCCCCAAAGAAAGGTCCCTTCCCGTCCTCCAACAAAGGCTCAACCTCCTTAACAACAGCATCAACCAACAACCCCGCAGCATCATCCCGCTCAGCATCCGAAGCCGCGCGCAAACTAGCAAATAGATGCGGAACGACCTTGCTAAAGAATGCATCCACGAAGAAGGCCACGCGAGCGCGGTACAGGGCGTTTTCGGCGGGGCCTGAGGGGGGTAGGAGGTGGGATGGGTGGGCGTCTGCAATGAATTGGGCTACGATGCCTGATTCTGTGATGATGTTTCCATTGTAGGAGATGCTTGGGACGAGGCCGCGCTTTGGATTGGATTTGTTAGTTTTTGATATAGGTGGATAGGTGGATATATGGTTTGGTTGTACTTACCGGGTTCACGTCCAGATACCAGGGCTCGCGAGGCTTGTTTAGGTCGATGGTGACTTCTTCATAGTCCAGGCCTGATTCCTTTAGGGCTATGTGGGCGCGGTGAGCCCACGGGCAGCCGCGGTTTGTGTAGAGGATGATCTTTGGGGTGGACATTATGGGTTGTGGGTTATGGGTTATGGGTACTGGTGTGAGTGATAGAGAGGAAAGTAAGGTCAAGAAGGGAGTAAATGTAGTTAATGTACCCCAGAGGCTATGGCGAAATGAGGGGCAACGATTAGTAAATTAGTAAAGTAATTGCATATGCGAAGGCGCGATTCCGCAAGATCCGGGTAAGATATGAGCAGATGTGGGGAGTGTGGAGAGATGGAGAGTTGGAGAGATGTCCCTTAATCTTGTAGAAATGTCTAATTATGTACATTAAGTGCATATATGTGATACCCTCTGACGGGTATACATAGAAATGGCAAACCGAGGGTACATAAAAGAGACCAAGTGAGGGATCCCCACGAAGTCCGATGCGCCAGCGACCGGTTCCCCAGAGAAGGAGAAAGAGAATAGAAGAACCAAAGAAAAAGACGAGACCGTCATAAAAAGGGGGGTATATCGAATACGAGAAGAAAACGAGCATTGAGATCAGAGGTGGCCAGCCTGAAGAGAGAGAGAAAAGCACGGATCAAACCAACTCGCCAAGCTGGAAGGATGGAATCAGCACGCTGTCGTGAAAGACGTTATTTTGATGGGAACTGAGAACCGCGCTCAGACTACATCGTCTTCCTGGCCACCTTCGATGATCTTGCGCCAGTGCTGCGGGAGACAGATACAGACCAAGGGGAAGGCCTTGATCTCGCCTGACGGCGTAGGGGACGAGCTGGCAGGCAGGTGAGAGCCATTCGAGACTCCACTGTCTCGCTGCTCGCAGTGGCTGATGTCGTGGTCTTCAGCTCGCTCGGGAAGACGCACACCTGTCGCCCAGCCATCGTCCCAGATGCCAATCACCTTGAGGATCTCTCCGCGATCGAGTTCGAACTCGTCGCCTGCTCTGGGGGAGTAGGCCCAGAGAACGGCTACCTTGTCTCCGGCGTGGATGTCATCTTGCGAGTAGTAGTCGCGGAAGTATGACAGCTGCTCTGATTGACCGCTGGTCACTCCTTCAGGGGAAGAGTATTGATAAGTGGTATTGGTACCAGAGCGAGGCGAGCTGTCGCTTTCCAGTCCAGCCAGAACAGAGCTGCTCGAAAGCGAGCCAAGACGCTTGCCAGTCACAGGAGGGATCTTCTTGGACATGGCTCCAGGGCTGGCACCCATGCCCTCTGAATCCGATGCATCACTGTACTTGGCACCGCTGTACATCGCCGCAGAAGTCCGTGAATAGGCAGGCGAGGAGCTGGGCATTTCGCGCAAGGCAGACATGCGTGTGACTCGACCCCCTGGAATCATATTGTATCCGGTCGGGCTCCCAGCCTGTTGCATTGATGGCGATCCTCCCTTGCGTTGCGGGTTCGGTTGGTTCAATCCAGCTTCATTCGGAGTGTTCCTGCGGCGGCGGCGCATGAAGATACAAAGGAAGGCGATCAGAGCAGCGAGAATGGCAGCTCCTGCAATGGAACCAATCACAATTCCAGCAATTGCACCACCAGACAATCCATGGTGACCACCTGCAGCCGCGGCAGAAGACGAAGTAAGTGGTGGCAGAGTCGAAGTAGGTATCGTAACCCCATCACAGCGGCTCGTGGCATTGGATGCTGTGCAACAGGTATCGGTTCCACTCGCACAGTACGTGCAGAGTCCAATGGTGTTCGACGCAAATCCACAGTTGTCGGGCTCGTTTGCGGCTCCTTCGATGCAGCTTCCAGAAAGGGCTTTGTATGGTTGTTCGCAGATTATCAAGTCGGAGTAGATTTGGCTCGTATAGTCCTTGTCGGTGCTGGTGCATAGATCGGTGTTGACCATAGTCTCCTCCTCGCTTCGCGCCCAAAGCGCACATGTGTCGACACAGATTGGGAGCGCATCATTAGTTGATAGACCACAGTCGGATATGGAGCTCTGGATAACACTACTGCACATCACACTAGTTGTATATTGGGCATAGTAGTCGTTTGATGCGCTAGTGTTGAGGCCTTTGCAGCCCAACAGCTCGTCATATCTACAATGCACCAGTCAGTATCTCCCCTACCCATTGATTGCCAACACATACTTTAATGAAACATATGACCCCTTAACATAGTCTTTTAATGAATCATCGAACTCCGTCAGATTCGATACGCCTTTGAGGAATGGACTAGCACAGTCAGCAGGCATCTTCGAGTTTTCAGGCGCGTGTTGACTCACAAGCTCCCATATAGGCTGGAATTGGTGGAAATGGACGAGCTGGCCCAGGCAGGACAGGCGCTTGACCCCGAGAGGGAGATACAAGAGTCTGACATGGTCGGGCGCAAAACTCGAAAGTTGTCGCCCTGGTATACAAGAAGCTTCTCAAGTAGATATGCCGCGGAATGTGTCAATTGCGATCGGGAATGTTCAATTCGGCACGACTGGCGGGTAAAAGAAGAGAAACCGGTCGACCCCAGGCCACCGTTACTGCCTCAAGCTCGGAAAAAGAAGAGAAAACGCGCGAAAGAAAGTAAACGAGTGACTTGGGTTCAATGTGAACCCAGAACGAAAGGTCAACGAAGCCCAGATCGAAAGGGAAGACAAAAGACCAGGGGAGAAGAGGAGATGAGATTGCCTATGGACCAAGATGGAAGTGGCCTGGGCTTAGTGGGTAAGTTAAAGGGAGACGAACTGCTGGGAAAAAGGGAATTGTGAAACAGCGGCTATTTGGTTATTTTTACATATGCGCAGACATAAGTCAGACTCGAATGTTACAGCTCATCTTACATGCTAAAAAGGGGGTTCCCGTTTGTTTACTCTCTTTCTTTCTATCTTACCTCAACACTTTTCACTCTTTCTCTCCCAATTTTGAGATGGCCATTCAATATCCGTTCAATAAGCAGGGCCCAGACAGGGGCTTTCGTACTTTTTTCTGTATAATACGGAATCTTCGTACAGTATTCATCTCCGTTTCCCAGCCTCGCTACGGACGTTAGCGGCTCCGAATGACGATCGCTATAAGACTGCCGTCTCACAGATTTCAACGTTTTACCTTACCGGCCTGCTTATTTTCCCATTGCCTTGCATGATGCACAGTACCGATATACCATATTGTGTGAGCTATCATGGAAATATGCGAGGGGCATCGTTGGGACATACAGGTACTTGGTACCTGGTCACGGGAGTGGGTTGGTAACAGTAGCTCGTACTGGGTACTTACCGCTTGTATAGAAAGTTGGCTGCACCCCGCTTTTGCGGTCTGGTATTAGGATAAGTCGCATTTCGATAATTGATTGTAGTCAAAACGCGATTGATATATCCTTACATGAGTAGTCCACGGGTATAACGTTGGTTTTACAAACTATATTTTTGAAGACCTCGGGAAGTAATGTAGTACCATGTCTGCGGTCACATGATCTTGACATCATCTGATCGGGGATAAGCAGGCTGCCACTCCTGCATCGAACTCATCGCAAAAGTCATAGACGTCGACGTCGATTATAACCATTTTGATACTCACTTTAAATCACAGCCATGTGCAGCTCTGACTTTTTCCTGGCGGTTCTCGCCGTCTTCTTCCCACCCATTGCAGGTAAGTCGCAGCTCCATCCCCTCCCAAACCCCACCACATATAGCCATGCCAGTGCTGATAAAGGTCTGTCTCAATAGTATGGGTCAAGGCGGGCGTCTGCACAGCCGACTCGATCATCAACATTGCCCTCTGTCTCCTGGGATACCTCCCCGGCCTCATCCATGCATGGTACATCATCGTCAAATACCCGGAACAAGACCCGGACGAGGCGGGCTATGAACCCATCCCTGGTGGCGCAAGCCAGCGCCGTGATCTCGAGAACGGAAATGTCACCTACTACTATGTCTCGCGCCAGCCCCTCCAGCACCCCGCCCCGCGGTCATATGGTACTGTCGCCAATGGGCAGCAGGCGTCTGCTCAGTCGAACTCGGCGAATAAGCCACAGGGCCAGCATGAGGGTGCTGAGCAGGGGGTAGCTCGCAGGCTCCACCGACGTATGCTGAGGCTGTCAAGGGCGATAACAAGGTGCAGAGTGATGAATAAAGAGGTGGCGGGTGCTGAGACAAAACTTGGATGCTGCATATGCGAAAAGTGTTCTCGCATGACAGTTCAGTTTTGGTCATGATCTGTTATACCCTCCATTCTAGGTATTGCGTACTTCCCTTGCTTTCTGTCTTTGGACCTTGGACCTCTTTCTAAGAACTGCATTATGATTTTGATGAAGCAATGTTCTATGTAATTCAATTCTGATCATTTTCTTTTACTGGTCACTTACCGAGAACTGTGTATTTTTCTTCTCGTCGCTCTTTTCCCTTCTCTATTCGTAGCTCCTTGTCATTTCTTGGGTTCGAGGTTTAGGTGGTACTGAAATTTTGATGCAATGTTGCGATTTTTGTATCGGGGAAAGTTTGTGTCTAGTGGTCTTTGTTATAAACCTGCGAATGCAATATTACGGCAACTTTGATATTCTCACAACAACGTTGTTCAAGTAGTGGTGGTCTTTCTTGATGTGAAGCGGATATATATATTCCACAGGACCGGCGGTGCCGATGAGAAGCAAGAAGATATTTTCTCGTCTCACGACAATAGTAAGCTAGATATTTAACTAGGAATAACCAAAGTAGTATAAACAATGGTTACAACATACACAATATTCCATGCCAGGGTTCTGCAACCGGCTCCAATCTGATAAGCCTATCCGAGGCCAGGTACCCGAGATCTTCACCCGGCCTCTGCCTTACAACCACTCCCCTCGCCACGAGCCAGTGGCAATACACCGGCCATGCAGTCCATGCCAATACTGCTCAAGCGCTCACTCCGGTCCAGCCTCCAATTAACACGATCCTCCCCGGTGCGACCACATTTCCGCCCAGCCACCCCAACGTTTCCCATCACCAGACCGACTCCGCGGAGCTTCTCCGCCTGCGTACAATGTCAATTCCGCCGACAGCCCGAGACATATGCTGCCTTTGATGACAAAGAGAAGTTTCCCAGCGAAGCTGAGAAGGTCATTAAGGAGAGAGAACTAGATATTGGTTCCCGCGACCCGGCCCCGATCCCGGGTGTTGAGGTGGGGAGTTCTCATGCTGCCCCCCTCACACAGAGTCAGACCAGACTGCGGAACAATTACACACGAAGGAGGGTGAAGTAGAGAAGGAGAGGTCGGCACAGCTGGAGCAAGATGCCAGTGAAGCCGAGGCAAAGAGTGGAGGTCTTCCTTCCTACTTGGAAAGCCGGCGGTCACAAATGTCCAAGCAATTCAGCACAATGATGGACAACCTGCAATCAAACGTCTTTGTAGCAGGTCAAAGACTCAACGACCTGACCGGCTACTCTAGCATCGAAGCTCTAAAGAACGATATCCACTTCCAAGGTACGCACCCCAACCCAACCCAACCCAGCCCAGTCTCCCAGCCCAGAAACTAATAACAAAACAGAAAGCCGTCTCCGCACAGCCCGAGCCCACGTCAAACAAGCCAAAGAAAACTACGCCTCAGCAATAAACCGCCGCTCAACCTCCCAACGCGAAGTAAACGAACTCCTACAACGCAAACACGCCTGGTCGCCAACAGACCTAGAACGCTTCACCCTCCTCTACCGCAACGATCACACTAACGAAGTAGCGGAAACCGAGACCTCGCACGCACTCTCAGCAGCAGAACGCGAAGCCGAAGAAGCAGCCGCCCAACTAAGCAAGAGCATCCTCTCTCGCTACCACGAAGAACAAGTCTGGTCCGATAAAATCCGCCGCATGTCAACATGGGGCACATGGGGTCTGATGGGTGTCAACGTGCTTCTCTTCCTAGTCTTCCAGATCCTAGTCGAGCCATGGCGCAGAAAGAGACTTGTAAAGGGCTTTGAGGATAAGGTCGTTGAGGCGCTTGAGAAAGAGAAGGAGCTTAACCGTGCTTTCCTGGCTGAGAGTGCTGTTTCACTTTCGGCGATCCCGTCGGAGGTTGTGGATGCTACTTCTGATACCGAGCCTTCAACTGTTATTGAGGATCTGCCCAAGGCCGTGCAGGAGACTCTCCCTGCTGATACTGCTACTGCTACTGCTGCGCCTTCAGCGGCAGCGATTGCATCTGATGCGAGTGTGAGTGCTGCTCAGTCGCTTCAGTCTCGCTTGTCTGGTATCTCTTACCCGCCTACCTCTGTCGAATACTGGAAGCAAGTCTTCCATGAGTTTTTCAGTGAGCGCAGCATAGCCGTCTCTCAGCGTGATGTTACCACAGTGGCGCTTCAGAGTGCTGCGACTGGTGCTGCTGTTATGGGTCTCCTCTTTGCCCTTTTTAGATCTGGGTGATTTGTGATGATCTATTTGAACATGACATTGGACATAGACATGGCCAGGTACATGTATCAGAGTTACCAATGTCTCTTCGTACAAGAGTATAAGGGTCTATGTTGGTACTGGAGATTTGATAACTCACCCGGTGCATTGGAGTGGGTATATATGTATAGTTGAATGAAGAGATAGACTCGCTTGGATAGAATCGAGTCTAGTGTACTACTATTGCAGCGTCTGGCGAGTTGAGTATATAGCAAAACATTGAATGATCTCACCTTGGTTCACGTTTACGTACAACTTTAGCCTTGGAAGAATCGGAGAGATTGAACATAGGAAATAACACGACTAGACGATACACTAAATATAGAACATAAGTATGTACTCAAGGAGACGGCGGACATCCTCTGCACTGCCAGGACAAACTCCTAGCCCGAGCATCTAACCTCACGGATGGCGAAGCGCGCGCTTGCAGGGACCTCGAGAGCCCGGAGCATGAAACAAAAGGGAAGAAGAGGCTCATTTTTTTGTCCATATTAAAACACAGGTCTCTTAATCTTGACAAGATACACGGCCGCTCTGTCTAAAAAAGGGAAATAACCAAAACGCACAAGCACATACACAGATAGATAGGAGATACATCATCCCTCTCTATCTTTTATCTCATCCACACATTCTAATGAGACAAGCCGCTCGGGGGCGGTGATCAAATTCGGGGGTGTATTGAAAAAGGTCGCTTAACCGATGACAAGAACCTCATCCTCAGGGAAGTTGTAGGCGGGGACCTCCAGGTTCAGAGGGGCGGGACCCTTCCGAATACGGCCGGAGATGTCGTAGTGGGAGCCGTGGCAGGGGCAGAACCAGCCGCCGTAGTCACCGGCCTCACCAATGGGGACACAACCCAAGTGGGTGCAGACACCTAAAAGATAGTTAGGAATGGGAATTGTGCTTGAACAAGCAAGATATCGGAGTTATGCCACTTACCGAGCATGACGAGCCACTCGGGACGCTGGACACGGTCTTCATCGGGCTGGGGGTCACGGAGAGACTCCCACTTGCCCTGACGGGCCTCGTCGATCTCACTCTGGGTACGGTGGCGGATGAAGACGGGCTTGCCACGCCACTTGATGATGACCTGTTTGGAGAGTGTTAGATAAGGATTTCGACCACTGGAAGTCACGGATGGGATGGCGGATGTAAACACGTACGTTCTTGCCCTCAGGAATGGAACCGAGAGCGATCTCAACCTTGGCCTGGGCCAGGACATCGGCGGAGGCGGACATGTTGACCAGGAAGTCTGGAGAAAAAGAATATCGCGTCAGTCATTGTTGCATAGGGACGCCCGGTTCCGACCAATCGAGAAATCAAAATATCATCCAATTCACTCCCGCTCGTATTCTATTCCCATCTCTTTTCGATTCGAAGAATAAAAAAACCTACCCTGAACAGTAGCCTTGGCACCGACGGCGCTAGCCAGACCGAGGGAGCCGGCCATGAAGTAGGAGAAGACTTGGTTGGAGCGAGGCGAGCTGTTGGACTTGTACTTGCTGAAGTTGGGGATCTTCAGGGTCGAGCGTGGCTCGTTAGCGGTGGCGAAGGGAGACTCGAAGGATGACTTCGCATCGGCAACTCCCCTCCGCTGGCAGGAGGTGACGGCGGCGCGGGTGGTGGGCACCTGCTGGCGGGCGACGGTGCGCAGCAAAGTGCTGGAAGCGGAGGAGAGCGACATGTTGAGGGCAATTGACCACGGAGGGAATTGAGCCGCGAGGTGTGGAGGGACGTGGAGGGATAGAGGGTGGATGAAGTCGGAAGTTGAAGTTGGAGCCAGAGCTTTCGCTAGCGATCGGAATCACGGGGCCGCTCATTGGCTGGTCGGTTCCCGTTCACTCCCTACCATTCGAACAATATAACATAAGTTAAATCTATTGTTAACTACTGTTATATCGAATTAATTTATAGTTAGTTAGTATATTTGCAGTTGGACCTGTTTCTGCTAATTATTTGTTTTCATTTTTAAGTAGACTGACTTCTCTGTCAATATCTACGGTAACCCGACCCAATGCGACCGCATAACCCAGAACCAGCAAACTCCAATGCAAAATCATAAACAGAGAACAAAATAGGGCATGTATGGAGCATTCAATCTTGCATCTCCACGTCATGGTCATGACTCGACATGGGTTCAACTGTCCGGTCCGCAATCAACGCGCTGACAGGGACCATCGGCCGAGGAACCGACGGAGACGTTGTCTTCGACTCTTCTCCCTGTGGAGTAACATTCTCTGTACCCACGCCATTCGCTGGAGGAGCAGCACCGGTGCCATTGAGGGTACGTTGGCCCTTCTCCATAGCGCTCTGGCCGGCCGCATCCTTGGCCTTCTTCTCCTTGAATTGTTTGTACGTCGTAGTCTTGGGAATCACGTCTGATAGGAACTCGAGATTGTCTGTGTGTGATACCGCCGCAGCTATTGCACATTCATTAGCATGTTGTCGGTCTCTGCAAGCAATCGTCACTCACCGAGATCTTTGTATTGAACGGTTTTGCGGGGTTTTCGTTCGGACTTGACCACGTTGTGTCCTTGTTCAGCAAGGTGTTGGATGAACATCTCCTGTAATTGTGTTAGTCGGTGCTCGAAGCAGTGCAGTAAGAGTGTGGCGCACGGTAGCCCTGGCGATGACAAAAGTCGCATTGTTCGAGCATTGTACGATATCTTCGTCTAGCTGGATGATCTTTTTGATTCGTGAAACTATAGAAATGAGTTAGCACACGTTGTCTGGCGCAGCTATAGTGTAACACGTACTGGGAAGCGCGCTCTGTCCGGTGATCTCATCCGGATCTCCCATAGGCTTTGGAGGCATGGTAGTGGTTGGAAGTGGTAAGTAAAGTAGAGGTCGCAGTACGCGCCAGCCGTTTCAAGCTCTTAAGCCGTTGTAGATGCAAAAGGGCGCCAGCGTGGAGTTGAAAAAGAGCTAAACGCGTGGCCGCGTTATCTGAGTTATCGATACTTGGCGACTTCGCTTTGTCACACTCGTCTACTTCCACAGCTCCGTTCCGCTCACAAGTTACCCAAGATCCCAACAGCTTGAATAAAGACCGACAATACCTCAAGGCTGGTCCGAGGATCTGATTTCAAGCCTGGAAGCCCATCTTCTCACGGCCAAGCGCATCGCGGACAGCTCATAGCCTCCAAGCCGACTATGCTGATCCTATCCTTTCGATCGATGCCATGAATTCAATGCGCCCTTCTTCGACCTTTTCCCGGTCGCTTTCAGTTAACTCCGAGCGCCGCAATTCTCGCAGGCCATCACCCCGCTCTGTTGCCTCTCCTATCGACCCCGAACCCGCTCCCGACCCCCAAGCCCCCGCGATCACAGAAGAGATCAGTGAGATCAAGCGGTATGAAGACTTCACCACTATAGACTGGGTCCAAGATGCCGTCTATGAACAATCGCGGCGGCGCGCTAAGCGGCGCAGCGGGACGGGGTTCTGGGATCAGGAAGGCATCCTTGGCTGGAGGCGGAAAGTGTACGAATCATATGATGCAGGCCAGGCGTGGCTTGTCGTTACACTTGTTGGCATGGCCATTGGATTGAATTCGGCTGTACTCAATATTATTACCGAATGGCTTTCTGATATCAAGTTGGGCCATTGTACTACTGCATTCTATTTGAATGAGCAGTTCTGCTGCTGGGGCGCCGAGAATGGTATGTTCAGCAAGCTTCGTTGAAGACTAAAATGATGAGACTGACCGTTACTGCTACTATAGGCTGCCCCGAATGGAAGCATTGGACTTCATTCTGGCTGTTCAACTATGTCATCTATTTCTTTGGCGCGGTAAGACTTGTCGCATCCTTGATTCATGGCCTATGAACTAATATTTATGTAGTTAATGCTTTCATCCATTGCCGCGGTTCTGGTCAAGTCTTTTGCACCCTATGCGGCTGGGTCTGGTATCTCAGAGATCAAATGCATTATTGCTGGCTTTGTTATGAAGGGCTTCCTGGGTGCCTGGACTCTCCTGATCAAGTCCATTGCACTACCACTAGCTATCGCGTCGGGTCTTTCTGTGGGAAAGGAAGGACCCAGTGTACACTTTGCCGTGTGTACAGGAAACGTGATCTCGCGCTTCTTTGGTAAATATAAACAGAATGCTTCGAAGACAAGAGAGATCTTGACTGCCTCAGCGGCAGCTGGTGTCGCTGTTGCTTTTGGAAGTCCCATTGGAGGCGTGCTGTTCTCACTGGAGGTTCGTCTGATGCCACTTACACTTATGGGATGATGCTGATTGTCAACAGGAAATGGCCAACTACTTCCCCCTCAAGACTCTCTGGCGTAGTTACTTTTGTGCTTTGGTAGCCACCAGTGTGCTGGCGGTACGTATTCAACTCGTTGACGGTTGACCATTGCTAATTTCTCAGGCTGTCAACCCATTTAGAACCGGTCAATTGGTCATGTTCCAAGTTGAGTATGATCGAACTTGGCATTTCTTTGAATTGATCTTCTTCGTGGGCCTTGGAGTCTTTGGTGGACTTTATGGTGCATTCGTGATGAAATGGAACCTTCGCATGGCTGCCTTCCGCAAGAAATACCTGTCCCAGTGGCCTATCACCGAGTCAGTTGTTCTTGCTGGACTCACTGCAGTGCTGTGCTACCCCAATATGTTCCTCAAGATCAACATGACCGAAATGATGGAGATCTTGTTCCGCGAATGTGAAGGTGGTCATGACTATGATGGACTTTGCGAGTATGAGATGCTCCCCATATACCGAGGAAACTATACTGACTTATAGCAGAGCCAAAAACCGATGGCCGATGGTCTTATCTCTAGCCTTTGCAACTGTTCTTCGCACGGGCTTGGTGATCATTTCCTATGGCTGCAAAGTGCCAGCTGGTATTTTCGTGCCTTCAATGGCTGTCGGAGCATCTTTTGGTCGCATGGTGGGAATCATGGTGCAGGCACTACATGAATCGTTCCCCAAATCTGCATTCTTCGCCTCTTGTAATCCAGACGTACCTTGCATCACACCGGGAACATACGCGTTCCTGGGCGCAGGTGCAGCCCTCAGTGGGATCATGCATCTGACCATCTCCGTGACGGTCATTATGTTCGAGCTGACTGGTGCGCTGACATACATTCTGCCAACCATGGTATGTACTTTCGATGGTGTCTGTCAATCTAACATGCTAATCTCTCGCAGATCGTGGTAGGAGTAACCAAAGCCGTCGGTGATCGATTCGGCAGCGGCGGTATTGCCGACAGAATGATCTGGTTCAACGGCTTCCCTTTCCTAGACAACAAAGAAGAGCACGTCTTCAACGTGCCCGTCTCTCACGCAATGACCACAGACCCGCTCTCCCTGCCGGCATCAGACTTCCCAGTGCGTGAAGCAGAACATCTCCTCAACGATAACAAGTTCCAAGGCTTCCCCGTCGTGGAAGATCGCACCAGCAAAACCCTAGTTGGATACATCGGACGTACCGAGCTCCGATACGCCATCGACCGTGCCCGTAACGAGGGCATGGTAGCACCAAACGCACGCTGCGTTTTCACAAAGGAAGCAGCCGAAGCCGCAGTTGCACGGAGAGCATCTGTCCCCCAGCACGCACGGTCATTAGAGACATTTGATGCAATCCAGCGCAGCGCAGGAGCCGCCTTCGTCGACTTTTCGCGGTATGTTGATCACACACCGTTGACCGTACACCCGCGCCACCCCCTCGAGACAGTCATGGAAATCTTCAAGAAGATGGGACCGCGAGTCATCCTGGTCGAACACCGTGGCCGCCTTACCGGCCTAGTCACCGTGAAAGACTGTCTGAAGTACCAGTTCAAGGTGGAAGCCGAAGAACATACCCTCGCAGCAACAAGCTCATCGGAATTCTCCGGGCTCGGTGGGCACTTGAACAGCCCTGCACATGAAACGCTGGAAGAGCGCCTGTGGCGACTTATCCAGACAGTCGCTGGTTTCGTATCTGGCTCTCGCCGGCCGGTCCGGCTGCGTGATCGGAATCCGCCTAGGCAGTCTGAGCCATCCGGCATCTTGGATGGTACCGAAGATGATGCCGTGGTCGAGTTGGAGGACAGAGAGGATCGACCGATGATCTGATACCCGAAAATGGAGGAATAGTGTTTATACTTATACTGTATCTTGATAGAGGCGTTTGCTACACGATGTTACTTATTCCTCAGCCCCCAAAAACCGGAAATCGCCATAAAGCATCAGCGTAAACGGCGCCCAATAGAACGGACTCGGCCAATCCAATTGCTCCAGAATCATCTTCAAAGTCAACAACAAAATCTCCGGATCAGGCACAAACGCCGTAGGAACTCGACCTAGTATATCAGGCGAAGACCGGTACCCCATAATATCATCTAAAAGAGCACCCGCCTTCTCACAATCAAGCCCTAACACCTCCAACTGTGCTTCGCGCATAACCTCCGCAACAGAAAGAAATGTCTTCCTCTTCAGCAGCCGATAGAAAACTGTCATAACCATCATCGATCCGAAATCGCTCACTTTCCATAATGTACCGATATATGCCTGACACCCTGTACTCAGGACAACATGCGAGAAACCAAGTACCTCGCTACTGACGGTCGCTTTCCCAAGACCACTTTGACAAGCCGCAAAGACAAGAAGACTGACATTACTCCTGACGGCTGACATATCAAGTACGCGGAAATCCTGTCCGTGGCCTATGGATATAGACGAGAGGAGAGGATTTCGGTGATTGAGATCGCCGTGTGTGCCGATATGCAAGATCGAAGACCCGCCTTCAACGTGTTGGCGGAAGGATTGGCGGGTTAGAGTTGAGGCTTCGATTGGCCAGGTTTGGAATGTGCGTGCTATGTTTATGGCTTCTATGCAGGCCATGTGGAGGTTCGATTCTTCGTTGGCGCGAGTTTGGTTGGGTAATTCTTCCGTTGGGGATTTGGCGAAGACGGAGACTGTTAGTGTGTCGTTTTGACGGTGTTTGTGTTGAGAGAGGTGGTAGAGGACTGTTAGGCTTGGGACTTGGGAGATGGCTGCGTGGTAGATTAGGGGTTTGTGTTTGAATTGGAGGGTTGAGAAGGGGAATGCTGTTAGGGGGTCTGAGATGGAGATGATGATGTGTTTCTTTATGCTGATTGTTTGGGTGAAAGGATCTAGTAGTTCGGCGGAGATTGCTTGGGATAGAGAGGCGAGGTGTTCCTTTCGTGCTTGGCTGTGGTATCCGGTCATTTCTTTCATTATTTGCATTATCCGCATGGTTGGTCTGCGCATGTCGACTGTGCGTGTTGGTCCGTAGTGTATTTGTTGAAGCCTTCTCGAGTCAGTGCAAAGGCAATGGAGCCACGAGGGCCGAAGGTTACTTCGATGACTACGGCATCTTCATCGATGCATTGGTAGAGCAGTTGTGGATCAACTGTAGAGTTCACAGTCTCGATAAACGTTGTTACAGGGGACAATCCGTCGGCGTCTTCCAGCATTTTGATATCCAGCTCAAGTTACATCATCTCATTCTTCTGTTCTGGACTTCGAGATTCTAGAGCAAATAATGTTCTCAGAGTCCTTCGCTTGTAGACTGCCTCCGACAGAGCGTCAGTTCGAGGATCCCTCAGCTTTCCCTGATTTGCTTGTCCCTGCAATGGACCCAAGCACTGCAGGTGCTCGGCTGCCTTCCCTGAACAGAAGAGCATGCTCCTCCCAAGAGATATCGGCTGGATGGCCGTGATTATACAGTGCCATCACAGCAACAGGAACACCGGCACTTCTACAGCGAAGACAAATGACCGCGAGATTGATTAAAACCTCGCGTGTCCATCCAGCCCAGGAACTTCCAATGCGTGCATCGACATCGGCTATCTGGGTCCTGGAAAGCTCAATTGCCCTTCTCACCTTGCTGGAAGTCCTCAAGACACTCGTTGAACAGATCATTGTCGTCAATACCATCCAGGATCTCTTTCGCTAACCCCAAATCCCCAATTCTCTCGCAAGCCAGTATACACTGCCGAGCCGCATGTGTGGGCGGCGCAGTTTTGGTTGTTGAATGATCGGTTTTTGAAGCTTGGGAAGGGTGCCGTTGATGGGGTCAATTGCCTGTTTCTACGGGTCTTTATCGGGACGTTATGTCCGTTAATACGGCAAGGGGTGGATAGGGGTGCACTGTTGAGCTTGTGCTTGGGGATAACGAAGAGGATTGTGGGGATTTGGATGAGGTTGATCAGAGTATGGGAAGAGGTTGGAGCAGGCTATTGGTGTTTTTGAGAGGGCTCCTGCGCACTTCTTACAGTGAAGATGCAATTTTGGAAATAGATGATAGATGTATCAGTAATGATATTCGATTTGTGTCCAGATGTTTGCTTCAAAATTGCCATGTGTTCCAATGCTGCATAGTCGGAGCCTTCCAAGCCCTATTCCTCCATTCCCATGACTGCACATATCTGAGCTGCACATAAAGCATCTCAATCAAAACAGCCATAACGATCCATCCCCAGCCCCAGAAAATGGCAGGTCCCAGTCAGACGTGAGTCCGCAGCATAAGAAAAAAATGACAAGCGTCCGACATCTGGCAATTCTCAAAGCGGTTAAAAGCCATCCAAAATGCCTCTACCAAGGCTTTGTCTGTTTGGCGGTCAATCTCCGTCCACCGAACTGCAATCTGGCGAATCTGAGGACGGAAGATATCGTCTTCGATAATGGCATTGATGCGAGCCAGAGATCGCTCACTGAAGTCTGTTGAGATTGTGTGGAAGGCTGTGCGTGCGTATGCCCTGAGGCTGATACGGTACATGTGGCGGCTTGTCAGGCGGAGTGCATTAAGCTCTGTGACTGAGAGGGTCTTCGACACTTCTTCCAGCATCTCATCGGGAAGACGGTCGAGTTTGAACCATTCTGTGATAGGGCTTGTGGGGCTGTATTTGTTTGGAGGGATGATGATTGGGACGATGGGAGGAAAGCCGCGTTTGATAACTTTGATTGAAGCGATAGAGCGTCTGGGAGAAGACTGAATCTGGTGGCTGACTGAGGCACCGGGGCTAATAGGCGGAGCCATGATCACGATTTATGCCCTGTTGATTGAGAGGGTGAAGAGGGTTGGTAAACAAGAGAAGAACCGAAACTGGAGAGTTGCGAGTAGGGCTTTTCAAAATGTCAACCGCGGGTTCTTTGAGTACAGATATTGTATTGTACCTATTGGGAAAGTAAACAATGGGCTTACCGCGCCTCTTGTTCTGTAGACAAAAACCATTCCTATTCATAGAGCCATCTTTATGATAGTATGCAAAAAGAGAAGACCAGGTTGCCATTCACATATTGTACGGAGTATGTCACTATGTCTACACAGTCTAAGTAGATTATAGCGTCTATGCCTCCAAGCTCATGAGACTGAGCCACCCTATTTGTCTTTCTATATTCGGATACTCTCCTAAACAAAGATATCAAATTGAAATGTGAGATACGTAGAGTAAAATACTCCAAGCAGCTGAATATCAAAGTATCAATCACCTATACGTGACCCACCATACAGACTCGTTTGAAAGACTCTTATCTACGACAGGCATTCCGTTTAAATCGACATACATATGTATATCTACATCTAACTTCAATTTAAATCTAAGCCCGTTCACATATCACCCCAATCACCCAAAAATAAACCAAACTCTCTCAATTATTACTCTAACTTACATAAACTATCCAAACTCAATCCACTTCAAAGCTCCATCCATCCATCCATCAAACCAAATAACAGTATATTCATATTCACGCCCCCTCCCTCATCCCGACAAGAATACACCCAGCCCCCATCATCCCAGCCCCAACCCACCAAAGCCCGCCCACAGCTTCCCGAAAAACAAGCATGCCCAGCAATGCCGTTGCCAAGAAATTACTCGCCGTATTCGTAATGGAGACTTTTGTCGTTGACGGTCCGGCTGTTAGTGCTCGTGTGAAGAGGGCCCACATTATTATGTTGCAGAGGATGTTTAGGCCTAGGCATGCCTGGATAGAGTTGATATTGTGTTAGTTGTTGTATTGTGGAATTGGGCCTTGAGTATTGTATGGGTAGGATAGCATAGGATTCAGGTGGACATAACATACACCCCGAACAAGCATCTCGATAAAAGGCGAAGACTCCATTCCGAGGAGGTGGGCGATGGATGTTGCGAATGATGTTGTGTGGTTATCTGTTGTTCTGTAGCCCATGATTGCCATATTAGCCTGCCGTTCCAGGTGTTCTAGGGTTGAGTTCCAGGGTTGGTGGTTCCAGGAACAGGGGTTTGGGTTACACAGCGCCGCGAAGATTCACGGCTTATCCCAGGGTTCATAGGCATCTTTATAGCCCCGGATATAACCATGCTTGTGTAACAGTGTGGAGGCACGTACAATTTCGCGAAAACGCCGTTGAGCGCGGCGAAGGTTCCGCTTGTTATAGCGAGGATGATCCATGGGGATGTGGAGGATTGTTTTGGGGGTGCTGGGGAAGACATTGAGTCGTTGTCTCTGTCCTGGGACAGTCGTATTGCCGCGTTCTTGTTGGATTGGGTTATATAGGAGGATATCGGGGGTCTTGGTGTTTGAGTGACGTTGGGTTTGTGCCAAGGCTGATAAGATGTGATAAGATAGACTGATAAGACTGATATGGATATGGATGTATATAGTATAAGATATGAATCACTCGACACATCCGGCTCTAAGACACTCTAACAATCACTGGATCTACGGCGAAAGCCTCTGAACCCTCCACCTCGCGCCCTCGCCCTGTTCACCCCCAACACGAACATATCTAAACCGATCATGCAAGCGACTCCTTCTCCCCTGCCAAAACTCCACAGACTCAGGAACAAGCCTAACACCGCCCCAGAAAGGTGGCAACGGAATTTCCTTGACCCCCTCAAACCTGGCCTCCATCTCCCTAACCCTCGCCTCAAGCAAAGCCCTCCCATCTTCAATATCCGTCTCCTCAATATCAACCGGAACAATCCCAGCAACCCCCTCCTGCAAGACCGCAACACTCTTTCTCCTCTGCCGCTCAGTTAACATCTCCGGATTAGCCTCCCAAAGCACACGGCTTTGCCAACTCGCCCAGCCACCAATCTGACTGCCCCTCTCGCGCGTCCGCCAATACAACTCGCTCTCCTCCCGACTAAGCGGTTCGAGTAGTCCCTCAACGCGGACTTGACGCTCGACATTCAACCAACAGAATGTCAGCGCGCCCCATTTGTTGCCTACTCCGATTTCCTGCTGGATCGAGTCTGGTTCTGGCATTGCGGCCAATGTGTCATCGTTTCCCTCTCCGTTTCCAGTGCCGAATACTTGTCCCCCTTTCCCCTCGCGACTTCCCCAGTTACTATACACGACCCAGCCGCGCTCATCCAGTTCCTTGAGGTAAACGACTCGGGCACTGACGCGGCCGGAGGGCATGGATGCCGTGGCCAATGTGCATGTTTCTGGCGCGGAGGATGCTACCAGGCGCGGGTCGCGGAACCAGGTGTGGAATTGGTGGAGGGGGTTTGTATTGTGGATTTGGGAGATTGTTAAGGGTGGGTTTGTTGTGAATTGGTGGGCACGGGACGGATTGGAGAGGATTTGCGTTTCCGTTGTTGAGGTTGGGGTGGAGGTTGCGCTGCGCAGGTCTGGGGTTGTGGGTTCATCTTGGTCTTGGAATTGGGGCTGTGAAATTGTGCTGGCTTTTAGGCCTGGGGTCGGGGGTATGTCCCCTGGTGCGACTGAGGCTTTGTTAGCTTGCGTGGATTGGAGTGGGTGGGCGGAGGATCATCGTTGAAATTGGTATACATACAGATGAGCTTCTTCGGACGGCGGGTATCACTCTGAGACTCGTGGTCCATTCTTGCGCGCTGATTGAAATTGTTCACAGATGAGGAAAGTCGAAAGTGAAGGCGGAGTTGGCGGGGTTGGCGGGGAAAGACTCGGACACGGAGAAACGAGTCAAATGCCAAGCGAGCTGATGGACACACAGTGGGTGTCATTAACTGAACTCAAGCTCAAGGTCAAGTATGTGGTAGAAGAGAGAGTGGGAGTAGCCGGAGCTATAACCTTGGAAGTTCTCGATCGGAAACTCCCGAAACGTCATGCCACCCGATTAGGTTTCAAGGTTGCTTACTGCTTACTGTAAAGAACAATATTGACTCATTCACTTTTTTTCATATTTTTGCGCGTAAGACGCGGTGGGAGAGTTGAGAGATGTCTATGAACAAAAAAAAAAAAAAAAAAAAAACAAAATGGTATACAGTGCTTCCATGCACGCCTTTTTGAACGCCAGATGAAAACGCCAGTCCACGCTGGATGCCATATCAACAAATAAAGACCAAAAGATCAAAACCAAAAGCAGATCAGATGTTGCATGTTCCATATCCCACTGCCGCCCCACAGACGCCGAACCAGAAATATTCCACACACGGGATCCAGCCCTGGCAGAGAGATGTAGGGTCGCAACAAGAGAGGAAATTAAACGAGGTGTGAGGTAGAAGGGTATGAAACAATCAAATAGAGGAGGAAACACCAACAAGATCGACGATCTTGCCAGCAACCGCGGACGGGTATCCACGAGACATCATCTCCTGGACGATGGCAGCGGCACTGACACGATCATCGGCACTCAAGAAAGCACGCGTCATAGCCTCGTACGTGCTAGGCTCGCGCTTCTGGATGCCAATGCTATCGTAGATAGCCTTTGCCTTGGAGACGTTGCCCTCAGCGGCCCAGCCGTGGATGAGAGTGTTGGCAATGTAAGCTGTCATCTCGATCTTGCGCTGAGCCATGTTCCGCACAACCTCTTCGGTATCGGCGACGCTGTGGTTGGCGACCATCGACTCGAAAAGGGCTTGGTACAGACATGGTTGTGGTCGGACGCGGGAATTTGCCATGACCGAGTCGAAGACTTCGCGGGCGCCGGCGAGGTCGTGCAGGACGCAGCCCTTGGCGTGGACGAGGGATGCGTAGTGCACGGCATCTGGGTGCTGGCCTGCTGCTTTCATGTGCTCGAGGACTTCTTCGGCGGCAGCCATGTTGATTGGCTCTAGGGAGGCGTGCGCGTCGATGAGGAGCTTGTACGTGTGCATTGTGGGCTGGATGTGGCGGGCTTGCATGCGCTCGTAGTAGGCGAGAACTTTGCTGAGATCGCGCTTTGTGTTGAGGAAGTATTGGATCATGGAGTTGTAGGGTGCGGGCCGGGGCTTGTAGTTTGGCATGGATTCCATTTCTTCGAACATTTCTTCGGCAAAGCGCTCGTCGCTGACTCGACAGAGGGCGTTGACGATTGTGCCGTAGGTCACGCTGGTGGGACGCACGTTGTTGGCGCGCATCTCGGCGAAGTAGGCGAGGCAGTCGTCAATGCGACGGGCTTTGCCAAGCTTGCCAATGAGGGCGTTGTACAGGAAGGAGGTGGGCTCGACACCTTCGGCTACCGCGCGGTGGAAGATCTTCAGAGCCTCGGTGGCTTCGTCGAAGGTCTTGGTGGATTCCTTCAGGGTGGTGATGTACAGACCGAAGGTGTTCGCCGAAGGGGCAGAACCCAGGGTAAGAAGCTCCTGGTGGTACTGTGCGGCCAGCTGTCGATCACCGAGGGTAAGGCAGGCGGCGACCATGGCATCAAGAATGGAAACCCAACCATATTTGACAACGCTGAAGTTCATGTCAAGAGGAACGTCGGTGCGGGCCATGCTGTGAATCTCGTGGGCCAAAGTCATACGGCCAGACTTAGCCGCGGCGGTGATCAGCTTCGCGTAGGTGATGTAGCGCGGGTGACGACCGATGCGGCGCATGTTCTTAAGACGTGTCAAGGCCTCGTTAAGGTGAGTCTCAGCGCGTCCGGAGGTCTTCTCGAGCTCTTCGGCGATGACGGCAGAGCCACGGAAGTCGGTCGCATGCGCATAAGGATCGAAAGCTTCGGCGTTGGCAGACGGGGTGGTGATTGAAGTCTCGGTCATGGAGACGGGGCTCTGGCGGTCGGAGAACATCTTGGGAGAAACAGCAGAGGCCTGAGAGCTAGCCTCCAGGTAGTCCTGCCACCTCTTCACAACATCGGGACGGCTGACGAAAAGCTTGCCGACAGCTTGGTCGACCAAGCCGGTGGTGTTGATGTCCATGGGAAGACCTGCCGACAGAGCGACGTCGAGCATGTGTGCGAAGCGAACGGGGTGGGCAACATCAAAGACCATAGCACTGTTGCTAGCCAGCATGCCAGCCTGCACTTGCAACGCAAGAGTCAGGTCGGTAGGCTTAAGCTGCGAAATACCAATGGGACCGAGATTAGCGACAGCGTGCTCAGCGAGAGGAGAAACCAGACCGCCGTTCTCGAGCATGGACCACAACAGAGTCATGGAAGCCTGAGGAGAAAGAACAGCGGCCGACTGCATAAGAACACGGCCAAAGAGGTGAAGGGACTCAGTAATCTGTTCACGGACGACGGGTGTGGAGGACGCGTTGCGAATACGCGTGAACATATTACGGGCTTGGTGGAGGCCCTCTTCAACATTTCCACTCTTGAGCAGAGCAACCGCATACATAGCGGTCGGCTGGACCAGATCCGGAGTTGCCTGACCCACCGTGTTCAACATGATCCACAAGGAACGGGCTGACGACACATTACCCTGACGGACGTGAAGAGCCAGCAGCGAGACAGCTGGGTTCTGTCGGACGTCAGGTGCAGTAGGCAGAGAGTCATATGCTTCAGATGCAGTGGGGAGATCGCCTGCATCAGCGGCGGCCATGCAGATCCGAGAAATGGCCTGATCCCGAGATGCATCATGCAATTGGGCCTTGGCCTGTTCCAATGCCTTGCTGTGGTTGCCCGCGTTAATCAAGTGTTGCACAAGTGCCTCCTCGACAATGACGGTTTCCACTGCAGACCAGCGGTCCTGGCGACCTTCGGTGACCTCGTCGAACGAAGAACGGATCCGGTCGAGGAACTGCATGGCGCCCTCTTCCTTGCCATTGGACAGGTACGCACGGATCAAAGCAGCATAGACTTGGCCATCCTGACGCTGGACAATGCTGAAGATCCCGTTGTCGTCGGAGACAGCGAGACCGCGGTACTCGTTGTAGCATTCGACGGCGCTGCGGAGATCACCAACGGAAGCAAAGGCAGTGATCATTGATGGGAAGATGGTGGCGTGGGGAGTCATCTTCTGCGATTCCATGTGGGCGTAGATGCGGATCATATCCTCCACCTTACCCTCCTTGGCACAGGCAATAATAAGGTGACGGTACATGTCCAGCGGGAACACAAGACGGCTGTGACGGGCGATGGCAGTATCGAAGAGCTTGACAGCAATGGACAGAGAGGTATCCTCGGCAAGGATATCCCGCTCCATCTCACTAGACTGAAGCATGAACTTGCCAGGCTCTTCCATACCACCAAATCGCACACGCTCGCTCTCCAAAGCTTCCTTGGCCTTGATGATATCGTGAGCCCGGGTCACCAAAAGCTGAACCAGAGTCTCATAGGTTTCTTCATCGGGAATTACCCTACGACGAAGCATGTCCGAGTAGACATCCAGGGCTTTAGGGATAGCCTGAGCGGCATCAGGGTGAAGACGAACAGCAGCGACCAGCAGGGCATTATAGGCCTCGACAGTTGGAGTAACGCCATCATGAAGAAGTGTTTCAAACGCCGCCGGGATCTCCGCATACTGCTTAGAAGCAGCCAGTTGCACAACACGCTCCGAGGCAACCTGGTTAGCCTCCAAGACAGCATCCGACACGTCCGATTCCACGATCGCATCAGATCCCTCGGCAGCCTCCTCCGCTCTGGCCTGTTCCTCCTGGATCTGAATCTCGCGGGCAACAGCCTCCTCAACCTGAGCACTAACATCATCATTCATAGCCGCCTTGGTCGGATGCGGCGGAACAGACTCAGGCGACGCGGCCCGATTCTCAGGAACATCGTCGGCCTCCTCAGACGGCTTCCAGCCAATGCGACGTTTGAACTCGAACTGAGTCCAATCGCTATCATCGCCAGTCTGCTGGGCATGCTGCCAGGCGGCATAGTAAGCGGCTAAACCGAAGTCGCCGTTGCCCGAACCGCCCTGGCTGGCCTTTGCCCCAGCGCCGGAGGAGCTGGACGCGTTGGAGAAGGCATTTTGTAGCTGGGTTGTGCGGGAGAACTTGGCGGGTTGGACGGCGAGCGGGTTAAAGGGCGCGGTCGACGCGTAGGACTGCGACGCGGCGACTACTGATTGAGCATAGCCATGGGTGAAGGCTTTAGTGAAACTCTGGCGCGCGAGGTGGGTGAATGGTTTGAAAACCATTTATCTGACGGGTGACCTCTTCAGAGCAAAGAGGCAATGCTGGGATCGTTAGATGTTTCGATATGAGTGGATGGAGATTTTACATACCTTGCACTCAAATAGATAGTGAGAGTGCAGGTTCATTTGACGACAGTTGGTCGCCAATGAACGCGCAAGTGCGAAATTAGGAGATTATTCGATAGAGTGTTGTTGTATGAAGGAAAGACGGGAGCCTGAAAAAAGAACGAGGGGTGAGAAATAATCATTGACATGAAGTTTCACAGTGGGCCTGGGGCCGATCTTCTCCGGAGAATCCTCTCGATGTACCTATGACGGCTGTGCAGCCACGGGTTGTCCACGCGGATCACTTATTATTTTGATATCTGATCCTACGTGTCTTTTTCGAATGCGAGATAGATCTATGTACTCATACATCAAAATGAGTATTTTTGATATCTGATGCATATGGCACCATACAGTTAAGAGCTGGAGTCTACACGCGACAAAGTACCAGTATGATTCTTCAAGGGCACCTGACCTCTATAGATGTGCCAGCCAATCACATCAAGCATAAAGCCAGTCGGAACCATGGAAAGGGGCAGTTCCTGGGATGAGTCATGTTCCTTCCGATTCTTTTTCTTCGGAGGTCAATTGCTCCTTCCCCGGGCACTTCGGACTCGGCCTTACCGGTGTTTGCAGGTTTTGCGCGGATTTCGGACTCTCCGTCTTCTCTCCGTCCCTTTGGTGCGAAACCTTGATCCCTTACACGTCACGTCTTTCTTCTCGACCGGTCGTATATGTCAGCCCTTTGACTCAAACGTGACTTGCACATTGGTCTCAATGAACCGGGGCTGAGACTCCCTCAAATCTTGTTTTCACACAGGTCACTTCCCGCCTATTGCAATCTGGCCTGAAATCTGGAAATCTCGAGGACTTGAATTGGCTCATTATTTGAGCCTGAAAGCACCCAAAATCGACCTAGGATTGCTCGGTTGCATATTTCCTCAGCGGACTACTTCAGAGGCTTGCAGCTTTTGACAGGGGTGTTTGCAGGGGTTCGGTTATTGGCGGGGTCCCTTGCAACTGGATCAATCCTGGCTGTTCGATTTTGGGTGATTTTCAGGCCCAAATAATAAGTTAATTCGTCTCTGTTTATTCGAAGCATTCGCTTCGTGATGGATTCAGTCTCGGTTTCATTCGGAGGGTGCGAGACCCTACCTCCGTTTAACCTATCAAACACCATGGATAAAACTTATCGTGAAACTAGACCGGGGCGTTGGATATCAAACCTCGGAATATCTAGTTTCGCCTCATAGATGTTATAAAGACATGATCCAGTTTGCATCCCTAATCCACAGACAGTAAATGTCATTCAAGTCGCCATAAGAGATCACCGCTTCAGGGCAGCTTAATTTGGAGGTTTGAGGTAGTACATGTAGTTGGATTTTCTCGATCTGACCCTGAGGAATATCCGTCGTTCTTTTCTTGCGCCAAACTGTCTATCTCGCAGACATGTTGAGTTCTCAAGGGACGAGTCCATACATCCGCAATAGCATATCAAATCGCAACTACACCATAGTTCACCAGAAGAGCTCTATTCTATCCACTAATCTTCGACCATCAGTTGCATGGTGGCTCTGATGTGCATGGTGGCTTTGATAGAGGAGGTTTCATCGGGTATGCATCCTCAAGCCAGGTGCTCGTAGCCATCCATTCTTCTTGCTGGAGAGGAAGGGAATCAAAGCCAGATGGCGCGGATAATATCTGATGGCCTGCACAGAGGCTTGCAGATGGACCGATCCAGTCACTTCCCTAACTGGGTGCTACTGTCATTGTCGAAGATGAGCTGAAGCGGTAATTATTGTCATACTTCACTGGAAAACGGTATACTACGATCCCACCGGTATTACCATTATCTTGTCGCTTGCTGCTTGCCCAAGCGCAATTCGACAAAGGTTGTAGAAGTGATCAAGTGACTTTCCTAGGGCAGGCGACAGCTATGTTGAAATCCTGTTCGGTGAGCACTCCACTCCCTGCAAAACGAAGTCGCTGAAAACTATCTATAGATCAATAATAACACATTTTAACTCGCCTCGCTATTCAATTTTCATACTTTGGGATCTCTACATTTCGGGACTTCTCTTTTATTTGGAATCATGGCACCACCACTAGGCTTCGCTCATATCTTCAAAAATGCTTCCTTCGCGGTCTCTTTTGATCATCAGTTCATTCATGTCAGCTCTTAACAGCTCAATGTCATTCTATCTTAGGTGTAGGGTGCCATCATCTTCTGCGATCTACTCTTTCTGTTGGATGAGTGTAGATGGTCCCAGATCTTGCTTTACGTTACTTAAGGCTTTTTCATCAATATTCAAATCTATTGTCACGAATGCTCAATAAAAAGGAATTCGACGCAATATTTTCCACAAGGACAATTTCTCGCTGTGCTTCTTTCCCCTCCCTTCGTGCATCTGACATCGGGACGATCACCGACAAAAAAGTCCTGTCAACTCAAGTTGAAACACCAAATGCTTTGACAATATTCTCTGTACGGTACAGTGCATGTAGACCTATGTGAAGTTCCTCGTATGTATGGCATCTCCTTTTTACGATCCATATACACAACCAATTCTTCAAAAGCGACATTTGATGCCTCCTTAATATGCTTCCTTAATATACTCACCTCTACAAATCATCCCCGATAGTCTCGCCGTAACCTGCCAAAATGCCAGACCTCCAATCTGACGTCAGCGGGTGAAATCGGCGCTCTTGACACTCGGACACATGGCCGAGCACGAACCGTGCTGTCGATCGATTCCGTGCCGTCTCGCAGGGCGTGCCCGCTTATCCCAAGAAAATTACATGTACAATGCTACTCATTCGTCCTGGATTTATTATCGTGTCGTATATTTATCGGAGGATTCCGACCCTGTGACCTTTTTGCCAAAAAGATTAGCCGTAATGTACTGACTTGGTGAGGTGAAGCTTGATCTGTCTTATCATCATATGATGACGTTACTCGTTATCGGCTACCTATAGTATACATATAATAGACCTCTCTACGGAGTAGTACCAACTTGCTACACCTGCATGGCCGTTCTTAGAAGAAAGAGCTACTCACCCCCACCTCGTCACAACTAGCCCATCCAAGCGCCAAGCCAAGTTACCATGCATTGATGTATGTAGATCGCTGAGAAAATGTGTCACAAATTACGCTTGAGATAACCTTGAGACAGTCAGTGCGTGGTGCAGAACCAAACGCTGTTTTGGGTCGTGGGGCAGTTTTGTCGATCGCTGGGTGAAAGTTACAATTTTTTACACCTGGGTTCCTTTGTTTAGATACGTAGGGTTGACAAGTGAGGTCCCTGGGATGTTGGATCCACCTCTGGTAGGTCCGTGTCCGGGGGAGGGGTTGAATGTCTTATGGGATCATATGAGATGGCTTGATTTGGCTTTTGCTTTTGCTCTTGGGTAGCTCCATGTATGTTGATAGTTGAAGGGAAAGTTATAGATTGTCGAGGTATGACATAAGTAACATGAAAGTTCTCGTTTATAGTAGACAGTTAAGTTATAACTGCGACATTTAGATAGGATGTTATAACACACATCTACAAGAGATGAGATGTCAACACCGAGCTAAGGCTCACACCAACTATGACTCATCTCTTAAATGGTAAATTGCACCTCGAAATACGAACAATAAAAAGATAGCTGCCTCAGGTGTCCAAACGGGTACCCAAACAGGGAAAAGAGGCCCTGGATTTCATCATCACCGACTATCAATATATGGGTCCGCGAAAAAAAAAAAGTGATTTTTGCAATTTTGCTTTACCTACGCAGTACGCAGTACGGAGCACGTAGTATTTGGTGACACATTTACAATACTCCACATGTACACCTGTGCCGTGGCTTGCATATGAATCCAAGCGTACAGAGTGATAGACTTTCCGGCCATGCAGTATATACTCCAACATATAATACCATATGCAACATATACATACAAGTCACTATGAACAATAACGGTTACACAAAGTCAAAGAAGCAACGCCAAGACTTCTAATTCTTCTGCGGTTCTTCTATGGAGCATATTACTCAATTGGACCGCCACGTGATCCGGATATACGGTCTCGGAGCTCTCGGCTTGCTAAATGTAGCATTTTATTGTATGGCCCTACCGGACGATCTATGTGGGGCCGATATAAAGTCCCTCATATTACGTGCCGGTGGCCACATGGGGGTTTTCTCTGCTTTGAAATCATGAAATCATGGGTTTTGTTTAATATCACGCCCTACCGTTTAAAAGGCTGCTGCCAATTCCCGAGTGGCTTTTGAGTTACTGATTCGGAGACTTTTACATGTAACATTTACATGACACGCAAATGTTTAAATGTATAGAGTGTCCGGCTGTGCGTGTAGGTAGTATCTATATGTAAAAGGGTCAAAAGGTACAGCGGGGCCCAGGCACTTACCTATACCTCTGTACTGTAGGATGAAAATGTACATCCCGCATTGATATGCCCGATGATGCGGGCATACATTACCATACTATCTATACAGGTGGGTCTAGATCGTCGTCCCATGACGATACTCATTTCCTTTAAGGGTCCGCTCCCGCGTCATCCGTGCCTGGCGAGCACATCACGGTGAATTCGGATCCGGAGAGAAGGGTGATACTCCAAGGGGAAGATGGCAAGAAAGGATGTGAAGCAATTGGAGATTTGGTTCGGGTTCGGAAAACCAAAATGTCTCTATACTCGAGTGGGATCGAACCATGCCGGATAGCCGGTAAGAGCTTCCATGTCTGGTGATAATCCACTCTGTGCGGAACTCTGGGCGAATGATTTTTCAATGGGCAAGGGGTCCTTGAGTATTGATGGGCTTATAAATTGCGATTTCCCCAAAGATCGGGGCTTTGTCTTTTTTTCCCTTGATCTATACCCCTCCACGTCTAATTTATAGACTGTACAAAGCTCTTGGTCATGGAAACCACACTCATGGAAACACCACAGCACCCAGTGCGCGATCGAGGATCGGAAAGCGATACCTCCGTCGATGAGATTGCGCAAGTGAAGCAGCAGAATGCGCTGGCCTCACTAGGAAAACACGGCAATTACCTCGACACGGCATCCCCGAAGCGATGGAAGACATTCTGGTCGGCATTCCGACACCTGGCGCATCTCACCCCGAAAGAAGTGGACGATTTCATGGCCTCATACGTCATCTACAACCTCGACTGGTCAGATGAAAAGCAAATGACCGAAGCGCTGGGCCCGAACTACCAAGAAAAAGTCGGCGATTGTCTAAAATCATACTACGGCGTCCTCAACCACCTCTGTGCCCTCGGCGACGTCGAGAAGATGTACATACCACCCTGGATGAGCCGCAAAGCAAACTGCCTCGAGAACCAGATCCTCTACGAGCGCTCCATCGCACAGGATATCGGCCTCAAGGCCGGCGACAAGGTCTTGGATCTGGGATGTGGCCGTGGCCGCGTCGCCGCGCATATGGCGCAACATACCGGCGCGCATGTCACTGGACTTAACATCGACCCGAACCAGGTCGAGCAGGCGACAAGCTATAACAAACAGCTCGAAAATAGCAACAACTTCGTCGTGCAGGATTTCAATGACTTGCCTCTGCCTTTCGCCAACGACAGCTTCGATGCCTTCTACCAGATCCAAGCGTTGAGTCTATGCAAAGATCTGACCGGGCTCTTCCGCGAGATCTTCCGTGTCGTCAAACCAGGCTCGAAAATCTCTCTGCTGGACTGGATTAGTCTGCCGGATTATGATGCCACGAACCCCGAACACGCCGAGCTGATGCGTCGCGTTAAGCCGCTCATCGGGGCGGTTGGTACACCCACGCAGGAGAGTCTAGAAATTGCATTGAAGGAAGCCGGCTTTGAGGTTGTGCGGTCGGAGAATGCTAGCATTGACGGACTTCAGGCGCCGCTGATTGATACCGTTGATGTGTACTTCCGCACACTGCGCCAGGCTATTCTGGCGCTTGTTAAGGTTCATGTCTTGCCGCGCCATTTCAAGACGCTTATCAATCGCCTTTGTCTTGACGGGCAGGCTTTTGTTAAGATGGATACCATGCGGCTGGCTACAACGAGTTATAGCATCATCGCGCAGAAGCCGAAGGCTTAGTTGGAACTAGGTTTGCCCCACTTGATTGTGGCGAACTGTCGCCACTGGTGCGATGTTTATTTTGAGGCTTCGGTCTCTTTTATCATTGTTCCTGGTCATTTTCGAATTGGATATTTGATTCCTTTTCGTATTGCCCAATCGAGGTTGTCGCGACATAATACAGATACCCTGTACAGTCATCAACACTTAAAAAGCCTTGAGTTTTGGAGTTTGCGGGGTTTGTCGTTTCATTTCACCTCATTTGATTCTTCATTTTCGGTGTTATTCTTGGTGGGGTTTTTGTTGCGAGCAATGTGTATGGAGTTTCATGAAGATTTTCAAGGGGATTGCATAATAGTTATTTACGAAATGAACATATTTAGAAAACTCATTCATTTTTTGATTCTCGGACATAATTGTAACTTGCAAACAAATTAGACAGGATGCCATGCGTAAACGAGTTTAGAGTAGTACCTTGTAAGGTCGTCGTGCTCGGAAGTCCAGTGAGCCGAAATCGAGATTGAACCCTTAACTCGTCGTTGCCGTCAGGACCCTGATCGAAAGAGCTTAGACCCTGCGTGAAAATTCCCGTAGGTTGCGTAGCATCACGCTGAAATTGTATATGTTTTGTAGGTGGGGGGAGGTACTGCTGCCAATATGTCCCGCTTTGGCCTCAATAGTGAAACAAGACAGGCAGGTTTATCAGGGATGGTAGCATGGTGGTTCGAATTTTGGCCTCGTTGGTCGTCTCAGATGATTGTGGCAATGGCCTACGTCGAGAGAGGGTGTGAAGAAGAATTATAAATTCAATCTATGGAGGCGCAAGAAGTTTATAGTCGTCGGAACTAGGGCTGGCAAGAAAAGCCCAAGAAATCTAACGGTAAACAAGCTATGACAGCTTCGCTCTTTATACATATATTGAGTCACTTAGTTTGACTACCAGGAAATGCAGTTTTATGGAAGAAGCTTACCCTAGCAAAATGACGAACTTTTAATCCATTTTTTTGTTGCTCAAGTTGTTGGATTGCAGGATCTAGGAGCTGGACTTGGTATCTTATGGTTTTCACTTGGGCCCCCTACAGCAGTGGCTGAGGTTATTACGTTGCAACTTCGGGACAGACCTAGTGAGCTGACTCCCTACCTGCGTGTTCACACTTATGTTGGGCTCATGTACATAGGTTCAGCTGCTTGCTTGGCTTGGCTGTGGTTTGAATAGCGGAAGAAGAAAGTTAGCAGCGGTGGAAAGATCTAAATTTGTCTGATCGCTACACGAGATAATGGACTTTGTACAGTCTCTTTTAATGAGTGGCATATTTCTCAGCATTCACGGTTGAGAAGGACCCAGTGGCTTAGTTTGAGCAAGCCTAATTTAGAGGGTACAGTCATAGGCCATAAGTCCTTCCACAACACCACCCTTACATACGTAGCTACATGATTAACCCTAGGCACTCGAAAATGGGTAAAAAAAGAAATGAAAAAAATAGTGGCCAACGTAGGGCAAAAATAACGCACGGAACAGTATACTCGCTTCGAGGCTTTCGCGTAAAGACTGTCCAATATTTCATGGCACTGTATACACATTTATGACCCCTGTTGTAGAATACTCTCGGTCTGTTAGAAAGTTATCTCTCTCTTTCCTCTCTTCTGCTCTCTCCCTCTCCGTCTTTCTCGGTCCTTTCCCATGGAACCAATACAGATGATAAGTTGTTTGCTTCGTGCCTGTCAATAGATGCAGCATTTATCATGCATATATCTATGGCCGTTAGCGAACATCTGTGGATATCTTTCAGACTTTCTCATGTCTAAATGGGTGATCATCATAGCAGCAACATAAGCTAGAATCGAGAGTCTGATTGTTTATGAGTAGAGTTTGTCATCATATAACAAGAATATGTTTCCTGTAAGAAGCAAAGATCTCGCTCTTAGAACAATGTTTAATGTTTATGTGTATATCGGTGTGAGCCAAGAAAAAGGACAAAAAGGAAGGTCGTGGGATCGCCAGAATCAGAATCAGAATCAAAAGTGATGACCATTACTAGACACAACCACGTGATATGCGATTGCCTCCTTTCTGACTACATAAGCCAAAATTATTGGCCCATGCGATTTACTCACCCTACACTAGTCCTCATTAGGAGAATTCGATACACCCCTGCCACCTTACAGATAGCCCGTCTCCTCACCTGCAGCTGCATGGCAACATAAGCCAACTCATACTTGAAGCACGTCGGCGCTTCGCTCTAGAACCCTTCACCCCTTCCGTGCCTCCCCGTGACCGCGCGGGACACACCTCAAATAGTCTCATCGGCCCCGGGTTTTTTCCTCCCCCACACACCCACCTTACCTCAATGTCTCCCCAGCCGTCCTCCGTTACGGCTCTGTCCGCGCCGGGCAAAGTCCTACTTACCGGTGGTTACCTTGTCCTTGACCGCGCATACACGGGGACTGTCTTCGCACTCAATGCGAGAATTCATGTTGTTGTGCAGCAGTTAAGGAGGGGTCACCGGCGCGGGGCATCGGGATCCGGTCCTGCTGTGGGCGAGGCGCATGGCACTGCTGAGGAGCAAGAGGGAGAGAACACTGTTGTTGTGCGCTCCCCGCAGTTTGTTGATGCGGTGTGGGAATATGGTGTGCAGCGATGCTCCGATGGTGGAGGTGTTAAGGTCATCCCCAAGGGCGATGGGTATGTTGAACCCTCTCGGGTGATTGTTTGGGGAATTTATTCTGGCCATTGCTGACCGGGTGTTTCTTCTAGACCGCGCAACCCGTTTGTCGAGACATCGTTGAGCTATGCCTTAACCTATATCAGCTATGTCGCTGATTCCAAGGACTTTGGCTCCCTGTCTGTGACCATCCTGGCGGATAGTGACTATTACTCTGAGACTGCTACCTCAAAGGGCCCGGCATCACAAGGTCGAAGTGGACGCTTCGTGAACTTCGGTGTTCCTCTGTTCGAAGCTCACAAGACTGGATTGGGCTCTTCGGCTGCTCTGGTCACTGCTCTTGTTTCCGCATTGGTTATCCACCGCACCATGCAGCCTGAAGACCTCGGCGCTGGTCGCGATAAGCTTCACAATCTCGCTCAAGCAGCTCATTGCGCAGCCCAAGGCAAGGTAGGATCTGGATTCGATGTCGCCAGCGCTGTCTACGGATCGTGCCTTTACCGACGATTCTCACCATCAATTTTGGAATCACTGGGCGACGTAGGCTCGCCTGGGTTTGAGGAGCGCCTGTTCCCTATCGTCGAAGACTCAGATACGGAACACCCGTGGGATACCGAGTGCGTGGACTTTGGCATGCAGCTTCCGCGCGGGATGCAGCTGGTTCTGTGCGACGTGGACTGTGGCTCCGGAACACCGTCCATGGTTAAAAAGGTCCTTGAATGGAGAAAGGCCAACCGCAAAGAAGCGGATATTCTCTGGGCCAGTCTTCAAAATAACAACGAGCGTCTCCGCCAGGAGCTCAAGCGTCAGGCTCAGCACCCAGATGCCGCCGGCGACTTTTCAGATATCCGTACTCTCCTCGAGCGTACACGCCAGCACATCCGCACGATGACCCGCCGGACGGGCGTGCCCATCGAGCCTAGCGTACAGACTGAGCTGCTCGATAGTGTTTCAGAGCTCGAAGGTGTCATTGGGGGCGTGGTCCCCGGAGCTGGAGGATACGATGCCATTGCGATCCTAATCCGGGATGATCCTACCGTTGTCGCGCGGCTGAGAGAGCATCTTGCGAACTGGACGAGCAAAGTCGAGGATGACTTTGGAGGCAAGATCGGCAACGTACGACTACTCGGTGTGCAACATGGATCCGAAGGCGCAAAGAATGAAATGCTCGAGCAGTATGCCGGTTGGATCTAGGTCTGAGAAATGATCCTGATCTGCAATGCAACCAATCCGTGATTTTCAGCATTGTCTTTCGGCTGCCCTATTGCATTCTGGGCTAGGCCCTCCAGAACACAGACTAGGAGAATTAATAGCAATCACTGAAACATCGACTCGGATGTTCAAGCCACCTATCCACTCTACGGTCCACCTGCAGCCTCTCTTCAGAGTCCCCCTGCATATGCACCACGAGCTGGCCGAGGATTCCCCAATTCGACGCCAGAGGTGTGTGCGACCGTGTTCAGGTATTTTAACATGGACTGGATTGGGGAATGGTTACGGGTATTTTCTTCATAGCACATGAAAGTACCTAGGCAATGAATATATATAGATTATTGACGATTATAGATGTGTGGAGAACACACATCATGTAGCTCTTGGCCTGGCAAGACTAGTTTCCCCGGATCGTCAATCGAGATCCCCAAATCAAATGCGCAAATTCCCATTCTTTGGATAAACAAACCACTATTGTGTTGATTTGATTGTTAAAAAAAAGGGGCGGGGGAGGAGAACAGGATCCGGTTTACAAGGGTCTCTGTCGGCCAGTCTTTAGGCCTGCCGATCCCCTTTGCCATCTCTCCTCTTTCAAATCCTCATATCCTCATATAATGTCCTTCGTTTGCACATCTTCATAACTGTACAGGATCATCTTTCGGACCAAACCGCACTAGTGGGTATTATTGCGCCTCCCGCCTAGTCGACTCCTCACATCTGGAACCCGATTATCTCCCTCTGTCCTCCGCTGTCTACGTCTGTCTCCCAATCCATTCGCCCCCGTGCCCCTCCCCCTTTCCCTGAACAAATACAGGGAGAGCTAGTCAATTGATATTATTGGGGTTCTTCAAAAGAACAATGTCTACAACCGATCGCCCGGAGTCGGGAGCTCTGAACCCCAAAGACGATGACCAGCCGACTACATCTCCGTCCGACCAACAGCCAACAGTACCAACCACAGAAACAGCAGACCCAGCCCAAACAGCTCCCGCCCGTGACACAAACCCGTCCACTCCTGCGACACAGCCACTCGCCCAGCCAGGTCAAGCTGCCGTCGCGAACCACCCCGCAACCACCCCCGGCGCAGGTGGCGAAACCGCCCCCGTGACAGTGACGGCGACGACTGGTACGACCACCACATCGACATCCTACGACAACTCCTCTGCTGTCGCTCAGCCGAATACTACCACGGCAACGACGGCATCAATGGATACCGAGGAGCCTAAGACCGTGCAGGAAATGTCAACTGAGCAGTCGGATGATGGCTCCGGCAAGGAAGTCGAGGATGCGGGTCCGTCGCTAGTTATCACGCTACTTTTGACGACGGGTTCGCGCCACCCGTTTACTATCGATGGGAAATATCTACGGAAGCGATCGGTTAATGTTGAGAATTCCGACCCGTTCCTTATGAGTGTTTATACGCTGAAGGAATTGATTTGGCGCGAATGGAGATCTGGTATGGGTGACCCTGGCAGGATTCAACTTGGTTGATGTGTGGGATGAAATGGCTAACTTGGTGGTTTCTTGTTTAGATTGGGAGACTCGTCCGTCGTCGCCAAGCTCTATTCGCCTTATCTCCTTTGGAAAGTTGCTAGATGATAAGTCGCCTATCTCTGGTATGTATTCCGTTGTCTGGCCGTGGCTGCGGTTTATACTATGTATTATGATTATATACTGACGGTCTCAATGCGCAGACTCAAAGTTCAGCAAAGAACACCCCAATGTGGTTCATATGACTGTTAAACCGCAAGAAGTTGTCGACGAGGAAGACGCAAAGGGAGCCAAGGCACAGTACAACCGGGACCGCGAGGCCAATGAACGCAGTCCAGGCTGTCGTTGCGTGATTCTATAGTCTATAAAACCTCGCTTTGCTGAGAGCACGGTCCAACGGATGTATCTCCGCCGCACTTGCTATCATCCACAAATTCAACCGAAGACCCTCCGATTTCCAGTTTGGTACAGCTCCGGTGTGACTGTACCACATGGCCGCTCTCCTGGTGTCTTTCCTGTCTACCATATCCCTCAACATCCCTTCACCACCACAGCGATTAACCTAACCTAATCCTGCCTGGATGCAGGATCAACCAATCCTCCCACCCTGGACTCCTATTCTCGTTGAACATGTGTGCTCCGGGACCGGCGTTTGGACATTTGCTTCTGACTGGACTTACCGCATGGTCTCCTATCCTTCTCCATTCTTCTCTTTCCTTACTAGGATTGAGCAAGCATCGCCCCCTCGTCTGTACATGGGCCACGAACCATTTCCCTCCCTGATGTGCTTCCTTCTCCTTTCACTGTTCCTCTGGCGTATTGCGTCCTGCTGTCACTATTATCCTATTGTCATTCTTACTCTGCCACCTTTCTGCCCGTCCGCCTTCCCGATTTCTTCTATATACCCCCTCCAATCCGACTTCCCTTTCTCTTTCTCTTATCAAGTACTGTATGGGCCCTGCTGGCTTTCGTGTATTTATTGACCTCTTTTTTTTACTGTTCATTCCTTTGCTTGCTTTTTTTCCCTGTTTGGGTTTGGCTTTTCGTAGTGTACAGGGTAGTATCCATGGAGTTTATATGCGATCTGATAACCTACTGAAGCGTCCATCTTTTATCTGAGTACCAAGCCTAGGTGCAAGTTGACTGATACAGCCAAAGAGCCTTATACTAGGTATAGGATAGTAGTATAGTGTCTCCGTAATTGGTCGTGATATGTGTATTTCTTAGATAAATTGGGTGTTCACGGCTTAGTAGAAATAGACCATGGAGTCGATGCATTGACAGCGTTGCCGTGCCTGATCCAAGAACAGACAGGTATAGCCGACCGACAATGCATCAATCCAAACATCTAGCACTCTATTCGGGAATAAGATAGGAGTATGACGAGGGACATGAGGAAGAGACTAGTAGAACAGTCGACCGAGAAAAAGCGCAGAAACATAAAGAACACCATTCATCAAAAGCTCATTTAGAAATCCATCTTCAGCCTCTTCTCCATCTCATCATGGAAGGTAGGCGGCTCACGGAGGTCATCACCTACAACAGATAAAGTTAGCCAAACAATCCCCAACCTTATCCCTCAAAGAAGAACCGCCAGAAAAAGACGAAACACATACCCTGATAAATATCCTCCCACTGAACCTCTGTATCCCGACCCCCAAGCATGAGAATATCCTCATGAACATTACCCCCACGAACACCACCAAGCACAGCAGGCCGGAAAGTACCATCACGCACGATCTTCAGCTCCATACCACGGCGGACGGGCTCGGCGATTCCATACGCCCGACGCAGACCTTCCATCTTCATTGCGTCCTGGGTGGCGCGCCACGCCAGCAGGCGGGCTTCGAGCGGGTGTGTCGATGAGGGGATGTCGCCGCTAGCGTTTGTCGAGGAGGCGTGTGCTGTTGCTGGGAGCGTGAGCTTGTTGCGGAGTGTGTCTGGGAGACCGGGGGCTGAGGGGGCGCCCTTGGAGGGTCTTGCGGCGGTGATCGAGCCCGCTTGGCGGGTTGTGAGGTTGCTGGTTTGGGATGGGTTGCCGCTTGGGGGAGCGATGCGGAGAGACTGGGGTTTTTGTTAGCTTGGGCGTCTTGGGTATGGATTGATGCGTAGTATTTGGGGATTGGTAGATCGGGGGATAGAGCTCAGGATGTGTAGTCTAGCTGCTAACTGCTGGCTGGCTTCCACCTCCAGGGTGAGGTCCAAGGTCCGTAGCTTGATAACGTACCATGATGGCGGGTAGAGAAGGGTAGTTCTTCAAAATAAGAGCACAGATCGCAAATTGAAAGGTCTGAGAAAATGATCAAAGCTCGTTTAGAGAAAAAAGAAAGGTATGAGGAGAAATGGAAGAGATGCAAGATGACACCGCCGATGATGCTTCAGGCAGAGAGAGGCAGCGCGTCCAGCTCCTCCGGCAACCGACAACAACCAAACCCGCAGCTCACGTGACCCAGGCAATTCCATCAATATTCTCGACTCCATCCCGGAGAGCAATTGCAAGTCACCAACACCCGCCAACATGCCACAATTACTCTCCCCAATAGCTCTCCGGGCCCTCCGGACCCTTGTCCACCGTCCAGCAACAACACCTCTCCGCCGAACCCTCACAACATCCACCAAGCTCCAAACCCAAACCTCACTCACCACCCGCTTCAACTTCACCCCCGTCTTCCGCACCTCCACCACTCTCTCCTCCCTCTCCCTCTCAACCTCCAAGCGCCAATTCTCCAGCTCGCCTATTATCGGCGCTACATACAACCAGGTCCGCCGCGGTATCCGGACTGGTCAGCGCGCGCGACGGGGTCGGTCACCTGCGCTTGTGGGAACGCCTGGGCTTAAGGGTGTTTGTCTTAAGACTGGTATTACCAAGCCCAAGAAGCCTAACTCTGGTGAGAGGAAGATTGCTCGTGTGCGCTTGAGTTCCGGGAAGATTATTACGGCTTATATCCCTGGTGAAGGTAAGATTATTGCAATTGAATTGGAAGGGCGGTATGGCTAATACAAAGTTGTTTTATAGGCCACAATATCCAGCAGCACAGTGTTGTTCTTGTTCGTGGTGGTCGTGCTCAGGATTGTCCTGGTGTGAAGTATACCCTTGTTCGTGGTGGTATGGATTTGGTAAGTTTGGGTTTCTGGCACTGTATTCCTTGTGCAGGACTCTATATGATGGTATGAGGTATGAATTGTTTACTAATTACTGTTTATAGGGTGGTGTTGGAAGCCGTATGACAAGTCGCTCGAAGTACGGCACGAAGAAGCCAAAGACCAACTAAGATGGTTTCGGTATGGGTTGAATAAGCTACTGCGAGATTATACAATTCTGCGCTTTAGTCTGATCTACTGCTATGCAAGAGATCATTGTATGAGCACCCACGTTTGATTTGACTTTTCTGCTCTGCTGCTTGGGCAAATTTGTGTGAATATTGCATGTAACACTACCATTGCGACTGTTTATTTATCCTTTATCATCTACTTGCTGACGCTCACCACTTGTTGGATCAGTTGTATTCATGATGTCTTTGCAAATTTTAGAAGTATAGAAAACCAAGGGTCCCTGGAATATCACTTTACTCCGGTGAACCATGCTAAAAACCCACAAACAGAATAACGCTCGAAAATCCATAGTAAAACATGTCAGGCATCGAAGTGAAAGCTCTTGGTACTTGGGTGGGAATCAAAATAAATCAGAAACAAGGGTAGGGTAGACCTGCAGCTTTCCGCTCAACTTTGGAATAAACGGTGCTGCATCCAAGTGCTTTCTCCACTACAATAGAGGTGGATATAGTGCAACCAGGCATCACTCAACTCGAGTATGGTACCTGCAGAAGCAGCGCAGATGGGCGACACTGTCAGCCTCAAAACGCGAGCTTCATATCTGGACAACCGACCCGCGCATTGTCGCTAAAGGGAACGACTGGGCCGGCTATGAGCTGGCCCAAAGATACAAGTAAGCAGCAAATCAGTCATCCTTCTTGTTCCATCCCGCCGGTTTTTGCATCTTGTTGATGTCAAACCATCGCTTGGTACCTGTATGACAATTAGATTGTGTTCATGTTATCACAGGGTATGCACTTACAAGAGTAATCTCTCCAGTCAAAGTTCTCCTTCGGCTTGCAGGAGCATCTGAGATCCAATCGGGTTTGCTCCTCGGTGGGGCAATGCGTGAATGGGACATGGTAGTAGGCGATCTCGTTCCAGAAGTGGATTTGTTCCTTCTTCAGCATCAGAGAGGCGGCAATCGAGTGCACGGGTGCGTCACCCCAGCGCTCGTAGAAGAAACCGCCATCCTTGTCTAGCGATGTGAAGTAGTCAATGTATTCCTTGGATCGGAGCCACTCCAGGCTGCCAATCTCGAAGTTTGACCACTGCAGGATAGTTAGCTGGGCTGAAGATTGAACCTCAATAGGGCGTACTCACAAAGTGACACTTGTTATAGGTTTCGCCATTGTCGCTACTGACAAACTCCATAGCATTCCCTTCAGGGATATACTCAGGGTGGTTGCTCGTAAACTTCTTCACGCTATCCCACAAGGTGGGAATAGTCTCGATATACTCGTACAGACTGATGACGAAACTGTACTTCTTGTTGTTCTCCTTCATGAAACGGAACGGATCAGAGGGAATGTCACAGAAGAGCTCAATGCTGGGCTCGACACGCCAGTAGTACTCGTAGTTCATCATGAGTGGGTGGCGGAAGAAGAACCCAGACTCGTAGCGACACATATGGCGATAACTCTCGGAGCCACCGTAGATGATCTTCTTGCGATCCATCTCCTCTCGCGCCTCCTTGGCCTTGTCCTGGTCGATCCAATCCGGGTAGGACCAGTGCTCCTTCGGGATCTTGCCATAGTGGGTGGTACCGGACACCAGCGAGGTGGTCACCTTCTTGAACTCCTCATCGAAATCATCGTCGTTCAGGAACACCCAGTCGTAGTTGTAATCACGGTTGAAACGATCTTCGACAGTCCGGATGGACTTGACCATATCCCACAGGTCAGAGTTGCGGGCCAAGGTGACAAAAGTGGCATTTACTCGTCCAGCGCGATTCGTGCCAAGGACTTGCGGCTTTTGCGACTTGACAGAATCATAGGTCGGGGGTGTTTTAGTTGCAGGAGAGGTATACGTGGTGCTGGGGATGCTGGGGAGAGGAATCGAGGATTTGGAGATGACGAAGAAGACCGTCAATCCCTGACCGGTGTTAGCAGGCCATTGCGATCCATTCAGAGAATACCTACCACGACGGCAAAGAGGAGATAGCGCGCATATCGAAAGGAGAGGGACATGATGTAGGGGCGAGGACGATTCCCCGAGGTAGAGACAACAAGAACACCAGCTCAGTCAGAGTTAGAAAAGAGGCATAGAAGAAATGAACGGCCCCAGTGTAATTTCCGAAGGTGCAGGGGCCGGAGACGGATAGATGAAAATGGGAAGGAAAAGAGGCCGCGCAAGACAATGACAACCGCTTTCAGCCCAGGCGTCACGCTACTTGAGACATTCTTCAGGGGAATAACAACTTCTTCTTGCATTGTAAAGGGTCCGTGTACAGAATGTGATGGCAAGTTCTACTTCTATAAGAAATACCTCGTGCTGTATCTATAATATTTTTAACGGTCTGTATACTCCGTAAACGTGTTGTGTTCGCTAAGAACGTAGCCATTGTACTAGTGCCACCGTGGACATTCTAGTTCTGGGATCATCAACAGTGGTAAACACTCAATTTATAGACTCTACAGTCAATCTGACCCCTCTGCCCGCCCTGTATAGAATGTTCTGCAATACGTCGACGACTTCAGGCTGCATCAGATCGACAGTTGCTTGGCATCGCTGCCTCAGGCGACGAAACTCCAGAACTTCGCCCCGACCATCGCACCGTCACTCATCTTGCCCCCCACCAACATCACCTCCCCACCTATCCTCTTGTAGAAGGGATGTCTTTCTTTGGTTTCAATACCAACCTACCTCGGGATCGCGATGGTCCTGGGGCTAGGGGGTTCTTCGAAAACCCAGACCCCTTTGCAGAAGTCGCCAGAGCTAACGCGTTCGAGGATGACGATGTGTGAGGATTCCCGTTTCTATCGAAAATTTACCATTGTACTCATATTCACCTAGCATCGACTTCGAGGATACCTACGACGGCTTGGGAGACCAGCTGCCCGACGATCAGGATGAGTTCAACGATGACACGTTTGGCGGAGCTCCCGATACATCGGTTGGAAGAGACTTTGATTTCTTTGGGAAAACCGCTCAGGTGTCCGATGCGATTGGCGAGGAGCAGGTTCGCTTTAGTCTGCAGCACCCCAATGCTCCCCGAGTCGCGCCCCAGGCCCAAGTTCACGTCCAGCAGGCCCCCGCCGTGGAGACCGTCAAGCGCTCGGGATATGAGAAATACTCAGATCCTGGGTACATTCCGGATCTGCAAGCCAAATCCAGTGTCTGGGGTGTTTCGCAAAAGAAGACCGAGCCAGCACCGAGCCGGAAAATGATGAGCTTGGAGGAGGTTGAGGCGCAGATGCGTCAACACCCTCAACATGCGAGTCCAGCTGCTCAGGCCTTTTTGCGCTCCATGGCGGAGCCTGCGTATCCTCCCCAGCACCAACATCTCCCAACTCTCCCCGATGGGTTCCCCGCGGTGCCTCCGGAGTTCCTGCAGGCACAGTTGAAACAAGGCCACCTACCCCCACAGATGCACCCACCGCCTGGTATGCCGGAGCTCTATGGCCCTGGACCCGTTCCCACTGGTGGGGCCCTGCACATGATGCAGAACGCCAATCTCCCCCCGCAACACATGCCGCCTGCTGGCCCACGCCATGCCGGTCCGCCCCAGGCCCAACGCCCTCCACAACCGCAGCAACCTCAGCCCCAGCAGGTACCGCCGCCCTCTCGGGGTTCCAACAATGGAATGCCCGTGATTACCAACCCACAACAGCTTATGCATCTGACGGAAGAGCAGCGTAACGCTTACCTGGTGGAGGATGCCAAGCGGGCGAAGCGCAACCATAAGATCTTCCTCTTGTCACGAGGCAATGGCTTGATGACACCGCAGGATAAGAACTTCATCACCCGTATTCAACTGCAACAGCTTGTGGCGGCTGCTGGGAATGTCGTAGACTCGGACCCCGAGGCCGTACTAGCCGAGGACTTCTACTATCAGGTCTACAGCCAGATCCGTGGTGCACCGCGCCAACACCCCCACCAGCCTCTTGGCCACTTTGCTCAGACCTACCTCCTTCAAACGGGTAACCGACTTGGTGGACACGGCCGACGGAACTTCCAATCTGCCGACAACCACATGCAGCGGATGCAACAGCAAGTTCAGCGTGCGGTTGAGGCTGCCAAGGCTAAGCCCAAGAACAAGCAACTCATCATTGAGGGTAGTTTGGGCAAGATCGCCTTCAGCAACGCCAAGGCACCCAAGCCCATGCTGAACATCAAGCGCCCTGATAGCTCAGAGGGAGCCAAGCCCAAAAAGCTGCACTCTAATCTGAGTCTCAGTGACCGCAAGTCGATTCTCACCAACCTTGAAGGTGTTTACAGTGCATTGATGGCCATGGAGGATATGGAGCGCACGATGCCCCCACCCCCTGAGGAGGGCGATGCCGAGGCGATCCAAGAACACATGGAATGGAGACAGAAGCTTCACTCGCTGAACCAGAAGCTCTGGCGCTCATTGAAAGTGATGGAACCCATTGTGCCCAACTCGACGACACCACACCCCTTCATCGCGTTCTTGTCATACCCCAAAGGCAAGAAGGCGATTCCTCGCATCTTCCGCCACATTGACCAGGAACAGCGCGTCACTATCCTTACCATGATTGTCGTTCACCTGGACAGCCTTGATGTGGTCCACCATGCTCAGCCCGTTCCCGGCGAGGCTCAGCCATCGCTTGCTGTGCGCGAAGCCATCGACTTGTTCTCCCTGGCTGTCATGCCTTGCTTACTGGGCTACGTCAACGAGGCGCCATTCAACATCATCATTGGTCTTTTGGGACTGGTTATCAACCAAACTCACGTGCACACCGTGGCTCGGACCAAGGTTGGACTGGGCATTCTGACTATGTTGCTCAGTCGCGCCGAAATTGTCAAGGAGGCCGGCCAGGCTTCCGAGCACGATTGGCAGCAGTGGGTGGAGAAGTTCAACGTGCTCTTCGATACTTTGGAGCCGGGCTTGAACGATATCTTCCCCGGCACGATCAGTTCTGGAGATGACATGTACGTGTGGCAGTTCCTTGCCGCCGTGGGTATTGGCGCCAGCCCTGAGCAGCAGCAGCGCTTGGTTATCGCTGTCAAGTGAGTATCCCGTCTCTAGATTTTATCGATATCAGTACTAACTAATTTCTCCAGGGATCGTGTCATGGAGACCGTGGGCTACAGCAAGACCCTTCCTGCTGACATGGGTAGCCAGCGCCTGAGCAACGTCAACCTTTTCATGCGTGCTATCGGTTTGGATGTTGAGCTCCTTGGTTGAACGTCACCCTCTCCTGGGTTATCTTGAATTCGAGTTGGATCCGGCATGCCCCTGCCGGTTCGGTTGGCCCTCACTCCATAAATACCTGAGTTGAGACCCAACCACACGGTCCCAACAGACCTGAACTAGTCCCTGAGGCTATCCCACATGTCTGCGGTTGCTGAAATGCAACTCTCCACCTACACGAGCATTGAACTCTCATGATGGACGATTAGAAGGGGATGGCCCATAAAAACCGGGTTGTACTATTGTGCCCATGCTTTATTATTTTCAATACCAATTTCATTCAATTCGAGGGATATCTATAAAAAGTTGAAGAATGCCGAGCCCCGGGAACGGGTTGGACCCTGGATCGGGACGGGTCCAACGGTTCCTGAAACGGCTAAGGACAGATCAGCTTCACTTAATCCACAACTTATGACCGCGTTGAACATTGAATATTGCTTGTATATTCTCGTGTTCATTCTCGTCACTCTCGTCCGCACCCGGAGATTTTCGTCGGATGCATATCATGTCTCTTTCGAGCGAGTGCAGTTCACCGCCAGGACGATCACCCAGAACACGGCATATCCAGTACATTAACAATTCATAGATAACCTCAATTGAGTCAGGAAGAGTGAACATAATTGCATATATGTATATTATAACCCCTGAAAGGGTCTGTAGCAAGTAAATGAGAAATTAGAAACCGTCGATCGACTGGGCCGCGTCATAAACAGTGAGATGTGGGAGGGCCCATCCCCCCCACCTCCAATTTCCCCTTAAAAGCTGCCCCTCGGCCGCTTTCTACTTTCCCCCATCTTTGCTCCATTTGTCTCACTTTACATCTTTGATCATGTCTGCTGGTTCTGTTCTTGTTGCTGGGTAAGTATATCATATATCCATTCTAGTTCAATTGGAATTCCAGCTAACTCCCCGCAGTGGCACGGGCTACATTGGCTCGTTCACCACCTTGGCGCTGCTCGAGGCTGGCTACAAGGTCGTCGTTGCTGACAACCTGTACAACTCTTCGCCCGAGGCCCTCAAGCGTGTTGAGCTTATCTGCGGCAAGAAGGCTGAGTTCATTCAGCTCGATGTCACCGAGGAGAATGGCTTCGATAAGGTGTTCGAGGCTCACCCCGACATCGACAGTGTCATCCACTTCGCCGCGCTGAAGGTATGTACCAGAACTCAACCAAGAAACCATAAGAAATTAACAATTGCCCCCCAGGCCGTCGGTGAGTCCGGTGAGAAGCCCCTGGACTACTACCTGGTCAACGTCTACGGCACCATCAACCTCCTCCGCTCCATGGTGAAGCACAACGTCACCAACATCGTCTTCTCCTCCTCCGCCACCGTCTACGGTGATGCTACCCGCTTCCCCAATATGATCCCCATCCCTGAGGATTGCCCTCTGGGCCCCACCAACCCTTACGGCAACACCAAGTTCGCCGTTGAGACCGCCATCACCGACGTGATCAACGCTCAGCGCAACAACGCCATCAAGGCCGGCAACGAGGCCGAGGCCAAGAAGTGGAACGGTGCCTTGCTCCGCTACTTCAACCCCGCTGGTGCCCACCCCAGCGGTATCATGGGCGAGGACCCCCAGGGTGTCCCCTACAACCTGCTCCCCCTGCTCGCGCAGGTCGCCACCGGCAAGCGCGAGAAGCTGATGGTCTTCGGTGACGGTACGTTCTCCCTCTAATCCCTATAATACCCCAGAACAGTTCATCTAACATCCACCAGACTACGCCTCCCACGACGGCACCGCCATCCGTGACTACATCCACATCCTGGATTTGGCCGACGGCCACCTCAAGGCCCTGAACTACCTGCGCGCCAACAACCCCGGTGTGCGCGCCTGGAACTTGGGTACCGGCAAGGGCAGCACCGTCTACGAGATGATCCGCGCCTTCTCCGCTGCCGTCGGCAAGGACCAGCCCTATGAGGTTGCTCCCCGTCGCGCTGGTGACGTCCTCAACCTCACTGCTAACCCTACCCGCGCCAACACTGAGCTCGGCTGGAAGGCTGAGCGTACCCTCGAGCAGGCTTGCGAGGATCTCTGGCTCTGGACCAAGAACAACCCCCAGGGTTACCGCCAGCAGCCCCCTGCTGAGCTCCTTGCTGCGCTTAAGAAGTAAATTTAATCTTTGTTGCTTCTGTTGGATTGGTCGTGAGCGTGGTTTAAAATGATCTTATCTTGGTTTTGTTGATATAGAAGATCTAGTTCTAGTAGAATACATGAAACGAATTTCCTTTTTGTGAATTGATACCACCAGTAGTTTTCTAGTCTATAAGTTCCTTATGGACCGATGTTATGTTAGATCACACTGTCGAAATGTATAGATGCGACCTTCACATCTATACCAATATCTACCTATATCAATATACGTACACTCACTTATTCCCACCATTCCCATTCCCCTTCCGACTCCTCCTAGACCCATCACTTTTCCCCTTCTTTGAACTCTCCTCCTCCCTAACCTTCTTCTCCCCCTTCTGGGCCCTCACCTTCTCAGCCTCCTCCTCAATCTTCTTCTCAAGCGCCCGTCGAACAGCACTATCCTTCTCCGCCTCCTCAATCATCTTCCCACTAAATTCCCACAGCTTCTTCCCAAGCTCATCGTTCTTGACATCACTCCGCGCATAATCTACCTCCCGACACTCCTTAATCAACCACCCGCCATCGCCACGCCCGTACTCCGCTTCCATCGCTGCATATAGTATACTCTGCGCACCCTGCTGCGGCGATTTCAGCACCAGCCACCAGATCGGCCAGGTGAGTAGATATAGCGCTAGTCCCCATAGTGAGCCACCTGTTAGCCAGCGCCGTGTTCCAGGTGTCCGGCAGAGACCTGGGTCGACCATTATCACGCGCGTGCAGGGTGGCAGACTATCCGGTCGTTTGTAGGCGTTCAGATGGCGCTGGAAGGAATGCGCAAAGATCGTGAGAGATAGTTTGGCTAAGGCGTAGACGTTCTTTGGAGGTGGGACCACAGCCTGGCCCTGACCCTTCGTCTTGGAGGTTTGAGGCTTAGGCCGCGCCATACCCTCCAACTCGGTGAAATCAGCACCAATATAACTGGAGCAATTGGCAAAGATAACTCGCACATCGCGGTGTGCAGGTTGCGCGCGGAGTGCCGGACTGAGGATGCTGAGGAGGTGAAAGTTGGATAGGTAGTTGACCTGCCATTCGCGGTCGATGCCGTCGAGGGTTAGGCCGCGGGCGTGGGCAGGCTCTGCGATGCCGCCACAGAGGATTATGCTGTCTAGTCTGCGGGGTGGGATGTTGTCGATCCATTTTGTGGCGAAGGTGCGGACGCTGTGGAGGGAGGAGAGGTCGACTTGTTCGGCGTAGATTAGTTGGTTGTTTGTTGTTGTTCGGAGGTCGTCGATGTATTCTACTAGGAAGAGGTCGGATGGTGGTTGGCGGGTTAGGAGGATTACTTGGGCTCCGCGGAGGGCTAGTTCGCGGACCACTGTTGCTCCTATGCCGGATGTGCCGCCCTTTTTGCGTGTTAGTTTGGTTCGGGGGCTTGGAGGGAAGAGCAATTGAGTGTGTTTGTGTGTGTACGTACTGTCACCATGATGACTTTCGACCGCATCATTCGTTCCGAGGTGTTGCGGGCTCCTTCGAAGTAGTACTTCAGGGCCGCGAGGACGAGGAGCCATGGCGCATATCGGATAACTGTCCAGGCGTGTGGGATGGACGAGATGCCCTCCCGGAGGCCCTGGGCGATGATTGGGATGGGCATGTTGGAGAATTGAGAGGTGAAGAAGAGAAGAGGATGTCCAAGGGATTAATTTCTCCACGTACACGTACTCTTATCCGCTTATCTACCTTATCGCTATCTCCGGAGCTCTTTTCGTCCTCTCTCTTTCTTTCTTTTACCGCACTGCTACTTCCTATTAAGCTTCACATCTAGCGATGTCTGAGATGGATGACATGGACGAGGAGGACTTCTTCCTCCCACCAGAGCAGCAGCGCCCATTCACCTCCGGCGTCCGTCGCAAACGCGTGAAGTTCGTCCGCTCCTCCGATCTGGATACCACCACCACTCCAGCTTCCTCTGCAACTTCCGGAGCAAGCATCGCAGACACATACCTCTCCATTGTAATGAAACAGCCAACCCCAAAGACATCACCAAGTACACCAACACCAAGGGAACAGTCACCCCCTCCCCGCACAACACAGTCCGCGCCACCTCCCACCGAAGCAACATTCCCTCCACCAGCAGAAGAACCAGAAGCAGAACTACAACCAACCAAAACATCGCAGCCCGACACCCACTGCGAGATATGCAACCTTCCCCTCGCAACAATCCAAACAGACCAACCCCACGAGGCCTCCCTAGCCCATCAAGTCTGCCTAACCCACTCCCACCCGCCCTCCCACCTAGACCGCACACGCCAAGGCCTCCGCTATCTCTCAACATACGGCTGGGATCCAGATAGCAGACGCGGTCTCGGTGCACCAGGCCGGGAGGGAATAAGGGAGCCACTCAAACCTCGCCCGAAGAATGATACCGCAGGGTTGGGCACTGGGCTTGATGCGGATGGGGATCGATTGCCGCCTAAACCGCCGCCGCTGCCGAAGGTGCAGAAACTGAATGCTAAGCAGACTGCGAAGAAGGCTGCTGAGGATCGGGCTCGTGGGGAGAGGATGCGGAAGTTGCTTTTTTCTAATGATGAGGTTTTGAAGTATCTCGGGGAGGGGGCGTGAGATTGATTTATGGGCTGTTTTATGCTTCTTGATTTTTGTTATGTGATACCCCCCTTTGTGATTGTTAGATTTAATGTACTTATAAGGTACTGGATTCGACTAGATGTATATTCGCTAAGGAGTCTTGATATGTCAGGTTGATTCACTTCATTGTTTTTTTATACTTCCATGACAAGTAATACAGGCACGTTGATAGCAACAAACGGCACCGCAAGGACTCACCATGATGCAGTATGAAGGGAAAGTGTCGTGATTTTTGAAGTAAGGATGCTGAACTAGACTGGGTTCTTGTTCAACGCATCCTCGACCTCGGCATAGTTCTCTGGTAGAACGTCCTTATCATCTTTGGCAGACACCACTCCGCGTGATGCAAGCTCGGACTTGTACGCCGTATCCGAGTACTTCACAGTATACGATGCAGTCGATCAATTGGATATAACAGAGGACACTGAGGAGCCCCGTCTTGGGGTAAACGGCTGGTTATCTAAGATGGTTGGCGAAGGCAAAAGCTTTTCGAAGTGACATTTCGGGGCAATGTCGGCCGGTTAGGGTAAGCTGTCGTGACCAGTGACTATTTCACTGGTACTGGGTTGCACAGGGCTGTATGATTCGAATCCAGGTGGCTTGGGAGAGACGTTAAGAAGAGAAGTCGTTGCAAGATAGGATTAAATCACTATTTTGGACCACTATAGCTTGAGGCACTCTAAAAATGGACAAAAAAGTGGTGAAAAAATAGAAGAAATGATATACTTGCTTCGAAACTGGGTTGAGATCCCTAGAGCCACATAAATATAGACCTATACCAAATCCAAAATAATGGCCCTACGACAAAAACAACTATATGCAGCGCCTCTTACCAAGTATTTAAAACAGTCGCCCACTCCAAAGCCACGCAACATTAACGCAAACATGTCCTTTCTAGTCATTGATTGGTAGCAAAGGCGCAGATATTGGCCTCGCTGATCCATCTACAATCATTTTATTTGATACAATAGACCACAATCCAAAGAAAGAAAATAAACTTCAAGCCATCTTTTATTTCATGCAAAGGTAGAATGGTACATAGAGATATATGAATATGACATGACGCAAAGGGAAAAAAGCACAACCGCAACCAAAGCTGGTATCTTTAAGAAATTCAAAATCAACCCCAAGTACCACCACCGCCACCTCTGCCCTGGCGCCTCTGCGCAGACAAACGCCAATCGTCTTCGCCAGCAAAGCGGTTGTGCAAAGGCTGGATACGCTCTGCCTTCTTGCGCTTCGACAACCGATCTGTGGGCGCAACCTTGAAGAAAGTCGGGGCCGCCTCCACAAGCCACTTTGGTTCGATGGCTGTCGTGCAGTGCATGTACTCCTTGGTTGTGAGGACCAGGGTGTGGTAGATGACGTGCTCGGAGGGTTTGCCGAACATAGCTGAGCTGGGATGCATGTACACGGGTGTGCCCTCGACCAGGGTCTTGTATCCTTCCTGGGGATCTTTGCGGGCTGCGTTACGGAAGAAGCCGGTGCATAGGGATTGTCGTACTTTCATGGTATCACGGCCACAGGATACAATTCTGTGCTTGTAACGGTTCATAATACCCAGGAGTTGCTGGCGGACATCTTGGGCGCGACGAATCTGTCGTGCTTGGATGAAGTTCTCAAAGCACCAGGCGTTGTTGAAGTTTGAATTCTTCCAGCCGTTGTAGACATTCAGCAGAGTGAGGTGATCGCCGTGTGGATCGTGGAATTTGGACTTCTTCTGGTCGGCCTGTTGCTGCTTCTCCTTTGGACGGTAGAAGACTGATTGGATTGACAGCATAGCAACAATACTGAGCATTTCCTCGGAGCAGCCTGAATCTACAGACGCGATGAGCACCTTGGCAAGCGCAGGCTCCATAGGGAAATCGGCCATCTTGCGTCCAAGTCGAGTCAAGAGACCTTCGTCGTCCAGGGCTGACAATGCATATAGCTCTTCGAGTGCTGTCAACATGGTGTTGGTAGGAGGGGGGTCCATGAAGTCGAAATGGAGAAGATCGTTGATTCCCATTGCCTTAAGCATGAGAATAGTATGTGAGAGGTTCTGACGCTGGATTTCAGGGATGGTAGTGGGAAGCATTTCGGACTGGTAAGCGGCCTCGGTGTACAGTCGGAAACACTTTCCTGGCCCAGTTCGTCCGGCACGACCAGCTCGTTGCTTGGCTTGGGCCTGTGAAATTGGAGTCACGACAAGAGAATCCATACCGAGCTTCGGGTCGTAAGCATTCTGCTTCACGAATCCGGGATCAATGACGTAGTAAATCTGATCAATAGTGATAGAGGTTTCTGCGATGTTGGTTGCAATAACAACCTTTCGGCCACCTGGTGGCGCAGGATCGAAAATCCTACTCTGCATCTCACTGGGAAGTGCAGAATAGACAGGCAAGATGACCAATTCGGGAACAGTAGAACCTAGAGCTTTCATACGCTCAAATAGGATCTCACATGCTGTATCGATTTCTTCTTGTCCCGTTAAGAAAAGCAGAATATCTCCCTGGGGTTCTGTCAAGTGAATTTGCATGACAGTGATGAGAGCAGCATCCAAATAGTCCGACTCGGGCTCTTTGGAATACATGACTTCGACGGGGAAAGTTCGGCCAGGAATCGAGAAGATGGGACAGCCATGGAAGTATTCGGAAAATTTCTCAGCATCCAGAGTGGCAGATGTGATGATTAGTCTAAGATCGGGTCTGCGTTTGATTGTCTTTTTCAACAATCCGAACAGGATATCGGTCGCGATAGTACGCTCGTGAGCCTCGTCAAGCATGATGACGGAATATTTCTTGAGATCAGGGTCCAAAAGAATTTCTCTCTGGAGCATTCCGTCGGTCATGTACTTGATCTTGGTGTCTGGGCTAGTACAGTCCTCGAAACGGATTGTGTATCCGACCTCTGCTCCGAGCTTGCAGCCCACTTCCTCGGCCACACGCTTGGCCACGGACATTGCAGCAACACGGCGAGGCTGAGTGCAACCAATGATACCATTGTTTGCCCAGCCGCCCTCAGCAAGGTACTGTGTCAATTGTGTGGTTTTTCCAGAGCCTGTATCTCCGACAACAATCATCAACTGGTTGTCCTTGACTGCATCTAGCAACTGCTTGCGGAATTTGTATACGGGCAGACTCTCTCGTTGTTGTTTGATGGACATGGTGGTTCGTTTCCCGAAAGTGGTGTTCTTGCCCATCGTCACCCTCTTCCACTCCGGCACTGCCTCGTCCTGCTTGGGTTGCTGGGCACTTCGCAAATCGGCGGCAAACTTCCGCTCCTCTGGTGCAACCATGGGATCCTGCCATTGTGCGTTGAGGTCGACATCGGCTGCCCGTTCGGCCGCCTTGTCCTGCGCTTCCTGCTGTTTCAATTCACGTCTCTCCTTAGCAAGGTTGGTTCCTGCCATCGCGGAACGGTTCATTGATCCATCAGGCGCCTTAACAACACGGATAGGAGAGAGTTCGAGGGATTGCTTCGTTTGGCCAGCCAAGAAAGGAGGCTCCTCGTCTCTGACTTCGATGTCGACATCTTCTTCCTCTTCGAAGGTGCCTTCGCCAGTGAGGGTTGCGTTGTATTCCTCATCAATGTCGGGGTAGTCTGCCGCAGAGGCAACACCAGAGGCGATTAATTGTCTGATCTCCCATCTCTCTGGCGAAGTCATACGCTTGCGGTTTCTCATCGGCCGACTACCAGACTCTTCAACGATAGGCACATCAGAACTGAGATTGCCGTATCGGTCATTTGCTGATGTACCATCGAGGCGTTCCATGTTGGCACCAGAAGCAAGGCGCTTCTGGGGGACAAGATCCATGCCTGTCGCCTGGTCCACTTCCTTCATGGATAGTCCAATACGCGTGCCTTGAATGTTTGCGACTTTGACCTTCACTGGTTGTCCACGCGAGACCAGATCTGAAGGATGGTTCACTCGCACTCCTTCTTGCATGGCAGAAACGTGAACAAGACCGTCCACCTTCCCCTTGACGCCTTGCAAGTTCACAAAAGCACCAAAGTCTTTCACGCCCGTGACGATTCCATCGTAGACCTTGTAGAGTACCGGGTGATCATCCAGCTCCACTGGAGGGGCACGACGGAAGTCATCATCGCCCTCGCGGTCACGTCTCCGACGGTCACTGCGACCATTCCGCCGGTCGTCCCTGCTGCCATATTTGCCAATCGATCTGCCAAACTCATCCAGGTAGTCGTCGTTTTTGCCGTGTCGCTGGGCACTTCGTGACCTTGATCGGGAACGATATTTGTCTCTCCGCCGTCCACGGTCGTTATACTCGGGGCTGCGGCTCCGTTTCTTGCTGTCGCGGTCGTCTCTTGTTGCACGCGACGTGTCCTGCTTCGCTTTTCCAGCCAACCCCTCAAGCATCGCAAATGTGTCGTCCATTGCGCCTGCCTGGGCATCGGCCTCATCTGCCGCTAGGCGATCGGTGTAATCCTCTTCCTCCCATCGCTTCTCGGTATCGGGGACCGCAAGGCCCTTAAACACGCGAGACTTCTTTTCCAAGGCGTCCAACAGGTCCATGTCGTCATTTCCTTCAGCGTCTCCAGTGCCATTTTCCGCTTTCTTTCCCTTATACTTGGGATGCATGGTGAGCACCAGACGGTCGATACTCTCCATGAGACTCTGCGGGAATTCGGCGCCTATCTCGTCGAGGGACTTCTTGAAATCGGGGAAGGAGCCATTGAATTGTAAATGCTGATTAATGACGAATTCGGCGAGGGTCTTGTCGTTGATACCTAGGTAGTTCTGGAGCTCAGTTGTCACTCGCGACACGAGCGACAACAGCTCCAGAGACTCGAGGTCGTCCATGGTGGTGCTCGATGCAAGAGACGATAATCTGAAAGAGTTTCGGATACTGTACTGGTAGACCAAGCGTTCAAATAGCGAGTGCGCAAAACACTGCACTGCTCTTGGATGCGAAGCTGTCGCAGTTGGATCTTCAAGAGCGCGGAAAATCAGTGCGGCCGAACTTGCCACCGAT